ACTCTCGGCCATGGCAACGACGGTGCGCCATCTCGACGATCGCTTGAGCGCGTTTTCCACTAGGACGATTGAAGCGGAATACGCCTTCAACACTCAAATTGCGACGCTGGAAGATCAGAATCGTACTCAATCGACTCAGCTTCAGGAGTTAATGGCGAGATCTGAAGGTCATTCGCAATAATTCGCCGTGATTAATACTTATTTGGATGGAATGGAAGATCGTTCTGTCGCTCGTTTTGCTCAAATGGATCAGAATATCCAGGAGATCATTCGTCGACTGGAGGTTCTTCAAGTCCGCCCGGAGGTCGGCGGCGATCATCAGTTAGCTCGCAATGACGGCCGGGGTCTCTTACCTCTTCCGATTCAACGGCCGGGGGCCGTTCCACCGCAAGAGCAGCGAGGCTATGCTTAGAAAAATTTGGATGCAGAGCATGGCCAAATTTTAGGTCAACCTCGAGGCAATGATCAGAATATTCAGCTGTCTCGTATCGATTTTCCTCAGTTTAGGGTGATAATCCTAGGGATTGGATTCGCAAGTGTAAGAAGTTGTTCGACATTTACGCTATTCCTAATGAGCAGAACGTACGGATGGCTTCCATTTACTTTGATCGTCGTCCAGAAATTTGGTGGGAAGGATGGAAGGTAGAGCATTGGGAATGGAATTGGGACGATTTTGTGCGGGATTTGTGTAACCGTTTTGGTGATCGCGAATTTGGCGGTATTGTAGAGGAGTTCACTAAGCTTCGTCAAAGAGGATCGTTCTCTGATTATCAAGAGAAATTTGAGGAGTTGAAGTCGCAGATGGTTCGATATCATCCGACATTAGGGGAGCAATATTTCATCTCCAGTTTCGTCAGTGGATTAGAAGAAGAACTTCGTCCGGTGGCCTGGCATGTTCCTCAGAATATTAAGCCACTAAGAGGATTTTTAGGTTTAACTGGCTACTACAGAAAGTTTGTGAAGAATTATAGTATCCTGGCTAAGCCTTTGACTGACTTGCTTAAGAAAGATAGTTTCAGGTGGTCTGCAGCAGCTCAAGGGGCTTTTAAAATGCTAAAAACAACTATGGTGCAGGCTTGTTAGCACTGCCAGATTTCACCCAACCTTTTGTGTTAGAAACTGATGCTAGTGACATAGGCATTGGAGCTGTTCTGTCTCAAGGAGGCAAACCATTGGCTTGTCACAGCCATGCTCTTGGTCCAAGGAAGCAGGGTCTCTCTACCTATGAAAAAGAGTACCTGGAAGTTTTGATTTTTGTAACTAAATGGAGGCATTACTTAGAAGGGCGCAGGTTTGTTATCATCACAGATCATGAAAGTTTAAAACATCTGTTGGGTCAGAAGATTCACACACAGATACAGAAGAAAGGGTTAGTCAAGTTGTTGGGCTTGGACTTTGAAATACAGTATCGACAAGGCAGATTCAATAAAGTGGTTGATGCCCTGTCTAGGCATCCCAGGTTTACCAATCAAGGGTCCTGACAAGCCATTTTAGCCACTCTGCCTTCCTGGCTTGCTGAAATTGAAAGTACTTATGTAGGTGACTCTGTGGTGCAGGAACTCATGATGGAGGCTTCAGTTCCTTTGGTAGGTCCAAAACTATATTCTGTGAAGCAAGGGCTTTTGTATCGTAAGGCTGCTTTGAATGTGGGATTAGTGGGTGCTATGAGGAATCAGCTAATGTAATTATTCCATGACTCCCCTGTGGGTGGGCATTCTGGTCTACAAGCTAGCTACCAGAGATTAAAGCGCTATTTTTGGTGGCCTGGACTTAAGAAGGATTTGAAGGAATATGTTCAAGCTTGTGACAACTGCCAGTGATGTAAGACTGAGAATGTCTCTTATCCTGGCTTGCTGCAACCTCTACCAATCCCTGATCAAGCTTGGAAACACATTTCCATGAACTTCGTATAGGGACTACCTAAATCACAGGGTAAAGAAGTGGTATTTGTGGTAGACTGGTTCTCTAAATACAACCATTTCTTCAGTCTGGCTAAGCCCTACACTGCTATCTCTGTGGCCCAGGTTTTCTTCGATGGTATCTTCAAGTTACATGGGTTACCACAAACCATTGTGTCTGATAGGGACTCCTTGTTTACCAGTAAATTCTGGTCGACCTTGTTTCAGCTACAAGGTGTCACATTGCATTACTCTACTGCCTACCATCCTCAGTCAGATGGACAAATTGAGAGGGTCAACCGCTGTTTGGAGGAATATTTGTGTGGCATGGTTCATCATCACCCTCAGCAATGGGCTGGTTGGTTGACTACGGCTGAGTGGTGGTACAATACAAATTACCACACCAGTCTGCAGGGAACACCATTTGAAGCCTTATATGGCTGTGCTTCTTCTCAATTCTCCATCACCAATCCCCTCTCCACTGTTGTAGCAGCTATGTCAGACAGACTCCAGCAACAGCAAAAGCTCATAGGAGTATTGCGTGCGAATTTAGCCAAGGCTCAGAATCACCAGAAGCAAATGGCAGATGCTCATAGGACTGAGCGTTCTTTTCAAGAAGGGGAGCGAGTGTATCTGAAGCTCGGGCCTTATAGGCAGTCTTCTTTGGTTGCCAGGTTAAATCAGAAGTTATCCCCAAAGTTTTATGGTCCTTTCGAGATTGAGAAGAAGATTGGAAGTGTGGCATATAAATTGAAGTTGCCTCAGGGGTCTGTTATACATCCAGTGTTTCATGTTTCACTTCTGAAACGTGCTCGTGGCCATCATTATCACACGCAGCCTGTTCTACCTGAGATAGATGATATTGGAGGATTGAAGGTGGAGCCAGCTCTGATTCTAGCCAGAAGGTTTGTATCCAGAAGAAATGAAGCAGCAACGCAGATCCTGGTGCAATGGACGCATCAAGCTGAGGAAGATGCTACTTGGGAGTTCTTGGACGAGTTCAAACGAAAATTTCCAGAATTCCAGAATTGAGGCCAAGTCATTTCTGAAGGAGAAGGGAGTTGTAACACTTGTACTCGAATGTAAAGAATAAAAGTAGCTAGTGGGTGATAGCAGAAGTACAGGGACTAAATGGGATAATTGGAAAATGTATATAATCCCGCTATGTAACAACCTAACGGTAATCTGAGAATAATAACAACTTTCCCTCCTCTCTCTCTCTTCTTCTTCTATTTTTCTCTTCCTCTTCTAGCTACTTCTATCGCTGAGAGTCTTCACCGATCCAGAACGTCACACTTTGTTGCATGATCTTTGTTCATCACCATCGACCTCTGAATGACCTGATGGTAATGATTAATGAGCTTCCTCTTTGTTTGAAAATGTTGTAAACGGTATAAAATGAATGTTAAATTCATTATCTTACTCTGACCCCATTATCTTTTGTTTCATTTTGTTGCTTCGTATGACAAGGTGGAGGGGATTTGGTTAGCGATGTTAATAATTACCATAGTCTACTCTGTCCAGACCGTACCAGATTGTGTCGCACGAGTGCGGTCTGATTTTGACCATATTGTTTATGGTCTGATCTATGATCTCTGTTTTACTCTCTCGGTATGGACCACATACCATTTATATGGTTTGGTCTGGATTTGACTCGCACCGTTTCTCAGCCTTAATTTGGTTCATTCTCCCCTTTTTATAATCTCACATTCTCACTCATTAATTGAAGCTCTTCTCTTCTCTTAAAAGGAAACTATAAAAGAACATTATCAGTACTCGGTTCAATTTTTTATTGACGAAGTATTGATTTCAATTCATTTGATTTTTTCACTCATTATTGTCTTTGTTATTAATGGTTATTAGTATTGATGCAAGGTCAAAAATGAAGTATGGGGAAGAAGGTTCGAGAGGAGGAAGAGGAATTAGTTCAATTTGTTATTAACGAAGTGGTCTGTTATTTGATCTATTGTTCCCATTCGCCTTTGTGCGACTATTCTAAATCACGTTTAACCTGCAATGTGTCTTTGCCCTCTCGGCAATCAGGCTTCCCATAGGGGATTTGGTTGTGCTTGTATGGTTTCGAGTTTTTCTTTCTTATTGGAGATCCTGCCTATTCGGGATGGTGTTCGTTGGTATTAGTCGCACTCCTACACTAATATTTTATTTTGTGGTGATGCGCAGGTTGTCATTCGACTGACTGGTCATTGCGAGAGACTCATCGTGCGAGATGGGCGAAGTTATCCTGCAGGAAGTCCAGGTGCCGGGAAGATTATTTCAGCATGCAACATTTCATTTCGCACCGTGAAAGTATAAAAGGGCTGCTCATTCCGTGGCAAAAAAGGCTCTTGTTGAGTTGGTCGTGCACTTGTCGATCAATGTATTTTTTTTTCTTAGTTCCATTCAGTGGTCTGGCCTGGGGCTTGTATACGTCTTATATATTGTCGTATCTCTATTGTTTCCCTACGAGGATATCTATGGGAATAAAACACTATCAGTACTCGTTTTTAGTTAAATTTAACTATAAGTATGATATTAGGAGCAACATTTCATGAACCCTTTTTTTTTTTTGCAAGTAATGATAATAAATTAGATAGAAAGAACCGTTGTACATTATACCCAAGAGCCCTCCCAAAGTATCATCTCGGTGGAACTACCTTACAAAGTTAAATCTCATGAACGAGTTCATCTTCATAAAAAATGACAGAAACACAAGTTGTGATTTTTCATTTTTGGTTTGCAAAGGAGCACAATTTCCACCCAATGTGGGCAGAAGCCCAAACCGGAGTAAAAACAGGGGCGGGACTGTGGGGCTTTTTCTTTATGCTAAGAGATAGAGAGCTTCTACAAGATATAAAAAGGCACAACATGAGTTGTAATTGTCTCATTTCAAATTTTATGGTCTGAAAGTGATTCTAGGAATGTCATTTTTGTCATTGCACTCACTTCATCTTTATATATTAAAAATATTATCATTGGAGTTGAACTCTGGTCACTTAAATGAAGAAAGAGCATTATAACCAACTAGACTACATTGTGTTTATTGTCATTTTTTATTATTAAACTCTAGGAATATGTTTGGTGATGATGCTTCTATATTTATAGTTTATCTTAAGTTATTTATATTTTATAGAAAGACATTAGTTCTAAAATCGAAACTCAATTAACATTGATTCAAACATTAATATTAAATTGTATGTGTAGTTTAGTTTAGACAAAATACAGAAGTGTAACTAATACATGGACCTTTGTAACGAGTATAGTCATTTTTTTAACCAATCTACACATAATATAATGATAAAATTGGAAAATGAGAGTCTCCTTTTAAATTTGGTGGCCTGAGAGTGATTCTATGAACCTCTTTTTCGTCATAGCGCCAAATTTATTTTTATATTATGTGTAGATTTGTCACAAAAAATTACTATATATATCACGAACACCCATGTTTTGGCTACACACATGTATTTTATCTAAAAACTGTACCACACATACAATTTAATATTTAATGTTTGAATAAATGATACTTGAGTTTTGATTTCACAATTAATCATTTTCTATAAGATATAATAATTTGGTTTATCTTCTTGAATTGTAAGCATACACTTAGCAAAGATTTGAAAAGCAGAGGAATTTTCCATCACAGTTAGCTAGCCTATTAAGTCTTCTGAAAAGCAAAGTTTAATACGTGATTTATAATTTTTTATTAACTATATATGTCACGAACACCCATGTTTTGGCTACACACATGTATTTTATCTAAAAACTGTACCACACATACAATTTAATATTTAATGTTTGAATAAATGATACTTGAGTTTCGATTTCACAATTAATCACTTTCTATAAGATATAATAATTTGGTTTATCTTCTTGAATTGTAAGCATACACTTAGTGAAGATTTGAAAAGCAGAGGAATTTTCCATCACAGTTAGCTAGCCTATTAAGTCTTCAGAAAAGCAAAGTTTAATACATGATTTATAATTTTTTATAACCTATAAAATTACGGGTAATCTTAAAATTGTAACACAAATTTCAATGCTTGAAATATTGCATATCGAATTGTTGTATTGAATATGCAAAAGAGATGTAGAATTCCTTAAATTAATATAAATTTTCAAAACTACTACGAAACAATAATATTTTGTACAAATTATAGGTGACTGGTTCTCTAAAATTTTAGCCTGGTTAATTGCTAAACATTAAACCTCTTGCTAATCTGGAATGAATAAACCCGACAATAATGAGACGATATTGGATTTAATGTGATGTTCATTTAGCCATTTTTGGATGAGTTGACCAATATAAATGAGTTATAGTTAACTTCGGTATACAATTTTTAATCATTATAATAATTAATTTAATCTTATTATTTATGATGTTTGAAATATTTATTTATGATTTAGAGATATACTTATTATTTGTGGTATCAGTGTTAGTTGGTTCAAATGTAGTATTTTATCAGGTAGTCAAAATCAAATACTAGGTGCATTTATGACTTTTTTTTATCTTAGTGTTGCGAATAGATAAAAATTTAATTATTATAATGCATATAACTATACTCAGGCACATGGTCGAGCTAGCATGACATAGTTAGAGCATACAATGAAGACAATGTATATGGATCGACCCTATACAAGCATGAATGCTTCATGGGTCGTACCAGACTTAAACTTTAAGAGCTCACCACATAGTCTAGATTGGTGAACTCATGTTTTATGGAGAAATGCGTCATTTGAGAGGAATAAGCGGTCATTTGTTCGCCAGGTTTCATGTCCTTTGATTCACACTATCGACTGTGAATGGAGAAGAAGCATTTCGAATGCAAAATAGGAGAAGTAATTGGGATGTTTCTAGGTTTCTCTCGATTTCAGGCTGTGGGAAGAAAGAGGAAGGGAAAGGGGGAGAGTGGTGAAATACAAAGCTTAGAGAGAGAGAGATGAAAGAACAAACAAAAAAAGAAAGAGGAATATCGAGGACCTGTTGGGAAAGTGTAGCCATCACTGTCTCATCCAACCTAATCCACACCTCTGTTGATATGACCTCGAGGATCTAAGCCCTTGAGAATGATTAACTTAGGCGATGGACGGGTAATATCTGTTGGCATCTCAAAGCAAACCCATCGTTCGCCGACTGGAGGAGGAGCTCACCGAATCGATCTTTTCTCCCTCCGCTAGAGGAAGAAGAGGCGGATTGTCGCAGCTTCGTTCGATGGGGATGTCGTGTTTGGGGGAGGCTGGGTGAAGAACGATGTGAGCTGGGGTTAGCAAAACGACACTGTTGGTCTAAGTGAACAAAAGGAAAAAAAAAAAAAAAAAGTGGCCGAGGGATTCCAACGCTGGGCTCATTAAAAGGAATGGGGGCGTAACCCGTTGGGCAACGGGGAAAATCCGTCCATCATTTTCCAGCAAACGATCTTTTATTGTTTTCGCCAGCTGCCTCTTTTATTCCCCATGGTTTTTTCTAACGATAATGAAATTGCAAGTAAACACGTTTCTTACCATTTGTTTTTTTTTTTTGTCACACCAGAAAACATGAAACAAAATGACAAGTCAATGGGACATAAGAGAAAGTGAGAGGACACATTTAAAAGAAGGTGAAAATGAGGTAGTGTGAAATAATTGTCCATCTGCTTTGCTTAGTGGGTATTCTTGGTCCTGTTGAGTTTTGATTTATTTTAGAAGTAACATTATATTTGATAAATTTTTTCCATTTCAATTAAGGGGTCGTTTGAAAGTTGCGATTGTTTTGTTGAGATTGTTACTATAACGTATTGTTTAGAATGCATCATTTTTTATTTTTTAGTAGAAACAATGCATGGATTACATCTTTGATGTGACATAAACTATCACTCAAAATGAGTGATTGTTATATCTCAACTTTTAGTTGAGATTGTTGAGTTGGGATTGTTTTTTCCTCAGCTTTTAGCTTATGTGATATACACAATGCATCCAATCCGACAATACATATATATATATATATATATATATAATATACATGCATTCACAACAAAACATCTATTTAACAATCGCAGCTTCCAAACGACCCCTTAAAATCCTAAATCAATATTATCATTTGGATGATTTTTTATCTTAATAAGATTATAGTAATTTCTGAGATTTAATGGTATTTGATAATGTCAATATTTTAGTGGTTTTTTATTTAAAGTTTGAATTGAAAGATTGTACGTACTAGCGGTTCGACCATAAAACTTCACACCATAGGCTAAATCGATACGTGATATTTAGTAATATGAAACAGTTGAACCACAGTTAAATTATGATTTCAGTATAAAATACTATACTACCAAATTTTTTGATACTATTACAATCATTTGGTTCAAACAATTCTTTTACGCAATAACAAAAGTTTTAAGGCACATTTTGAATTATCTATTGCAAAAAAGCATAAGTCAGTTAGCGATAATGAGAATATGCGATCTCATTCAACCCAAAAGACACTTTGCAACTTCTAGATTTTTAAAATAAATGTATGTTACTTATACCCTCGCTCATTCATCAACCAAATGAGTAACATATATTTCATGTAATATGATTTTCATATGTTTTTATTAATTGAATTGTTTCATAAAAAAAATATTTGTTGCATGAAAATTACTACATTGTTGCTATAATATATTTGTAGATGAGGTTTGACTTAAGATGCAAAATCTTCTTTTGTCAAACCCAATTCTTGATATGAATTAAACTATGACAACTCACTCCCCAATGCATGTAAGAGCTGACACAACTAAATCAGTTGTTCAAATAATCTTAATTGTTGGATTGATGCGATGATAATCTTCTATTAGTGCAACCGTAAATAATGTTGTTCAACCTTATTCCACTCTAGCTAACACCATCTTATCATATCATGTGTTCAAAGTTCAAACAATTGCAACGTGCAATAAACCAACAGGTCTCAGTAGCTCGAGTATATTCATCATCCATAAAAGGCTCAACAAAATATCACAGATAAAAACTCATCATCCATAACAGGCCCAAAGAGAATCCAAAACAAGGCCCAAATACTTGACCCGAATAAACAATCATAATCTAACCAAGAAATCTATTTCGCTAATAGCCAAACAAGAACAGACATAACAAGTTTCACCACCGATGTTACCTTTCTTACTTTCGCTCTCGTTGCAAGAAATTTGAAATGCTGAAAAACTGCATCCAACTCTGCTATAATATATTTGTAGATGAGGTTTGACTTAGGATGCAAAATCTTATTTTGTCAAACCCAATTCTTGATATGAATTAAACTATGACAACTTACTCCCCAATGCAAGTAAGAGCTGACACAACTAGATAAATTAATGATTTTAATTGTTGGATTGACGCGATGACAATCTTCTATTAGTGCAACCGTAAATAATGTTGTCCAACCTTATTTCACTCTAGCTAACACCATTTTATCATATCATGTGTTCAAAGTTCAAACAATTGCAACGTGCAATAAACCAACAGGTCTCAGTAGTTAGAGTATGTTAATCATCCATAAAAGGCCCAACAAAATATCACAGATAAAAACTTATCATCCATAAAAGGCCCAAAGAGAATCCAAAACAAAGCCCAAATACCTGACCCGAATAGACAATCATAATCAAACCAAAAAATCTATTTCACTAATAGCCAAATAAGAACAAACATAATAAGTTTCACCACCGATATCACATCCATGGCAATCTCAAGGTAGAAGTGGAGCAAGATCGCCGTCATGAAGCGGCTGTAGTGCAGCGGGTAGAGCACGGCGAAATCCCCATCCCAGCTCACGAACATAACGTCCGCCACAGGGAAGGTTGACCCAAACTACGGATTGTAGACTAGAGTGGCGGTGTACTCGTCAAGAAAAGTAATCTAGATATCAGACATTTGCACTGCCAAAGAACAAGACAAACATCTCTATTCGAAATTGTCATCCTAATTCGCAAACTCTTAATCGGGAAGAAATGCAAAGAAAAAATGAAGAAAGAGCATCGTGTTTCCAACAAGATAACAAACGTAAAGAAACACAGAACAACACAACGACCACAGAAGGAACATATTCCGTTAATAATAAAAATGAAAGAAGAGTCCTTCCATAAATAAACATAAACCTAACTTCTTTTCTTATTTTTTATTATAGTTTTCAGTTATGTTTTGTTAGTTGATTAACAATATTAGGGGAGATGACGGCAAATTCTTTTTTATATATTTTTTGCGTATCAATATTATTTTTTATTTCTAATCATTAAGATGACAAAACTAACTTTCCTGCAATCACTCAGAAAGCTAGAAGTACTAAATGAGAAGTATTGTGACGAAGAACCTCCATATAATAGTGGCAGGATGTAGATTTCAAGGTATAGGTGATAACATATTAATGATTTTGTTGTATAAGATAGCTATAAGTTATGTTTATTATCTATGGAAAAAAAGTTATGTTGAGTATATTTAATTGATTAAAATTTAACTGCAAATTTGTGCTATTGGGCTTCTTAAATGATAACTAGGAAAACACTTAGATGTCATTTAGAGAATCAGAGTCTAAATTTTATATTCAAGCCAATCAAAAGATTTTAGTTTTCTCGATTGTCAAAAAAAGATTTTTAGATGCTCATTATTGGGGAACAACGACTGTCAACATTCAAGAAAAAATATAAATTCTACTTTTTGTTGAATGACATATTTACCCTTAATCAAAAGAATCAAAGTGACTCGAGAATTAATGAGAATCTATTTATAATGGTATTTAGTAGGATATATAAAAAAAAGAAAGAGATAAATGATAAAGAACAAAGTCTCACAAATCAACATATAGAATCTTTTTGATAAATTAGATATCTGTAACGACTAAGACCTTACTGTAGTAATGGATTAGTTTGTGATGTCTTTTGTAATTGTGTTCCTATAAAAGGACTTGTCATGTAATGAGAAAATATCGAATAACTAAATAGACATTTCCTTTATTGGCTCTTTTTTTCTTCTTCTCCTTCTTCTTCCCCTATGTTCTCAAATCCTACCCTTATTCTCTTTAAATCCAACTCTGCTACTCAGTATTTGGCTATTTGCAGAATCTGGTTAATAGTAGATAAGGTAAGAGAAATACGTTTTCTTATTGTACTCGTTGGATGTGAAGACATATATTGTTTGAAAAAATGTTTTGTTTTCGCAGACAAATAAAAAAAATTCTTGTAGGATTAGGATGTAGTAGATAAAACAATTCTTATTCTGCATGAGATCAAAACAATAATAAAAAACATAAAGAAGTTAAGTTTACTATTGATTGAAATTCGATCAAAACATTAAACAAAAAGAGATTATCTTCTATTTAAAATTTTCTTTTAAATTATAAAAAATAATAAATGAAGTTATACTTTTAAGGCCTTAATCACACAAATGTAGCAGTACAAACTGAGAATGGAAGAGTTCACATTCAACCAAACAACCGGAAACAAAACGCCCAATATGAACGACCAACAGTATATAGAGTGAAAAGGTCTTAATCACACAAACGCAAATATGGTATTGACCCGCAAAATCTTCTTTTACCAAATCCAATTCTTTATATGAATTAGACACTGTGATAGTTGGATTGATGGAATGACAATCTTCAGTTTCATTCTAAAATGCATCTTGAAAGCTTGTTAAAATTTGTTTTAACCAAGTCAAGAAGATAACTGAGCAGTAGAAAACGTCAAAGATAGAATTTAACATCCATAGCAAGCTCAGCAAAAGATCACATATCAAAACTCATCATCCATAATAGGCCCAAAGAGAATCCATAACAAGGCCCAAATATCTGACCCGAATAGACAAAACATAACCCAACCCAAGAAGTGGATTTCTCTAAAAGCCCAAAAGAAAAACGAAACAGACAAAAAGTGACCTCACCACCGACCGATCACTCCAGATCGGCGACCACTCCTTCGCCGGCATGGATGGCGCGCTCCAGATAGCGTCCGAGCACCGTCGCCTCCAAAGAGCGGCCATAGTACAGGGGGTACAGCACCGCGAAGTCCATATCCCAGCTGACGAACAGAATGTCCACCACGGGGAAGGCCGGCTCGAGGTCCGGATGGTAGACCAGAGTGGCGGTCTCCTCCACAAGTGAAGTGATCGAAATCCCAGGCATTATCACTGCCAAGTATCAAAACAAACGTCAAAATTCGCATACTAATTGGCAAACCCATAATCCGGAAGAAAATCAAAGAAAAACGAAGAAAGAGTATCCCGATTTTCCAACAAGAAAACAAACATAATGAAACGCAGAATAGCACAGCAGCAAGCACAGAAGGGACGCAACCGACGACATCAAAGAAGTCAGACAGGAGACGGCGAGCATAACAGGTTGAGGAAATAGCGCCGTGTTTCCATTTTCCAAACAAGAAAACAACGTAAAGAAACGCAGAACAGCAAGCACACAATGAACGCGAAAACGGTATCAAAGAAGAAAGGACTCGGCGAGCCTACCAGAGGTCGGCCGCAATGAGGAGCAAAAAGCAAGGAAGACTGGAAGAGCACAGCGGAGCAGGGAGCAGAGAGCAGCAGAGCGCGGATCTGTCGCCTTTCTCTCCCTCCCCCGAGTTTGTAGCCCACGCCTGACAACAAGGCACGGCTTTTACCATCATACCCCTTTTAGTCTGTGAAAGCGCTAGGGGTAAGGAGGTAAATTATTCTATGTTGCTGTTGGATATTGGATAAAGACGTGAAGTTAATTACGGTTTTGGTCCTTCCGTTTCTAAATGGTTAATTACGGTTTTGGTCCTTCCGTCTTCAGCGAGACCCAAAATGACCGTCTGAACTGAACCGGGCCCAAGCCCAACTGGCGTCGCAAATTGGGAAGGCTGGTTGTGGTTGCCGGTGGCCGGGCAAGGCCAAACAAGCCTGCCGACCACCGAATTCCTCTCCTCCAGTCGACCAGCTACGAACCCTATTTTTTGCTCGTATTATTTGCTAGCGATCTCATTCTGCATTTATATGTGCTCTGCTCATGCATTTCAGCTTTCAGCTTTACTTTCCGCATTCCAGTTACTTATTCTCTTACTAACTGATAGTTGAATTGTCAATATTGTTTTTTGGGTGTTGCACTGTGCATTTCCACTTCAGTTCCTACCCTGAACTTGGAAGGCCCACCATTTCAACTAGGTTGTCTCTTTCATGTCCTAACTATTAATGCTTTTGTTACTATAAATAGAGAATAAGAACAGAGGAGGAGAGGGAAGGATGGCAGAGTGGGAACATGGGGAGGAGTTTGGATGCTTGAACTTAAGTTTGTGGTAGCTGACTTACTTGCCCTGTACTGCAACTGAACTAAATTTGGACAGATCACAGATAAGCTGAGTTTTCATTTGCCATCTCGAGTATCATTTATAGTGGAAACATAAAACTGCACCCTTCTTTCATAAAACGGTCGTTCGACTGCTTCTCCGACTTCCCCTCCGAATCGCTTTCCACCGGTCTCTCGAGGTTGCGTTTTAAATTGGTGGGTAGATTGTTGCTTAATTTTTTTCCTTCATCATGCGATTATAATCAATTGAGAATTAAGTTCCTTTTGAATCTAGAAAATTAAGTTCTAGGTCTGTGTTGGGGTTGCAGTAGGGAGGTCCGGTCTATGTCAGTCAATTTTGCATACCTGTCGTTCGACCACATCTTCTTCGGGATTACAATACTTGCTATTTGTTTCATGGGTTGACAGCTTGGTCAAGTTCTGCGCTCCAAATTGATGGGTTTGTGGTTTCTTTCAGAACAGAAGCGTGGCAATCGATAATCCAAACCAGCACGAACGAACACAAATTTAACGTGGTTCACTAACACAATGTGTGCTAGCTAATCCACGGGCATGGGGGAACAAATTTCACTGATTTGAGGAGAGTACAGGTTACAAACCGAATTCCAAACGGACAAACCAAACAAACTAACCTGACTGACCTTACTACAGACTAGGGTGATGAAGAGTATTTATAGAACTCTTCTCCTATTCTCAAACAGAAAACCAAACACATTTTCCCATACATACAAGGAAAAGGTCAAACAAAACCCAAACACAAACCCAAACAAAATAGGCCCAAAACACAAAACAAACCCAAATCAAATTCAAGTCATATTCTAACAATCTCCACCTTGACTTGAATTCTCTCTCAAATACCAGATGTACCAGACGCAACTAAAGTTGCCAGATGTACCAGATGCAACCAAAGTTTCCAGATGTACCCAAACACGATCCATGTCGCCAAATTTACCTAGATGCGATCGAATCGCCAGATATCCAGATGTGATCGAAATCACTAAACTCAAACGCGATGCAAATCGCCAAACTCAGATGCAATCAGAAAATTGCAAACATAGTAACTCCTCCAAATCAGCTGTACCAGAATCTCCCCCGCCTCCAAATGCCCCTAAGGGTAATCAACAACTCAAACCATTCGGCAAGTCCAACCCATGCTGAGACTTGCCATTCAAAACTAGTTTGGTGCACTTATCACCAACATAACATGTCAAAATAGAACCTTGTAGATTATACAAGGCACCCCGCTTGACACCTTTCAAAATCACCTTAGAACCCTTGTAGACAGACAACACTCCACCTTCACCTTTGAAGCTGAAACCCTTGCTGTCGAGTAGACTCAAAGATATCAGATTCTTAGTCATTTCTGGAATATGCCTAACATTGTTCAAGGTGCAAACAGAACCATCATGTGTCCTCATCCTGACGGAGCCTCTTCCAACAATCTTACAGATAGCACCATTGGCCATAGAAACATGTCCTCCATCTATCTGCTCATAAGTTGAAAAACACTCCTTGCTTGGACACATATGATAATCAGCTGCAGTATCTAAATACCACACATCCTGATGATGTACATGTTCATTCACTGCTAAGGCTAAACCATCTTCAGAATCAGAGTTAGTTTCTTCTGCCACAGCAGCAGATGATTCCTTCTTCTCCTGATATTTCTTCAGTTTAGGACAATCAAATTTCCAATGTCCTTTCTCCTTGCAGTAATGACAGATATCATCCTTCAAACCAGCAGAATTCAAATTTGTATTCGCCTTCCTATTACCAGATTGTTGTCTCCTACCATCGGTAGCAGCCAACCCAGATGCCTGATTTTCCGAACCAGAACCAGATGCCTTATGTCTAACCTCTCTAGTATGTAGAGCATATCTGACATCTTCCAAAGACAAACTATCTTTCCCAGTAATAAAAGAATCCACAAAATTCTCATATGACTGTGGCAAAGATACTAACAGAATTAAGGCAGCATCCTCATCATCTATTTTAACATCAATATTCCGCAGATCTAGCAAGATAGTATTGAGTTGATCTAGAAGATTCCTGAGAGACGTACCTTCCTCCATACGCAAACTGAACAAACGTTGCTTCATATGCAACTTGTTGGTTAAAGACTTTGTCATGTATAGACTTTCAAGCTTCAACCACAAACCCGCGGCAGTCTTCTCAGCAGCAACCTCAATGATGATGTCATCAGCTAAACAAAGCAAGATTGTAGAGTGAGCTTTCTCCTCCAAAGTAATCCACTCTTCTTCATCTATACTTTCCTTCTTCAATTTTCCAGACAATGGAGCCCACAAACTGAAACTGTTTCTTCCGGTAAACTTCTCAATCTTCATACTGATAGCAGCCATTCTTACTATCAAACAAACTCCAACCAAACTTCACAAAGCAAAACTTCAGTCCAGCGCCAAATTCCCAAAACCGCAACCAAAGGCTCTGATACCACTTGTCATAACCGGGCAGCTCAATTAGTACGATATTGTCCGCTTTGGGCCAAGCCCGCACGGTTTTACTTTTGGGTGTCCTCCCCAAAGGCCTTGTACTAATGAGATTGGTGGACACTAATATACAAGGGTTCCCTTGTATAACCGATGTGGTACTTGGATTGTCCCATAACAATCCTCCCCTCAAGCCAAGGACCACGAACTTCGTGTCCTCACCTCAGCGATTATCTTGATCCGCCAGATGCCTTGTATCGATGGGCTTCTCGATACAAGGACTTTACCAGACGCGGAACTCTCTTTGATCCGCCAAACAGACGTGGATCTCTCGACCTGACAAACGCGGACCTACCTCGATCCGCCAGATGAGCCCAAACATGGATCTCTCGTGGATCCACCAAACCAGACGCAGATCGCAAATCCCGAGGTCACCGAGCAAGGGTCCACCGAACTGACGTCCACCACCCCGGACCGAACCCGACTCTGATACCACTTGTCATAACCGGGCAGCTCAATTAGTACGATATTGTCCGCTTTGGGCCAAGCCCGCACGGTTTTACTTTTGGGTGTCCTCCCCAAAAGGCCTCGTACTAATGAGATTGGTGGACACTAATATACAAGGGTTCCTTCCCTTGTATAACCGATGTGGTACTTGGATTGTCCCATAACAATCCTCCCCTCAAGCCAAGGACCACGAACTTCGTGTCCTCACCTCAGTGATTATCTTGATCCGCCAGATGCCTTGTATCGATGGGCTTCTCGATACAAGGACTTTACCAGACGCGGAACTCTCTTTGATCCGCCAAACAGACGTGGATCTCTCGACCTGACAAACGTGGACCTACCTCGATCCGCCAGATGAGCCCAAACGTGGATCTCTCGTGGATCCACCAAACCAGACGCAGATCGCAAATCCCGAGGTCACCGAGCGAGGGTCCACCGAACTGACGTCCACCGCCCCGGACCGAACCAGGCTCTGATACCACTTTTCAGAACAGAAGCGTGACAATCGATAATCCAAACCAGCACGAACGAACACAAATTTAACGTGGTTCACTAACACAATGTGTGTTAGCTAATCCACGGGCAGGGGGGAACAAATTTCACTGATTTGAGGAGAGTACAGGTTACAAACCAAATTCCAAACGGACAAACCAAACAAACTAACCTGACTGACCTTACTACAGACTAGGGTGATGAAGAGTATTTATAGAACTCTTCTCCTATTCCTAAACAGAAAACCAAACACCTTTTCCCATACATACAAGGAAAAGGTCAAACAAAACCCAAACACAAACCCAAACAAAATAGGCCCAAAACACAAAACAAACCCAAATCAAATTCAAGTCATATTCTAACAGTTTCTTTTCTTCTGTCTTTCAACTCGAGATTCTTCACAATTTGAAAATTTAGCTTATTATCTCAAAACCAAAGGCTCACCTCCGTCGATCGATTCTCCATACCTGCAGTTTGACTGCTGCTTCTTCTGAATTTCAGTTGTTGCTGCAATTGGCTTCTTGGAATGACTGTTCTGCATGTTAAATTGGTTGGTTCGTCATTCCATTTCAAAGCTTTCAATTGGTATTGCTTCCCTAATCTTGGACTTGGCATTTGCTTCACGAATTCTGTTTCTGTTACGTTGAGTTGTTTTGCGTATCTGGACTTCATAGTTGATGTGGGAGACAGATTTATGTCCAGCCATTCAATTTGCCTTAGGTTGTAGATGTTTACGGCATTTATTGATTCACTTGCATAAGTTGAAAAGTTGTATGATTTTGTGGGTGTCTTGGTCTTTACTCTTTTGGAAAATCACCAGAGCCCATCTCCTTCGGTAAAAGAACAAACTTTATACCTACCCTCTATTAAATAAATAAAAAATCCCAGATTGTAAGCTAACCTTGATCATAGAATGACAGTTTCAAGAGCTGGAAGCATAAATTGGTAATACCGAATGAAGTTGTATTTCTAATCTTTATTTAGCTGCTTAGAGATTCTTGGCCAGTGAGTCCATTTTTATTTGGTATAGTTTCCTCAATCCTTAGCTTTTTAGAGGTTCCAATTCATGCTTAATGATTGTGTTTTTATTTCTGGTTTGCAGTTATTAAGCTGAAGAGTTTTGGGCTGAATTGTCAGCATCTTATTCTGGCTGCGACATATAAATTTCGGTGAGATTTCTAAGTTCCTATGTTAAAGGTCCTCTCCGACAGTGTTATTGATTTATTTGTTTCAGCATAATGAAATTGCAATTTTCTTTATTGCCAAGTAGTCTATTTCAAGGACGTTAGATCAAAAGGAGTATTTGTGTCAACTGTCAAGAAGCATTCAGTATTCTGCCTTTAATTTGTGAACTCTCTATTTCTTAGCATTTAGTAATTTGTTAGAAATAGAAGCTTGATGTGTATTCTGGAATCACAGAGCATAACCAAAAAGATATTTCTGAAATCAATGCTAGATTGGAAGATGATGATGCCTTTCAATATCCCTTTCTGTATCAAATTTTATGTTCTATACAAAATCTCTTCATTTTCAGGATATCATTCTTATGGTCTCAGGACATGAAACCTTTTTGAAGATGCCGCATTTTCAGGCTAGAAGCATTTGTTCATCTCAGAACACCATCGATACAAAACCTCTGCATTTCATTAGTGCAACAACATATTGTCCAATGGTTTGGAGAGAGATCAGTACCCGCAACGCCATAACCATATTCCCAACACTCTGTAAGTACAAATTGCAACTGAAGCATTCTCTTATGTCCTAGTTAACTTACTATTAAATTGCAGCACTACATTTTTTTCGAAATTTAGGGTTGCACAAACATAAACTGCTCACTAAGTTCCCTCCAAGTCGCAGCAACCACAACTAGGTTCTATGTGATGTGGAAATAAGAGACTTTTACTATGTTGAAATGTGTCTACTTTCTCCATAGATTTTGAGAGTAGCTAATCTGGAAGGAGGAGATTACTACTACAACCTGTTGTTTCTTGCATTTTTTACGTGCTAGATGGGCTGTTTTGGTATAATTAAATTTAGGATAAGTTCCATCCAGGGTTCTTGGAGTCGGCTAGTAATTGCTAGGTCCCTCAATGATATCTGCTTCAAGTGTACTCCACTTTTGTCATTTGCAGGTATGGGATGTTGTCTACTTGAGTTTCTGCGTCATCTCGAAGTCCAAGTTTGTGCAAGTAGTTGTCAGTCATCACTTCCTTTAGTTTCTGTATCATCTTGAGTTTCTTCCCTACTGTTCTTTTGAAACTGAAAGTCCCTGCTGCTTTCAGAAAGTGGTGATACAGAAACTATTAGGATGTTCCAGGCTTTTCTACACTGTTTGGTTATCTTCCTCCTGTTGATGGATAAGCTCAATTAGTCCAACTGTGTTCTATTCGAAGAAAACACCTAGGGTCTGCCCCTGCTTCCATCTGTAACACTGAGTAGTGGGTTTTTTTTTAAGTTTGCTTCGCTACTTCGTCTCTTCTGAGTTGGTTGAAAGGGTCAGGTTGGGAATTGGGGTCAGTTGGACATTTGGTTTGAAGTTTGAAGAGTGACTTAAAAATTTAGAACTTCTTTGAAGGGATTTAATGGTTCGTCTTTTGCAAAGACAATTTTAATGGAGTGGAGGAATTCGAAAATGTTTATTAACTTTAGATGTAATATCAGAACCTTGGATTGGTGTCATGAAAATTTGAGGGTCGGCGCTGAAGGTTTGTACTTTAACGGTGATGATGCTATAGAGGTCTGAAGTCAATTAAGTTTGGAGTTTAGCAGTATCAGTCTGTTGTTTGGTTTTAGGGTTCCTTAATCTCAGGTTTTCTTGGCTGTTTGATACCATGTTTTACTCTTTTACATCTCTTTGTTTCCATCTTTGAATTGAAAGGGGATAAACAACAAATAATGAATTGAGTTCCTTGCCTATATTTTCATTCCTCAAGGTTATTTGTCCATTATTTGGTCAGTTTGGAACCACTAGAAACGTGTTTGATTGGTAAAAGATGGATTTTTATATTGGGTTGGGGCTGTTGCAGGGTATGGATTCAGGTAAAGGTGAAATTGTCATGGGTGGCAATTGGATCGGATTCGTGAATTCGTGGATTGGATTGGTGGATCCATGGATCAAATGGATTGGATCCAATGGATTGGTGGATTCATGGATTGGATCAAATGGATTGGTGGATTGATCCATGAATCCAAATGACATCCAAGGCTTGGACCAAAATGTAAATTTTGAAAAGTTTAGGTACTAAAATGTCATAATGAAAAATTTTAGGTACCAAAATGTGATTTTTCAATGATTTTTTTCGTATAAAAATATAAATTTTAGGTACCAAAATGTAAAATATAAAAAATATAGGTACCAAATCGTAATTTGTCATCTGGATCCATGGATTGATCCATGAATCCACCAATCCAATTGGATTTGGATTAAATGGATTGGATTTAAATGGATTGGATTAAATGGATAATTTGGTGGATGGATTGGATTGGATTGGATTTATGGATTTGGATCCTAATTGCCACCTCTAGTTGTGAATGAGAAGCTTCAACTCCAAGATTATAGTCTTGAGAGTTGGATTCAGCAAACGATGGCAATTTAATGCAGGTAAGGAAATTTGTGTCTCTTTGTTTGCTCTGGTGCGAGGGTTTTGTTTTCGTGATAAATTGTCATGTTTGGAAATAATGCACATCAAGGATTAGGATGAAAACAAGTATTTTACGTTATTCTTGAACACTCAGTCACTTGAAACTGTCGAAAGAGCGGCTACCGGTGGCGGAGACATTGACCTCTATTTCATGAGGTGATTCCCGTATGCCTTTTTATCCTCCTAAAACTGTTTCATTTCTTTTTGGTTGGTTGCTTTAATTTATGGTCTCATCAACGACAGTTGAGTTGACTTTGTTTATCTTAGCTAATTGGTCTATATACTGTATTGGGGTGCAAACTGAAGCTATGCCACAATAAATAATATTTCATATGTTGTTAGGATCTTTTAATCCAACCCGACTTAGTTTTATGTTGTAATTGTTGTGAAATTATCAGCTGTATGTTTTGATACCCCCATTGACTGGATACTATCATCATGGAGTGCAATTGGCGCGGGACACCCTCAAATCAAACTACCTCAAGCTAACTGGTGGTACATTTGCACGCCCTTGCTGGGCTGCAAGCTAGAGAGCAATGGTGGGCTGCTCACTGTAACAGTTATCTGGTCATTTTATAGACTTGGAGTTTTTTTTTTTTTTTTTTGCCTCCATGTCCAGTGAATTTGTTATATTTATGTATAGTGTTGAGGTGTAAGAAACCGGTTGGTGAACACTAGAGCTCTTTCTTTGTGATGTAAGATAGCATGATAAGCATTCGTTGAGCATTATAATGTTCAGTCCTACTCCTCATGTATCATATCTATCATGGAAATTGTTGGTGTTGTTCGGACGCTGGTCTTCCATTCTTAAACCACCATTCCGTTCTTCATTGAATATGATCCTTCAGTTATGAAAACTGCTTGGTTTTTATGTTTTGTTTAATTCAGATGTTTCTTGGCTTCATGGTTTACTATTGTTTCACACAATTATTATTGATTTCGGGCTAAATTGCATGTTTGGTCAATCAAATTATAAAATCTTTCATATTTGTCACACGAATTACTTTTCTTTCTTATTTGCCACTAACTTCACGAATCATTTCACAGTTGGTCATCGGCCGTTACACTCTTTTAAATTTTTCCTATATGACAGTCAACTATAAAGTTTGACTGTTAGCTAGATGACGTGAAAATTATACAAAAAACTAAAATATAAATTTATTTTTCCACCTCATCATTCCACTTACTTTATCTATATGATTTATCATATTAATTATTTAATAAAAATTAATTAAATTACAAAAATTAATAATCCAATTTCCCGGGAAGACGAAGTGTCGGAGGCGAGCCGATTCTCTAAATATCAGTCGCGGCCAGCGTATCTCATCTTGTTGATTCGTCTTCTCATTCTCCTCTCATTCTCTTCCTCTCGCCTTGTTTGGAGAATCAGCTGGAGATTTCAAGAACTATAATCAGTGGGAGCACTCCTATCTAGCACTGCGATTTCGACTAAGTCAACGACGATGTTGAGAGAGTCGAAGGAATCGAGTAGAGATTCTTGAGCGACTTCCGCCCAAGATCAACACTCATATCTTCTCTTTAGGGGTGTCAGTCGGTCGGTTTGGTTTTAACCAAAAACTGAATTCTCGATTATCGGTTAAACCGAGCCACCACCCCCTGCTTCCGACCACCGACCGTGAGAGACACTACGGCTAACCGACCACCGACCGTTCGGTTATCGGTTTTGGGTCGGTTAGTCGCGTACCCGAAAAATACTCCCTTCTCTTCAAAAAATTCATTAAAAATTATTATAAAAAAACACGAAAATCCCCCATCACTAAAACCTTATCTCCTTCCTCCTTCTCTCTCCTTCCTTTCTCCATTCAAACCCACCAGGCTACCACTCCTTCCTTCTTCCATTTCAGATCTGGACAGCACACGGAGAAGCAGAGGCACAACGGCGGCGAGTGGAGGTGGATGTCAGGCCGGTGCGGTTGGAGATTCGAGGAAGAGAAGCAGGAGAGAGCGCATGCGAACGGCGGAGCGAAGGGTCGGGGTCGTCGCCGGGGTCGTAGGGTGGAGATGCAGAGGTCGACGGGGGGCGAGATGAAGTTGTTGCTGGGCTGGTGGCCTACTCCGCGACGGGAAGGAGGCGTAGGCGGAGGCGTACGACGCGACGCTTACCGCGATGGGAAGGAGGCGGAGGGCGAGGTGCAGGGAGAGGCGAGGCGGCAGAGGCGAGGTGGATGGTGACGTGGCGGCGGAGGCGAGGTGGATGAAGGGGGGATAGTTTTGTTGAGTTCGCAATTTAGGGTTCGATGAGGAGAGTGGAGGTGGAGGTGATGGACAAAATTTTAGGGAAGGTTAAGTGGGTCTCGGTTGGGGCCGGTTAGTCGCATAATCGCGGTTAATCACCGTCGGTTACTCGGTCAACCGACCACTTCCTTTTCCCAGCTGACCACAGACCGCCAAGGTAACTGGACGATTTTCGGTTAGCTGGTAACCGGCTGGTTTCGGTTACAACCGACGGTTACTTGCTAACCGACAACCAAAATGCCAGCCCTACTTCTCTTCCTCTACCGAAAGGAAAATTGGATAATTAATTTTTATAAAATAATTAATATGATAAATCGTATAGAAAAAGTAGGCGGAAGGATGAGTGGAAAAATAAATTTATTTTTGGTTTTTTTAAATTCCACATCATCTAGTTAACAGTCTCACTTTTTAGTTGACTGCCACGTAGGGAAAATTTAACAGAGTGTAACGACCGATGACCAACGGTTAAACAATTTGTAAAGTTAGTGGCGAATAAAAAAAACAATTTGAATGACAAATGTGAAAATTTTGTATAGTTTGAGTCAACAAAAATATAATTTAGCCACTAATTTCCGTTTCCCAAAAGTCCCTCCAACTCCTCCGTCATCCGCAAGTCGAAAACCGCCAACCTTTGTTTGCTCATTTTGCAGGTGAAGTTTCAATTGCAAAATAATCATTTGGTGGCGACTTTGTCATGTCCACTAGATGGCCTTTTGATGAGATTTGATGGAGCACTGTTGCGAAATAGGGGAGGCAACATTGGCATTGTGGTGTTGCTGTTGCTGAACCGGTTTTTGGAATGCTACCATTGAGTCGTGCTTCTCGAGCGAAAGAAGCTGGCGCCATACTTTTCCTGAAGTTTGTATCCTTTTGATGATTTGATTGTTTTTATCATTTTTTTCTTAGGAACTAATAGAGCTGTTCATTTCGTGACAAAAAAGGCTCTTTCATCGACAATTCAATTAGTATTGACTGTCGCTTTTATTTTTCAATCTTTGTAATAAACTATCTTACTATTCTATCTATGGCAAACAAAAAAAAGCAGACTCTTCTCTGCTATGTCAATCGTGTGCAATTTGTTTGGTTGCCTTTGTATAGTAGGTCCTTTTTTCTATTAGTATGGGAAATCTTCTAATTATTAAAAGCCCAAGCAACAATCATTGTTGCTTACGAAAAAACCGGGCCGTATAAGCAAATTGCTCCAGCGGCACTGTTCAAGTTTTTATCGCCAACTTTCATTTTCACCATAAGCTCATTTTTATGTTGTATTAGAACTACTATACCACACATAAGGATTTACGTAACAATGTTCTATAAGAGTTACGTACATTACAAATACATTATGTAAATCATATAGTGGGATGGTTATTTTTTAATTATCAATTGAAAACAAACGTGTTGTATAACTTTTCTAAGGTTAGCTATTTCTAACATAAAATTCTAACCGAATATGATACTTTCCGTTTGATTTTATTATTAGACCCCACATAAAAATTTACATAACAATTTTCTATAATAGTTAGTGTACATTACAAATACATTATATAAACCTTACAATGAGATAACTACTTCTTAATTATCAATTGAAGACAACGTAAGGGATTATTTGTTATTATGTATCAATTGAACGTAAGTTTTTCATATTATTATTAACTAGATTGTTAACCATTTCATCCATTTGCATTACACGAAAGTTATGTAAGGTAAGTTATTTTTTACATAACCGCTTAATCAAATCTTACATTTTTCATAGCTTAATTTTTTATTATTAGTTATAGTTCCTTCACTATTGACTAAAACATTCACCATGTCATCACTTTATATTACAAAATGATTTTGCAATGTTAATTAATTTTTACATAACAGTTTGATCAAATGTAATACTTTTGATGACTTGATTTTATTTTATTGGTAGACCACACATTACGAAAGATTTACATCACAATGTTCTATAATAATTATGTAAATAAAAAACAAATAATGTATAACTTATGGAGTGATAGTAATTTTTATGAATCACTTGAACAAACTTATGGCGAAGTGATTCATACATTAAGTAAAGTTTATGAATATATCTTACCCGGTTTTTGTAAATTAATTGATTTCAAATAAGATTATTAAATATTAAAAAATATATAATTAGTTTCTTACCGCTGCGAAGCGCTGGCCAAAAAGCTAGTAACATATTATAACAAATGAGCTTATTTTTATTTTGTAGATAGTTAGTTATGTTGTATATTCACTGTTTCACAGTTAGTGTTGTATTATATATTTTACATCATGTTTGTTGTTTGGTTAGAGCATAAACTTCATGTTTCAAATGCATTATCCACCAGAACTTGTGATTTAACACGTGGTCATATTAAGAATTGTAAAATCATATTAAAGATACCGGATAACTAAGGCAACGTATTATCAAACAAAAAGGGGGCAAAGTACCATCATAATTACGGAAAACATAAGCATATCAAATAAATTTGAACCTCTTAAGTGACCTACCTCGTGTAAAGCTAGCCAGTGGTTTAGTGCACTTCAAAATTTCAGATACTTATTTTGCTACAATTGTAACTCACCAAAATCTAGTGAAAAGAGTGTTTGTTTCCTCCCGTAGCTATCAGGGTTTGTAACCAACCAAAATATAATGCTTGTGAGCTACTGAGCTCTCAACAATTCATGTGCCCAAATCACTCTGCATGTGGAAAAATTGTTCCAAAGATTATAAGCATCATTTGTTCTCCTCTAGGAAACTAGCAGAGTGATTTGGGCACTTGAGGCCCGATCAGCAAGGCAACCCAAGAGGACCACCTGCAGTTGCTCTCCGCAGCCCACATTTATATAGGGTCGTTCTTGTTTTAGGTATCTCTCGCTACTTGAGTTTGATTGATTTAGATAGAACGATCCTTTGCTTTCTTTGTGTTTACACAGTCATTGAGTCATCCTTGTGTTTGGAAGCTCCATTCATACCGTTTGAGTTTAGATGAGGTTCCACATGAGTGATTGTGCATGGTTTTGCTAAGAATGTGAAGTGAGTGTGGAGGTAGGTCTTAAAAGTGAGCATTGTTCCTTAAGTTCAAAAATGTGGCATGTGTATATAGCTCTCTATATACCCCAAAGAAAAGAGAAAAGAAAAGCAAAAGAAAGAAAAAAAGTTAATAAAAGGGCAAAGAAGAAAAGAGAGTGGCCACCAAAAATATAATAAATGTTGAACATGCTCTTAGAAGTGTTTCTTGGCATGCCAGCTATATAAACACATACATGTTGTTAACCTCTACACTCTTGTGCTTGAAATTGACTAGTAAATGTAGAAGGAAAGTATGTATGACTTGGTTTGGGATTGATTGTGGTTTGGAATTGAGAGAAGTGTGGTTTTTGTGCCGATGCTATTGGTCGTTGATTATAGGAAAGGTTCTTAGTCGAAACCATAAAACCTTTAGTTGGTTTTAGGTTGAAGATGTGGAACCTCATGTTGTGTTTGCCACCACCCAAATAGCTTTTTTCCATGCCCTAGACCCTAGCCAGTCATTTTGAACTCGTGACTAAGACCTCGGGACAAGCTAGCAACGACACCCATATTGTGAGTTCTAACATTTAGAGGTTACTGTCATGGTAAAGTGACATTAGGATTGAGCGTGAATATGCACATCTTTTGCGTCAAATGGTCCTAACCCCAATGGTCGAGAGTGAGTGATTCATTCATCATGTTTTGTTCATTTCTTATACCCTGACGAGAACCTAGGTTGCTTGATCGTTCGTTCCTATGATGTGATCTTCACGCCTGAGTGATTGTGATTGGTGAGTCGTGGAAACACGTTATGTTTTGGTTGATAAATAATGTGAGAACTCTTCATTGGCACAACCTTAATACAGTTGAATGTCGTTGGCGGTGGTTTCCAAGATTACTTTGTTTTTGTCCATAGGTCGGTGTCCAATAACCATTGTGATTCATTCGTTTTGTACCCTATGACATGCCCCAAAAATTTTATTGAAAAAGAAATTGTAAGCTTACCATGTTTTGTACTTGGTTTGCTTGGGGACAAGCAAACGTCTAAGTGTGGGGGAGTGATTTGGGCTCAAATGTACACATTTTACCCCTCATTACTTATCCGTTACGCTTAGTAGATCACCGTCTTTAGACCTATTTTATGCTACGTTGTGCTTGTTTTGTTTCATTTCAGGTCCTAGCATGCGTGGGAAGGTCCTGAACGAGTTTTGGGTCATTCGGAGGTCAAAACGAGCCAAAAAGTGGAGGTTGAGCCCTGTTCAAACCGTGAAGTGACCAATTTCCAGCACGGTTCTACAGGTTACTGGCTTCAAGTCAGTTCACAGTCTCTAAGACCGTGAACTGAAAGCCCAAATCGTGAAGTCGTCAGTTTACTATCTCTAAAATCGTGAATTTATCAACGCGGCCATGAACTAAGGTCTAAGACCGTGAACTGGGCCTTGTCGGGAAAATATAAAGACAATAGCGGAGAGAGAGAAAGGAGAGGTGGTTTTTGGAGAGGAATTACTTTCTTTCTCTTGGGTTTCAACCCAAAACACCAAAGGGGAGTTCTAGTGAGAGAAAGAGAGAGAGAGAGAGAGAGTTCTTGAGTGATCTTGGAGCTTAATTGAAGGCATTGATCAAGTTTGGAAGCAAGGATTCAAGCCTAGAAGAAGAAGAAGATCTTAGGCTCCAATTTGTAATCTCTCTCTCCTCTCTCTAGAAACCCACCATCTTCTCTTGGTTTAAGAACCCTAGGTCTAGATTTTGGTTTTATCTTGATTTATGTGACAAATTTCATGTTTAATTGATGAGTTTACTTAATTGATGGATGGTTTCATGAATGATATGAGTGTGGTTTCCATTTTCATACATTAACCTTTTGACCTAGGAGGGAGAAAATCGCCTTAAAACCATGGTAAAGAAAACCGGATCGTACCGGCCGGTTGAACCGGTAAAACCAGAAATCGGAGCACGGACGACACGGTAGGCTGTTTGTGGGCATAATATCGTGCCGGCCGGTTTATCCGGTTTAAACGGCACAATCCGAAATACCGCCCGGTTTTGGTCTAACCGGGGTAGGCTTTTGGGAAGGGAACATTGTCGTTTTTTACCAAAAAAAAAAAAAAAAGAAATCGGCCGAAGGCCAAAATTCAAAACCCTATCTCTAAGGCAAATCGTACGAAACGAAAAACAGGAGCATTCTTTTCTTTCTTCCCAGCGGCTGCCGACCAGGAAGAAACCCCATCGCTCTTCCTCTTCTCCAGTTCTCCTCTGGTGACCGGCGACTAGTAACCGCCGAGCCGTGACCAGCAAATAGGAACCGCCGATGTGTGACCAACGACCGGCGGCGAGTCGACCGGCCGCGATCCCTGCTTTGCTCCGCTCCAGCGACCGCCGACCTAACTGGCGACCAGCGATCCCTACTCCGCTCCGTCGCTCCGCTGCTCCTCTCCCCCGTTGTGCTACTCCTCCCCGCCGCTTTGCTACTCCTCTCCGCTCCTCCTCGACGGTCGCCAACGCAAAAGCTTTCTTCTTCTCCTGCAAACTAGTGTTGTCACAGTGTTGTTTTGGATTATAAGTTCTTCTGTTAAGAGATCTTTGGGATGAGAAAATATTGATTTGGCTATTGCATGGAGAAATTGATAAAAAAAAAGAGAGGAGAAGAACAGAGCTTGACACTGCTCTCTGGATAGCCGAAGAAGAGGGAGAAAGAGAGAAGGGAAGGTTGTGGTGGGTGGACGGTTGGTGTCTTGGTGAATGGCAGGGAAGGGATAAGGGAATGTGAAAGAAAAGAAAAAAAGAATAGTGAAACACTTAGATAAACAATAAAATATAATAAATAATTTTTTCAAAAGAAAAGACAATAGATATTTATTTTGACTAAAGTATTAGAGTTATTTATTAGTGAAATTAACAAAAAACAATTCACTCTATTTGTATGAAAATATATAGTGTACTATTTTACATTCCGGTATATTCCAGTTTATTCCGATATTATTCCGAGACGGTATCCTGAATTTGTCGGTACGGTTTTTTAACAAAAAATATTATTTAATTACAGAAACGGTATTTTACCGGTACAAAACGGTTGAACCACGGTCGTACCACAAAATACCCCACCACAGACAAGTCCGGTTTGACTTCCGGTACGGTTTCCTTTACCATGCTTAAAACCCATTCTTGGCATCTTTGGGTCACTCCTCACCTTAAATCGTCCGGGTAATCCCTGAGAGAGTCGATTTGTTAGAAACCGATTTCTGTAGGGTTTCTATATTTATTATTATAGTTATTTGTAGGGTAATTTTATTTATGGTTAGTAGTCTTTTAGTACAATTAAGTTTATTAGTAGGGTTTCCCGACATTCCCTATAAATATGTACTTTGTGATTCATTAGTGGGCAGCCAAGAAGAATATTAAGAAAATCCTTAAACCCTATTCTCTCCCAACTCCTCTCAATTTCTCCTCTATCCCTAATCCGGTCGTCGGCCATTCTTTTTCGTTCTTCCCCAAATTCTACTTCTTAATCCCTAATTCTATTCTTTAAATCTCTCAATCTCCAATTATCAAACCACTTAGAAACTTTGTTTCTAACATTTGGTATAAGAGCCCGGTTCGAGAATTGAGTTCATCACAACTCTCAATCGGGGAAGAGTTCTACAACTGGTTTGATGATGAGCTCTTCAAGGCTCTCGGACCTATCATGAGCAGAGCTGCGGGAACAAGCTCGTCGCATCGGTCGTCGTTGGAGCTCCAAGGATCTGCCGCTCATATAGGAAGAGGTGGCAGCCGAGGCGGCCGACGAAGCACTACCTCCACAGCTGGCCCAGGCAGACGCGAAGCACAGAGGTGACGACGCGGCGGAGGGGCAGCCGCCGACCGCAGAGGCTGGCGATCCTGACGAACCCGGAGGGCAGCCTCCCGAGACAAGCGCCGCGGACGACGACATTGTGGGAAGCCAAGCAGGCGGGGAGCAGACGCCAATAGGTTTCCTGCAGTCCACTGCGGGTTCACCCTCGAAACAGCTTGCAACTTCTGAACTGTCACTCAAGGCGTCCAGGCAGTTGGCGTTGAACAAGGAAGAAGACTCAGGAGAAAGACCTGACGCGACAAGGGCGGTAAAATCCCCGTCTTTGTTTTCCGTCTCAAGGGAGAAAGATGATTCCGTGGATGACGGCGCAGCGGGAAACCAGCAGCTGACGGCACGGTTTGACTCGACGAGGAACAACGAGGACCCCGCGCAGGAGACCCAGCAGAAGGGGAAGGTAAGCGAGATTATCGGAGTAGACAGTCAAATCACGGTGACGATCGCGACCATGCTATTTCTTTCTCATCCGGCTGCTCAATTTGTTACAGCCGAAGAGAAGGTAACGTCTTTCCCATCCTCTCAGAGCGGCTCGTTCTTCCTCATCATCACGATCAAACAAACACGCCCAACGAAAGAGGGCGTGCTGAATCAGCCATCAAATAAAGAAGAAAAGAGAGTTCCGGTCGGGCCGTCAGGCATCTGGAGGGTGTGGTCAATCACCACAATGCCACCGTGGCCGCCATCATCACTAGAAGAGATGTCTGGTCGCGCTAACGCTGCAGATTTGTGGCTGGTAATTGACTTTCCCAGTCCTAGAGCTGAAGCTCATGTTAATAATTCCAGGGGAATCACAGTTGTTGATGTTGCAAGGATGAATGAAGTAGCTGATGAGCTTGGCGATAAAATAGGCATTAAGCCTCCACATAGGGTGCTCTGGTTGGGACTTCCAGGATGTGGGAAGACTCTATCTTGCAAGGCTATAGCAAGTGTTTGGTTTGACCAAATGGAGGGATGTGAAGTTGCTAAAGCCTTATTTGGTAATGGTTTTGTTCAAATCCGAGACCTTTTCGAGAAAACCATGGTAGATGAATCCTTAGTTCTATTTATTGAGGAAGTTGATGTCTTGGCAAAAAGGTGTCAAGAGATCTTTAAGCATTCTCGTGGCCACCTTTGTCAAGCTGCCATTCAAGAGAGGAAAGTAACGTGTGGCCGCGTTGCGAGCTGGAGGTTTAGGAAGAAAAAGATCAAGCTGCAACTCAGTCATCCCATGGTTAGTGGGGATGGCGTTCATGTCAGGATAGCTGGTTGTTGGCTACTACATCAAAATCGTCTGGGCCCTACTGAAAGTGTGTTATAAGGGCACGGCGATGGAGCTAGGATATCAGGAGGGATGGGTGTGAATGCCAAAATTCCGGATCAAGTATGGTCATTGCCAACACCCCCGCTCGTCTCTGTCATAGTCACACCATCGCATGCTGCAGCCGAAGAGAACGAGATTTCTGCCACTCAAGTGGACACTACGAAGTCGAGCTTGGTCGAGTTCCAAGATGCTGAAATAGAGGCACGTTCTCCGTGGGATGCCGCCGTCACTGCAGTTGTTGCACAAGTAGTTGCCGCCCCGTGCGTCGTTGTGGAAACCTTTGTGGAGCGCTCCATTCCCACCCCACAACTAATGATCGATAAACATGAGGTGTCCGCTTATGCTAGTGGATGCATGGCTTGGTCAGTGTGGCAATGGGGGAGAAATGTCAGGGAGCCTAGCCTTACTACAAGGCCTAACATTCTGGTGATAAGGACTGGTTTAATTGGTAAAATAATTGGGGTAGATGTGATTGTAGTGGTGGATGCGAAGCTTGAAATGAACATGGTTGGGAAGGGAAATTCTATGGGAGCCTTGTTGGAAGAATTCAAGGAATTGTCCTTGAAATGTGAAGGGTTGCAAGGAAGTAAGATTGAAGAGCTATTGTGGGTGGGTAACATGGGCAGTACTCGTTTTCGGGAGATGGGAGGATGGGAGTACTTAATGGGACTATGTGCTAGTTTGAACAAGGAATTGAAGTTGTCACTTCAACGCAATTGGAAAAAAAGGAAGTGGAAGATACGGAGCAGTCGAGATGAGGCGAAGAAGTGGGCCAAATCGATCAACCTTGAGGGCAAGGTTGGTCTGAAGGGGGAGGAGATGTTAGAAACCGATTTCTGTAGTGTTTCTATATTTATTATTATAGTTATTTGTAGAGTAATTTTATTTATGGTTAGTAGTCTTTTAGTACAATTAAGTTTATTAGTAGGGTTTCCCGATATTCCCTATAAATATGTACTTTGTGATTCATTAATTTCTCCTCTATCCCTAATCCGGTCGTCGGCCATTAATTCTTTCTCGTTCTTCCCCAAAGTCTACTTCTTAATCCGTAATTATATTCTTCAAATACCTAAATCCCCAATTATCAAACCCGTTAGAAACTTTGTTTCTAACACGATTCCATCAATCTCCTACGATATAGGGTTGCCCTAGGTTGAATAGAGCATACCCCATTCATGGATTCGCCGTTCTGGGTCATTCCCGCGGGAGTCCATCTCCTAACTGTAGAGTATTTGAGTTGATTGAGCTAGGAGGATACTCAACAACGATCCAAAGGATGAAAATAGGGGGATTCAACCCAAGAGAGCTCCCAACCTTTTAAATAGTTAGGTTAGTCACTACAACAAATTCGGCCTATTAGGACAAATTTTTTATTTTGTCATCTTCTGTTTGTCACAATAGGTATGGTAATATGACAAAAATAAAATATGTCCTATTTGGTATGCCTAATGTGACAAAAATATTGTTGTCAGAATAATTCGTCATTTAAAGTGAGTAATGTGACAAATATTTCGTGTCACAAATAATTTTGTCAAAATAGGCGTCTCATATCGGGATGTAAGAGATTCAACTGTGACAAATTTTTTGTTGTCAGAATAGTTTGTCATTTGAAGTGAGTAATGTGACAAATATTTCGTGTCACAATTAAGTTTGTCAAAATAGGCATCCCAAATCGAGATGTAAGAGACACAAAAGTGACAAATTATATCGTCAGAGTAGCTTTTGCCATATTATTCCTCAAAATAAAAGGTTAGTTTTTAACTTTTTGACTCTCAAATTTTATTACGCCCGCCCAAAGTTCCCTCCTAAGTCCCAGTCAAATTTTATTAAGCCCGCCCAAAGTTCCCTCCCAAGTCCCACCGAAATTTCCCTCCCTGCCTTCCTCATTTATTTCATTTATTTATATCTGGTGTTGGGTTGAAGAAACAAATAATAATAAAAGCAAATAAACCCTAGCAGCCATGATTCTCTCCTCTCGTCTCACACTATCACCCTCTGCCTCACCCTTTCAGAAACACCTCCGCCGTTCTCTTCCTCCACATTCGTCCGTCCTTCACGCACCAAAGGACATCGTCTTCTCCGGTAACCCGTCCGAGCTCCCAGATCCATCGCTCAACCTTCCTCCCACTACACCGAGAGACACTTCGGGTCTCCTCCATCTTCCAACCATTGAATCCTCCTTTCAGCCGCCAACCATCGCTTGTCGCCTTTTTCTCTCCACATGTCTACCTCAACCACCACTTTAACCCCATCTTCCTCTGCCTGTAAACCCAGAAACATGCTCCCTCGCAACTTCAAAGGCTCAAATAGATCGAGATGCAGATGGTAGATCCAGATCGGGGGTGCTTGGCACGATAGGCAGATACAGATTGGGGATGGATTTGTCCAATTTCGATTCCCCCTTCTCACTTTCTTCTCTTTTGCTGGGGAAATCAAAGAGAATGGAAGGTATGTTTTGTGGGTTGTATTTTTTATTTTCAATATGAAGTTTGATTTTGGAAGATTTGATTTTGATTTCGTTTTGTTCTATTTTCTTATTTGGGTGTTTAGTTTTCAGCGAGGGGGGGCAAGTTCTAGAGATGGGGTTTTGGGATTGGAAGAAGATAGGTTTTTTGGCTTCTTGAGATGGGTGAGGGGATGGGTTCTCGGCGGTCGTGGAAGTGAGGAAGAAGAGATTGGAAGAAGATGAAATTTGCATTTTCTGGGTTTGGATTTGGGGTTTCTTTTCTGGTTTGTTTTATTTCTTGTTCGTTGTAGGCGACGGCTCCAACAGCAGGCAGGAGAAGGATGCGTTGTCGGCGCGACGGAAGTGAGGAAGAAGAGTGTATTGTCATCAACGGCAGGGGCAGGGGCAGAAATGATTTCCTGGGTTTGGGGTTTTTCTAGATGGCACTGTATTTTCTGGGTTTTGGGAATTTTTTTCTATATGTTACAAGAATATTGATCTTTTCAACTATATGTTATTCAATATATTGATGAATAAATCATATTGGTCACAATATGCAATTATGAAAAAATATGTTCGTCCTAATATACAGTTATGACAAAATATGTTCGTCAAACATGCATTTATGACAAAAAATTGTTCCTCACAGTTATGTGATATCAAAATATAATGGTATAATTTGACGAACAATTCTGTCAAAATAAGCAAATTATGACAAAAATAATGACAAAATATATCTTCATAACATCTCGGTTTGTCACAATAGATTACCCAGAACCTCAGTTATACTGAAAGCGAATGTGACAACCTTGTTTTAAACTTTTGTCACATTTGACCTATCTTGACGGTGATAAAATGACAAACCTTTGTGACAACACCTTTTGTCATATTATACCTAATATGACAAAATCGGTATCTAATATGACAAAATTTCCTCGTCATAATAGGCCGAATTTGTTGTAGTGAGTGGTTAGTTAGGTTAGTTAGTTTAGTTTCCCTAATCACTACTCTAGATTGGCTAGATAACGAACCATAAACCTGAAGTAGGGTAAGTCTAGATCCCCGTTGCATGATAAATTATTATTGCTTGCTTGCCCTATGCTACACCCGGTCGGCGGTTTTACTTGGCCGTCGATCGGGATGTTGTAGTTAGAACGAGTCAGTGGTCATGCTGTAGTTTTTGCAGAAGCAGCTTCTGGATGAGGTTTTAGAGAAATACTTTAAAAAAAAGCTGAGTGTTTTGTTGAAAAACTATTTGTACCGCCGAGCCCGAAAAGAAAATAGATTTTTTTATATAAGAAATCATGTAAAATTACTAAAAAAAGAATTTCTAATATAAAATATGAATAAAAATTATAAAACATAAAACGTAGTCAAAATGGATTTTGTTTGATTGTTTATTAAATAATATTTGTTTATATTTGTTAATTTTTAAAATGATAAATATGATAGAAAATTACATTTTCTTAAATAAAATATGATAAGGTTAATTATATATTTTCAAAACAGTTTTTTAATCTGAGATTCTGGTTATATGTTTTACAAAACATTTTTCATTTTTTCAAAAATAAAAAATCCTAGAAAAATAAGGGTGAAAAGGTCCACACATGAGGCCCAATCACTAATAAAAAGCCCTAACTATTTAGGTCTAACTTGTTTCCTTCTTCTGTTTTCTGCTTTCCTTCTCCTTTCGGAGTAAAGCTTCCGCATCCGATCTCACTCACAAAAAAAAAAAAAAGCTTCCGCATCCGAACTCCCAACTATATCCAAGTTCCGAGTTCTACCTGTACTGTAGGCTATAAATAAGAATGAAGGTGGAGCACGAGGGACACAATCAGTGCTACAATTCAAGTAATTATTTATTATTAAAGAATAAGAATAGACGAAGATCCTTACTTTGGCAAATTGCCGCCGGAGCTACTGGGCAAGATAGCCATCGCGCTGCTGCTTGACGAGGCGGCGAGGACCAGCGTCCTCACCCGCCGATGGCGGAGTCAGTGGAGGTACCGGCGTTGCCGAACAGCCACTTCGCCGGCAACGACATCACCAAGTTCATGCCCGATGGTTATCCAATCTCGTGATTCGACACCGTGGGTGAATTCCTGAGCTGGGTCGACCAGGTTATCCGTTGGCGAGAGCTCTTCCCTCTCCGCCCGGCCCGCACCCGGCTGCGAAACCGCCGTACCGAGTTCTCCATCGACTCTCTAGGGCTGAATTTTGAACCGGAGGATCCCCATTGCGGATGGATCGAATTCAATAAGGACAGATCCAAAACCACGGCGCCATTGGTGGATGGCGCCTGCATCTACTGCCGCTCCAAAGTCGTATCCTTTCTAAGCCGCCCGCCGCACGGAGGACTCTCCCTGAGCAGTCTTTTGTCGGGAAGAAGGCGGCAGGAGCTTCTCAAACACTTGACCCTGCGGAACTGCGACATGGACATCTTCAAGTTCCAATTCGCCAGCCCCTGCATCAATAGTTGAAGGCTATTATGAATATCTTAAAGTTCAATATATATCCAGGCCAAGAAGGAAATAACAAAATTTATTAACATATCCGCTTTGTGTTTTAAATTTTATTTATATGAAAAGGTACATGTATCCCCTCTCTCACTCCAACCCCAAATTTTCTGAAAATGGCATCCTGGTACCTCACCTCATGGTATTGCTGTTTCTCATCATCTTCTAATTGTTTCTAGTCATTGTTCGTCGACCCTTTATTACCTTCATTCAAAAAGCCTATCATCTCAAAAGTTTCAATATTCTAATACAGATACTTCTCGTATTCATCCAAACAATTTGTTGATCAGTGGTCACCATAATAAACTCATCGAATTCATCTCTTATTCTAGTCATGAGTTCTTAATCCGGTTGATTTGAACCAGGCAAGGACCTTATGTTGTCATCAATTATTTTCCATTTTTACTCTCACGTAACATATGAATGCTATTTGTAGTAAAACAACCGCTCGTTTTGTTTCGACTGCATATATTAATTTGTGAATTTTTCCTTCACAATATAATAATTCAGTAATATTTTTTGAATTTTTCCAAGTTCGCATTTTGTGCTCTAAAGCAAGAGCACTAACTCCACTGTTATATGTTTTCTAGATATAAATATATGCAACAAATTTGTTTACTGTAATTGGTTATAATCAATATTGTCAACAAAATTTAAATTTTTGACTCATTGAAGCAAATGGGTAATGATTAATGGTCAGATTGGATTAACTCAGTTTAGCAAGACTTTGCCCGAATATATGAAGGATTGTATTGGTTCCACATGCATTGTGCTTAATTATTTATAAATTATTATGGTAAATTTAGGTCCAATGATTAATTAATATTTATTCAATCACAGGGATTGAATTGACTTTATTAGTACTTTTTACATCTTCCCTTTTGAAAATTTATGTATTTATGGCCAAATTACTTGAATTTCGAAAATATGTAGATACCTATTATAGAGATCACAATTTTATTTTTAATTCTCACACTTATAGGGATTGGTATACTAAACAGAACTTATGTCTGAACACCAAGCTATACTTACAAAATACATTCAATACTCGATTGTGGTTAATTGAAACTGAGTGCACCACCACAAATTATGATTTTCTTTTCCTAAATTATGTTGGACTTGGTTGCTTGATGACTTTCAACCAAACACTCGATGCTTAGTTGATAATTCTCAATCCTCCAAGGCGGTACTACATGTTCTTAACATTGAGCAACTTTCGAGTCCAAAAAACCAACTTTCATCATCACACCAATAGTTACCCAAAACAAATTGTTAAGAACATCAATAAAACTTCTTTAAAATACCCACTTAATCCCTGGTAATACCGTAATAGATTCTCATTTCGTAATTAAACCCCCTGTAAGGAAGTGGTTAAGCACCATACACGGGCCTGTATAAGATCCAACATAACCTTCTCCCAACAACTCGAGTTATTGGGATCAACTGGTTTATGACATATTATCAGAGCTGGTTTGTCCTTGAGGTCACGTGTTCAAGTCCTCACGACCCCCAATATTAATCGTTGTCTTTCAAACACATGGTATGGCGGGCCTGTGCAAACTTCAAGCCCATGAGTCGGCTTTCGTTTGAGGGGGCGTGTAAGGAAGTGGTTAAGCACTATACACGGGCCTGTATAAGATCCAACATAACCTTCTCCCAACAACTCGAGTTATTGGGATCAACTGGTTTATGACACCCCCACTACGATAAGTCAAGTCATCGGCTAGTGTCCAACCTCATAATAAAAAAATATGTGACCAGACCCAATTTAATTTGCTCACAAAAATAATTACTTACAGAAACTACTCTAATGCCATGGGAAAAATAAAAACATAACAAAGTATACTATGATATCAAATCCACTATTACCAATGAGAAATAGATTAATTATCAAAGGGCATGACTCAGATATATCAAAATAGTATCATAGAAAATAGTTAAATCACAAAGTAATCCGATCAGCTGGAGATCATGTTAAAATATACTCAAATTTTATAACAAAACAACTCTCAACCAACTATAGATGTCATAAGAGTAAAAGTACAAAAATACTTCTAAAGTATTGAACGAATGATTTAGAATATCGTATATATTTAATATTATGAATAATAAAACGAAACCGCAAAATTACATTGGGAAAATGATAAAAAAATAAAACCCAGAATATAATGGTCGCTAGATGATATCTACTTTTAACCAATGTTTTAGATACCACACCTTATTGGCCGATCAGAGTGAAAAAACCGGATACCAGTTACAGATGGTTGATGATTATACCGATCTGAGCATTTGAACAAAGGTCAAACTACGATTTAATACAAAGTACACTATCACTAACTTTCTGGTATAAATCCAATATGATCTGTCCCATACACGATCTGAAGTACATCTGAAAATCATGAACCAAATTTGCTTCTTCTTTTACCACTTCGGCTAGATCCCAAGTGCTGATCACATCAGGATAAAGTTTAGAATAGGACAAATCTTCACCCCCTTCCTTCATATATTACATCACCGCCAGCCTTTGTAAAGTTGCCTCTAACATGAAAAATCATTGTGGGACTGGGATTATCCATTCTTGACCCTACAGATAAGTTTTCAACCATAAATTACACACCCACCAACTTAAAACAATAAAGTATTTATAAGGGGAAATTAAAGTAAAACTTTACCTACGGCTACAGGTGAGAACTAAAGCAAAAGATGTCAAATTACAAAATCAATATTTAAACCCTAGGTTGTCGTTTCTACAAGTCAAAACAATGAATTTTAAAAGCAGCAGCTTACCTTAGGTTGTCGTCTTCTACAGCTTAGAATGACATAATAGGGTTTAGGGTCCCACTATGATTTCTCGGAAAAGTCGGACGGACGGAATGTGGCTAGGGCAGGAGATAATAAATATACGGAGGCTGAATTTGCCGTCGTCGGGTGGACGACGACAAGGGGATGGCGACAATGGAATCGGGAGGAAGATGGGACGTGAACGGGAACGGGAACGGGAATGGGGATGCAAGCAGATGGTTGATTTCCCGAAATCAAGCTGGAGAGAAACTGAAAAGGTTTAAGATAAAGAGAGGGGCATTTTCGACACTTCCCCTTCTATTAGGTCGCCCAAACCGTGGTTTGATCCCGGTTAACGGTTTTCAGCCGCTAATTATAACGGAGGGGCATATTTGATGATGGATTTATACTACAGGGGCAAGTTTGATAATAGAAATAGTAAGGGGCATGTTTGATAAAAGTGCATAGTATAGAGACATATTATACCTATAACCCAATATTATATCAAAATAACATGTCATACTTAAATCCAACATATAGTGAAAATTCAAACACACTTATATAACATCATTATTCAAATGTGCAACTTAAAATTTGAAAGATTGGGTTAGACAAAAAAGGGTAACAGGAAATTAGACGCATTTTTCAAATTAAAGGAAAAACAAAGCGGGTCAACCCAAAGTTTGAAAATAGGTCAATAAAAATGAGAAAGAAACAAAGCCTAAATAAAATTAATATTTTAAAATGCCCACTTTGTATAATTATAGAGATATTCACTACCAAAGTTATAAATTAAGTTTATAGCTTTAGCAAATAACGGTTGGGCCAAATAGAAAAAGAAAAGGAGTTTCAGATGCGGTTAAAAGGCTAAGTGCGGTTGGGCCCAAATAAAAAAAAAACGGAGGGAAGGAAATTCCCAAAATGGGTCTCCGAAAGTTCCTCTCTGCGCAGGAATTTTTGAATGGTGGGATAGTTTTTCTCATTTGACTTTTATTTATGTGTAGAGATTCAATATTCGTCTCAACTCCTTCGACCAACGAATCGGTTATAAGCTACTATTTTTTGGATCGTTTGACAAGTAAACTATAGGTTTGGGCTACGAGATGGGCCAGAGCCCAGAAGAATGGAGTTGGGGGAGACCGGCTCTGAGGTTTGGGTTTGACTTGTTTCTTTCTTCTGTTTTTTCTTTTCCTTCTCCTTTGGGATTACAGATTCCGACTCCGACTCCGAAGTCCGAACCTGCTTCCAAGTTCAAGTTCTATCTGTAAATATGAACGAGTGTTGAACAGGGGAGGGAGACACCATCTCGAATTCACGATCTGTGTTTCAAGCTAATAACAATTTTAGAGAATTGAGAATGGACGGAGATCCTTACTTTGGCAAATTGCCGGCGGAGCTACTGGGCAAGATAGCCATCGCGCTGCCGCTTGACGAGGCGGCGAGGACCAGCGTCCTCTCCCGGCGATGGCGGAGTCAGTGGAGGTCGCCGGCGTTGCCGAACAGCCACTTCGCCGGCAACGGCATCACCAAGTTCATGCCCGACGGTTACCCAATCTCGTGCTTCGACACCGTGGGTGAATTCCTGAGCTGGGTCGACCAGGTCATCCGCCGGCGAGAGCCCTTCCCTCTCCGCCCGGCCCGCACCAGGCTGCGATACCGCCGTACCGAGTTCTCCATCGACTCTCTGGGACTGAATTTTGAACCGGAGGATCCCAATTACGGATGGATCGAATTCAATAATGACTGATCCAAAACCACGGCGCCATTGGTGGACGGCGCCTGCACCTGCTGCCGCTCCAAAGCCGTGTCGTTTCTAACCCGCCCGCAGCCACAGCCGCCGCACGGAGGACTCTCCCTGAGCAGTCTTTTGTCGGGAAGAAGGCGGAAGGAGCTTCTCAAACAATTGACATTGCGGAACTGCGACATGGACATCCTCAGATTCCAATTCGCCAGCCCAGGCAACAGCTTTATGTAAGTATCAATTCAATTGAACCACCGTTGTGTCGAAACCCTAATTTTGATTCGTTTCTTATGCGCGCTGGTTGCCTAACTAAAACTCTCTCTTTTATTGCTTCTGATGTAATAATCAATCAGGTGTCTGAAATCCCTAGTGGTGCAAAAGGGGCGGTTGATTGAGGCGATGTTCCTGTGGGAGCTTATCCCTGGTTTCAAGGGTCTCGAGGAGTTGACCTTGGAAGACTGCAGCATCGTCGGCGATCGTATTTATGGGACCCCGGACGGCCGTATACAGCCGTGCCCCGGTGGCCGGCTCAACATCGTAACCCGAACGTTGATGCATTTGAGACTGACTAGATGCAGGAAGAATTCCTAGAATACAGCCAAAATTATACATAATTCCCTGAATACATAAGTTTTATAAAATTTTTCCAAATTACCCAAGTTTCAAGGGGTTCGAGTTTATGGGACTCGAACTACAAACAAGATCGACGATAAGAAACTCGAACCAAAAGTGGATCGACTTTTAAACACTCGATCAACAGTGGTTCGACTTTAGAAGACTCGAACAACCATGATCGATTAGAGGAGACTCGATCTCAGTAGATCGAGTATGAAACACTCGATCAAGTTAGATCGACTTCAAAATCTTCGATGTAGGGCATCGACTTTAACTCACTCGATCTACGTCTGGACTAGATCGAGGCCATAATACTCGAACTACTGCCCACCGACATGCTCCAGGATAGGGTTACAGGGATAAGATTTTTGTTGTAGCAGATCGAGTTTTAGAAACTCGAACTAGTGTAGTTCGATTACACTAAACTCGAACTACTTGCTCAATCATTCTGTCCAGTCGCTTTCTATCCGACATGCCACAGAATAGGGCGCAGGGGGGGAAATTATTGGTCGACGTAGATCGAGTTTAATAAACTCGAACTAGTGTAGTTCGAGTGTACTGGACTCGACCCACTCCATCAGTTTACGATAAATAAAAGCACTTTCTGGCAGCACTCTTCCTTTCTATCTTCTTTCTTCCAAACACAAACTGCAGCTGCTGGAGCACCATAGCTGAGCAAAGAAGATAAAATTTGGAGGTAAGTTCTGCTTACTTTGTTTGAATGAGCATATTAGAATTTTAGATTAATTTAGTATTGTTTGTACTGTATGTAATGAGCTGCTTGTATAAACTGCAGAAATGGGTAGAAAATTTCGAAAATTCGACTTAAAGATTCGGTGGAATGGTCGAATTACACACTTTCATGATAGTATTGACTACGAAGATGGTGAATCAAGTATTGTCCGGATTGAGAGCATATTTACTTGGCAAGAACTCAGTCATATTTGTGCTGAACGATGTTGCATAGCAGGGCGAAGAGTATGCAAGATGACTTACCGTATGCCGGTTTACAAGGATTATGCACTTGTATATGAAGGATCAGTTTTGTCTGACGATGATGACATTAATATGATGGTGAGATTTATTGCAGAGAACAGATTTCCAAGTGCTGAGGTGTATGTCGAAACAGAAGTTTTTGGCCAATATGGTGGCGGCGGTTATACCGAACACGGTGAAGGATCTGGAGGGTTTTCCGGTTCAGGAGATTTCAGAGTGCGGCATGATGCACCATGGCCAACATACGAGGATCGAACTGCAACTGGTCCATTGGTGGAACATGACGGACAGGAGTGGCCAGTATAGGGTGAAGAATGGGATTACATAAGGGCACCCAGACAAGCATCTACACCAGCATCTGGCATCAACAATGATCCATATATGGATAAACCAAGTCCTCCGTACACTAGCGACGCAAGCGACATGGAAGATGAAGAGTTAGAATCTATGAGTAGTTCAGATGGTGAAGATCTGGAAGTTGATGAGGGGGAATTTGAGCCCCCCACACCTCACTACACGATGGTGCCACAACATCCTCTCTATGCTCACAACGACGATCCTGACCTCCCTCCTATACCAATATGGACTCCTGACTCTGGATTCGTGGTTGGCCAAACATTTGGAGGAAAGCCTCAGGTGGTCGATGCATTGAAAGAAACTGCTATGCGAAGAAGCTTTCAATATCGTGTCATCACTTCTGACACTAAACAAATTCATGTTCGTTGCGAGAACCATGGCGACGGATGCATGTGGAATGTTCAGGCGGCATATGTTAAAAGAAATGGGGCTTGGCTCATTCGTAAGACAGACAACAACCACACTTGTAGGTCGTCACTGATTTCTCTAGATCACCGACAATTGAGTGCAAGGAAGGTTGCACAAACAATCAACATCTGATTGAGGCACAACCTGGGATCACCGTGAAGAGTGTCATCGCTGAAGTGAAGAATCGACATGACTATACCATCAGTTACAAGAAAGCATGGCATGGGAAGCAAAAAGCTATGGCAGAGGTGTATGGTGATTGGGAAGAGTCATTTGCTAACATGCCTCGTTTGATTCTTGCAATGGAGGACAAGAATCCTGGGTCTGTTTTTGTGTCTAGTTACGAAGATTTCTATGGGGGTGCTAAACGCGTGTTTAAGCGAGTATTTTGGGCATTCAAACCATGCATTGATGGTTTCACCCATTGTCTGCCAATAATCCAAGTTGATGGGACCTTTCTGACCGGCAAATACAAGGGCACTCTACTCGTTGCCACTAGTGTTGATGGCAGTATGCAACTTTTCCCCCTTGCTTTTGCTATAGTCGAATCGGAGAACAACTTAAGTTGGGCATGGTTTTTTTCCCAACTATACACTCGTGTCACTCAACGGAAGGACATTGCCATACTTTCTGATCGACACCATGGAATTGCACATGCTTTCTACGACCTGCCCGAGGAGCTAGGGTGGAAGTGGCGCTGGTGCATACGACATTTCAAAAGCAATTACGGGAAGCACTTTGGTAGAACTTATGGACAACGTGCAGTTTGGCACGCTGGTAAGAACAAATAAGATGTTGTGATTATATCAATTGCTTGAATGCGTATACTCCTTTACTAACCTTATTTTACTTTATTGTAGCTATTGCTTTTCAGACTAGAAAGTTTGTAGACAAAATGAAGAGCATAAGGGAGGTCCACTCTGAAGGTGCAGATTGGCTAGAAACTCATCCTTATGAGAGGTGGACGTTACATCAAGACGAAGGGTATAGGTATGGAATAACAACAACGAATATGGGTGAGTGCCTCAGTGGTTTGTATGTTGGTCTTCGTGCAATGCCTATCTCATCTATAGTCTTGCATACCTTCTTTCGTACGGTGACATGGTTCGTTGAACGCTACCAAGCAGCATATCAGATGTTGAATGCTGGAATCTACATCCCAAAGAAGATTACAGATGATATGAAACCATGGTCAGAAAGGGCAAAATGGCATAAGGTGACTTTATTTAGTCGAAGAGATTCCCGCTCTTGTGCTCCACGTCCGCGTCCCTCCCTTCGACGTCTATTCCTTGAACGAACTCCATATCCAATTCCAGTATTTCGTGGCAATGGAGGTGGGGTTGCAGTGGTTGGAGGACCATAATAAACATTTGGAATCGGAGTCTGGAAGCTTTGATGCGGGGTTTGAAATTGATGACCATACGGTGAATAGTAGGCTCCTCCTCCCCCTCCTTGAGCAGAACCTGATGATCCCTCTCCAAATTCCCTTCTGGCGGGAGGGAATCCATACTCATATGGGTCAGGAAGTGCCACATCTTCTCGTACATGCACAGGGACTGTAACGGGCTCTTGCCGACGCTTACTCCTCCTTGGTGGTGATGGCGGGAGAGATTCAACTTCAATGGCGTGGGAGGAAGGACGTGGCGGTGCAGGAGCAGGAGGATATGCAATGACATCCCTTCGGATTTCCCGCGAACATGACAAGAGATTCTTGAAGAGCTTCTTCAAGAATGAAATTTTCTCCCCTGGCACATTATCTTCTGGTTCATTCTCCAACGTCATTGATGCAAGTTCCAACCCATCAACCTAAATAATAAACATGTTAGTCAAACACTATTTGTGTAGCTAAAGGTGATTATAGTAAATAGATATTGTGCTTACCAATGAACCGATCACGGCGCCACGTTTGGTTACCCATCTTTTTGTGAACTTGCGGTACCAAACCATGTATTCATCTTGGTACCCCATTGGCCTCGTCATTGGGATCCCATCAATTGCATACGTCTGACGAGACTCCCACATTTCGATCCATCTACGGTGCTTGGTTGGCCAATCAGTTATTGTACCCCGCAAATCCTTGCTGTACTTGTGGAGTGACTTATGTACGTCCGGTGGTGGGAGAGGAATCGGTTGCGTCCAATTATATTGTCGGACACATCTATCCGGGAGGTGCCACTCGGCAATGTTGTGGCAAATCACAGGCAACTTGCACGACCAGAGTCGGCGATCCTCAGGGTATCGCAACTCGTACAAATCCTTTGCTCCGTTCGGATACGGATCCCACTCCACCTAAGTTTCAACACAACATATAAATTAAAATCGGGCCAAATAATTTCAACAAATAAAATAGGATTCATAATCATAAAAATAAATAATGGGCTAAGACAAATAATTTCAACAAATAAAATAGGATTCATAATCATAAAAATAAATAATGGGCTAAGACAAATAATTTCAACAAATAAAATAGGATTCATAATCATAAAAATAAATAATGGGCTAAGACAAATAATTTCAACAAATAAAATAGAATTCGTAATCATAAAAATAAATCATAGGCTAAGACAAATAACTTCAACAAATAAATTAAAAATAAATAATCATAAGTTAGAATGTTACCTCGTTGAATTCTATACGTTCAAGATGTTGGCGGTACCCATCTAGAGAGGAGAAACTCGTGATAGCTCCAATCCATCTAGCACCATAAGCCCATTGTCGTAGTGGCTCATCGGGACCCCAACTGTTGGCAGGGCAGATCGGAGCGAAAGTAGGAAGGTGCTCCCAAACCCATAGTTGGAGGATGAACATGGGACCACCTGCTTGCTTTGTTTTCGGATCCGTACACTTGCACAACTCCGAATATATCCTCGCCAAACAAGCAGATCCCCAACTTTTTCTCCCAATCTCATCCCAATCTTCCAAAAGAACTCGAAGCCACATACAATGCATATTTCAACCAGACTTGTTCGGAAACAAAAATCCTCCAACCAAACAAATAAGGTAGATGCGAGCATACCTCTCTATCTGAGCATCCGTGGCATCCTCCGGTAATTCCCCAGCGGTCCTCACTAGCCAAGGTATCAATAGCATAGACTTGTGTAGAGGTGGTACACGACGACCTTCTTCTGCTTCCTCTGGGATGATGATACCTAAACGCTCGCTTATATATTGGCCCCAACCATTCAATGGTTTTGAAGAACTTTCTATTATTGCATCACCATCGATTGGAAGCTCTGTCAGCATGGCTACGTCCTTCAACGTAATCGTCATCTCTCCCTCTAGAAGGTGGAATGTGTGCGTTTCTTTTCTCCATCTTTCCACCATTGCCGTAAGAAGGTTGTTGTCCATCTCCATCCCCACAAACTTTCGCACCCTCAGCAATCGCGCTCTAGATATGAAGGGCTCGATACGATCATCCCATTTAGGCAAGCGAGATAGCGACCGATGGGTGATTACGTCAAGTTGTTCCTGTAGAAAAAAAAACATTAATTATTATACAAAAAAATTAGAAGAATACTATCACATTAAAAAAAAGTACATGAGGAAGTGCCTACCGGATCTGCCGCCCAAACACTTTCAGACCGATGGTAAGGTTGCTCATCCAACAAATCGGTTTCTCGCGGTCCACCTTGAATGTATAATCTAGGATCGTAAATACTCGGATCCATCTCGACAATTTTGAGTGATAGAAGTACCAAACTAAAGAAAAAAAATCTGATGCGGAAGATCGGGCTTAGCCGCAACCACAGAGCATATTTTTTTCTTCAAGAGTGGTGGGAGGAAGAGAGGAAGAAGAATGGAGTGGTGTGAGTTTTGGTGGAATATGAGGGGGTATTTATAGGTTCTGTGGGAGAGTGGATCGAGTTTACCAAACTCGAACAAGTGCATCGATTTTTATGCACTCGATCCGCGTCAAAAAGAACGAACCAGATCGATCTTAGGGTAATCGATCAACGGTTGATCGATGCTGACATCAGCGATCCACTGCATCGAGTTTTAGACACTCGATCCGCGTCATCGAGTTTGAAGCACTCGATCCGCGTCATCCCTGCTTCGCGGGTTTGACAATCGAACGGCCTAGATCGAGTTTAGACCACTCGATCAACGGTTGGGCGCGCCTGACGTCATCGATCCGCGTCAACTTGATCGATTATAGAAGACTCGATCCACATACCTCGAGTTTACCGCACTCGATCCGCGTCATCACTGCTTCGATGGTTGAACAATCGAACGACCCTGATCGCGTCCTAGTAAATCGATCTATGGTGGAGCGCTGCCCAGCTCATCGATCCACTTCATGTGGTTCGAGTGTCCCGTCCTCGATACACCTGGATCGAGTTTTTGACAATCGATCCACTACTGGTTCGAGTTTTGTAAACTCGAACTATTCAAACTTTGGTAGTTTGGGAATTTTTTTTAAAAGTTTGGTATTCTGCGAATTTTTTTTAATTATTACTGTATTTTGGGAATTAATCCCTAGATGCAGTGGCTTCGTAGAGATTATGTACTCAGCCGGCACCATAGCAAGGAGATATGCTTATCCGCCGACACTCCACCAGAGATCAGTAGAATACGACTTTGCTGATTTCGTCAGAACACCGCCCATATCCGAACCCGAATTTGAACCGGAACCGGAACCCGATCTAATGGATGGCTTGACGATGAAGAGGAGGGTACTGATCTGCCTGATGAGGAAGCTGCGTAATCGGTTTGATCGCGGTTTAGTTTGTGCATCTTTGGTTTGTATCAAACCATAAAAACTGATTCTCTCGCATTTTAGAAGATAATGATAATGATCTGTTTTCGTGGATTCGTATCTTTGTTGTACATCTTTAACTGTGGTAGGGGCATTATGGACAGCAACCAAGGATTCGCAGCAATTTTCATTGACCAGGGCATGTGTGATAGGAAGTTAGGAACGCTACAAGAAAGTTTTTTGAGCAACTTTGAATTTTCATTGACCATTGCCACCAACCCAAATAAAAAAGACACCACGTATTCAAACTACGGAGATTAAATCATTGATTAGGAGTCCGATTAAATTCTATACGATCTAAATAATATCACACTTGTTCTTACGGTCCAGATCATGCATATCATGTTGAGTAAAAAAGGTTAATCATTTATTTGGTTAGACAAAACAAAAAATGAACTAATAATCGGCGAAAATTGCACTTTTTTTATATCATTGGAACCTAAATTCCAACATGCATGCATGCTTTTCTTAATTATTAGCCTTTCCACATGTTTTCCTAAGAAAAAAATTGCCATCTCTTTGCAAGTTCTTTTGTAGCATAATTCATATTTTCATGATAATTTATCTTCTTTGAAATCACTTGTTTAGTTTTGATTACCCTATCTTTGTAAGTTAATTTATTCAAAAGTTTATCACGGTTCTATTTATCAAACTATACAGCTAGATTTAATCTAATTTTTTTTAATTATGACAATAATTTTCTATCTGAATTATCAAATTGATAAGTAAATGAGTATCGGAAACAAAATAACAGAATTTATTTGGATCCCCCTAGTCCAGAAACCCGACTCTATACGATTTCCGCCACGATTCGTCCCCACCAAATGCCTCATCTCCATTACTATGTCGTCACTGCTTCTCTCATGTCCCATTGAAATTATGGATAGTGTCAAGCAAGTTGGGATAATAAGCACCGTCCCGTTTTCTACTCTGTACTGTTCTTCAGTACATTCACTGAATCTGCTCACCCTTTCCCCGTTCTCTATATATATCTCTCTGCATCAACCACATTTCATTACCGAATCATCTGGAGACTCGTAAAAGCCAGCTAGCGTCTCAAATCAAGCAACTCGACAATGGCAGCCACAGCGTAAGAAGTCGAATTCCCCCCATTTCTTTACTTACAGTTCGGCACTGTTCGTTAGAGCTCGATCAATCTGAATTGGGTTCTGGGTTGTTTGTGTTTGGGATTTGAGAACAGTCTGGATAAATCCGTGCCGGAGATCTTGCCGCCGGCGCTCGATGCTTCGTCGGAGCCACCTCCACTCTTCGATGGCGTCACCAGGTTCGAAAAACCCTCACTTTACCTTTTTTCCTCGGAGCCCATTTTAGGTCAGTTCTAAAATGCTGAAATTGATTCTTGATTCAAGGCTGTACACCTATTACGGATGCCCTTTTGCTCAGAGGGTTTGGATCACTAGGAATTTCAAGGTGGGTAGCTCTCATTTTTCGTTTCCCCCTTTCCAATGGGCAATAATCTGAATCAAATGGGTCGATCGTAATTTGCTGGGTGGGGGTTTTGGTGGGATGCAGGGGTTACAAGACAAGATCAAGCTAGTCGGCATAGATCTTAGTAACAGGCCTGCTTGGTACGCCGAGAAAGTTTATCCCCCTAATAAGGTGCAAAACTTGTTCTCTCTGAATGAACATTGAGAAAATCTCAGTACCAACAACCAATACATGGATTACCATTGCACCTGTTTGTTTGTTTGACTTAATACTCGGCTCGCCAGGTGCCAGCTCTTGAGCACAATGGCAAGATCATAGGAGAGAGCTTGGATTTGATCAAGTACTTAGATAGCAACTTTGAAGGGCCTTCTCTTCTCCCTGATGTAAGATTGATTGTGCTTATTGGTAAAACCTTAAATCCACTGTGTTTGTATGAACCTTCCAGTTTCAATTTAGCCACACCCGAACCGAATCTGTGCAGGATCCTGCGAAGAAGCAGTTGGCAGAAGAGTTGTTTGCATACACCGATACTTTTACTGGAACGGTGTTCTCTGCTTTCAAGGGAGATGCAGTGAAGGAAGTTGGTATGTGTTTCCATTACATGATTTTCCTCGATTCGGTAGTGATTGACAAGTTTGATTAGATCTAAATTTGTTGTGACATTGTTTCAGGCCCTGCTTTTGATCATCTGGAAGCAGCTCTGTCGAAATTCGACGATGGACCTTTCTTCCTTGGTGATAGGTTCAGTCAGGTAAGTTGGATGATGATGCATTTTCCGCTAATCGTCCAAGAAGCCATAACATGTGTTCGTTAGTTATCAAATTGTTTTCTTGTGTCTCTCCAGGTGGACATTGCCTACATTCCATTCGTCGAGAGGTTTCAGATCTTCCTTTCGGAAGTGTTCAAGTATGATATCACCGAAGGAAGGCCTAAACTTGCAGCTTGGATCGAGGTATGAGGCAAAATCAAAGTTCCAGCACTGCAGCCTGAGCTGCGCCTTAACCGGACTTACAATCCTAATTGCTATTGCAGGAGTTGAACAAACTGGAGGCTTACAAACAGACGAAACTGGAAGGTACAAAGGCACAGGTCGTGGAGCTCTACAGCAAACGGTTCTTGGTAAGCATTTGATGTTTGAAAAGGTGCAGACTTTCATGGAGGAAGGGAATCCGATGGGTAGTTTAACAATGTTCTAACTTTTCTTTTGTGCTGCTGCAGGGTAAGTAAATTGGCAACAGCCACTGCAGTCTGCAAGTGGGTTCTTCTCGTGCTTTTGCAGGGAGAGGCTCTGGCTTGGTGGCTTGCTTCTGTATGATATGTGAAAGTATCTGTCTAAATAATGAAAAATTACCCCCGGAGACAGAAAGTAGAAGAAGAAAGTAATAGAATAAGAAACATCAACTGGTTTGTAGGAGCTGTGCCTGTGACCGTGAGGGTTGCGGACGTGTGGTTGGTTTGGCTGTGTTCTTGTATTGTATGGCGTACCTGTGTAATGTATTAGAAACAGAATGGATAATTGTCAGTTAAAGAGGGAGTGTTGTTTTACGAATGAAAATTTCAAGTTTGAATTTCTCAAGGAGGTATTTTATAATGAAAATAATCTTATGTTACTCTTATCTAAAAAATGAGCATTAGGCTAATCCTATCAACTGCTTTCACAAGTTAGAATCCCCTCTGGAGCAAGAAATTAATACATGAGTTTAGTGATTAAAATGACTAAATTCAAACCGTCAACTACATGCATCTCAATTGAGGCAGATCACATACAAGAAATCACTTTTAAACTGTTCATTTTTTAAATGCTATTACAAGTGAGCTTAATTCTTAAATAATCTAAACATTGGCCACATCTATTTGGCTCTTTAAAAACTTACAAAAACAAGGGAAAGACAAAAGACAAAGGGAAAAGACCAAAAAAAAAAAATGCATCAACCCTTTCCAACACTTGGGTATTTCTCTTCTTTTTGGTGGATTGGTTCATACACTCATACACTAAACTCCTCCTATTATACATTAGAAAAAAAAAAAAAAAAACAAAGAAGCTAAAAACAAGTACAATTTGATGTGTACAAAAAAATCACCAAACACTTACACATAACACACATCTTTCCTTTCCTTATCACCACTTCCCCCCCTTTCAAATGCCAAAGATTGAACCTTTAGTAGAGGAAAAAGGGACCCTTATGAATTTTTCAGTCAGCAAGAAGACCAGTGTAATCACTAGGTCCATATGGCATAAACAAGTCCCTCAAGAACCCTTTCTTCCTCCTAGTAGGGAACCCCATGTCCTTACAGAACTGGTCATTGTTCCATATGTGGATGTTGCTTATACATGCCCTCCTAGATTTCCCTCCACTGTGCCTCCTCAAGAACCTCTCCCAAATGCTCACTTCCTCCTCCATCTTGGTCACACTCGGCAGCTCAAATTTTCCCACGAGAAACTCCGCCAGCCACTGACACCTGATCTCCGTCGCGTATAGGCTCGATAGGCTCTCCGCGTACCCGATCACCGCCAGCTGGGGAATCCGAGGATGGATCACTTGCCTGAACACAAAACGTTTCAGAGAACCCATAAGAAAATATGTTCAGAAAAACTTAGACGTGAGTAATTTGCGGTTGAGTTCATTATTGAAAACGGATTATAATGTCTAATTGAACAAGACTGGTTGATGAACATATAGAAGGAGATTGTCAACGACATCAAACAATACTTCAATGGGACTTTAGTAGTGCACATGTTAGTCGATACACATGTTATCGTTCACCTCCTACAAGCAAAAGATACAACTTTTTTCTAATTTTTTTTTTTTTGTGTGGTGGAATGCAAGAATTGTGATACCGTAGCGATGGTTATACCCGAAAATTTAGTGGTATGGTATTTTGTTATAAAAACGTGGTCCAACTGTGTCTTACAACTTAAACCGGAAACCGTTTTGAGTCTGGTTTTTAGTAATTTCTGGTCCGACCGGTCTGTACTTTCTCAAACATTGGGTGGAAGGAGTTGTAGGACTGACCTGTAGAGTGGGACAATGGAAGAAGAACCAGAGATGGTTTTCTGCAGAGCAGGGGAATCGAAGATGTCTCTGAGCTTATGGTCGCCCCTGTAACCTGTCGCCAGGATCACCACGTCTGCTTCCACGACAGGCTCCGATTGACCTTCTTCGTCGATCAAGACGCCATTCTCGCAGAATCTTATGGTTTTGGATTTCTTGATGACGATGCTTCCTTCTTCCACCTTGTCGTAGAACTTGTCGGGCAACATGCAGATGTGGCACGAGGACACGTCCTGGAAGAAGCTGAGCTTTGGTACCATCCCATGTCTCTTCAGTGGGAGCTTCCATCTCAGGTAGAACTCTATCATCTTGGAGATTCCCCATCTCTGACCCAAAACGAAAACAGAGGAAGAGAATTCAGCATTTGATTTAACAATCGGGCCGGTTTTCGGTTGGGCTGTTTTAACGAATAGGGTTGATTTTAATCCGCGCACCGAAATGATGTATTCTAAAATGTGCAAAAAAGTTAAGAGGTGTTACTCTAGAAAGCAGAGTCTCACATGTTTTGTCCTGCCGAAATCGGTTTCCTAATAAAGGTGCAACTATGTATACAAAAAAAAAAAAAACACATGATACAACACATACGTTACGAGATGATTGAGTAAGTCCAATTTAGAGAGTTGGCTCCATCTTCGATTTCTTTTTCCTCAATGCAAAAGTGTACTTAAACTCATTAAAAGTTTTTACATGTACAACTCACGTACAATTGAAGCAAATGTGATCACGTTTATAGATACGGCGAGGCAAAAACAGAGTGATAATAGAGACGGAAGTTACCAATGGTGTGAGGAATGTGGCTAACAAGCTGAGAAGGAGTGATTCACCAGGCTTGTGAATCAGGAACTCCGAGAAGCGGTTCAAGTACAAGAACCCAATGTTGATCCCTAGCAAAGTCTCACTTGGGATTGTCCAGTGAGTTGTTCTCTGGATCATTGTGCAAGGAAACTCAGGTCCTGTTTTGTAGAAAAAGGAATTAGTTGGGTCAAATGAGGAAAACCTACCAAAAGGAAGGACTAGATAGTGAAAATTGCAGTTGAAAAAAAATTGTACCATTTGCCTTGGCACATTCTGCAGCAATGTCAATTGCAGTCTTCTGAGAGCCAATAATGGCAACTCTCTTCCCTTTCACAAACTCAGCTGCCTTCTCACTACCCATTGTTGAGTAGTCCCATGAATGGACCACTTTGCCCTTGAAAACCTCAGGGCCTTGATTTGGAGGGAAATCTGGGATGTTTGGGTACCCACTATACAACCCAATGCAAAGAATCAAAAATTCAACTTCATGAACCTGCCCAAACAACAAAAAGTTCACAACTTTATCAATCAAATTGGCAAAAAAAACCACCACAACTTTGACCAAAATTTGGCTTAGAAATCAAAATTCCTTCACCCAAACTCACCTCAACACTTGAATTCCTGACATCCTGAACTCTAACCTGCCACTTCCCTTTAGATGGTAATGATGAACCAAAGGGCTTCCCACTTCCACCCCAAACAACCCAAGACTTCATCTCCTCAAATGACTCACCAACATAGTCTATTCCAACCACCTTGGACCAAAACCTGATGTGTTGGTAAATCTCGAAATGGCTAGCGTACGACTTCATGTATGCCAGGACCTCAGTGTGTGGTGGATGCACGTCGCTGACCGATTCGGGCCAGGGGAAATCGGTAAATCTGTACGTACTTCGCTTGTTCTGAAGCCTCGTGGAAGCGATCGTGTGTGACCAGATCCCACCCACGTCGCCCTCGGCCTCGAACATGACCGGATCGAACCCTTTCTCGAGGACATACTTGCAGGCTAGGAGTCCACTTGGTCCAGCTCCAACAATGCCAACCCTTCTCCTCCTCTCCATGTCACACCACCACCTTGCATTCACATAATTGCATCACAACAGGGGAAGCTTTGCACACATCAAAAGAGACTGGCAGATTAGGACACAACCCAAAAAAGATAGGGAGGGGGTTAGAAAATGGGAGATAGATACACAAAGTTTGGATCTTTCTTTCTGATTTGAATTGGGTTCCTTTCAGAAAAAGGCTTGAAGGGGGTTCCTTTCAGAAAGGGGTTAGAACTTGGAGAGAAGGGGGGGTTGCTTCTACTACTTGCTACTGCTTTTTATTTAGGGAACAAGGTCCCTTTCTCACATGCAAGTTTTAAATACAGAGTTAGGCCCTTTGAAATCAATGGTGGGGAGGGGTTTGTTTGAAGGGCAAGGTTCATTATTTTGCGGGCTAATGTAGCCTTGTAACGGATGCAAGTGCCCTTATTTTATGTGTTTTCTTGTTCTTCTCCTTCTTTCTCCATCACAGGGGAAATTCATCACATCAGCTTCCAGCTTACTTCCTAATTGCTGGAAATTATTATTTATTTTTTTCTATAAAATAATCCCCACAAGAACATGCTTGAAGGGAGAGACGAGGACCATTGGGATTGGATTAGAGAACTTACAGAATTTTCAAAAATATTATAAATATTTAATTTCTGGTTTTTGTTTTGGCAGTGTAGGGCAGAGGTGTGCAACGGTTCAGTTCGGACCGTACTAAACCATGAGAATCATAATCCAATAAATAGAAATATTAGGATCAAGGACCGGAGTATCAATGCATTTGGTATGATGTGGCCAGCTTTGGTTCGCACGAATTGTCAATTCGGTCCATTTTACTTCAGTTTTTTATAAAATTAAGGAAGCAATGAATGAACCACATTATATTCGATTTGGTGTGATCTGATCCAACAATCGGTTTGATCCGGAGCGGTCCGGTACGGATTGGATTGGATTAGAGACCTTAGAAAATTATTTTAAATTTTGGGTTTTGTTTTTGGCTGTGTGTAGGGTATGTGGTGACTTGGGAAGTTGTGCTTCACATTGGAGAATTATATAAAGAAAGAAAAACCCTAAAATTTGGAAGCTTTGTCCCATAAGAGGTGAGAGATGTTGACTAAGATCATAATGGCAGGAGGAAGGAGAAGAGAGGAATTGAATTTTTGGTAGCATTTATCCAACCGAAAACTAATGATAATTGGAACATTATTAATTGCAAATAGGACCGTCCCCTGTTTGCAGTTAATAAGAAACAGAGGGGGCGGCCACAGCCCAACAGTGGCACTAATGTATAGAGCCAAAGCCAATGTTCATGCATTTTCTTCTCATAATTGGCAAAGAATTGATTCGAGTCAAGCAAATCGACAGCTGCTACTGCTTCTGTTGGTGATGGAACAGAGGGTTTGTTGATACAGTAGGATGTTTGGCTGGTTTTGTGATATCCACAAGTCATTCTTGTTTAAGGTCCTAATTGTCTCCACCATAGTAGTGTTGTCCAATTATGAGAACAACTATTGGGTATTTGATAATAGAAATAGCAGATCGATATATACGTGTATAAGTGATTGTGATTACAATCTTTCATATGACTGCTATAGGATGAAAATAGGCTGAAAACTAATTTTTTTTGGAATGATGACGTGTCTTTTCGAGAGAGAAATTGTTATTTTTTTTAAGTTGAAGAAGAATTAAGTTTGTATTAACTTGGATGGCTTAGTGTATTAAATGATTTCCCCTTTATTTGAAGGTATGCCTGAGTGAGGTTATGGTCTTACGAGGACATCTACGAGAACTTGAGAAGGTTCGGTCTCATTGTTAGAATCGAGTTGTGGTCAATCTTTCGGGGGCCATAACCTTGCAAGAGCCTATAGACAGAGGATTTCATCCAGATGAATACTTGACGTGGATTATATACAACTACCATATACCTTATTAATATGGTTGGGTCGAGATGTTATGCTTCTACTTCTCACCGGTTTCAACTTATTCCTAAGGTTGCTTCGAGATACATAGTTTGTTGTTGTATAAACCATACACAAAGGGGAGTAATTTCATCACCATCCAACAGAATGTTTAGCTAAATTAGGACAAGATCACACCATTTCTGTAAACATAATAGGTAAATGAACGCCTCATCGCCCCTTATTAATATGGTCGACATGTTATCCTTCTAAACCTCTCCACTGTTTCAGCCATTCCTGACACTGTTTCGAGATACGTAATTTGTTGTCGCACACATCATACATAGAGATGTGGAGAGTAATGCCATCACCACCCACCAGAATGTTCAGCTAAATAAGGACAAGATTGCATCATTTCCACATACAATAAGGAAATATGAATTGCCTCATTCTAACCACCAAAACACATTGAATAATCAACAAGTTGTGGGGGTTGAGTTGAGGTTTGACTTGTGCCTAATTTATGGAAGAACGGTAATGGGAGTTGGTTAAAGACAATACCCAATGGAGTAGGTTGGAAGAAGAAGAGGAATAAGAAGAAGCCAGAGAGAGCTTGTGATTGGTGTAGAAAAACAGAGGAATGGTAGTTTGATGGAAATGGAACAAAGGACAAGGTGGCATCAAATTTAGCAACCGTGCCTCCTTCGGTTGCTAATGCAAACAAAACCCAAAACCTCCTCGCATGAAATGAGGAATTATTTGGTTACTAATGGTTGACTTTTCCTCCTTGATCCTTGGGATTGTGTCCCTTTCTCTGGCTAATTGTTAATTCCTTTTCCCCCTTTTCCATCACGTTGACCCAATTCCCTTTTCCCTCATTGGCTCTGTTTTTGTATCTAATCTAACGCTGCAGAATTATTGGGGGGAACCAAGGTAGGAATCCATCTCAGGATCTTAAACTAATCTAAACCCAATAATGTTAATTGCTTCTCGATTATGGAGGAAGGGAGTCTCGTTCTGCAGCCTGCTTTTCTCTTCCTCTTTTTGCTTGCCAATTATGGGGATCGCCAAAACAGCTGTTGAAAGTATGGAAATTGGGAAGCAAAGGACCACTGGTGCTTTATATGAAGGAGATCATCAAAGTGTGTGTGATGGATGTGGGTTGGGATTTGGGAACTAAGCAATGTGGATGGTTTGGAATTTTGGACACACATTCTCTCATACCAAGACACTTTTGAAGAAGTTGAAGTGCAAAACTTACTCAAGATTGTTGTTTATTGTGTTGGGAATGTAGTAATTCAAGGATATATGATTTTGTTGGGAATAAAATTCAGGGGTATGAAATTCTGCGTCTTGGTCAGACTCAGATCTAACTACATGAAAAGTCTTGTTTAATTCGGCTTCTTGGTTAAAACTTACTCAAGGACCATTGCTTGCTTTTCATATTGCGTTTGTAGCATTACATGAAAAGTCTTGTAAGAGCTCTCTAGATACACTCTTATATTTCATGAGATAGACCCAAATGCGCCTTTATATGTCATCAATTTTTTCCAAGTTGACCCAATTCCTTTATTTCATGAGATAGACCCAAACACTTTGGAAAAGTTTGAGTGTTAAACTTACTTAAGGTTGTTCTTTAATATGTGTTGGGAATATAATTGGGGGATATTTGATGTGTAATGCAGTGTTGGGAATATAATTAAGGAATATGAAATTTTACGTCTTCGTCAGATCTAACTATTTTCTCTTCCTTTTATATACATACCAATTGGTATAAATGAATTCCATAAGTTTTGAGGAATTCATTTTGAAATGAAACATTTTTGTGTTTGGTATTTAAAAGAATTCATTTTCAATTCTAAAATTTGAATTATAAGGAATTGGTACTAGTTATAGCAATTCCGAGGAATTGAGATGGAATTTCCAAATGAATTCCACAACTATTTACAAAATATAATAGAATGACATAATTATCTCTATATTAACTAACTTACTTATATATATGACATACCAAACACAGAAATTCATTTGACAATGAATTCTACACGACAATTCATTTTATTTCTAAAAATTTAAATATGACATACCAAACACAAGATTTCATTTGACATTGAATTCTACATGATAATTCATTTTACAATGAAATAAATTCTTGATTCATTTAGTACCAAACAGTCTTATAGTTTATTTGTACCATTAGATCCAAGACATAGCAAAAGGACCTCAAATGTCTACATGTATGAGATAAAACATAAATACTCCTTAACACTGGTTGGCTTTAAGAGGAAAGATGCTTATGTTTGGCACAATAACAAACATTACAATGATGTGAAAACTCAACACCTATACTAGGAACAACATTTTTTTAATTCTTTATCCTCCTTATGCTGAAGAAGGTCCTGAATATATCAAAGGTCGGACACAAAAGTAAGTAGCACAAGTAAAGAGTTAGTGAGTTTGCTAAATGATTAGATTAGGTTGAAAGAGAAGGATGGAACATAAAGAACTTCATGTATAACTAGACCATATAGAAGTTTGACAATTCCAAAATGTGTTAGCAGGGGTGTTAGTACCATTGGCAAGGTGATAAACACATTTTGAATGTCAGTGTATCTGATGAAATTAGAATGGAACCAATGTAGTCAAAAGCGAGTTTCTATGTAGAAACATTTTGGTGATCTAGAAGCGTAAAATCGTAAGTTTTTAAGTTTTAAAGCGGAGTTTTTAACTACATAAGTTGTAAAAACTTAGATTTTGTGTAGAAGCGTTTTAGTGACCTAGAAACGTAAAATCGTAAGTTTTTAAGTTTTAAAGCACGATTTTGACTACATTAAATGGAACAACCATGAATTTTTGCTTTTGTGTCTAGAAACTACAAATTGACAAGCTTCAATGGATGTTTTAGGAACTATGATGAGAGGATGTGCATATGTACTCTTAATTCATGAGGTTAATATATACCTATGAAAGTGTGGAGGGCCGATCTGACTCTTGAACTTCTAAAGTCTGCTCAAATCATTCGTAGAGAATATGATGTTGGTGAAATCATCTTCAATTTTAGGTAAGCTCATGTTCTCTGGTTTAGAAAAAAATTCCACCACTCTTTATAATTGTCTAGTAAATCCAATAGAGACCCCATATTACTTGTTATTCATTTTTCAACTTATAAAGATAGACAATTCATTTTTTTTCCCTTTAGGCAGATTAAATGTAAGCAATGAAACCAATCAACTCGAGACTTTTCATTGGGTTCGGTAAGCTGGCTCTCACATTGAACAGTATAACGAATGCAGTTTTAATGGGTGGTAAACGGGATGGGATTAGGTGCTAATCCTTATAGGGATTAGCACCGTGATAACTAGCACAAAAGGCTACTAAAAATAACGAAATCACTACGGATTATTATAAATTCAATACAACATCTAAGCTAAATCACTACTAATTCAAACTAGTAGTAGTTTTTCCCTTGGTTAGGACGGTACTAACTATTGTACAATTAGCACCGTAGCCGTTCTCGTGGTAAACTGGTAATGGTTTTCGTCATGAATAAATTGGTCCTAACATACTCATATACATCATTCAGTCCATTAATGAAACATGTGACAGTTTCATTCTCTCTACACTTCCTCAAAGTAACTCCAGTTTCAAGGCACAAATTAATTCCTTTTTATCACCACAAATACAATTAAGTACAACGGGAAAATGACCTAATTCATGCACAAATACATGTCGACGCCTCATATGATGACCAGTGAAAATCGATTTGCCACCGTTGATCTACTTCTCTTGAATGCAAACTTCCAGCCTTTGAATATAAAGGATACCACTTTTCTCTACCCGCATCATCCTTTGCAACGAAAATCGTCTGATCGATCAAGTCGAGGGATCCTTATCCTTCAATTATTAAGTTTCCAAATGGGTAGCTTGCACTAAATTAATATCCGTTGTAACAGAGTTATCATGATAAAAAAAATTGCGCCATCAAGTGCAATCTTTAAACAAAGTAATCTCTCCAATAAAACACCAGAATCATTAGTCTTTAGTCATACCTGGAGGACTCTCATAAAAGCATCCTCCTATATATACGAAATAATGGCTATCTATCTATCTATCTATGGCCGGCCCAACACCAGCGACGACCGCCGCCCACTTTCCCCCATTCTATCATGAGCTTTCGAGCGCAAAAATTGCAGAAATGTGGAGGAGGAGAGAACAGAAACAGAGAGATTAATTAACAAAAGGGAAGCACATGACCACATGTTTAAGCTCAAAAAGCATCATTATTTATAGCCTTAGAGCTTAGCTGCAGAATGACAAAAAGAATTGAAGACCATTAATCTCAAAGCATGCATGTGGACTCCTCCTCTGCCTTAGAATTTTCTTTATATTTCGATTTTGCTAGCTGCTCTGTTTCTGCTGTCAGTGGGAGCTAATTTAGTTTGAAAGAGAATTCCATCAATCTTTTCAATCATTCAGTGCTTCTTTACTTTTGTCTCTTCTGTTCTCTTCCATTATATTATCAGCATCTCTCTCTCTCTCTCTCTCTCTCTCTCTCTCTCTCTCTCTCTGCATTAACTCAGTCGACGTGCTGCATGCTCACATTATTGGCTTACTGCCAATCGGTAGTCCACAGAAACAGAGCTCTCTCTCAGAGAAGAAGGAAAACAGGGCTGTATTAATGGCGAACTACTCTCCATTTATAAGTGTGGGCGGCACAATTAGTTGTAATATATTATTATTATCTTCTTCGTTTTTTTAAGTTGTATAAACAACCATATTCTTCTGTACAAAATACCATATGAGTGTACCATAAAAATTGTATATGAATATTGGGGAAATACTAAATAGTACAGATTATCTGTTACAACAGAATTTATTTCCTGGCTGGGAAGAAGAACAGCCCCAGCCCAGTCCAGTCCAGTCCAGCCCACTGTTCTAACCTCACTGGCTGGCTGTAGACCAATAGATGATTAGCCCATTTCTCAATTATTGACTTGGTTTGGTTGAACACGACGGTTTGATATGACATTTATTTGGTGTTGACAATAGTGAAATCCAATCATCATATGGATTGAAGAGGTATGATCAATGTGTAATTGAGGTTTGTAATGGGATTATTGATGTGATTTTGCATGGTTGAATCAAACTAATACGATCAACGGATACTATCATGAACACGTCATTCTAACGAGTTCGGATGAACTGTGTGCACAAGAATTCCTCAGAGACTTTCCGCAGCTATTACATATGTTTGGCTCGGCTTTTAGAAGTGTTTTTACGCTTTAAAAGTTTCAACATGGTCAAACACCTCTAAAAGCTCGACTTTTAAAAAACTGAAAAGTGCTTTTGTATAACATAAAAGCAGAAGCTCCGAACCGGAGCTTCTTCGAAAAACTATTTTGAAAATACAGGATTATCCTTACCATATTTTATATTTATTTCAGAAAATATAATTTTCCATCATTTATATCATTTTAAAAATAAAATAAGTTAAGATTTATTATTATTGAATAAAAAAAATCTAACAAGATCCATTTTGACTACTTTAATTTTTTAGATTTTATTCATATTTTGTATTAGAAATCCTTTGTAATCATTTTACGTTACCTCTAATATTAAAAAGCACTTCTAATAGTTTTTGGACGACATTTACCTCCAACCCGATATGGAGGCTCTCCCTACAACCCGTCCACATGTGCTCAATCTATTTTTTTTATCCAAGATAAGCCCCCAGAGCATGGCCGCGGCCGGACAACAAACATATAAGACAGATAATAATAAAAAAGGTAGTCCGTATGCAACTGGACTCCCGATGAAAGAGCCTGTTATGCCACGAGTTGGGCAGCTCTATGAAAGCTCCGAAGAGCAAAACGACACGAAACTGACTCAGATAGAGAGAAGAGGGAGAATACTTCCCCGTGAAAACTCGTATGGGTGAAATAAGGCACCTTGATTGCGTCTAAATACGACAGGAAAGGAAACATCCCTGCAAAACAAGACAAATGAACTAGCATATACATGAAAATAAAATATATCGCACTTAAATAAAAGAGGACTCTATCAGAATTACCAAGCACGAGAACAATAAAAGTTGTAGCAAACAAATATAGGTAGCAATCAATTTCCAAGGCCGAAATTTAAATAAAAAAATATTTGAAATTTTGACTCTACTAAGAAGTCAAACAAACCAAAAGAAGTAGAATTACGGAAAGTAAGAATTGAAAATAATAATAAAAAAATCAAAATAAATTAACAACCCCTTAAAAACCGAAACTATGAGATAAAAGCGTTACTAAAATAATAGAAACCGAAGAAAAAAACGATCACAAAAGAAATACTAATCTGAAGAAATAATTATAATAATAATAAAAAGGCAAGAGTTACGGGAGTCACAACAAGACTATAATAAATTAATATAAAATAATAATAGAGAGCAAAGAAGAAACAAAAACGCAAAAGGAGAAAAAGAAAGGATAAGAAAAGGGAAAACAGTTGAAAAAAGGAGAGAAATAAATAGAAAAACGGTAAATAGTAAATGAAATTTAAAACTGGGGCCTCAATTAAATTACATTACCTAAAGCCCACACGTTGTTGTGGGAAATGGTCTAATCACTGCCGCCATTAAGAAATATGAAAACATAAATGGAAATAAACCACATAAATCTTCAAGCCAATTAGAAGGAATTAGAACAATCAACATATAGTAATGACCGACGCAATTAAAGTCTGAAATATCGGAATTCAAAAATTTCAAACCAGGAATCGCAGTGATGTCAAGCTCTGTCACCGACGGCCATCACTATTTCGCCGGCGGCAGAGAATACAGAGTACCGGTCGGATCCATGATGATAACCAAACCGACGCGACGGTCATATTCCGGATTTGAACAGAGGATCACCACTTTTAAAGAATAATAACATCAAGTCATGGATGTATAGAGTTGGCCATGGAGCCAAAACCAGAAGAACCCATGATAATAACGACGACATGCGTTGTAATGAGGAAACAGAGTAATAGAGCTCTGTATCTGGATATACTATCTTTTTGTAATTAGAGAATAACAAACGAAGATATACCTGCGCGCCATGAAATAACCTTCAGCAAACCGATTAAAGAAACAGTATACTTGCCGTCTGGGAAGGTGGGGGCGGACAGAATTGGACTACTACTGATTGATCCATGGGGGTTTTCAATCAATTTGCTTCCACTGATTATGCTCATCATCAAGGCCATAAACCCCAGTTTCATTGACTTGGTATCCCGTGACAAACGTCTCAAAGTAGGCCAGAAAGTAAAGACGCGAGGTGGCAGTACCAGTAAGGTCCCCGCGGGACGTCCTCGAAACTCCAACTGTAGACCTCGCCGGAGTTCATGGCGCCGGCACCAACGTCGTGGTCTTGGGCTTCATAATATAATGGACTATCAGTATCTTCTTGCTGTTCAGCGCGTTGGTGATGTTGATGATCCGTGCATCGCTGATTAACCGCCGTGCCATAATAGCGAGAGTAATGATCATTGTGGCGATCATCAGCTGCTGCTTCTTCCTGCTGATCACCATTGTCGTCGTCGTCATCATCATCATATATGTACTCAGTCTATTGGTTGAATAATTATTTTATTTTTCTTTCCTAATACCATTAACGCTAACGGAAAGGGAGAGAGGGAAGAATAATTTGAATTTCCTCTCTTGCAAACTTTTCATATCTCTTATTCACATCTTGGCTCACATTAAATTAATTAAATCGTTAATTTTAATATTTATTTATTTTAAAAAAATAATTTTATATATTTACGACTAATAACGTACTATTAAACGTAATATTAGTTTAGAGAAAAATTAAAATACCCGTACGTATAAACAAAATAAGTATTCATGTGAAAAATCATAGGCATCGAATAAATTTAACCATGTATAAAACATACTTTTAAAAGATCTACTTTTATATTTGAATAAAATACAATATTACAAATAGAATAACAAATATTAATATTTAAAGGGAACATATAGGGTACACAATCCCAGCTTGCAAAATCTAGGTCGTATCCATTGGCGTAGCCAGCAAAATGTAATAGTGGGGTCCAAAAATTTATAAAAAAAACCACAATAAATTATTCATCAAATGATCTGATTGTCAAACAAAAGCATTTGTCCAATAATAAAAGCATCCGTCCAATTGTATCTAAAAGAACATGTTCACGAAAAGAAACAAAGAGAAGAAAGGTCTAGCCAAGTCTACAATGAACCACGACGGGTTTTCATATTCTGAAAGTACTCTAAAATAGATTCCTTATCTAAACCATCTAGTATGTCTCTCTCAATGTACCCAACTAAGCAGTCATTCATCCAAGCATCGCCTATCCGATTCCTCAGCTTGTTCTTGATGTAGCTCATTGCAAAAAAAGCTCTCTCCACACTTGCAGTTGCAACAGGTAAGATTAGAGCTAGCTTTACAAGCATATACACCAAAGGATATGATCGATGCTTATTTGTCTTCACCATCTTCTTAGAAAGGTCTGCAATTCCTTTCAGTTCTCTAAAATCTTCATTTGACATCATATCATAAATATATGTATCCAGCTGATCATCTAGGCATGAGATATCCACATCTGAGAAGTCTCTAGGATAAAACGTGGCAAGCTTCAACAACATCTGCTTCTTAAAAGCACTAAATGAATTATCAGGAGTCAAGCAAGCCACACAACATAAGAGTTCAGTGTTCAGCTCATCAAAACGACTATTAAGCTCTTGCAGCTGCATATCCACCACTGTGTAAAATAACTCAACCTGAAAATGATGCAAATTTGTGATTCGTTGAGCATTCCTCCTTGATCTTCCTAGAGGAACATAAGTATCATTCATATCATAAATAGGCAGACATTCTTTGTTGCAGAAAGACAACACTTCATTCAGAAGTGGATCCCATCCTTTATCCCTCATGTCTTGCAATTTACTCTTTGCAGTACGAACAAGTGTCATTGCATTGACAATATCTTGATCTTTCCTTTGCAATGCCAAAGACAACTCATTTGTGATTGCTAGAACTTTAGTCATCATTCTCAAGATGAAAGCAAATTCAAAGGTCTGAATTAAAGTTAACATAGCAACGGCTTCACCTTTTGCTTCAGAAGTTCCCTCATTCCGAATGACCTCCAAACCATCAATCACAGCTGTGAACATCAAAGTCAAATTAACAAGAGTACCATAATGTGATCCCCAACGAGTATCACCTGGTCTTTTTAGCCCGATCTCTTGATTTAAACCCCGACCACTCTCTGCTTCACCACGAGCCAAAGAATCAGCAACTTTGACAGCATGGCTCTCCCGAATAGTATCCTTTCTTTTACAAGACCCACCAACCAAATTGAGCAAGTTACCAACAGTAGTAAAGAAACAACTAACATCCCCATGATTTTTGGCAACAACAACAAGTGTCAACTGAAGCTGATGGGCAAAACAATGAACATAGTATGCAGATGAACTTTCTTCCAAAATCAATGTTTTGAGTCCATTAATTTCCCCCTTCATATTGCTAGCTCCATCATAACCCTGCCCCCTAATTCTTGTCAAGCTCAATCCATGTCTTATAAGCATTGACTCAATTTCCTTCTTCAGTGTCACTGCTCTAGTGTTTGAAACATGAGACACACCAAGAAATCTCTCTACAACACATCCTTGCCCATCTACATAGCGCAAAACAATGGCCATTTGTTCTTTAATAGACACATCATGAGACTCATCCACCAGAATAGCAAAAAAATCATCCCCAATATCCTTCAAGATTTTCTTGGTTGTTTGAAATGCTATTGCATGAACAATATCTTTCTGTATGTCTGGAGAGGTCATTTGGAGATTTTTAGGAGCATTTCCCAACACAACTCTCTGTACAGCTTCTCTACCTCGAGCATGAAAATCTAGAAGTTCAAGAAAGTTACCTCTGTTTCTTGAAGAATCTGATTCATCATGCCCACGAAGTGCCAATCCATTGCGTATAAGAAATATGATGCAGTCGACTGTAGCCTCCAAACAAATCTTGTAATCTTTCTTGGCTTGATTCGACTGTTTGTAGAGGGCAACTTGGATACTTTGTGACTGTTTCATCAGAGCCTCACAATTTCTTGAAGCTATATTGTGTGGACTATTAGGACCACCAACATGAGTATCCAACCTCCCAATATTCTTATTCCAACTATTGAAACCTTCCCAAACAAAAGCATCACTTCCACCCTTGTTGCTGATCTCACTTCTAAATAAGTAGCAAGGCAAACAATATACAACATCTTTGGCAACACTGTACTCTATCCACGAGTACTTATCATACCAAGAAGGATTAAATCTTCGTTTCCTTTCACCAATATCTCTAAAGGGAAATTGATGCAATCGAGGTTGACATGGTCCTTTTTGAAGATAAGCTCTTCTAATCTCATCATGAACATTAGGATGGAAGGAGGTTACCGGTAGTCTTAACCCTGGATCAGCTTGCAAGGAATTGAGATCAACTTTCTGATTTGTAGCTGCAGAGGGAGACTCGTGTGGTTCTGGATGGATATTGGAAGCTCCGTTATTTTCAGGAACTACAGGATTAGGAACTGGGGTAGTCTTTGCTTTCTTTGCAAAGTAACGCTCCATAGTTGTTTGAAATCTACAAAATTATTGAGCACGATATCAATCAATATAAAATTTACTATTCAATTGGTACACTATTGTTTATAGGCATACAACAGATTCTTCTTGAAACTTGAACAATCTGTGGACATGAATGAAAAGAAACAATAAAACTTATATAGGAATAAAATAGTCAACGTAAATACAATACTATTATTAGCTTAGTTGTTTGAATTGCGAGTTACCTTTGGTCTTTGGCTCTTAGATTTCTTGGCCGAAGTTCAAAATAGAAGACTTGATGTCCTCTAGTACTGCTGCTGCTTGCGTCTCAAACTTAGAAGAGAGGAGGACAAGATTTGGAGGGGACTCGGTCACTTGGCAGCGGAAACGACAATGAATAGGGAGGCAAAAGGTCGGCGCTGCACAGACAGTTCTCTACGAACTCGTGTATGGGAAGGGATTCTTTTGGGGCGGCAGTAGGCAGAGAAAAGTATATTTGATTAGGGATTAGTAAATTAGTTTAATTTGCTGCGATGGTCAAGTCGTTAATGTTAAGTAATATAAGAGTAATGAACATGCTGTAATCAATTGAGTAAGTTGTCCTAGTGGTAAGGCTAGTGGTATTGGTAAGATGGGGTCCATGGTTCGATTCCCATGCTTGCCCCTCTAATACCTATATTTTTTGAATGTCAGCCTAAAATCCAAGTGGGGTCCACTGACCCCACACCCTTCCATGTGCCTCCGCCAATGGTCGTATCACGATGTCGTGATATAATGAGATGACATGGAGGGTTAGCTGAGATTTTGTACCAGAACCCATGTCATATTTGAATACAACATTTAACGTCAACACCCAAATGTTTATATTTGAATCCAATAAAGATGATCAATATTTTTTATTTATAAAATACATCACAAATTATTATTATGTTTAATTATCGATGGAGTTCAGACTCTGTATTTAGTAATTGATTAAGGGTTAGAGCGTCCCTCTGCGCTCCATTTTTCGCAAAAAAAATTCACTAAATTCATGCAATCCCTTTACCGACTAATTGAAGGACCAAAATAAAAAGGTTGCATGGTAAAAGAGAAGAAATGATTCTTCCGTCTCTTTTCCTTCTGTTAGTAATTAATGATTAATGGCAATAGAAAAGAAAAAATAAAATAATTATTTCAGCCAATGGACTGAGCACATGTGGACGGGTTGTAGGGAGAGGCTGTTGGATGATTTCAAGTCAAAATTAACGTTCTGGACCGTTGCTGATTTAGAGGATTGCAAAAGAGAAAATTAAGGGATTATGAAGAAAGTTTCCTTCTTTGGACCAACAGCTCTTTGTCAAAGCTATATATATTTGTGTTGTGTCAATGTAGAATGATACTTTTGTAAGTGGGAGCGGTATAGAGCTGGGTTACAAAAGGGTGTGTTGCTGCAGAGAGGTAGAGGGTCTCTGCATCAGGATCGAATATGTGATTCGAGGAGCTATTTTCTGGTTTTCTTCTTACTTGGTTGTATTTGGTTCTTTTGTATCTTATACTGAAAATTTAAACAAAGAGTCTCCGAGACTGTATTCTGAGACATGGAAGTAAACCATTGCACTTGGGCGAACCACGTTAAAAACGCCTCTTGTTCTTTATTTACTGCACCTTCTTCTTTGCTTTTTGCAGTTTCCTGGAGAGACGTGTTGTCTTCTCAATTCGTATTCTCATCATACTGATTGGGCTTTTGGCCTATCTCAAAGACAACACTCCTCTTTTGTTTTGGTCTCTTGATATTTTCTCAATTCGGGCTCATTCTCTGTTTCGACCCATTTTCTTTGTTCGGTTCCTAGAGACTCGATCAGAAGCAACTGAAAAGTTCTTCTCTTCTTTTAGATCTCTCCTTCCTTCTTTCTCTTCTCTGCTTGACCTAATTCGCTCGTCCAGAACCCTTTTACAAGTGGTATCAGATCCATGCCTTGACGAAGCTTGCTGCTGCCAAGGTCTAAGATCCAATGGCTTCTAGCACGTTCGGACAAGCTGCTCTGAATCATCCTCCAATTTTCACTAGGGCAAATTACACTGTTTGGAAAAAAGAGGATGAAGCAATTCATGTGGGGAGTAGACGAAGAGTTATGGCTGATAGTTCAGAATGGTCCCATTCAAATGAATGCAGATGAACAAAATCTGTGGTCAGCAGCTCAAAAGAAAAGTGCATAGCTCAATCAAAGAGCTATGCATGTTCTCCAATCGGCTATGAATCCGGATGAAGCAGATCAAGTCGAGAACTGCGAGACTGCTCAAGAAATCTGGCTCGCTCTGGAAAGCACGTATAAAGGTACTTCGAATATCAAAGAGTCTCGTATAGATATTTTAATGCATGAATTTGAATCATTTGCTATGATAGAAGGAGAAGGAATACATGAAATGTATTCTCGCTTACTGTGCTTACCAATAAACTTAAGGGCCTGGGTAGATCATTTCATATTAAGGAGTTGAATCCCAAAATTCTTAGATAATTGCCCAAAGAATGGTTTCCTAAACGGATTGCTATTGAGGAAGCTAAGAATCTGACTACTTTGCCTACTAATGAATTGATAGGATCGCTATTAAGTCATGAACTTGTTATTAGGCAGGTTGGGCAAGAAGATGAGAAACGTTAAAAGAATTTAGCTTTCAACTCAAAGACTATATGTTAAGACTCTGATAGTGAAAACGACTTTGATAAAGAATATGATCTTGTTAGTAAGAGATTTCATAGGATGCTGAAGTTTAAAAATGATCAAAAACGGTACTCTGAGGAGTCAAGACCTGTGTCTTATGATCGTAACAAATCCAATTTTCAAGAAAGGCTGCCTCAACAGCAGACCAGACATATTGAAACAGGTCAGCAGAACAGGGAACCTCAGGCATGCTACAAATGTGGGAAGTTTGGTCACATTAGGGCAAACTGTCCCTTAACCATTCGTGCAAAAGAAAAGGCCATGAAGGCATCTTGGAGCGATTATGACTCAGAGCCAGAAGCAAATCAATCAGATGAAGAGGCATACATGGCTACTGAAGTTTGTCATGAAGCAACTGAGATTGCTCTCCAATCAAATCATTCTGATCAAGACAACAAACGGTGGTACTTAGACAGTGGATGTTCTCATCACATGTCTGGTAAGAGATCTCTTTTCTCAACTATAACGCTTAGCTATGGAGGTAAAGTTCTGTTTGGAGAATGGTCATGGTAACATTATGGGTTGTGGAACTATAGGAACACATCCATCACCCTCATTTCGAGATGTCTTGCTTGTTGAAGGACTTAAACATAACCTGTTGTCTATCAGTCAACTCTGTAGCAACGAAAATCAAGTTGCCTTCAAAGTAGATCATTGCATTGTCGAAAGAGTTAAGGATGGAAAAGTTCTATTTGTGGGTAATAGAATAAAAAATATGTATGTGATAGATCTGAATGACTTGGATGCCTTTAATGAAACCTGTTTTGTGGTTTTAAGTCAACAGGAATTGTTATGGCACAGGAAGTTGGGTCACATAAGTCTGCCTAAATTGGTAGTCCTGTCCAAATCCAATTGTGTTCGTGGAGTTCCTCATTTAAAAGAAAAAACATATTTCTTTTGTGAAACCTGTATCTCGTGGAAACATTCCATAAAAGCTTTTAAACCTAGACCAGATAGTCACAAATGGAGTATTTGAGTTAATTCAATGGACCTTTTTGGACCATCCAATGTGACAAGTCTGGGTGGTAAAAGCTATGTTTTTGTCTTAGTTGATGATTATTCACGCTATACTTGGGTTTATTTCTTATCTCATAAGGATGAAACTCTGAGAAAATTCAAAACCTTTTGTATCGTGGTCAACTAAAGACCATAAAAAGTGACAATGGTGGTGAATTTATATCAGATGAGTTTGAGGTTCTGTGTAATGAATCCGGGATAACTCATACCTTTTCTGCCCCTAGGACTCCACAACAGAATGGAGTTGTTGAAAGAAAAAATAGAACCATCATTGAATGTGCTCGCACCATGTTACTTGAATATAACTTGCCAAAATTCTTTTGAGGTGAAGCTGTTAGTACAGCCTGTTATGTGATCAATAGGGTTCTTCTTCGAAAAGGTATAAATAAAACCCCTTATGAGATAATGAAAAAGAAGACACCAAACTTGTCTTATCTACATTCGTTTGGTTGTCCCTGTTTTATTCTTAATACTAAAGATCATCTAGGAAAGTTTGATGCCAAGTCTGATAAGGCTATCTTTCTTGGATATTCTATAAAGGGACAAGCCTATCGTGTCTACAATAAACGTACTAAGAAAGTGGAGGAATCTGTTCATATTGTGTTTAACGATTCATCTAATCTAATGAAGGATTCTGATCAAGATTTGCTAGTTTATGATATGTTGGAACTAACTCGTGACAATAGTGAAGTTCACTTAGACAAGGAAACAGGATCTTCATCATCAAAGGAAGTGTCTCGAGATAAGACTGCTGATTCTCCTAGTAATACAGAGACATCCAAAGCATCTGAGCACATTGAGAGCCGACCTGCTGCCCCTCCTCATATACAGAAACGACACCCTGTTGATCAAGCCATAGGAGAGCTCAATGACAAACTCAGAACCAAAGGTAAGTATATTCCTGGCCAGTATGCTTTTGTGTCTCAAATTGAACCTAAGAATTATAAAGAGGCATTAAAGGATGAGGAATGGACGCTTGCTATGCAAGAAGAGTTAACCCAATTTGCCTATCTGCATGTTTGCGACCTAGTTCCCCGTCCTATAAATCAAACAATTATTTGTACCAAATGGATTTTTAGAAATAAATCAGATGAAGATGGCATTATTATTCGTAATAAGGCTCGTCTTGTAGCTCAAGGGTATTGTCAAGAGGAAGGAATAGACTATGATGAAACGTTTGCACCTGTGGCACGTTTAGAGTCTATTAGATTATTATGTGCTTATGCTTGTTACATGAAATTCCCTTTGTTTCAAATAGACGTCAAAAGTGTTTTCTTGAACGGGGATATCCATGAGGAAGTCTATGTCTCCCAACCTCCTGGTTTTGTAGATCCAAAATTTCCTGATCTTGTTTATAAAAGCTCTGTATGGGCTCAAACAAGCACCTCGTGCTTGGTATGAACGCTTAACATCTTTTCTTCATGATCAAGGATTCAAGCAAGGATCATTTGGCAAAACCTTATTTACTAAACGCAATTCTAATGACTTGCTTCTTGTTCAAATATATGTAGATGATATAGTCTTCGGTTCTACTAATCCTGACATGTGTGATGCCTTCTGTAAATCCATGAAAGAGGTATTTGAAATGAGCATGATGGGAGAACTACAATACTTCCTTGGTCTGCAAATTAAACAGACAAATCATGGAACGTTTATTTCTCAGTCGAAATATTTCTCCTCCATGCTCACTAAGTTCGACTTTACCTCATTAAAACCTTCTCCAACTCCCATGGCAGTTAATGTCAAACTGGATAAAGACGAGACTTGATCTCCAGTTGATGAGTCTAAATTTCAAGGGATGATTGGATCTCTTTTATATCTTACAACCAGTCGACCAGACATACAATATAGTGTGCCTGTGTGCTCGCTTTCAGGCATGTCCTAAAGAAAGTCATTTAAGTGCTGTTAAACGTATTTTTTTATATCTAAAAGGCACTCCAGACGTAGGCTTATGGTATCCAAAATAAGATCACTTTGATCTTATGGGGTATAGCGACTCTGATTTTGCTGGGAGTTTGACTGATCGTCGTAGTACGTCTGAAAGTTGTCAATTGGTGGGTACTTGTTTGGTTTCATGGTAATGCAAAAAACAAGGTGCAATTGCTTTATCAACAGCTGAGGCTGAATATATGGCTGCTGGCAACACTTGTACTCAACTGTTGTGGCTTAGAAAATCAACTATCAGATTATGGTCTAAAAAATCTCGTCAATTCTTCTCTTTTGTGACAATACCAGTGCTATCTGTATGTCTAAAAATCCAGTGCAACATTCACGTACCAAACATATTGACATTAAATACCATTTTATTCGTGATCACGTTCAATCTAGAGTCATTAATTTGCAATACATCAGTACTGAATATCACCTTGCAGATTTATTCACCAAACCCTTAGCATCAGATCAATTTACCTTCCTTTGTTTCGATATTGGGTTGCGATCCTTGCAATCCATCCCTGATTTCTCGACTTCTTGATGATTCTGGTTTTTTTTATTTCCTTTTGTTTTCCTTCTGTGTATATGTTCAGCTTCTGTGTTCCTTTGTTCCTGTGTTCCTTTTCTTGTTCTCCTTTCCTTCCCTTGTTCCTATTTAAGTGTGGTGTTTTCTCGTCGTCCTTTCGCATTCAGTTGTAGCTTTAAGTTTCTGATCTGTTCCTTTAGCTTCCAGTCATGGCTTATACTTTTGCCCTCACCTTCTCTGGAACCCTTTTTCATGACCCCATCCCCTTTAATTTGCATCATCATATTCAATCCTTTGTCAATCGTCCTATTTCTCAAACCCATCAAATTCCTTTTGTGGGTCTTAGTGTCCATTGGCTGGAAGTTAGGCATCTTGTGCACAACCTGGGTTGGGACTTTCTGCTGGAAGAGCACCCTACTCTTATCTGTCCTGAGGCCGTACGAGTTTTCTACTCAAATCTACGATATTTTGGGTTGCAATCTCACACTCTCTCTTTTTTGGTTTTTGGTCATCTGATCACTCTTCCAGCTGGCGATTTGGGTCACCTCCTCAACATTCCTGCTATAGTGCTATTGGCGAAAACCTGGTCCATGAGTTCGAGCTGCCCTTGTTCAACTTCGACATCACTGAGGAAGCGGTTCATCTGACTGGACATGTGCCTGACGAAGACTCTACTCTTCCTGTGGACATCCTTGTGCCATCCTTTAAGGTTTTTCACTACTGTCTCACTCGGATGTTTCTTCCTCAGACCACCTTTCTTGATCGAGTCACTCCTTTGGATATCTGGATCATGGCTCATGCAGTTGCTGAGGTACCTCTTGATTTCTCCCCTCAGTTGTTTGGAGCGCTTCTTCCCTTCGTCGATCATAACCACTATGCTCTTCTACCTTTTGGGACTCTCATAACTCGTATGTTGCTTACTCTTCCTATCAACCTTAACCTTTATCGTTTTGAGTCTCCCACTCTCTGGCTCTCTGTGGACAAGATTGTTGATGAATTGGATATTGCGATTGAGGAATAGGTGAACCTGATTTGGATAAGCGAATCAAGCTCTGCTTCTGACGACTCTGATGGTGGAGATGATCATGCGCCTGCGCTTGAACCTTTTGCAGCTGCTCTTCAAGAACTCTATGGTTCTGACTCTGAATCAGCACCAGATCATCACACCGATTCAAAGTATCCTGCAAACCTGGAGGACTTGCTGTTTGAGGAAGAAATAGAGGAATGAGTGTGATCTTGTTGTCTAGTCTTTTGAGTTTCGTTTCGTCTTTGGTAATTTGTTTTTTGGATGCTTGAACTTAGGGGGAGATTATTTTTCGTTGTATTGCTCTCAGGGAGAGCTCGGATTGCCTTGGTTTAGCCGTGTTGACTCTGTTAGATTTTTATCGGTGTGTGTTTTGTTTGTCTAGTCTCTGGTGTGTTGGGTTGTTATCTGTTTTGCAGGTTTGTGCAATCGTCAATATCTGACTTAGGGGGAGATTGTTGGATGATTTCAAGTCAGAATTAACGTTCTGGACCGTTGCTAATTTGGAGGATTGCAAAAGAGCAAATTAAGGGATAACGAAGAAAGTTTCATTCTCTGGACCAACGGCTCTTTGTCAAAGCTATATATATTGGTGTTGTGTCAATGTAGAATGATACTTTTGTAAGTGGAAGCGGTATAGGGCTGGGTTACAAAAGGGCGTGTTGCTGCAGAGAGGTAGAGGGTCTCTGCATCAGGATCGAATCTGTGATTCGAGGAGCTATTTTCTGGTTTTCTTCTTACTTGGTTGTATTTGGTTCTTTTTTGTCTTATACTGAAAATTTAAACAAAGGGTCTCCCAGGCTATATTCTGGGACGTGGAAGTAAACCATTGCACTTGGGCTAACCACATTAAAAATGCCTCGTGTTCTTCATTTACTGCACCTTCTTCTTTGCTTTCTGCAGTTTCTTGGAGAGAAGTGTTGTCTTCTCAATTCGTATTCTCATCATACTGATTGGGCTTTTGCCCTATCTCAAAGACAACCTCCTCTTTTGTTTTGGTCTCTTGATATTTTCTCAATTGGGGCCCATTCTCCTTTTCGGCCCATTTTCTTTGTTCGGTTCCTAAAGACTCGATCAGAAGCATCTGAAAAGTTCTCTTCTGTTCGATCTCTTCTTCCTTCTTCCTCTTCTCTGCTTGACCTAATTCGCTCGTCCAGAACCCTTTTAAAGAGCCTCCATAGTGGGTTGGAGGTAAATATCGTCCATAGATTTTTAACCAAACACTAAACTTTTTTTTAATGTACTTTTCTAAAAATTTAAACGAGAAGCTGCTTCTGCAAATCTAGCCCATTATGCGATGTTACTAGAAAATGTGGTCTCCCTGAAGTTACGAGGAAATACTGAAATAGTCAATGGCTTTTGACTTCAAACTAAGAGAGGAAAGAAAGGGCTTGACTCCTGGATTGGCCTTGGGCCTTACCAAACTTTGAAATGGGCTTGAACCCTGAAACTATGGCTGATTGGGCTTTTGCAGCCCTAACCTCAACAAGCTTGAGCTTGGCCTCTTTAGTAAAAAACAGAGTACACAAACTCGTAGTGGGCGGCAAAGATGGCCACAGGATTAGCAACCAAAAGATAAGAGTTTGGCCATGGCGCAAAAGCCATCAAAAAAATCACTCGTTGCCTTGTTTGATAACTAGCCCTCTAAAAACGGATGACACTTTCTGGATAGAATTCAGAAAGTTACATCCTTTTGCTCCTCATCTTTCTTTCCATGGCGGCAACCATCAAACTAGTACTTCCTCCACCACAACAATCCACTCCAGGTAAACAAACCCTTCACCCTGCTTCTCCATGGATCTCCTGCAAACCCATTTCCCATGGCGGCCATTCGTCACTCGGCATTACCAGTTCCCCTCACTTTACCAGCAGGCCGCCACTCTCAGCCTCCATTTCGTTCGACCCATCCAGGAACTTCGACCTCACTTTATTTGACGATGATCAAGGTAATAACAACCAATTCATCCCAATAACTCACCCAACACGAACTGTATCGTCAGAGCGCGTAATTTGACTCCGCTTTTTCTCGACAGATGCGTCGGATGTAGCGCCGCAGCCGATGCCGCCGAGCCAGGGGAGGTACGAGGTTGTCATCGACAATGGCATCATTGGCAGCCTCGATTTGTCTCCGTTTCGCGATGCTATGCCTGCGGGCATCATTAAAGCTTCCGATTCCCCTGCCTCAGGTAACGAAAGAAAGGGGGGGGGGGGGGGAAAACAGAGTCCCCTGAATTTGATGCCTCGAGTTTTTTTTTAATGCTAAAATTATGGGTTTTGATTAGCGGATGACGCGAAGCAATTGTTGGAACGAAGCGTGGGATTTACGATAAACTATACGAGGGAGGACCCACGGGATCCTCGAGAGCTGTCGGAATTTCCAGACGTGAGGCTCTGGTTCGTGAGGCTGGATGCAGCTTATCCATGGCTGCCTGTGGTGCTTGACTGGAGAGCAGGGGAACTCGCTCGTTACGCCGCCATGATGGTCCCTCATCAGGTTAATACAAACAAACAAACCCACTTCGGCTAAGATCCGATCTTTCTGATTAGATACTCATGTTTAGAGAGTTCGTTGCGAGAATTGATGTTTTTGGTTATGTGGGGTTGCAGATGAACATGAAGATGGGAGTTGTGTTCAATCCGGAGGCGTTGGAGTTGTTCGTGATGAAGAAAGTGTTCGTGGTGTATTCTTGGCTGAAGGAGCAGAATGTTAGCAAGGCGAGGTTGAAGACAGGTGATATGGCTAGAATGCTTGGGTTTGGGATTGGAAATGAGCTTTTTGACTTGATTGATAGAAAGTGAAAAAAACTATTTCTGAATTGTTTTCATAATTCCACATATGTGTAAAGAGTAGTTTATTTATAGATGATTGTTTGTCTCGAATTAACCATCACGTTCATCCAGCGACAATAAAATTGCTTATTTTAGGGTTTTTGTTTACATTATTCTCTTGGCCTTGTTTTGTGATTATCGTTTGCAAGTTGATATATTTTTTAATTTATATAATGGTAAAATAGTTGCAAGGTGCTATTGCTATTGCATACCTTTAAATGAATTATAATGAGCTTTGTTTCTTAATTTCTCCGGTGTAAAAATAAAATTTGATGGTATTTTAATTGATATAGTTATATTTTGAGTATAGTCACACGATATAGTTATTGAGATGGTATGACTGAAAGTAAATCGAATGATCAAAACATAAGTTAGCAATATATAAAACAAGGTTCAAAAAGGCGCTAGGCGTAAGGCGGGCGTTGAGACTTTGCCTAGCTCGCCTAGGCGTAGACTAAGTGTGCCTAGGCGTTGGAAGAAAAATAGTTATTCGCACTACATGATGAATGAAATAATATCTACAATACTTCCTCACTTCAGTTAAAATGATTAATAACTTACTCAACACTTAATGACAAGAACATAGCTCACGAATTCATAGAATCATAGCTCAATAGCTCACAAAGTTCTTCAGCTATCGAAAATATTGATATTGAAAATTAATTTCGTAGTTGACGTTAATTTTCTCCTATAATATTGACATCCTAGCTCCATCTATCAATGTTTGGGAGAGACTTATATGTCGCCTTACTTCATTGATGTGTTCACGTATCTAATTAGGCGCAAAACCCCAACGCGAGACGTTGTGTCATTGCCTTGCGCCTAGGCGTGTCTAAGCGTAAGATTAATCGTGTCTTTTTGAACCATAATAGTACTTCTTTCATGCGGATCAATACCATATTGTAATTCCAGTATAGAAAATCTCATTATTTGTGATTGACAATGCGTTACATATTTTCTTTCTAGCATTAAACTAACTATATGATAAGTCTCAAAGGCATGACCGAACAACAAGGTTACATAACTGATGATAACCTAACGTGGTTGTTTGTGTGCAGTTAAACTCGGCTAACAGAGTCTGTAAACAAATCGTAATCGACAAAGATATATCGTTTGGTTGCAGCGACATGATCTTTTGATTTTATATGATCTTTTAAAGAATTCACGGATAGAATTTGGTGCAGGAAAAACTAAATCTGTAGCAGAAGCTGCTCGCTAAGAAGAACAATGTAAAAAATACGGACAAACTTCTCCCTATCAGAAGCAACATACTAGAATTTGATACCCTTTAACACACACGAAATAACCAAACTACTGCTCTGGAGGGAGGTGAAAAAAATAGATATATCGCTTCTTCTTCTTTACATTGTTCCTTCTATTTTACCTAAACACATCGTCTCCTTTGATTCAGTGTAACTATAATAGATTTTTAACTTTCACCAATATCTCACAAAGAGAACAAAACTAAGCAATGCATTAGACATTGATTGGGTTGCCAAGTATAACTACTTTCTCCATAAGTTGCTAGCTTATATGCATGTGCCTTGTGTGAAACGGTTGCATTTCACAACTTATATGTGTTTTTGTTATTATGATAACCTTGCGGTCCAACTACGACTCATTGTTAGCCATTCGAATGGGCTGTTTGGCCTGACCACCAACGACCTAGTGTTAGCAGACGGATCCAAAAAATTCCTGGCCTTGGACGTTCTCGGGTACAGCAGATCCATGTTCGAACTCAGCCCATAGTGCGCATGATCAAAAGCAGGCTGGAAAAACATAGACCCTGTGGATGTTTCAACCTGCAGCAAGATGGAAAATCGTCATTAGCAACTTTTACAACAGCATGACCGATTTCTGAACTACATGTCGCCATTAAACCGATGAGAAAGCATAAAAGAGATACACAGGATAGATAAGAGAGATACTGCGGCAGCCATGTCTCTGTTGTTTCGAGGAGGTTCTGTATGTACAGCTTACCAAAGGTCGGAAAAGGGTCATCGCCGAAACTAATGTCAGAATCTTTCAGTTAATTGGAGAACGGAGGCGAACCAGCCAACCATGAGGGGAATCGTGCTCAGAATCATCACCCTTTCTGTTGGACTGGTGGCGGGGAAGGAAAGAACGGAGATGGCATGTAGCTCCACTGGGCCCCGAGCAGCTTCCTGGATCCTGAACCGATATGCCAGACAAAAATATCGCCGGGATGGAAAATATAGCCAATATATCGTAACATATCGTTTTGTTTACGCATACCATGACTTCTCCCCTAGCCCTAAAGCTGGGAAGCTGTAGAAACGTCTAGACGAAAGGGAAACGTAAGGGAGAAATGCTGAAACGCGAAATGTATCAAGTACTTAAAACCAAAGTGGAAACGTGATATGTTGAAATTGACGAGATATCACGATATTATGATATTTTTTTATATATTGTTTTCCGACAATATTTTAACGAGAAAAAGTCCTACATGCAGACACCACTACTGTTCAGAGTACCATAAGTTGCAAGCGATGCTGCAAATCCTTTCATTGGAAAACCACCATGGGCAATGTTTGCTGCAATTCTCCTGAATAAATTACAACCTTGAAGCTATTTTGAATGATGCCGTTAGATTTTGAAAGTATGTTGTCGTATCATCTTTAGTAAATTTTCTTTGACTTTGTCTTACTGAGGTGTTATTTTGGGAGAGCTCCTGGATAGTTTATTGATGTACTTTCTATCTATCTTGTCTTTACTTGGGGGAAATGAAGTTTTGTTGAAAGTGAAAGTAAACCGTGTGAGATTTTACTACAAAATGAACAATTCTTCTTGGAGATATGTTACATGTATTCATTCCCACATTAAGTAACATGATAAGTCAAATTGGCATTAATTTGAAATTTTAGGACCAAATATCTCGATTACAACCTATAATTATAAATCAATTTTAAGTGATCATGGCCATTGAAGTGCTCGAGTTGTTATAGTACCATGTAGTGACATTAAATATTGTTCTAAATTTTTAAAAATATAACTTGTAAATTTGCATGCTCTTACGAACAAGATTCGACTGTTAGAGAAAAGGTGGTTCTGGATGATTAGACTTATATCTTACGAATAAATACGACCTATGTCATCTCCCAATGTTTTTATTTTCCAAGGAAACCATCTTACCACCTTCCTTCTGCACAAGGAGAAGAAATAGTTGGCAGCGAGCATTTAAACCGCAATGAATATTGATACAAAGTGATATATTGCTTCGTCTGTTATTTCTAAGCATATCGCTTTGCATAATCTAATATAGCCACAAGGATATATATAGTTTACACCAATATCTCATAAAATGATATTATGAAGAAAAAAAATGCAATGCATTTGACTTGGATTGGATTGCCAAGTACAATTTCTTTCTCTACTAAATTACTATTTATATGCAACAAAATCATGTGTTTTTTATGAACCAACGTGACTAAGTTAAATTTCACAACTCAAATATGTGTTCCATACAATGATAGTACTGGAGTTGTGATAGTTGTTAAAGATCATACAAAATAACACTAACTTACACCTAGTCGTTGGTTCATGGCATGTAACACACTTTTGATGTTACTTTATTGCGGATTTAGCTTAACCATGGATGGCTAATTCATTTCAAATCTAGGAGCAACACATTATGTGCAACTATTTTTCATAAAATGTAGTGGATTATATCTCAGCTGGTTTAATATATATTTTTTTTTTAATTGAGAGATATTTTACCACAGAATGCCATGATGGTAGAACTTGATACAGAAGAATATACGTAGAAATATAACATGGTGTACATTGCTGGTTTTTATGGTGGTAGAAAATATTAACCACCATATACCATCTTTTAACATGGTCTACCATCATCATCTACCACTATTGGTAGAGGTCACAATAATTGGCACCTTTTTTTTATGAAATTATAGAGTGTTTGACATCATTTTCTAAGTCATAATGAACATGTTTTATCTGTCACATTTGTTCAATATTTCGAGTTAAAACGAAGCTGATAAGAGAGGGTAAACCATGTTGATGAGTAGTAAAAGAATCTCAAAATATATTAAAAGTTGAAACTAGAAAAACCAATTTCTTTTGTACAAATTTCTTAGAATTTAAGTTAAGAAAATATACAAATCGATTAAAACAAGTAGGAGAATTAAAAAAAATCTTTTAATATCAACCGTCATATATGAGCCCACTTAAAATTAAGGGGATATAGTTGAGGCACAGACACATAACTATAGGTTATGCATTTGATCCTAAGCAATTTCTTAATATGTAAAAGGTTTAATATACTTGTATAATCCAAAAATTTCACGGTTGTGCCAATAATATCCAAATTTCCCGGAATACCACTTATATTCATGTTTTAAAGTTGTTCTTTGCCAAATCTATCCATTTACCAATATATTTTTGGTTAAATACACTTGTATATCCAAAAACACGTTAAAGAATGTGAGGAACTGGATATAAGTGGTATTTCGGGAAATTTGGATATTATTGGCACAACCGTGAAAGTTTTAGATATACAAGTGTATTTAACCTATGTAAAATTATGAAATTGTTTGTGATGGTAAATAAATACATAAAAATCATATTGAAAACAAATAGAGGACACCATGATTTAAGTTATAATAACGATTATTATGTCGGCAAGAATTTTTTAGAAATTGCATTTTTTTTAATATATTTTTGGGGCGAAATTGAGAAAATAAAGACCATAACTTTTTAGTTTTTGTTTGATACAGTTGGAAACAAGGAAAAGCCAACGTGGTTCATCAACGATCGCATGACTGCCGACGGGCTTAACGAGCACGCAGCTACACACCTAGAAAGAGACTCCTACATGGAAATGAGATTGTTCGTAGCCCCATAAGTTGCGAACGAGCTGCGAATCCTTTCACAGCAAGGAAAAAGATCATGTCAATGGCTGCTGTGGTCGCTCCTTCGTCTTCGTCTTCCTCTTCTCATCTTCGCCAAGCTCTGCCACGAAAGAGCCCTCCACTCTCTCGCAATTTCCATCTCCCTCAGTCATTTCGCCCCCGCCGCCTGCTTGCCTCCACCACAATTCGCGCCGTCGCCGTCGAACAGGTGTGCTTGATACTGTTTACCCACCTCGTTTTCACTTCAAAGTCCGAAACTTTTCTCAATTGGGTTCTTCAATTTCTGTTACACAGTTGGAATTGTATATTGTTTGGAATGTCTGGAGTTGGTGGTACTGAAGTTGGCGAAAGGTTCGTTGCTACGTTGTTCAATTCATTCGTGAATTGAAGATGTTGAATGAGCCCTCTAATTGGATGCTGTTTGATCATCGATTGTTTGCAAAATTCACGACTCTCAAATCTCGATTTGGGATCTTAAGGCTTATGTTTCAAGATTGTTTACACAATTGCTGATGACTACTAAGCAGGGAATGCAATTTTCTCATTTCTTGTGTGAATAGGATAGGGGCTGGATATATAGTCATTTTAGAATATGATGAAGTAGCAGTTGGACCCTGAAGGATGCTGTGTGTTTGTTTTGTTTGATTGTTTGCTGGGATAAAGTAAGAACTTCTGGATTTGCAGGAATCAAGAGCACAACTTGGTCCGAATGAGTATGTTGAAATATTCGCCTGCCCAGTGTGTTATGAACCTCTGATAAGAAAAGGCCCTTCTGGTTTTAACTTGTAAGTGGATGGACTATCATACTATATAGACACTTGTTTCTACTGTCTGTTCATCATCGTGGGTGCTGAATCGCAAATAAATTCAGGGCAGCAATCTACCGTTCGGGCTTCAAGTGTGCAAACTGCAACAAAACGTATTCTAGCAAGGACAACTACCTTGATCTTACGGTTACTGCTGGAATGAAGAGTTACACTGAAGCCATGCCAATGGGGACTGAGCTTTTCAGGTGAGCATAAACAGTTACTCACAATCAAATGGTAGATACATCATAGATGCATATAGTATTTATGCTTTCAAAAAAATTGTATGAGAAGGGACTTCATAAGTAAGCCTCATGGTCTGACAATCATGAAGCCATTCTGCCACATTTGGATTTCTTGGAACTGAAAGGATTCTCAGGAGTGGGGTTGTGAAATGTTCAGTTTTGGTCTGTTTCCTATAATATGAAAGACTTCTTTGTTGAATATCGGGCTGGCGATCATGTAAGACTTCTATCCTATAAATGAATGTTTCCCCCTTGGTTGTTGTCATGTTTGCAGGAGTCCCCTTGTTTCATTCTTGTATGAGCGAGGGTGGCGTCAAAGTTTTGACAGAAGTGGGTTTCCTGGTCCAGATGAAGAGGTTTGTCTGATCTTCTTAGTTCAACTTGCTCCTTGATCATCACTAGCTCTAGTGAAAGAAAATGTATTGACATTCAGTTTTGGATGTCTCTTTATGAAAACCGTGTATTGAAGCGCATTCATTTCACGATTACTTTTCGGCAATGCAGTTCAAAATGGCTCAGGAGTACTTCAAACCAGCAGAAGGTGGCCTTCTAGTTGATGTCAGCTGTGGCAGTGGTTTGTTTTCCAGGAAGTTTGCCAAATCTGGGACCTATTCTAAAGTTGTTGCACTTGATTTTTCTGAAAACATGCTCCGCCAGAGTTATGATTTCATAAAGGCAGAAGGCACTATCTCAGATGCGTAAGGTTCCCTGGCCTTGCTTAGACAGCTCGATCGTCCAAATTTGTTCTTATCAAGTGAACGCCAAGTGTTTTGAAATGTGCAGAAATCTGGCGTTGGTGAGAGCAGATGTTTCAAGGCTCCCATTCGCCTCAGGTTCAGTCGATGCTGTTCACGCCGGTGCTGCCTTGCATTGCTGGCCAGCTCCTTCCAATGCTGTAAGGCTATCCTACCATTCTCCGACTGACTTAATACGCCCCTGAGGGGTGTATGTTATCAAAGTCACGCAGCTAACGACTCAATCAAAGAATCGATTGAGCTCGAATCAAGAACAAAGCGCTCTTAATACGATCTTGGATAAAACGGAACCAAAAGGACAAATCCACACCTGGGGATAGCTCGATTGGTATAAAAGGTAGATGCCCGACCACGATTGAAGTGACTATTCAATCGATACAAGAGCTCACGAGCTTGGAATCCACCAAACTCAACACAAGTCGCAACTTGCACAAAAACCAAAAGGTTCTCAATTCGATTAATCAAAGTCTTAGTTTTTACAACGTAAATAGAACGGTATTTAAAGGAAAATAAAACCTAATACAATCATAGTATAACTAGGAAACAATTAAGGTAAAATTCTACACTAAAAAGGACACAAAATTCGGGTTTAAACTTCCTCTTTCAAGCGCAAGTAAGCTGCCAGCAACAGTCAAAAGGCAGCTTTCGTACTAACTTCGCGCCTTTCGTTCAAGGCCTTCCCGAACTCCAATCTTTCATCCGATTCCTTCCCTTGGTAGATAAACATACCTAGTTTCATGTTGTGGAAGACTTTGGACTTGAATCAGATCCATACTCCTCGAATTGAGCTCCAAAGTAGGCTTCACAGAGCAGTTTTCTGCCTTAGCCATTTTCTGGCAGTTTTCTAGTTTTGAGGTAGCAACTTTGAGGCCTTGGAAAACAACCTTAATGACATCATCTGGATCCACCAAGCATACCATTGGAAAGATGGTAACTTTATCTGCAAAACAAACCCTTAAAATAGAATTTCCACCAAGCCAATTGAGAGAACCATGCCTCCAAAGTATGTACCCTGAACACGGATTTTGACTTAGCCAAATTCTGCCTTTCTTCTTCCCAACTTTGGTAGCTTCTTTGTCAAGTAATTCTGACGTGAATTGTGGGCAATTTGGGATCATATCATGACTTTATGCTGCAAGTTCTGAAATCTCTCATTTCTACTTCAGACCTCCTGTAACGATATTGCAGCCTGACAATATGCTACCAAAATGTTCTCCTGAAGCATTTTTTTCTTGAGATTTGCAGATTTCTGAAATATGTCGTGTATTGAGAAGCGGCGGAGTCTTTGTTGGAACCACTTTTCTTCGTTATACTTCTTCGACACCAGTAATAGCACGTCCTCTCAGACAGGTAGATCAGTTCATTCACATATGACATATCTGTTCTCAATTTCATAATGATCAGTGATTCAACAAATATGATGAAAAGAATTGTGAATGCTTGATATATAAATCGAGATTAAGTGCATCACGAACTGTATAGTGTATACTAGTTCTAACACCAATGATGTATGCCTTTGACTAAACTAAGTTATTACGCATCCATTGCAGCAATTTCTGGCAAGGTACAATTACTTCATAGAAGAGGAAATCGAGGACTTGTGCAAGTCCTGTGGTCTTACAAACTACACCATGAAAGTTCAACGATCGTTCATCATGTTCTCAGCTCAGAAACCTTGATAAGCAGGTTTAGGTGCAATCCCATACACCATTCTCTGTAAGTTGCCTTATTGTATATCAATTCACTGTATAGACATCTCAAACGAACAAAGCCCGGAACAGACTATCCCTGAAGACATACACAGACATCATAACTGTATAATTACCATTAATCAAAGTTTGCAACTTTGTCACACCATGTCACTAGATGGTTCCTCAGAATAACAGGATTAGTTTACTACTCCACAGATTAACAACATTATCATTGATCATGGGGGTTGCAAAAGGCCATTGACACCAGCCTTCTGCAACAAACCAAATGTCAGAGGGGTGAGAAATAATCATTCTAATCATATGTCTCCAGCACCGGCCAGAAACCGGTGGGCGGCTTAGCAATACCAAAAACTTTCAACCCAAGAATCAATTTGAGAAACCATGTTTGCAGGCCTCTTCATTATATGTTTTATAATCTATGCATTCAACTGCATACTGTTCTTCCTTTTTTCTTTTATCTTTCACACTCTTGTGGTTGAGATTCATCAGTAAAAACATGTTCTTGGAATTGAGATTGCTGCAAATTCACATTGACATGAGCTCCTCCCCACATGATGCGTGGGGAAGGGAGAGGAGGGGCACATGACCTTAGCCTTTAAAAAAATTGCAGAGCTGCTGCAGAAATATAACAAATAGGCCATATGAGAGAAATGGGGCTGAGAGCCCTATAAATATACTTTGTTTTCTGACACAGAGCAAAGTGGTGGGTATGGAGAAGTAAAAGAAAAGAGCCCACGTATGGCCATGAGTGAAAGGAGTTTTGGATCCCCTCGTGCGGCTCAACAAGCTGACTCATCTCTCTCAAGCTCCATGTTTGTTCTCTTCTGCAGAAAGAAAAAAAAAATGACCCACCAACTGGTTTTCTTTAGGTTTTGTTTTTTGTTTATGGATCTTTGACTGTTGACCAGAACGATGCAGAAGAAAATGGAACATTACAGTTCACAAAAGGAGGAATATTTGGCGAGCCCAAGGCACCACCACTACTACTAGTACTACCACCATCACCCTCTTTTCTACTCTCTCCTTGGCTTTGGCTTTGGCTTTGGCTTTAGTTTAGCCCTTCTCAGTTTTTTATCTTTTGTGGTAAAATTTTGGAACTCTGAAAGTTTTGAGTGTGGCAGTCTGAAGCTGCTGCAGGTGGTAGGCATTGGATCCTTTGCACGTGACCTTCTTCTTCTTATCATCATCATCCTCCCCCTCATGTGTTAGAGAAACTGATAATTAGGATGGGCGTTCGTCGGATTTGGTCTGATTATTAACACCATCATCAAGTTGTAATCATTTCGTCTGGAATCAAATTAGACCAATATACGAGTTGAAAAGAGGAGATGCAATACCAGAGCTTCTCAAGTGGTCATCTGGTTTAGGCATATTCTCTTCTAAACACTTTGAGTTTCGAAACTTTGATGGAATTCGATGTATTAATGTTGGTATGATCGCACCAGATGGTCCTTTTTTGCTTAATTTTGTAAAAGAACTTATAGTTAGGGTTGCATTGGGTGGTTTCAAGGTATAATTACAACCCTATCAAGTTGCAATTATTTATTTTAGAATCAAATTAGACCGATAGAGCTTAGTGTGTGATTATAAATTTGCTTGTTGAACAAATAAGAACATCTCTGAAACAAGATCAAATATATCGTCTCATGTTTTATGTCTATATGACAATACTTGATACGATCAAGGTGTGCTTAAATGTGTCCAACAACAAACTCAGCTCAACCTCATTCCATAGCTCAACAATCAAATGAACATGGAGAGTGAAGGTGCAAAGGTAACTGTGATTTTTGGAAGGGAAGGCCATTCCCACAGTTCATTTGTGTAGTGCTTTTACATGGCATGTGGGGTGGGTGGGCATTATTATTAACTTATTACCATGATGAAACTGAACTCTCTCCCTCTGTTTAACTATTTCTTTACTTTGAGATATTTCTTGGGCTTTGGGTGTAAAAACTGGATTGTCTCTGATGATGATTCACAGGCAGTGCTGGCCTTTGTAGACTTTAGAAAGGCGGAAAGTGGAAAGGAGAATGGAAAAGGGGAGGAAAGTGAAAATCTTGAGAGAGAAAGAAATACTTCGTGTTGTGTATCAATTGGCAATTCTACACGTTCGACCTTATTTCTCTTTCTTTTTTTTCTCTAACCTAATATATCAATTTGTTCATGGTTTATTTGACGATTATTGATTACTCATAGCCAAAACAACCATGTTTTATCATTGAGTTCAGTGGCGGAGGCAGCATTTCAAACCACCCATGTTCTCTTTTCATAAGTTAAATATATAAGTATCTAATAAAAAATTGTTTAATAAAAAATAATTATATCCAAATAATTAATTCATTAATTAAAAATAACCGATTATAATATCATACTTTTCGGAAACAACTACAAAGAAATTTCATATAGTGAAAGAAACGCAAAAACATTAGTTGTATACACTATTATCTAAGTCTCTTTCAATGTATCTGACTAAACAAGTATTAGCAAACTGGTCGCCAAATCGACTTGGAAATTTGTTCTTAATATAACTCAAAGCTGAAAAATGCTCTTTTTACACTTGCGGTTGTAATTGGTAGATCAAAACTAGTGGGATTGTCGTTGTCCCTAGACAATTTTAGGGTTGTTGGGGAAAGATCGAATAGGCATAGAAGAAAATAGACTCGATTAGGTCTTTATTGCAATTGAAATTTCGTTTATTGTATAACAAATTAATTTTATGTCAATTTTGGACAAGTAATGAGTTGTGTTATAGTTAGAGCTGGCAATTTGGTCCATGACTGTTTGGTTTTACCCGAAACCGGACCATATAACCCGGACCGGGACCGGACTGGGACCGGATAGCAAACAATCCAATCTCATATTTGGGCTTAGATTTGAGGTAAAAAACCCGGATAAAGACTGGATAGACCCCCAACACCTAAAATCAAGATAAAATTGGGACCGGACCGGGTCAAGACCGGACCAGATCAAGATCGGAGTGTATCCAATCCAATCTTTGGTCCTTATATTCCCGAAAAGACCGGACTGGGACCGGATCAATTTGGTCCAATTTAACCGGACCGGGCTGTATAGCCACCCCTAGTTATAGTGACAAAGTACTCTAATACTACCTATACGTGTTGTGTTCCGTCACCAATATAAATATATATGGCGTATTTTTGTTCTACCGAAATTTACCCCTGTCCTAGAACAAGGCCAAAAGACCCTGCCTTCGCCACTGATTGAGTTGCTTCTTTTTTAAACTCGAATAAACATCATGTTTCATACCGATTTTCTACTTCTGGATCAAGAGAGGAGGGTCGAGTTAGTAAGATTTAGACCAACAAAAATGCACGAGCATTGTGGAAGAACGAGAAGAAAAGAGAGTTGGTAATTGGTTAAGTCGTCTGAGAAGAAGACATGTAAAATGCAAGTCCATAACTGTAGAATTGGTTACATTTTTCAGTTTAAGGTGATGATGAGAAGATATTTATCTTCAAAAGCAGAGATAATTTGGTCTTTATAAGTGAGCAAGGTATATGTTAAGGTTTCATTTGGCTCTTGATCTCTGCCGTACTAAAATACTTGATGATTCTGACTATCCAGCCAAATGACACGTCATGTATACCCTATATTTTTCAGTCTTCACCTGATATTCACTATCAAGATTCGTTACCTCCATTACGTATTGGTCTTTTTCACGTGTGTGGCTTGCTTAGTCATTTTGTCCAGTATTACACTCAGCATTTGACACAATCCAGTTGTGTTAACTAGTAACTATTTTTTTGGGTAATGGTGACATAATATCATCATTAACTTTTAGAAGAAACACGAAGGAGTGTAAATCAATAACTTGCTTTGCTTGTGACCCACAACAGCCACGTCCAATAGTTCAAACTATTATTCAATGTTGTCAGAACCGAACCGGAGCATGACCCGGTAATGCGAACGACTCGCACTTTAGTGGTCCAACCGGCATTAGACCGTTTAAAACCCGTTAAAGAACCGGTACCTAATAAACGTTATCAGTATAAATAGTGGACATTTCTTAATCAAAGCTCATCTCTTTCCTTCGAAATTGTGAAATGGAAATAAGGATTCAGTTTAAGAGGCCGACGTTTTTGGTTTATTTCAATTTTCAATTTTCTGCAATTTTTTTTAATTAAATTTAGTGGCTGAGTGGCAAAAACCGGACGAGCGGCTCAATCGGCTCGAACAGTTAACCGCCTCGGCCGCTCTTCAATCGCTACATAAAACCGGAGCGGCTTTTAGACTGTTACGAGCCGGTTTTGTGACCGGATGATGGTTTTACCGGTCGGGCCGAGCGGCTCGGCTCGGCTTTAATAATATAACACTGATTATTATCCTTATCCCAATCTAGCGCGTTCGCCACGATTATACTTAATGTACATACAAAGTGTGACGTTTATATGAACCGATCTTGTTAAATTTCCTTTTGTGTTTTGATCATCATTAGATCAACACACTGGACTACCACACACATTAATCCAATCAACTGAAGACATGTACGAGGCGATCTAACGGTATCAGTCTGTGCAACATCTGCCTCGCAACCTTTGGTCTCTACCAATCCAAATGACAAAGGAAAAGAACGGTTTTCAATTTTCATGGGTAAACTCGAAGTTCCACAAACCCTAATAAACAAATATCCCCAGGGTGCAGGTACCAAAGAGAGGTGGGAGGACAAGAATTGGGAAGTTGGTCACATGAACTGGACCGCAACAAATTAGGAAACAAAGTCTCTCTCTGTAGCCTCAAACCCCTAGAAAATTTGGCATTTTATATATAACATCAGGGAGGGGTTACGGTGCTAATTGTACAATAGTTAGCACCGTCCTAACCAAGGGAAAAACTACTACTAGTTTGAATTAGTAGTGATTTAGCTTAGATATTGTATTGATTTTATAATAATCCGTAGTGATTTTTGCTAGTTATCACGGTGCTAACTCCTATAAGGGTTAGCACCTAATCCCATCCCAGAACATCAAGTTAAGTACTAGTTGTTAAAAATGGGTCTGGATGGGAATTTTTCAACGAAAGCATGATTAGATGAGACCATTATAATGCTTTTTTTCCAGCTTATCTCTTCCTGGTTTCTTGGTGAACCTGTTTTTCTTTTTTTTTCTTTTTTTTTTTTTTTACCAAAAGAAGAGCCAGTTGTCCTTGTATTAGGGGCATGCTTCCCTCCATAATTGATGTCAAAAAATTTTCTTTAACATTAAGAAACCCCAATGGATGTCTACTAGCTACCAATAACTAGTCTTGGTTTTTCCATTTTGGTAGATTACCTAGCTAGGTCTTAGTTTCATGTTGAAAACAACTAGGGGGTTTTCCTTGTATCATTTCTCTAATTACTAATTAGGTGACTTATGCGATGTTGTATCTAATTCCAATGGAAAAATTTGTGACCGTAGGATTGGCTCGTTGTCCATACTAAAACATGCTTGTCGCTCTTGAACCAATGAAGCCCTCTGATTTTCGTGTTGTTGTTCTTTTGAATTGCATTAATCTAGTTAAGTGCTACCCATCCAATCCACGTACGGTATCTCTAGCATGAAGGATATCTTAGATGGATTTTATCAAGGGGATCTTCACTCCTAGACGCCAAAATCTTGCAAGCTGACTAACTAGGTCGCCTACAAGCAAGCTCATGGTTCTCACCATCGAGACTCAATTAATTATCTTCTATCTCATTGTGCCACTCCCCTGTTCTTTTGCACATGATTTTCCGATGAGCATACCCTATTTAACACGAGAAGAAGGGGTGTTAGATCGTGTTGATTTTACAACATAATAGTCTTTTAACTTGATAAGTATGTAATACCAAAGACATAGTTTTTTCCACAACATTTAAACTTTAATTTTTGTCATTGCCCAATTCAATACTTAACTAACAATGGTTCTAATAGATGTTTCTTATTCCCCCTCAAATTTTGTTAAAAAGGAAACTATAATTCAAATGGGTGCTTAGTGAGTTGTGTTTGTCTATCTATTGTCACATTACAAACACCACATTTTCATTTTGTTGTCATGAAATGAGGAAAAGAATTATGGGCAACCTGTGGGATATTAGTGGAGTTGTTAGTTGATTAATTGCTGCCATGTTTTTTGAATGCTGACATTGCCAATGTTTTTTATTTTGATTCTTCTTTCAGTTTTTCCACCCAAAAAACCGGATTTCCTATGTATGTAGCTTTGTATTTGTGGCTTTTTTTGGCCAATCTCCCTTTTCAGTTTTTGTAGTGGGCTGTTGCTGTGCCTACAACAGACCAGATACCAAGTTCTTGGCCACTAATTAGAATATATGTCTGGTTTGCTGTCTGTCTTGTCTTTCTCATAATATGAGTGGTCCATTTTTTAGTCCCATGGGGTGAAAATCCATAGGCATCAAAAAGTGTGGGGTTTTTTTTATGGACATTTAGGAAGTTTTTTTCTTAAGTTGTTATTGAAGAAATGTTATATACAAGAGGTTCTTAACTATCTAGACAGGAAATGGGAGTTAAGTTATACAAATGTGGTATTTGTTTGACTTAAAAATTCCTCATCGAGGCAAATAGATATACTATGAAGTAAACAATGGTTCGTATGTAGGGGATCAAACGTTCAACATAGATAGAGGAGGAACTAAACATAAATGAGCAAGAGGATCGAGTGGCGTCCAACGAGACCCTATATTGAACCATCCTATATACTATGGTTGGTCCAAATGACAGAGTGAGCCCAGGAAATCTTGATCTCAACCATATGATTCTTATAAGATACTCTAGAAATTTTATTATCAATGTCACGAATCACTTGGTAATTTCGTTCAATCCAAAGATTGTCCGCATCATTGCATGTAGTAGTAGATGGACTAGTCGGAGATGTCATATGTCAAACCTGCTCTTGCTAAATCTTGAATGGTTGATGGGAAATGTCCATTGATACAAAGAAGCTAATACCACAACTAGCTCGCAAACTGATATCGTAAGATAAGATAGTCAGTTAATTCTTCTTCATTGCGGTCATTGTTGTAGTTCTAGGCATCATCGTTGAATAGTACCTCACTAGCCATCTTCCACAAACTCAAATTCGAAATAAAAAGACACTTTGCCTCTTCCTAGAATTAATAGTGTAAAATTTCCAAACACGAGATCTCTAAGACCATCAGTCTCTCCACATTGCAACCCAACACTGCACAAATTTTGCTCCGCTCGCCACTCTGAGTTCCTAATCCCACATCTTTGTGCAATTTACTAGGTTAGATGGTGGGTTGAAGGGAAATAGACATTTTCATGATACGTGATGTATGAGTCAAGAATGACATATTGGTTGATATTGTACAATATTACGCAGACATATTTGTTAAAACGTTAATTGCATAGCAAATCAACAACAAAAAGAATGTCATCTAACCTTTAGAGATGTTCCTTAAAAAATATACAATCTCCCCATAAGCAAAGGAAGGTGTTCACCATGATTCTCCAAAATCAATGTAAACACTAAGATCTGCATGGAACAATATTTGTTTTTATATGATAAAAATTAGAGACAATTTGGCATTGCAAAACACCCAAAACTTTTCAACCAACACTTTTGGGCCACCGATTCCATCCAGCCACAGGTTGGAACCAAATCAAAAGAAGGCAACAAACCATACGTACTTTTACTCTGAATTTCCAACCCCATGTTTTTTTAAAAACATGCCTCATCGACTTGTCCCAATCTCTGATTGCTCAAAGATTGACAATTACGAAAGAGATGATAGCAATTAGCAAGTGGCTACCAATCCATTGGTGAACCCTTAATCTCCAAAGTCCAAATTAACCTACCAAAAGGATTTGTAAAAAATCGGTTCTTTTCGTGTAGTTCAACTAAGATACGAGAGAATCTCATAAGAAAACAATGAAAAGAGTCACTGCCCATACAAATTTAACTATACTTATGTAGATCACTATGCATAAGGGCATGCAGCTACTTCAAGAAGTCCCCCTTAATTAACAAAAAAATATGTTAGAGAGCTCTTAAGCCAAGGAGATTGAGCAAAACTATGAGTTAAAAATACCAAAACTAGTACAAATTTTTTGAAGGAGGTGGTGGCAAATTGGCATACAATGGGAGACACATAAACAGCTCCCACGTTGCCCCTCATATCTATATTTTTTGCTTTAATTTCCTCTTTATTAAAATGGTCCAAATGCATATGTATATCTCTCTTCTTTGGTGGGTTGGGTTCAAAATCAAACATATATAACAACACTAGCAAGAGAGAGAGAGAGAGAGAGAGAGAGCCATTGCCCTATATTGAAAGGGGAGGAAATAAAATTGGGTTCTTTGTACTTTCCAATGAATAAATATATCCCATTTCCCTCTTGTGAACCTCCATAAATACTCTTTATCCTCCATGCCCTACACTCTCCTCTCCTCTCTGTCTTTGTTACTACACCAAACACCTCTTCCCCTTTGGTATAGTTTGACAACCATCATCATCTCTCAAAGGAGAGAAAGCTACCTAGCCAATTTCGAGAAGAAGCTTTCTTTGGATCATCATCATCATCAATCATGGTTAGTTCTCTTGTCTACTCTTTTGCTCTCTACCTCTATATAAACCACAATTCTAGGTGGGTTTGCTGAATTGAGGTTGAATTTTGGCACAGGGAATTCACCAGAAGCCTACATGGTTGGAATCACTGTACCACGAGAAGTTCTTTGCTCCCTGCCCGTACCACGAATCCGCCAAAAAGAACGAGAAGAACGTTTGCTGTCTCGACTGTTGCACCAGCATCTGTCCTCACTGCGTCCCCGCCCATCGCTCCCACAGATTGCTTCAAATTCGTCGATATGTTTACCATGAAGTCGTGAGACTCGAAGACCTGGAGAGACTCATGGACTGCTCGGGCGTTCAGGTTCGATACAATTCCATACCCAATTTTGATTGATTCTCTATAATCTATTCATCTATCTTCTTCATGGATGGCATATCCTAAACCTTGCGTTGATTTTGATCATGAATTTGCTATAGGCCTACACCATCAATAGTGCCAAAGTGGTGTTCATCAAGAAAAGGCCCCAAAACAGGCAATTCAAAGGGTCCGGGAATTATTGCACTTCATGTGATAGAAGCCTTCAAGAACCTTTCATTCATTGCTCCCTTAGCTGCAAGGTAACTTTCCTAGCTAGTTTCCACTTTCTCCTATTTCTAGTCAAAATTCTATTCATATTTCGGCTCTCAATCAATCTAAATTGCTAAAAGTATATAGACCATCAAGAATTGCGGCAACAAGATGGACTATCAAGAAAGTATAATCAACAATTTTCTCTATCAAATAAATTAAACAAATCGATAAACCCTTCTTGCTTTTCCTATCAACAAATTAAAATTTTTGATAAATTTATGATGGGATGATGATAAAAATATTGACCAACACGACGACCATCAGTCCAGACAGTACGTACAACTTTTTAGTAATTCGGATATTCGTATGTGTATAACAAATTATGTTCATACGATGAATTCATAGATTCGTTTCGACGATACGGTCATAGTAACAATTTGTGTATGCTTGTTTTTTACCAGGTGGATTTCGTGCTGAAACATTACAGGGACTTGAGTCCATTCCTAAAGAAGTGCAAGACGTTGGTCCTAGGACCGGACTTCTTGATTCCACAAGACGCCGACGACATGATGACAAACTCCGACGAGCCGATGAGCTGGTCGTCCGGCTCCGGTGGCGGCGGCTCCGGCTCGTCGTCGTCCTCCTCGGGGTCGGAAAACATGAGCAGCATGATGATGGTCCCTCCCCCGGCCTGTCCTCAAAAAATCGTACGCAAGAAACGGAGCGGGTTGATCTACGTCTGGTCGAGATCAACGTCGACGGCGACAAACTACGACGACGGTAAAGTCTCCGACGAGGACATGGCGACGAGCATGAGCCGGCGGAAAGGCGTCCCTCAACGATCTCCTTTGTGTTAACTTGTCGAACTTAGGGGAAGAGGAAATAACAAAACGAAGATTATGAGATTTTTTTTTTTACATTTTTAGTTTAATTTTTTTTCCCTGAGTTTTGACTGAATTAGTCCTTAATGAAATGTTTCTCTCTCTAGCTCTACTCTCTTTCTAGTTGAAATTTTGGGGGGGATTAATATTAATTAATCACTTGGTCGGGGGGTTTTGTCTTAATGGCATCACGTGGTTCCCAATTCCAAGTTATGGTTTTGTACATTTTTTTTTTCGAGAGTTATTCGCCTCTTTCTACATATAACAAATTCACCAGTTAATCGAATGAGCTTATCGAGGACTATTAAACTTGTACTATTTCGATTTTCGCCATATTTTCTCGTGCATTACATATTATCTTAGGTAATGGTTGTACTTGTCGACCATGGACGGTCTTATAGTATAATCTCGTAGAAAAGGTTTATCTATCTATCTATATTATATATTTTGGTAATTCAAAAAAAAATTCTTGCCACATAAGCATTTGGAGGATCCACAATTTGCCAAGTTGGATAACTTTTTTACAAACAAAAAATTAGTTATTAATGTATTTATGGAGCTACCTCTCTCTTCTTTAATATTTCCATTTCTTTTATCCAATTATTCTTTTTCATTTATCTATTTATTCTTTTTTGTCTTTAATAATAAGTTACATGTTGATAAACTTAACCAAACACACATAAATAATAAATTTTTTAAATAAACAAAATATAAATAAGAAAAAAGAGAGTGACATATATCACATTTATTTAAATAAAAATATTTGATTAAAACTTATGAAATAAATTTTCTACTCATTTTTACTAAAATTCAATGATAAGTTACATTTTGATGAAAAAATAGACAAACATACACATAAACAATTATGTTTTAATCGATTAAACCAAAATATATATGAAAAGAGAGAAAATAAACATTTGTCATTCAATTACCTTTGAAAAATAAACTAAATTACTTTATATTTTGTTGCAATGAAACACTCTCTTATTCGTACAATATATATCTATAAAATAAAACAGTATTATTTAGAAAAATACCAGAGTATAATCTTGATTGAGTAGTTACAGTTATTTATTTAAAAAAAAATTCTTATTCATTCAGATCATGTTCTACCTTAAATTCCTCAAATGAAGAGGAATCGCATGTGCAATAATTTGATAATGTGACCTAAGTTCACATTAATAATATTTGCTCTATATCATGTTGATTGACAAAGCTCTATTGAAGTTCTAAGTCGTATGCTAAGAAATTTTCTTTCAGGCTTGGAGTTATCTTCGACGATTATAAATCAAAATTTTCAAAATGACTTAAGTATGATTGTTGACGAACTTTGACTTCATACCCTAGGATGAGACACGAGATTCTTGAAAAATAATAGATGTGAAGGTTAGAAAAATCTTTGTACAGAATCTACGATAAACATCACGTTTCATCAACTACTAACATAGGCATTTACCAAATAAAGGTTGGCAATTTTTAGTAAGATCGTCAATTGGGATAAACATATTTATCCAGCAATCAAGTATCTTTATCCAATAATCTCAACTCTCAAAATTTGTTTTCAGTTCGTCTAGACTCGAGAAAAACGAATTAATATATGTTGTATAAGATAATAAGTTAATGCAAATAATCAAATGAAATACACTGATATTGTTCAAATGATAAGACATTTTAAATGCACTTAAAATATGTGTGTATTGGAGACACTCTTTATCAATTATTAATATATAAGTGATAAAATCTTTGGAAATTACACATTCAACCACCATGTTAAGACCAAAAATCCTCGATAGTGTGTGAGTGCCTTAGATTGAGATTCTAAGTCAACATGTAAACAATGACCACCGGTTGAGGTTTAGTATAAACTTCAAAAATTAACAATGGATACATATTATATAATATACTAAATTTAAGTGTCTGGATAAAAAAAAACAAACATCCAAAATGGAAATGAGTCTAGATTAGAGAATTTAGTCATCATGAGGGCTACAGTGTGTGTAAGTTTCAATATGGATGAATAAATCCAATAATGAAGTATCTTTACTAAGAATTTCTCACTAAAAAGTCGTAATTTTTACAACATTGGTCGAGAGTTCGTCCAAACTCAAGGATCATGAATGTGTATTGGATTTACAAAGGACCTAAAATCCCAATCCCTTTCGAGGGCTAAATACCTTTGATCACAACCATAGGTGCTAAAGTAGAATGAAAAAGAAGCCAAAAAAAGCAAAAAAGAACATAACCTCTGATAAGATGAACATAATAAAACAATATCGAGCTATGATCCCGTCATCCCTACCTTTTTATATTTTATATATCGAACAATAGACAACCCCAATGGTTCTATGGCGTTATGGGGGTAAAAGCGAGATCTCTAGATAATTTTGAGTGTAATATACACACACACACATATATATAGACATGTATATGTAATATCAAGGTATACTATACTTTTTATTTAACTCAAGATACGATAGAAGATAGGTATTACGAAGTATGTGCATAAATTAGAGGTTACAGAATTAGGGACTAGAGTTCACCTATTAGAGGTAGGGTATAGTATAATGCCCCAAAAAATCCGGTTAATTCGGGTCTAAATAGTAAAACTCAATGGTTGTATGGTAGTATGAACGGAAGAGTATAACGTACTCCTGGCGCACGCTAACTTGAACTATATATATGTGTGTGTGGTTTAGGTTGGCGTACGCTAAATATTAGTGTTTTGGTTGACAAATTTTGACATAAGTTCTAAATGGGACGTGACAGCGAGATAATTTATGGTTCGAAAACCGAAGCATCACAAGTGAGTGTGCTAAATATTGGAAATTTCAATATAGACATACTACAAAGCTAGTATATATAGAGTTTGAAGGTGGAGAGAGACCGGAAAATGTAGATGAAGAATCCAAGATATTCCTGCCTATTTTTTTAAATTGAAGACATATGGGTTTTGTAATTGTAGATGGGAGTTGAAATCTCATGAAAATTGGACCACTCTTTATAATGAGAAAGCTGGGTTAATGACAAAAATATTGTTTTTTTTTTAATTTACCACGAATATGGCCAGTTAAAAACTATTGACAAAGATATTGTGTTTTAGAGATAAGAATCGGCGGGGACACCTGAGACTCAGGCGCTGCCGCTTTAGCTTGGTTTTTGGACCGTTTTATTTAGTTGGCAGCGGCGGCGCTCAAGACTCAGGCGGTGGCGCTCGAGACTCAGGCGGTGGCGCCCGAGACTGAAGCGAGTAGGTGGGAAATCAAGACTCAGGCGGTGGCGCCCGAGACTGAGGCGAGTAGGTGGGAAATCATTGGCCACCCACCTTATAAAACCCAGACTATTTCGTTTCAGATTCACACCACAAAAAAAAATCGTCCAAAATAGAGGAGAGAGCTCTGGTTGCTGCTGCAAAAATGGCTAATAGGTAAGAGACACATTTATTTTTGTAATTATATTATTCAAATGCTATTATGATTGTGTTTAGTTTTTAATTAGTGAGTTTGTTTTTTTGTAGTGATTTTAGAAGATTTGAACTAGTTGTTCGGTGGAAATCGGAGAAAGTAGAGGATAATTTGGGCGTCAAATTCGTTGGTGGTAGTAGTTTTCAGTTGACAGTTCCATCCAGAGGCACATATCACAAACTTTGTGAGACTCTAATTCCGAGAATACGGCGCAGAGACGAAGCAGTAAAAGATAGTGATGTGATCACAGGTTTCACTTACCGTCTTCCAGAATGGCAGAATGATGTTTTATTTCATTATGTGTTACCTATTGTGGATGATGATAGCTTGGATGTGCTTTGGAATTTTATAGCACAAAATCCTTATTGTTTGGGTGCTGAGATACATGTTGAGCTCAGTGAGGATCAGGGTGGAGAGGAAGAAGATGATACATGGAGCGTGCCATCCGATCATGACTATGATCACGGTGATGACGGAGAGGAGGAAGATGAGGAGGAGGAGGAAGGAGAGCAGCTTAATTATCCTCCATATTTTTACTTGCAGGGTAATGAAGAGGACGAAGAATTTGCACTTGCTGATTCATATGGCGTAATTCCAATGCCTATTGTTGATAGTTTTGAAGGAGAATTCTACAAGGGGCAGATATTTCACTCGAAACAAGCTGCACAGATGGCGATTAAACACCACGCACTACAACGCAACTTTCAATATGGCGTGGTGGAGTCGTCACCTTCAATATGGAAGGTCAGATGCTTGAGGCACAAGGATGACAATTGTCCTTGGATGGTGCGGTTTGGATGTCGAGATGTTGGGGGCGAATGGACTGTGAGAAAAGCTGAGTTGGTGCATTCTTGTAGCAGTACGACTCAACCGACGGATCATCACCATCTTGATGTCGACATGATATCTGAGGCCGTCAAACATTTGGTACGTGCCCAACCAAATCTGAGTGTTCTAACTGTTCAAGCCGAGTTGAAAGATAAGTTTAATATGCAAGTTACTTACAAGAAGGCTTGGTATGGGAAGCAAAGAGCATTGGAGAAGTTGCATGGAAATTGGGAAGAATCCTACGATTTTTTGCAAACATTCTTGCGGGTGGTCAAGAGAAAGATGCCAACATCGGTGATTGATTGGGTAAGAGTTCCTTCGGCTCAACCAGGTCATTCAATATTTCAGCGAGTATTCTGGGCTTATGGACCTTGTATAGATGGATTCAAGAATTGTCCAGGCGTCATGGTTGTGGATGGAACATTTTTTACTGGGAAGTATAAAGGAGTGCTACTCATGGCGAGCTCATTTGATGGCCGGAGGAAGATTTTTCCAATTGCATTTGCCATAGTGGAGAGCGAGAATACTGAGAGTTGGCCATGGTTCATGAGGAAGGTTCAGGGTTTGACTGATCGAAATGATGTATGCATCATCTCAGATAGACATGCAGGACTCTATGAAGCCATGAATAACATCGGAAGAGGTTGGGAGTGGAGGTGGTGCATGCGACACTATGCAAGCAATTTGCAAAGGAAGACTAAAAGCAAAATTATGTATAATCAACTATTTCGAGTCGGTAAGCTTTCTTCATTTAATTTTGTTATTTGTTTTCATGTAATTTTGTCATGAATTTATCTAACACGTGTTGTGGTTTATTTTGTTAGCCGGAAAAAAACGGTTGGAGAAGTTTGATCGTCAAGTTGAGCAATTTAAGAAGGTGGCCGCTGATAGAAATATTTCATGTGATAACTGGGTGGATCAACATCAGATTCGTTGGAGTTTAGCACATGATAACTACAATGGTGGGGGTCGTTGGTCTATCCTGACATCCAACATGGCAGAAAGCGTCAATGGTATTTTCAAAGGTATTCGTGCACTTCCTATAGCTTCTCTTGTGCAGCATACCTATTGGCGATTGGTGGAGAAATTCGATAAGTATAGGTTGGAGACAGGAGCAGAAATTAGAAGTGGCGGTTCACAGTACTCCACCAAGTGCGAAGAGCTGATGAAGTACATGTCACAAAAGGCAATTGGACATTCTGTGACAGCTCTTGATCGAGGTCAAGGCATCTATGTAGTTCAGACTCCTCCCAACAATTTCAACATGACAGGGTCAAACACACTCACAGTTCACTTTGACGATCAAAACCGGGCAGGATTTTGCACTTGTGGTAAATTTCAAGGAAATAAAATTCCTTGCTCTCATGCCATTGCAGCTTGCAACCGAATGGGGGCTAATGCGTATAGGTTTGTCAACAATGTCTACAAGCTGGAAACAGTTATGGCTTGTTATGGGACAAGTTTCGCACCTCTTGGTGAACCTAAGGGTTGGAAGAAGCATAATGGTCCTATTCTCCATCCTAATGTGCACATGATTAGGAAGCCGGGGAGGCCACGAGTTACAAGGATTCACAACGAGATGGACTGGCCAAGGGAGGGTGCATCACACCAAGTGTGCAGCAACTGTAACCAAGCGGGACATAATGCATCAACTTGCGGTGGCCAAGCTAGTGGGAGTGAGAGCAACCGAGGAGGGAGTGGTGGCCAACGAAGTACGAGAGGTGGTAGAAGAGGAAGTAGAGGTAATAGACGTGGCTGAGAGGTGGTAGAAGTTGTTGTATTTCTTTTGATTGGTATGTTGTTGTTTGGTATGTTGTTGTTATCTTTTGATTTACCATGTAAAAGTTGTTGTTTGTTTGAGATGTTGTTTGTTTGAGATGTTGTTGTTTGTTTATAGTACATAATAATAACAATCCAAAAATAATAGTCTAAATGAAGTACATAATAATAACAATCCAAAAATAATAGTCTGAAGGAAGTACATAATAATAACAATCCAAAAATAAGGAAGTACATAATAATAATAGTCTCACTAACGATCACCACATCACCGATGAAAAGCAGATAAGTGGCACTACTGCTCGAAATGTCTCAGACTGTAGCACACTACCTCTGAGATGAAGTGCTCTCTCAAAGTAAGGTTGCCACTACATTAAATCCAAAAATTCACGTTATTATCCCTAAATCTAAAAAAATAAAACAAATAAAAACTATTCTATAAAATGAAATGTTATATACTTATATTAATTCATTTTCATTCGTAATAATTCTAATTTCACCTAATAAATTCTAATCTGTCTTATCTAACATAAAATTATACTAATTTGAAATTATACTAATTTCACCTAACAGTTCAGTTCACAACCTAAAATAATCTAATTAGCTAATTAACTTTACATGAATAATTATCAAATACTTACCTCGTTTGTCCAAACAGAGTCGATACGATGTTGGCCATGTCCCCAAAGAAGTGTCGGATCGACCGGACTTGGATCAATTGTCGCCGGCGGTAATCTCATCGAATAAGGATCCATAAGCCTAGGAACTGCAAAAACAAAGCAACAAAACATTAAAAAAAAACACAAAACATTAAAAAAAAATCAAGCTGCCGACGAGAGTCTCACCGCGCAAACGGCCGCCGACTCCACCACGACCTCGCCGACCTCTCCCTCTGCCTCTGCCGGCGGCGAGTGGTTCTTCGTCGGAGGACATCTCGGGCGGCGGCGCTTCAATCTGGGACGGCGGCGCTCGAGTCAGCAGCGGCGGCGCTCGTGTCTGCGGCGGCGGCGCCCGAGTCTGCGGCGGCGGCGCCCGAGTCTGCGGCGGCGGCGCCGAGGTCTGGGGCGGTAGCAGTTGCGGCGGTAGGCAAGGCGACGTGTCTCTGGTTCGCGGGGTTGGGGGGAGGAAGAAGAAGGGAGGAGGAGGATGTGTGGTGTGGGAGGGGATAAGGTGAGAGGGGAGGGGATAAGGTGGGAGGGGGCCGTCCGAATTTTAAAAAAAAAGAGTCCAGGGCGCTCCCGCCTGAGTCTCGGGCGCCAGCGCCTAGGACTAATTAAAAAAATTTGGCTGAGGCGGGGCCGCTTGAGACTGGGGCGCCAGCGCCCAGGACTGGGTAAAAAATCAGTCACGCCTGAGTCTCAGGTGGTCCCGCCCCAGTCCTTACTAAAAAACACAATATTTGTGTCAATAGTTTTTAATTTGTAATATTAGTGGTAAATTAAAAAAAATCAATATTTGTGTCATTAATCCGAGAAAGCTTCACGTTTTACTTGTTAATTCTAAATATATCTACCATCTGAGTTAATACATAATTACCCTTCATTTAAAATCACCTGGATTTTAAAAATCTATAAAAGATCATAAATAGTACAACAATATTACAATATTGTATCAAAATTAGAGATACAACGTAAACCCAGAAAAACTCCAGATATTTATAGTTATTATTACCTTTTTTATAGACACGAAAAAACTACCACTAGCCAATCTCTAATAGTAAGACCATGAGACTGTTGATTCGTCGAAAAATATTAATCAATTGAGCATGAAGGGGGAAAAGGAGAAGAATGAAAGTATTCCAAAATGAAAAATAGCAAGGAAAATTGTCAAAATTTGTGGATGAGAATTAGGGTAAGGGACAAAAAGAATGAGATGTGAAGGGGTTGTTAAAAAGAAATAAGATACTAATGTTGGGGAATTTTGGAGATAGCGATATATCATGAAATTGACAGCTCTAAAACCTTTTTCATTTCTTTGCTCTTTTTAACAAACTAAATTAATAAATTCTCATGGCATGATGATGATGATGATGATGGCCCAATGGGCATCCTTTGACTAATCTGGAAATTTACGTTGTACATACATGGGTGTTATGTTGCATTGCAGACACAACCCACCGGCTTCTTCTTGAGAACCGAGAGATAAACCAGACAGGGATTAAGGTTAATAATAATTAAATTTTGTTACGATAATAAACAAAACCAAAGACAGGGTGCTCGAGATTTAAACAGTGCTTATATATTGACCAGTCAAATCGTACCACGATATATATCATATGTGCAAGTTGGTGATAAAATAGATTAGAGAACTAGTGAACTACTAATTCACCCATCACAGTAAAAAAAAAAAAAAAGATCATTTGTGATAAGACATTTGTTGATTAGGTCGGTAACTAATTTGACTTCTTAGGGGTCTTTCACTTTTTGGTTTTTTTTGTCCCCTTCAACACGAGGATTTGTATGAGTTAATCATGCTCATGGTTTCGAGTGACAGAGAAAGCATTATCGATTATTGTTTTCGTAACATACTAATTAGCGATTGATTTATATATCGCCAGAATAAAATTATTTTGGGTCAAGGGGACTAAAGATATATTGGTAGGGTTGTTGTGTCTGTCTAAAACGTTCTTTTGAGATTTGCAGTTTTCGACGAGTTTCTTCCCGTAATGATGAATGAAGAAGGTTTGATACTCTAATATCATAACAAAAGAATGAGGGTAACCAAACATACATAAAGGGTAAGAATTCTGTGAATCTCCCCATACGATGAGAGCAATAGTTATACGAGTATGTGATTTACGCCTAGATTTAAAAAGATTAATTTTTAAATTTCTTGCAAAGTCAACCATATACATTGCAAGTCGACCATAATTGACTTTGCTTACTCTCAAATAACATAAAAGTCACTCTCCATGTAAATAATTTACTCGTAAACCGTGAGTGAATGAGAGATTGGTTGTCACAAAATATCACAACTATGTCATAAGTGTAAGTTGCAACACTCACAAGTAAGAAAGCGCCATGTATGTCACTTCTAGACCTAGTAACAGCTTTGAGATTGTGCTATGCTTCTCGATTTTCCAAGTGACGAGGACACGAGGTTGTGTAATTGTTTTGACAATGGATCGAACATAGTTTTTTTTTAAACATTCGATTACTCTTATTAAGAGGAAAGATCATGATCAAGTACAGACTTTTCAAATCGTATTAACCAGCACGCAACCAAAACACATAACTGAACCTCCTAACAAGGTGAGGCGACAAGAGCAGAGCACGCCTGGCCACTAAATGAATCGAACATAGTTGTCGGACATAAATGGGTGATGAAACAGGCCCAGTGGCAGTAGATTGCATTATTGCAAGAAATGATGGGCCTTGAAATATAGGGCTTCTTGTTTGTGTGAAGATCCAGGTGCTCAAGCCCGATCTTTAAGATATGGTGTTTGGTCTTTATATTGGGCCAAGAAGTTCGTTGGTTTCCAAGTGGGCCCCCATTAATGAGCTCTAGTGAGCCTAAACCAACACTGCGGGAGTATGGACTTTGTGGGCTTGTAGTTGGACATGCTACACAAAGATCAATTTCATGATTGATATCTTGAACATAAAAACAGATAATTAACCCAAACGTGAAGATTGTAAAGGTTTAAAATGAAAAGTTTCTTGACCCATTAATCATTCACTAATTTCTGGATTAGACAGGAAGCAAATCCCCCATTATCAAAACTGGGCCCATCCAAATCCATTTTCACTCAAGAACAACCCTTCAAAATAAAAGGTTGGAACTCCATTAGTGTTGTGGAATATGGAGCTTTAGTTAACATCACACACCAATAATATCGATTCCATATCCTGAAAAAGGCTCTAAGGAATCGTTTGGATTAGGGAATATGTAAATAAGGGATTTGGATTAAAATCTCTCAATTAAAAATCTGATATTTTAAACGTGGGATTTGATCCAAATAACATGTTTGGGAATAGATGAAGGATTTTAATTAAAAATTAAAGTTACAATTATACCCATCCCTAATCCCCAAGGAAGAATAAGAAAGGAAGAACAAAAGGAGGGGCAGAGTTTGGAAAAGAATGAGAAAAAATGAGTGATTGTGAAATAGCTGATCCCCATCAGCTATTTTAAAAACTCTCATATGAGAGATTTAGAATTTCCTCATGCCCACAATCTCTCACCTTTCCAAACGCAGAATTGTTTTAAAATCCTGCACAACGAGAGATTGTTTTAAAATCACTCATAAATCCCTCATCACATTCACTAATCCAAACGACTCCTAAAGGAGATCAATTAATTTGAACAAAAGGATTGAATATATTCTCTTTGGACTACTTAGTTTCCTTTATTAGTTATAGTGTTTTTGTTTTTGTTTGTTCAAATAATATGCATTCCTTAGTGATGAAGCATCAAAGAGAACACCTCCAAGAGATTGTAGCTGCATTAAATTAACGAAGAAAGATTGATCTCGTTAAAATCTTATACCATGTCAAAACTAATCGGTCATTTCTCCTTCTTACGTTCCTTCTCGTATTGACCTCGAAATTTATTTCATGAAAAATGACCCTTTTCATTGAAAGAGTACACTACTTGCTTTTTCAAGGTGCGGAGTACATGACTTGTACTTCCCATCTCGATGAGGTATATTATCAGTAATCCATCCCATATAACTACCAAGTTTGACATCACAGTTAGGGCTGGTATTCTGTAAATCGGTATTCGGTATAACCGGATACCGAACCGGTTACAATCGGTATTCGGCTGCACTTCTTGGCCAAACGGTATACCGAATATCGACCAGTCATATACCGACGGTAAATTGGTATACCGAATTAAAAAAAACGATAGCGTGGGGCGGTAGCGGAATTGGGGGTTGTGGCATTTGTAAACCCTAATATCTAAATCAAATCGACGCCTCACCCCCGCCCTCCACCTCTTCTCGGCGTTTCCTCTGTTCGACTGTTCCTCTCCATCCCGAGGCCGAGGCGAAATCCAGCGCCAGCATCTAGCATGCCGCGGCGCCACGCTCCACCACCACGCCTCGTCTGTCTTCCTCTTCGCCAGCAGCAGTCGCTGGCGCCGAAGGTCGGAAGGCAAAAGTTGAAACCCAGAGCCAGCAGCCAGCACGCCGCGTCGCCACGCTCAACCACCACGCCGCGTCGCTGCGCTCCACCACTACGCCTCGTCTGTCTTCCTCTTCGCCAGCAGCAGTCGCCAGCAGCAGTCCCTGCGCCGAGCCCTGTCTTCTTCTTGTCTTCACTTCGCCATTAACCGGTATTCGGTATACCGGTATTAATACCGGGTACCGACTATTCAAAATTCGGTATACCGGCTAACATTCGGTATCGATATTCGGTGGGTACATTGTCTACCGGTATACCAAATACCGGTTAATCTGTACCGGATACCGACCGATTACCAGCCCTAATCACAGTCATCTATTGGCAGTCACATGATTTTCTTTCCACACAACGTCACTTGTTAGGTCAAGAAGTATCCTGTAGTTATCGTTATAATGTCGTTTCAGTTCTTTCATCCGTTACCTAGTCGATTAAGAAGTATCGTGCCTATCTATATAAGGAATACAACAAACTAGCCACACAAATAACCATGTGATGCTATATAGCGCACACACAGAATTGAAGAATGTGACCATCATTTTCAGATTTTGTGGCTTCACAATCGTCGGGTATGCTTATTTGCAAACAAAATCGTCAAATTATGGAAAGAAAATCCCACCCGAACAAACTTGTAAACAAACAGTAATGTGATTTGTGTTTGAATTTCGATGATTCGTCGCGAGAGTCTTATTTTCTTTCTCCTTTTTACATGTGTGGATTATTGTTGTAGTAAATTAGTAATCGAGTGATCACAAGTGTCCTTGAAGTGTAAAAGTCGATGATATGCGGAAAGCAAAGAAAAACACGGGACGCAGATTTACGTGGTATCCCCGTTCAATGTGAACGGGACTAATCCACGGAGAGCAGGAGCTCTCGGAGAAAACTAATATTTTGTGTCTTACAGTCTTACTCTGCGGCTGCTGTTGCCGAGAGTAATAAAGGAAAAGCTAAAACCCTAGCTCCTTTCCACAAGTCTCACGGAGTAGGGAAAATAACAAATGGATCCCTAATTAAATAAAACTAACTTAATTAGGAATCACTACACTCCCCCTCAAGCGAAGGAGTGAATGTCGAGAAGTCCGAGCTTGACGAAGAGATGATGAAACTAATCAACGCTCAATCTCTTCGTGAACAGATCCGTAGGCTGATCCGCAGTGGCAATCTTAGTCGGCGCTATTTCAGAGGACTGAACACGCTCACGGACAAAGTAGCAATCCATCTCGACGTGTTTAGTACACTCATGAAACATAGGGTTGGGCGCAATGTGAAGTGCAGCCTGATTGTCACAGAACAAAACGGTAGGGCGTGAAATGGGAACACCCAGGTCACGGAGCAGCCAACGTAACCAAATGATCTCACTAACCGTGCTAGCCATGGCACGGTACTCGACTTCAGCAGAGGAGCGCACAACAACAGTCTGTTTCTTAGTGCGCCAGGAAATGGGAGAGTCACCCAAAGTGATAAAGAACCCTGTTGTGGAACGGCGGGTGGTCGGACAACCACCCCAATCTGCATCACAAAAGCCTTTTAAAACAAGTGGGGTGGATGCAGAAAAAAAAGGCCACGGCCCAGAGAGCACTTGAGATAGCGCAGTACACGAACCGCTGCATCCTCATGGGCTTGAGTAGGAGACGTCATCGCCTGACTGAGAAGATTCACGGCATAAGCGATGTCAGGCCTTGTAACCGTCAGATAAAGAAGACGTCCAACCAGCCGTCGGTAAGCAGCAGGATCACGAGCCGGAGGAGAAGGTGAACGCCCCAAACCATGCTACTGCTCAATAGGTGTTGAACACGAACGAGCAGCGGTGAGCCCGGTGTCAGCCAAGATATCCAAGACATACTTGCGCTGATTGAGAACAAGACCCGTAGGAGACCGAGCAACTTCGATGCCAAGAAAATATTTGATAGGGCCAAGATCCTTAATGGTGAAATGGTCATGAAGAAAAGTCTTAACCCACTGAATGAAAGACAGATCATTACCAGTGAGAATGACGTCGTCGACATAGATCAAGGCAAGCACAAAGGTGGAACTATTTCGATAAACAAACAAAGCATGATCAACACGACTGTGAACAAACTGATACTCCAGTAATGCTTGCATGAACTTCTGATACCAATTGCGAGAAGCCTGACGCAAGCCATAGATAGACTTGTGTAATCGACAAACCCGGGTGTCACTGGGACGAGCAAAACCCTGAGGAACGGTCATGTAGACTTCCTCGTCTAAATCTCCATGCGTGAACGCATTATTCACATCTAACTGGTGAATATGCCAGCCCCGCGTGACGGCCACAGCAAGTACACAGCGAACTGTAACCAATTTGGCGACGGGAGCATAAGTATCATGAAAATCCACGTCCTCAATCTGAGTAAAACCCTTCACCACCAGACGCGCTTTGTAGCGCTCAATAGACCCATCGGGTCGGAATTTAATTTTGAAAACCCACTTACAATCAATCGCTCGCTTGCCCGGAGAAAGATGAACCAAGGACCATGTACCATTAGCTTCTAAAGCGGTGATCTCGAGTTGCATGGCATCTCGCCAGTGCTTATACGGAACTGCTTGGAAGAAGTGAGCAGGTTCATCAATGGCGGTGATGGCTGCAACGTAGGCATGATGGGTAACTGAAAGTCGATGGTAGCTCAGGTAATCCTCAAGGGGATAAAGAGTTGAGGCAGAATGAGCAGAGTGAGCTGCTCCCGAAAGTTCAACTTCATAGCCATCGAGTCGAGTATTAGGGCGCCGAACTCGATCACTACGTCGTGGAGGGGCTGCTGGGGTAGGCGATGATGCACCGATAGTTGGAGAAGAAGTATCTCCTGGCGAGGAAGGGACACTAGTGTGGGACTCGGAGGTAGGTGGCAAGACTGGCTGGGCAGGAGAAGAAACCCCATCATGAGTAGAAATGGCAGGTGAGGCCGAGTCATGCAGGGACGTCGTGGTTTGCATGGGAGAGGTCGGCTCATGCACTGTAGTAGGCGCCAATGGGAAAATGTCATCATCATCGGCTTCGCGGACAATAGGAGCAGATGGCACATGTCGTGGGATGGAAATGGTAGTGGGATTAAGTTGACTATCTTCAAAGTCTCTGTAAGGGTAGACTTGTTCAAGAAACTTCACATCACGTGAAGTATATATCTTCTTAGTTTCACGATCATAGACACGATATCCACGCTGTGTGGATGGATACCCTAAGAAGACACCAGCTCGACCTTGATCACCGAATTTGTGCAAGTCATGATGATTGTCGCGAGCATAAACAAGACAGCCGAAACTGCGAAGATGATTATACTTGGGCGCTTTCTTGAACAATATCTGAAATGGGGTTTTGTTCTCGATAGAAACTAGAGGCATCCTGTTGATGAGATACGCTGCTGTGAGTACGCATTCTCCCCAGAATTTGATGGGCAGGTTGGCATGAAAACGCAAAGCACGCGCAGTGTCAAGGAGATGCATGTGCTTGAGCTCCACGACACCATTTTGCTAAGGAGTGTCAGTGCATGAGGTTTGCAAAAGTATCCCTCTCTCTGCATAAAAATCGAGTAACAAATTGCTAGAAAATTCGGCCCCATTGTCAGCTTGTATTCGTCGCACCTGACCACTGAACTGGGTAGCCACCATGTTGCAAAAATATATTAAATGCCGACCAACATCTGATTTATAACGCAATAAGAAGACCCATACTGCTCGACTGAAATCGTCGACAATGGTCAAAAAATAATATGCCCCCGACATGGAAGCTGTCCTGTAACTGCCCCAAATATCCACATGAATCAATTCAAAACACGATGTCGACTTGATACTACTAGGAAGAAAAATATCTCTAGTTTTCTTAGCACGCAAACAAGACCGACAAGGCTCCTTAGTCTGAACAAAAGAACAATCAAGAGACTTTTGCAACAAATCCAGCTTCGCCATCGAAGGGTGCCCGAGGCGTGCGTGCCACAACTCCGAACTATCCAAAGAACGTCGAACAGAATGCGCCATGGGGTGATCTCCATCCAGCATCCGGAGATAATACAACCCATCTGAATGCTTACCCATCCCGATCAGCCTCTTGGAGGGTAAGTCCTGAATCACACAGAAGTCACGTAAAAAGATCAATGCAACAGGTAGATCCGCTGTAAGCTGACTAATTGAGAGAAGGTTGCACTGAAAAGTAGAAACATGCAACACACGCTGCAGTAACAGATTCTTAGATAACCGAGGTGTGCCAATACTATGAACTTTAACCCCTGTTTCATTCAGGATTTTCACCTGTAAAGTCGGTGAAGTATCCAACTCGACATCCAACATAGAGATATGATTAACGATATGTTCATTACAACCCGAGTCTATAACCCAAGTGGACGATGTAAGAGAGGGAGGAAGAGGTGTACTAGCCATGTTTGAGGTAGGATCCACGGACGACGACGAGGATGGCTGAGAATCGGAGCCCAGCAGTGCCTTAAGCTCTGCAAATTGGCTAGCTGTCAAGCCCGGCAGTGGGCTCTCGGCTGTGTCAACCTGGGCAGCTTGAGGAGTGGTGCGCGGTGGGCGATCCGAGCGTGGACGACGAGCGCCCTCACTTCTGTCGTTGTCGCGGGAGGGGAACCCATGCAACCTGTAGCAGGTCTCCTTTACGTGGCCTATGCGGTTGCAATGGGAGCATCTTGGCCTGTCATTTTCATCACGTTCAGGCCTATTTGGAGTGCGATCAGAACGTCGTTCCTGCTCCCCCTGAGTATTAAACGCGACTGCTTCTGGCCGTGGTCGGCGATTATTTGCAATTTGCCGCTGTTGTTCGTCGTTAATTACCATTTGATACGCCTCGGCGATGCTAGGTGTTGGTTTCATCGCAAGGATTTGAGACTTGACTGTAGAAAAGGGATCGTCCAAGCCCATCAAGAAATCGAACAATCGTTCACTCTCACGTACCTCGCGGTATCTTTTCTTCACGTCGCAATGGCAACCCGAGCAAGTGCACTCAAGGGAAGGAGTGAGCGACTGAACTTCATCCCAATGCCCGCGTAGCAAGGTGTAAAATGACGACACAGAAGATTTCTCCTGTTGGAGTCCGATGATAGTGCGCTTGAGCTCGTACAGACGCGACGCACAACCCTGGCCGAAGTGGGATTGCAGGTCGACCCAAATTTCGCGCGCTGTGGTCGCGAATCTCACGCTGCTTCGCACCTCCTTCGTCATGGAGGTCTTCAGCCAGCCCTTCACCATGGCATTGCACTGCCTAAAGGCTTCCTTCTCCGCGGTAGATTGAGGTTTTGGGAGAGTTCCATCAACAAAACACAGCTTGTTCTTTGCGATAAGGGAGTCGGTGATGTCGACGATCCATTCACCGTAATTAACGTCATTGAGAAGCTCCCCCACAAACAAACTACTAGGGTTATCTGATTGATGTAACACGAGATGGGGTGGCAGCGCGACCAGAGCGCTGGATTGAACCATCTTGAAAGACGACGTCTTCTCTGAAGCTTTCTCGTCGTCTGAACTCATGATTGCCGATCCTGACTCTTAGACCAGCTCTGATACCATGTAAAAGTCGATGATATGCGGAAAGCAAAGAAAAACACGGGACGCAGATTTACGTGGTATCCCCGTTCAATGTGAACGGGACTAATCCACGGAGAGCAGGAGCTCTCGGAGAAAACTAATATTTTGTGTCTTACAGTCTTGCTCTGCGGCTGCTGTTGCTGAGAGTAATAAAGGAAAAGCTAAAACCCTAACTCCTTTCCACAAGTCTCACGGAGTAGGGAAAATAACAAATGGATCCCTAATTAAATAAAACTAACTTAATTAGGAATCACTACATGAAGCTAGTTTGGTTTTGAATGAATACGTAGCCTTAAAGTTGAAGACACTATAATAAGCATCCTGATGCAAAAATGTTATGACTAATATATTGGGAGGACAACGCATCAAATACCAAAATAAATAAATAAAAACTGCCGACAGCAGTAAGATTCTCTAGAAGAAGGAATTATTAGAAAGACTTCTTCTTCCATCTACTTAAATATCACTAATTCGTGATTTAAAAAAATCACTAATTCAATATTATTATCTGTACTAAGTAAGTAGTAGGTTACAATGTACCTGAGCTTATGTATTTCAAAAATATTGTCAAAAGGGAAATAAGTTAAGATCAGCCAGTAATCACAACAAGCATATACATGGCATAACGCTAATAATTAATTAAGTGGGGGGTTTCGATTAATTCCATGGGGAATGATTGTATTCATGTGAGGAAAAGAAAAAGAAAAAACGAATCACCTAGGCCTAAGGCCTGCCTCAGCTAATTAGCCACCCGGGAAAATGATCATATTATTCTCAGAAAATATTCAACCGGCTAATCATATGCGATCCTAGTTAGTGATGCCGAATAATCGCGATGACACTCATATGTTTGTGTGTTCTGATAAGACTATCCAGTTTATGGTGACAAAACAAGTCTTTTCAGATCAGTAGTTCGACATTAGATAGATGCACATGCACTGTTGTTAACCGTTTAAAAATAATTACATGCCTTATACTGATTAGTCTCGACTTGTGAGATAGGTCTCCTTCAATCCCAAGACCAATCGAGCAATCTATCGATGCGCTTAACCTCATCAGCTGGATGGATGGTTCACTCACCACACTCATTGTGTATTCCCCCCCCCCCCCCCCCCCCCCCCCCCCCCCTCGATCTAGACACGTTTTCCCTAATGAGGAGAACTTAGATAAATGATTGAATTCAAGAACATGAAAATCCCATTCCTAGGTGTTGGCCACCACCACATGAAAAAAGGTGGTTGAAAAGTACCTATCAATTATCATCAAAGGGAACAAACACAAGTTACACTTACACCTTTTAGTCAATCACTTGTGACTTACATTTCCAATAAAGCAAATTAATCTGGTGATATGATGAAACATGATCACAACATTTTCGTCCATACGTACATGTCTAACTTTACCCTAAAAAAAAAAAAGAGAGAAACAAAAACCCTAGCAAGCAAGCATCTCACAACTCCCCGGTACACACTACTCGATCCGACTAGCAGTGTGCTGAGATGGGTCGCCACGATGGTGTATACTAGTCCTCGATATCGTCGTAAAAATACAGTACGTATGTACTGTCTCGTGTATCGAACGTTAAAACTACTCGTAGTGACATATCATCCGATTTGGGCTGAACCATCACCATACCAAAAGTCATACACGGTATTCTTTGTCCAGCCGACAATTGGGCCACATTCGTAACACGTACCGCCATTATTAATTAGTCTCAACCAAATCACCAGAATTATTAAAGAGCTGTGGGTTCAGATTAAGAGAATTGGGAAATATTATCGGGAATATTAATGTATATATGCAGCTGCGCAACGGCTAAACCTCCCTGGCCAGCACGTTACTCTTTGGGGAAGTGAGTTAGAGAGATAAAATCTAAGGAGGATTAATGTTAGAATAATACTGGACTAATGTCAGCTTTCTAGGGGAGGATTAATTATTTGATTACGTTGTTTAGTCATCAGAGCAGCTGGGTGACGCGGCATATCTCTGTCGACTAACCTACCTGTCCTTTTGTTACATTTCTAAGGAATTTGTTTATTATTCCTTTCATACATATGAACATTTAATATGGGAAAAAAATGTATATTCATTCATTTAGTTTCGATACAGATGAAGTTCGATTCGAGCTTTCGTTTGTTCGATTTCTTCAAGATTGAGCAAAATTTACCGGAGGTGGGATTAATCCTTGATTCGCACTGCACGGGACACAAGTCTTGAGTAAATTTTATGTAGGAAGACGAGAGAGCTCTTCACTTAAAAATGACTTAAATTAGGAGCCTTTTATGGAGGAAGCGGCCTTCTCCTACTACACTATATATATGTATTGTTAGGCTTGAGGAAAGGTTCAGCCTAGAGTTATTCGATAAAAGTACAATCGTGTATCGAGCATTATATTACCATCAAATCGGTGGCATGATTATGTTTGTATGAACTATACTAAGACTTGACCATGGAGAAGAGGAAGAAAAAGAAATGAAGGAGTGATTAGTTGATCTCTGAAATGATGGATCTGAGACCTAATTTAGGGTTTAGTGGGAGAGCAAAATATGATGATATGATATGGGAGAAATTATATTTTTCAGAACCATACTTGATAGCTCATTGATAGAAAGGAAAATTTTCAAAAAGAATGTGACCAGATGTCAGCTTATAAGTTTTGTGTCAAGATTTCCAAAGGGCTTTGATTTTTTATAAGCAAACAAAAGTTGATTGATTGACTGTAAGCAATGTTGTTGATAGCCTTTTAAGTGTTGCCAAATGGTAGATGAGAGGTCAATATTACTCTGTTTTTTTTTAATTTCTAAGATTGAAATAAAATATCTGATCCAACCGACTTTGTTATTTTCACTAATCTAATCCTTTTTTACTAACTTGCTAATGGTGAATGGTCTATGCCTTGCTTGCTAATTGCCTCCCTTTCTTGTGTCAGTTTTTACTTTCCTAAATTAAACTGGAATTTTCTTTTTTTAACAAAATATTCTTGAAATTTTTAAAATCGTACAACAAGAAATCGAAAAAACTAATTATAAAACTATGAAAATTTTCATTTATGGTTAGATTTGAGTATTTCTCGACTAGTTGAGTAATGTTGTGGCTTCTCGAGTTTTATAACAACGAGTCTAAATCCAGTTGTGGAAGAATCAACATTTGTTAATTCCATTGATATTTTGGTTTATTTAATCTCATAATTCGAGTGCAAATGATATGAGTGATACATATTCAATAGTGAACATTTAGATTCACGAAAGTTGAAACTATTATCTTAAAATTGAGATTATGCAGTATCATTCAACGAAAAAAAAGATTATGCAGTATCATTATACCAATAAATTAAGACAAGTATATTTTTAACATTTAAAACTTGAAAAAAATTTGGGTCCAAAATTTGAAGTTTTAAGTTTAACCTTAAAGTTGAAGTCTATTTGTTTTCTTTCTTACAAAAAAAATGCCAGATTGGGGGAAAATACAAAAGAGTTTTTTGATTTTCTCCAAACGACAGTACCATTTTGCCCTTTTTTTCTCTTACGCGCTCTCTTCCTCCTTATTTCTTCTCTCTCACTCGCACAACAGAAAACCAGAGAGGCACCAAGAGCAAAAAGGAACCAAAAAAAAAAAAAAAACCCATCACCATAGCTTCAGAGCAAGAAGAAGCAGGAGCATAAGAAGAAGAACAATAAGAACAAATTTGAAGCAATGTCGTCAAAGCGAAGAAACCCGCCATTGTTGCTTCTTCTATTCATCTCCGTTTCCATTTCCGTTCTTTTCGTCTCCTCCTCCGCAGCTCCCGGAGCTGAAACTGCGACGTTTCATTTCCGAGCTCCTCGATTTCCTGGTAAAAAGAAAAGAATGTTCCTTTCCCAGTTCCTATTCTTATGGGTTTCTGAAATCTTTTTCCTTTTTTGATAAATAATGTGTGTTTTTCCTCTGATGGGGTTTCCTTTTTTCTAGATTTTTCGAGAGCTGGACATGGCTTAGTGGCGCCATTCGGCATAAGACGCCATCTCGCCGACGGCAACTCGACGGAGGCCGGTGATGGGAATTCGACGACTCTGGTGTTGGCCGGAGAGAGGACTCGACGGAAAGACCCTTCGGATAACTTGAAAATCTACACTGGTGGATTCAACATCAGCAATCAACACTACTGGACTGTGAGTTAAAAACAAAAAAAAAAATGATCTGTGGACTTCCATCACCTGTTTCAATGGTTTTTCTCAGCTGGGTTTTCAATTATGTCCTCAATCCATCTTTTGGTTTACGAAATTAGCTGATTTTGATTGACTAATGCTGCTGGTTCTATGTCATGGCAGTTCTATTCAATTCTGATTTACACATCGTCATTAGCAGTCTGTAACCAAACTCTGGCCTATTGTTGCTTGAACAAGTAATTGAATTTTTCCTTCTGAATTGCAGTCTGTGAGTGCTACAGCAGCACCATTCTTTCTCGTAGCTGGAGTTTGGTTTGCAGTCTTTGGGATAGTTCTAGCCTTCACCTGTCTATGCTATTGCTGTTGCCCTAGAGAGCCTTATGGCTACTCTCGAACTTGCTACGCCATCTCCCTCATCTTCCTCATCCTTTTCACCATTGCAGCAATGTAACATGACACTCTCCTTCACTCTTTCTTTATCCCATGGTTGTTGTACTACTCTTTATGCGGATTGGTTAACTAATTGTTGTTTGTGGGGGGGAATTCACAGTGCTGGATGTGTTGTTCTTTATACTGGACAAGGGAAGTTCATCGGCATAACATCAGACACATTGGACTATGTTGTGAGCCAGGCAGATGTTACAGCCGAAAGCCTCAAGAATGTGTCAGGGTATCTCGCTGCAGCCAAGTCGGTTGACGTGGACTCGATTTTCTTGCCTGCTGACATGCGGAGCAAACTCGATAACCTTGTGGCGAAGGCCAATTCGTCTGGGAACACATTGTCCAGCCGTACTCAGGATAACAGGAGGAAGATTAAGGATGGGTTGAATGGCGTGTAAGAAGCTCTTTCAAACTCGAATGGAGTATCCGAGCTCGTTTGTTTGATCATTTCTTGATGACCATTTCCTGTTTGCAGGAGATTGGCTCTTGTGATCTTAGCAGCTGTTATGCTTGGTTTGGCATTTCTTGGCTTTTGTAAGTTCTCTTCTGTTGTTTGAAACGTTGCAGATGTTGGTTTCTAGGTCTCCTGGTTTCCTTTTGACATTGTGATGACTATGTTGTGCAGTATTCTCCATTCTTGGGATGACTTGCCTTGTATACTTGTAAGTGATAACGATAATCAAGTTATATGTCCTGACTATTCAGAAACCAGAAATGACGGTGCTGAGTGTTGTGCACTTTGTTGTTAACTGCAGCCTGGTGATTCTAGGATGGATCCTCGTTGCTGGTACATTTATCTTGTGTGGCGTCTTTCTTCTTCTCCACAAGTAAGTTCCTTTCGTTCTCCCATCCGTTAATCATTCACCCCCTCATCACCCTTTTCACCTTACCAATACTCCTATGGCTGTTTGGAGCCTATAGAGTATAATACCCTTGTCCTGCATCACAGATTCATATGCAAATCATTTAACTTTTCCCTCCATTTGTCATTTTCCCTGCTGCTAAATGATCTCCGCTGACCTTGGTTTGGTATTTTGTGTCATCGCCATCGCCATCCAGTGTGGTGGCAGATACATGTGTGGCAATGGACGACTGGGTCCAGCATCCTACTGCCAAGACGGCCATGGACGATTTCATCCCATGTGTGGACAATGCAACTGCACAAGAAACGTTGGTGCAATCGAAGCAGGTCTCTTTCCAGCTCATCAACTTGGTTGACACCGTCCTCGCCAATTTCTCCAACCGCAACTTCCCCCCACAACTCGGACCTCCTCTCAACTACAATCAATCTGGTCCGTTGGTTCCTCTTCTCTGCAACCCCTTCAACTCCGATCTCACCGTCAAGGACTGCACTCCCGGGGAAGTCGTCTTCCATAATGCTACTGAGGTAAGCAATCCCCCATGGATGATCAATACTTCGTTACATATCAGGGTATTTGCTCTTAGTGTCCACTGAACTTTTGGTAAGCAGGCGAATTAGCCATTGGACTTGGTCTTGCGAACAATGCAGTCAATAGCGTGTTTCTATGCAGGGCCGGCCAAGAGGGTGTGCCAGCCTGCCCTCCGGCACAGGGGCTTCGAATATTAGGGGCCTCCACTTAGATTCGTTAGTTACCGATTGAATATTGCGGTTGTTTTTTAGTGTATGATTGATAGATTATGAACATGATGATGAATTTAATAGATAATTTTAGCTATAATAACAATTGAAAAGGATCTCATGGAGAATACAAAAATCAGAGAGATAATAGATAATTTTAATTTAAACAATAAAGAAAGATATTACATTTTGAATAATGGTATTATAATCATTTTAGTTTTATTATAATTAAAAGTCAATTCGGATCATGTCTCAATTTTAGAATAGGGCCTACACGATCCATTAGATAGACTCGCACCCACCTCTCGATCAATTTATATTATTTTCATTTCTCCATTCAATCTTTGCTCTATATCCATTTTCTGTTCTCTCCAGATTTACTTTTCTCCCTCCCTGCTAGGAGTGAGAATTTGGTCTTGGTTTCTTGGTCAAACAGGAAGTGAGATTGTTTATTCATTTTGAAATTACTTTATGAACTTATGTACTTTATAATTATTTAATAAATATTATTTTTAATAAATTTATTGAGAAAAAAATTAGGGGCCACATGTTAAATTTTCAAACAGGACCTCAAAATATCATGGGACGGCTCTGTTTTTATGTATAAGCATTTTGGTAACTTAGAAGCGTATATGCATGAATTTTAAAGCGCAAATTTGACTACATTGCTTGTGACGATTTGGCCCCTGAAGTTTCAGAAACTTGACAAAGTCCGTGTCTTTCCAATGCAGGCATGGAAAGCCTACGTGTGCCAAGTTTCAAGCTCTGGCATATGCACGACGCCCGGCCGGCTGACTCCATCGCTGTACTCCCAATTGTCGTCGGCCGTGAACGTGAGCTACGGGCTCTACCGCTACGGACCGTTCCTCGTGGAGCTAGAGGACTGCACGTTCGTGCGGAGAACGTTCACTGACATCAACGCTTCCTACTGCCCCGATCTCCGACGATACACGCAGTGGATCTACGTCGGGCTGGTGATCGTCTCGGCCGCGGTGATGCTGTCGCTGATCTTCTGGGTGATATACGCCAGAGAGCGCCGCCACCGTGTGTACACCAAGCAGTTCATGACTGGCGGTGGAGGAGATCACAACAAGGGTCCGGGGAATATATGAGTGGTTTTGGAGGGAGATTTGATTGATTATAGCTTTTGTAAATTTTGGTAGTTGTTTGTTTTAGGAGTGATATATATGTAGATTGGATGAGAGTGGATGGTGGTTCTGCTTCATATGTATGTGTACCAAGTATTTACGCAGGTAACTCGTTACGTACTATAGTTCCTCGGGTCATGAAATACTGTTAGAACAGAAGAAAACAGGGGAGCCTCTGTTTTCCACGGAGGAAAAGCCCATCGATGGCGGAAACAGAGGAATTAGCTTCAACGACTAGTTAATTTAATGGCCCACTATTCATCATAGGTCGGAGAAGGAAGGAAGGAAGGAGAAGGATTTTTCCTCCTATCTCTCACTTCTTGTGGTGATCAGGGAAAAGAGCAAGTGATCGGAGAATTTATGCCTGGGGAAGGAAGGAAAGGCAGGGGAACTCCGGCGGGAAATGACGAAAAGCGAAACGTTTCGGGTTCTAAAAAACCAAGTTCGAAACGCGATTAATTGACGAGGTATATTTGACTTTCTCATGACATATTGACGCTGACATCTACTCGACCGGCGGCGAAACAAACAGTGGGGAAAGAACGTCACCGGGAAAACCAGAGAAATAAGCAGAGGTACTCTGTTTTTTTCTTCTTCTTCTCTTTCCCGGCGATGGCAGACGATGACAACGGAGTGGGAATTAGTTCCGACCTCCCGGCCGGCGGGTTTGGAGTAGTTTAAGCAGCAGTTATTGAGTGTCGGATCAAGAACCGAATAAATAATTGATGGACGGACAATATCCAGTCTCTCTCCCAGTCCCACGACCACCACCGGAAATTGCAGATGCAACCCCCATGGAATTCAGCTTGATTGATTCCACGAAGAATTCATTCATTCATTCCCCCTTTCTCCAAATTATAACCAGAACAATGATGGAGGCGTTGTTTTCGCTGCAGGAACCGAAACAGTTTTCTCCCCCGACACACGTCAGTGAATCTAAGCCGGCAAACATGTCTGCAGGCTGCCTGTCCAGTGTCCGACGTAAAGACACCATTTTTCACAATAAAGAAAGAAAGTTACAGTACAGTTAGAAACATACACGACAACCCATCACCACCACCACCACAAACGAGGTCATGAAATCACAAATGTCCCACGTACGAGCTAATTCTCGTCACACACGTAGATAAGATAAAGAGTAACTGTCACGTCTAGTGGACCAATTTTGTGTGACATTTTGACTACAGTGGAATAAGTAGCCAGAGCCCAGAATAATCGTTAGGACTTAGGAGAAGAGAAGATGAACGGTTGCCCACTACGGTCTACGAGTACGATCCGAGTTACAAAGAGTAACATAACCTATAAAACTCGTGTTTTATCAATTCTGATACGAATTATATCATCCTGAAATGATCTTAGTAGGGGTGGTAAAAAAACCCATGATTTTGTAGTTTTTTTGCATTTCTAGAGTTTTGTGTGTTATCCTTTCCCATCGAAAACACTAAGACTTGAATTGCTTATTAACGGGGTTCCTTATTTTTTTTCTTGACGTTTTAATATAATCGATCTAGATCCAAAGATCTGAACAATGTCATTGAACTAAACAAAGGTTGAAACGAATGGATTATGTGGTACCATCTGCTAACTTATTAGTTATAAACCCCAACGAGTATTTCGAGTTCAAAGAAAGTAATATTCGATCATTTTTATATATGAATCCGACATATCTCTTTACTACCCAAAACTAACTACACAAATTTCTTGCTCGAAAGATTGTATATATCATACAAAAATAACCTAAATAAAGCTCGAGTTTATACAAATAAGCCTGTTGGATGAGTTGTACCACGATATAAAAATATATCGATACAACTATAGATTTACAAACCCTCGAAACCCCTTGTTTTCCCCAAATCCCATTCGAGAACATGAAGATTACCCATCCGTTAATCAACTCTTGTCGGGCATCCCTGTCGATTACAATCATTTATACATGATTGCTCGCTCTTCTTGGCGTCTTAATTTGTATTATCAATCAATCAAGATTCAGTGTTTTCAACAACAACAAATATCATATATAAGCTAATCAGATAACTAAGTGTTTGCTTGGACTACTTTCTCATGTCGAAACCAGTGGGTGACTCGAGGTTCCTTTTGATAAACACGAACCAAACGAAGTCCACACTCGAAAAAAAATATATATGTCGAATAAGAACAATCGTCAATCGAAATGAAACTCGAGTTTATACGGTCAGCCTACATAATTGAGCTAAACTGCTACGGTCAAACCCATCAGCTCAACTCTTACCTTGAATCAAATACCGTTGTTGGGCAGAGAGGTAAGGCAATTTGTCCCTTTCAGTTCTTCCAATAACTTTGGTTCCACAAACCTCGTGTCGATGTCGCAGTTTGGATCGTGGGTTTTCTTTCCTTCTGTTGTTTCCATGGAATCAAATACATGATAATTGGAATTCCTCAATTCGGAGGTCGAATTGGAGGGTGCCAAATGGGAGGTTGTGAATGAAGGGAGAGGGCAGAGGAAGACGAATATTCCGATTTTAGAGCTGACCCACATGATCATCAACCGACCTCTGTAGAGAGCCAGGATTCCTGGCGGGCGGCGGGTTGACTCTTTTTTCGGTTCATAATTTGCCAACCAGACCCACTCAAACAATCATTGATGTCGGTTTTCTGTTCTGCATGTGCTTAAACTAATCAAGCCATAAGAAAGAATCCAGCAGTCCAGGTTGTAACTCCTTTGAGAACATAATAGAACTGGATTTCTTGAGATATTGATCAAAGATTTCATTAATCATGAGTAGAGGAATATGCATGAATGTGAGATGATGATCTTTCTTATTTGATATATATTAATCGAGGAGTTTGTGTATAAGAAGTTGACCTATAATAATAATAATATTATTGCATGAGAAATTGTGTAATTACTATTTTTGCTGCAATTCTACTATGCTTTAAATTACAACTTGAAATTGTACAATAACGTTAAAAATACAACTTAAAGTTGTATCATAAGGGAATTTGAACCTTTAGTTGTACCATAACATAAAGATACAACTTTAGTTTGTACCATAAAGATATTTATAGAAAAAAGTATAGGTACACCTTAGATTGTACCATAACGTCAAAAGCAAAACTTCGAGTTGTACCATAAAGGCAAAAACCAAAGCACCAATGCTTTAAAGCATTGTAAATTTCCTCTGTATAGACGAACAATGGTTTGGCATAGTAGTAATATCACTAGCCTAGAACCTGGAGGTTCCATATTCGAATCTCTTAAGTAATACCTTGATCACAAAAAATGTAACTTATATCACCCTTATAAAAAAAATTCCTCTATAGAGAGTGATAAATTTTACAAAAAGTGAAAGAGATGAATTAGGTGGCAGTAAATCACTAAATCATGTAGTAGTTTAGTTAGTATTTCGAGTACAAACAAAGTAGAGAGAGTTTTTTTTTGGTTTATACAAATAGGAAAGACGTTACCTGCTCAAATTAAACAAAACATTAATGAAACCACACGTTATATATTGTTCGACAAGTTTGTGCACAAGACGCTGATCGGCTCTGATTTACTTGCTATTTAAAACATAGATACATTTGAAAAAGAAAATACTTAAAGCCATATATAGAGCAATAGATTTACGCAAAAGTTAAAACGGATTAATTAGGTGACACTAACTTCTAACACTCCCATGAATATTCGAGTTTAAAGGAAGTAACATTTGATCATTGTTATATACGAATACAAAATGTCCCTTACTACTCAGAACTAACTGAAATATTAATGATCACACACGTTATATTAAAAAATTCAATAACTCTATCCATTAAAGTTTTGTATAACTCGATAACTCTATCCATTAAAGTTTTTACCAAGTCAATTGGTGGATTTTCTCCCTAAATTATTGGACAAGTTTTGTGGAGTGGGCAACCGGAAATTAGAGCCATTGTTTGATGCAATTTAGCGAACAACGACTCGAAAATCTCATGCTTGGATCGAAGATCGAATCAAAATCTCATCTTCTATGAAATGTTAGTGACAGTTTCTCCAGGAAAAAACCACAACAAAATCCAAATCCAAATTTCATCCATGATGCATAACATATACAAACCAACCGGTCCGACCAAATTGAGTTAATTACTTAATTCCCAATTAAACTCCCCAATTTCTGCCCTCCTAGTCTTCGGCCATTCTTTTCTGTCGCGCGCGTAACCGCTAACTAATCTCATCCTTTCCGCCACCTCACTTCCGCAATGACCATCTAACCCACCCCGCCCCACCTTAATTACCTGGCGACACCGAGGACAGAATAGTAAAACCACACCGATACAAAAACAACCGCAAACCCTCAATTTTCCATACTACCCTCCAAACCAATCTCCCTTTCCTCCTCCCTCTCCAGGGGCAAAAAAGTCTACCGCCAATCTATAAAACCACCGCTCAGAGTTGGTAGGTCGGCTTGCCTCTGTTCCCGATTACGCTAAAAAACAGAGAGAAAGGATCAAGATTTCTCCCCAGTATAGAAAGAAACAGAGAGATTCTTCCCTTACCCATCACGAATCAAATCCAAACAATGGCGACTGGCAATTCTTCTTCTTCTTCTTCTCCGGCGAATTCTGTCAAGACCCGGACGTGCCTCTGCTCGCCGACGAACCACCCGGGGTCGTTCCGCTGCAGCCTCCACAAGAACCGGTCGTCGGCGACGAGCAGCCGTCCGTCCCGGAGGGAACTGGCTGCGGCGGCGGCGATGGCGAAGGCGCTCACGTTGAGGGCGTTCCTGCTGCAGATCATCAAGCCGTCGAATCAGGACCAGAAGCGGCGGAGGAATTTCCAGCCCAGGCCATCGAGGTTTTGCACGATGAACGGCGGCAGCGGCGTGGCGGTTTCGTAAAGACCCGTCGTCGTCGATTCCTTTTTCTGGGGTTTTTTTTTTCCGATTGTTTTTTGTTTGTTCTAAGTGATTCGTTGTTTGGTATGTAAATAGGGGGGCAGAAATTTCTCAGACGGATCTGTTTTTTGATTGGATTCTGAGAAACAGGGGATAGGTGGGGAAATGGGAAATCAAGGTTTTTTTCTTTCTTTCCCTTTTCAGGAATTTGTTCCATGTCGTAATTCAACCTAATATATTTCTGAGTTTAGTTTAATTCCATTGATCAAAGCTCTTTGCGGAAGATCAGTCGCCAAATCAAAAGGCAGAGGAAAAAAAGCCTTGTACAATGCCTTTTCTTGGTGTCACTAAAGCATTCAAAAGGCAGCCCTAAAGACTCTTTGCTTCGTTGTAAAAGTTTGGAAGATGCATAATGTTAATGTACAGTTAGTTCTATGGAGGCCTTAATTGGAGTGTAGAATCGTATGGAAGGCTCGTACGATTTCTTTAGTAGAGATTCATGATTAGATCGTTGGAAATGTACGGTGATGACGAAGTGCCCGCTTATGAGTTATGATGAGTGGTGAAACCAGAGGATCCATGTGGGCAAATTTACACTGAATGGGCCTAATGGGTCGATTGGTGTTGGGCTAAGGCCTACGGACTATGGGGCTGGTTTTGGAATTGGGCCATGCGCGGTCACTTCAGCGAGAAATGATTTCTCCTCAGTCCTCAACGCATTAGGATGAACAAGTTGACATCTCTCAGCGTGGTGTACACCAATTAATATGGCAGATGCCCTCAAAATACTGCACAGTTTGTTAATTACTCTCAATGAAGATACATATATAGGGAATCGATCCTCTTATCGGCTATCGCCAATTATACTTCGCACTATCGACACCAAAATAATTAGTAAGGCCGACAACTATCGATGCAGGTGATGATAACGAGGAAGTGAAACTACATTGACACAGAGGTTTTGTGAAAGTAATTGAGCGTCATTTATAGCGTTTGTTGATGTGACTTGAATCGGACTATCAGCCGCTACGACTGGAAGTCACGGGGTGTCCCGCGGTGTATGAGCTCAATGTTATTTGGGTTCGTTTTCTGGGCCTGGTTGTAACCGTTTTTCCTTTACCAGATTGGATTAGGGTTAGACCTTGGAGAAGTAGTATAAATACTTCTCATACTCGGTAATTGTATCTGCTTAAGTATAGTGAAATCTAGCTCTCTCCTGCCCATGGAGTAACTAACACACATCGTGTTAGTGAACCATGCAAATCCGTGTGTTGTGTGCGTGTTTGCATTTTCGTTTCTTGCATTGTCGAATCCTCCTATTTCCCGATCTGCAGAAAAAATCGTGACAACGTTATTGATGATCCATAGTGTCCTCTACATAAAATCGTATTGGTATAGTTTAATTTTACTTTGTTAGCACCACCATAACTACTTGTTACTATGTTGTGTGATAGGGATGACAAACGGTAAGCAAGTAACCGGCGGTAAACGATAAACCAATTACCGGCGGTATCGATAGTCGAGTGTGAAATGGGGACAGTAAACCGATTACCGGCGGTATTGATAGTCGAGTGTGAAATGGGGACAGTAAACCGATTACCCAGTTACGGTAAATACCGACGGTTAGTCGGTAATACCGATACCGAAGACCAGTATAAGAGTTAACATATAACATATATTCCATTATTCACAAATATTACATACATGAATGAAGTAAGTATATGCCTAAAAATATTATAAATAAGAGTTAATAATAAATTATTACTTACAATAATAAAGAAAAAAACTCAGAAAAATAAAAAAAGTTACAATCTACCCTCCAAGGCCAGAATTTTGGTTCGGTAATTTTCCGATAAACCGAATAAAAAACCATATGCAACCCCTCTTCACTGTGAATCGGTAAAACCGGTTTATAACCGTTTACCGGGAATTCGGTAACCGGTAAACCGATTACAAACTGGTAACGGTATTCGATTTCCCCTCTCAATGCTCGGCATACCGTTTATCAGTTCGGTCGGTAACCGGACCGATTGTCACCCCTGGACTATCTTCAAGCGCCAACCATGTACTAGGTGATGGACCAATGACCATGGGGCACGTGGTGTTGCGGTCAACGCGAGGAATGGAGGTAAGGTAAAGGGGTAAAAGGAAAGTCCACCGGAAATTTATAAAAATCACCGTGGCAGAGTCGGCCGACTTTCCCCTGTTTCCAATTACGCTCAGGAAACGGAAACAGAGGATCAAAAAAATTTCTCCCATTATAAAAAGAAACGAGAAGATTAATTCCTCCCAACCCATAGCAGTTCCAGTCTCGACAATGGCAGCTGATAGTTCTCCGTCTTCTTCTTCTTCTTCTTCTTCTTCTTCTTCTTCTTCAGCGAATTCCTCCAAGACTCGGAGTAGTACTACTAAGTGCCTCCTCTGCTCGCCGCCGAAGGACCCGGGCGGCCTGTACCACTGCAGGCGCTGCCTCAACGACCGGTCGAAACGCAGGCGAAGGAGGCGGGCACGAAAGGCGAAGAAGGAGCTCACTCTGAGTGCCTTCCTGCAGCGGATCATCAAGCCGCCGAGTCAAGATGAGAAGCGGCGGAAGAATTCCCGGCCCACGCCGTCGAGGCTTTTCAGGATGCACGGCGGCAGCGTATAGCGATTACGTAATGATCGCTCGTCGTGGGTTTCTTTCTTTCGTTTTTTTTAGCGAGAATTGGAATTAGGATTGTAGCTTAGATTAGTCGTTTGCAGTGGCGGACCCAGAATTGTCGGAGAGGTGTGTCGCCGATAAAATACAATAATAATTAAATTAAATTAAATTAAAAATTAAGTAAAAATTAAAAGAAATTAATTCATAAAGTTCACAATGTCATGTTTACAACGAACCGCGACAACTTTTCATCTGCTGAAATGTCTCTAAAATACATTCATCACTTATGCTGCAAAGCAAATCTTTTTCAATATACACAACTAAACAATCATTCATAAATTGATCACTCAACCGATTTCGAAGATCGTTCTTGATTATCTTCATAGCTGAAAATGCTCTTTCGCAGCTTGCAGTTGCCACAGGTAAGGTCAACACCAACTTTAACAGCAAGTAAACTAAAGGATAAAGAGTGTCCTTTCCCCTTTCCACCAATTTCCTAGCTAGCTCATCGATTCCTCGCAATCCATCAAAGCTCTTATCCTCCTTGACATGAGAAATGTAGCCCCCCAATTGTTGATGAAGTCGTGAGAGCACATTGGATGGAAACTCCTCGGGATAAAACTCAGTAAGACTCATCAACTTTGCGTTATCAAAATAAGCAAAAGAGTTAGCTGGACTAAAACAAGAAATGCAGTCCAACAATCGAGTGTTCACCTCACCAAATCGAGTATTCAACTCTTGCAACTGCAAATCTATAACTGCATAGAATAAATCGACTTGATAGTAATGCAAGTTTGTAGGCTGATGAGGGGTGCTACGTCTTGTTCTTCCAGCAAAAGTGAACAAGTCATTCATGTTAGGAACATGAATTTGTTCCTTAGTGCAGAATGAAACCACATCATCAAATAGAGGTTCCCACCCTTCATCTCTCAACTCTTGTAGTCTCTTCTTTGAGCAATTAATGAGTTCCATATCATTAACAAGGTCGTGATCTTTCCTTTGTAATGCTATAGACAACTCATTTGTAATTGCAAGCACTTCAATCATCATCTTCATGTGAAAGACAAACTCAAAAGTTCGCATTTGAAGCAGAGAATTCACTACTTTACCTTGTGCCTCCTTTGAACGTGTGTCAAATTGCATCTCATTCAGTACATCAACCACAGAACTGAACATATCCATAAGATTTGTAAGTGCCCCAAGATGGGATCCCCAACGTGTATCACCGGGCCTTTTCAACCCTATTTGTTGATTCAATCCTTGTCCACTCTCCAAATCACCAGTAGATAGAGCCTCAATAACCCTTGCGGCATGCTTGTCTCGAAGAGAATCGACCCTCTTAGGTGATCCACCAATCACATTGAGCAATGAAGCAAAATGCTCAAAGAAGCGATTATTGAGCACATGATCTCTTGCAACAGCTACTAGTGTCAACTGAAGTTGATGAGCAAAGCAATGAATGTAATGAGCAGATGGATTCTCAACCAAGATTAATGATTTCAGTCCATTGATTTCACCTCTCATGTTACTAGCCCCATCATATCCTTGCCCCCTCACCCTTGCCAAACTTAGCCCATGTAATCCAAGAATTGATTCAATCTCCTTTTTGAGTGTAGCAGCCCTAGTATCAGCGACATGAGCAATACCAAGAAATCTCTCAATAACACAACCATTCTTATCAACATAACGTATAACCAGAACCATTTGCTCCTTAATTGACACATCACGAGATTCATCCACCAATATGCAGAAAAAAGAATCTCTAAGATCTTTGATGATCTCTTGACTTATTAGAGATGCTATTGCTCGAACAATATCCTTTTGAATCTTGGGAGAAGTCAGTTGAAGATTTTTCGGAGCATTCTCCAACACAACACTTCGCACTTCCTTATTCTCATTAGCAATAACCTCCAAAAAGTAACGAAAATTTCCTTTGTTTTCTGAAGATTCACTTTCATCGTGCCCTCGAAATGGCAATCCTTGGTGTAGAAGAGCCTTAGTGGTAGTAACTGATGCCTGCAAACGAATACGATATTCTCTTTTTGGTTTATCTGTTTGTCTCACCAATGCACTTGAGATGCTCTGTGATTGTCTCAACAAATCTTCACCTTTCTTAGCAGCCACATTGTGAGAACTATTAGGGCCACCAACATGATCATCTAATCGCGTCTTCCTATTCCAACATCTCACCCCATTTGATATGAATGCTTCTCCACTACCATTTTTAGATTCAGATACAAACAAATAGCAAGGTAGACAGTATACTGCATCATCATGAACACTATACTCTAGCCAACCCTTGTGCCCAGTATACCAAGAAGGATTAAATCTTCGTTTTTCTCCACTATAGTCGGTATATGGGAAAGAACCTTTTGGTTGACAAGGACCCTTTATCAGATATGCTCTTCTAATCTCATCTTGCATATTAATAGGGAAAGTTGAAAACTTTCTCCTCAACCCCGGATCGGCTTCCAATTTGTTCACATCAACCTCATCATTCTCATTTTCTTCAGGAAATGAAGAAAACTTACTTGAGATGCCACTTGTTTGATTAATCGATGGTGAGGAAGATTGAGAATCATCATGCTTCCTTTTACTTGATTCTCCTCCTAAATTGGTAATTTGTGGAGTAGTTTTGGCTTTCTTTGGGACCTTTGGGTAAAATCTCTCCATGTCTGGATACAGAGTACAATATAAATTAGCTTATAAACAAATCCATTCAATTCATCCATGAATTACAAATTGACAAATAAAATTTGGGTTAAATGGGAAAACAAGAAAAACCCTTAAACTTTGCAATTTAGTGTTCATAACAGTAAAATTACTTACATTTGGCCAGCTACAAGAAGTGCCCACTTCACCGGCTACGAGGAGTTGCCGCCGCGGTGCCGCCCGCCGGTGAAGGGATGTCCGCCGAGGCCTCCCTGGGTTGCCGTGCCGACTTGCCGGTTCTGCCTTCGCCTGGGTTTTTGGTTCGCCTAGGGGTCTGGGGATTATATTTTTTGCGACTTGCGAGCGAGAGAAGAGGGAACAGGGGGAATAATGGGGATGGGTCGCTGGGGCTTGGGATATGGACAGGGAAATGGCAATTGGGCCATTAATTTGGGGATTGGGCCATTAATTGGATTGGGAGGGAAGGAATAATAATGGGAGGAGGTGGCCGATTGGGCTATTGCCCATTTGGCTTATGATTTTTTTTTCTCTATTTAATTATAGGCCCATGCCCAACACTATATTGTATGAGTTGAGAGTGTTATTTTTATATGAAGGATAGGATTATGCTTTAGGAGTTATTTTAAACAAAATTAAAAAGGATTATGATTAAGATTGATTCATTTGGATAATAATTTCTTCGAGTATAATGAAGGTGTGTCGGCTATAATTATTGAAGGTGTGTCGGCTATCCCGAAGTAAAAAATTTTGTACAAAAAATATGTAGGTCCTTCGTAAAATTCTCGAGCGAGGGTGTGTCGGACGACACACCCTGCCCCTTCTTAGGTTCGCCTCTGGTCGTTTGATATATAGGTAAATATATAGAGGGCAGAAACTCGTTTAGTTCACCCTCCATTATTGATTAACGTTCTTCTGATTCTTGATTCATGTCTTGAGATGATGATCTGCCACCAAATCGTAAAAGAGAGTTTGATTTGCCCCATTTCAAATTTCCTGTAACGAGAGTGAAAGTAGGAAGGGTATTTTCGTCTACACAATCAGTTGTTTATTTCATATAAAAACATATCAATACTAGGATTTGAACGATGGTCTCTTCCATAAAAGACAAGAATTGTAACCAATTAGACTAGACACATTTGTTGTACTTTATTAAAACAAAACATAGGGAAAGTTAAAATTATGAAAAACATAGTACTTTTCTATCACTGTTAGTTAGCCCACTAAGTCTCCTGTAAGTATTTTTTGGTGTTTGATAATTCTATTTTCATATTTTAATAATTAATTTAGAATTTTTTCTAACTTATAAATGAAGATAATCTTAAAAACTCAACACAAATATCATTGGTTGGAATATTGCACATTGAATTGAAGTGTTCAATGAAGTGTTCAATGACGACATAAGAACACTGGTACCATACATTTCAAGAAAAATAAACATGACAAACACCGATACCAATTATCTCGACAGTCTATGCTAAAATTCGAATTTGTTTAATCATTCAATTTGAGTGATAGTTTAATCAAATCAAGCAAATAATTCACGATTGTGTATGAACAAAAATAAAAAAATATGTATTGTACTATGAAAAATATATTTATTTTAAAAATCTTAAAAAACAATCAAGACTTCCATATACAACCCCTTATTTCAGCATTGTAATTAAATGAAACAATTTTTATCAACATGATGCAATGTTCAAGCTAAGGTCCAATTATTAATCACTAGTATATAGTATTCAGCTTAGTGAACTATTTCAATATCCACGACTAACTATTAATGATTACTTGCTTTCTGTTTGAGGGTTTAATGTAATACTCTCATGTCTACACTCTAACCATTTTTTTTTCTTTTTCCAATATTTTTTTGAAGTTATTTGTTAAATCAACTATGTTTCTAGCTTTCCATTCCTAATTATTCAATGCTTCCTACCAACTTATGGGAATGATGAATATTTTTTTCATGTATAATCTATTGACTATAAATGTTGCTTGTTTGTCTCCAACATATTCTCACAATTTCTCGAAAAAGCATCATATCTTGCGAGTGATATCATAGTTTTGGTAGGTAAAATTCAACAAACTCAATCAATATTCGAACTCTTTGAAGTAGCTATCTACATGTGAATATGAAGTATTGAGTAGCTAAAACTCTACTTGAGTTAGTATGATCTTTTGCGCTATCAATTAAAATTCAATACATGATTATCTTATTACAATTTAGTCATACTAATTGTGCAGTAGGGGACATCTTATCAAAATCGTATCGAAAGACTCCTTGATTGATCAGTTTCAGGATGTAATCAATTATACCAAATAGAAGTGATCAAATTTATAAGATGCTCTCAAAGTTTGCTATAATTATTGAGGTTCAACAACATGTTAATCGTAAGGTGGTCATTGTGCATTTGTCTATCTACTAGCTCGCCTAGATACGCTTAGACGTTTTAATAAAATTGTAATAATGATGAATGAAGTAACAGTTCTAAAGCACTTTCATACTTCAATTCAAATGATTTAACAACAAGGAAAATAACTCTCAAGTTTATAATTTTTTATACCAAATGGTATAAATAATTCATTTATGAGCTGAAATAGCTAATTATAAGCACTTAAATTTTTAAGTTAAAACTCATATGATACAATTGTTTGATTAAATGGTTTTTTATCATAGAGTGGTTCTATCGAGAGAGGTCTCTAAGAAACATGGCTTACTTTATTATTCATTAGGTAGATATAATATATATCTTCATCGTTACTTTTACATTGGATTCAATTTAGTATACTTTTTCGTTTAGATAGAAACATGACTTACTTTTTTTTTTGATGAATCGGCGGGATCTTTATTCATAAAAAAAGTGCTTTTGCTAGCAACACCCTTGCTAGCTAGGGGAGTATCACCAATCAACGGCAAAGACAGCAAAGAAACAATCAAAAACAAAACCTACCTCTGTGACAGATTAAGCTAGTCATTCCAAAACAGATTCACCCTATCTCTCCCAAGTACATACAAAATCTCAGTTTTTATACCAGACATCAGTTCTTAAAAACCCCTCACCTTATCACCATATAGTCGACGACATCTTTCTCTCCAAGTCTGACTGATCCATGTTTGCCATATAAACCTACCTGTTTTAGCTTCTTTTGTTTGCTTGTTATACTTCTCCAGCAGCCATGAAACCATGGCCTCCCATGTTTGGAACTCGGGGACCTGCATAGGACCTGTAAACAACTCATCAAGAATCTGCCTAGCAAAGGGGCAGAGAACAAACATATGCTGCCTACTTTCAACTCCTCCCCCATAAAGAACACAATTCAACGATCCCTGGAAGCCCCATTTTTGCAATTTCTCCTTAGTTTGTACACTTCCTCTGATTACCAACCAAGTAATCAGTCGATTACTTGGTATAGCCACACCCTTCCAGATTAATTTCCACCAAGTAACCCTCTGCTGAGCAGGTCTAACAAGCTGCCAGACTCGTTTAATAGAAAATCGAGGCATTGGTAACCCATCAAGTAATAAAACACCATCCCTGTTTGAAATAAAAGGAGCTATTCTGCTTCTGAGCTTCAGAATTTTGCACCAATGGCTTACTTTTACATTGGACGTTGTTCGTCATTTTTAAAACTTCGATAGTCAAATACATCAAATACTTTCCTATATTATTAATGAAGAACTTACCAAACTAAATAGTTACTTCAACCCCCAACAACATGAACCATACCAAAAATATATACCTTTACTTATACATGACAACATGAGAATCAAACTCTCCCGGCCAAGAGGCCGGGCCATAATCTAGTGCTAAAATATATTCTCCAACAACTATTCCAAAAAGATAAAAAGTAAAAAATTGGATAAATTTAGGCCAAATACCCAATACAAAAAGACAAGGAAAGCCAAATTATAGCCAGATCTATGGGTCCCACTGTTTTTCAAGAAGCCGACGCGTGTAGGGAGTGGGCGCGAAACGCACGGCGTGGAGCCAATCCGTGTCGCGCGTTTCATGCACTTCCCTAGCGCGCATCAACTCCTTTATTTCTATTTTAAAAAAATAATTCTGTTTCAGTCACCCAATTAAATACCAATGGCTCTATTAGCCCCCAACAACCCTTTTTTCGCAGATTCCTGTATAAATACTCCATGTTTCTTCACTTTAATTTCATCACTTCCAATTTCTTCTCTCATTCTTATCACAAATAATCTTCCCAAAAAATTACAACTTCTCATACTCCCAAACTCCTGATCATGTCTCAAACTAATCGCGCACCAATTTTGAAGGAGTTCGAAGATGAAGTTTTGTGCAAGGCTTGGATGAAATTTCAGAGGATGGTTTGGATGAAATTTCAGAGGATGGTTCTGTCGGCCATCATCAATCAGGGCCTGAGTCTTGGAGGCAAATTGGAGTCCTATATGCTGCTAAAGGATGGGAAATTCCGCGTAGCGATGGGGCATTGATTGCTCGATGGGGGACTATCAACCATCAATGTGGGTCGTGGAATGCGGCGCTGAGGAGAGCAAGCGCGATACTAATAAGTGGAGAAAATATAAGTGATGACGTTAGTTGAGTTCTAATAATTATTATCATGTGTGTTATTTTTTATTTAATTTGTAGTTTATTATCATAATTATTATACATGCCTTAATTGTCTAGGTTGAACGAGAAAACAATTTTCGTAGCAGACACCGGGAAACAATTCAAGCTGAAGCATTGTTGGGACATACTCCACAAGTCTCCAAATTTTATGGAACTATTGTCAGGGAAATAGTATGGAAGAGAACGATTGAAGGCGTGATTTGATCACTCTCCTTAGAGTGTTTATTTGCCCCCACTACTTCGTTGCTGGTAGGATTTAGGCAAACCACCCCTAGGAGTCCCTCCAATCAAAGTCAGAAAGCAGCACCTTTCGTGACTTCTGTGTTTGTGTTTTTGGAGAAGGAAAACAAGGAGAAGAAGATGAACGTTGGAACAGAAGTTCGGCTACAGAACTTTTATAGTGAAAACGACAGTTCCCTTTCGAAGGGTTACGTCGTTTCACAAAATTCAAAATCAAATAATTATCCGGATTAATTAATTAAAACAATTCCGGTAATTAAATAGCCACACTTTTTCCAGAAGCCCACTAACCACTTTATCCAATAACTAAAGTGGAAAACAAACTTAAAAACAACTTGCACTTTCCTTCTCCCACCAATGTGGTATTTCCTTTACTCTTTGACTACTCTAACAACTATTTACAAGTCCGGTATCACCCATTCCACCAATGACCGACTCTTCATCGACAATGCCATCCGATGAAAGTGATAGTCCTAATGTTCATGGGTCTCCTACTGCGGTGACCAGTACGGAAGGTCAAGATAAAAGAAGAAGAAAAGAGGAACTTCATAGCTTTCACAGAAGTTTGGGAGAAGAATATGATCAATTTGGTCGAAAATTCGAATACACATGCAAGGTTGTCGCTTTCTATTGAGGAACTCGATGATGAGTGGTGAAACCAGAGGCTCCATGTGGGCAAATTTACATTGAATGGGCCTAATGGGTCGATTGGTGCTGGAGTAAGGCCTATGGACTATGAGGTTGATTTTGGAATTGGGCCACGAGCATGCTTGCAATCCAAAATGCATGGTGTAAGCCTTTAGTGTTGAGGTCCGGTTTGAATTCTCAAACCACAATTTTACCCACGAATTCCCTCTTCAAATCGACGATTTAGCTAATATTAAAGTTATCAATGTGTCATACCATAGGTTGGCAATGCCGATTCCACCTCTGTTTTTTTGACCTAATACCTATGAAGAGTTTGAATCTTACTCAGCAATCATTTCAGCGAGATGATTTCTCCTCAACTCACTAAGATTAACTAACTGACATCTCTTAGCGTGATGTAAAATAATTAATATGACAAATGTCTTTTCAAAAATAGGTTGACAACTATCGATGCAGACGATGATGACGAGGAAGGAGAAACTTCATTGATACAGAGAGCTCTTCTATCGAAGTAGTGAAGTATCATTATAGCGCTATTGATAATGACAAGTGTTCTCTACCTAAATTCGTATATATTGGCATGGCTTTACTTTTGTTAGCATCACCACAACTACTTCTTACTATGTTGTGATGGACCCTCTTCAAGCGCCAACCATGTACAAGGTGGCATGGAAACCCTCAATGTCCAATGACCATGGGGCACGTGGCGTCGAAGTCAACGCGAAGGATGGAAGTAAGCGGCAAAAGGAAAGTCCACCGGAAATCTATAAAAAGCACCGCGGGCAGAGTTGGCCGGATTTCCCCTGTTTCCGATTACGCTCAGGAAGCGGAAAACAGAGGATTGAAAATTTCACCCATTATAAAAAGGAAACGAGGAGATAAATTCCTCACCCAACCCATCAGAAATCTAAGTCTCCAACAATGGCAACTGATAGTTCTTCTCCGTCTTCTTTTTCTTCAGCGAATTCCTCCGCGCCTCCGAGTACTACTACTTGCGTCCTCTGCTTGCTGACGAACCACCCGGAGTGCTCGTTCTGTCGCCGGCGCCACAAGAACCGGTCGGACCGCAAAAGGCGAAGGCCCCGGTCAAGGAAGGCGAAGAAGGAGATCACATTGAGTGCCTTCCTGCGGCGGATGATGCAGCCGTCGAGTCGAGATAATACGCGGCGGGTGAATTTCCGGCCCACGCCGTCGAGGTTCTTCAAGATGCACGCCAGCAGCGGCAGCAGCGTAGCTGTTTCGTAAAGATCGCTCGTCGTGGGTTTCTTTCTTTCTGTCTTTAGCGAGAATTTTGAATCGGAATTGTAGCAATACATCATTGAATTGAGTTCAAGCTCATTACCTTGTGCATGTGAAATGTGAAGGCTGATGACCAATCAAGAGCCTATAATCTGTTTAGGGCATGCCTAGGGTTTTGATAGAATTTCGATTTGGAGGGTGTTATTAGTTGAATGGCGTGTTAGTATGACCAATAACCTTACAAAAAGGAGTAATATATTTGCATAAATAGATGAATCTTAGGGATAATAACAACGTTAGTAGATTATTACCTTAAACTCCAGTTAGTTCGGGATTTATCCATACCACTACTCATACAAGACTTGGGTTGTTAATCAAAACCAAATCCATAATTGTTTAGATTTTGGATATCCATGAATATTCTCATTTAGTAGTATTATGCATTGGCAACTAGTATCAAAATTTTAGGAGTACAAAATTTTAGGAGTACAAAATTCCTGCTATATAATCCAGTAATCATGTGTAAAAGTAGTATCGAATTCACGAACAAATTGTTAAAAATGAGTGCCTTAATACTACTAAACAAGCGCTTCTTGGGAGGCAACCCAAGGTAAGTTTTCTTTTCTTTATTTTTCTTTTTTTTTTGTTGTGTCAAACCCGTGCATGTTTAGATTAGGAGTTGAACATTAGGGACAATGTTCCATCCTGAGTGTGGGGTGGTGAGTCTTAGTGTTTGTTTGTCCCTATTGCATGTGGTAAATAAATAAATAAAAAACCCCAAAAAAAAAATTGACAGTAGGTTGTGCACAGCCAAACTGCATGCAGTTTGCCTGTGCAAAGCTAATGGCTAAAAATCAGAAAAATTAAAAACAAAACCTTGTACTCTTGTGGTAACATGATGTAAATGACCGTGATGCGTGTGAAATGAGTTTATGCTTGAAGGAAACCATCAAAATCACCCCCACTAGTGTTGAATTGCATAGTTCTTCACAATGAGCTTGATATTTTGACTGACTTGATGTGCTTTGAAGTAGCAAACTCTTTTAGCAACATTCTCTTTTGTGAGGATAGTGTAACGACTTTTGGTGAAGTAGTTAGGTGGAGAACATTGACCATTCGACATGTTTGGATACCGTGCTTACTTGCATCAATTGTGAGTTTTTGACTTTGCATTGAGTCTCTCTGTTTTGAATGTTTTTGATGGGGTGAACTGTATCTTCATAAAGAAAACACTACCTGACAAGTAAAATATAAGAAAGTTGCCATAACAATTAAAGTGTGGGTAAAAATGCCAAAATCGTGTGAGGCAATCACTCATTGCACATGGGGATTAGGAAAGATTCAATTGAGAATCGGTTCGCGACCGTACGATGTTGCTTATCAAGTACGATCCCCAGTTGAGTGAAGTGCCATTTGAGGATGCAATGACCCTCCACACGGACCGAGGAAAAGGAGTTGAAAGAAGCCCTTATGCGAGTGCTAAGAAGCAAAAATTGCTCTTGCTCGGTCACCAGTAGTAATAAACAAATCCCACTTGTACTAAAGACGACCACTCGGCAAGCAAAAAAAAAAAAAAAGCCTCTCCTTGTAAAAAAGGTAGTGATGTGCTTAAAGTTAGAATCTTGTTTGCGAAAGGCTTCCCCCATTAGTTTTTGAGACTCATACTTTGTTAATTGCTTATGATTGGCGTGAGTAAGCCAGACTGTCCTCACGAGATATGCACCTCACTGATGTGGTTAGATTCTCCTACTAACTGTTACACCATAAGTTGTTAACCACCCACTACCGACGACCTAAATTGAGTGTTGCTATTTGAGTTTTTGATGAATTTGAGTCAGTCATTGGTAATGGTTGCAAAGAGCTTGAGTGTGGGGTGAAAGGGTATGATCAATAAAGCACAACTCATCCGTTGAATTCTCTATCTTCTTTTAGCGTGGCGTACAACAAATTATCTGGTAAATGTCCTCGGACAATTGGACAGTTTGCTACTTTCGACGAAGACAGCTATAGGGGGAATCCTCTTCTCCTCAACTGCACTTTACCACAGTCGATGTGGAAACCTCCTGTAGTGCAGACGCCCACCAATGACGATAATGATGAAGACGGAGGCTACATCGACATGGAGAGCTTCTGCGCAAGCAGTGGAGTGTCTTTTGTGTTGGTACTACTGACAATTGCGAGTGTTCTGTACATCAATCCATACTGGTGGCAGGTGTGATTTTATTATGTCGGAGTGACCATAACTACGTGCTACTATTTTTGGGCGGACCATCTTCCAGTACCGACGAGGTACAAGATGTGGGAACTTCGTGTCTAGCTAGTAGTTGATGATGGTTCTGCGAAACAACATATCCGGAGGAGTGGTTTATATAATCCTATGTGGATAGAATAATGGTTATTGATAGTTCTCATCAGTGAATCATCTCATTTATATGTATGCAGTAATTAAGTGCTCGAAAAACTACAAGTCTCTGTAATGTTTCCTTAGTTCCTATTTGGGCTGCTGCTTATTCTTATGGTGGACAAACCTGAACTATGGATGGCAATTTTGCCCATACCCATGGGTTTCTTACTATCCAACCCAATTGGGTTGGGCATGAAATCCAAATAGATGGATATGGGTAGAGTTTGATGGGTTTGTACCCATACCCATTTACTTTGGGTTGAGTTGGGTTTATATCAAATGGATTTGGGTTTGTACCCATGCCCAAATACAAAATTACATTTTGGTACCCAAACTTAATAGATATGCATATTTAGTACCTAAATTTAATTTTTTTGCATATAAGTCCTAAAAATATCGATGGGAAATTACGTTTTGGTACCAAAATTTTTTTGGTCTTACATTTTGGTACCTAAACTTTTCAAGTTTTACAAGATTTTTGCATGTGTAGTTAAAACACCCTCAAGTAAATGGATATCCATATCCAACCCATACCCATTTAGATTATGGAAGCAATATTCATACCTTACCCAAACCCATCTATAAACCCCCAAATCCATATGCACTTCACCCATACCCAACCCATTATCAATGGGTCTACTTGGGTTTGGGTATAATTACCCATGGGTGGGTAATTTGCCATCCCTAACCTGAACTGCTGCAGCCTGCATGCATGGCTGAAGTCCACCATGGACACGTGGCGTCAGGGTCAACGCGAAGGAATCCATAAAAGCGCCGCAGGTAGAGTCGGCCGGGTTTCCCCTGTTTCCGATTACGCTCAGGAAACAGAAACAGAGGATTGAAAAAATTCCTCCCAATATAAAAAGAAACGGAAAGAAGAAGAGATTCCTCCCAACCCAACCCAACCCAACCCAACCCATCCCATCGCAAATCAAGTCTCAGCAATGGCGACTGTCAGTTCTTCTCCTTCTTCAGCGAATTCCTCCAAGACTCGGAGTACTACTACGTGCATCTGCTCGTCGACGAACCACCCAGGCTTGTTCCGCTGCAGCCGCCACAGGAACCAGCCGAACAGAACCGCAGCTTCCGCGTCGACGATGGCGGCAACTGCCAGTTCTTCGCCGGTGAATTCCTCCAGGACTCGGAGTAGTACTGCGTGCCTCTGCTCGCCGACGAAAAACCCATGGTCGTTCCGTTGTAGCCTCCACAAGAACCAGCTGTCGAACCGAAAGGAATCGACGGTCGCCAGTTATTCTTCTTCTTCTTCTCCGGTGAATTCCCTCAGGACTCGGAGTACTATTACGTGCCTCTTCTCGCCGACGAACAACCCGCGGTCGCTCCTTTGCAGCCTCCACAAGAACCAGTACTCGAACCCCAGCAGGGAAGTATTGGCGCCGTCTCCGTGGAAGGAGAAGGCATTCACGACGAGGGCCTTCCTGCGGCGGATGATCAAGCCGCCGCGTCGAGATGAGACGCGCCGGCTCAATTTCCGACCCACGCCGTCGAGGTTCTTCACGATGCACGCCAGCAGCAGCGGCAGCGTAGCGGTTTCGTAAATAGGACTCATCACCAGGGTTATATATATATATTCTAGCTTAGATTAGTCGTTTGATTAATATGTAAACAGGGACAAAAACTTGTTTTGTGATTTTTTGTATATATTTTATGGTAATTCATTCATTCATTCAATCCTTCTTTGTTTTGTGGGTTTATATAGTTCAACTACTCCATTGATTAAAGTTCTCTCTGTTTCTCGATGCTCTTGTCTTGAGATGATGGTCCGTCGCCAAATATAAAAGGGTAGAGTAGATGCCTATTTAAGTGTCGCTAAAAGTGGTAACCCTAGAGGCTATATTTGTTCTATTCGTTGCAATAAAACTTTGCCCTAATCCTTTCGGAGAATGAATCAAAATTCATATCCTGAGTCTTGGATCATAAGTCATAATGTAGAAATTGCGTCATATAGAATCGCACGTAGTCAAAGCACGTAGTCAAAGAAGAGTGTAACTAGCTTGAGAGTTGAGACTTCACTTTAGAGACATAAGCTTATCTTCCACGAGTAAAAATTTCGACGGTGTAGTTATAAGTTATTACGAACAATTATTTCTCTTCCCCTTATGCAAAGCAATGCAACACACCATTGTATTGAGTTCAAGCTCTTTAACACGGGCACGTGAAGGCTGATAACCAATTAAGATCCTATGATATTCTGTTTTGGGTATGCCTAGTGCTTTGCTAGAATTTCGATTTCATTTGTCGGGTGTTATTACTTATTAGTGTAGATCTCCTGGACCTCTTATTAAAAGAATGACGGATTAATATTAACAATAACCTTACCAAAATGAGTAATTTATATGCATAAACTAGTGAATATATTATTAGTGATGGCAATGGTCGGTTCAGAAACAAATAGTAGATCATTACCTTATACTCGATCTAATTAGTTAGGGATTTATCCATATTGCACTACTCGTATAAGCTTTGGGTTGTTAATCAAAACAAAACTCATAATTGTTCGAATTTTGGATATCCATAAATACCCACATACAATACTTTTCTCTTTATAATTTTATACAATGAGTTATTATTTGTAAGCATATTATTATACAAGTTAAAAAGTTACTACAAGTTGGTAACCTTAAGAGCAATCATAGTAAAGGACATTGATTCATTGGGATGTAATATGTGCATTGGAAAGTAGTATCGACATTTTCGGAGCATAAAATTTGAACTATATACCCCATAAATATGTAAAGTAGTATCGCATTCAAGATATATTATACATACGAGGTGTGAAAGGGAACGTAGTACGTTCAACCAACTATTAATTAGGTTGATGTCCTCTTCTTCTAATCTGATTGACACAAATTTCAAATAGGAATTGACGTCGTACGCTAAAAATTAGCTCAAATTACATATAAAAAATCATATGTAGTAACTCCATAACGTACCCATACCATATTTTACTAATCATGTCCTCAAGAACTGTGATGAACTAATTAGGAAGATAGCCATTGTAAAAGGTTATAGAATAATATGTCCCTCTACTATACTGTTTTATCAAGCATGTCCCCCTACTATTCTTTACATCAGACATGCTTTTGTACTTTGGAAAAATGATCAAATATGTCTTTTTGTTAAAATTTTCATCCAAAAACCATAAACCACGGCCGAACTTTGGTTTGGGCGACACAAATGTCTAAAATATCCCTAATAATTTTACTTTAGAATTTTTTTTGGTTCTTTTGGATAGCCAAATATCTCTAATAATTTCATTTTAACGAGACCTAGTAAAATAAATCAGGTGACAAAAATGACATTTCCACTTCCATTTACCGATGTCGGGGTCGTCTAAATCTCGGCTCAACTACTGTTGATGATTTTTTTCAATGAAATTTTTAACCGAATGACATGATTAATTATTTTTCAATGAAATTTCCAAAGTACAAAAGTATGTTTGATGTAAAATATTGTAGAAAGACACCGATAAGACGACATAATAAAAAGATACTACAACCCCATTATAAATGCTATACTGATCATTTTGGAAAGGAAGTGAGACGTGTGGGCTCATTGAAGTATTCCTCCCCTGCCCAAAAAAGCTCTGGCCTTTCCACACCATCTGGAGAAGGGTTGAACCGTTGAAGATTGACGTTATTGAAAAGAAGATGGAGTGGGGAAAGGAGAAACTAGGGGTGTCGATTCGGTTATCGGTTGCCAGTTAACCGGTCGGCTAATCGATAACCGCCGGTTAATCGGTTAACCGATAACTGAAAAAACGCACCCTCGGTCAGTGTTTGGTAGAAGGGAGATGACTTCCGGTTAACCGAGTAACCGAAGATGATTAATCGCGGTTAACCGGCTTACCGAAAAATAACCGACTTACCCAAAACGACGTCGTTTTATGTCATGAATAATTACCCCCAACCCTAATTGTTCCTTCCATTTTCGTTCTCCTCCTCCAACTCCAAACAGCAGCCGCCTCCTCCCCCTTCGTTCACCCCCCAAACCCCGCACACCCTCCACAATCCGACGATCCTTGCCGACCCCAGCCGATCCTCAGCGACCCCTGCCGACCCCAGCCGATCCTCCGCGCGACCCCTTCCTCTGCGTCTTCCTCCGTTCAAGCAGCAGACAACCACGCCGTCTCCTCCGACGCCTTCCTCCGTCCTAGACCGCCTTAATCCGCGCCTTCTTTCACCTTCCTTTCGTCCAGACAAGCGAGCCCAGGCTTCGCGAAGGCGGGATTGGTTGGAGTGGCGGTGGGATTGGGTGGTGAGATGTAGAGATGACGAAGAGATGAAGAGATGCGGAGGAGAGATGTGGAGCGGCGCCCCGATCCCTATCTCTCTTTTTTTCCGGTTTTCAATTAATTAAATTATTATTATAATATTAAATTATTCGGTTAGTCAATTAACCGAAATGTTAACCGTAACCGATCGGTTGATAACCGTGGCTAACCGAAGCTTTTCTTCGGGCGGTTGTCGATAGCCATATCCCCTATCTCGGTTAACCGGTAACCGACATTTCGGTTATCGGTTATAACAGAACTAACCGAAATGCCAGCTCTAGGAGAAACGAGTCAAGTGTTGGGCCTGGACTAAGTCTCCACAGCAAAGTCAAATTGAGCCCACCCAATGCCAGCGTCTATCTTGCCTGCTTGCATTTCTTCTTCCCGTCAGAACTGAATTGATTCAATTTGCTGTCGATTATTCTTGATTGCATTAAGCTTAGGTCTTCTGTAAACTCTTCTTTATCAAATAGAAATTGACCTTGGCTCAGCTTAATTGCTGTGAGAAACATCTTTTGATTGCAATCAAGGAAATGAATAGAGACACATAGTAATACTTCAATTGGTATCAGAGCCCCCTTCTCGTTGAACTTAACAGTTGCCGAGATTGTGCTCCTTATCTTCACTATGTCATCTAATTCATTTCCCACGAGCTCAAATCCTCCATGGTTTTCTGGTTCAAATTACTCAGTATGGAAAAAAAGAATGAGACTCTACCTCCGAGGAATCGATTGTGAATTATGGGCAATTGTCCGAAATGGGCCAATTGACATGAAAGAAGACGATGAGGAGGATTGGTCTGATGAACAAAAGAAAAATGCTCAACTAGACTCTAGGGCTATGCATATTCTACTTTCTGCCAGATCTGAAGATGAAGGAGAAAGAGTAAATAAATGTGAATCTGCAAAAGAAATTTGGTCTATACTTGAAACCACTCATGAAGGAACCTCAGAAGTTAAAGAAACTAGAATAGATTTGCTGTTAAAAGAATATGAAACATTTGATATGCTGTCTGGCGAATCCATTTCTGAAATGGACAAGAGATTTTCAACCCTTATAAATTGTCTCAAGGGATTAGGAAAATCATTCACCAGTAAAGAACTTGTTAGAAAAGTACTTAGATCTCTTCCACTTGAATGGATGGCTAAAAGAACTGCCATTGAAGAGGCTAAGGACCTAAATGTTTTATCTCTTGAAAACTTAATTGGATCTCTTCTCAGTCATGAGGAAGTTCTCAAACAAATGAACTCCCTGCATGACAAAAAGAATAAATCTATAGCTTTCAAAACTTCTATTCTTGATGAAGCTGAAAAGCTGGATGATGAGTTTGAGAATGAACTAGCTCTAACCGGCAAAAAGCTTCAAAGAATGATGAAATTTAAGCATGAACAAAACTCAAAAAGAAGAAGTCATGATAATAACTATTCACCTAGAACATTTGGAAACATGACCAACAGTTATGAAACCGAGATTGTGGCATACATGGGGGTAAATTCCAACACAGAGGAATCTCTTGAAGATGAAAAGGTATGGTCTGACTCCTCTTCAGAACATATGTCTGAACCATTAAATGAAGACTTTTTTCTTCATGCTTTAACAAATCTACAAAATGAATGTAATTTGCTTAAAAGTAAATACTGTCTCACTGTTACTCAACTAAATGAAAAGGAAAACGAAGTCAAGAAACTAGAAGAGCTTGTTGACATTCAAAATAAAGCTCAAATTAATCAGGACTCCCAAATTGCCAAACTAAACTCTGAAAATACTGACATGAGAAGAAAACTGGACTACTTTCAAAAATTTCTCAAGTGGAATACTCCAAAACTGAATCACTCAGTTAGACTGTCTAGAACTAATTACCAGACTAAATTTGGATCTAAACATTACTGTGACCATCGAGATTATCCTCCCTTCTGCACATTCTGTCGCAAATCTGGCCATTATAATGTTCATTGCTATTCATGGAAACCCAAACCCAAACTTGTTTGGGTGGTTAAATCCTCTAATTAAGCTTCTTTCTCATTTCAGAATAAAATTGGTGCTAACATCTGGTATTTAGATTCTGGATGCTCTCACCATATGACAGGTAACAAAGATCTGTTTTCTCATCTTAATCCAAAAAAGGGAGGTAAAGTATTCTATGGAAATAATAACTGTGCTTCTGTGGTAGGAAAAGGAACTATTAGTAGTAATTCTTCTCTTATCATTGAAGATGTTCTATATGTTGATGGTTTGAAACACAATCTGTTGTCAATAAGTCAGATTTGTGGTTCAACCTATAGAGTCATATTTGACCCCACTTGCTGCATCATTGAACGCATCTCTGATAACTCTATGATTTTTAAAGGAGAAAAGATAAATAATGTGTATACAATTGATCTTTCAACCCTTGATCTTTCTGAAGATATTTGCTTGAGCTCTATATCTGATACAGCAGTTTCTGGCATAGAAAGTTAGGGCACATGAGCATGTCCAGACTTGCTAAATTATCCAAACTCAATCTAGTTAGAGGCCTACCTACTATTAAAGCCTCTAATAAATTTACCTGTGAAGCCTGCATTCTTGGTAAACACTGCAAAAAATCATTTAAAATTAAACCAGACATTACTACATCATCAGTCTTCGAGCTGATTCATATGGATCTATTTGGTCCTACCAATATTCAAAGCCTTGGAGGGAAATCATATGTTTTTGTCTTAGTTGATGACTTTTCTAGATACACTTGGGTGTTTTTCCTTTCTTCTAAAGATGAAGCTTTTTCTAAATTCAAATCTTTTGTTATCCTAATGCAAAAACAACTTGACTGCGCATTAAAATCTATTAGAAGTGATAATGGGGGTGAGTTCATCAACGATGAATTCAGTTGCTTCTGTGACAAGCCAGGTATTCTCCACACCTTATCTGCACCTAGGACTCCACAACAAAACGGGGTTGTGGAAAGAAAGAATAGATCACTCATTGAAACTGCAAGAACCATGCTCCTAGAGTTCAACTGTCCAAGATTTCTTTGGGGAGAGGCTGTTAACACAGCTTGTTACTTGATTAATCGATCCACTATTCGCAAGACAGTGAATAAAACACCATACGAAATTCTAAAAGGAAAACCCCCCAAAATCTCCTATTTTCACCCTTTTGGTACTAAATGTTATATTTTGAACACCAAAGACTCAATTGGAAAGTTTGATGCCAAATCAGATATAGGGATCTTTCTTGGTTACTCAACCAAAGGGCAAGCCTACCGAGTCTTTAATAAAAAATCAAGAAAAGTAGAAGAATCAGTGCATGTTCGATTTGATGAATCCCATCCCTCTTTACAATTACCATCTAACATCAATGACTATGACTTCCTGCCCCTTAGTTTTCCTTCTGAGACAGGAACAAGTGGTGAACATATACAAGAAGAAAATGTTGTGTCTGCAGGATCCTCTTCTTCGACTATCTCAACTAATCAAGTTGACAGTGAGCCTGGTAACCTTGAAGCCCCTGCCCATATAAGAAAAAGACATCCCCCCTCACTTATCATAGGTAATCTATCAGACCCCATCCACACCAGAGGTAAGCACATCCCAGATCAGTATGCATTTGTCTCTCTAATTGAACCCAAAAATTATAAAGAGGCAATTTTTGATGAAGACTGGCTGATTGCTATGCAAGAGGAATTATCTCACTTCATTAGATTAAAATTTTGGGAACTTGTTCCTCGTCCTTTAAATTCAACTGTTATTGGAACTAAGTGGGTATTTAGAAACAAATCTGATGAACTTGGATTTATTATTAAAAACAAGGCTAGACTAGTTGCCCAAGGATACAATCAAGAGGAGGGCATTGATTATGATGAAACATTTGCACCAGTTGCTCGTCTTGAATCTATTCGTCTTTTGTGTGCATATGCTAGCTCCATGAATATAAAACTCTTCCAAATGGATGTTAAGAGTGCTTTTCTGAATGGTGAAATACAGGAAGATGTGTATGTTGAACAACCTCCTGGCTTTATTGATTTTGAATTCCCAAATCATGTTTTTAAATTATCCAAAGCTCTTTATGGTCTCAAACAGGCTCCTAGAGCTTGGTATGAGAAGCTTACTTCCTTTTTAATCTCTCAAGAATTTTGTCAAGGAGGTGTTGATAAAACATTGTTTATCAAAAGAAAAAACAATCACTCTTTAATTGTTCAAATTTATGTAGACGATATTGTTTTTGGAAGTACTGATCCTGATATGTGTAATGAGTTCTGTCTAGCTATGAAAAACAAGTTTGAAATGAGCCTCATAGGAGAACTGAACTACTTTCTAGGTCTTCAAATTTACCAGACTAATCATGGTACTTTCATCCACCAGACTAAGTACTTGCAATCCATATTATCTAAGTTCAACTTAATGAGTATTAATCCCTGCAAGACCCCTATTGCCTCTAACACTCACCTAGATTATGATGAACATGGTACTCCAGTATGTGAAAAGAAATTTAGAGGCATGATTGGCTCATTGCTCTACCTAACTGCTAGTAGACCTGACATCCAGTTTAGTGTATGCTTATGTGCTAGATTTCAACATCAACCCAAAGAAAGTCACCTTACTGCAGTTAAAAGAATCTTCAGATACTTAAAAGGGACTGTTGATCTTGGTCTATGGTATCCTAAGTCAGAGTCCTTGTCTCTTGTTGGGTACTCAGATTCAGATTTTGCTGGCAGTATCACTGACAGAAAAAGCACCAGTGGTACATGTCAATTCTTTGGTCAGTGTCTTGTGTCTTGGTCAAGCAAAAAACAAGGATCTGTGGCCCTTTCAACTGCTGAAGCAGAATATGTGGTTGCAGGGAGTTGTTGTACTCAAATTCTTTGGTTGAGGTCTCAACTTCATGACTATGGGTTAACCTTTGAAAAAATTCCTATTCTTTGTGATAATACTAGTGCAATATGTATGTCTAGAAATCCTGTTTATCACAGTAGAACGAAACATATTGAAGTAAAACATCATTTTATTCGAGATATAATACAAGCAGGGCATATAGAGTTGAACTTTATATCAACTGATTTCCAAATAGCTGACATATTTACCAAAGCACTCTCCTCTGATCGATTCATGCGCCTGAGTAATGAGCTGGGCCTGCAGTCTCTACAGTCAATCCAACGGATTCTCTAATCCAGGGATCAAGGTTTGACGCAGGGGGAGATTGTTGGGCCTGGACTAAGTCTCCACAGCAAAGTCAAATTGAGCCCACCCAATTTCCGGCCCTAAACGATGTCGTCAAAGACAACAAATTGCGTCTTCACCTTCATCCCTTCCACTATCATCGAAGCAACTCAGAAAAGAGATTCTCAATCTCTCTCATCGTTCCAAGCTTCGATCTCCTCGCCAAAGACTCGATTCAAACGGTAACAACATTGAAGAAGAAGAAAGAGATGGTCGAAACAGAAATCTATTTAAAGGAGCTCGCTAGGAAGAAGAAAGGTGACGGTTTCCTTTTCTCAGTAAGAGCGTGCTTGCTCTTTGGGAGTCTAGGTCTGGGTCGAGTTCAGTGTCTGGAAAGATTGAGTCGGGACCCTCGGTCAGGGACTCAAGCTTTTCTGGGCATAGCGTCTATCTTGCCTGCTTGCATTTCTTCTTCCTGTCAGAACTGAATTGATTCAATTTGCTGTCGATTATTCTTGATTGCATTAAGCTTAGGTCTTCTGTAAACTCTTCTTTATCAAATAGAAATTGACCTTGGCTCAGCTTAATTGCTGTGAGAAACATCTTTTGATTGCAATCAAGGAAATGAATAGAGACACATAGTAATACTTCATCAAGAAGATGGAAAAAGGATATAGGAACTGTACTGTGTACTAGTGCATTAATCTGCGCCACACAGCCAGAATTTGGTCATCCAATTCCCCCACAGTTTCCGGCCGGCCAAAGGGCTCTTGACTGTTTAAGTGTATGAATCAAAGAATCAGAACTCATTGCCGCCGCAGAATCGTTTCACACCTCTCATCGTTCCGGGGAAGTTGTGTGTGTGTCTGTGTATAAAAGAGTCCCCAAACCAAAACGATCTTGAAACAGAGCACGGCTTGAAACAGAGCTACACCTTAATTCCCCCCTGCAGTACTGGCATTCTAGAGTTTTCAAACAGAGAGATCAAAGATGTGTTATGGTTGGTTCATCACTGGCTTCATATGGGCTATGGCACTGTTTACAGTTCCGGAATGGAAGAGTTGTCATGGCTGCTGGGAACAAGAAAGAATCAGTCTCCTCCATCTCAAGTCGTCCCTTAACAATCCGCCTTATCTAAGCAGTTGGATCGGAATTGGAACAAAGAACAGTTCCGACGAGGACTGTTGCCTCTGGGATGGAGTTGATTGCAATCCCGCCACAGGGAAAATGACTAAGCTCGATCTTGGCTCCCTCGACGAGTCTGATTTCAATTCACTAGCGAAGCCGGATATCAATGCTTCTCTGTTTCTGCCTTTCCAGGAATTGACTCTGCTTTATCTACGAGGCTATCATATTCCTGGTTGCATCGAGAATCAAGGTTAGCGCTTCTTTCGTCTAATTAACCAGCACTGCTCTTAATTTGCTACAATATACTTAATTGGTAGTAATCACTGCATATGGATGCAGGATGGACGCATTTGGAAAGTCTGAACATAGATGATTGTTCCATTTCGTGCAACAACTTCCTTGAAACAGTTGCCACCGTCATGACCAATCTTACTCGATTGGGGATTTCACTTTCGGATCTTAGCTCCCCCATTCCTCCAGGTATTATGATCAACCTATTAGTTCGTTTCTTTTTTCCCCTCTTGGGGTTGATTAACTAAGCTGTACATGTAACTCTATAAGTAGCATTTCTAATTCTTACTATGCGTTGCCATGATCGATGCAGCTTTATGCACCTTAAAGCATCTCCGAGTACTCGTCCTCATGGATAATCATCTGAGAGGTGAATTGCCGCAATGTCTATCAAACTTGACGTCACTCCAAAGTTTGTATATAGTCGATAATCAGCTTTCTGGAGATATATCAACGTCTCCCCTCCCAGCTCTCTTATCCCTCGAACAGATTGACGTTCACGGCAATCAATTTCGAATTCCGATCTCTCTCTTCCCATTTTACAACCACTCTCGTCTTCAATCTTTCTGTGGAGGTGACAACCAAGAAATTTATGGAGACGACCATCTTGATCTGGTACTTCAGCAAGGTACACCACTTTTCCAACTGACAGGCCTAGAATTATCTTCACGACCGGATAAAGGTGGATATGTTGGGCCCTTGCCTAAATTTCTCTACCACCAGACTAACTTGGAGCAACTTTATATCTCAAACTTCAAAATAACTGGAGTTAATGTTGGATTTCCATGGTGGTTGGTGACTAACAATACAGAATTGTGGATTCTTCATCTCTCCAACTGTTCACTTACAGGGCATTTTCAAATTCCAATCCATAAGCAACAACAACATTACCATCCTCACGAAAATTTAAAGAAATTAGATGTCTCCACCAATGACTTCTTTCCTAGTCCCATCCCACCTGATTTATGTGCATTCTTCCCCAACATAGATCATATATCCTATCTGATAACAAATTCTATGGTGAAATACCACCACAATTATCAAATTGTTCATCATTCAAATTGTTAGATGTGAGTAATAATCAACTCTCTGGTGAAATTCCGAGGTGGATTTGGAATATGTCTACCCACAACATTCTAGACCTTTCCAAGAACAAATTTTCAGGACTTCTGCCACCGGGTTTCATTTCTCCATTGATGAATGAAGTTTATCTGTCCAGAAATCAACTGGAAGGAACCTTGCCCGCCACATTATCAAATGATCAAGATGGGATATCTGGTTCTGATAATTATACAGACTACTCAGTAGGTGTCTTGGATCTGAGTCACAATCATTTGATGGGTACAATCCCAAATTGGATTGGTAGATTGCCTCAACTGAGTTATATCTTATTGAATGACAACCAGTTTCATGGAGAGCTTCCGTGTACATTTTGCTTAGAAACCTCAAAATTGATTGATGTTTCTCACAATCATTTGTCTGGTCATATCGACTATGAAATATTTACATCAAGCGACACCAACTGCAATGGACGGAATGCATATGATGGTCCTCGGCGTGATCTGGAGTTCGTCACAAAGACAAAAACATATATTTACCATGGGTGGCCTCTCTTATATATGAATGGTTTTGATTTCTCTACCAACAATTTCACTGGCAAGATCCCTCCTCAAATCGGCCATTTGGGTGACACCAAAGTCCTTAATTTTTCATACAACATGTTCACGGGACCCATCCCGCCGACTATTGCAAACCTATCACAGATTGAGAGCTTGGATCTTTCTCACAATAATTTGAGTGGAATGATTCCTTCTCAACTTACAGAGTTGCACTCTCTATCCAGTTTTAGTGTGGCTTACAACAACTTATCTGGTAAGTGTCCTCAAAAGATTGCACAATTCAATACATTTGATGAAGATATCTACCGAGGAAATCCACTTCTTGACTGCACATTACCACTCATGACACCAAATCCATTGGTAAGGCGGACAACATATGGTGATGATGAAGAAGGAGAAGGAGGGTTCATTGACATGGAGAGTTTCTACATTAGTGGCTCGATATCTTATGTCTTGGTGTTGCTGGTAATAGTGAGTGTTTTGTGTATAAATCCATACTGGCGATGGGTATGGTTTTATTGCGTTGATGTCACCATAACTACTTGCTATTATTTTATGGTGGACCATCTTCCAGTGCCAACCAGGTACAAGGTGTGGCAACCTCGTGTGTAGTTGGCGATTTCATAAATGACGAGAGCGATGAGAGTTGGTATATGTAGAATGATTTTTGATGGATATTTCTCCCGCTATGAATAAATTTCGATGTATACCGTTTTCCTATATGTATTACCGGTTAAGTTTTTAGAAATTACAAGTCTTTGTAATATTAGTAGCTCATGTTAACACTGCACGTCTGCACCAATAATGGCGACCGGCCGGAGTTGCTATTCTTATATAACCCAATGAATAATGCCTTCAAGACTCGGGACGTGCATCTGCCCACCGACCAACCACCCAGGCTTAAATAGGACCATGGACCACAAGAGGTCTGTATGGACCATGGACCACAAGTTGAATGTGTATCATAACGTTTAATGCATATACAAGTTTAGTTTATACCATAAATAGATTTATACGGATATATATTTGTAACAAATTTAATTTGTACCATACTGTTAAGATAATCCTCAATATCAAAACAAAAACTAATTACTAGTTACTTGAACCAGTGTAGTCAAAGTTGTGTTTTAAACCTTAAAAACTTACGCTTTTACGCTTTTAGGTCACAACAACGATTCTACACAGAATCACGCTTTTGATTGCATTTTGAGCAATAATAATATAGTCAAAATCGCATTATGAAATTTAAAAGCTCACACTTTTACGTACGATACTAGCTCACCGAAACACATATACATAGAAACGCGCTTTTGACTGCACTGACTTGAACTAATGAAATTTGCTACTCGATCATCACACAAGTCCTTGGGATAGTGTGGAATTAGTTAATGCAACTTGTGGAAATTGTTGATGCAACTTGTGGGCTGCGTTTCTGTTCGTAGTTAAAGAATGGAAAGGCTGCAATCTGGAGAGCAAGAGGATCGGTCTCCTCCACCTCAAGTCCTCGCTCCACAACCCAACTTCTCTGAGTAGCTGGAATGGAAGTTGTGATGAATGTTGCCATTGGAATATAATGGAGTCTCCTGTGATGATGACTCCATTAATGGGGGAGTCACTGAGCTCTTACTTGATGATCTCTATCTCTATGTTCCTCCTTATCCCGTCGACGATGCAAAAGAGAGGTTGGTGAATGCTTCTCTTGTTTCTGTCGTTCCCAGAATTGAGACGGCTTTCGCTACGAGGCAACCATTTGATTGGCTGCATGGAGAACCAAGGTTAAGTAATTAGGGTTTTGATTCTTCTTCTTCTTCTTCTTTTTGTTATATTAATTTGACTTCCATGATGCAGGATTTGAGAAACTATCGTCTTTGATCCAGCTTTCGTCTTTGAAAGAGCTTGATGTTTCTTATAATGATCTCAAAGAAACAATCGACATGGATGATAATGGTAGGGTACACATTCTGATCTGATCATACACATATATATTGTTTTACCAACAAATTCTTAAATGGTTATTTAATTTCTTCGTATATTGAGTATCACACACTAATCTTTCGTTTTATTCATAAAGGATCTGGTTCTTTGGACAATCTTGAGTTGCTTGATTTGTCAGGAAACAATATTCGTGTATTTGAAAGGTACTAATTAAACGTCTTGCTACTCATGATTGATTTTCTTCCCTACACTTTTTCTGAATTTATTGATCATTATGAATAGGTTTGGAAGTGCTCATCAAGCTACGCAGCCTTTCGATAAGTGGGAACAACCTAACCGAACTCCGAGTCATAATTATGTTGCGGTTAGTAGTCACCAAATAATTAATAACGTGTCCTACTTATCTTTCTTTTACTTTTGCATAGTCAGATAATTAATCCCACGACTGTCATTAGAGTTTTCACTTTTAACCCTAAGTTGTTTATCTTTATAAAAACTTAATTATAATTCTGTTGTAAGCAAGGTGTCAAGATGTAATCCTAATAAGAAATTAGCTCACTATATTAGTCGATCTTGTTCAATAAATAAATAACGATACTACGTAAAATCTCATGTCTCTTTGTTATTTCAATTCCGCGTTATCAAAATTCTTTCATATTATATCAACTAAGCTATGATGACAATACTCCTTTCAATCATCTCAAGGTATGATTTTGGGTCTTTGGAAAATTTGCAAATAAGAGACTCGACCATGGACGACAACTTCGTTGAGGCGGTTGGCATCACGATGACGATGACAGGTCTTACTACCGGCTTAGGATATTAATCTATGAGTAACTAAATTTGAACCTTTAGATCTAAATGGGCCAGAAAATTCAGATCTAAGAATTGTCAATTAAAGACATTTTATTTTCCCTAGTTTTCATAATCGGCTCTTATCTTATTCGTTCTAACTCGGATTTCAATTTTTTTTGCACACATGGAACGAGTTCGTTGTGCTCTACAAAATGAGATCAATTTTCAATATATTTCAAGAAACTTTTTTTTTACCAACTACATACCATATGGTAACTTCTTCGTCTTTAAGTCGTTTTTGAAAACGTTTGCTCAGAAGGAACGAGTTATCATGATCTATTGGATCTACAAATTTCTGGGTGAAAAAAATACTGGACCAAAAATCACCATATTTTACCACTTTGGTATGTGGGTGGTAACTTGTGGTAATCAATGATGAAAGTTGTAAATGACAGTTAGTATACTCCTACTATCATGTATTCAACCTTCTTACAATATTGGTATGTTCATATCATCATGGTATGCTTTCTTACCATATGGTATTAAATATGAGCATACCATATGATAATGACTGGTAAAAAATTATTCAATTTTTTTGTACTAAAATATATCAAAGTGGATATAATTTTAAAGAGCACATTTAATCTGATTTATCTGTGAAAAAAATTTAAATTTTGACTTAAAAATGAGAGAGAAATCGTCTGTCAAAGATTAAGGGGAAAAGATAAAAGACTTTCCAGAAGAGATAGGAATAGTGATGCCATGCTGATGTGGACGGATTACTCATGGTTACTAACCATAAGGTTACTGACCTGATCCTTTCCGCTTACTACCTTGGTAATTCAGAATTCAACTCTTGGCTCGGGTACTTTTCCGCAAGGTGTGAATGTTGATATTGTTTTCCTCTTTTACATTTTGTAATGCATGCATTCATGTGTTTCTCTAACAATAATTTATTTTTCTGTACAGCTACATGTAACTTAAGTCGTCTCCGAAATTTGGTACTCGATGAGAATAATTTGAGAGGTGAACTGCCACAATGTCTATCAAATTTGACTTCACTAGGGATAAATTGATGTAAGTTTCAATGAACTATCAGGAGATATAGCTAAGTCTCTGCTAACAGCTCTCTTATCACTAGAAGAGATTATCATTTCCGACAATCAGTTCCGAATACCATTCTCTTTCACCCCATTTTTCAACCATTCTCGTCTCATAGTATTTTCTGGGGACGACAACAAGGAACTCTACGGAGACAACGATGACCATTATGAGACGAACCAACATGATACTCCTCCGCTTTTCCTTTTGAACTACCTGACTTTGTCTTCAAGGAATGGTGATGAAAGTGGCTACGTTGGTTCATTCCCAAAGTTTCTCTAATATCAAACCAACTTGGAGGAAGTTTATATCTCAAACATCAAAATGAAGGGAGGTGTTGGGTTCCCATGGTGGTTACTTGCTAATAACACCAACTTAGAAACCCTTTCTCTCCAAAACTATTCACTCACGGGATCTTTATGATTTCCAATCCATCATCGTTCCCAACAGTTCTCTGACAAAATTCCAGAACAATTTTCAAATTGTTCTTGTTTTTCATGGTTAGATGCTCGAAATAATGCACTCTTTGGTGACATTCCAGAATGGATTTGAATATGCCTCAAATCAATTTCATGGACCTTTCAAGTAACAGTTTCTCGGAAAGTTTACCGCCAGGTTCATTTCTCCTCGTACACGAGGAGTTTATTTTTCGTTAAATAAATTGGGAGGGAACTTATCTGGAGGATCTGTTAGCTGCTCGTGCTCGATTATGGTTTAGGGAGTAATCTGGGCGGCGGCGTTTTGTTTGAGAGGGGGCTAGTCGTGCCGGTTAACCGGCATACCGCCAACCGCCCAAAACCCCACTTTTTGGTTATCCGGTTAACCGGTAACCTCCGGTTATCGGTTTAACCGATCGGTTAACCGCCAACTGATAACCGAATGGTCAGCCCTAGTAAAGACTGATGAATACTTTGTCACTATAAAAATGCTTACATTTATCACAGATATCAAGGTTTTGGATATGGAAATATTATCATTAATCTCATTTTTAGCATGTCAAATAGCAACGGTGTTTCTACTTTCGATCTCACGTTTTTTCTTTTCCCTGTCCATAAAAAGAAAGTATATCAATTAAATTTTTATTGAACAATTAGATTAATAACAGTATTCTCATAAATAAAAATATTGGTGATATAATTTTTTAAGTGAGATGAGTTGAAGATGTAAAAAATATACATTGGTGATATAATTTTTCGTTGAATCAGTTACTCTTTTATTGACTACAAAAGAGACCACTTGCAAAGCACAAATGGCCAACCAATACAACGAAAAGGAAAGCTCGAGATGAGCAGCCCTAGAAAGGAAAAACAAAAACCTCTACCCCAAACCATTTCCACCACAAACAACTCAAAGCACAACTGCTACCAATCCCCTAAATACTCTCCAACAGACCTAGCACGTGCAATCCTTCTAATAAGACTTCATTATCACTGCACACAATTCTCAGTTCAGTGTTAACTTCCCGAACTAACTCCTCTACAGATTTACTTGCATCACCATAAACACGCCTGCACCTTTCCTTCCAAACTCCAGCGCAACATAAGCACCAGATCAGACTAGTCACTCTTCCCAGCTTCGCCTTTCTGCAACTAGCAACACCTGCAGCAACAGTAGCTTCCCAAGAGCTACAACAAAATACTCCCATATGCAGTGCTGAAACAACTTGACGAGAATAGGCACATTTAAAGAACAAGTGCTCTCGGGTTTCCACTTCATTACCACAAAACACACACAAACCATCAGTCTGCTTACCCCATTGCATCAGCTTTTGTTTGGTGACAATGCAATTCATCATGATCATCCATGCCAAAAAACTGTTACTGGGAATATAATTCTGCCCCAAATAAGCTTTGCCCAATCCACCACCGCATACTAAACACGCAAGGTATTCCAAACCACTGAGACCTTAAACGCAGGCATAGGGTTGTATCCCAAAGAATCTGATTGTTACGCATCAAAAGAAAAGGCTAGACCACAGGTCGCAGCTTGAGAATACGCCTCCAAGCCCAGGAACTGCTCTGACTGGCAGGTACAGTCCATATGCTTCTATCCTTAACCTTATACTGCTGAAACCAAGCCACCCAGATGGCTCCACTTTCCATCAAGAATAACCAGATGATCCTAACAATACAGGCTTTATTCCAGGCATTGAGCTCACGTAAACCCAAACCCCCTTCCTGACGAGGCCTAGCCATCCGCTCCCAACTCACTTTAGCACGCCCTTCTTCTCCCCCATGCCAGAGAAACTGAGAACAAACCATTTGAACTCGTTTGATCACTCTTTTGGGCAGAATAAAGATCTGCATCCAATATTGAAGAGTACCCATCAAAACTGATGTAACTAGCTGCAGCCTTCCAGCATAGCTAAGCTTCTTTGATCTCCAGGAATGGATCTTCTTCGTAATAAAGGCCACCATCTTATCAGTCTCACTAGAAGGTAACTTCCCTGAGATTAGGGGCATACCAAGATACTTAACATGTAAAGTCCCCTCTGCAAACCCTGAAAGCTGTGTAATGCATTCTGTTTAAACTGCACAGACTTCCCACATAAATACACCTCACATTTCTCTGGATTGCACTTTAGGCCAGAAATAGTGTGGAAATCCTGCAATATGCCCTGAACCTTCTGAATAGCCTGGCCTGACCCCTCTGTGAATATGAGGAGATCATCTGCAAAGCACAAGTGGGTTAACCCCACTCTTTTACACTGAGGATGGAAAGCCAGATCCCCTGCTGCTGCAGCTCGATTCAAGAGCAGAGATAACCCCTCCATCTCAATTGTGAACAAGTAAGGCGAGAGGGGATCCCCCTGCCTCACCCCCCTTTGTGCCCCCAAAAAAAACCACATAGTCCACTAGAGGTGGCAATTGGATCGGATTCGTGGATTCGTGGATTGGATTGGTGGATCCATGGATCAAATGGATTGGATCCAATGGATTGGTGGATTCATGGATTGGATCAAATGGATTGGTGGATTGATCCATGAATCCAAATGACATCCAAAGCTTGGACCAAAATGTAAAATTTGAAAAGTTTAGATACTAAAATGTCATAATGAAAAATTTTAGGTACCAAAATGTAATTTTCCAATGATATTTTTTGTATAAAAATATAAATTTTAGGTACCAAAATGTAAAATATAAAAAATATAGGTACCAAATCGTAATTTGCCATTTGGATCCATGGATTGATCCATGAATCCACCAATCCAATTGGATTTGGATTAAATGGATTGGATTTAAATGGATTGGATTAAGTGGATAATTTGGTGGATGGATTTGGATCCTAATTGCCACCTCTATAGTCCACCATTGATACAGATACTGAATTTTGAAGTTTTAACACATAGTCTAATCCAGTAGATAAACCTCTGAGGAAACCCCATAACTTCCATCATGAGAAACAAGTAACCCCAGTGAACAGAGTCAAACGCTTTCACAAGATCTACTTTAAAGCACAACGAGAAGAAATGGTACTTTTATGATAACCACTTACTAGCTCTTGAGCCATTAAAATATTATCAACAATTCTCCTCCCTTCAATAAAAGCTGACTGGTTTCCACTGACCACACTAGCTAAAACCTTCTTTAGTCTGTTTGCTATCAACTTAGCAATGATTTTGTAGAGAATATTCACACAGGAAATTGGCCTAAATTCTTTCAACTTACAAGCAGAAGCCACTTTTGGTATCAAAGACACAGCAGTAGAGTTAATGCTACTAGGAAGTTTACCTGTAGTGAAGAAATCTAGTACCACAGCAGTCACATCCTCTCCAATAATCCCCCATGTGCGCTTGTAAAAACCAGCCGAGAATCCATCAGGACCAGGGGCTCGATGAGCACTCATGTTAAACACAACCTTCCTCACATCATCGCTGTGAAACCTTGGCATAATAAATCCCTCTGCTCACCACTCAACTTAAGTTTCACAAGATCCTCCAGATACTGTTTGCAGGGTTGTACCTCCGGATTAATGAAGCCAAATAATTTCTTATAAAAATCCACCATCTCATCAACAATTTTCTCCATCTCCACTACCTCCTCACCCCCTTCAAGCACTAGCTTCCTTATAGCATTCCGAGCCGTTTTGATCTTAACTGATTGGTGAAAGAATCTGGTACCTTGATCCCCAAGCTTCAATTAGTTAACCCGAGACTTTTGCCAATAAAAACTTTCCTCGGCCTTCTTCAGTTTCTCGAGATGCTTGTTTAGATCTTCTACCTCAGTGAAAGAAGCACCGGATGGATTGGACAAAGCCAACTCTTGAGCAGCAAGCAGTTTACCTTCTACCTCTTTCACCTGCCCACTTATATCATTAAACACTTCCTTATTCAGCCTCTTCAGCCCCTTCTTGACAGCATTAAGCTTGGTTTTTCAACCAGTAATGGATTCCCTAGAGCAGGAGTAGACCATCCCTCCTCAATAATTTTGAAGAAATCAGGATGACCAGCCCAAAGTTCAAAATACTTAAACGGCTTAGGAAGAGATTTTTGCCCTGGTTTTGTATCAACACATACTCCACAATGGTCTGAAAAAGTCCCTACTAAGATCTCAATACCACAATTAGGAAAAGCATCAAACCAGGCCTCATTAACAAGGGCTCGATCTAGCTTTCTGGCAATAGGGTTTCCCTTTTGCATGTTCGTCCAAGTGAAGTAAGGTCCATTTGATCGATGATCCACAAGTTCCATATCATCAACCCAGCTTTTGAAATCCATCATACAGCTATTCACCATAGTCAAATTGAAGTTTCCACCGGGGACAAGACAGAGTTAAAGTCCCCTCCAATTATCCATGGGGCTGAAGAGAGTTTAAATCTTGCCAAGTCCCTATAGGTATCTCTTCTCCCAATCTCATCATTCGAAGCATACACAGCTGTAATGAAACAACTAGCACCACCCAACTCACGAGCCACACAATGCACATAATTCCTTCTAGGTGCAAGAACTCTAAGCTCAATGTCAGGATCCCAGAATAACCAAACTCTCCCAAGATCACTTTCAAAATAATTGAGATACTTCTTCCACCCCACACAGAAATCCACTACAGTTTCATCAGACTTTACTTTCCTTACCCTAGTTTCCAGAATAGCCACAACTTCCACCTTATACTTCCTCAGGACTTGTGAGAAGTCCCTTCTCTTAGAGGGCTTGTTAAACCCTCTAACATTCCAGAATAAGATCTTCATCCTGGAGGGGATTGGGAACCCCCACCCTTCCTCACACCCTTCTTAGGAGCTGCTTGCAGCTGTGTAATCTCCCTGTCTCCTAAACCCTGCAGGGCAGCAAACGATTGAGTCGTCTGCAACACACTGGTGGGACAAAGGAGAGGTAACCAACATCTAAGCCTTGCTCCATTAACCACCTTTTGGAATTCATCCTCTGTTGGAAGCTGTGGTGAACTGCATTCCGCAACTGACTGAAAGGTGTGCTCCAGGTTAATACCAACGCAGTTAGACCCAATCAAAAGTCTAGAATGTTGCATAGAGTCAGACACAACACTCTTCCCCTTATCCATCGTGACTGGACTACCACTGTTATGATTAGGAGTGCCCTTAGTTTTGCCACCCACAGCCTTCTTCCTTACCCAAACACGCTCCACTTCCCTGCTCTCTTGGATCCCCTTATCCTTCAGAGCACGCTCATTCTTTCCACAACCACAGTTGAGACCAAAGGACTGGCAGTGCCCACAGATTGGAGGGAGATGGCTATAAGCCACACCCACCCTAATTGAACGATCATCTGTTGGCCATACAAGAACATAATTAGGGAATTCACCCGAAGCTTTCAACTCCACAAGAGCCTTCGCACAGCCAAGACGACCACCCATCCTCGTTGTGTGATCGACACCCAGCGGGATCCCCAGCCAACTACCCATTCGACTCATACCCTGAAAGTTTATATACTCCAGCGGCACATTTGTAAACTTAACCCAGATAGGAAGAGCCTTATTCCCCAAATCTTCAACATCATTCCCCGGGGTCCATGGTCGAAGATATATCAAATTGTCAGAATAGAACCAAGACCCACTCTTCAGAATCCAATCACAGGTTTCTTGCGTTGGGAGCTGAATAAGAATCAGTTGATTGCCAAGCAAAGAAACGCGAACAATACCATCCCGCCCCCACAATTTATTCGCCCAGTGTCGGAATTTCGAGAGAGGAGGTGGAGAGGGATGGAGGAACTGACCGACCAGACTGTGCTTCCATCGGGCAGCTCCTTCATCACAAACAATCTTCGGCATGCGAATCCCCCCCTTGAATACCTCCGGCGGAATATATGCGAGACGATTTGCCTCGGCGATGCCAAAAAGCTCCGCCCAAGGCTTGACAGGGATCCACTCAGCACCCGAAACCGCCGATTCAACTGCCATCAAACCTGAAGAAAAAATACTCGCGCCGGCGCAGATGCCGGCACGGCCAGCCAGGCCTAGTCGAACCCGGACTCGCCAAGAAATTGGGAGGATTTTCTCTCACTACTTTCTCACAACTGTTTTCTAATTTTCTGCTTAATTTTAAATATATATATATTTTTTAAAATATTTTCATTTTCTTGCAATAACACAATTTTTTGAGAAAATTCAATTTTCACAATAAGTGATTGTATGTCTGTACCATGAAGTGCTTTATTTAATCAATTTTCTTAAAATTATTTAGAAAATGTGAGATTTGACAATTATAATATCTTTAAACTATCATCATGTGTTAATGTCACCTCTTAACGATCCTAACTGTTTTTAAGATATATATTTGTTATTTATAAATTAGTATTTAATAATTTATGTGTTATTAATTATTATCCTTTTAGGTGATTGTTGACCATAAAATTTGAACCGATTAGCTTATGAATTTTATGCTTCCATATTAACAATAGGTAAATCCCTTGAAGTTACGATGACCGACGAACAAAATACATACGAACTAATTATTACTAATGTCGTAATTGTCAAGTAGTACAAAATTACTTTCGATTCTTTAATAAATTGTTATTTAAAAGTAAAACGAGCTCGATCCATACGGTAATATCATGGTGGGACGGTGGCCGCTCACTTTGTGCTATTTTTCAAGGCATGCAGTTGATGAAAATTAGTGGACATGCGACTAAAACCATGTAACCAAAATCATTTTGCAACAAATAAAACATATTATTTTGGCATTTTTCTTATATAATACTATTTTATACTTTTGAATAACAATTTTATGTTAACTTTTTTTATAGAAGATAATGCCTTCATAAGTATCAAAATTTAAGCTAATTATAAATGGTGGTGTTTGCGAACGAAAATATGCACCGCTAAATAGATGGCCCTATTCGTCATTTGTGAAATTTGGAAGAAAAAAAAAATAATAATTTTGAAAGAAGATAAAGCAATGACATGGAAAACAAATAATAGAAAGAGGTTTACATAAAAGAGGTAAGGACATAGTTGGAATTTTTGGACTAAAAATGAGTCATTTGGAAATGATTAATGGAGAAGAGGCATTTGGAAATGACTTGATAGAGTCATTTGGGACTTTCGGTTGGACGAAATGACTCATGCATCTATTTTTAGCAAACAAGTCATTTGATACCAAATGACTCAAGCAATCGACCCCTAAGTGTTTTTGCGTATTAGATATTGAGGGTTTTAATGGGTAACTAGGGGGTGATCATGGATAATCGTTAACCGTAAGCGGTGCGATTTCTATTAGCGCGCATATTCGCCTCAAAACCGGTTGCGGTCCATAACGACAGCTTTCCACCCCCTTCAAGTGTGGATAGATTAAAAACCCCCCTTCTCTCTCCCATTTTTTCCTCTGACCTCTCTCTAAAGGGTCTTTCTTAGGCAGCTGAGTGGGTTGCTGCTGGTGCCTCTCCGATGACCGGCAGCAGCTCTCCGCCCCCCTTTTCATTTTCCCAGCTTTTTCTGTTTTTTCCCTCCTTTTCTACTGCTTTTCCAGCCCTTGTGGCTTTGCTTTCATGCATGTGTCTCTCCCCCCTTGTGGGTTGATTTCCTTCCCCTGTGTTGGGTTGATTTTTGTCCCTCTGTTTTGATTATTCAGAACTGGAGATGTTGATCTTTATAAGATGCAAGGAGGCTAGATCTTGTTCAGATCTGGCTTGTCTTCTCCATTCCATTCCCATAGTCTACCTCCTTGCTCTCACTTTGCAGATTTTGGTGGTTCGGAGTTGCAGCCTTGGGCGACGGATGAGGATCTGGAGAGCTTGAAGACAGAAGATCGTCTCCCCTTTGTTTCCTCCGTCGGCCGACCGATCGTGTGCCTGGGTTCCCATGGTTTCGGGCGGCGGGAGGCAGTCGATCGATTAGCTCGGGGTGGTTTGTTTGAAGACTTGTCTTCCTCATCCAGCCATCCGGCTTGGTGGAAACCCCTTCCTCTGCCTGACGGTCGGTGGCGATGTCCTCGAAGAGAGGCAACGGCGCATGGAGTTGGGTGTGTGGCAGCTGACTCGACTCTACTGTCACTCCAGGAATTGGCCAAGTGAAACCACTTCCTAAAGCGTAGTATAGCGGGTTTGGGTTTAATTATCAACCCGGGTCCTAGATGTGATGACTACTCAGTGAATTCTTGTTATCTAGCAATGAAACTGGCATGCAAGTCTAAACTATCAAACTAACAAAGCAAGTAAACTGTTGTATTCAGGTTAAGAGAGGTCACCCGGATATGGTTCCCCCTAGACTGCAGTTAAGCCGGATTGTAATTACCAAGTTCAGTTTCTATGATAGTTATACTGCGGAAGGTTCTTAAACAGCCTGAAGTCTCGACTATAGGTCTTCAGACCCTCTCAATCTGAGTCTCTAGCGGGCGACTAACCTCCACCGGAGTAAACAGATTGAGGCCCTAAGAACAAAACCTCCACTACCGGAGTAAATCCGGTACAGAATAGTGAGTTGGCTCCTCGACTAAAGTCACCAACTCCCTACCTTCAATCAAGGATGCTCTATCAACCTAGGCAGATATTCTCATTCTAGGTTAAAGCAGAAACAACAGGAATTTGATCAGGATTCAAGTCATTCAATCATTAAAACCTCAATCGAATATAATCAATCACAGAATCAGTACTTGGGTTCATACAATCAAAGCCTAACATACAAATCTAGGGTTCTCCATACCCAGATGAATGGGAGAACTACTCCATGGAGAAGAAAGCAAAAGCAGAATCAGACACGGAATTCATACTGCGAAGGACGGATTCCGGCTTCTGGACGTTGATCGGCACTTCTCCAAGCTCAAGCTGGCCTCCAATGGTGTTGAAGATCAATCTAGGGCACTTGGGAACTCTTGCTCGTCACTTTCTCTCTCTAGAAGTCGTTCTTTCTCTCAAAAACTCGAATCCTCCCGAATTGTGGCTGAAATTCTGCTTAAAAGGAGAAAATCCCGACTCACACGGCAAAGGTGGCACGGCCGTGTAGCTCACCCAGTTGCCCGTGTGAGTCAAAACGCATCATTTCATTTAGTTCGAATTCCAGGCTCTTTGCACGGCCAGAATGGCACGGCCGTGTGGACATCCCCTCTTGCCCGTGTTTGCTCTCGTAGAATGTGGCACGGCCAACCCGGCCACTTGCACGGCCGTGTCGATCTTCTGCTCTGCCCGTGTGTGCTCTCGGCAAAACACGCACGGCCAGCAGTACACGGCCGTGTAATGCCTTAGGCTGCCCGTGTTTTGGCTCCAGCTCACCGAAATGACTTCCGAATGCCCCGAAACTCGCTCTTAGCCTTCCCTTTGACACCTGGGACCTGAAACATGACAAAATAGCACAACCCGGCGTAAAATAGGCCACAACACACGACTATGCCCCTCAAACGGATAAGAACTAGGGGCGCAAACATGTGCAATTACATCGTTATCAAACTCCCCCACACTTAACCGTTTGCTTTTCCCCAAGCAAACCTAACTCAAACCAATGCAACTCTCCAGACCTCCATAGCAACAAACAACCCAGATCGTAAGTAGAGGACTTCCTAGGTCATTTAGCAGCTTACGAGGTCAACCGACGCACAAGTCATCTCAAAGCTTCTTATCGAGTCGGCATCATGGCAAAAAGTGAACAGAGGACAAATGAATCGTGGATGGAGAGATTCTCAAAAACAAAGGATCATGGACTCACATTTTTCAAGGTGCTCGATTTTCTTTGAAGATGGTTGGAACCCCTTTTTTTTCTGTTTTGCTTATTTTCTGTTATTTTTCTTTTCTTTTTTTCTTTTCAAGGGTCCCAACCTGCTCTTACCGGCCATGCCAGGAGCGGATGTCTCGAGCCTCGTGCGGGGGAAAGACATGTAAGGGGGCTGGAGGTAGTAGGTGGAAATTGGGAACGAATTCCCGTCTCCCCTTACACACTTTCGCCCTATTCGCACGGGAGACGTTATTTGAAGCACATTTTCGAGCACCTGTTAAACTCAAAACATGATACAAGAGTCCATGACAGGCAGAGAATCCACAACACCACACAATTCAAGGGTCCTAAGATCACTAATTCACTCAATCAACCAACACAATATGAAGAAGAAATGAGACTTCTTAAATGCATCAACATCCTCCATAGTGCTACACTACCTCCCTAGGTTGCATATTACTATAAAGACTGTCAATTCAAAGCATACTGAGCAGGCAATTGCAAGGAAACACGTACTTGGAGCCCTCAAATTTAAAGATTTGGACAGTGGACTAGGCTCCAAGCACACAAACATATCTAATGCAGTCAAAAGATAAACATCCCCCCACACTTAAGATCGACATTGCCCTCAATGGAGAAGAGGGAAGGATAAGGGAAACGATGTTACCGGTATGCATGGACTGCAGGAGACTGGAAACGGGCCAATCGGGGCAAGCACAGCCGAAGGGAAACAGAAGAGCTCAGACACAATATGTTAGGTTCAATGGTCAGCCCAATAAAATATCATCCAAACCAAAAGAAAACAAACCAAACCCAAACCGGGTTACAATCCGACTCAAAACACAAGAAAGAAAATCAAACCGTGGTGGGGTTGCCTCCCCACAAGCGCTTCTTTACCGTCTTTTAGCTGGACGCCCATGGTGGATTCTCAGGGCGGTGCAGGAACAGGTGCCTCCAAGAGCGGATCCACTTCGCTCTTGAGGTACAGCTTGAGGTTGTGGCCATGCACCCGACGGATGCGACCACCCTCATCAGTCAGCTCGACCTGCCCGTCTGGCAAGATGCAGGCGAGTGAGTACCCAAACGGCCAGGGTGGTCATGGTGCAGGAGGTGGGACCAGCTCATAGTGGTCTCCACTCTTCTTACGTGCAGGCTTAGCAACCTGCGGCTTCGGCCGCCACTCCTCCTTGAGCTTTTTGTTCGGAGGCGAGACTGGATGGAGTGGCGGCGAAGGAATGATAGGGGGTCCTACAAAATGAGAGGTGCAGAAGGATACACGACAGGCTCGTGTACCTGGTCAGAAATGGCATGCACAGGGGTGACAGCAATCATAGCACAGTGATCAAATTCAGTCACAGAAAAAGTAGCCTGTTCATTCCCAGCACGCATGATCAATTTACCATCATGCACATCAATAAGTGCCTTGGCGGTGGCAAGAAACGGCCTACCTAGAATCAAAGGCACATCCACATCCTCATGCACATCAAGAATAACAAAATCAACAGGATATGTGAATGTACCTACTTTAACAAGCAGATCCTCAATGATACCCTTCGGATGCACGATAGAACGATCAGCTAACTGAATGCTCATCCTAGTAGGGCTAAGTTCACCTAGGTCTAGCATTTTATACAACTTATATGGCATGATGTTAATGCTAGCGCCTAGGTCCGCCAAGGACTTTCCTACATGCATGCTGCCAATAGTAAGAGGGATAGTAAAACTCCCTGGATCCTTGCGCTTCTCGGGCAGCTTGTTCTGCAGGATAGCAGAACACTCCTCGCTCAGCATCACTGTCGAGAGATCCCCAAGTTTCTTCTTGTTGGTGCAGATATCTTTCATGAACTTGGCATGGGCATCTTCGATAGTGCCTCCATGAACGGTATGCTGATGTTGAGCTGCTTCAACATTGCCATGAACTTGGCAAACTCAGTCTCCAGCTTGTCCTTGTGTAGGCGAGTGGGGAAGGGAAGCTGGGGTACATGCTCCTTAACCACTGGTTGTGGCTTGGGAGCAGGGGCTTCTTTCTCCACCCGCACTTCTGCATCGTCGGCTGGAAGTGCTGAAGCAGGCAGTGGTTCCTCCTGTCTGGCCGGGACAGGATCAGCAGATATGGTCTTACCGCTCCTGGTAAAAATGGCATCCAGCTGCTGATGCTGGTGAGGATCTCGAGGATTCGGAACAGTGGTGGCAGGCAGAGTCCCCGGTGCCCTGGTAGTGTTTTGGCGGGCCAAGATGCCCACTTGGGTCTGCAGATCCTGCAAAATGGCACCCTGGTTCCTTTGACCTGCCTCCAGTGAGGCTACACTCTGGTCCAACCTCGTGATAGTCGCCTGAGTGCTCGTCATGAATGAAGCTAGAATGTTTTCCAGCTTCGTCATCCTGTCATCTGGAGCTGGAGCTGCTGCTGGCTCGGCAAACTGGCGCTGGGGCTGCTGGAATGGTTGCTGTGGAACTGGCCCCTGTTGAGCCTGGTAGGGCTGCCTCTGCTGAAAACCACCTGCTGGTGCTGGGAAACCAGGTGGTTTAGTGGTGTTGCTGCTCCAGGCAAAGTTGGGATGCTGGCGCCACCCCTCATTATATGTGCTACTGTATGGATCGAGGCGCCTCGCATTGGCGATGAAGGCCAACTGCTCCTGGGGTGTGGTAGACTCCCTCATAGCCTGGCAGTCCTCCACTAGGTGATTGGAGCTCTCACACCACTGACACTGAGCAACTGGAGGTGTAGCCAAACCTCTGCCCGGAATTAGACTGTTAGGCTGCTTCAATGTCTGCACTAGCTCAGCTACCTGCTGCTCGAGCCCGGATCTGGTCTCCATGGCGTGCACACCACGGTCCCTGGAATGTCTGCCTCTGCTGCTCTGCCCCCAAGAATGATCTCTGGCAGCCAATGTATTAATCATCTGATTCAGCTCGGGTGGAGTCTTGGTGAGAATATCCCCTCCTGGGCATAAAGACTCAATCACCCTCTGGCTATCTGGGGAGAGAGCGCTGTAGAAGTTCCCCACAGTGAAAGCATCACTAAAGCCATGGTGGGAGCACTGCCAGAAGTAGCCCATGTACCGCTCCCAAGCATCACGGAGTGACTCATCTGGCTCCTGGCGGAAGTGAGTGATCTCCCGCTGAATCTCTGTAGTCTTCGATGCCGGATAGTACCTGTGCACGAACTTGTCCGCCAGATCGTCCCAAGAGGTGATGGACAATGGGGGCTGGGTCTCCAACCACCTCTTAGCATTCCCCGCCAGAGAATGGGGGAAGAGATGAAGGCGGATCGCATCATCGGGAACACCGTTCAGCTTGAACCCGTTTGTCAGCTGCAGAAAACGGGACAGATGTACCCTGGCCTCCTCATCCTTCAAGCCATGAAACTAGATAGAAGATGTGATGAGCTGAATCCAGCATGGCTTGATCTCAAAGTTGTTTGCTGGGATCGGCGGGTAGAGGATGACCGGGCGGATGTCAGCAATCCGCGGAGTGTAGTAGTACTCCAGGGTGGGACCCGGCTGCGGTGGATGATGAGCTCCATGATCCTGGGGTATGGGGTTGTTCCCCAGGACCTGATTCACCGGGGGAACCTGCTGCGGATTCCCCTGGTGCGGATTGTAGTCTCCGTCCATCCCGTGCTCTTCTTCAGAATCGCTACTCAAGTGGCCGTCTATGCGCTCTTCCGTAGCCAGTCTAGCTCGCTGTTGTCTCCTAAACTGGCGACAGGTGCGGTCAATCTCTGGATTCAACGGCAGTAAACCTCCTGACTGGCTACGGGTCATGCACTACCTGCACACACTCAAGCAAGCAAACCCGTGAAGGCACAAGTGGGACAAAGCAAACAAAGCAAAAAAAGAAAAGCTAAATTAACAGAAATCACTTTTCTTCAACAACCTAGCCGTCCCCGGCAACGGCGCCAAAAACTTGACTCGACTCTACTGTCACTCCAGGAATTGGCCAAGTGAAACCACTTCCTAAAGCGTAGTATAGCGGGTTTGGGTTTAATTATCAACCCGGGTCCTAGATGTGATGACTACTCAGTGAATTCTTGTTATCTAGCAATGAAACTGGCATGCAAGTCTAAACTATCAAACTAACAAAGCAAGTAAACTGTTGTATTCAGGTTAAGAGAGGTCACCCGGATATGGTTCCCCCTAGACTGCAGTTAAGCCGGATTGTAATTACCAAGTTCAGTTTCTATGATAGTTATACTGCGGAAGGTTCTTAAACAGCCTGAAGTCTCGACTAAAGGTCTTCAGACCCTCTCAATCTGAGTCTCTAGCGGGCGACTAACCTCCACCGGAGTAAACAGATTGAGGCCCTAAGAACAAAACCTCCACTACCGGAGTAAATCCGGTACAGAATAGTGAGTTGGCTCCTCGACTAAAGTCACCAACTCCCTACCTTCAATCAAGGATGCTCTATCAACCTAGGCAGATATTCTCATTCTAGGTTAAAGCAGAAACAACAGGAATTTGATCAGGATTCAAGTCATTCAATCATTAAAACCTCAATCGAATATAATCAATCACAGAATCAGTACTTGGGTTCATACAATCAAAGCCTAACATACAAATCTAGGGTTCTCCATACCCAGATGAATGGGAGAACTACTCCATGGAGAAGAAAGCAAAAGCAGAATCAGACACGGAATTCATACTGCGAAGGACGGATTCCGGCTTCTGGACGTTGATCGGCACTTCTCCAAGCTCAAGCTGGCCTCCAATGGTGTTGAAGATCAATCTAGGGCACTTGGGAACTCTTGCTCGTCACTTTCTCTCTCTAGAAGTCGTTCTTTCTCTCAAAAACTCGAATCCTCCCGAATTGTGGCTGAAATTCTGCTTAAAAGGAGAAAATCCCGACTCACACGGCCAGGGTGGCACGGCCGTGTAGCTCACCCAGTTGCCCGTGTGAGTCAAAACGCATCGTTTCATTTAGTTCGAATTCCAGGCTCTTTGCACGGCCAGAATGGCACGGCCGTGTGGACATCCCCTCTTGCCCGTGTTTGCTCTCGCAGAATGTGGCACGGCCAACCCGGCCACTTGCACGGCCGTGTCGATCTTCTGCTCTGCCCGTGTGTGCTCTCGGCAAAACACGCACGGCCAGCAGTACACGGCCGTGTAATGCCTTAGGCTGCCCGTGTTTTGGCTCCAGCTCACCGAAATGACTTCTGAATGCCCCGAAACTCGCGCTTAGCCTTCCCTTTGACACCTGGGACCTGAAACATGACAAAATAGCACAAACCGGCGTAAAATAGGCCACAACACACGACTATGCCCCTCAAACGGATAAGAACTAGGGGCGCAAACATGTGCAATTACATCGTTATCAGCAGCGGCAGTTTTCAATCACGGCGGCGGGGATCCAGAGGGAGGCAATGGCGGGTAGGGTTGGGGGTTGGGGGATTGGTTTTGGTCCATGGTTTTGGGCCCTATTGTGGTTCCAGGTTTTTGATGGGTCTTATTTCTTTTCTGATTTTCAGCCCTTGTCTCTATATTGTGTCTATCATTTCCTTTGGGCCTAGCCAATTTCATTCTTAATGAACCACTCATTTAAAAAAAAAATGGCTTAGGATAGGGTCAGTAACCAAAAATAAAATGCCTTTAATTGACAACCCTTAGATCTGAATTTTCTGGGTCCACTTAGATCTAATGGTCCAGATTTAGTTACTCATAGGTCAGTAACTAAATCTGGACCATTAGATCTAAGTGGACCCAGAAAATTCATATCTAAGGGTTGTCAATTAAAGGCATTTTATTTTTCCTAGTTTTCATAATCGGCTCTTATCTTCTTCGTTTTAACTCGGATTTCAATTTTTTTTGCACACATGGAAGAAGTTCGTTGTGCTCTACAAAATGAGATCAATTTTCAATATATTTCGAGAAACTTTTTTTTTACCAACTACATACCATATGGTAACTTCTTCGTTTTTAAGTCGTTTCTAAAAACGTTTGCTCAGAAGGAACGAGTTCATCATGATCTATTGGATCTACAAATTTCTGGGTGAAAAAAATACTGGACCAAAAATTATCATACTTTACCACTATGGTATGTGGGTGGTAACTTGTGGTAAACAATGATGAAAGTAGTAAATGACAGTTAGTATACTCCTACTATCATGTATTTAACCTTCTTACCATATTGGTATGTTCATACCATCATGGTACGCTTTCTTACCATATGGTATTAAATATGAGCATACCATATGGTAATGACTGGTAAAAAATTATTCAATTTTTTTGTACTAAAGATATATCAAAGTGGATATCATTTTAAAGAGCACATTTAATTTGATTTATCTGTGCAAAAAAATTTAAATTTTGACTTAAAACGAGAGAGAAATCGTCCGTTAAAGATTAAAGGGGAAAATATAAAAAACTTAATAGGAAAGAGGGGATGCAGATGTCATGCAGATATGAACAGGTTGCTGATGGTTACTCACCATAAGAGTTACTGACCTGATCCGCTCCAAAAAGAAATGTGGGTAAATTGAGAATTCAATTAACAACAATAACGTTTGAGGAATTCTAATAAGTAACCCTGCCATTTTGGTGAAAATCCTAATTTTTTAGGGCTAGTCCTAGTGGTGATGTAGAGGACACATAATGCACACGAACTTAGTGGTCAACCCTTTTCCCTGCTCCCACTACTTGACCCATTGCTGGTTTGCATTATTTGTGGAAAATGAGAGCCTGCAATTATGATCAAGGTGGACAAAGTGATCATATCCCAACCACAACAGAAGACTTGACCTGGCCTGACTTAGAGCTACACCTTAATTCCCCCTACAATGTTATGGTTGGTTCATAACTGGCGTCCATATATATACAATATAAAGAGCACCCAAGTAACAATCTAGCGTAGAGTTTTCAATCAGCTGAGACAAAATTAAACTAGTTCGAAATGAGTGTAGGAAGATCAAAGGCGTGTTATTATGGTAGGTTCATCACTGGGTTCGTATGGGTTATGGCACTGTTTACAGTTCCGGAATGGAAGATTTGTGATGGGTGTTGGGAACAAGAAAGAACCAGTCTCCTCCATCTCAAAGCCTCGCTCTCCAATCCGCCTTATATGAACAGTTGGAGTTCTAATGAGTACTGTTGCTACTGGGATGGAGTTGGCTGCGACCCTGTCACAGGGAAAGTAACTAAGCTTGCTCTTGGTTATCCCTACAATAATTCTGCTCGAGCAATGCCGGCTATCCATGCTTCTCTGTTTCTGCCTTTCCAAGAATTGAGAGTGCTTTCACTGAAAGGCTATCATATCCCTGGTTGCATCGAGAATCAAGGTTAGAGTTTCTTCCATCTAATTAACCAACGTGCACTCTTAATTTTTGTTTCCATTATAGTTACTGTGTTTCTCTCCTAAATGGTAATAATTACTGCTTGGATGCAGGATGGCCTAATTTGAAAAGATTGAGCATATATGATTCCTTTATTTCGTGTAACAACTTCCTTGAAACAGTTGCCACCGTCATGACCAATCTTACTCAATTGATGATTTTAGATTCGGGTCTTATCTCCACTATTCCTCAAGGTATTATGATCAAACTATTAGCTAGTTAGCTTGTTTCTTCCTCTTTAATTTTAGAGTGATTAATTAAGGTATAGCTTTTGAAATTCTTATTATGTGTTTCTCATGATCTATGCAGCTTTATGTACCGTAATGAGTCTCCGGGTACTAGACCTCTCTGCTAATCATCTGATGGGTGAGTTGCCACAGTGTTTATCAAACTTGACTTCACTCCAAAGCTTTTCTGTAGAAGATAATCAATTATCCGGAGAGATATCTTTGTCTCCCCTACCATATCTTTTCTCCCTCGAACAGATTGATGTTCACGGCAATCAATTCCGAATTCCGATCTCCCTCTTCCCATTTTTCAACCACTCTCGTCTTCAATCTTTCTGGGGAGGTAATAACCAAGAAATTTATGGAGACGACCATCTTGATCAGGTACAGCAGGGTACACCACTTTTCCAGCTGAGAAAAGTGGAATTATATTCGCGACTTGGTTATGGTGGATATGTTGGACCGTTCCCTAAATTTCTCTACCACCAGGCCAACTTGGGGTTCGTTTCTATCTCAAACGTCAACATAACTGGAGTTGTTGCTGGGTTCCCGTGGTGGTTGGTGACTAACAAGGTTGTCAACCCGCGGGTTGACCCGGACCCGGTTGAGCTAGTGGGTCAAGGGTTAATGGGTCACCCGTTTTAGCCCGGTTTAGCCCAGAAACATGGAAAGCATCATTATATTGTACTTATCCTGATAAATTATATCAAATCTCATCTAACATATGAGTTATAACATATAATATTACACCAAAATAACATTTCGTACTTAGATTCAACATATAGTGAAAATTCACACACACTTATATAACATTAAAATTCAAATGTTCAACTTAGGATTCCAAAGATTGAGTTAGGTGAAAAGAAAAATCGGAAAATAGGCGCATTTCGCAAAACAAAGAAAAAATGACACAATTTGACCTCCAACCCGGTACCTTATAGCGGTCGACCCGGCGGCTGCGTGCGGCCCATTTTTCTCACCGGGTCAGGGTCTAAGTGGGTCAACCCACGGGTCGACCCGCGGGTTGACAACCTTGGTGACTAACAATACACATTTGGAGTTTCTTTATCTCCACAACTGTTCACTTTCAGGGCATTTTCAATTTCCAATCCACCAACAGTTACAACGGTACCATCCTCATGAAAATCTAAAGGAATTAGATATCTCCACCAATGACTTCTTTCCCAGTCTCATCCCACCTGATATATGTGCGTTCTTTCCCAACATAGATTTCCTATCTTTATCTGATAATAAATTCTATGGTAAAATACCATTGCAATTGTCAAACTGTTCATCATTCAGATTATTAGATGCTAGTAATAATCTACTACGAGGTGAAATTCCAAGATGGATTTGGAATATGTCTGTCAGCTCCATTCTAGACCTCTCAAGGAACAAATTTTCAGGACATCTACCTCCAGGTTTCATTTCTCCATTGATGGATGAAGTTTATCTATCGAGAAATCAGTTGGAAGGAAACTTGCCTGACACACTATCAGATAGTCAAGATGGGATGTTTGGTGCTGACAATTATTCAGACTACTCAATAGGTGTCTTAGATCTTGGTCACAATCATTTGATGGGTACAATCCCAAAATGGATTGGTGGATTGCGTCAACTGAGTTATATCTTATTGAATGACAACCAGTTTCATGGTGGTCTTCCGGGTACATTTTGCTTGGAAACTTCGAAGTTGATTGACGTTTCTCACAATCATCTATCTGGTTATATTGGCTCCAAAATATTAACATCAAATGACACCAATTGCAATGTACACAACGCACACTATCGGCCTAAGCATGAACTGGAGTTTGTCACAAAGACAAAATTATATACTTATAAGGGGATGCCTCTCTTTTTAATGTCTGGCTTAGATTTGTCAAGCAACAATTTCACCGGAGAGATCCCTCCTCAAATCGGCAATCTGGGTGACATTAAAGTCCTTAATCTTTCATACAACATGTTCACAGGACAAATCCCGACGACTATTGAAAATCTATCACAGATTGAAAGTTTGGATCTTTCCCATAATGATTTGAGTGGGTGATTCCTTCGCAACTCATGGAGTTGCACTATCTATCCACTTTTAGTGTGGCTTACAACAACTTATCTGGTAAGTGTCCTAAAAAGATTGCACAATTTAATACATTTGATGAAAATATCTACCGAGGAAACCCTCTTCTTAACTGCACATTACCACTCATGACACCAAATCCACTGGTAAGGCCGACAACATATGATGGTGATGAAGAAGGAGAAGGGGGGTTCATTGACATGGAGAGTTTCTATGCTAGTGGCTTAGTATCTTATGTCATGGTGTTGTTGATAATAGCAAGTGTTTTGCGTACAAATCCATATTGGCAACGGGTATGGTTTTATTGTGTTGATGTCACCATAACTACTTGCTATTATTTTGTGGTGGACCATCTTCCAGTGCCAACCAGGTATAAGGTGTGGGAACCTCGCATATAGCTGGCAATTTCGTAGACGACCAGAGGGATGAGCAGTTGGTATATGTAGAATGATGGATGTTTCTTCCGCTATGAATAAATTTCGATGTATCAATTTTCTATATGTATTCTCGGTTAATTTCTTTTTCTTCTTCTGAATTACAAGTCTTTGTAATATTAGTAGCTCATGTTAGCACTGCACGTCTACACCAATAATGGTTAGTGAATCAGACGTTAATCAATTACGGTAGAAGCAGGTGTGATCAGAACTCACAAGTCGGAACAATTACTTCCTGTGTCTTAATTAAATGAAAGGTAACCCAACAAGTTCTTGTATTGTACTGAATTCACACTCATTATAATCGTCATGAGATATTAAGAGGTCTAATAACGGCAGCAATTTACTTGTAACTTTCCTGGCTCCTGCCTGCCATATATAGATGCATATTGGTAAGGCCGCCATTGGAATGAAGTTGTTTGCGGAAATGCTTATCGCTCAAGAGATTTTGCTCTTGGCCTTCTTCATAAGAAATGATAAAATGCTAAATTGTAAAGTTGGTCACTCAAATTATCAAAAAAGATTTACGTTGGTCACCCAAAAAAAAATTCCAACTCAGACCTAGGCTGTGAAAGGTTTGCAATAGTCGGCGGGATGGGTCCCGTGAACATGTTGTAGGAAAAAATAAAAACTTTTGTGTTACCCAAGTGGCCAATTTGAGGAGGGAAGATCTCCATGATTATGAGAAACATCAATCAACTTTGAGGTTTTCAAGCAAAATGTATCTGGAAGATCTCCATGAAACTAGTTGTCATTCAAGAAGATATAACTCAGTTGACGCAATCCACCAATCCATTTTGGGATTGTACCCATCAAATAATTATGACTCAGATCCAAAACACCTATTGAGAATTCTGTATGATTATCAACACCATATATCCCATCTTGATTATCTGATAGTGTGGCAAGTAAGGTTCCTTTTAGCTGATTTCTGGATAGATAAACTTCATGCATCAATGGAGAAAGAAACCCGGTGGCAGATGTCCTGAAAATTTGTTTTGTGAAAGGTCTAGAATAGAGCCGGTAGACATATTCCAAATCCATCTCGCGGAATTTCACCAGAGAGTTTATTATTACTCACATCTAAAATTTTGAATGGTGAGCAATTTGATAATTGTGGTGGTATTTCACCATAGAATTTGTTATCAGATAGGGATATATGATCTATATTGGGGAAGAAAGCACATATATCAGGTGGAATGGGACTAGGAAAGAAGTCATTGGTGGAGACATCTAATGTCTTTAAATTTTCATGAGAATGATACTGTTGATGGATTGGAATTCGAAAATGCCCGAAAAGTGAACAGTTGGAGAGAAAAAGGGAGTTCAAATGTGTATTGTTAGTCACCAACCACCATGGAAATCCAACGTCAACTCCAGTTATGTTGGAGTTTGAGATATCAATTGGATTGCATGCATGCGGTGGCAAAATACATGTATTGTGTATAGCTAGGTATCTTCGTTAGACGGGCTCATGGCCCAATTCCATACTCATCCCCATAGCCCATAAGCCTTGTTCCAACACTATCGAGCCATTAGGCCCATCGAATGTAAATGTGCCACCAAGGATCCTTTTGCTAAATCGGATGCACTCATATTTAGTGCTAACGCGCCATTGGTGGTAATAGTATGTGTCAGAACAGAAGCATGGAATCGATAATCCAAACCAACAAGAACGAACACAAATTTAACGTGGTTCACTAACACAATGTGTGCTAGCTAATCCACGGGCAGGGGAGAACAAATTTCACTAATTTGAGGAGAGTACTGGTTACAAACCAAATTTTGAAACGGACAAACCATACAAACTAACCCGACTGACCTCTACTACAGACTAGGGTGATGAAGAGTATTTATAGAACTCTTCTCCTAATCCAAAACAGAAAAACAAACACCTTTTCCCGAACATACAAGGAAAAGGTCAAACAAAGCCCAAACACAAACCCAGACAAAATAGGCCCAAAACACAAACAAAAACCCAAATCAAATTCAAGTCATATTCTAACAATCTTTGCCTTGACTTGAATTCTCTCTCAGATACCAAATGTACCATATGCAACCAAAGTTGCCTGATGTACCCAACTCCTCCAAATCAGCTGTACCAAAATCTCCCCTGCCTCCAAATGCCCCTAAGGGGCAGTCAACAACTCAAACCATTCGGCAAGTCCAATCCATATTGAGACTTGCCATTCAGAACCAACTTGCTGCACTTATCACCAACAGAACATATCAAAACAGAACCTTGTAGACTATACAAGGCACCCCGCTTGACACCTTTCAAAATCACCTTAGAACCCTTGTAGACAGACATCACTCCACCTTCACCTTTGAAGCTGAAACCCTTGTTGTCGAGTAGACTCAAAGATATCGGATTCTTAGTCATTTCTGGAATATGCCTAACATTGTTCAAGGTGCGAACAGAACCATCATGTGTCCTCATCCTGACGGAGCCTCTTCCAACAATCTTACAGATAGCACCATTGGCCATAGAAACATGTCCTCCATCTATCTGCTCATAAGTTGAAAAACACTCCCTGCTTGGACACATATGATAATCAGCTGCAGTATCTAAATACCACACATCCTGATGATGTACCTGTTCATTCACTACTAAGGCTAAACTATCTTCAGAATCAGAGTTAGTTTCTTCCGCCACAAAAGCAGATGATTGCTTCTTCTCCTGATATTTCTTCAGTTTAGGACAATCAAATTTCCAATGTCCTTTCTCCTTGCAGTAATGACAGATATCATCCTTCAAACCAGCAGAATTCGAATTTGTATTCGCCTTCCTATTACCAGATTGTTGTCTCCTACTACTAGTAGCAGCCAACCCAGATGACTGATTTTCCGAACCTGAACCAGATGCTTTATGTCGAACCTCTCTAGTATGTAGAGCAGATCTGACATCTTCCAAAGACAAACTATCTTTCCCAGCAATAAAAGAATCCACAAAATTCTCATATGACTGTGGCAAAGATACTAACAGAATTAAGGCAGCATCCTCATCATCTATTTTAACATCAATATTCCGCAGATCTAGCAAGATAGTATTGAGTTGATCTAGATGATTCCTGAGAGACGTACCTTCCTCCATACGCAAACTGAACAAATGTTGCTTCATATGCAACTTGTTGGTTAAAGACTTTGTCATGTATAGAATTTCAAGCTTCAACCACAAACCCGCAGCAGTCTTCTCAGCAGCAACCTCAGTGATGATGTCATCAGCCAATCAAAGCAAGATTGTAGAGTGAGTTTTCTCCTCCAAACTAATCCACTCTTCTTCATCTATGCTTTTCTTCTTCGAATTTTCAGACAACGGAGCCCACAAACCCTGTTGTTTAACAGTGCTTTCATTTTGATCTGCCACAAACTGAAATTGTTTCTACCAGTGAACTTATCAATCTTCATACTGATAGCAGCCATCCTTGCTATCTAACAAACTCCAACCAAACTTCTCACCAAACAAGCGAGACAAAATCACAACTACCCAAAATACACTTCAACCGGCCACAAAAGAGCTCAAAATTTTTTTCGTACTTTTCCAAATTCCAAATTGCAACCCTACTTTGCGCTACCTGCAAACTCCATTTGATTAAATCAATCTTGGATCAAAGGAAAAAAAATTGTGCGTCCTTGTCTCCTTGATAATTTGGAAGCAACCCGGTTGGCGGTAGCTAGAAATAGGATGAGATTTCTAACGCGCGCGTAAGCAGGAAAACGGACGATGACAAGCTCAAAATCCCAGTACGTCAATTCTCCTAAAATCGCAACCACGGCTCTGATACCACTTTTCGAAATCGGGTTGCTCAATTAGTACGATATTGTCTGCTTTGGACCAAGTCCGCACGGTTTTACTCTTGGGTGTCCTCCCCAAAAGGCCTCATACTAATTGGGCTTGGTGGACACTTATATACAAGGGTTCCTTCCCTTGTATTACCGATGTGGTACTTGGATTGTCCCATAACAGTATGGGACTGAGCTATCTTTACGAAACTGCTACGTTGATTCCAATTCTTGCTATTGTGGAAAGAATTAAAGAATTCACGACAAGCTACCTTTACGAACCTGTTAGTTGGATGGATAGGGCTAGCTGGATTCGGTTGTGGAGGCTAACATTCCTCCGAAAATGAAAGTCTTCGTTTGGCAAATATTTAACAGAATATTGTCCCCGACCGAAATCCTTATTTCGAAGCAGGTCGACGTCCTCCTCGATGTTCGGTATGTTGGGCGGACTCAGAGACAATGAAACATTTGTTTGTGTATTGTCCAGTCGCCCGTGCTCTCTGGGAGCTGTCTGGCCTGGATTACATTGGGGAAGGCTTGCCTAGGCATACTATCCCACTTTTCCTGGAAAAAATTGTTGTCTCTGGTACATCAACCTCCCCTGTTTATGGCAGTGATTGTCGTCCTTTGACGAATTTGGCGATCCCGTAACTAGGCCGTTTTTTAGGGGAAGCAGTCGGGTTCCTCGCCTTGATGCGTCAGTTTAATCAACAGGTTCAGGAATGGGTTTGTCTGCTGGTGGACCGTGCCCCCCCAGCTATCCAGTACTCCCACCCCTTCTTTGGCTCCGGAGGAGCCTTCGGTGGCTATTTGTATGTGGGATGGGGCTACCAAGAGAGGGTCTCACTCGGCAGGCGGAATGGTTATCATGACCCACACTAGAGAGGTTCTTTCTGTAAGGGGGTGCAGTTCCCTTGCATTGACGACCCTATGGTGATAGAATTACTATCTCTCTGGGAGGCTGTTTCATGGTCCTTGGACCAAGGATTTACGGAAATGAGGTTTGAAGGTGATGCCCAAGTGGTGATTGACAAGAATTTGCGGGGTGATACCAGAGACAATCAGATGTGGATTATTCTGGAAGAAATTGTGCGAAGTTTTGCTCTGGACACGGGGTTCAGTATACGATTTGTACGTCGGAGTAGCAATAGGGTAGCTCATTTGGTGGCTAAAAAAGCCCTGTCTTTGTACCCGACTACGAGTCGTTTCTTAAATTTTCAGGTCTGGCTGAATTCCAGGATGTAACTCTCTATATTTTCTTCAATCAATATATGATTATCTTTTGTAAAAAAGAAAAAACGAAATTGTTGCCGCTATACGTGCATCGTGAAAAACTTTCACAACCTAGGTCTGAGCTGTAGGCCATTAATTGGTTGGGTTGGCTTTGACTTTGGGTTTGAATTTAGAGCATCGAAACCAGGGACGGAGCCAGGATTCGAGCTTCGGGAGGCCAAAAATGTTTATCCGTAAGAGGCAAAAAAAACACAAAAATATAATACCAACTTTAAAAAGAGTACTTTTAATCATCAAAATCGCCCAAGACACTTTTTAAGACAATTAGATTTACTTCGAACACGATTTAAGACGAATAAATTATCATGTCATTTTGACTACAAATGATTTAATTACCAACAAATAATAATACATTCCAATGTCTAACATGTTTCATGATTTTTATAGCTGAAAAATCAATGTGTACAATCTATTACAAGAAAAAATTTAATCATTGTATATTCAAAAGAGTCCTTAAAACATGTAATGCAAAATTTAATCATTGAGAGGAATAGGCGTATCTTTCAAGACAAAAATATGTCTGCTCCCGTGGTTGCGCGGATGGCTATTAGAGGCATGATGGAGTGGGCTACGGTTCATGGCAAGGTGGGGAAAGATGATGGTATCATGTGGCTTATGGACTTTTTAACTAGGATGTGAGATCGTTTGGGTTGTTGGGCTGGGTTGGAGGGTTCGGAGGGAGTTCGCTTGTTTGATCGGAGTCGTTGGGGCTGGAGTCTTTGATGTTGGCCACTCTGTTCGTGTGCTGGATTTATCTGTGTCGTGGCGGTGGCAGGTGTTGAGCGATAGGTTTGGTGGTTTCTGTCGCCGTTCCCTGTGCAGCATCGGTGGAACTTCTTCCTGCTCGTTGTGTGGGCTTTCCCTTTTCTTCTTCCTGTTTTGTTCGCAGTCATTATTGTGACTTGTTGGGCTCTCGCCCATGTGCTTTTTTTCTTGTCCTTTTTGTTTCTCTTATTGCTTTGGTTCAGTGCTTCTGAACCAGTGTATTTGCTCTGGACTTCTTTGCCCTTTTCCGGTTTAATTTAATCTTCATCACCATTCTAAAAAAAGTACAGGTGTTGGGCGATAGGTTTGGTGGTTTCTGTCGCCGTTCCCTGTGCAGCATCGGTGGAAATTCTTCCTGCTCGTTGTGTGGGCTTTCCCTTTTCTTCTTCCTGTTTTGTTCGCAGTCATTATTGTGACTTGTTGGGCTCTCGCCCATGTGCTTTTTTTCTTGTCCTTCTCGTTTCTCTGATTGCTTTGGTTCAGTGCTTCTAAACCAGTGTATTTGCTCTTGACTTCTTTGCCCTTTTCCGGTTTAATTTAATCTTATCACCATTATAAAAAAAAATTACACCGTTTTCTAGAGCTAAAAATGAATGCATACGGCTACCAACATTCCCTCAAGTACTCTTTTTAAAGGTAAAAATATGTCTACCATGAGCATCGAACCAGCATTCCCTCAACCCTATAAGATTATCCTTCCGTTAGGCTGCACTAGTAAATGTGAAATGATTTGCGACTACTTCTTTATGCTTTATACTCTGTTTATACGTAATTTTCAAGAATGATGAACAACTTACACGTAACTGTCGAAATTCTCGGGAGGGCCGGGGCCCCCGAGCCATAGGGTAGCTCCCCCCCTGATCGAAACCTGAGGTATATCGCTTAGAAGTTAGGGTATAATATCATATCTCAAATTCAGTTTGAGATAAAAATATCTCACTAAGAATAATTGGAGTATAATATGAAGTCACTTTAATAAGGAAATCCAAGGCATAGTTAGTAAAATATGGTACGGAAAATTTATGTATAAAATATGTACGGGTATTTTTACTTCATCTTTAAGCTAATGTTATGTTTAATAGTACGTTAATATTCATAATAATATTAAAATTAATTATTTAAAAAAATAAATAATGGTAAAATTAGCAATTTAAGTCATTAAATACGGATATTGAGCATGCTATACGAGTTTTATACGTGTTTAGTATGGGAGTCATCAAATGAATAGAAAAAACTGAAACAACTTAACAATAATACAGATACAGAAATTTTAAACAGATAGAATGCGTGACATTTACATATACATTTACATATACATTTATTAAACATAGTATTTGTTAACTATTCCAAACAAATCATAAATCCTAACTACTTAATCCTACTCTTCAACGACACGACATCATCTACTTAGCCATGAAAGTTAACGTCATGGGCTTCTTGTTTGCGTGGGCTTCATGGCCATATGCGAACAATGGGCCTGGCGGGAAAAAAACTACCGCGTGGAGAAGCGTTGAAGATCAATTGGCTGTTCTCAGTCTCTTGCTTGCTTTCGTTTTCAGCTGATTGAAAAAGAAGAAAACGGAGCTCACAGCCGCAGGTAAGTCACAGTCGATAGAGTGGGGAAAGGAGAAACGATTCAAAAAGATAAGAAACAGAAAACAGGGGACTGTACTACTGCATTAATCTGCGCCACACAACCAGCCAGCCAGCCAGCCAGCAATTGAATTGATCGTCCAATTTCGACCAAAGGGCTCTTGACTTTTAGTGTGTATGAATCAAAGAATCAGAACTCATTGCCGCCGCAGAATAGCTTCAGAATTCTCATCTTTCAGGGGAAGTTCTCTGTGTATATATACAGAGTCCCCAACCTTGAAACAGAGCATGGCTTGAAACAGAGCATCACCACAATTTGAAACAGAGAGATCAAAGATGTGTTATGGGCGGTTCATAAGTGGGTTCGTGTGGGCTATGGCACTGTTCACAACTGCGGAATGGAAGGGTTGTTATGGCTGTTGGGAACAAGAAAGAATCAGTCTCCTCCATCTCAAGTACTCGCTCAATAATCCGCCTTATATGAGCAGTTGGAGCGGAGAGCGAACAAACAGCTCCGACGACGAGTGTTGCTACTGGGATGGAGTTAGTTGCAATCCCGCCACAGGGAAAGTGGCCGAGCTCGATCTTGGTTACCAAGACGAGTCTGATTTCAACTCACCAGCAAAACCGGATCTCAATGCTTCTCTGTTTCTGCCTTTCCAAGACTTGACTCTGCTTTCTCTACGAGGCTATCATATCCAAGGTTAGATTCTTTCATCCCTTTACTAAAATTAAGATTCAACAGTAAACCAATTAAAAATTTAATCATATGATTACATATATATATAATGAAATAGGATGGCCCAGTTTTGGGTCTCTGGAAATTTTGGCGATATGGAGCTCGACCATGGACGACAACTTCCTTGATGCGGTTGGCATCACGATGATGGGTCTTGCTAGCTTGGAGATTTGGAATTCGCCTCTTGGATCGGGTACTTTCCCGCAAGGTGAATGTCGTTTGTATCAAGCATGTTGCATTTATGTTTCTCTAGCTAACATTTAAATTTTTCTTACAATAATGTAGTATGTAACTTAACTCGTCTTCAAAACTTGTATCTCCTGGAGATGAATCTGACGGGTGAACTGCCGCAGTGTCTATCAAATATGACTTCGCTACGAGTTATTGACGTCGCTGGCAATGAACTATCGGGAGATATAGCTGAATCCCCGCTGACGGCTATCTCATCTCTGGAACAGATTATGATTCCCAAAAACCGGTTCCGAATACCGCTCTCCTTGGCCCCATTTTTCAACCATTCTCGTCTCAAAACGTTTTTCGGGGCCGGAAACAAGGAGCTCTATGGAGACAAGAATGACCATTATGAGACGAACCAACGAGATACTCCTCCGCTATTCCTTTTGAACTACCTGACTTTGTCTTCGGGGAGCGATGATCATCATGATGGCTACTTCGGTTCATTCCCAAAGTTTCTCTACTATCAAACCAACTTGCAGGTAGTTGAGATCTCAAACGTCAAAATGAAGGGAGGTGTTGGGTTCCCATGGTGGTTGGTTTCTAATAACACCAACCTAAAATCCCTTAATCTCCAAAATTGTTCACTCTCGGGGTCCGTACAACTGCCAATCCATCAAAATCATCGCCAAAAAGGATTGGAGGTTTTGGATATCTCCGATAATGAAGTCTACGGCTCCATCCCACCTCATATTTGTGCATTCCTTCCCAATATAACGTATCTATACTTATCTAATAACCAACTCTCCGGTAAAATTCCAGAACAACTCTCAAATTGTTCTTTGTTGATGTGGTTAGATGCTCGAAACAATACGCTCTCGGGTGAGATTCCAAGAAGGATTTGGAACATGCCTCAAATCGGTCTCGTAGACCTTTCAAGTAATAGTTTCTCGGGAACTCTGCCGCCAGATTTCATTTCTCCTTACATGCAGGGAGTTTATTTGTCGAGAAATAAATTGGGAGGAAGCTTATCTGGAGGATCAGATAATCATGGGATTTCCAGTGTCAAGAAAGAATACACGAACTATGACTTGCAGGTGTTGGATCTCGGCCACAATCGGTTCACGGGTACGTTTCCGACATGGATTGTTGAAATGCCTCGGCTAACTCATCTCTTATTAAACGACAATGAGCTGCAGGGTGAAATTTTGTCACCCCAGTGTTTGGGGCAACTAAAGTTGATTGATGTTTCTCACAATCAGCTTTTTGGTCGTCTTTCCTTTGCATTGACTTCCAATAACATGAGGTGCAACACGAGCAAGAAGGATGAGGTTTATTTTATTGATGATCTAGAATTTACGACCAAGTTCAATCGAATTATTTACAAGGGGGAGCCTCTTATTTTAATGTCTGGGTTGGATTTCTCAAACAATCATTTTTTCGGCGAGATTCCTCCTCAAATCGGCCATCTGGGTACCATCAAAGCTCTCAATTTGTCGTACAACAGGTTGACAGGGCCCATTCCACCAACATTTTCAGGCCTAATATCGATTGAGACTTTGGATATTTCTCATAATAATTTGAGTGGGGTGATTCCTACCCAACTCATGGAGTTGAATTATCTATCCTCTTTTAGTGTGGCTTACAACAATTTATCTGGGAAATGTCCTAAGAGGGTTGGACAGCTCAGTACATTCGATGAAGATAGCTACAGGGGGAATCCTCATCTCATGAACTGCACTTTACTACAGTCGACACCAAAACCGTATGTAACGCAGACGCCCACTGATGACAATGATGGCGAATATGGTGGCTACATTGACATGGAGAGCTTCTACACAAGCAGTGGAGTGTCTTTTGTCTTGGTGTTGCTGACAATTGCGAGTGTTCTCTATATTAATCCATACTGGCGACAAGTGTGGTTTTATTATGTTAGAGTCACCATAACTACTTGTTATTATTTTGTGGTGGATCATCTTCCAGTATCGACCAGGTACAAGGTGTGGGAACCTCATGTATAGTCGATGATTTTGTAAACGAACAGAGGGATGAGGAGTGGATTATTATATATAATCCCTCTCTGATAGAGTGATTTGTAATAGATATTTATCTTTGATAGGAATGAACTTCGATGAATATGGTTTCCTATATGTATTAGATGCGGGAAAAAGAAAACCCTTTTTTAGGTTTGTTGAAGCCTGCATCAAATTCGATTCGTAATGGTGTAATGCCATTCGATTGTTTTTTGGGAGCATCATAATGACATTTTGAGAGATTACTTATCTCTGCACTACTCAACATTGAGCATGTTTAACTTCATAATTCTTAGAAAAGCTACAATTTGTCAATTAAAATCGAATTATTCATTATGATCCATGCACCTCTCTATCGTATTTTATCGAAGTGAAATTTACCTAAAGTGTTATCCAACATAGTTTAGTGTTAGGTTACATAATTCGTGGAGGAGGGGTCGACGCTCCCGCTCTAGAACGCGGAAACGCGAATTCCAAAGGATTCGCACAAAATTCGCGAATTTCTTTTTGTTGGAGCGCGAACTTCGTAAGCTAATTCACGGATTTCTTTTATATAGACAGTTCGGTAGGGAAAAATCGAGGAAGGAGTTCATCGATTTGGTGAGGGAGATGAATCCCTGGTTGGTTGCATGAAGGAAGTCGGAAGGGAATTTGTTGATTTGGGAGGTTTTGGACTACGCAGGGAAAGATATTTTGTTGGCAATTAACAGTATCGCAACCCGAGTTCAAATACGAGTTGACTTGCTAGTGTTTCTGGGAAATTGGTGGGAGGCGGAGCTCATCTGTGTTTTGAAGATTGAAAGGACCTTGGGAGAAACCAGAGATTTTACGATGTAGAAGAAGAGGGTGTTGATCGATGATTATGGGATGTGGTGAGGGAAGTATTAGATAAGAGCCGAAAGTAACAAATCTGGGACGCCGGCTGCTGTCTAGGTTGACGAAAGAGAAAGGGAGGAAGTGGCAGTTGCAGGGGAGAAAGAAGACCAGCTTCTAAAAGAGAGAGATCGGAAACGATGACAATAGACAAGCTTGAAGAGTTGAAATGGTGGGGTTTTTAATTTTTTTATGGTTATAATGGGCTCTTATTTAATGATTAAGAATGAAATGAACTATTATTTAACAAGCCCACTCATATCCTTTCATTCTAGCGGATGAACAATTTTATGGATCAACCCCATTTTAAGAGAAAAATAAATTTCCACCCACTAAGTTAAAAGAAAAAAAATATGGCTCTTACCATAAACTAATAAGAGTTCAATTGAGTTAATTTTTTTAGTTATGATATAACAACATTATCTATAATTATTGATTTGAATTATAAATAATATAATACAGTGACGCTCTTTTCACACTCTCGATATAAAATTCTCTATAAACAAACGCTTTCACACTCTCGCTCTCGTTTCCGCTCCCACTCTACGAATTGGTTACCTAAGTTTAGTAACAACCAAGGTTGTCAAACCGGTTTATACCAGTGTGCCGGTTTAGCAAGTGGAATGGTTCAATCGGTAGCACATACCGGTTTGTGCCGGTTCATGCCGGTCAATATTACAAATAAAATTATAAATACTCATATTTAAACATGACATTTAACGTCAATACCTAAACATTTATATTTGAATCCAACAAATAACATCAATATTTAACTTTTACACTCATAAAATAAATAATAAAATAATTTTTATCAATTAAATTCTCTAAAATAAGATCATTTTATTTAGAGATTCGTATATCGATCATGCCGGTCATGCCGGTGGTGTCACGCCGGTTTTATGACCGATATCGGTTGAACCCGATACAACCGGTGGCACGCCGGCCGGCGTGACAACCATGGTAACAACTCAAAAAATAATCATCAAAATTAAGAAAATATTCAAAATATACATTAAAAAAATCTTGATATTCCGTATGCTGGCCGAAGACTGAAACGCCCCTGCCTCCGTAGTCCATATCCGAACCAAGAAGAGAATAAGAACCCTAATCGACAGCTATATATAAACCTCAGGAAGGATGCGACGTTTAATTTTTATTTTCAGCAATTGTATTGTTGAGAGAGCCACAGCCCCACCGCCACGAGATAACCCATATAACCAAACCGCTTCTACTGATCTCTGTAGATATCTTTTCCCTTCTGCATCCATCGGCTCCGCTGTCTTGCAACACCCTGAGATCTACACCGATTGCCGCTCTCCTTGTTTCTGCGTCCTTCGCCGTTTCGCTATCTTTTTGAAGGTGCTCTTTTCTCCTTATGTTGGTTATTGTTACCGTTTGTCTGTTTTGTTTCCGATTGCTGGTAAAGGTTGGATCTTGCGATTCTGGATGGCTGATTACCTAGCGTTGTTTTTCTCTTTGGTTGCATGGTAGATTAGTTTAGGAATTTGGGTTTCTGAATAGCGGAAGCGCCGTTTTGATGGGCTATTCGTTTATGTTACCGATTGTTGTTCCGTTGGGCGTTATTGTAGATTTTGTATTTGGGTTTGGTTTAACATACTCCCAAAAGATTGGGGAGTCTGGTATTTCTTGGTATTGTTTCTGCGATCATCTTTTAATGCTTTTTGGGGTCTGTGTTTTGAGAGTATTTACTGTGTCAATTAATGATGAAAGAGGAAGTAGCTACATGATATGGATTGGGAACCTCTTAATTACTTTTGAAGGGTACTTAATTTATCTATTATCTGCAACTGTGCTTGTTTTGCATACGATCTTTTTCCAGTAGAACCTTTGTATGATTGATTTCATTCTAGATGTCTTAGGATGATTGATATTGTGCATTTGTATGCCTGATATATGATGTCTCTTGGTAATTTACTACTGTCTTTGGCTTCCCTTGGCTCCTGATAAACTTATGTTGTCACTGCTTAATTGGTTCAGTATATACTTGTCCTTACCTTCAACCGGGAAACCCCCTTGCTTTCATTTTGTACTGAGAATATGCTTTCCGACTTATGTGGTCTGATAATCGGTGCATAAAAGTCGATTGCGGGTTAATGTATACTCAATTGAGACTAAGGAACCACAATCCAGGTTTCAATCATTCGTGTGTTGGAAAACCTTATCCCTCATATTATGCCATTAAAGGTTTCACATTTGGCATTTAAAGCAACCAAATGCTCTAAATTTGCTTTCCTGCTTTCTGTATCTGACTTCATGTATGTGTGTAATGTGTCTCCTTTCACTTTGGAACTTTAATCCTGACATCTGCTGTTTTTTTGGTTGTTCAGGAGCCTTGCTGGAAGTGTTGCTGCAATCTGCAGTTTGTGAAAGTTGAGATTCTTTTATGTCCATACAGGCCATTTTCATCTTGGGAACGATTGGATTGCTAGGTAATCGTTGCCTGCTCTCACGGGAAAAGGAGCGGCCACTGTTTGACCAAAAAATCATCTGTATGCATACTGGGCCATTTGTTGAACACTCAGAGCTTCATGGTTGCTTCTGGATGCAACCTTTTGTGACAGAAAAAGTGAAGTCTTTTCTTGCTGAAAGTTCTTTGGCAGGCAATATCAGCTCTTCATACCCTCTGCAATACATCCTTCACCCTCAGCTATTATAAGCATCTCATCTTTGATTTACTCTTAATCAAGACAAGATGGCGTTGCAGAACATTGGTGCTTCAAACAGTGACGATGCCTTCTACAGGTATAAGATGCCTAGAATGGTTACCAAGATTGAGGGCAGAGGAAATGGCATCAAGACTAATATAGTCAACATGGTTGACATTGCAAAGGCTTTGGCTCGGCCTGCTTCTTATACTACCAAGTACTTTGGTTGTGAGCTTGGTGCTCAATCAAAATTTGATGAGAAAACTGGTATTGCTCTGGTGAATGGCTCACATGAAACTGCAAAGCTTGCTGGACTTCTGGAAATCTTCATAAAAAAGTATGTTCAGTGCTATGGCTGTGGGAATCCAGAGACTGAGATACTCATCACCAAAAGTCAGATGCTCCAACTCAAGTGTGCTGCCTGTGGTTTTATTTCTGATGTGGATATGAGAGACAAGCTGACCACTTTCATTTTGAAGAACCCACCGGAATCAAAAAAGGGATCGAAGGACAAGAAAGCAATGAGGAGAGCTGAGAAGGAACGACTAAAGGAAGGTGAGGCTGCAGATGAGGAGTTGAAGAAAGTGAAGAAGGATGTCAAGAAGAAGGGCACAACTACTACCTCAAAGGATGGAGCCAAGGCTGGAAGTACAAAGAAGAAGGCAAGTGGATCTGATGAAGAGCGCGTGTCACCTACACATAGTCAGGTTGATGAGAAGGAAGAGCACGATGATGATGATGACGATGTTCAGTGGCACACTGATACATCTGCCGAGGCAGCTCGTCAGCGCATCCAGGAGCAATTGAGTGCTGCTACTGCTGAAATGGTTATGCTTGCTACCATTGATACCGAAAAGAAGGCCAAGGAAACTGCAAAAGCTAATGGCAGCAGCCCAAAAGGTGCTGTTTCTCCTAAAGCTGAGGAGAAATCCAAAGAGAACGGGAATGGCAGCAGCCCAAAAGGTGCTGTTTCTCCTAAAGCTGAGGAGAAATCCAAAGAGAACGGGAAGACGATTTCTGCCACTACTCTAACCAGTGAGTTAAAAGAAAGCATTGGTAAAGGAGTCTCTGCAAGCCAGTTGCCTGGTCTTCTGGATTCACTTCCTGGTTCAGGTCAGGAAAAGATGGATGCTTTATTTATGGCATTGTTCGAGGGTGTTAAGAAGGGACTTGCGAAGGAAGTTGTCAAGAAGAAGAAATATCTGGCTGCTGCCATTGCAGCCCAAGGTGGAGAATCTCAGTTGCTTCTACTTGGTTCCATCCAGGGTTTCTTTGAGAAATCTGGTGCAGGGAAGGAGGTGGCTCTTATTCTAAAAGCTCTCTATGACGCTGATGTTCTGGAGGAGGAGCACATTCTGCAGTGGTACGGGAATCTAAAAGGAGCCAACAAGGATTCTAAGATCGTGAAGAGCGCTGAGCCATTCATTGATTGGCTCCAGAATGCTGAATCGGAGACCGAAGAGGAATGACTTGCAGGGTGTTCTGTCCGTTGTCGTAATCATTGATGCCTTTGTTTGTCTTCAAGAATAAAGTGTCTTTTGGGTTTTATGGGAACACTACACTTATATCTGTCTTTTGTTATATCAAACTTCTTTCATGAATGTTGTTTGGGGTTTGGATTGGAAAACAACTATTGTGCTTTTGTTTCTTAAGCTATGGTATATGTCTTTACGTTATCTTTGTCTGTCTAGTTGAATTGTGTCTTGGTGATGCTGATGATTTGGTTACGTCAACATATATATGCATTCTGGCGGACTCCATTCTGTTTTGAGTTTGAAATCTTCGGTTTGCATTGACATGAACGCAATTGAACAATACGGGACGCTGTACTTTGTGATTAACTGAACCTTAAAAAGCCATCTGATAAAAGCTATACATTTTTTTTTTCTCATACAAGAGCATACATCACATAGCCACACGTCCCCCAACCTCTTGGAGGTACATCCATCTCCCTTCTCTCTCTCGATTGACATAGGTAGCGAAATTTCCACCACTATGGGAAGAACAGACGGAAGAATTTTGAAGATTTGCTTGCAGTACTGCTCCCTCCAGTCCCCAGATTGCAGCAACACGCAGTTGCTATACGTAACATGACATTGCTGATGCTCTGGCTTGACCATTTTTGTTTGGTGGAGTCCGTTCACCAGTCATTGCACACGAATGAGCCGCGACTGAGGTTCTAGTCGAGACTGAGCTTCTACTTGGGGGAGCTCACTTTCTTCATCCGAAGATGGCATGAACGCCATATGTGAAACCTGCTCAATCGAACAATATCAGCCGCTTAGGCCTTCTATTATTTACTACATATTGACATAAACTTAACCAGCCAGGAACTAAGAGAGACCAATAAGCTGAGAAAAAGCATGAATTCTTTCATTTTGAGTCTTGACCATAACCCACTTTCAGATACAAGGGTAGTAGAACTGCCAATAATATATAGGGTCTCCCAGTCTACCAAAATTTTGGACTAAGATTGTTATGAACTGACCAGTTGACGTTGACGCTGGATGGCTGCAAAGACTTTAACCATGACATAAATTGGCAGAAGAATCCCAATTGTTCTCAACAGCGATAACTGCACCAACATTAACTTTATTTTAAGACATTAAATGAAGATATTTGAATGCAATCATACATTACATGAAGCCGCAAATGCACAGCTTACTGTAAACAATGTCACAGAGTAGTCTTCGGTTCTAGTAGTAATGATCGGCAAGGTATGGCGCAGCACAAGGAGTACCATGAACTGCAAATTCGAGCAGAAATGTGAAGTTGAACCCAGAACTATAAAAACCGTACCCTACTTTTGTCCCTTCAAGTAACAGGCATCAAGGATCCAAATTGTGGATTGAATTTAGTTACAAGGATACATAGTGACTTAGTGAGGTATGTGTGTCTGCAGTGTGCCCCTGAGTACAAAACATACGAGGACTCGGCTAGCTATTGGACGTTCAAATGAAGGTGAGGATGTTGGCATGAACGGGATACAGGCATGCTGGCAATGCGATACAATAAGGGGGGGAAAAGATAGTCATGAACATATATTGTGTATGTATAGCATACACAGACTTGTAGGAGGAGAGAAAGAGATAGAATGATGTACGATAATGGCAACGACCCGGCAACACATCAGGCTTGTAGGAGAAGGAGTAGTTGTATAATCATCAAAGTCGGAGTCCAAAAAATCACGATCATCAGTCACCATTGCTATGAATTGATGATTATGGAAGTCATTTCCAGACATCTCCCAGTTTCCCCTGAAATATAAAACAAAAAACAGAAGAATTGTATGACTTAACGGAGAAGTTCAAACATACTCATACTGGTACTAATGATTAATGAACAGACAATACCTGAAGTTCACAGGAATTCCTCCATAGTGAAACAAAGGAGCAGGTGCTGTGTAACCAGGCTTGAATGGCTGGAGCATGAAGACAAAACCCAAAGACAATGCTTATATCCATTTTCATATCACTTTGATGTGTTGTAAATAAACGGGGAGACATGGAAACCATATAAGCGTGATAAAGCACCTGTTGGCAGATCTCACAGTTAGTGTCACCCTTTTCATTGCACCACCTCTGAACACATTTTCTGTGGGCATACTGCAATGTGGACAAAGTACTTCTGATCAGTCACAAAAGTTTAAATACCAAATATAATTTGCTGAACTATATCTCTTTAGGGGCAAAAATATAATGAATCCCTCATAAATGCAGCGCGTGCCAGTCGATAATTCACACTAAGAGCACAATCTCCTGTAACTAGAAAGTCTAGTGGCTAAAAGTATAACATCTCTCTGATGAAGGACCAAGAAATCATCGTATGATTGGAACAAGAAATTGTCCATGGAAGAGGATCTATGTTCTCTGATGTATCATTATGATATGGGACAGCAAATACAAGCTTTAAAATTAGAAACTGAAGGATAACCAACCTTTAAACTGCCACTGCAAGAGCACGGCACTTCCATGCTTGTGTCCTCATCCTCATCATGACAAATTCTACAGTCCACAAGTTTCTTTGTAGATAATCTATAATCCAACTCCATGATTTGGCACAAGAAGTCTGTAGAACTATCCTTGATATAAGAGGCTGTTGGCAGCTGCTGCTGGTGGTTTTTTGCTCTCTAAAGCAAGCTTCAAGCACAGATTCTGTGCGCCAACCTATCCGCTTGTGAAATCCATTCCTCGTCTACCAAGAAAGCTTTCAAGAACTTATTCCACCAGCAGCAACTTCCTGTGATCCAAATTGGAAAAGGGGGAAAAGCCATCCATGAATCAGGAAATTATATTGAGAGAAACTGGAGAAAATTCAACCCACTACAAACATCAATAGGCTGTAAATTATGAACCCCACTTCTTAGCAGACTTCTCCAACTGCTAGCTACTGCTGTACTAGACTTCAAAAAAAGGTAAAATGCCAACAATATGAATTTTTTTTTTGGGTAGAAGTTCATCTGATAACAGCAATCAAACATGAGGAGAGAGACATCCCCAGCCCACTTGACAAAGTAATGATCCTAAGTTCGTAGCATTATGAGCCCATAGGAATACCATTCAAAAAACGCAATTCCTGAATATGAACTACTATCTGAAAAAGAACATCGAAAAGACGGAGAAAGAAATTGAGGACATAGATATCAAGGCATTGAAAAGAGCAAACAAGAAAGGCTTCAGCAATCGAGGAACCTTTGATCTATAAACGGACAGATTTCCACATTTTAAACCATTATAGAAGCCAAAACCCAGAAAGCAAACGCAGAACGTCCTCTCTGCAATCTGCATAACCCAAACAAAAAGAGATCAACCCAAGGAAGTGATTCACATTTGACATCATACCCACATTGCGACATCACACAACCACGATAATCCAGGTAGAAACCTAAGAATCGACGTTCTAAAAAGTGCAAACCCAGAAACCCCGAAATGAAACCAGATGGGAAAAATTTTCCCCTAATAAAAGAAGAGGGTATGAATTAGCAAAACCCATTCACGGCAACGGGATAGAAGAGAGAAACGAATACCGGAAACCAACGGGAGGGCCTGTATCAGCTTGACAAGCATGGAGATTGCAGAGTCTCGTTGAAAAAGCGAAAGAAGAACTACACGCAGAGCTTTTATTAACGAGAGAGAGAGAAGAAGGAAAGAAAATTCAAAGGGGAAGGGGGGTTGCTCACAAAGATAGATGAAAAGGAAATGGAAGGAACTTTTGTTTCTGCTCGGAGAAGAAAGCTACGACCTTTTTGGCTTTTAGCCATTCCCTCCATTTTCCTCATCTCTCATTCTCCTCCTGAGCGGATGACTCCATTTTCCTCTTCTCTCCTTGTTTCCCAAGACGAAGCAAGAGCTTGAGTGTCGCGTCGGCAGCGATAACAATAAAACGTGACTTCGGCCCAATTCTTGAGAATAAAAATAATTAATTCCTTAAGCCCGCCTGGATGGCCGGGTTGATTGCTAAATGTTGGGCCCACGAGGTGATCTACCTCACCGGACCCAAAGCAACAAAAAGCCCAATAAGGCAATAAGTCCAACCGTCGCGGTTGAGATGTGGCCTGTTTTTGTCTTCAAGAGTATTTTGTTTTCCAGGCACACACCCAATTAGGAGTAATGGAGTATGGAGCCTTAAATCTCGGGTAGTAGAAATGATGTCAGAAAGATTTTTCGACTACTAATAACGAGAAGGTGGTCACATTTAAAATTGTTTCAACTTTGATTCTCTTTCTAATATTTTATACACTTATCTTTCTAGAACACCATCAACAAGAGTAACAAGATTTTAGTAATTGGTACGCCAGATATGGGGACGATATTTATGGACCATAATATTGCAAGATCATATGATTGAGGGAAATGAACAGAGTAACGAAGCAAATCTTAAGCCTCAGGTGTCGAAAAACTAGGATTCCTCCAAAGAGGAGGTAGCAGTGGGTGAGACAGGGGACTCTTAACCGACTAGGCAGGAGCTGGTAAAGAGGAAAGAAGTAGATCAACGAGTATGTCATCAAAGAAAAGGAAAAAAGACCCAGTGTGAAGAGGAGGAGGAGGAGGAGGAGGAGGAGTGTGCAGAGGAGGAGGAGGAGGAATCTAGTTCATACAAGAAGTCTAACGCTCTCAGCTACCTGACATCCTACTATGATTGACGGCACAACGAGTGGGAGACTCAGAAGCGGTCGTCACTAGCTCAGACTTTTGGGCGCAGAGGTGGAGGCAAAGGGATCCACCTGGGCTCGTCACCTACTTTAGGTTCGGAATAGAACCCAAAAATTAACACACAAAAAACATGGGAAAGATGTATTTCAATCTTAACCTCATTATTGTCTGTTTACGTACTTGTCAATCAATTACTACTTACCTTAAAAAAAATAGATGAGACACTGTCAATTAGAGCAAACAAACTATGACAAACGCAAGCGATTTAACGTGGTATCCCTGACTAGCAGGACTAATCCACGGGAGAGGCGGCACTCTCCAAAATATCCACTATGATCAGAATTGCTTTGTTACATCGGCTGTATCAGTTAAACATATATATAGGGTACACGGCTGCTAATAGGGTTTAGGATATTTACAAGATGGTACCTATACAAATAAACTTCAACACCCTCCCTCAAATTGATGTGCAGTACGCAACATCAATTTGGATGACAGGTACCAATGCCTACTGGAAGCAACAGCCTTTGTTAATAAATCTGCCGTCTGATCCTCTGTAGATAAGTACCCAACTTGAATTAATCCTTCTGCCACTAATTGCCTGATGTAATGAACATGGACTTCAATATGTTTGGTCCTGTCATGCATAACAGGATTAACAGCAATCTGTATAGCACTCGTGTTATCCCCATATATGCGCATTGGAACTCGACAATCAACACCCAATTCTTTAAGCAAACGATGTAACCAGACCAATTCTGAACTGACCTCAGACATCGACCGATATTCCGCTTCGGTTGAGGACTTTGAAACCCGATCTTGCTTTCTGCACCTCCATGAAACCAAAGCCTGGCCAACTCTGACACACCACCCAGACGTAGACTTACGAGTATCAAGACACCCTGCGTAGTCAGCATCGGCAAATGCCTCTATAGTAGGGTCTCCTGTTGCCGGAAATAATAACCCAACGTCTTGTGTCTGCTTCAAATATCGAAGAAGCCTCTGAACCGCAGCCAAGTGGAGGTGAGTAGCAACTCCAACAAACTGACTCACGACCTGTACTGCATACGATATATCTGGACGAGTGTGGGTTAAGTAGATCAGACTTCCAACAAGGCTCCTGTAAAGGGATTGATCTTTTAACTTGTCTCCCTCTTCTCGACTCAACTTTAAATTTTGTTCCATGGGCGTCGAGCACGGAACGCAATCTGTATACTGAGCTGATTCTAAAAGGTCAAGAATGTACTTTCGCTGCGAGACAAACAAACCATTCGCTGACCTCTTAATTTCCAAGCCTAGGAAGTATGATACCTCTCCCATCTCCTTTAAGTTAAAGGCATTTCGCAGCACCTCCGTAACCTCACGAATCCCGTCCTGATCACTGCCAGTAATAATCATGTCATCCACATAGATTAACAAAATCACGATACCTTCAACTGTTTGACGTGTGAAAAGTGACGGATCATTCTGACTCTGTACAAAACCAGCTTGAAGAATAGTTCCATGAAACTTCTCAAACCATGCCCTAGGTGCTTGCTTTAATCCATATAGAGAACGAATTAACTTGCAGACCATCGTAGAATCGCCTTTCTCGTACCCAGGAGGTCGCTCCATATAGATGGTTTCCTTCAGGTTGCCGTGAAGAAATGCGTTCTTCACATCAAGCTGAATAAGAGACCACCCTTTCATTGCAGCCACTGCAAACACACAACGAACAGTTTGCATTTTAACAACAGGAGCAAACGTCTCCTCATAGTCGATACCATACTCCTGTTTGAATCCTTGCGCAACAACCCGAGCCTTGAAGCGCTCAATCGCTCCATCCGGGTGCATCTTAATATTATACACCCATCGACTTCCTATCACCTGCATGTTTTCCTCACGGGGTACTAGATCCCACGTATGATTTTCTTCCAAAGCATCCATCTCCACACGCATGGCCGCATTCCAACGTGGGTCTCGAGCTGCCTGGGAGTAATGTGTGGGAATAGTAATAGGAGCAACCGAATAGCTAACAAAGTCATTCATACGCGGAGGAGGTTGACCCAAATTTGCCCGTGCCGATCGACGCAAAGGAATTAGTGGTTGAGTAGGTGAAGGTGGCTGTGATTCCTCATGATGCGAAGTGGAAGAGTCCGAGCTAGAAGACGAAGTGTCCAAACTTCTCCCATGACCAGTACTAGGAGATGAGGAGCTCGAAGAGCTAAAAGAAGAATTATCAGGTGAGGACGGCTCAACGGACTCACTCGAACTCGAAGAGCTTGTGGGCTCGGCAGCTGGGACGGGCGACGAGGGAGTCTCATCAAACATAGGTAACGTTGTTAAAAACTCCAAACTTTCAGCAGAACTAGCATCCACATGAGACGTCGAGTAATACATAACCTTTTCCAAGAATTTAACATGATATGCAATCCGCATGCGGCGATCGCTCGGGTCATAGCATAGATATCCCTTATGCTTCTCACTATACCCAACAAAGACACATCGTGTCACTTTCGGAGCTAGTTTATGACGTTCCTGGCGGGGCAACATCACGAAACATGTGCAACCAAAAACTCTCAAGGATGAATAATCTGGAAGCCTTGAGTACAACGCTTGAAATGGAGATTTCTGCCCCAGGAGTGGTGTGATCTGCCGGTTGATCAAGTATACAATCGTGTGTATCGCTTCAACCCAAAAACCAACCGGGACTCGAGAATGGAAAAGAATGGCACGAGTAAGCTCCAGGACATGTCGATGCTTACGCTCCACTACCCCATTTTGTTGCGAGACTCCAGGACACGACTGCTGCTGAAGGATACCTTCAAGCTGAAAGAATGATAAGAGTTCATGCGCTACAAATTCACCGCCAGGGTCGGATCTCAAGATTTTTATAGTTTTACCAAACTGAGTCCTTATCATAGAAATAAACTGCTTGGCCACAGTCGCTAGCTCAGACTTCCTCTTCAGGAAATAAACCCATGTGTATCGTGTTTTATGATCGATGAACAACGCGAAATACCTGAAACCCATACGAGAAGTAACCGGTGATGGCCCCCAGAGATCAGTGTGAACAAGATCAAAAGGTTCATCATAAACGGAGTCACTATCCTGAAAAGACCGTTGTGAGGTCTTAGCCTCAATGCAATTCACACAATCAGAGATATCACCCAATTGCAACAAATCCACCCGATCGGGTAACAAATTCTGCCTAAACATAGTCTTTAAACGCCCCGAATGGGGGTGACCGAGTCGATAATGCCATAGATCCCACAAAGAATTACCAACCGACAAATCCAAACTATAAGCAGAAAGATCAACAACATCATCCTTATTGCAAAAAGAACCAGAACATTCCAACCCACAATTCTCCCCATTCCCAGCCGTATCTTGATGACTTTGTCCATGCATGTTTCCACGTGAGTCTTCCCATGCATGAGCCTTATCTACGTAGACACCATGCCCATCAGCACCACAATAGTCATCAAGAACAAAAGCACGTCCAGTCTTACTTCCCCTCCCGAGCACCCTCCCCGTCTCCCGATCCTGCACAACACAACCAGTCGAATCAAACATGACGGTGCAACCATCATCCGTCAGCTGACCCACAGAGACCAAATTCGGACGGAGTTGAGGAACATAAAGGGTGTTCGGAAGAGCAATCGATCCAGTATTAACTGTTCCCGAGCCATGAACTGGAATAGTGGCCCCATTTGCCACTTGAAGGCTCATAGAATCCACCGGACTTAATTTGGCAAAAATAGTACGATCACGGGTCATGTGATTAAATGCGGCGGAATCTAAAAGCCAACGAGAGGACTTACCCTGCGAAACGGTAGTGGCAAAGGCTGAGGAAAGAGCCTCCTGAAGGGCATCCTGCACAAGGCGTCGAATCTGGTCCGGCGTAAGAGAAGCCCCCGAACTGCCACCAGCTGCCGTAGAGCTACCCTCGCCTCCACCAAGGGTCACGGGATATGCTGTCCGTGCCGAAGAAGAGGAACCCGTAGACGAGGCTGGACGAAGCTTGCCACGTCTACTCAGCGTAGGGCACTCCAGCACAATATGTCCCGAACGCTTACAGTAATTGCAAAAATTCTTCTTCTTGCAATGGATCTGAATGTGACCTGGTTCCCGGCAAAAATGACAGATAATTTCAGTGGTAGCGGGAGAACCAAACTGAGGCCGAGAAGCAGCCGGTGGGCGGCCAACAGCAAAGGCAGATTCGAAGCCCGAGTTGTCTATCTGAGCTTGACTTTTCAGACGAGTTTCTTCTCTCATCAACTCAGCCACGACATCATCAATCTGAGTAATATTCCGGTGAATCAACGACGCACGAATCGGCTCAAATTCAGAGCGAAGTTTGGCCAAGAATTGAAGCACCCGAGTTCGAGATCGTTCGGCGACCACAGCAGCAGAAGCAGCAACGGGAACAAGTGAAGCCGTCAACAGGTCGTACTCGGTCCAGAGATGGAGACTAGCTTGATAGTAACCACGGATATCTCGATCACCTTGGGCCAAGCGTGCGATCGCTGTCTCTAACTCAAACTGGCGGGATGCACTGTTCTGAGCATACGTGGTACAAAGATGACGCCACATATCACTCGCCGCGCTGAACCGCCGAAGACTCAGGCCCGTAGGCATGTCGACGGAACCTAGAAGCCAAGTGATCAAACGAGCATTGCCCGCATTCCAATCCTCGATATCCCGCATAGGAGCATCATCCCCAGGTTGCTTAGTCTCGCCGGTTAACACAGAGAGAAGGCGCTGCCCAGCTACAAAATTGCGAAAGTGAAATTCCCAAATTGCAAAATTTTTACCGTCAAATTTAATGGAAACCGAGTCCATCTTCCCAAGATCCATGCTGCCCAAATCGAATGAAAAAACCACCCGAGACACACGCAGCCCACTACACGCACAACAAACAACGGACCCTAATCTGCAGCAGAACCAACCCGCGACCAGAAAACAACGGACAGAGAATCCCAAAGCTGCAGCACACCAACACCGTCGTGAGACAACAACGAACTGATTAGAGCTGAGGCTCTGATACCATGTCAATTAGAGCAAACAAACTATGACAAACGCAAGCGATTTAACGTGGTATCCCTGACTAGCAGGACTAATCCACGGGAGAGGCGGCACTCTCCAAAATATCCACTATGATCAGAATTGCTTTGTTACATCGGCTGTATCAGTTAAACATATATATAGGGTACACGGCTGCTAATAGGGTTTAGGATATTTACAAGATGGTACCTATACAAATAAACTTCAACAGACACTTATTATATAAGCTGAAAATTGGGTGCATAGAATACATCATTATATTGTCATTTGTAAATGGTTATCAAATAATTTGTAAATCTTTACAAATACTCCGCAAATATTACAAATGGATGTTCATAAATGTTTGACGTGATATTAACAAAATTATTTGTACACATTTTTAAACTCTTTCATGACTAATTATAAGGATGATTATGGTGCATATCATGAACTTCCGATATAAACATAAATTCTAATCCATATTAAGATTGACTTGGAGGGTTCTCCCTCTTTTTTCGTAGACTCGTTTTGACGCTACAAAGCATCATATACAGGGGCGGACCTAGGCACAAAGGAGGTGTGTCATCTGACACACCTCCGCCCGAAAATTTTGTGAAAGACCCCTAATTCGTCGGTACTAAAATTTTGATCTCGGGATTTCCGACACACCTCTGATCATTGTATTCGACACAACTCCATTGTGTTTATGGAAATTTATTGTCATAAGTTATCAAAATATATAAATATAAGTTCAGGCTAGCGTACGTCCGACCACCGTATGCCAATTGGGTTTTGCTATTTAGATAAATAATTAACCCGACTTTGGGGCATGATCCTATATCCTAACCTCTAATGGGTGAACCCCAATCCCTAATTTTCTAACCCAAACGGCAAAATTTGGTCAATCTTAAAATGAAACTCAACAATAATTTCGACGAATCAGAATCATTGATTTTCATTTTTCAAGATTAAATGAATCTTATGTTAGGTTAGTGAATTGGGGATTGCGGTTCACACATTGGGGGTTAGAGTATAATATCATTGTTTATAAATGATTGTTAAGTTGTGTATATTGAAAAACATTTGCTTTGCAGCATAAGTGATGAATGTATTTTAGAGACATTTCAGCAGACGAAAAGTCGTCGTGATTCGTTGTAAAATGACATTGTGAACTTCATAAATTAATTTTTTTTAATCTCTACTTAATTTTTTTATTTAATTATTATTCTATGTTAGCGGTGACACACCTCTCCAACAATCTTAGGTCCGCAACTGATCATATACATATACATGTACTTCGTGGAAAAAATTGAGGCTTAGAGAGATTAGTGGACTCACAAAAGTTCAAACACGCATTGCCCATTTCATTGGTGGCTTGACTCAACGAAGTAATTGATACGCTCGGCCGACGACTTAGAGATATATATAACAGATAACCCAAGCTAATTACAACTAAGCTGAGCGGCGGATCGGTTGAAAACAGTTCTGACGACGACTGCTGTCAATGGCCTGGAGTTGGTTGCGATCCTGCCACAGGGAGAGTAACTGAGCTCAATCTTGGCGGTTTTGACTATAATGCCACCAGCTCAAGAACAGTAGTACCGTTGTTGGATGCTTGTAGGGGTGGCTATACGGTCCGGTTCGGTCCGGTCTGGTTAAATTTGCCCAAATTGATCCGGTCCAGTTCGGTGTTTATGAAAATATAAGGACCAAAGATTGGATTGGATACAGTCCGGTCTTGATCCGGTCCGGTCTTGACCCGGTCCTGTCCCAACTCGGTCTTGATTTAATATTGAGCTTGTGAGGATTTGAGTGGCCTAAGGCCTGAAAGGGTGAGGAGTTGGTTAAATTTTGTACTAAGTACAAAGGTTTGTGACCGTTTATGCAAATTACCCTTAAGTTTTGGGTGTTGAGCTCTCTTATCCGGTCTTTATCCAATTTTTCGAACCAGTCCCGAACGGTTTTTTTACCTCAAATCTAAGTCCAAAAATTGGATTGAATTGTTTACTATCCGGTCCCGATTCGATTTCGATCCGGGTTATACGGTCCGGTTTCGGGTAAAACCAAAAAAACCGGACCAAATAGCCAGCCCTAGATGCTTGTTCACTTCTGCGCTTCCAAGAGCTGAGAGTGCTTTCTGTGTATAGCTTTCATATCCTTGGTTGCATGGAGAAGAGTAAAGGTTTAATTACTATTTCTTCTCTCCCACTCTAACCAGCACTCTTATGTTATGATTATTTTGCTGTGCATTATACTTTTCTCATATATGATCCCTAATTAACTTTTTTTTTCTTACCACTCGAGTTATTGGGATTAGCCGGTTTTTGACATGGTATGAGAGCCTTCTGTAAGAGAGAGGTTTTCTATTTGAATCCCAATAACCCTCATATGTTAAAAGTACATGATGCCCGGACATGTGCAAACTTCAGGCCTATATGAGTGTGGTTTTTGTTTGAAAGAGTGTGTTAGTAAATGGTATATATGATCCATAATTGAGATCAACTTATTCTTGACAATTAAATATGATTTTCTTCCCCTTCTATATGATTAATAAAACTGTCACCATTATATATAAAAAAATATCCATGCAAAAGCTAGTAATGGTAAAGAATACAATTAACTATAATAATTAGCGATGGGAAAATAGACATGTCCAACTCAATTCATTATGCCTCAAATCGAATTTGAGTATATCATTTTTGGTAGAGTTGTACCTAATTTTTTTTAGCGGTTTAAATTAGACCTATTGTGTTGGGTACCAAAAAAGAAAATGGATAACAAATCCTAATGAGATTTTTTTTCTTTTCTTTGCTATGAAAAAAAAAATAGTAATGTAAAAGTATCAATTCTGGATGTGTGAATTGGGTTGACGACAATTAGTGATATGATCGATATCATTTTTGGGTAGAGTTGTACCTAATTTTTTTTAGCGGTTTAAATTAGACCTATTGTGTTGGGTACCAAAAAAGAAAATGGATAACAAATCATAATGAGATTTTTTTTTCTTGTCTTTGCTATGAAGAAAAAAATAGTAATGTAAAAGTATCAATTCTGGATGTGTGAATTGGGTTGACGACAATTAGTGATATGATCGATATTGTCTTTTTATGTGTACAATCATCTCCATCAAAATAGATTCATTTGGGTCTGGGCCAAATGAGTTTATCAAGTTGGGTCCAACTCAAACCCAAAACCATAAAAGAGGGCATATGGATCCATTTGGATCATTACCCAATACCAATATAGACAATAGCAATTAGATCAAATTACCCAACTATTTCAATTCCTAATAATAATCGGTTGCTGGATATGGATGTGTAGGATGGCCACATTTGGAAAGTTTGAGGGTACGTGATTCTTCCTTTGCAAGCAACAACTTCCTTGAAACCATTGGCACAGTAATGACGAATCTTACCTATTTGTCGATTCAAGGCTTCACCTCTTGCTTCTTCCTCTTTTGCGATATGTTATGCATGTATAACAGTATATAAGTGTAGCTCTAATTACGCAAGTCTTGCTATGATGCAGCTTTTTGCAACTTACTACGTCTCCGACAACTAGACTTCACGGATAATAATTTGTGGGGCGAGCTGCCACAATGTCAATCAAATCAGACCAATTTGCTCTATTTACGCATGTCGAGAGTCGAAATGAAGGGAGATGTTGGGTTCCTGTCGTGGTTTCCAGCTAACAACTCAAACTTGAAAGTTCTTTATCTTCTCAATTGTTCACTTTCAGGGCATTTCCAAAGGGAGTTGATAAAGGTTGTCGTAACAATTACTAATGATCGTCCTAAAAAACAACAAAGTTACACTTTTAACCTTTTGACATCTTTACCTTTCCTTTAGCAAACAAACACCACATTCACTTAGAAAACAAAAAACACTCATTCTCCCACACTCTCGAATTCATCATCGACATTTGGAAACCGAAATCGTCGAGCATACGTCCGAACAATGAGTAGCGACTCCGACGAGGTAAAAATCTCGTTTAAAAAAAAAAAAATCTCAACCGAATGTGATTTTCGGTTGGTCCATGGTCCAACCGAAATTCGGTTTCGGTTGAACCATGGAACAACCGAAAATCACATTCGGTTGAGCCATGGATGAACCGAAAATCTGCTTCGTTTGTGCCATGGGTGAAACGAAAATTGGTTTCGGTTGGTCCACGGTGGCACCGAACCTGTATTTCGGTTTGGCCATGGTGAAACCGAAAATTTGGTTAGGTTTAGCCATGGTTGAACCGAAAATTTGCTTCTATTGGTGGTTTTTGAGTTTTTTTAAGTTTATATCAAATATTTTTATTTTATTGTTATCATTTATAGTTTGGTCTATAAGATTGTTTATTGAATTTTAGTTTATATTATTTTTAAAATTTATAAGCCTAATTATTTGTGAAATTGATTGTTTTTGTATACAAAATTAAGATTAGATGTATAATACGCAATAAAAAAATTATTTATATCAAATATTTCTATTTTATTGTTATCATTTATAGTTTGGTCTATAAGATTGTTTATTGAATTTTAGTTTATATTATTTTTAAAATTTATAAGCCTAATTATTTGTGAAATTGATTGTTTTTGTATACAAAATTAAGATTAGATGTATAATACGCAATAAAAAAATTATAGAATGTGATTAATATGATTCTTACATTAGATGTATAGTATGTAAATAATAGAGAATGCTAAATTTTGTCGTGTTAAATGTTAGATGTATAGTATGTAAATAATAGAGAATGCTAAATTTTGTCGTGTTAAATGTTGGATTTTGCTTAGGATAATATAGAGAATGCTAAATTATTTGTGATAATTATTAAATTAAATGTAGTCGTTAATTTTCTATTATTGTGGAGTCCTACTTATATTATGAGATCTAACATTGTAGGATATTGATGATTACGGAGGGGATGGCAAAGATTACACCTCAGAATTCGTCAATGGAGTAAAATACGATACAGATTTGATTGCATATGCAGCAGCTACTGAGATTGCCAAGGGTTTTGGGTTTTATTTGGTGAAGGTATCAAATAAAAAAAATCCAAGTGAAGATAGTAGGCGGCGATACTTGAAGTGCACTCATGGTAGGAAGAAAAATTCGAAGGCTCCTGATTCTGATCCGGCTAAGGAAAGGAGGCCTCTTACTTCTTCTGGAAAGTTGGGGTGTGAATTTCAGATCAAGATTGAGCGGTCAGATGATGGATATTGGTTGATACTAGCAGTGGCTAATAGTGACACTCCACCAGAGTCCGAATTGATGATCCGTGGGTGCGATCGAGTCCGGTACCAGTCCATGTAATCTTCATCGGCCTCAGATGGATACTCGCACAAGTCAGAATCAATCGCTATGTGTAGAAAATGAGACGGCAAGTTGCCCCATAACTGATCCATGCTACCCTCCCAGAAAACGAAGTAGGTGCTGCAAGAAGCTGGGCGGTACGCATCCTTGGGAACCATCATCATACGGGGGATAGTCTGTCGGTACCCAAACTGTCGGCGACACCGTGCAGGATCATAACCCTCAGCAACGTCAGCAAAGCGAATGACACCAGTATTCAAAGAGCGTAGTACCTCCGTGCCAGCATCTCGCCCGTAAGGAGTCCAAGACACATCCTCCCCTAACATCTCATCCAACATCTGTCGATACCGTACCAAGCGCTGTCTAGCATCATCACCACCTGCGAAGCGGTGACACACCCACGAGGAAGCACGCGGAGCATTTGGAGCCTGGAGAATCTGGCTCGGACGGAAGAGTGGAAAGTACTCATATATCCACGCCTGAAGCAGAGTCAAACAACCACAAATACTCTTACTCCCCACTCGTGTGGCCATCCCTAGCTGTCTGTAGAGATAAGCGAGTGCAGCAGCTCCCTAGGCGTAACCGGCCACTCATCGCTGGTCCTTCAGAAATACATTGATCGCAGGACGGAGGCGATCGCGACTCTTATCCACAAAAAGTGTGGATCCCAACAACACAAACAAGTAAGTCTGCACCTCCAAGTCCCTAATCTTCATTTCTCGTCCACGCACCAACAATCCCTCTGCGTGAATACCACCATTAAGGAACCACTTCGACTTCCACTTACCACCAACAGGACCATCCACCGGGACCCGAACTAGATCATGCATGTCTAACTTAAGAACATCTGGATCCGGATCATCTCTCATCAGCTCCCCCTCAACTGGAATACGAAGAATGTGATGCACGTCGTGGACAAGAATCGACATCTCTCCAAATGGCATATGGAAGGTGTTCGTGTCCGGCTGCCATCTCTCCACAAATGCCGTTATCAAAGCTGTATCTAAATGCTGCATCATACAGCCTGCCAAGTGGGACAATCCTGTGCCCTCAACCACCTTCTGAGAACCCTCTGAACTCCACTCATACCTCCTCAAAGACTCCACAGTACCAGATCTATGACAACAATCCAACAACCCACGATCCTGTGCTGGGGAAGTCCACAGTGCAAAGGCAATGTGACCTCCAAAGCTAGGAATCACATCGGGAATCACAGGTCCACCTGAACACATCTGAGACTCCGATGTCAGACGCCACGACATGTCCCCCCTTACTCCCTTCTTCCTCTTCTTACCATCACCGTCTTCCTCACTACTACGTCTCGCAACGTAGCGTCCATCTAGCCCACGCTATGGAAAGTGCGAAGAAGCTGTAGAAGATGTCCCAACTCATCTCTTCTTACCGATGCCTACATCAGATTCAGGTGGGGCATCCCCAACCTCATCAACAGCCACATCATCATCATCGTCGTCGTCGTCCATAGAAACTGAATCACTCCAATTAGCCTCCCACGGCGTCGCATCCTCAGGAGTAGGGGTGGAGGTAGTACCTCGACTAAGAGATAACTATCCCATAGTAGGGCGACCGTCGGGACGCACTATTTCCGCCTTCTTCTTCTTCCCCTTAACCTTACGTGGATTTTTTTCTTCATTTTCTTTTCTACCAGTCGCTGTAAGTCTACAAGCACGACCTTCCATTCTTCCTTCCGTTTTTTCTTCCATTCTTTTCTTATTCATGTACGGTTTGCCTATTCCATGTCCAGACATCTTCAAAAAAAAAATAAGATTTACAATTAATGATAATCAAATGCATTAACATTTTCTGATAATTTTCTCTAATTTTTTTGTAAATTTTTGATAATTTATTAACATTAATTACAACTTTCTTAGTGATTTCTTCTAATTTCGGCTACTTTTTAATTTTCCTATTATTTCTAATATGTTTTTTAAATTAATTACAAATTTACAAATTATATTTCTGAATTTTAATAAATAATATTTACAATTAATGATAATCAAATGCATTAACATTTTCTGATAATTTGGTGCTAATTTTTTTGTAATTTTTTGATAATTTATTAACATTAATTACAACTTTCTTAGTGATTTCTTCTAATTTCGGCTACTTTTTAATTTTCCTATTATTTCTAATATGTTTTTTAAATTAATTACAAATTTACAGATTATATTTCTGAATTTTAATACTTTTTAAAATTTTCAAATAATTTTTAATAATCTTTTATACATTATTCACAATATTTTTTTCATAATTGAATTCATAAAACTATTCGAATATAATTTTTATAATTAATTATAAACTGTACAACTTATTTATAATTAACTACAATTTATTTCTAATAATTATTTCTTAATTTAGAATATTTAATAACAATTTTTATTAATTAATTGCATTAAAATTATTTAAATACCAAACCAACCGAAAATTGACCAAGGTTTGACCATGGGTCAACTGAAAGTTGACTTCGGTTTGACCATGGCTAAACCGAAAATTGATTTCGGTTTGACCGAAGGCCAACCGAACGTTGACCTCGGTTTGACCGAGGGCCAACCGAACGGCGGCTTCGGTCGTCGAAGGGAGGGGAGACTGACCTTCTTGGCGAGGACTGACGGCGACTGCTGGCGCTGGGGGCGAAGACGGCGACTGCTGGCGACGGCGCTGCGGGCGAAGACGGCGACTGCTGGCGACGACGCTGCGGGCAGACGGCGAGTGGGGTGCGGCGACGCTGCGGACTGACGCGACTCCGACTCCGGCGGCGTGGGTTGCGGCGGTGGACGACTCCGGCGGCGTGGGTTGCGGCGGCGGACGACTCCGGCGAGGGTGGGTTGCTCTGCTTGTTGTCGGGGGGGGGGGGGGGGGGGGGGGGGGGGGGGCGGGGGAAGAGTTGTCTGTGTCGGGGGAGAGGAAGGGGGTAAGGGGTTGTTTGCTTAGGGTTTATTTTTGAATTTTAGAAAGGGCAATTCAGTAATTTACTTATTAAGTTAGGACGATAGTTAGTAATTTTTAGGACGACCTTTAACCCTTCAGTTTCCAAATGCCAATCCATCCTCACAAAAATCTAATGGATTTAGATATATCCAACAATGGCTTCATTTTGGGTCCCATTCCACCTAGTATCTGCACTTTTTTCCCAAACATAGAATCTCTATCTTTATCTGGTAATAAATTCTTCGGGAAAATACCACCACAATTGTCAAATTGTTCCTTTTTTCACATATTCGAAGCTAGGAACAATCAACTGACAGGTGAGATTCCTGAAAAGATTTGGGATCTACCGATGCTCTCCATCCTTGACCTTTCAAGGAATAAGCTTTCGGGAAGTTTGCCACCCGGTTTCATTTCACCATCGATGCAAGAAGTTCACTTGTCGAGAAATCAACTAGGAGGAACCTTAACCACCAATGTATCTGGTCAACTTGGGGATTTTAGTGCTAGCAGCAGCACTAACTATACAAGATACTGGTTAGGTGTCTTGGATCTCAGTCACAATCGTTTCACAGGCACAATTGTAGAATGGATTTCTAGGCTACCTCGACTGAGTTATATTTTGTTGAATGAAAACCAGTTTCATGGAGAGGTTCCAGTATCATTTTGCTTGGAGAATACAAAATTGATTGACCTTTCTCACAATCATCTATCTGGTCATCTTACCTCGAAAATATTCACATCAAATATCATCAATTGCAATGCACGAGTTGCATTCTCCAAACCTAATCATGATATGGAGTTTGTCACTAAGACGTTATTATATACTTACAAGGGGGTGCCTCTCCAGTTAATCTCTGGCATGGATTTCTCCAGCAACAATCTCACTGGCGATATCCCTCTTCAAATCGGCCATTTGAGTAATATCAAAGTCCTCAATTTATCATACAACAAGTTCACAGGACCCATCCCACCCACCATTGCAAACATGTCGCAAATTGAGAGTTTGGATCTTTCTCATAATAATTTGAGTGGGGTGATTCCTCTTCAACTCACTGAGTTGCATTCTCTATCCTCTTTTAGCGTGGCTTATAACAATTTGTCTGGTAAGTGTCCTCAGAAGATTGCACAATCTAGTACATTTGACGAAAATAGCTACCAAGGAAACCTATTTCTCAATTGCACATTACCACTACTAACACCAAAAACACCATTAAGGCCGACAACTTCTGATGATGGCGATGATGATGGAGAAGATGGATTTATTGATATGGGGAGTTTCTATGCGAGTAGTGGAGTGTCTTTTATCATGGTGTTGCTAATAATTGCTAGTGTTCTATATGTAAATCCATCTTGGAAACAAGTGTGGTTTTATTATGTTGGGGTCACCATAACTACTTGTTATTATTTTGTGGTGGACCATCTTCATGCGCCAACTAGGTACAAGGTCTGGGAACTTCGTATATAGTTGATTATGTCAAGTATGAATGAGGGGAACTGATTATATTCTTCTCCGTATAAAATAATGCTACTGATCATTCTATTCAATTTTTATATCCCTTAAGTTCAAAGTATTACCAGTATTTGTATTATTAGTTTCTTATATGACAAGGAAGGTTAGGTGTACTTGAAGTAAAATATAAGCATACAATTTGGTTATTGGGATTTGGGATTACTTAAAGTACTTCGACGAATAAAAATAATTATTGATTGTTGTTTTTTATAAAATTGATCTTATGATTTGAGTTTGGAGAATTCAATTTTAGGTGTCATCAATTAAATGTTAGTTCATTTATGGTCCAAATAGCGTCACCTTACTAGCAATATCTTATATGCTAAATTCACCAAGCATGTCATAGACTAAACTACAAATATATCTGTAAAACTAACATGGAAAAGCATTGTGTGAACAAAAAATCTGTTAGAGTTAGTCAATAGAGTTGTAATACCACATTGATGGGAGAAGGAAAGTATAAGAAGTGTCCTTCCAGAAAGGTAACTTCCATTTTTCTGATGAAAGGATGTCTCCTTTCGGGAAATGTAACTACCTTTTTCTGTGAAAGGATGTGTCTCTTTGGAAGTTAACTTCCAGTTTTCACAATTATAAATAGATGACTGTCATTACTCTTTTAATACGAGAGATTACTTCTTCTTCCCGTTTTCCTTCTCTATTTCCTAAACACAGAAGTCTGCAAGATTGTTGCTTCCAGACTTAAAATTGAAAGGACTCCTGTGGGTGGTTTGCTCAAGCCTAGCAGCAATTTGTAGTGGGGGCAAATAACACTCTAAGGAGAGTGATTAATCATGCTTTCAATTCGATTCTTTCCTACCCGTTCTTGACAAATTCTTGCCCTATTCTTGGAAACTTGAGGGTAAGCACCATGAAAAAGGACAAAATGGGCTATAAATAACATTACAGTGGAAAATTTCACATGAGAATAGGGTTGTAGGTGGGTTGGACGAGTCAGTTTTAGGTCTTTATAATTTACCAATTTCAGGAGTGTTATTTTGATTCATCTATATACCGCTTTTGCACATACAAACACTATGGAGAAGAAATAACCATGGTAGGAAAGCAACAATTAAAAAATTCTCACACACAAAAAAAAATCTTGCATTGGTCAGCAACATTGTATTCTAGATATGCACTTTGTCATGATATCCTTTCCAGCAGTTGCTACAGCTTATATTGAAGGTAATATTGGAACTCGTACTTTCTATATGTGAAGAAATCTTCTCGCGGTAAGAGAGACATCGCTCAATTTTAACAACAAGGGCAAATGTTGTGTATATACTTATAACTATGTACTCGGGACAATATATAAACCTAATTGTCTCACGATTAGATTAGATCGGTTTGGATTGACGAGTTGGACCACATGACCAGTTTTCATATTTTTATGTTCACCCCTGCATGAGACAATGGAATAAAAGAGAGGTAGGCCGAAGATAACGCATGAAAACTATGTCAGCGAGGGACTAGACTTGAAAAGACTAAATGATTTTTTTTTTTTTGACAAAAGATAATCATATATTGATACTCAACAAATAGATCATTACAGCGCCTGTCTCAACCAGGCCACAAAATCAAAAGAAAAGACTAAATGATTAATCATGCTATGTATTGCATTTCACCATTATCACAAATTTCTAATATTCATTTCTTATCACAAACTAAGTATTCTATGCAAGTGGGGTAACATCTTACATAATGGTGTTGTTGGAACTTGAGTAATTATTAATTAACATGTCTTAGGGCTCGTTTGCTTGTTGGATTAGAAAATAAAGGTTTTGAGATTGGAAAACCTTTGGATTTATGATGAATTTGTTGTATCTTGTATTTGAAAGATAACATTGATTGTTTAATTGAATTTTTATCATGGATTTAGTTCATTTGGTATTTGGGTCTCAAAAATTTGCCTTCCATAATGTGGTATTTGCAAATACGTGGGGCCACGGATTTGGAGCTAAAAAAATGTCCAAATCCATGGGCCCCGCATATTTGTATACCTCAACAAACAATATTTTTTTATCAAATACATCATGCTTGGTATTTGGGTGCCAAATACAACACCCAAATCCCACAAAAACGACCCCTTAGTCTTGTCACCAAAGTTTTCAAACCATCCACATCCATGAAATAGCATTTCTATTTCATATGTGGCCCTACTCCCACATCAGCAACTTTTTCTATTCAACTACATACCACTTTCATTTCTTCTATATCAATAAAATACACATTCAATTTCATAAAGTGGATCCAACTAATTTTTTTTAATACAAATAAACATTTTATTTAACCCATAGACATAAGAAAATAAACTAAGTAACAAAATGTGCATACAAAAAAGCAAAAGTGGGAGGCGGACCCACTCACTCACCACCACCTATTCAACTAGACAATCCACATCCATGAAATCCCCAATTTATTTCATATGTGGCCCCTACTGGCTACTGCAACATCAGCAGCTTTTTCCATTTCACTGCATATCACTTCCATTTACTCTATATCCATGAAATCCCCAATCTATTTTATATGGTGGGTCCAACTTACTTTTAATACAACTATACATTTTATTTAATCTATATTATTTTACCAATTTTAAGATGCATCAATTAATTAAAATAATATACTTTAATTTTTTAATTATCAATAATAAATAAAATTAATAATTCATTGAAAAATATATTATAGATTTAATCATTAATTAAAAAATAAATTAGATAATTTAAAATGGGTATACTTTATTAAAAATACATGAAACTTATTATTAAGTCACAAGTACAATATTCAAATAACGAATTACATAACAGAATCACAATTGTAAATTACAAATTAACATACCACAATCACAATTTCAAATAAACACACTTACATAACATAATTACTATTTCAAATAAACACATAATAAAAATACATAAAAACGATACTAGATTAATCATCGTACTCCTCGTCTCTGAATCGATTCCATATCTCTTCTATCAATTCGGACTGAAGTTGATTATTTGTTGACCTATTACGAATCCTTGTGTGGTTTCGAAGGTACTCACCATACTTTATTTGCTTTGGATAATTTATGTAGGTGTGTGTTGTCGTATGTGTATTTGTTATGTGTTACAGTGTAAGACTTCTATTTATGTACCAATTTATGTGTGTTTATGATTTCTTTTTAAGTATTATTGATTTGCTATGTAATTTGTATTTGGATTTAGTTTTTTTTTTCTAAAGATATCCCGAAAGGGAATACAGTAGATACGACATAATAAAAGGACCTTTACAGGTCAATTACAAAGAGGAAATAAGGAAGAGTCGTTGGTCAACCAACCGACGATCCAACGATGAGAGGGCTTTTTTCTCCACGATATGGGCAGCCCTGTTGTACTTACGCGGAGCGAAGTGGAACGATACACGTTGCATGGAGACACGAAGCACCTGAATCTCTGAAAGGAGGCTACCACTCAAAACATGGCTTGAATCCTTACGATTAATCATTTGAATGAGCACCTGCGCGTCACCACAGAATGAGACATTAGAAATCGATTTAGAAACTCTCCATCGAGAGCATCCCGGAGTGCCATGAGCTCAATGATGAAAGCGTCATCCATATAGTCGTAAAATTTCCCAAATACAAAATGAAATTGTATTTGGATGTAGTTGTGACATCGTTATATTTATATATGTGTATGTGTACTTGATTTTCATATTGCGCTTTCAGAATTTGAAGTTTATTTCATTTCCGTCATCAGCTACAATAACCATACCTTTAGGCTATGTAATTTAATCTTTAATGTAAGAGTTATGAAATTTATTATTGTTGATTATCCCAAGTAAATAAACTATAAAAGTATTAAAAACAAGTTAATAAAGAAAATAAAATGATTGTCCCAATTATTAAAAGAAAATGAAAGTAAAAATAAAAGGACAAACGTGGTTCATCTTCCACCCCACTAGCTATTTCATTTAGCATTTCACTTGATGGATTTTTTTTTTGTTTTTGTTTTTGAGAGAGCATTTCACTTTATGGATTTGGTAATGGATTTGTTGATGGATTTGAATCCATATTAGACTTTATTCAAAATTCATTGTTTGTTTCATGTATTTAGAGGCAATAAATTCTTGGGTCCCACGAACTTTAAGGGTCCAAATCCGCGGACCCCACGAATTTGAAAGTTCCACCTCTTTAGGTGTGAATTGATCATGGACTTTGAAGTCCATCATTTAAAACCAAACTACCCCTCATAATTTATTTCTCTTCTCATACCAATAAGGTCATTAAAGGTAAATTTCACTTCATATATACAAATCTAATTAACCAATTCCATCATGAAATATATGAAACAAACTGTTTGAGCCACGAAACTCCCCTCACTATCTGGACGTCTTCCTCCGACGAACGTTGACCTACACACACAAAGAGGAGGGCGCCTCGGCCCGTTAATCCTCCGACGCCCAAGTTAGTCTTAGTGGGAGAGTAAAGTCCTCAAGTGGTATTTTAGTGAGAGAGAGTCCAACCTGTGTAAATGCTACCAACTGCCCCTATTTATACTCACCGAACTCGAGGTTGATCTCCTCCACGTCATTGTGCCCATTTAATGCTTTGTACTCTTTTTGTCAGACACCCCAACCACCTTGTCAGGCTTCTGCGGCGTGACAGGCGCCCCCAGGTGATGGACCACCCGACAGCCTGGACTCCTTTGGCCTTTAGCGTTTTGTCTTCATGCGCCCCTCCTCTTATTTGGGCCTTTTGGCATTTCCCAGGACCCTCTTTTGGGCTTTGCCCCCCAAGTCACTTGTCTGGGGGCCCAAACTCCAAATGGCTGAGTAATACCCCCAACAATTGCCCCCCCAGTTAGGCGCTCATGGCTTCATCTTTGAGCGCCTGACTGATTCTCTTGCTGTGGTCTGTTGCCTTCTTTGTTATGAGGCGTCTCTAGCCCCTATGTTGTGTTTCTACCTTTTTCATGGTTCGGGGGCGCTTTCGCCAGTCACTCACGGAGGCGGGCGTCCCGTCTTTAATGATGCCCCTTGCGATATATGTTTCCTCTTTGTGTTTCGCGGGCGCCTCTTCGTGGCATTCTTCGTGCGGGCGTCCCTAGCCCTTATGCCCCCCTCACGGGCGGAGTTTTGATGCGAGCCCCACGCTTCGCATGGCGGGAAAATTCGAAATTTCGAATATGGAGGTTGGAAAATTCGAAATGGGAAATTTCGAAAATTCCGGAGAAGAAAAAGTGGGGGAGGCTCAAAAGTCCACCCGTGATACTGACACGTGGCATGTCAGCGCGACTCCCGACGCGGACTTTCGCCTCCTATAAATACCCCCCTCTCCCTTAGTTTCTGTCACTTTCTTCTTTCTGACTTCTCTCTAAGATTTCGCTCTGACCTCTCTCTAGACTCTGCTCTGCCCTCTCTCTAGTCAGGCTTTGCTTGCGTCACCTCCCTTCCTTGCAACCGTCCAGAATGTCGACCTCACCACACGACAAAGCTCCCGGACAAGGCGCCTCCGATGCGGGTAGTGACAAAAGGCGCCCAGTTCAACGCGGTGAGTGTTCCTCTTTCCTTCGTTAGTTTCGTTGAGTTTATCCTAGTCACCTAGGGTAGGGGCGTCACTTACCCTGTGTCCGCGTTGCGTCTGGGTCCTTTGTTGGTTTAGAGCGGGCGCCTTCATCAGCATCCGGCGGACCATCATCGTCTGCGGGGCCATCACGTTCTTCGGCGCCTGGTTTCTTGCCTGCCGATGGGTCCTACAAGATCACTACGTGGGAGAAGTGTTTTCCTCCCGATCATCTGCCCACCGAGACGTCCAACTTACCGTTCGAGGTGGCCGGCCCGAACCATACGTCAACCGTTACTTTGGATCGTGTTCACGAGTTGGTGACCAGCCTCCGGCTTCCCAGAGATTGGTGGTATGCGCCCCCATCGCCTCTATCCCGGGTGGGCGTCTGTGGCCCGAAGTGGATCGGGATCTATCAAGAGTACTTCCGCTTCGGGCTACGGTTTCCCCTAGACTCGATCATGGAGGGAATTTTGACGTCCTGCGCCTGTCCACTCGGGCGCCTATCTCCCTCCGTTATCACGGTCGTTATACTGTTCAAGTTGAGGTGCCGGGAGCATAACGTGGAGCCCACCTTCAACTTGTTCAGATACTTCTTCAAGATGGTGCCTCTCAACAATTGCTTGTCCCTCCAGAAGCGAAAGAAGCGCCCCTATCATTTTGTGAAGAAGTGTCCCAAGTTGAACCGAAGCTGGTTCAACGGTTTTTTCTTCGTGAAGGCCTATCGCGACTCCTTTTTTGCGAGTGGGGGCGCCTTTATTAGGAAATGGGAGTTGGGTCAAGTTGAGGCCTTTAACGAGCCGGTGGTTTTGACGGCGTCTGAAAAGGCAGGCGCCCCCTTAATTTGCGAGGGGGCACTCGTTGACTTACGCCCCGCCGAAAACCGCCCGCCTATTATTGAGGCGTACTATAACGATGGTGTGTAGGCGTCTAGGTGTTCTATTTCTTTGCTCCCTGGTTTGTGTGATGGACTAACTTGTTTTCGTCATTTGCAGGGGCGGACTACTCAAGCATCGCCAAGCTGATGAAGAGTAGGCTGGCGGCCATGACGGCGGAGGCAGCCGCGGCGACGGCTGCCCCACGAGAGGCGCCTACACAACACGAGGCGCCTGCACAACAAGAAGCGCCCGCTACTCAATCGCGGGCGCCAGCGGCTGGCCCCAAGAGGAAGAAGAAGAGGGCGGTGAAGGGTGGCACCGCTCGGGCGCATACGGCGAGCGTGGCCTCATCCGCACCAGAGGAAGGCGAGGGGGCGCCAGGCTCCGACGCCGCGGAGAAGGAGGTCAACTCCGCGGAAGAAGAAGAGGAGGAGGAGCCTTTGCTCCGGAAGGGAAAGAGGGCGAGTTCCCCCTTAGCCTCTGCCCGCAAGAGGGTCGACAGGGGAAAGCAGAAGGTGGGGGAGGAGGACGCCTGCGACGAGGTGGAGGTGGAGGAGGAGGCGGGGAGGGACGCCAATCTGCACCTAAACGAAGAGGGGCGCTACGTTGGCCCCGATGGGCGTCCCCCCATCTTCCGTCCACGGCGTGCCGATGTGGGGCGGGTCAACATGAACTGCTCCCCTCTGGTCGCCGTCGACCGAGGGTGCGCCATGGGCTTGGCGATCGCGGCCGCCAAGTCATGGCAGGTGCCGTCCGAGGTGAACGGGGATCACCTCTTTGCTGAGCTGGCCCAGGTGGGCGCCAAGGTATGCACTTTCTTACTTGTGTTTTCCAGAAGTTGAGAGAATGGTTTGGTATTTTGCACAACTTGCTGAACTTTCTCTAACGGTTGCAGATCCTTCTCTTTGCTGAAAGGGGCGCCCGACGCCTCAATGAGACTAAACGGGAGGCGCTCGAGGCTTCCTCTTCAGCTTCTCAGCTGAAGTTGGACTTGGAGAACGCAACTGCGCGCCGTGAGCAGTTTGCGAAAGAGTGCGAGGACGCCCAGATGACGGCGACCATGGAGGTGTCGCGGCTGCAGGGCGCCCTGGACGAGGAGCGCAGGAAGATGGCCGACCTGCAAGCTGAGAAGGAGGCGTTGGCGCAGGAAGTTGGTGCCCAGGCCAGTGAGATTGACATTCTTAAGGAGGAGAAGAAGAGGCTGCATGACGCCCACAAGGAGACCGAGAAATCCTTGAAGAAGGCCCAGAAAGAAATTTCTGGATTGTGGCGATCTTTGGACAACTTGGTGGAGTCAGATACTGGGAAGGACATGTGCGCCAATGCCATTCTGACCGGCATTGAAATCCTGCGGGTGAAGTTGCAGAAGGACCATCCCGACCTTACTTGGGATATCGCGGAGATGGCTGAGTATGTGATTGGTGGGATGGAGACGCCTCGAGGGACGAGCGGGGCGCCCGAGCCATCTGCTCCTACCCCTCCTTCTCCAAGGGCACCTAGTGCTGGGGACGCGAACTCGGGCGCTGATTAGATTAGCGGTCCTTGGGCTTTAACCTTCCTTTTTTGTATCGAACTTTCCTATCCTTTGTACATTTATAATATGATAACTTATATTTCCTTACCAAGTCTTCATTTCCAATTTTAACTTTCCTTTTATTGCCATTTTATGTTTCTGGGCGCGAAATAGGGCGCATTTCTCGTGAGGGCGCAATGTTAGGGCGCTTTTGCGAAGGGTGGGCGCGGAATGTGGCGCTTTACTATACTCAGTGTTGCCGGGCGCTATTTGGGGCGCTATTTTGGGTCGCTTTTGTGTTCACACGAAATTTCTTAAACTGATCACAGCAAAATTAGGGCGCTATAGAAAGGGCGCTTTTAGTAATAATACGGCGCTGTTTTTTCGGGCGCTTTTGATCATAATACCAACATACCTACGCACTTGTCACAAAACAACACTTTCTGTCTTTCGCCTTTCTTAAATCGAGGCGTCGTCTTCAGATGTTGCGCCCGCCAAGTAAGATCGCAGGTTTTGCGCATTCCATGTTCTTTTCACCACACGGCCGTCAATATGTTCTAACTTGAATGTACTGGGTCCCACCATTTCACGAACTCGGTATGGTCCCTTCCATTTCGGTGCTAGCTTCCCCTCGCGGGCGTCGGGGCGGAAGTCTCGTTTGAGGACGAGGGCGCCTTCTGTGATCCCATGGGCACGCATCTTTTTGTTGTAGTACCGAGCCACCTGCCTCTTCATTTTTTCTAGGCGGATCGCCGCTACTTCCCTCACCTCATCCACCATGTCTAAGTCATTTGAGCGTGCCTCGTCATTGCCATTTGGATCGTACTGGGCCACGCGGTAACTTGGTGTGTTGAGTTCCACCGGAATGACGGCATCGCTTCCGTAAGTAAGGGCGAAGGGTGTTTCTCCTGTGGCCGTTTTGTGGGTGGTACGATGCGCCCACAGCACACTTGGCAGTTCTTCCACCCATCTTCCCTTGGCGCCTGTCAGTCTCGTGTGCAAGCCATGGAGAATGCTCTTGTTAGCTGCCTCAGCTTGACCATTTGCTTGGGGGTAGGCGACCGAAGAGAAACGCAACACCACCCCATTGTCGTCACAAAACTCAATGAATTTTTTGCAATCGAACTGCTTCCCGTGATCTGTGACAATGGATTCAGGCAAGCCGAATCGAGTGAATATGTTCTTCTTGGTGAACTTGCGCACCTGGGCCTCTGTGACCGTGGCCAAGGGTTCCGCTTCTATCCACTTGGAGAAGTAGTCGACTGCCACTATCAAGTATTTCATTTGGTCGGGCGCCTTTGGGAAAGGGCCCAAAAGGTCCATGCCCCATTGGGCGAATGGCCAGGCTCCTACATTGCCTTGCATGGGTGCTGCCGGAATGTGGATGTCATTTGCATGGATCTGGCACTGGTGGCAGGCGCCCACGTGGGCTCTCGTGTCTCGCCTCATCGTTGGCCAGTACATCCCCTGTCGCAGCAATGTTTTTTCCAAACTTCGGGCGCCCGCGTGCATTCCGCAGGTCCCCTCATGCACCTCCTTGATTGCTTGTTTACTCTCCTCTTCGTCGAGGCACCTCAAATAAGCTCCTGTGTGGGATCGCTTGTACAGCTGTCCTTCGATTATGGAGCATCTGGCCGCTTTGCGGCGTAGGCGCCAGGCTTCCTTCTGATCGTCGGGCACCGCTCCATGGGCTAGAAACGAGACGATGGGTGCCATCCATCCGGAATTGGCGCCTCCGCCGGAAATGGTGGCGACCAGGTGTTCACAAGGCGCTTCAGAGGTGACAATGACCTTCCTCTCTTCCTCGAAGTCTATTGCCGTTGCCAGTTTGGATAAGGCGTCGGCATGGGCATTTTCTTCACGTGGGACATGTATGAAGGATATTTCTCCAAACCAAGCCCCCAACTCTCGCACCCTTCGCACGTACCCTTCTAGTGCTTCCTCCTTAACCTCAAAGACCCCATTAAGCTGATTGATCACCAGGGCCGAGTCGGATTTGATCTGTACCTTGCGGGCGCCCAATTCTTTGACCATGCTCATGCCAGCAATCACTGCTTCATATTCGGCAGCATTGTTCGTTTTCAGCTTTGCGAATCGCAACGCGACTTCGTGCATTGCACCGCCTGGACTGATCATCACAATTCCCGCCCCTGCGCCCGTACGACTGGCGGCTCCATCAACCTGCACTTGCCAACATTCGGTCGCGCTCTCTTCGGACTCTGCTACTCCTTCCGCGATGAAGTCGGCCAAGACTTGTGCTTTTATCGCCGGTCGGGGCGCATATTTGATGTCAAACTCGCTCAGTTGCACCGCCCACTTAACCAGGCGCCCAGCCACGTCCATTGATCCCAGCGTAGATTTCAACGGCAGATTGGTGAGTATCATGATGGTGTGCGCCTGAAAGTATGGCCTTAGTTTGGTCGCCGCCATCACAACTGCCAGCGCCGCCTTCTCAATGGGTGCGTATCGTCGTTCATGGGCCACCATGGTCCGACTTACATAGTACACCGGCTTTTCCTCGCCGGAGTTGGCTTCCCTTGAGACAAGCACTGCGCTTACCGATACGTCTGACACAGCGATATAAAGGTACAAAGTCTCTCCCATCTTGGGCGCCGTCATAACCGTCGGGGCGGCCAGGAGCCGCTTTAGTTCTTCAAACGCTGTGTCACATTCCGCCGTCCATTGGAAGCGTGTTCCCTTTTTGAGCGTCCGGAAGAATGGGGCTGCCTTGTCTGCAGACCGGGGGATAAAACGCCCCAGGGCCGCCAATCTTCCCGCCAGAGCTTGTACCTCCTTGGGCGCCTTTGGTGGTGCCAACTGGAGAACGGCGTCCACCTGCTTCGGATTGGCCTCGATGCCCCGTTTGGTAATCATGAATCCCAGGAATTTGCCCGCCTCAGCACCAAACACGCATTTTAATGGATTGAGGCGGAGATTGTGCGCCCGCATAGCTTGAAATGTTTCCCGCAAGTCTTCCAGATGGTCCTCGCGTCTCCGGCTCTTGACTATCAAGTCGTCCACGTAGGCTTCTACGTTTCGGCCGATTTGCTTACGGAAGACATTGTTGACCATCCTCTGATAAGTGGCGCCCGCATTTTTGAGGCCGAATGCCATGACCCGGTAGCAAAAGTTTCCGAAAGGCGTCATGAAAGCTGTCTTGGGTCGGTCTTCCTCTGCCATGGGAATCTGGTGATACCCTGAGAACATGTCCACAAAACTCAACATCTCATGATATGCCGTGGCGTCTACTAGTAAGTCTATACGGGGCATCGGATAGGCATCTGTCGGGCACGCTCTGTTCAGGTTTGTGTAATCCACACACATTCTCCAATCTCCCGACGGCTTTGGCACGAAGACCACGTTCGACCGCCAGGTGACATAGAATGTTTCTTTAACCAAGTTGGCGCCCATGAGCTTATCTACTTCGGTCCTGAGGGCCGCCTCCTTTTCCGCCGACAAATTTCTCCGCTTTTGCTGCACGGGGCGCTTTCCTTCTTCTACCGCCAGTCGGTGTACGGCCGTCTCAGGGGCGACGCCCGGCATTTCCAAGGCGCTCCAGGCGAAGAGCTCCGCGAACTCCCTCAGAAGGGCGATGATTCGTTCTTTCACTTCATCAGGCGCCTCCGCTGATATCCTCACTTGTCTTTCCGGGCGTTCCAAATCTAGTGCCACCATACATTCTTTGTCGGCCGCTTCAGCTCGGGGCGCCTCTTCCGCCGAGATGTCCACCAAGTTGACTGATTCGTTGCCCTTCCGCTTTCGTCCTGTTTCTTTCGCATAGCGCGGAGCGCCCCTTCCCCGCGCCACGCCTACTCCTTGTGGCGCAATGAACTTCAACATCTGATGGCAAGTGGAGGCCACGCCGTTGAACAAGGCCAGGAGGGGCCTTCCCAGAATCGCGTTGTATGGCGACGGGCAGTCCACTATTCCAAAATCGATGGCACGTGTCATCCTCTGCTCCCCATCCCCCAAGGTAACTGGTAGGCGCACACGCCCTATTACCTTGGCGGGCGCCCCTGAAAAGCCAACTAACACCGACTCCGAGGGCCTGATCAGTTCTGGTGATAGTTGCATGCGGACCACTGTGTCCTTAAATAGCACGTCCATTGAACTCCCTGTATCAACGAGCATTCTCCTGACCTGACACCCTGCCACCACACCTTGTATCTCCAGGGCGTCCATGGATGGGAGCATGCATGCTTCTTCGGGCGCTCTATTGAAACTGATGTCTATCGCCTCCTGGGCTTCCGCCGACGCTGCCCTCAAGCGACGATTCGCCTCTATCTTCTCTCTCAAGTCCACAGTTCCCGAAATAGCCTCAATAGTCAGGCGCACCCGTTCGGGCGCGTTTTCTTGGTCGAGGTCGTATGGCGGTGGTGGCAGCCTTTCTACTGTTCTTTCTGCGCCAGCCACACAGGCCCGGTGCACTCTTTCTTCAGGCTTTTTGACGAAATCATTGAGCATCCCCCTGTCAGCCAAGCCTTGCAACTCGGTCTTCAATTGGTAGCAGTCGGCCGTGTGGTGCCCCACCTCTCGGTGGAAGTCACAATATCGATCCAGATTCCGCTCATTGGGCTGCCCTCTCATGGGGCCCGGCCATCTGATATGGTACCCCTTCTCCTTGACATGCTGGAGTATATTTTTCAGAGTGTCTGTATATTCGGCAAAGGGCCCCCTAGATGTCGGACGCCCGGCCTCCATTCGCCTGGGAGGAGGGGGGTTCGCGGGCGCATACCCCGGACCGCTTGCAAAGTGTGGCCTCCTCGCCGGCTCCGTCTCTTCTCCTTTCGCCTTTCGCCGGTCGGCTCTCCTGGCCGCCAGCGTCTCTTCGAGAATGATCACCTTTTGTACCCGGTGGTCCAAGTCTTCAGTGCATACCACGTCTCTCTTTGCTAGCGATCTGCACAACTCCTCGCTGGTGGTGCACTCGTTCAAACACACCCCCAACACTGATGGCTGTACGTCCTTCGCTGCCAGAGCCACAGATAACCACCTCTCATAAAACTCCCTCAGCGCCTCTCCCTCTTTTTGCTTAATCTTGAACAGGGCGCCTATGGTTAGGGTGCGCCGCTTCCTGCTGGCGAACTTCGCGAGGAACATCTCCGCGAATTGCTCAAAGCACTCAATGCGCCCTTCTTCGATTTGGTAATACCAATCAAGCACCACGCCCGAGAAGGTTGACGGGAACACCTTGCACAGAGTGGCGCCCGTGCTGTTGTAGAGCTGCATCTTCGTGAAATAACCGTTGAGGTGGTCTTCCGGATCGGTGACCCCATCATAGGTGGGGAGCGGGGGGATGTTGGTCCCTGCTGGCTCCGCTAATATGTTGCGCGCCAACGGTTGCCTCACGGGTCCGTGGCGAGACAGGCGCCCCAAAATTCCTCCACTCCATCCTCCTGTCCCTAACCCTCCGTACTCGCGGGGGCGCCACACACTGGGGCGCCTCTGATAACCCGACTCACTTTCCGTTTCCGCCACCCTTTCTCTTTTCTTCGTCGGACTGGGTGTCATTCCTCCACCTCTCTTTAGGGCATCGACCTCCTTCCGGAGCGCCTCGATTGCTCCATCTTGGTCCTCAATGATCCTGTACAGCTCTCTCTTTGTCATCGAGGCGCCTTCCGACCCTCGAAACATGCTATCGCTCTCCTCCCTTTCATCCATCTCAGGCGTCAGCCCCCTTAGTCGTTCTGACTGGTCCTCTGTGATCTCTTCCCTTTCCCTTCCGTCACTCACCTCCATCTCCTCACTCATGATTTCAGGTTATATTCCCCTACCTGGCGCGCCAATTGTTTGAGCCACGAAACTCCCCTCACTATCTGGACGTCTTCCTCCGACGAACGTTGACCTACACACACAAAGAGGAGGGCGCCTCGGCCCGTTAATCCTCCGACGCCCAAGTTAGTCTTAGTGGGAGAGTAAAGTCCTCAAGTGGTATTTTAGTGAGAGAGAGTCCAACCTGTGTAAATGCTACCAACTGCCCCTATTTATACTCACCGAACTCGAGGTTGATCTCCTCCACGTCATTGTGCCCATTTAATGCTTTGTACACTTTTTGTCAGACACCCCAACCACCTTGTCAGGCTTCTGCGGCGTGACAGGCGCCCCCAGGTGATGGACCACCCGACAGCCGGGACTCCTTTGGCCTTTAGCGTTTTGTCTTCATGCGCCCCTCCTCTTATTTGGGCCTTTTGGCATTTCCCAGGACCCTCTTTTGGGCTTTGCCCCCCAAGTCACTTGTCTGGGGGCCCAAACTCCTAATGGCTGAGTAATACCCCCAACACAAACAATGGTATTTTTGAAGTCCATAATGAACCCAAAACCCTCAAACATCCATGATTTACAAAACCCAAGGTTTACCAAAACCTTCATTTTTCCAAACCATAAAACAAACGACCCGTAGATGAAATATCCCTTGTCTGACATGGGTTCCTCCAACCATGAAATAGCCAATGAAAGATGTCATGTCACTATGAAATAGGGAGAAGACAAGGGATACAGATGCTCTTAGCTATTTCATTGTTGAAATGCATTCTCACATCCATGAAATAGGATGAAACAATGCCACCTCACCAAATAAAATGGTGCATGAAAGTCGTTGTAGATGCTCTCACAAAGGCCTAGACGCCCAACCATTGCGAAGCACCTCAGCTAGGACCCAAGAACACTCTAGGGCTTCTCACTCTACGATCCTCAAACCTTCCAAGATAGGGATCCCCTTCTTCCCTTCCCACATTCACTGTACATGTCTCTATCTAAACTTGTTTCTCACTGTAAATTTCTATACGCTTTACATACATTCTTCTCTTGTGTTATATTAACTTGCGCATTAGAGTGTGGATCTTCAAGGGGTCATTCTCACTTGTCCATTGATTCTTTCGCTTTCGAAGAAATCGAACAAAGATGCTCGAATTTGAGCCACTCGTCATTATTTCTTATTTATTATACGAAATTCGACGATTTTGATATCGATCTTGCCTCCCGAATCCCGATATTGGTCGAAACCGGTGATGCTGATACTTACATATATTCTCTGCATAAACTCAAATTAGCGAAGAATATGGTTTTATTGCTTCGTGATCACTGCTACTGCTTGCTACTATTTCATGACAGGTCATCTTTCTGTGCCGACCAAGTGCGTGTGGAGAGCTTCATATAAGGCTAATGAATTCAGATACTATTGGTAATGAGAAGTACTGATTGTAATCGTTTAGGATAGAACACAATAGTTTGTGATTGTCGATAATTCTCCTATCAGGGATGTACATTTATGTGTAATTTCCAATATGCATCTGGTCATTTTTTTCAAATACAAATCAGTCTTTTGTAATATTAGTTCCTATTCTACATTTGTGTCAACCTATCATACTCAAAATTAGTGTTAACCATCACAAGTTAGCAACCAACCTATCAGTCTATCTTATGGTCAAAAATTCAAACTTGGCCTCCTCAAAGTTTGGAGTTTGGGTAAACGGTCTTGAGCCTTGACCATCCCAGCAGCATCATTTATTGGTCTGCTCTGTGCTGCCAATTCTAAAGTCTAAACAAAAAGTTGTGGGCTTCCGCACCATGTGGAGAAGGGAATCTAACTGTTTAGATTTTTATTGGGTCGAAGAATATCTGATGGGCTTTTTTTTCTCTCCTTTTCATTGTCAGTTGAAGGACCACATTGGCCAAGTGGAAGGCTGTTGGAAGCTCCCCAAATACTAGTCCCATTGGTTTGCGTGGAGACCAAACCAATCACCCTCCTTCCATCAAATCAAATTTGAAAAGAATCGAGACAGAAAATGAAGTTTGGTTGCGTTTGTGAAACGGTTTCATATCGATTACATTTGACCAAATTAGAGGTTATTTTATTTCCCGTGACGGGTTATGCTACGACAAGAAAGAAATCATTTATGAAACAAACGATTAAACCTATTTGGTTAATATTGCAACATTTTTGGGTTACTCAATCACTCAATCTGATTCCTATAAGGAAAGGTGTTATAGCAAGAGTTAAAGAAAACCATAATCTACATGAATGAACGAGAAATCCATCTGGTCAAGGTTGCAATATCATTTGTGTTCGTCTACGCATGTTCCTTCGAGAAAACTTCACATGGAAACTAGCTATAGTCACATAATTCAAACCTCGAATCGATCTTTCCTCATATAAGCTCAGTGGATCGACCACCTCGATTACCGCATTGTGGGTGATTGAAAAGATGCCACCAATCTTTGAGTAAAATGAGGGTGAAGGTTAACAAGTAACATGGCTAGCTAGACTAACCCACCTTCATTATCTTTTAAGCTCTAGTTTTGATCCTCAGCAAACTTAAATGCTACTCATGCATGCATCCAATTAGTCAAAAGGGTTCTTTGGCTAAGGAGTAATCAATTCAACTAATTATCCCCCTGACATTAGTTAACTATCATCAAAGCTCAAACCACTAATTAGGGTTTCAGTTATCATCATCATCAAGCTTTGTTCATTAGCACCTACCCCATTAGGACCTAAGCCATTAGTCGAATAAAGAAGGATAAGTTGTTTGTCTCTGTCTAACCAAACCCTAATGTGCAGCCATTGGGAAGTGTCCATACAACGTGGTAGGGAAGATCTTGGACAAGTCCTCCCTTATTAGTTAGTTAACACACAAACGGACAACTTATGTAGGAGAATTCTTAATTGACCGCTTAATTAGCTTAAACAACTTGCAAATGGCAATGGGTGGTCATTAATTACGCCCACTAATACATAAACTATAGGGCTTGATTATACAAGTGTGGGAAAGGTGTTCACTTGATAAGGGTCATCAACATAGTCACATATAATTGCATGAAGGGTATTTTTTAATTAGTACTAATCCAAGGCATCTTAATCACATTCGACGAATCTCTTTAATTAGTTGATTTGGTATAATAAAGATATTTACGCGTTTTACGGAAGATTAATGATGCGACATAATAGTGTTCATGTGTATAATGCAAGGGCTAGAGGACAACATGCATATGAACGTAAAAAGTGTCTCAACTTGATTGAGACTGAATCAAAGGGCCTTTAATTTCATTTGCATAATTTTCCTTGATAATTCTCTTCGGTCCAATTTGGGAAACTAAAGTTTTTGGTGTCATGAATTTATCATGGTGCTTCATACATGGTAGATAACAGTGAGTCACTTGACCTATTTTTAATCGACCTGTTTGACATGTTTTAAGGCGACTCATACCCGCTTTATAGGAGTGGTGGAACGGGTATGGAATAGTCTTCTCGATTTGATGGTGTTTACCCATAAAAAAATTAGCTTGTACCACATCGATTAATTACAAAGGGGATTAATGGATTTATAAGGCCAGCTCAACATTAATGATTAAAAGAGCCAGCTGGGCCTAGTTGGGTTAGATTTTTGGGTCTAAGTGGCCAACCCCCTTCTCCTCTATACGATGGCCGACCCGTTTCCGAGGCCCCCATAGCCGGACGATGCCTCCACCCCTTAGTATGAAATTTGGCCTACAAAAACTAAGTCTTGGAAACAAGGTGTCACAAATGGTTGCCAAACGACCGGGTACCAAGCCTGGTACCAAATAAGGGGGCCAAACAAGAGGGTATCAAGTCGACAAGGCAGGCCTGATACCCAAGTAAGAAATTTGGCTAAGTATGGAAAACAAGGCGACACAACAGGGTGCCAAACGGCCGGGTACCAAGCCGGATACCAAATAGGAGGCCATCCAAAAGTTAAGTCTTGGAAACAAGGCGACACAAAGGGGTGCCAAACAGCCGGGTACCAAGCCGGGTACCACATAGGAGGTCATCCAAAAACTAAGTCTTGGAAACAAGGTGACACAACAGGGTGCCAAATGACCGGATGTCAACGACGGGGTATCAAGCCGACAAAGCAGGGCTTGGTACTTTGACATATAATTTGGCTAAGTATGAAGCAATAGGGGGTATCAAGCCGACAAGGTAGGCTTGATACCAAAAGATATAAAAATTGGCTAAGTATGAAATTAAGTCTGGATATCAAGCCAACAAGACGAAATTGATAGCCAGACATCAGGGTATCAAGCCAACAAGACAAGAAATTTGACTAAGGCATGGTGACTAGCTGAGGTGGCTACCCAACTATGGATGGATCGACCAGGATGCCGAGCTCAGCCCTTATAAGGCCATATGGAGACAAAGTCCAAAGACGGGCTTGGTAGCACCTTCACGCGGTGTTTGATCCTCACTGAACTTCTATAGGAGTAGAGTAACTTAGATTGTTCCCAAAAACCATCAAAAACATCAAACACCCTCGTTCGAACATTGTTCGGAGAGGAGGGAACCGTGTTATTAATCGTTGTTCGAGAAGTCAAGGTGCAAATCATTTAATTCAAACACAAGTTTTTCCTCGCCGAAAAACAAATTGGCACACCTGGTGGGACTCTGTGTGTTTGATTTGATGGCTCCACGACTGAGAGAACAGGAAGTTGATATTTCACCAGGAGTTGTGAAGGAGTTGGCGGCCAAGTTCAAATTTGGCCAAGCATCAGTAAGTGTTGTTGGAAACAATGGCATGATTCAGATATTGCCACCGGCGGCACCTTGTGCCGATGTAACCACCACTGCCATTTCACTCCGCTCAATAGTGGATGATAACTGCAAGATGGTGGTGGAGAACCTTCAAATGATGGCGGAGATTCGTCAATTGATGGAAGAGAGTTTGAATGGACTTGTTAGAAGTTCACAACAGACGAGTCTAAAACTTGCTTCTTTTAGTTCTATGTTAGATAGACGTTTGGATGAATTGCTTGAAGCAACTACAGAAAATACAAATTGCTTGGATAAGTTTAAAAAATATTTTATAGAACCAGTGGTTCGAGAAATTTCTTTACCAAAAAATGCTATAGATCCACCACCAAGTATTGCTACTGAGTATACAAGTGCCCTGTTCTTCGGTGGCCGGACTACCCAGCCACGGTCAGGGAACTTACCGCCTCCGGCAATGAGTCAACCACCTCTTCAACAAGGCGATTATGACAAGAATATTACTAACACATTCACCACTCATGTAAAGCAACCGTCGCCTGTGCAGACAGTTACTCTAAAAACTGTCTCAGAGGCTAGACCATTCTTGAACATGAGAGTTGGTGGAGGGTTACTAGCTATGGATGTGCTACCACAAGTTTGCCCAACCTCGTTGCTATCGATGCTTAAACGGTCTGGTGGATGCAAACCACCAGGGGGCAGGAAGAGGTGCATGGAAGCCTACCACCTGACAAGTTGAAGATGAAGAGTCAGGCTGGGGGGCAAATTGATGTCAAGAAAGGTGAACAAAATGGTGTGTCCAACAGAACACCATATTTGTTTCCTAAGGATGGCATGGGGGGCATATCTCCATCTCCGTGCAGTGGGCAGGGGACATGTCATCATACATGAAGGATGGAGTGAGTGACAAGTCTAAGTGGGTGTTGTGACATGCTACGACACAACACCAAACTGCGACCAAGTGTAATCGCAGTCCGGAAATGCAGTAAAGTGGCAAGTTCTAATTATCAACCCGGGGTCTAGATCTACCGCCTACTCCGTGAATATCTATTATCTAGCCAACTAAGTCGATTGATTGTGGTTTTAACTAAAAGCAGTAAGAAAGCAGGAAATAATTCGGTTTTCTAAAGCAAGGGAAGAGTCACTCGGGAATGAGTCCCCTAGCTCCTTAGTTAGGTCACAGTTGTAATTACTTTTGGTTGCTTTACTGCTGATTATACCGCGGAAGATCCGACAGTAGCTTGGAATCTCTTAAGCTGACCAAGCCCTCTCAGTCAAACTACCCGGCAGACGACTAGTCTTCACCGGAATAGAACGCTGAGGCGATGAACACATAACTCCACTACTGGAATTAGATTCTAGTACAAAGCAGTGAATCGACTAACTCTCGTATAATCGATTCACTACTACCGATTGACGAAGCTCTAACAACCTAATCAGATTCTATCTATCTCAGGTTGCAGCGGAAATCAATAAAAGATTATCAGACTTCAATTGACTCATTGAAAACACTACAATCGATTATAATCAAGCAATATCACAATCCAAAAGTCGTTACAACAATGATTCCTAACACATAGAACTAGGGTTCTTCATACCCAAGTGAGAGAGGGTTCTACTCCATAGAGAGAGAGAGAGAGAGAGAGGACAACTGAATACAAAGCCGTCATACTCATAGCAATGGGAAGAATCTGCTCTGGGATGATGATCTTCACTCCAAGGATAATTTTCAAGCTTGATCAATGAAACCCAACTCCAAAACCACTCTTAGGAGGTGTTCTTCGCACTTTCTCTCTTTAGGGATCTGTTTTTGCTCCAAAAAGTTGATTGATTCTCCTTTGGCTCGAAATTGGGTTAAAACCCAGAAATTCCCGACCACACGGGTGGGCCACACGGCCGTGTGGCTTTTTAGGCGTGCCCGTGTGAGTGTGCAAAACGCGGCGTTTCGATAAGTGGGCTTCAGCCATCCTACACGGCCACAACCACACGACCGTGTGGATTTCCAGGCTGCCCGTGTGAGTTCCCTAGAATTTCCACACGGCCACATGGGTTCCCTTACACGGCCGTGTGGGTTTTAGGCATGCCTGTGTGACTTCCTCGGCTTCTTGCCAAACGTCCGATCTCCGTCCAATCGACCCCGAAATCGTTCCTAAACATTCATTCACGTACTAGGACCTGAAATATCACAACAAGAACAACCTAGCGTGAAATCGGCCTAAAACACGAGAATCAACATCTCAAACGGCTCAAGAATAGGGGTAAAACGTGTGCAATTACCGGTCTAACATGTTGCCTACCCATGCCATCTATAATTTTCATAACTTTGACAACGTGTCAAAGAGTGCACAAGGAGGCAAGGCCCCTTGTAGAATGCCACCCATGAAGGGTCGACAAGGGGGCATATCATCAACCACAAAAAATAGAAAGATACACATGCCCAAGAAGCCACAACAAACCCAAGCCACACATGCTTGTAGTAAGAATGGTAGTGAAGTTGAGTTTGGCAAAGGGGGCACGTCAAAAACCATGAACAAGGCTATGGGGGCATGTCTCCAACCAGTGGAAAGGGGGGCATGTCACGTACAGTGAAGAAACGAGTGGAGAAAAAGTCTAGGAGTGTTCATCACACCCAACCCACTCAAAAAATTTCTAAGTATGATATGGCGTTAAGGGATGGACGAGGAAGCAAGTCCATGCCTAAAGCCCCCCATTGCATGCCAAACATGAATGGAAAACAAGAAGGTATGAATAAGACATCTCGACACACACCAACCAATCATGGTCCTATAAAAAATCAAGGGTTGGTATGTGTTAAGTGTAAAAACCATGAAGACATGGGTTTTAGAAAGAGTCAAGTTGGCCACAAGGGTGGTCGTAAACTCTGTAAGTCCAAACACCCGTCTTCTCAACCATATGGGAAGAGTAAGCATGTGCCTAGTTGGGATAAAATAAGACAGATGACAAATCTTGGCCCCTTTGATGAGTCGAAGGAGTTGAAAATGTCTAGCGCACCACCCAGGACGAGACAAACACATCGGGTTCAACATCAACCCAACATGTCTAGTAAGGTGGCCAAGGCAGTGGATCATGGGACCCCTTGCAATCCCACTAAGACAGGGCAAGTAGAGAGTGTGCCATCCATTGTTAAGATGGAAAATTTGAAACCAACACTGAATGAGTTGTTTCCCCTAACGGAGGGAAGACAAGTAGTGTATGGATGGTTGGTCTGGTTTAACCCATGGACTTGGCAGTGGCTGTACACCTTTGGCACGTTGGTGGGTGCCAAAGGGCGTGGATATTAGTGACGTTTGTCACTCTCTTCTATATTAAAATAAATAAATAAAATATTACTAAAAAAAAGAAGAGAAAAGAAAAATCAAAAGCCAATCATGGCTAAAAAATACGAGGTCGAAGTGTCAAGTTTTAGTTAGATTTATGATGTGAGAACCTGGTCATAACTGATAAGCCACACTCATGTGGTGGCTGGATCCATGCCATTTACATGGCATGAGCAGGTGATTCGCTGTCGGTGTAGACCCTTTATTGTCCAAGCCACCCGTCCAAGGAGGCCTTCTTGTCGTAAGAGGATGGGATGCTACATGATCGATTAATCAATGGCAAGTATCTCAAGCCTTATGTCCCTTCTCTTTGGGACGTGAGGTATCAAGGGGTTCAATGGTGGGCGGCCACCATGGTGGCCGGCATGCCAAGCCTCTCACACCCTAAGACATAGCATGATACCTCGTGATAAAGCATGGCTTGAGTAGCTAGCCATGACATGGAAAGGAAATTGAGCTAGTTAAGTTTTACTTCCTTCTGTGGGGGCCTAGCATTCTATAAAAGGCTATGGGTGCATGGCTTTGTAATCAAAGCCAAAATTTGGCTAAGGAAGGTGATGCCGAGATAAGTATTATTTTTAGGTGGTCAAGTTGAGTTCAACAACTTAGTGCATAATTCTTATACACTAAGTTGTGGGGGGCATTTGTTTACCCATAAAAAAATTAGCTTGTACCACATCGATTAATTACAAGGGGATTAATGGATTTATAAGGGGGCCAAACAAGAGGGTATCAAGCCGACAACGCATGCCTGATACCCAAGTAAGAAATTTGGCTAAGTATGGAAAACAAGGCGACACAACGGGGTGCCAAACGGCCGGGTACCAAGCCGGATACCAAATAGGAGGCCATCCAAAAGCTAAGTCTTGGAAACAAGGCAACATAACGGGGTGCCAAACAGCCGGGTACCAAGCCGGGTACCAAATAGGAGGTCATCCAAAAACTAAGTCTTGGAAACAAGGTGACACAATAGGGTGCCAAATGACCGGATGTCAACGATGGGGTATCAAGCCGGCAAAGCAGGGCTTGGTACTTTGACATATAATTAGGCTAAGTATGAAGCAAAAGGGGGTATCAAGCCGACAAGGTAGGCTTGATACCAAAAGATATAAAAATTGGCTAATATGGAGCTAAGGGGGTACCAGGCGGGCAAGGCGACCTCGGTACCAAGACCCCTACAAGGTACCAAGCCGGCATGACAGGCTTGGTAGCCAAGCAAGGCAACAGGGTACCATGACCCCAAGGGGGTATCAAGCCGGCAAGACTGACTTGGTGGCCATGCAACAGGGGGCTAATCCAGGTACCAACTAAGAGAGTCATACAGAAACTAAGTATGGATATCAAGCCAACAAGACGGACTTGATAGCCAGACATCAGGGTATCAAGCCAACAAGACAAGAAATTCGACTAAGGCATGGTGACTAGCTGAGGTGGCCACCCAACTATGGATGGATAGACCAGGATGCCGAGCTCAGCCCTTATGAGGCCATATTGGGACAAAGTCCAAAGACGGGCTTGGTAGCACCTTCACGCGGTACCAAACCGGTAGGGTGCAACTTACCACTTGATGAGGATACAAAAACTAAGTATGGAGACCAAGCCACCAGGACTGGCTTGGTATCAAGGGCTGTCAAGTTGATTACATGGGCTTGGTGGCATGCCGGAAGGTATCAAGCCGATGAGACGGCTTGGTAACAACCAACAAGTTAATGAGGAGGACTTGGTGTCATGAGATGGTAGAGGTCTCAAGACGACAAGAGTGGGGAGTCATCAAGCAGCCGAGGGTGCAATCAAGACTTCATCATGGAGGCTAAGGCAAATAACCTCAACCCCATCCAGTCATGACAGGGCGACAAGGCTTAACACCAACTCGGCCCAACATCGAGACCATCAAATACCAACCAGCCCCAAGACGGGACAAGACCCCCAAGGCGACGGTTACCAACTAGTCACCAAGGCAGCGACAAGCGGCCCCTAAGTCGGTTGGAGCAAAAGGCCAGCTAGCAGTTACTACGGCGGTTACCAAGGCAGTTACACCTAGTGGCTATGAATAGGAGAAACGAAGACGGGAAAAGGGTTCCACAACCAAACATTTGACGCACAATGTCAAAATTTGTCTTTTCTCTGCAAATCAGCTTTTAGTTTTTCGGAGCTCTCACTGAACCTCTATAGGAGTAGAGTAACTTAGATTGTTCCCAAAAACATCAAAAACCCTCGTTCGAACATTGTTCGGAGAGGAGGGAACCGTGTTATTAATCGTTGTTAGAGAAGTCAAGGTGCAAATCATTTAATTCAAACACAAGTTTTTCCTCGCCGGAAAACAGATGGGCTCTGACCATCATAATTTTACCCATTTTTTGTTAACTTACATATGATTTTTTCTTTTATTACCTCATATTTTAACTATAATAAAGCTGTAAAAAATCAATGTTTCTAATGTTTTCCCTTTAAATTACGTATACATATGGGTTGATCTTAGGAATTGCAATGGGTCAAGTCCGGGGTGGGTATCTCGATACCCATACCCGCCCCGTGGCACGTAGGGTAATTTATTGCGGCGCGGGTCGGGGCAGCTCGACCCAATGTGTATATAATTTATATGGAAAACATTAGAAATATTCGTTATAGTCATTATAAGACCAAGACCAAGATACAAATCATAATATGATAAAATGTAGTCAAATTGTTGGAGAAATTGAGATTTTCACTAATTTACAACTTGATAATAGCTAAAATATGATGTAATAAAGGGAAAATACAAAATAATTCAACTAAGATTACATGTAATTTAGACAAGAACGAGTTGAAAATGGGACGGGTCAGGACAGGTCGGGTCGATAAGAATACACATGCCCGCCCGGACCCGCCCCAAAACAGGTCGGATAAAACAACTAAGGTCGAAATTGTCATCCTTAGTCGATCTTCCCCGACCTGTGATCCATGATAAATTAGCCGATCCGAACATGACCTCGCATGGGGGCGGGTATGAGTATCGAGATACGTACCCATCTCGATTAGCCCATTGTCATTCCTGATTACATGCGGCGTCGAGTAAGGGACTGGAAGTGCAAGATTTCTGAAAATTGAACCTGAAATCTTGGAAGACGTCGATCGAAAAGTACAAACAGACTCGTCCAAAGTTAAAGAAATGAGACCACTAGCCAATCACAAGACATACTAGTAGGAGTCGGAAGCTTCTCTTCTGTCTACGGGATTAAGCCGATCGACGGAAGAAGTCTTGTGTGGGTGGCGCTCCACTGGCCGGTGTTGGTCCATGCAAATGGCGAAGACGATGAGTCTTTCTTCTCGGCTTGTCAAATTTTATCATTTAATTTCGAACCCCATTATTGGCCGACTTTTTCATTCATGCTTATAACAATTGACGGCTGACTTGGAAAGTTCTCTTGTTCATACTTCATATGGTTGATAGCTAGAATTAAATCTTAATTACTTTGTAGGCAAGTAATTGATACATTTAAAATTGAGTTTGAGGAGTCTCCCTTTTCTGCTAGTAGTTGAGGATGATTCACTACTCTTGTAGGCCTAAGAGGGTCATCAATTTCGTAAACAAAACGAGTTATTGACTATGGCACTGTGATAGTCATGGTTGTGTTGTTTTTCCTAGGTCGATCATAATTGGTTGTGATTTTGCGACACTATGAATTAGCGTTGTGATTGTCTGATGTATGGTCACTTGTGCTCTTTCATTGGGGGCATGTTAGTTCTCTTTTTGGCTCATTTTCAACTTTCTTTGAGGATGATAAAAAAAAACTCTTTACAATTTTTTTGTTCCATAATCAGACAACTTTGATACCTAATTACCTTCAATAATATATTGGTGTCAATTATCAACTCTGCAAGTATACGCCAAAAAGCCTCCCATCAGAAACAGATTAAATTAGCTCTCTAAAATTTATGATGGAATTCCTTCCATTTGATCAAATAATCAAAGTGTGATTAGGATCTCTTATCTTTAGGTCCAACTTTCAATTATTCAAACCAATTTGACCGTTACGCTTCCTTTTTCACTGCCAATCAATAGCTAACAACAACCATTCTTCAAGCTAATTACTTTGGATTTCTTTATACTCTATAAACAACACAGAAACCCAATCAAGTTCCGACACATGCACACTCACTCACCAAAGTCTCTGGGAGATTCCTCAAATAATGGACTGCGCGCCCATCACGTTCATATAACATCTATCTATGGAGTTCCTTTCTTTTGTTTGTGTTGACAAGAATCTTGTCGAATCCACGTAACCAAGGTGTGAATTCCACATGAAGGATACGTGTAAAGCCTCAGTTTGTTCGTGGCATTATTTGCTTCTTCTTCTTCAGATACAAAATCATACACTCAGGCCTGCTGTGTAAAGTCTTCCCATTGTTGTACATAAAATTTTGTGTTCATACTTTGTTCCAAAAGATGGTTGGATGCGTGCGTAGTAGTTTCTTTCGGGGACATCCGGTAAAATTGGAACGATACAGATGGTTGGAGGTAGTTAAGGAAGGATTAAAAGTGATATGGTGTGCACGTATACGTGCATGACTTGGGATATTGGTTTTTGTTTTTCGGTTTAAATCGAAACCAATAAGGTTCATATTCTATTTATCAATTTCGGTTTTGTTTGAACCTAACTGAGTGTAGGAGTGAGGTTCGGGAAGATGGGTCGAGAAGAGTAAGCAATGAGAATCGGCCGTAAAGTCAAGAACAAAGGAAAGGAGAAATGAGATTAAGAGAGTTGTATTTTAGAGAGAGAAGTTGGTTGTTTCTAGAGATAGAGTCTGAAAAATCCGATCCCCTCACCCACCAAAGTAAATGTCATATTTATAGGCTACATGGTGGTGGGTGAGTTACATGGTGACATGGCTACTGACATGTCAGAGGTCTAGACCATACCTCTATTTAGTCCACAAGTACATTTAGTCCACAAGTACATTTAGTCTATTATTATACCTAGGACTATGATGGTGACCACTCATCAGGGGGGACGCGGCGTCGTTTCCACGGTTTGCTGATTTGGTCAACGCTAGACTCACACGTCGTCGTTCGGTGTTCGGGGTGTGGCTTCGGTCGCGTCGGTGCTAACGCGCCCGACTCTCCTGCAGTGGCACTGGTGTGCCTTCTTGGTTGCGTCGGTGCTAACGCGCCCGACTCTTCTGACGGCGGTGGCGGGGTGCTTCCTTGGCGCGGCGAGATCCGAGTCATATACCCAATAGGTTTTAATAAAAAAAAAATTGATAAGAAACTGAGACCACAGAACAATAGTTTATCGGTGTAGGGGGCTCGTTTCAATTGGGGATGAGGGGTTACGGTTTGTTATATATACAAAATGTGTAGCCTGTACAGCTGTACTATACTTAGTAAGCTTAAAAGGGACATTATCAGATTATCGGTCTATTGTTCTATCGAAAATATAAAAATGACGATACTAAAACATATAATCGATTCGAATTATGTGAATTAATAACGTAAATCTGATTGTTCCTCCACGATATATATAGAGGTTGAAAATATCCGTTGATGGGGATGCCACATGTGTTGTAAGTGATGAGTCATGTTTAGGGCCATTACTTAATTAATTACTCTGATTAGTGCGGTTATGGGGGGACATATTATCATGTGAGAGTATGCTTAATTAGTTTTGCCTTGCATGATTTTGTCAGTTGTCACGGCCTGAAGCAACATATGATGGGAGGATTCTCGACACCACCTGCTTTATTTAATTACCCTGCTTCATCTTTCCTAGGAAGGCTGTCAAGTAGAATGAACCAATTTACAATTGCAACTACACCGGGAAAAATACGTGAAAAATAAAAAACTTAGTACTTGTATGTTATCGAAGTTAAATGCAATTGATTGATTTTAATTTACACTCACAAGGTCGACCGGAGTATCAAATGATCTACTTTTGTCAATCATATAGAATACAATCACAATCTTTCGGTAATGTAATCTCTCAATTGATCGATGAAATAACCTATCATTGTCCATCGAACTCCAGTAAATTCTTACTTGGAGTTTAACCAAAATCATCGTTTACCTATAACATATCAAAACAGTAATTATCTTCAAATCAGTGAGTCATTAGCATTTGTGGTGGACGAGATTTGGCGTCGGACGGTTGTCCAAAAGAAAGAGTGACGAAATAGTGGGATTCTGATCAGCATCAATTCAGAGTCATTAGCTGGCAATTAAATGGGTGATTAGCTGTTGTGTTATGTCGATTGCAGGTCAAGTGGCCATTCTTCATCCACCAAGCACACCCTGATCCCACACTTTGGAACCAAACAAACCGAACAAAAAGAAAAAGGAAAAGAAATAGAGAAAACTATTTTGTTTTTGTTGGCATTTGATAATGATTTGTGGCCGGCCGACCGGCCCTTCGCCGGAAACACCGCCCAAATTATTGCCCGACCATACTCTACAGTCCATACTCCATAATTCCATACCACAAGTTATGTATATATGTTCCTTCATAATGATGCATTTGAGTTTGTAGTTTGTACCAAATAATTAGGTTTTCTTAATTATGGTCAGCGACAAATCTAGGACATAGTATAATACTAAGTCACGTTAGAATAGAAAACTAGATATTGACTAGCACTAGAGTGAAAGAGGCGGCAAGGGACGGAAACAAACAAATCTCATTTGCTATACTAGCTCGACACCCAGAGGAGGGTTGGATCGTGACCAAGGGAGGACTCCCCCTGGATCAGCCAGTATATACGACACATCCACTAATCACACATTACCTCACACTGTTTTTTTTATAACGCACCAGATTCATCAATACATGTATTCATTATTGTACATCTATTTAACAATCACAACTTCCAAACAATCAGTCATGATTTATTTTGATACGATGGACAAGAAAACACATTTATCTGCGCAAAAATTAGCCATGAATTACTTTGATTTGAATAATTTAGGATTTATGAAATCAAGGATCGGGTTTGTATTTTGAGGTCTACCGTTAGGTATTATAATTAAGGAACTAAGAATTTGAGATAATGAATCGATTAGTTGTGATCCCATTGTATATATTTTTGTGAGTGTACCGTAAAAGCCGCCAGAACCAGTCAATAGTTTTTTGGGTCAAGACCTGGTCAATCCGGCGAGGACTTTTGGTGGCCAAAATAACAAAAAGCAAAGGCTGAAAAAGCCGGTCAGCTTGATAACGAAAAGACGAACCAGGCACGTCTCGGCGGTATGGGTAAAAAGTAGGCGCGCGCCGCCCATAGAATCGGAGAGGGAAAACAAGAGGCCCAACTAACCAAAAAAAAAAGCCCACAATAAATTACAAAAAAATGGTGGTCAGAAATATAACAGGCCACACTGCTACGTGTCGGGCAAAGACGCCGTCTGAGTGTCACCGCGATACGCCGTGCCGTCGTTCTATCAAGCTTGCGCATTCCCCACGGCAAAAAAGACCCCGTCAGTTAAAAAAACGGGATTGGTTTTTTTCTTTATATTTTGCCCTTTCCCCCCGATAAAGAAAAAAAGAAGAAAGTGCAAAGAAATTAAATAGCCGAACGAACGGAACGGAACGGCTCTCGCCCACCGCTTTCCTTCCGGAAACCGTTGGATTCCCCTTCCAACCATACTAATCCATCTCACGCGCCTTCCGCGCGTTCCCCACTCTCTCTCACCCGGCCCTTTTCAGCATCAGTCCCTGAAATTCCTCTTATTTTCCTCTGTCACAGTCAGTATGGTATTATTTGTTATTATCTTACCAAATTGTTAATGACAATAAAAGGAATATTATCACACGTCTTTGCATGTTTAAATTTCGGAAAAATTCAGAAATAATATCCCATATTTGTTTCGGCTCCAATAATTCCAATTTAATCAATGTGGAGCGTGCTTTATTCCAGAAATGAAGCTGGGTGCCAATTTTTGAATGGTATTAACGTGGGGAAGGGAATCTAGCTATTATGGGAACAGATTCAATGCCCCTAAATCATTATATGCTAATTCTTGGTAGCAAAATAATTAGATACGTATCTTTGAAACTATTAAGCAAAATCTCCTATATATGCCTTTAGGAGAGCATCTACCTAATATTACATCCCAATTATGCTTTCTTGAAGCCAAAACAATTATGAAAACAAATTACAAGAGATATCAATCATCTATCTGAACAATTAAAATGATGATTAATATGTAGTTAAACTACGAAGAATGATAATTTCGTCACGAGGAAAATAGTAAGTTGCAACTCTAAAAGATTGACATAATGATAATGTGGGTATGAGAGCATCCACCACACACTAAGTACGAATTTTAGAGATACAACCAACGAAAATTAATAAGCAGAACCATTACGGATTTACGGTTGACATAATGATAATGTGAGTATGAAAACATCCACCACACACTAAGTACGAATTTTAGAGATACAACCAACGAAAATAATAAGCGGAACCATTACGGATTTACGGTTGATTGTTAGGATTCATGGCATGCGTTTGGTTTTTTGTAAGGTAAATTTCGTCATTATACTGTCTATTCCTTGTATTTGATGATTAAAGAGTTATTTAATTACTTAAACATGGTTTGGTAAGAGAATAGTTACGAGGAAAAGGGAGGGAAAATGAATTCGGGAATGGCGGTCAGGAAAAGGAATACATAATTTTCAAACTACGAGGGGTACCATTGCAAAAACAAAAAAGTAAGCATCCTTCGACTGCAAAATATCGCGGAAATCCCGAAACTACCCTACTCACGCGCCACCATCCTTCCTTGCAAAATAGTATAAATTCATAGCTGGAGTTAAGCTAGGTTTGCCGAATTAGCTAGCCGAACTGGCTCTTAAGAAATTAAAAAGAAAACCTCCCCTTTTTTTTCCTCTCTCTCGCTCTCTAGATTCTTCTTCTTCACTGAACTCAGAAATGGCGATTACAGCAGCAACCGGATCCTCGAGGCGGTCAACAGCCGGCGGGTCGGTCAACCGGTCCTACTCCCAGTCCGGCGGCAGATTTAGCCTGTCGTCGTATCAGTCTCCGTACTCCTCGTCTGCCTCAACCGGCTTCGCATCATCCAGTTCCAGTTTCGCGACGCGGTCATCCACCTTCTTCGCTGGGAACCCCGTCAGATCCGCGTCTCCTCCGCGAGTCAGCATGTCCGGCCACTCCATGTCGGCCTCCGCCGTCCGCTTCTCTCTGGACCGGTCGGTCTCCCCCAACCGGTCGATCTCCACAGTCAGCCCTTCCCGCAGCCGCCCGCAGGTGGTGAGGAAGCAGCCAGGTCCGAAGAAGACGTGCATGTGCTCGCCGACGACGCACCCTGGCTCGTTCCGCTGCAGCCTACACAAGAACCAGAACACGGCGCACGCGTCGAGCTACGCGCCGAACAACCGCCTCAACGCGCGCAGATCTGCGATGACGAACTCGCTGGTGAGGATCGGCGGCGTGGAAGGGGATCTGGTGAGGCGAGCGCTGGCGGCGTTGATCCGCCCGAGTTCGCACCAGCAGAGGAGGCGCGCTGCGTTCCAGCCGAGGCCGAGCAGGCTCAGCTCCATGTCCAAGTCGACGGAGGAATCGTAACGGTTTGTGGAAAAAATGGAAGGAACTCGAATCACTCTCTCATTTTATTCTCTCTTGTGACTTGGTCTCCGATTTTTTTTCTGGCGACGGAGGGCTCAGATCTGCGGTGAAAAGCGGTTTGACTGAAGAGGTTGGAGGAAGTCGGGGAAGAGAACGGCCTGGAAGAAATTCATTTCTAGTGTGTAACTCCGGTGACCGGGAAATAGTGCCCCTTTGTGTATATAGAAGGCTATATGAGAGTTATATATTCGAATTTACAGCCAGCAATGGCGAAGTTTTGGGAATCATTAGGGATTTAGTCAGCAAAAAAGGAAATCAGTTCATTGTTCGTCGAAAGATTAACTCCAAATTCATTGTTAACTCCTCGGCGCCGTTAGCCGTCGTCCCGTCCGTCGTCGTGTTTCCCGTGTTGCGTATCTCCGTTCGCCGTTCACCCGTCGTCTGTCCCGTTCAGTCCGTCGTCACCGGTGAGTTCGTTCATTTTTTGTATGTTGATTAATTTCCTTGTTTACTGCGTTAATTTTTGTTTTACTTGTCATTTTTTACTCGTTTTCTTGTGTTGCAGGTTCAATTATTGGCGGATCAGTGCAGTAAATCCATGCTTACGGAGCCAAAAATGGTGATTAGTGTTTAACCATGGACTGAGGATTGGATTCGCCTGTTGAGAACGGCGAAAGGACGGAGAGAGAACTCACGAAAGGACGGAAACCTAGACGTTACCATGGACAAACAAATTGAACTCGGTCAAGGACAGAAAATTCAAAATAAATAAATAAATAAATGAAATTAAGTCGAAGGGTAAACAATTCAATTAATGGGTTTCCTTAATTTAATTGATTAATTGTTCAATTTAAAGATGAGACTGTCTCTAATAAAACGTACTTCTGAAAGGGACCTTTTTTCTAGAAAAAAGGAAAACGTACAAAAGCCAGGCTGGAGAAGAGGATTAATCAGTATACTTAAATACTTAATGGAGATGGATTAGTTCACCCCATTGGAAGATGGGTTTTGAAAGCTCAAGGACGATTTAAATTATGAAAGGATTCATTTGTTAATTTTCCACAAGCTCCAGAAATGCTCAAAAACACTGTAGATGTCTAGATGATTGTACAATTGAGCTTGTGACGAATTTCGAGATGATCAAAATGACGCAATTCGATGAACTACTGGGAAATTAGGTTTGATCGGCTAAAATTACAACAACCAAAGAGATGATGGCAACAATTTGAAAGGAAGAAAACAAAGAAGAAAGAAGTGGTGGGTTCCTTGGCAAGTTGGGCAGCTGGCCGTCACTACCAAGAACAGTTTGGGAAGGAAGGAAGAAGAAGGGGAACTTTTTTTCTGGGTGGGGACTGTGATGTCATCATCTCAACATCCGCCATTACTACTGCTGTCTCTCTTTTTCTTTCCTTCTTCTTCGTCTTTTCGGTTCTGGTAATGAAAGAGGAGGAGAGGGAGAGGATGGAGGCTCCATAATAAGTAACCCTGCGGCTCCCACCACCATCCATGGCTTTCCTTCCTTCTGTAATGGCTTTTCCCAAGCTCGCTGGATAAGGTTTTCGTGACAACGAAAGGAGTAGTGGGTTTGGGTGGATTCCACTTTCCCCTTTTCTTAGGGCCGGCAATTTGGTCCAGAACTGTTTGGTTTTACTCGAAACCGGACTGTATTACCTGGACCGGGACGGATAGCAAACAATCCAATTTCATATTCGGGTTTAGATTTGAGGTAAAAAAACCCGGATAAAGACCGGATAAGAGACCTCAACACTCAAATCCCCATAAGCTCAATCTAAAATCAAAATCAAATTGGGACCGGATCGGGTCAAGACCGGCCGGATCAAGACCGGAATGTATCCAATCCAATCTTTGGTCCTTATATTCCCGAAAAGACCGGACTGAGACCGAATCAATTTGGTCCAATTTAACCGGACCGAATCGTATAGCCACCCCTACTTTTTCTTCTCTTATTTTTACCCCGTACTTTGTTTCTGTTGGATGGGAATCCTGTGAAATAAATGAGGGTGAAGAGGAAGGAACACGGGCATGAAATTGGAAAGGGGTAGAAAGGAAAGAACAAGAGCAAGTGGTTCCATTGGCCTTCATGGTATGTGAAATGAAAGCTAGTTTCTCAACTAAGTTATTTATCGTTTTGTGCGATCATGTTCGGTAAAAAAAAAATGTATCGATGATAACATTCCTGAATACTATGACATCTAAAAAGTAATCTTTGAACGTTTAACGGTTGTCTACTCTCTAAACTTTGTCAGCAATATCGATATTCGCTGACGGTTAAATTCACATTTTACCTCCCTGGCATAAACGAGATTGTAAGCAAAGAAGAGACACATCAACCAAAAATATACTTCTTTCTCTCTCGTTCTTGTCTAAGAGCAGATTTAAGGAGTCCATCTCACGCTCAGTTCGAAACTTGAATGAGCGGAGGCTATCTTTCTCTCTATGTTGACTTTTTTCCATCTGCTTTGAGTCTCTTCGCTTTACCTTGACAACGAAGAAGACGATAATTCTCTTTCTGTTTTCCAAATTGATTGTTTCTCACAAGATTCCTGGGTTAAATCTCTCACTCTTCCCCTTTTCTTGCCTTCAAATCCCCCCTTTTTAAACTGTCTTCTACCGTGACGCTTACATCTTTCGTGTGTGAGAGTCGCACTTCCTCATAGTAGTTAAGAGTACCACCTAGCTGCCAAACTCATAAAATTTGTCAACCATGTCAAGCGGGCTTAAACAATATCAATGATCTTTATCTTATAACGAGATGGACACATCGATTGATCATAGTGGATTTTGATCATTTCTTGACGAAGTACATTCAAACGAAGCACGATCTTCTGGGGTTGCAAAATTAACTTTGTTTAAGAGCTAAAGTTTTCCTTCCTAATTAAACATAGGGAACATGTTAAACAGTTTCCTCACTCAAAGTTCAAATATGTTATTTGAAGGCATGGGTACTTTACTTTCTATGTATTTAATCAAACCTTTCAATTATGTCTACCCTGCGATAAAGAACACCCTTAATTAAAGAAAAGAAACGGGAAGAACATGCCATGATTTTGTACAATATCACAAGCTAGTCACTACCCCATTTTTGCAATGATAAGGATTATGTCAACTTTGAGAAACTTAAACCCCCCAAAAAATATCAGTGTCACTAGTGGATAAGCTATTATTAAATTGATTTTTAGACCTCTATCTAATCCTTACTCCTAGCTTGAAGAGATATATGGTTGATAAGAAAAAAATCAAACCCAATAGTTGACAAAATTGCAAACTAGAGTATACGTGGTTCTATCATCTAAGATAATGTAGAGGATTTTGATTAATTAAAAAAAAAAAAGAGTACGGGTGAGTTGATGGCCGGTTTAGAGAAACGAATGAAATAACATCTACATAAGTTACTTCAAATTCTGATGAAAATTTCGTCAAAAGACCAGGAGAGTGATTATATTCTTAGTAAATTTGAAACCAATTATTGTTTCCCATCACTAATCAAAACTAGCAATGGTGGATAAGATTGTGTACTGATCTCTAGACTCTGTGCTAGTAGTGGGAGAGGTACATAGGTTGATAAGAAAAAAGTGAAAAACAAAACCCATTGACTTAATTTAAGCACACAATTAGAGGATAAGGATTGAAATTGGTTATACACTAATTAGCAATTAGTTCCTGGGAATACTAAGATAGTAAGATGCCAATAATTTTTCTTATTCAATTAAAACTATCTCTCACAATCATATACAAACCCCAAGAACCAAGTTGCAACACTTTTTTACACAAACAAGGCAAAGCCTTAATGGAAGGAGAAAGGGAAAGATGGAGTGGATGTGTGCATATCTTGATCATGATGGTGATAATAACTTGCAATACTGCACAAAAATTATGATGATAGCTAGTATGTTAGTTGGGGTGATAATCTAACTCGAACTCGTGGGTGTCCAACCCGAACCAGTTAAAGTGGATAAAACTTGGCGCTCACGGATTTTGAGTCGGTTGCGAGTTTTACCCGCTTTTTAATTGATGTGTTGGCTGGTTGCGGTTGTGTCCCTGAATTCATGGGGTTCCCATGTACTCATGATATCCACTGTGTTAGGTTTTCTCTTCCAGAACCTAGTGATGAATGTTTATCGAATCTTTTCGATGGATGCATGCGCTGAATTGAGTTTAGATTTAGAGAAAGCCGATCCGACCTCGACCATGTTCTATCCCTATATGGCGGTGGTAGTGGTGGCATCCCACAAGGAGGTTAGTACACTTATTAGACGAAGGAAATGGGGGAGACCAAGGGCAGCCCAACTTGAAAGCTAAAGGGATATATGTGTAGGTTTATGGAAAGATCATTTTGGATATGCATTGGCGCTGCCCTTTGTTTGGCTTTTGGTTGGGGAGATTGCCCAAAAATAAACAAAGAGGGAGGAAGAGGTCGACATCAGTCGATGGCCACAGTCCAACGCCTAATGGGGTCGAGCGGACGCCAACTTCTATCTTCATATCCAGATAGTGTAGTTTGTGAGGTGAGGCCATGACAAGTAAGTTATGACTGCTCATTGTACAACAGCTATCTTATCTACCCATCCATCCTTGCTTTTGTCGACCAACAACATTATCTACATATTGGTTGGGGGAGTTTGTATGTATATCATCCAAAAACATTTATAAAAAATGGAAATCTCGGGTTTCGAGTTGAGCAACACCGGTTATGATGTTCGCGGGAAGTTTGTAAGAAAAAATGTTATGGTGTCCATTAGACGGTTGAGGAGTGTCTGCCCTTGATCCAACGGAGATGCAGAGAGTTGCGAGCACGTTCTCACAGATAGAGGTGGCTATACGGTCCGGTCCGATTAAATTGGCCCAAATTGATCCGGTCCAGTCCTGTCTTTTTGAAAATATAAGGACTAAAGATTGGTTTGGATATAGTCCGGTCTTGATCCGGTTCGGTCTTGACCCGGTCCGGTCTCAATTCGGTCTTGACTCGGTCCGGTCTCAATTCGGTCTTGATTTTATATTGAGCTTGTGGGGATTTGAGTGGCCTAAGGCCTGAAAGGGTGAGGAGTTGGTTAAGTTTTGTACTAAGTGCAAAGGTTTGTGACCGTTTATGCAAATTACCCTTAAGTTTTGGGTGTTGAGCTCTCTTGTCCGGTCTTTATCTAGTTTTCGATCCGGTCCCGAACGGTTTTTTACCTCAAATCTAAGCCCAAAGATTGGATTGGATTGTTTGCTATCTGGTCCTGGTCCGGTCTCAGTCCGGGTTATACGGTTCGGTTTTGGGTAAAACCAAAAAATCCGGACCAAATAGCTAGCCCTACTCATAGATGGCCTATAAGCACAATAGCAAAAATGCAAATTGAGTTCTCTTGTTTATGGGACAAATTTTAAGTGTTATAGTGATGATTATAACATACAAAAATTCATGCTGGGTAAGTTTTCCGATCTTGCTAACGATAGGTTTGGAAAATTAAGGAGAGGAACGAACGAACAAATTTGTAGTCCGATAACAGTAAAACAACAGATGATCTGGTGACAGAATGATTTGAGTCTTAACAACTGCTCGTGAAGGAAGGAGAGAAATGGGTTAGCAAGTAAGATCTCCTTTGGATCCTGATCCTACTAATAGAGAGGATCCTACTAATAGAGAGGACGAGTCATGATGAACGAGGTTCTGATTTAAATGTTCGATCCGGAAATCATGAGTTATTGAGAGTGCACACCCTAGAATAGACCTATTGTCGAAGTTGGAAGAGAGAAATTTTAAAACGAAAAATAGAGATGGGAATCTAACGAAATATTTAATTAATTATAGTAGGGTACTAGCTACTAGGGTTATGAAAGTCGGCCAGACGAAAGCTTAACAGTCGTAAGAGTTCCAAGGTTTATGGGGTTGAGCTACGATCTAGGGGTGGTGATTCGGTTTCGGGTTTTCGATTTCAAGCGAAACTAAATTGGTTTTACAAGTTTATCGGTATCCCTTAATGTGTAAAAACCGACAAGTCCTTAACGATCTTTGCTCAAAACCACAACAACAAAAAACCGTTAATAAGCCTTTAATCGTTTCAGTTTTGTGCAATTGACTAATTCATATTCCGATTTCTAAATTGTGTTTGGATCAGTTAACCGTAACCGAACGACCACCTTTTACTAAGCTAGGTGGAATGAATCCCTTATCTCTTCATTCATGACCTAGGATTGATGACCCTAGCTTGTAACCGTATGATATGCCAAACCCTGGCCATATGTTGCCCATACTCCAACCCCAAACCATGAATGAAGAGATTCACAACCAGACGTTACAGAGATCTCCAATGGGATCATCAATCCAATTAATGGTGGGCTCTCTTATCATACATATATATTCACTTCGTGCATAGTAATTGGGCTGCGTCGTTTTGTGCCGGCTGGGGTGACATCGCCATGTGCATGTACCTTCCTCAAACAAGCCAATGCCACTCAAAGATTATACGTATGGATTTGAATCCTTGTGGATCATAATGCATGGCCGGTTACGATCCGGTTAGCATATGAACATGGGTTCGCTCGAGGTCTAATGGTTGTCATGCAGGCAGCATGCCGATTGGTTGAATTTTTCGTCGTGTCGGTTGAATCTGAGTTAATCGGTGCTAGCTAGTCATGAAATTGATGATATTGATTTTCATGTTTTACATATTTTTATTAAACTGCCATAAACTGACACAAATCAGTTTTTATCACCGATCAAACTATTCTACTTGCTCAACTGGCACAACGATATAAGCCGGTTTGACAACCTAACACGAGGTGGACGATCCAACTAATGTCAACACATATCGAACCAATCAATCCCATGCTATGGATAAAGCTTGGCAGGAAAGAAAAAAAAAAGGTTCAGGATTCAGGATATCCTGATCTTGTGGTGAGGAGATTGCTGGAAACAGGATTTTGATGATCACCTAGGAAAGTGTTATTGTTCTTTTGTCTCTTTTCATCTATGGTTCGAATTTTCGGTTTTCTATTCGAATATTTTTGTAATTTATAATATGTACAGCTACCATACCAATGCCAATTATTTTGTTGTGATATGATGGAATTTGTATTACTTGGGACTTATTATAATTGTCCCATATTGAGAACAAGAATTGGCCAGCCTGGCTTATAGCTATATACATGGTTGGGACTTTGGAGCATTGGATAAGAAAAAAAATCAATAAATTAATATCCTAGTAATTTGGAGGGACCAACTAATTTTTGACATGTTATAGATGTTTTGAATTTTTAGGATTTCTATTATTATAATACAACTTATTTTCTTTTCGGTATTACTTTACAATTAGAGGTGGCAAATGGATTGGATTGATGGGTTGGATTGGTGGATCCATGGATCAAATGGATTGGATCAAGTGGATTGGTGGATTATGCATGAACCCAAATGACATCCTCAACCAAGGACCAATATGTAAAATGTAAAAAGTTTAGGTACTAAAATGTCATAATGAAAAATTTTAGGTACCAAAACGTAATTTTCCAATGATATTTTTCGTATAAAAAATTAAATTTTAGGTACCAAAATGTAAAAAATAAAAATTATAGGTACTAAACCGTAATTTGCCAATGATCCACCAATCCAATCCATGAATCCACCAATCCAATTGGATTTAGATAAAATGGATTGGATTTAAATGGATTGAATTAGGTGGATATTTTTAATGGATTGGATTGGTGGATTGAATTGAAATTGCCACCTCTATTTACAATCTTAGTACGTAGAACATCAATTGAAATGCATGATAATTGACTCTAGTCGTCGAGTTTTGACTCATAAGTCATAGGTCTACGAGTACAAGGTAATAAACATTCTGCAATGGAATGTTAATTTCATGAGCAGATATGTGCCCATTGGGCTGGAGAAGGCCCAAGTGAAAGAAGCCCAATAACTAGTGGGCCGAGAATGTAACTAATGTACAAAGGCTTATAACCAGAGAAGCCCAATAACTAGTCATTCGTCAACAACACTATAGTCATAGTGTAAGATACCTCACTAGTTGCATAGAAACTCTTCGTATCAATGTACCCTCCTCCTACTTCATCATCATCGCAAGCCATTAGCCTTGCTAATGGAACATCTACAATATAATATTAGAAAATTACAAGGATATTTAACATAGAAAATTATACAACATCGATATGATGTACGAGAATTAAATATAACATTCTCAGATTATTTATATCGATATAGGATTCATAGGATATATTTGCTTCAGCAAATTGTTCAATTATTATAACACGTAATGATAACTGAAAATACTTATAATGATAATTGATTCTACATTTCCTATCCAAAACTTGGTTTGGTATCAGAGTTTTCAAAAGAGCATTCCAACTACACAGAATTAATAGGATATATTTGCTTCAGAAAATAATTTAATTATTAGAAAACATAACGATCATTGTAAATACTTATAATGATAATTGATTCTAAATTTTCTATTCAAAAATTTATTTGGTATAAAGTCTTCAAAAGAGGATACCAACTAAATAATAAAAATTAATATTTTTCATAAGTCAAAATAATTTTTTACAATACGAAAAGTAGAATGACCAATTATGAAATTTAGAAAATGGAATATTCCAAGAATATTATGTTAACTTCAACGGAATGCACTTAACATTAAGTGGTACCGGGTGCACAAATAATAGAGTTCAGTAGTACCCGATGCTCTATTCAAATTTAAGTGGTATGTTTGTCTCAATTCTCAAACTTAAATGGTGTCCGAAGTATTTTACCCGCTACAAAGATTAATTAAAAAAAGGTCACGTCTCAATTAGGCTCGTAGGGTGGTGGAAAAGTACTAATTGCCAATTGGACACTTGTCTAGTTTGTGGCTTTCACACTTTTGCCACTCTCGCACCTTGTTTTGACGCATGTCCCTCTTGTAACGTTCACCCTTTGCGAGAAAATATAGTTTATACTTTGGAGATCGAATCATAAAGAACACTCACAAATCACAACTCTTGCATATGGTGAAGCTTCCTTGATAACCGTACAAATTCGGAAGAATCCGAGTCCCACCGATCTCTTTGTTTGCACACTCGACAACACCAAGCAACCCAAAAAAGCCTGCAAATTCGTGGCTTCCATGAAAATGACAAAGGAAGGAGAAGGAAGAAGAAAGACGAAAACAGAGGACGTGAGGGCGAAGGAAAACAGAGGAAGGAGAAAAAAGAAAAGATCAAAACTTTAAGCAACAATTTCCCTCTAAGCAGTAGTTTACAGTAGTGGGTTGGTACGGATGTAGTGCTTGTTTGTCAGTCTCAAGTTGAATCCTCACCTCATTGCACGAACAATAAGGAGGAGGGTTCACTTCACCTCCCCACTTTCTTTCTCCGCCCCCAACATTTTCAGGGTTCTCTCTTTTGCTCCTTCCATCGGATTTTCGCCATGGCGGCGGCGAAGACAACCCTGAAAGCAGGGACAAGGCCGCCGTGGGTAGGTCTCGGGGCGGCGGCCTGGGTCCAGATTGCAGCGGGGAATGCGTACAACTTCCCGCTTTACTCCCATTCCTTGAAATCCGTGCTAGGTTTCAACCAGCAGCAGCTTTCTATGCTTGGAGTGGCTAATGATATCGGCGAGAACGTTGGGGTTATCCCTGGAATCGCCTGCAATTACTTGCCTCCGTGGGTTATTCTCCTCGTCGGATCTTTGGCTTGCTTCTTTGGCTATGGCGTCCTGTGGCTCTCCCTTAGCCGCACCGTTGAATCCTTGCCCTACTGGGTGGTGAGTTTTCTTGTCTAATTCTTTTGTTTTTGTGTAAAGTTCTGAACTTTATTGCGGGTGCCCACCACCCGTTTGATGAAATTACTTGTGTCTGTGTTCAGAATTGGTAAATTTTGGGATATCAAATGCACGTTCGTGGTGGGGCTTTTGATTGTTTGGTTAGATGGGGTTGCTTATTTTTTAGTATGTAGTCGAAACAGTGACATTTGCCAACCTAGAAGCTAATTACTTGTGAGACTTTGTGATTCCCATGGTACAAAGTTCCAAGCTTTACTGTCAATGTCGCCTATCCATTTGTTGGAATGACTTGATCTGATAAGGGTGTTCTTCTTGAGCTCAGGCAGTTTGTAAATCGAGATGAAGCTAAGCTAAGATTGTCTACTGTTTTGCTTGATTGATTAAATGGGTGTGTGTAACTTGCATCAATCTCCGATAGGGAGCTTCACTTTATTCCTTTTGGTGAGATGTTCCAACTTGGTAGTTAATAAACTCGCCTATTCCTATCTGCAAAGACCTAATCTAACCATGAAACTTTGTGCAAATTTACCTTTTTTCACAGCTCTGGCTAGCGCTATGCGTTGCTACAAACAGCAGTGCATGGTTAAGCACAGCGGTGCTAGTGACTAACATGAGGAACTTCCCTCTCAGCCGAGGTACAGTCGCTGGCATTCTGAAAGGCTACGGAGGAATCAGTGCAGCGGTATTCACCGAAATCTTCAACATCTTGCTCAATGGATCCTCCTCCAAGCTCCTCATGTTCCTTGCAGTTGGGACTCCCATCCTGTGTTTTGCAGTGATGTATTTTGTGAGAGCTTGTACTCAATCATCTGGTGATGACCCTTCCGAAAATTCCCATTTCCTCTTCATCCAAGGAGCTCTTGTAGTGCTTGGCGTGTATGTTCTGGCGAGCACTATACTTGATCACTTGCTTACCCTGAACCCTGTGGTTTGTTACACAATTCTGGCGATACTGTTCGCCCTCCTTCTGGCTCCTCTTGCTGTTCCCATTAAAATGACTTTTGTTCGAATGAGGAGTAGCAAATCAGTGTCCATCGGCGAGCGGGTGTCCTCTACTGACTCCTTGGTGCAAGGGGATGGGTGCATGGAGAAAGCTGAGCCGTTGCTGATGAAGACGTCTTCGTCCACAACTATAAGTGAGAGCTTTAGGGAATGCGACGATGGATCCGAGGTGGCAATGCTTCTAGCTGAAGGGGAAGGAGCAATAAAGAAGAAGAGGAAGCCTAGAAGGGGGGAGGATTTCAGTTTCAGTGAAGCTGTAGTGAAAGCTGATTTCTGGCTCATATTCTTTGTTTATTTCGTGGGAGTTGGCTCTGGCGTGACCGTGCTCAACAACCTGGCTCAGATAGGGATTGCACAAGGAATGCATGATACCACGATCCTGTTGTCTCTCTTCAGCTTCTGCAATTTTGCAGGGCGTCTTGGTGGAGGCGCGATCTCTGAACATTTCGTAAGGTCTGTTAACAGCATCAAAGCAATGCTACGATTGAACATAGCGCTGCTCTTTTTATATTGTGTTCCTAAAGTGTAATGCTATAATCTTCCATTTGCAGGACGAGAACAATCCCTCGAACAGTATGGATCACATGTGCTCAAGCACTGATGGTTGCAACATACCTCCTCTATGCATCTGCCATAGACGGGACCCTCTACATAGCAACTGCACTGCTCGGTACATGCTACGGGGTTCAGTTCTCTGTCATGCTCCCCACAGTGTCGGAGCTTTTCGGGCTGAAGCACTTCGGTATCTTCTACAACTTCATTGCACTAGGGAATCCTATCGGCGCATTCCTCTTCTCGGGCCTCCTAGCAGCATACGTGTACGATACCGAGGCAGCCAAGCAGCGGGGATCGAATAGTATGTTGCACAGTTCTGGTTTCTCTTGCTTGGGTCCAGACTGCTTCAGGCTAACCTTCTTGGTTCTTGCCGGCGCCTCTGCCTTGGGCTCCATCTTGAGCTTCGTACTAACCTTGAGGATCAAGCCAGTTTACGAGACCCTTTATGCTGGCGGTTCGTTCAGGCTGCCTCGGACGTCTGATGATCAGTAGCAGGGGTTGTTTGTTGTTGTAGAAGGAGCGAGTAGGTGGCTGAAGGTCTTATTTTTGGATGACCTAAGGAAGCAACATATATATGTGTGTAAGATTTGACTATTTGTAACACTGAACCTGGGCCTTGCGCTTTGTTTAGCTAGGATGGGCAAACCTTTGTGTTTAATCTGGGTGGCTGCATAAACTGTGATGCAGCGTCCTTTGAATTTGGTGAGTTGTGTTCTAACTATGGGGCAACCAACTTTGTGTCATTAGACGAATTCGACACACTTCTGGGGACTGCAATTATGAGGGATGTCTGGATATGTTGTATTAAGGTAAAGGGTGGTGCACAGCCACACTTTAGATGTATACCTACTCGATAACTTCATGAGTGTTTGATTCAAAGCATTCATGCAAAATACCAGAGAGGAACTGGAATTAAACTAAGTAGCCAAGTAGTAAAAAGAAGAACAAAAAGAGATGGTCCAGTTTGGACAGCTCAAGAGGCTATGTAGGCTCAAGAGCCACAGACCTGTAATCCTTCCACTACCCGGAGAGGAAGGTATTCGCTGCTCTGTGAAACCAGCCCTAGCGCATTACCCTTCGCTCTAGGGACCATGACACCTCCAGTCTTCACAAAGACACCATGGTCCAACTCCTGGTTTGGAACGGGCAAGTCAGATCTGGCAACCAGAGCCAAACCTTTGAGGCTGACCCAGTGTCCCATCTCAGTAATGCCTCCACTTGGATCACAAGCTCTCGTTACAGAGCTCGGCGAAGGCCAACAGTTTCGTAAATGAATATAAATAGCATTTCTATCTGTAGTTTCAGGATGTGGTACTGTAAAGTCTGCCACTTTGAAGCTATAGGTCACTTGACATGTCTCTACTTCCTCTCTCTCTCTCTCTCTCTCTCTCTCTCTCTCTCTCTCTCTCTCTCATATTGTCGATCTCCAGCTTCTGCAACTTCGTATAGCTCCTTGTCGGATAGGGACTCAGAAGGTTATTGTTTTCACCAGCAGAAGCTACCTCAACGGGAAGTGGAATCCAGGTGCAAAATTCTGTGGCTCAATTGCCTGATAGTTTTACTTTCGAATTTGCGCACCCAAAAGTGATTTAAAGCTTGTAATTTTCTTTTGAATTGGAAGATCGATAGAAATATTGCATGTTCGGATGGATGCTAAGGGCAATGTGGAAAGGTCCTTTTGTAGATTTGGTAGATAGAAGCAGCATTCTCAGTTTGCTGGCTCAAACACAGTATACTGCTAGCTAGGATTAATCTGGTAAAACGCAACAAGTTAAGGTACCATTAGAAAATTGATCAATCGGTCTGTTATGAAACCGTTGGATGTTTCCCGCCCATTCGTGTGTCTCTCTTCTTCTCCCCTGTACTGCACTCCAGCAGGATAAGTTGAAAAACCCCAAGTTTTGGTGACTAGATTGTAATTCTGTTTAATTTAGGGTTTAAATATGACAGTTTCTATACAAATGGGATCCGATTGTGGCCTAACAGACGAGGATATATATATGTGAGAGGGACGGAGATAACCTAAACCAGAGTTCTATCTCTGCATCTGCCGTGTCAAATCATTGAGAGATACGGCAGCTTGTTCAAAAAGGTCTCGAATTTTGGAGCAATTCGCCCGCTTCTCTTCACAGTTGTCTCTTTAGCGACGATTCTACGATTTATCAACTGTACCGTCGGCGGTTCCATGACGGCGCCGAAGTCCGGAGGCCATAGCCGTGTCAAAAATTGAGGTATTGAAACTGGGTATCTCATCATCCTTGGTGAATTGTTAGATTTTAGTCGATTGAAGTTGATATCTGCGCCGTCCGTAGCTCGGTTTCTATAGTCGCTCCGGGATTGCCTTAGGTTGATTGAATCGATTTAATGGCGAACACACTCGATGACTTGGAGGAAGATGTTGTGGTTGAGATTCTGTCTCGGCTGCCCGTGAGAACCCTATGCCAGCTCAAGTCGGTTTGCAATCGTTGGAATGCCATAATTTCGAGTCCCTATCTAGTTTCTACCCACCTCAAGAACTACACGAACGGCCCAGCCGGTGATGCCTACCAGACCCTCATGGTCTATGATGCCAACCGTTACTTGAAGCCAAAGATATTGCAATTTGAATTTGATCCTGACGGCGATGTATCTCGAATCTGGTATTTGGACAGCATAATGCCCATTCTTGCCGGACCCTGCAATGGCGTATATTTGCTGGGCTTTAGGGAGACTGAGGGTCATGTGTGCCTGTGGAATCCAACAACTGACTCGCTGTCTAGGACAATACCATTGCCCAGAACCGCGAATCAATCCGATGGTGTTGACAGCTTCGGGTTCGGGCTGCATAATTCAGTCGCTGATGATTTCAAAATAGTTGTGATTCGGCAAGTCTGCCCCCTTGGCGACTGGCCTTACTACCCTAGAGAGCAACCAAGAACAGGTTGTTGGTCATCTCCTGAGTTTCCTTCACAAGTGATGGTGTACACACTGGGCACTGGTACTTGGAGGGTTTTGGAAGAGTTCCGGCATCCACTCGAGATAGTTGGATTCACTGAGGATTACAGGTACTTGAACGGGTTCTATTTTTGGTTATGTGCACCTCCCGTTGGCTTTCGATCTTCGGAGTGATGTTTTCCGTGTGATAGACGACCCCATACCAGTCACCTTTCATGGACAATATGATAAAGAGATGAAGCAACTTTTCCTGTACAAGAATTCGCTTGCCTTATGTATTATGCAGGCGGGGAGTAGTGGTGTTGGTGGATTTGATATGTGGCTACTGAGCGAACAATGGTGCTGGATCAAACATTTAGCTATTGGTCCTTTCATTCCAAAAGATTTGGTGGCGGTTGGATGTTGGAGGAACAAGCAGATTATCGTTCGTACTGTAGATCGGACGGAGGAGCAGAATGACACTAATTTGCTATTGTTCGACCCTGCTACTCAAGCCACGAAAGTTTTAATCCTAGATTGTCTCCCCTCCGGAGTCCATTACTATAGAGATAGCTTGGTCAATGTAAGTGGATGAATGAATGTAACTATTGCTGGTGCGTTTAGCTGTGGGTCGGCCTTCTGTGTGTTCTATTTATTGCCGAGTGGGGGACTTAGGTCATTTTGACTTATGATTTGTTCTCGTGAAGGATTATGTAGCCTGTATTGCAATCACTATGTCCTTACTTTATCCGTGTTCATTGAAATTTCGACATGAAGTTAATCAGACTCTGCGGTTCCTTCTGAAGAGAGACCCAATTTAGTCTGTAAGTTTGGGGCTGTCTTCACAGATATGACTTGTTCTTTGCGTTGCTACTAACAGGCAACAGCAGTGGTTGGTTTAGCACGACGGTGATTGTAACCAACACGAGGAACTTCCATCTCGATCAAGGCAACATCGACATTGTCATCAAAGGATATGGAGGGATCAGTGAAGCAGTGTTCACTAAAACATACCATGTCTTGCTCCACGGTTTGTTCTCCATGCTCCTGATCTTTCTCGCAATTGGGATTCCAGTTTTGTGTACTGCAGTGATGTACTTCGTGAGAGATTGTCCTCAGTCTTCAAGTGACGATCCTTCTGAACATTCCCATTTCCTTTTCGTCCAAGGAGCTCTTATTTAAATCGGCATATACATACAAACATTCCACTGTGATCAAAGGGGTCGCACTGCTCTGCAATGCTCAACTCTGATGAATGAACTTTTTCTTGCATATTGAATCTCGTATATCATTTGTTAAGATATTGCATATTGAATCGGAGTATTGAATATTTAGAAGTGATATATAATTCTTAGATTATTAGTGTTAATTTTCAGCCCGGTTGACCAATAGCCTTAGATCTCTTGCTAATATGAAATGATTGGATTCAATAATCATAAGATGAGATTTACTTTGATATGCTGGTTCAAAACCATATTTTATGTGTAATAAATTTGTATTATGCATTTTGATTCTTTAGATAACTAAAATTGTTTAAGCGATGAACTGACTATACACTCACTCGATTGGTTTAACGAGTTTTTTTTATCACTTTTAGTAATTAATTTATTCACATGCTATCAAACTAATTTAATCCGTCGAAGAATAAGCGGTCATCTGTTCGCCAGGTTTCAAGTGCTCTGATTCACACTGTCGACTGTGAATAGAGAAGAAGCATTTCGAATGCAAAATCGGAGAAGTAATTGGATGTTTCTAGATTTCTCTCGATTTGTTTAAGAGATGAACTGACTATACACTCACTCGACTGGTTTAACGAGTTTTGTTTTTATCACTTTTAGTAATTAATTTATTCACATGCTATCAAACTAATTTAATCCGTCGAAGAATAAGCGGTCATCTGTTCACCAGGTTTCAGGTGCTCTGATTCACACTGTCTACTGTGAATAGAGAAGAAGCATTTCGAATGCAAAATTGGAGAAGTAATTGGATGTTTCTAGATTTCTCTCGATTCCGGACAGTAGGAAGAAAGAGGAAGGGAAGAGTGGTGAGATACAAAGCTCAAAGAGAGATGGAAGAACAAACGGATGACTTCTGCACCACCTTCGATGATGACTCGAGAGAAATTGTTGGAAGCTACAAGAGATATCACATCCCTAGTTGTAAGGAGTTCAGCGAGATACAGGTTAGAGATCCCCTGATGCTGGACACTCAAGGCGAAGGGAACATGCCCGTCAGAGCCACGAACCACAAGGCCAGACGAGCATCTGGAAGCTTGGACAGCGATATCAAAATTGATCTTCAGAAAATCTTGAGGAGGGCTTTCCCAGAGATGGCTAGAAGACGCAGGAGTACGAGGTTCGGGAGTTGAGGCAAGCGGCAAGGAGGTGAGCACTTCAAGGACCTGAGACCCTCCTGGAGAATGATAATGTTATTCGTGATATGCCTACCAGGGACAAAACTCGTTTGGGTGGAATGGACCAAGTGACTCATGAGCGGCTTTATCCGGTTCACAAGGACCTTGGCAAACGTCTTGTACACCACATTGCACAACCCAATAGGCCGAAACTGAGTGATGGACTCGAGACTCTCCTTTTTCGAAATCAAACATAGGAGAGTAGAGTTGACCGCCGCAATTCGACTCGGGTCCTCCACTTTTTTAATTTAGGGTTAATACCTTATTATGGCCTGAACTATGACCATGTAATCAACTTTGGCCCGTGGTTTGAGAAATTAACATCCTGGCCCGAACTCTGCAGCATATAGACAGAATTGGCCTGGAGCGTGGTTTGACCGTTTGTTTGGACGGTCAACACCGTTGACCGTTAGTCAACTGTCCAGGTCACTACCATGTCAGCACAAAAAAATATAATTTCAATTTTCTTTTTATTTCCTTTACAAAATTAAATAATAAAAAAATAATAACTTTTGGCCACCCATCCCCACCTTATCCCCTCACCTTCTTTCCTTTTCGATCAAAGCCAGAAAAACCCTATCTTCCATCTTCTTCTCCAGATAAGATGTCTCTCTCATTCTCCTCCTTCCTTCCTCCAGTTCCTCCCCCTTACATCAGCCGCCGCACTCTTCCCCGAAACCTCCCCGCCTCAGTCCTCCACCGCAATCTCATTCCCCCTTCCGCCGCCGTCTCCCCGGCGACACTGGAAGCAAGGAGAATTTCCAGGACACCGCCCGCCGCCGCGCCCCTATCAAAACCATCAAGAAGACACTGGACCGCAGAGAAAACGCCAAGGCCTGGGCCAACACAGTTACCGAAGCCCTCTCCAACTCCATAGCCAACAAACAATGGCAGCGCGCCCTCGACGTCTTCGACATGCTCAAGCCCCCACCCCTGAACTCTACACCGCCCTCCTTGCTGCCTACTGCCACAGCAACCTTATCGAACAGGCCTTCTCCATACTCGACGAGATGAAGTCGTCGCCGCATTGCCAACCCGATGTCTTCACCTACAACATGTTACTCAAGTCCTGCGTAGATTCATCCCGATTTGACCTCGTCGATCAAATCTACCACGACATGGACCAACGCCTCATTTCCCCCAACACCATCACCCAAAACGTCGTCCTGAGGGCCTATGGGAAAGCCGGTTTGTACGACCAAATGGAGAAAGTCCTATCTTCAATGCTCGTCCTGGTGGCCTATGGGAAAGGCCTATGAGAATGGAGGCGGCGGGTTATGGGGAAGAAGATGGAAGATAGGTTTTTTTGGGTTTGATGGAAAAGGAAAGAAGGTGAGGGGATAAGGTGGGGATGGGTGGCCAAAAGTTATTGTATTATTATTTTTTTAAAAATTTTTCTTTATTATTCAATTTTGTAAAGGAAATAAAAAGAAAATTGAAATTATAATTTTTTTTTGACATGGCAGTGACCTGGACAGTTGACTAACGGTCAACAGTGTTGACCGTCCAAACAAACGGTCAAACCACGTTTTAGGCCAATTCTGTCTATATGCTGCATAGTTCGGGCCAGGATGTTAATTTCTCAAACCACGAGCCAAATTTGATTACATGATCATAGTTCAGGCCATAATAAGGTATTAACCCTTTAATTTAACTCTCCGGAATTCGGGTTGCAACCAAAAAGATCGAGAAAACTAAACTTGGTAGATTTCAGCAGTGATTCCTCTTGTTGACTCTTCACTCTTGGGTGGGGCGCTGTTTGGAGGACCCCTACAACGAAATCAACAAAAAGATGGAGCCACGGTACCCCATCATTTCTGAAAGAAAAGTGGGGGAAAGCCATCTTTCCCTGGGGCCTTAAATCTAGATGGATATAGATAATATAGGATATCCCGTACATTGAAATGTACCTTCGGCGGATTTCCCGACTCGTGAGTTTTTTTTATACGAAAGATAATCATATATAGATTGAAACAAAGATAGTTACATCCTGGCCAGGCCTGAAAATCAAATGAACGACTTGCAGTCGGGAACAATGACAAGGCCTTTCTAGCCACCACATGAGCTACCTTATTGCTACTCCGACCTACAAATCGCAAACTAAAACCCATCCTCATACCAAGCATTTGAATAACTTCTTCCAAAATAGCCCTTACTTGCTTGTCGCCGGTATCGCCACACAAGATTTTCTCAATCACCAATTTTGCATCGCCCTCAAATCGCCGGTAGCAAAGAACGAGCTGACTGCTTCAATTACTGAGGCCTCAACAATACCCCAGAAGGCTTTGAAAAAATTTCCCGTGAAACCATCAGATCCAGGAGCCTGTTTTGACCCCATCGCGAATACCGTTTGACGGATTTCACTTGGGACCTCCGCCATGAGAGTAGCATTCATATCCCGACTCATGAGTTAGCACGAGACTCCTTTAAGTTTACACACTATTAAATTATTTTTTCTACAATTTGGTCTATTTACTTATGCAATGTTTTTGTTGTGTAAGGTTTAAATCTAGGTAGCTTAGATTCCAAGTTTATTCTTCAAGAATTAGGATTCCAAGTTTCAAGTTTGTAGCATCAAACCAAAAGTAACCAAAAAGTGATGGTCTAGGTAGCTTAGATTCCAAGTTTATTCTTCAAGAATCAAGCATAGGAGAGTAGAGTTTACCGCCGCAATTCGACTCGGGTCCTCCACTTTTTTAATTTAACTCTCCGGAATTTGGGTTGCAACCAAAAAGATCGAGAAAACTAAACTTGGTAGATTTCAGCAGTGATTCCTCTTGTCGACTCTTCACTCTTGGGTGGGGCGCTGTTTGGAGGACGCCTGCAACGAAATCAACAAAAAGATGGAGCCACGGTACCCCAGCATTTCTGAAAGAAAAGTGGGGGAAAGCCATCTTTCCCCGGGGCCTTGAATCTAGATGAATATATAGATAATATAGGATATCCCGTACATTGCAATGTACCTTCAGCGGATTTCCCGACTCATGAGTTTTTTTTACAAAAGATAATCATATATAGATTGAAACAAAGATAGTAACATCCTGGAATTCAGCCAGGCCTGAAAATCAAATGAACGACTTGCAGTCGGGAACAATGATAGGGCCTTTCTAGCCACCACATGAGCTACCTTATTGCTACTATGACCTACAAATCGCAAACTAAAACCCATCCTCAAACCAAGCATTTGAATAACTTCTTCCAGAATAACCCATACTTGGTTGTCGCCGGTATCGCCACGCAAGATTTTCTCAATCACCAATGTTGCATCTCCCTCAAATCGCCGGTAGCAAAGAATGATTTGTCTGCTTCAATTACAGAGGCCCCAACAATACCCCGAAAGGCTTTGAAAAACTTCCCCGTGAAACCATCAGATCTAGGATCCTGTTTTGACCCCATCGCGAATACCGTTTGACGGATTTCACTTGGGAGGACCTCCGCCGTGAGAGTAGCATTCATATCCCGCTCATGAGTTAGCACGAGACTCCTTTAAGTTTACACACTATTAAATTATTTTTTCTACAATTTGGTCTATTTGCTTATGCAATGTTTTTGTTGTGTAAGCTTTAAATCTAGGTAGCTTGGATTCCAAGTTTGTAATCAAAACCAAAAAGTGATGGTCAAGTTTGGACAGCCCGACAAGCTTATATGGGCCTGAGAACCACCGGCCTGTTATCCCTCCACTGTCTGGAGCGGGAGGCCGCGCTGCTCTTTAAATTTATGGTGCTGACTTTTTCGGTATTATCTCGGATACCATTTTATAATCTTGGCACACGTAGAAACTTAATTGGAATACGATGATAATGTCTCTACTCTCTAGTCATATAGGTTAGAATCCTATGTCTACAAGGTAAACTATGATCTAAAATGGATCGTCAATTTCATGAAGAGATATGTACCGATTGGGCTGGAGAAAGCCCAAGTGAAAGAAGCCCAATAACTAGTGGGTCGAGCAAGTACCAAGTACTACTCCATTTGCATCCATCCTTAGGGAAACTAATTGGACCCTTTTCCATGGACCAGGAAACCGGATCGTACCGGCCGGTTCAACCGGAAATCGGACAAAAAACGGGATGAGATGAATTTAGTGGCAGAATTATCGTATCGGCCAATTTTTTCGGTTTAACGGGCCCAAAACGAAATACCGCCCGATTTTGTTCGGACCGGCGGTAGGCATTTTACAATGAAACGCTGCTGTCTTATGCAGCAAAAATGAAGGGAGAAAAAAAATGAAAAACCCACTGCCAAACCCTAATCCCTGATTGAATTCTCGAAGGCTTTCTTGGTTTCTTTTATTCTCCAATTTCACGCCCCGCCGCTCCTCTTCTCTTTGCCAGCTGACCCCTGCCTCTGACGACCGGCGAAGAGGACGAGGCGACGAGCTCGCTCAAGAACGCCGTCGGGCCGAGTTTCATACCATGCTCGAGTCTCCTTCCCCTGCCCAGTCTCATCCCCTACTCGAGATTGACCAGATCTGTGAGATCCACCAGATCCTTCGACAAGATCTGTGAGATCGACCAAGGAGGCAAGGATCTGAGGCTCGAGCTATCCCCTTCCTCTCTAGCCTCCGGTGGTCCCTTCTCGCACAATCCCTCTTGAGCCTCTACTCTTGTTGATTTGGTGCTGCATTTGTTTGAAAGGCAGAGGAGGTGGAATCGATTTTGATAGTGAGAAGGTACAGGGAGAAAGAGGGAGAGAGAATGAGTATGGGAAATTGTCAAATGGATTGATGGTGGTGAGGGCGTACAGGTAGAAGAAAGGAGAAGAGAGAAGGGAGGTAAATTTTGATAGTGAGAGGGTACATGGAGAAGGAGGGAGAGAGAATGGGTATGGGAAATTGATTGATAGTGGTGACTGGTGAGGGCATTTAGGGAGAAGGAGAACCGAGAAGAAAGGAGGAGAGAGAGGGAGATAACATTATGGGAAATTGATCCCAATATGGTATTGGACAGGAGGGATTTGTGGTGATTTTGAATAGTGGAATAATTTATTTTAGGAAAATTATGTTTATATTTTATGATTTTCGATTCGCCATTTGGTATATTTCGGTTTTATTCCGGTATTTTTTGGAACGATACAATGTTTTGGCCGGTATGGTTTTTTCACAAAAAAATATTTTATTATTACTAAAACGATATTTAACGGTATGAAACGGTTGAATCACGGTCCTACCACAAAATACCCTACCAGAAACGAATCCGATATAATGTCCGGTATAGGTGTCAAAACATAGCCCGACCCGATTAACCCGCCCGATCAACCCGACCCGCAACCCGAATTGACTAAAAGTCAACAACCCGTAACCCGCCTGACCCGCAACCCGATTGACCCGCAACCCAACTAACCCGCAACCCGACTAACCCGCAACCCGATTAACCCGAACCCGATTGACCCGCAACCTGACTGACCCGCAACCCGATTAACCCGAACCCGATTGACCCAAACCCCACTAACCCGTAACCCGACCGACTCAACCCGAATTTCATCTAATCCACTTGAATAATTATAAAAATATACGATACATAGTTTTTCAAAATAAAGTTTTTCATTCTAAACTTAAGTAAAATTGTTTTTTCATTTCGTATAAGAAATTTTAAAAATATGAAACTCACTTGATATTACGTATTTTAAGAAAATTACAAAAATTGAAACATGAAGGTCACTTGAGATCATGACAATATTAATACAATATATAAATTAAAATTTTGGTTAATTTAACTATTCAATAAAATTATCAATTAAATATAAGTAAAGTAATGTATTTGGTAATTTGATGTTTTAAAAAGAAGAGGGAAATTTTGGTGTATTCAAGTTTTTGGGAAGAGAAAGAAGAGGGAAATTTGGTTCTTTGAGTTTTTTAGAAAAGAAACAAGTGGAAATTTTGGTGGTTTTGATATGTGGGAAGAGAAAGAAGTGGAAAGTTTGATTTTTTTGATTATGAAAGAGAAATAAGGAGGGAAACTTTTGACTTTTCAACTTTTTGTAGAAGGAAAGAAGAGGGTAATTTGGTTCTTTAAATTTTATGGAAGAAAAAGAGGAGGGAAAATTGAGGTTTTCTAATGTATGAAAGGAGAAAGAATGAGGGAAATTTTAGTATATTTGTGAAAAGAAAGAAGGAAACAAATTTGGTGTTTTCAATTTTTTGGTTTTTCATAATTTTAGCTTTTGAAATATGAATCTTTAACTTTTATATGGAGTGCATGACTAGTTAAAATTATTCTTATATGCTTTGAAGGCTAATATGTATATATGTATGTAATTTTTATGGGCTAAGGTATAAGGTACATATGGTTTAGGGTGTATATGGTTAGGGTATAAGATATTGATGGTTTTGACGGTTCTAAGTTTTTTATTAACATATGTTCACTTGAAGTCATTTGAAGTCTTTAACGGCAGGAGATCCCTTTTTAATTTATGTTTATGGTACGTGGTTAGGGTACAAGGTATGTGGTGTAAAGTATAGGATATATGGTTAGGGTATAGCAATTAGCAAATATCACTTTTTATCTATGTTTTGAAAATCAAAGCATGAATTTCATTTTTAAATTAACTATACTAGCAAAATCACAACTCAAGGACATATGGTTAGGGTATAGGTTATGTGGTTAGTGTATAATGTATTGATGGTTTAGGGTATACAATCAACAACATATACTAACTTAATATTGTTGATTGAGGGTAAAGCTAAGTGTATAGGATATATGCTATTGAGTAAGTTATGATTGAAGTCACAATAATTTTGATAAATTTGATAGCTAATCTTTAATGGTTCAATTTTTAGGATAATTCGAACAATTTTACAAATAACTCGTTTGGCAACAGTTTACTAAAGTTATTTGGGCAATGAGTTATTTTGAAATAACTCCTTTTATCACTATGCTTTTGCCAAATACCGCACGCCAAATACCAGATTTGCATGGTTATACTAAACGAGATACTTTAATCCAATTACTACTGAATTAATACTAAAATATCAAATAAACAATTAACGGTGTCTTTTGGTTGCAAATATTGATATCTCCATCACTATTAGCTATAATACTTTACCAATTATGATTAATTACATAACAAGTTTGCAAGTCATACAAATTGATTTAACATTTTGACTAGTTTTATTCAAAAAAATAAAGTATATATATACGAGGTAGAAATAAATTGGTTAAAAAGTTGAGAAAATATTTTAAATTAGTGTAATAAAATGTGTAAGTTGGTAATGAGTAATGAGTTAAGTTACTTGATGCGCTGGCCCGAACAACCCGAAACCCGACCCGCCCGACCCAAAACCCGATGAACCCGCAACCCGATTTGCTCGCAACCCGATTGAATCCGAACCCGCAACCCGACTAACCCGCAACCCGTTTGAACCCGAACCCGATGAACCCGAACCCGATGTACCCACAACCCGACTAACCCACAACCCGTTTGAACCCAAACCCGATTGAACCCAGTCCGAACCCGCCCGATTGACACCTAAAATGTCCGGTACGGTTTCCTGAACCATGCCGTTTTCTAGTTTTTGGATTTCACACTTTTGCCACTCCACGCCTTGTTTTGACGTATGCCTTCTTGTAACGAACTATCGCAAAGCACAACTCTTGCATATGGTGAAGCTTCCATGATAAACGTACAAATCCAGAAGAATCCGACTCCCACCGATCTCTTTGTTTGCACACTCGAGAACAACAAACAACCCAAAGCCTGCAAATTCGTGGCTTCCATAAAATGACAAAGGAAGGAGAAGGAAGAAGAAAGACGAAAACAGAGGACGTGAGGGCGAAGGAAAACAGAGGAAGGAGAAAAAGAAAAGATCAAAACTTTAAGCAACAATTTCCCTCTAAGCAGTAGTTTACAGTAGTGGGTTGGTACGGATGTAGTGCTTGTTTGTCAGTCTCAAGTTGAATCCTCTTCTCATTGCACGAACAATAAGGAGGAGGGTTCACTTCACCTCCCACTTTCTTTCTCCGCCCCCAACATTTTCAGGGTTCTCTCTTTTGCTCCTTCCATCGGATTTTCGCCATGGCGGCGGCGAAGACAACCCTGAAAGCAGGGACAAGGCCGCCGTGGGTGGGTCTCGGGGCGGCGGCCTGGGTCCAGATTGCAGCGGGGAATGCGTACAACTTCCCGCTTTACTCCCATTCCTTGAAATCCGTGCTAGGTTTCAACCAGCAGCAGCTTTCTATGCTTGGAGTGGCTAATGATATCGGCGAGAACGTTGGGGTTATCCCTGGAATCGCCTGCAATTACTTGCCTCCGTGGGTTATTCTCCTCGTCGGATCTTTGGCTTGCTTCTTTGGCTATGGCGTCCTTTGGCTCTCCCTTAGCCGCACCGTTGAAGCCTTGCCGTACTGGGTGGTGAGTTTTCTTGTCTTGTTCTCTTTTTTGTTTGTAAAGTTCTGAACTTTATTGCGAGTGCCCACCACCCGTTTGATGAAACGATTTGTATCTGTGTTCAGAAATGGGTAAGTTTTGGGGATATCAAATGCACGCTCTTGTGGGGCTTTTGATTGTTTTCTTATGTTGCGTTGATTTCTTATGGACTTCTGCTTTTAGTATGTAGTCTAAACAGTGACATTTTCCAACCTAGAAGCTAATTACTAATCAGACTTTGTGATGCCCATGGTGTAAAGTTCCAAGCTTTACTGTCAATGTCGCCTATCCATTTGTTGGAATGGCTTGATCCGAAAAGGGTTTTCTTCTTGAGCTCAGGTAGTTTGTAAATCGAGCTAAGATTGTCTGCTGTTTTGCTTGATTGATTAAATGGGTTTGTGTAACTAGCATCAATCTCCGATAGGGAGCTTCACTTTATTCCTTCTGGTGAGATGTTACAACTTGGTAGTTAATTAACTCGCCTATTCCGATCTGCAAAGACCTAATCTAACCATGAAATTTTAAATAAATTTACCTTTTTTCTCAGCTCTGGTTAGCACTATGCGTTGCTACAAACAGCAGTGCATGGTTAAGCACAGCGGTGCTAGTGACTAACATGAGGAACTTCCCTCTCAGCCGAGGTACAGTCGCTGGCATTCTGAAAGGCTACGGAGGAATCAGTGCAGCGGTATTCACCGAAATCTTCAACATCTTGCTCAATGGATCCTCCTCCAAGCTCCTCATGTTCCTTGCAGTTGGGACTCCTATCCTGTGTTTTGCAGTGATGTACTTTGTGAGAGCTTGTACTCAATCATCTGGTGATGACCCTTCTGAAAATTCCCATTTCCTCTTCATCCAAGGAGCTCTTGTGGTGCTTGGAGTATATGTCCTGGCGAGCACTATACTTGATCACTTGCTGAACCTGAACCCTGTGGTTTGTTACACTATTCTGGCGATACTGTTCGCGCTCCTTCTGGCTCCTCTTGCTGTTCCCATTAAAATGACTTTTGTTCGAATGAGGAGTAGCAAATCAGTGTCCATCGGCGAGCAGGTGTCCTCTACTGACTCCTTGGTGCAAGGGGATGGGAGCATGGAGAAAGCTGAGCCGTTGCTGATGAAGACGTCTTCGTCCACAACTATAAGTGAGAGCTTTAGGGAATGCGACGATGGATCCGAGGTGGCAATGCTTCTAGCTGAAGGGGAAGGAGCAATAAAGAAGAAGAGGAAGCCTAGAAGGGGGGGAGGATTTCAGTTTCAGTGAAGCTGTAGTGAAAGCTGATTTCTGGCTCATATTCTTTGTTTATTTCGTGGGAGTTGGCTCTGGCGTGACAGTGCTCAACAACCTGGCTCAGATAGGGATTGCACAAGGAATGCATGATGCCACGATCCTGTTGTCTCTCTTCAGCTTCTGCAATTTTGCAGGGCGTCTTGGTGGAGGCGCGATCTCTGAACATTTCGTAAGGTCTGTTAACAGCATCAAAGCAATGCTACGATTGAACATAGTGCTGCTCTTTTTATATTGTGTTCCTAAAGTGTAATTCTATAAACTTCCATTTGCAGGACGAGAACAATCCCTCGAACAGTATGGATCACATGTGCTCAAGCACTGATGGTTGCAACATACCTCCTCTATGCATCTGCCATAGACAGAACTCTCTACATAGCAACTGCACTGCTTGGTATCTGCTACGGTGTTCAGTTCTCTGTCATGCTCCCGACAGTGTCGGAGCTTTTCGGGCTGAAGCACTTTGGTATCTTCTACAACTTAATTGCACTAGGGAACCCTATCGGTGCATTCCTCTTCTCGGGCCTCCTAGCAGCATACGTGTATGATACCGAGGCAGCGAAGCAGCGCGAATCGAATAGTATGTTGCACAGTTCTGGTTTCTCTTGCTTGGGTCCAGACTGCTTCAGGCTAACCTTCTTGGTTCTAGCTGGTGCCTCTGCCTTCAGCTCCATCGTGAGCTTCATACTAACCTTGAGGATCAAGCCAGTTTACGAGACCCTTTATGCTGGCGGCTCATTCAGGCTGCCTCGGACTTCTGATGATCAGTAACAGGGGTTGTTTGTTGTTGTAGAAGGGGCGAGTAGGTGGCTGAAGGTCTTATTTTTGGATGACCTAAGGAAGCAGCATATATATGTGTGTAAGATTTGACTATTTGTAACACTGAACCTGGACCTTGCGCTTTGTTTAGCTAGGATGGCAAACCTTTGTGTGTAATCTGGGTGTCTGCATAAACTGTGATGCAGCATCCATTGAATTTGATGTGTTGTGTTCTAACTACTGGACAACTATGTGTCATGACATGAATTCGACACTTCTGGCATTTTCGATTTTGAGGGATGTCTGGATCTGTTGTATTAAGGTAAAGCGGGTGCACAGTTTCAGCCGTATACCTACTTAATAATTTCACAGAGTGTTTGATTCAAAGCAGTCATGCAAAATAACAGAGAGGAACTGGAACCAAACTAAGTAACCAAGTAGTGAAAAGAAGAACAAAAACTCAATAAATTCACATAATGTTTGATTTCAAAGCATTCATGCAAAATAACAGAGAGGAACTGGAACTAAACTAAGTGACCAAGTAGTGAAAAGAAGAACAAAAAGAGATGGTCCAATTTGGACAGACCGAGAGGCCATGCAAGCCCTAGAGCCACCAACCTGCAATCCTTCCACTGCCTAGAGAGGAAGGTGTTCGCTGCTCTGTGGAACCAGCCTAGCGCATTACCCTTCACTCTAGGGACCATGACACCTCAGTCTTCACAAAGACGGATAAGGGATTGAGAAGGTTATTGTTTTCAGCAGCAACGGGAAGTTAATAATTGCATGTCGGATGGATGCCAAGGGCAATGTGGAAAGGTCCATTTGTAGATGTGGTAGATAGAAGCATTCTTCAGTTTGCTGGCTCAAACACAGTATACTGCTAGCTAGGATTAGTCTGGCGTAAAACACAACAAGTTAAAGTACCATTTGAAAACTAACCAATCAGCCAGTTATGACTTATGAAACCGTTGGATGTTTCCCGCCCATTCTTGTCTCTCTTCTCTAACCTGCACTACCCTCCAGCAGGATAAGCTGTAAAACCTTTTCTCACTTGCCTGATAAATGATAATCAATCAAGAATTCTCTCTCTCTCTTTGGTTCATGATTTTTTGTGAAACCCATATCCGGCCAACATCGCCGTTGGCATGGAACCGGAAGTTTTGGTGACTAGATTGTAATTTTTTTTTTCAATTTGGGGTATAAATATGACAGTTTCTAACCAAATGGGATCCGATTATGATTATAGCTTTAACCTAACAGACAAGGATATATATGTGTGAGGGAACGACGAGAACCTAAATCAGAGTTTTATCGTTGTATCTGCTGTGTCAAATCCTTGAGAGGTATGGCGGACGGTTGATGTGGGGCAGTCATTGATCAAAAAGGTCTCGACTTTTGGAGCAATTCCCTCACTTCTCTTCACTGTTGTCTCTGCAGCTACGATTCTACGATTTATCAACTGTACCGTCGGCGGTTCCCTGACTGCGCCGAAGTTTGACGGAGGCCGAAGAGGTATGCGCGGCGCTAGAGTCGGTGGTCTTGGAAGTCAGAAGCTGTGGCGGCCGGAGCGTCGTTGGAAAGATTGACATTCTTGCTGTCAGAGGGAGTAGTGACCTGAGAATTTGATCGCCGATCTCTTTTTCTTCTTCGCCTTCTTCAACTTATTCTTTAGAGCAACCAGATAGGTAGCTCTTTTGACTGGAAGACAAGGATGATTTCGAGGTAAAAAAAGAAGGAATGGGTTCTTTAAATAGGAGGACATCGGGCAGCGAGCGACATGACAGTTGGGCGACCAAGGAAAAAGCCTACTGAATTTAAAAAAGGGGCAGGTGATGCGACATTCCAGCTGCCCATTCAGAGGCGGAGCCAGGATTTGAAGATTGGTGTGGTCGGAATATATTTTCGTATAATTGTAATAAAAATAATAAGCAAAACATAAGCATTTGCTAATGGCATAATTTTTTATAATCATAAAAAAATATTATTTATTATTATTATAATTACCAAATATAAAACTTGATCGAGACCGTACTAAATATTTTTGCTACCATATTTTGAGATAAATGACTAAATTAACAACATAAACTTATCATTCTCTTAAATTTGTATTTTGTTATTCACCATTGTTATAACTGAAGAATTAAAAAAATTAGTTAATTATTATATATTTTGGATGATCTTTTAAAATATGAAAGTTAGATGACTATATTAAATTTGAAGTTAAGATAGAGGATGTCACGAGATAAAATATGAATAGCTAAATGTTAGATTGAATTAGGGCTGGGAAAATAGACCAGACCGTTAGAAAAACCGTGGTTCAAACCATATCACACAGTTTGGTCTGGACCGTAGACCGTTAAGTATGGTCTGGTCTGGTCCATGGTCTGTATTATTTTATGTTTTGATCTCTTGGTCTGGTCTGGTCCAGACCGCGGTTTACCGGACCAAACCGTGGACCCAACTGACTTGTCAATAAGTGTTAATAGCCCATTCGATCACTCTCCCAACTCCCACAACGACACCCAAGTCTCAACCTTAATTTTGAGAATCTCGTCCCTCCTTCATTCACAACAACATTTAACCAGAGAGTAGAGATAATCGTGTCTCCATATGACATTATGTTAATGTTTATAACGTTATGGTGCAAGTTGGGATGCTTTTACCTTGTATTTTTGTTATGTACTAAGATTTAGGGTATCGAAATTATTCATGCATCTTAGGATTATTGTTTGAAGGCAAATAACAATTATTTTTCTTGGTTATTGGTTCAATTTTTTATGTGGTTGACTAAACAAATTATTCATTTTTCTTTGAGTGTGGTCTATCTTGACCAGACCAAACCGAACCAGACCGCACAGGCGTGGTCTGGACCAGACCGTATAGTCTGTGGTCTGGTCTGTGGTTTATACTTCAGCCTCTCGGTCTGGACCATAGACCGTATATATGGTCTGGTCTGGACCAGACCGCACCGTTTCCCAGCCCTAGATTGAATTCATCCCAATCTTCTAGACTAGAATATCAAACTATGTTTCACTTTTGCACAATTGTAGTTTTATAAATTATGTAATTTATACAAAACTTTTGAAACTATCAATTCATTTTTACTCGATCTTCAAAATTCTCGCCCCCGTGGGAGGGGGGGAGGCAATGTAGCTCCGTCCCTGTGCCTATAGTTAGGGATCGAAACCAAAGTATCGACACATGTCATGGCCCGTTGAAATAGGGAAAAGAGAGCCCAAGATTTAGAGATGCATGGGACGTAGGCGGAGGTGCATTAAACGCGCTAAAAGTTGAGCATGCAACACTTAAACTTTGGAGGCGAATGAGACACATTGAAGGAGGAGTGCATAAGACATGTTGAAGGTTGAGTGCACAATCTTTAGGCGTGTCGTCTGCGATTTTTCGGACGACAAGGGGAAAATGGGATGTCATGTTAGGAAACAAGACCACTCAACAAGCAAGAAGACTACTCAGTTAGCCACCAAAACTCGTAGCTTTTCCCGCCAAAGGGCAATTGTTGGGCCACATGTTGGGCGGTACTGGGTTTTAAGGCCCAATAGAGGTACCGAGTAGCCCAGTCTAACAAGGAGAGAGAAACCTTGACCCACTAAGCGATCAGGTAGGCATACTTTCCTATCTTAAATGGGATGGTAGTTAGACCGCCTGACATAAAGGGTTGATAAGTGACAAGAGACATTGATTCGGAAGGATATTTACCTCGGGGTAAGCATGACTATGCACTAATTGTCTACTTTAGGCAATCTTTTGGAAGACAAAACATGTTTAGGACGCCTAAAATAACATTTAATGACCTAATCTCTACCTAACCGTGTATAAATACCCCCTCCACACACACACATAAGCATTGATGGTAACTCAACTATTTCTCTTATCTCTAAACAACCAATCTTTCTAATTTTCTCTCTAACTTAGGCATCAGAAAGTGTCCTGGGCAATCGCCTACGAACTTTTATCTGCAGGTCACGGGAGTATCTTTCCTCCGCTAGGAAAAAATGCCCACTCGTGCTTCATCAACCGCCTAGGAATTCTAGGCTCAAACGATATCCAACCATATAAAGTTCACTGTTTGGTCCTATTAATTACATCAATCAAAGCCCCTCAAAACCACCTGCTAGCTCTTGTCGATTCACCATATGGATGATATGGATCTCGCCTTCAATACAGGTGTCCCTCGAATGATGGACGATCCATTCACACTCCACTCCTTCTGCCCGTGTGCTCACTAGGGGCTTCGTCTAAGGTGGGTCCGAAATGAAAATATAGAAAAATAAACTTAATTCATATTTACAATGATCCACTATGTATTTTCATATCTTGAAAAAATTGTAAAATACATTCATCATCCAACCTATTTAAGATAGTTCAACCCTTCATCACTCATTTGATTTCATAGTGTGCTACTGTGTTCTTCAGATAGTTCATTGTTGAAAATAATGTTTCGACACTTGCGATGATGACTTATAACAACAACGCCAATTTCACAAATCGATCACTAATGCAAATGATCGAAACTTTTTTGACACCACAGTCTTTCGGCTTCTCAATATAGTGATGTGGTTTCTATTCTTCGTGGTAGCATGAAGTGCTGCTTATTTTTTTAGCCCTGTCTACTACCTAGGGTGGGTCCGGGAACCCAGGCAATTGCTCTCTGCCTTTGCCCCTGGTTCTCTCCAATGAGTTTATGCATACCAAGATCTTTGTAGATAATGCAAACCTCTTTTGACGAAGCAATCTAGAAGAACTGGGTGGGCAGATTTCTCGACCCCTGGAAGGGTGTAGAATGCATCCATAATGGTTTTCTTCGTGTAAACGCCTGTGGTAATTTCTGCACGTCCACTGACTGAACCAACACTGTACAGGTGCCCTGTAGAAGTTATGCCGGTATCAAAGTTTTAAGGACTCCTTGGATTACAATTTCGTGCTTGTAGTATTCACGGTTCCAAAACAGGATATGGCTGCGTGTATCAGACTTTTAAGTAAGACCGACCCACATGCTCATCCAACCAAGACCAATGCCATTAAAATATCTTATCTGCAGCATTGACGTCATTCTAACTAAGACAATGACAACAAGAGTAACAAGACATTTAAGACAAATTGTAAACATTTCAATTCTCCTCATCCACTACCATGATTGTGTTTTATGTTTATAAAAGATAAACAATTCAATTGTTTAAGATGGATGGATAAATAGTTTAACTCACAATCTGAATTACGAAATACTACTATGCTCCTTTCTCCTAATGAAAGAGGCTAATCCAAAATACTTACCACAGTGCTGTAGTCCACAATCCGTTGTCGTTGTGCAGTCCAATCCGTGGACGGAGGACCAACACAGTACTTAACCGTTAGACCATTGTTGTCCATCGGTCAGACGCTGTGGACAACCCAACAGTCTCTCACTAAGCTAGACTCGAAAGGAGTATTCAATTTTTGGAGCAAAAGCCGTAAGCCCATGTTCGCACGAAGAGTTCGACCACTACGGTTTCTCCTCATCCACCAACATGATGATTGTGCTTTATGTTTATAAAAGATAAACAATTCAATTGTTTAAGATAGATGGATAAATAGTTTAACTCACAATCCGAATTACGAAATGCTACTATGCTCCTTTCTCCTAATGAAAGAGGCTAATAAAAAATGCTTACCACAGTGTTGTAGTCCACAATCCGTTGTTGTCGTGCAGTCCAATCCGTGGACGGAGGACCAACACAGTACTTAACCGTTAGACCATTGTTGTCAACCGGTCAGACGTTGTGGACAACCCAGCAGTCTCTCACCAAGCTAGACTCGAAAGGAGTATTTAATTTTTGGAGCAAAAGCCGTAGTCCATGTTCACACGAAGAGTTCGATCACTACGGTTTGTTTCATCTTCGTTGCCACATCCAACAATACAGAAGTTTGAGTAGTAGATTTGTGGGGGGGGGGGGGGGGCTTATTGTTGGTGGAAGATTGGCGACTTGGGAAGGGAAGGCGACGGTCTTTGACTGGTGACTGGAGTTGGTTGCAGCTATGTAAGAACTACTGCCCAAGGCGTAGTCGGCGGCAAACATCAACACAGCGAAGGATAAAACGACGCCTAGAGTAGTGGAATATAGAGAAGAGATGTTAATCACCATACGCTTGACCATCTCCATACCGTCATTAGTATATAACACCGAGACTTTCGAAGAAATTGGTCCCTACCAGTTGCTGAGATCTAGTCGATTGGGGGGGGGGGGGTACTGATGCTCCAAAACACAACACCTAACAATGGCCAAGTGTAACCAATGAAAGGGACTGCAGTATAGTGGCACAAGTAATAAATATCGAATCCACGGGTCTCTAGAGTTACTATTACTCAGCTTCAGTTCATTATCTAGCAAACTAGATTAAGGATTGATTAACTAAACTACTCTACTAACTAAACTAAGTAAAACTACTAATTACAGTTTGGGAACTCACTTAGGTATGATTCCCCCTAGCTCCTCAATTAGGTCCAAGTTGTAATTCATTTTGGTTGATTTACTGTTGATTAAACTGCGGAAGATCCGACAGTAGCTTGGAATCTCTTAAGCTGACCAAGCCCTCTCAGTCTAACTATCCGGCAGACGACTAGTCTTCACCGGGATAGAAAGCTGAAGCAATAAGCACAGAACTCCACTACTGGAATTGGATTCCAGTACAAAGCAGTAAACTGGCTAACTCTCGTATAGCCAATCTCCTACTACCGAATGATGAGACTCTAGCAACCTAATCAGATTCTATCTATCTCAGATTGCAGCAGGAATCAGGAAAAGTTGATCAGACTTCAATTGACTCAATAAACATGCATCATTCGATTATAATCAAACAATATAGCATCCAAAACTTCATACAAGAAAGATCCTAACTCATGGAACTAAGGTTCCTCAAAACCTAAGTGAAGGGAAGTTACTCCATAGAGAAGAGAGAGACTGCAGAAATCTGATCTAGATCTTCAATCTCTATCTCCAAGCTTGATTCCCGAGCTCCAATGGCGAAGAAATCTTCCAAAATAGCTCCAAGAATGTTCCCAAGTCGCTCTCTCTCTCTAGGGTTCGTCCCTTGGGTGTTTGGGATCCAAAACCCAGCTCTCTCTCTTCTTTGGTTCGGAATTTGGCTTAAAACCAGGAAATCCCGACTCGCACGGCCACGGTGCACGGCCGTGCACATCACCATTCTGGCCGTGCACCTCAAAACGCGGCGTATCAATTAGTTGAACCTCAGCCAACTCGCACGGCCAGAATTGTATGTTGCACGGCCGTGCGTGGCCACGCACAATCCCGTGCGTGCCCACGCACAATCCCGCACGGCCAAACTGGTCACTTGCACGGCCGTGCGTGGCCACGCTGGTCTGCCCGTGCAGCTTGCTCAGCCTCTGTTTAATGCTTCGTTTCTCCCTCGTCCGGACTCCGAATCAATCGCCGTTTGATCCCAGACGCTCGTAGTCTCGTCCTCTTTCGTTTCATAACAAGCTTGCCTGATTCTTTGTCCATAAAGTGAGGTAGAAATCCATTCTTCTTCAGGTCATGCCCGAGTTTCTTCTCTCGAATCGTCAATTGATCTCTGATTGACTTGAAACTTGCGCCTATGCTTCACTTTATGTGCTAGGACCTGAAATGGGACAAAGGAACACAACCTAGCATAAAATAGGCCAAAGACGCAATAATTCAAGCTCAAACAATCAAGAAACAAAGGGGAAAACATGTGCAAATACCGAGTCATCAAATCCCCCCACACTTAACTGTTTGCTTGTCCCCAAGCAAACCTAACTCAAACCAATGCAACTCTCCAGACCTCTATAGCAACAAACAACCCAGATCGTAGGTAGAGGACTTCCTAGATCATTTAGCAGCTTACGAGGTCAACCGACGCACAAGTCATCTCATAACTTCTTCGGCGAGTCGGCATCATGGCAAATAGTGAACAGAGGACAAATGAATTGTGGATGAGGAGATTCTCAAAAACAACAGATCATGGACTCACATTTTTCAAGGTGCTCTATTTTCTGCTTCTTGAAGATGGTTGAGACCCCTTTTTTTTGTTTTGCTTGTTTTCTGATATTTTTCTTTTCTTTTCTTTTTCAAGGGTCCCAACCTGCTCTTACCGGCCATGCCAGGAGCGGATGTCTCGAGCCTCGTGCGGGGGAAAGACATGTAAGGGGGCTGGAGGTAGTAGGTGGAAATTGGGAACGAATTCCCGTCTCCCCTTACACACTTTCGCCCTATTCGCACGGGAGACGTTTATTTTGAAGCACATTTTCGAGCACCTGTTAAACTCAAAACATGATACAAGAGTCCATGACAGGTAGAGAATCCACAACACCACACAATTCAAGGGTCCTAAGATCACTAATTCACTCAATCAACCAACACCATATGAAGAAGCAATGAGACTTCTTAAATGCATCAACATCCTCCATAGTGCTACACTACCTCCCTAGGTTGCATATTACTATAAAGACTGTCAATTCAAAGCATACTGAGCAGGCAATTGCAAGGAACACGTACTTGGAGCCCTCAAATTTAAAAATTTGGACAGTGGACTAGGCTCCAAGCACACAAACAGCCAAACATTCACCCGCATACATAATCGAACATCCCCCCACACTTAAGCACGACATTGTCCTCAATGGAGGAAAGATAAGGAGGGTAGAACGAAGTTACCAGATCAAGGGTGAATGATGATGTACGGGTCAGGCGGTGCATCCCAGAAAGAGAGAGTAATCAGAACACAAACACCACACAAAATCTCACAAAGGTTGAGTTATTGACTCTAAAATCAAATAACAAAACTGACTCAACCGAGGATAAATAGAGAAAGAAATGCAAACCGACTGGTTGGGTTGCCTCCCAACAAGCGCTTCTTTCACGTCGTGAGCCGGACGATGGCTCCTAAGTTTCGGTCCATGCTAGAACCTCCTTGAAGTTGAGGTTCTCGTCGATGAGGTGGAGTCTCAAGTCACGAGCATGTGGTGTGGCAGGTGAGGAAGGCTCATGTACTTGATGTAGATGAAGTCTCCACCCTAGAGACCTCTTCTTCTCTTCTCTCGTCTCATTGCCCCAAACCAGATATGACAGCATCGATTGGCCACCATCGCGTCCACCAAGAGGGACCGATGTCGATGTGGCCTTGGTCTGGCAAAGAGACACTGCAAATGGGTCCTTGCCAAGCAGCTCCTCGAAGTTTGGTGGGGATATTACTTGCAACTCATGGCCGGTGCATGCCTCTTCCACCTCAACTTCATCCTCAGCCTGGACGCCAATTGCTTCCTCAACCTCTCTTTCTTCTTCATGTGGTATCACCCCTGGGAAAAGATCAAGAACTCCTCCTGCTTCACTTTCTTCATCCTCCACAACTTCTTTCTGCACCCTTTCTCGCTCTTCTTCTTCCAGCACGAATTGGAGAGCAAGTCTCCATGCAAGGTTCTCGATAAGTTCAGCTTGCATCTCCTCACTCGAGCCCAGCATGTCAGAGTGGAAATGGTGAAAGTTATGATCTACCACCAGAGGATACACTTGATCATGATTATCATGGGAGCTTTCTGTGACAACTTCTGTATGCTCCTCAACATCCTCATGATTGCCTTTTTCTTCCTCCTCCTCTACTTGTATGGCAGCATAAAGGTTGTCTTGAGAAAACTGTGAACAAGCTTTCTCAATGACCTCTAGGTGCTTCTTTATGCTCCGGATGGTATCCTCTGTTTCACGGGGGAAGGAAAAGTCAGTTTGGGCAATGGCCTGGATATGAGGATCCATCTCGGGAAAAGATCTCTCAGGTACTCGAGCAATCTGCTCCACGAGAAGCCTCAATTCATAGTTTGGATCTGGCTGTGGAGTGTAGCATGGCTCTGCAGAATGGCCCGTGAAGGCCGCCATGGGTAACTCCAGATCCGATGGCCCTTCTGGTTGTGGGAGAAAGTCTTCTTGGTAATGAGGTTGTTCTTGATATGCCCAGGGGTCTGATTGTTCTCCGTAGTAAGGGGGTTGGTACTGGAACCCGAATCCATAGTCTTCTCCTCCTTGATTGCTGTAGGGAGTAGCGGGGTAATACCACTCGGATGGTGGTGGATACCCCCACTGGTTGGAGAAGCCATTAGGATCCATGATTCAGATCTGCACCAACAAAAACAAAAACACCCAAGTGAAAAGCAAGGGTGGAAAAGAAAAGAAACGAAAAACGCTAAAGTAACAAACTTCTGCCTTTCCTAATACTCTAGAAAGTCCCCGGCAACGGCGCCAAAAACTTGATGCTCCAAAACACAACACCTAACAATGGCCAAGTGTAACCAATGAAAGGGACTGCAGTATAGTGGCACAAGTAATAAATATCGAATCCACGGGTCTCTAGAGTTACTATTACTCAGCTTCAGTTCATTATCTAGCAAACTAGATTAAGGATTGATTAACTAAACTACTCTACTAACTAAACTAAGTAAAACTACTAATTACAGTTTGGGAACTCACTTAGGTATGATTCCCCCTAGCTCCTCAATTAGGTCCAAGTTGTAATTCATTTTGGTTGATTTACTGTTGATTAAACTGTGGAAGATCCGACAGTAGCTTGGAATCTCTTAAGCTGACCAAGCCCTCTCAGTCTAACTATCCGGCAGACGACTAGTCTTCACCGGGATAGAAAGCTGAAGCAATAAGCACAGAACTCCACTACTGGAATTGGATTCCAGTACAAAGCAGTAAACTGGCTAACTCTCGTATAGCCAATCTCCTACTACCGAATGATGAGACTCTAGCAACCTAATCAGATTCTATCTATCTCAGATTGCAGCAGGAATCAGGAAAAGTTGATCAGACTTCAATTGACTCAATAAACATGCATCATTCGATTATAATCAAACAATATAGCATCCAAAACTTCATACAAGAAAGATCCTAACTCATGGAACTAAGGTTCCTCAAAACCTAAGTGAAGGGAAGTTACTCCATAGAGAAGAGAGAGACTGCAGAAATCTGATCTAGATCTTCAATCTCTATCTCCAAGCTTGATTCCCGAGCTCCAATGGCGAAGAAATCTTCCAAAATAGCTCCAAGAATGTTCCCAAGTCGCTCTCTCTCTCTAGGGTTCGTCCCTTGGGTGTTTGGGATCCAAAACCCAGCTCTCTCTCTTCTTTGGTTCGGAATTTGGCTTAAAACCAGGAAATCCCGACTCGCACGGCCACGGTGCACGGCCGTGCACATCACCATTCTGGCCGTGCACCTCAAAACGCGGCGTATCAATTAGTTGAACCTCAGCCAACTCGCACGGCCAGAATTGTATGTTGCACGGCCGTGCGTGGCCACGCACAATCCCGTGCGTGCCCACGCACAATCCCGCACGGCCAAACTGGTCACTTGCACGGCCGTGCGTGGCCACGCTGGTCTGCCCGTGCAGCTTGCTCAGCCTCTGTTTAATGCTTCGTTTCTCCCTCGTCCGGACTCCGAATCAATCGCCGTTTGATCCCAGACGCTCGTAGTCTCGTCCTCTTTCGTTTCATAACAAGCTTGCCTGATTCTTTGTCCATAAAGTGAGGTAGAAATCCATTCTTCTTCAGGTCATGCCCGAGTTTCTTCTCTCGAATCGTCAATTGATCTCTGATTGACTTGAAACTTGCGCCTATGCTTCACTTTATGTGCTAGGACCTGAAATGGGACAAAGGAACACAACCTAGCATAAAATAGGCCAAAGACGCAATAATTCAAGCTCAAACAATCAAGAAACAAAGGGGAAAACATGTGCAAATACCGAGTCATCAGGTACGGAGACTTTTGAAGAAACCGGTCCCTAGCAATATGTTTTTCAGTATGTTTTGATTGAAAAATTAATACTTACTCAATTTTGAAATTTTTTATTTGAATTACAATGTTGGATGAGCAATGAATGTTCTAGTGATTGTTGTAAAAGATGAGTATTTTGGTGTATGTTGGATATTTCATTGACTGATTGACCCTTATGGATTGCCAACTAAATAATAAGTGCTTCTTTCACAAATTATTTTCGTTTTTAAAATTGTCAAATCTTTCTTTTAAGATTTTGGGGTTTCATTTTTCTTAATATGATGTTAAGGGGTGCACAGTAAAGACAAAATGCAGCAATACAAAAAATTATTAATTGTATATTTGTATACAAGATTACCTCTAACTAATCCACTGAGGATAATAAATGACAATAAAAAATATTGTACATTTTGTTTATAATTTATCATATTTAAAGTAGTAGAGAAATATTGTTGTAATACTAATATTTTATAGTATGAAAAAAATGATATTTACCTTCTTCACTTTGAAATTGACATAAAATGAATATTAAATTTGAATTAGAGATGTTCAGAGATGAAGATGTTTAATTTTCTAAACTGAATATACGTTGCTGAAAAATAAAAAAAATGGAGTTAGTTGTTGCTTCATGTTTATCTCACAAATTATGAATTAACAAATATTTCATATCCTAACAATAAAAAAGTCTATCAAGCATAAATCAACAAAAAAAATTACCGTTTATGTAGGAAATATGAGAATAAGCAAATCAAAAAAATATGTGTAACAATCAATTTGAAAGTGAAAGAACTAAAAAATGATTCTTTATCTCTCGATAAAGCACCATCTTTGTTAGTTTCAAAATAATGTTTGGTTATCGACCCCAAGCTTCCAAGTGAGACCCCTCCACATTTGATTCCAGGCAAGATTGTTTTCACTTGATAATTCAATCTACATCGAGAAAATATATATTCTAATTAACAAAATGAGAAAGCAATAACAACAAATGTAAAGAAAGAATATCACACTATTTGTTTTCAGAAAATCATAATTTTGGGTATTAAAATGTTTAAACTTCTTCAACTTAACATACTATAAAAGACAGATAAACACTTCAACTAACGAGGCTTACAATATGGTATTGTTTAGGACATGGTACTCTTCTCCCTCATTTCCTGCTGCTCAGTTTGCAATCACTGATTTTCATTCGTATATCTTGTAATCCACAAACAAAATGTGTGTTATAAATAACTATTTTCATATTTGTGATGGAAGACTATTGTCACTTGATAATTCAATCTATATCGAGACAATAAATATTCTAATTAACAAAATGAGAAATCAATAACTACAAACGGAAAGAAAGAGTATCAGACCATCTAAGCTTCACTATTTTCCTTTAGAAAATCATAGTTTTGGATATTAAAGACGTTTAAACTTCTTCAACTTAACATACCAAAAAATATGGATAAAAAATCCAACCAATGAGGCTTACAATATGATATTGTTTAGGAAATGATACTCTCCTCCCTTATTCATTGGTGCTTACTTTGCAAATATTGATTTTCATTCTTATATCTTGTAATCTACATACAAAATGTGTGTTATATGTAAGTATTTTCATGTTGTTTGTCTCACACAAATATAGAGAACCTTAGTTCATCAACATTAGTATCTCTAAATCCCTAATAATCAAAGTTCAAAAACACTAGAATGAATCACATAGACTCATTACTAGGGTGTACGAGCAGTGAGCCAATAATATATGTTTTCGTGTTTGTAATGGAAAGTTGTTGTCACTTGATAATTCAATGTATAGTGAGACAATATATATTCTAATAAAAAAAATGAGAAAGCAATAACAAAAAACATAAAGCCAGATGGGTTCTCTGCTGGTTTTTTCAAGAAGACATTGGGTATTATTGGGGAGGATGTATCCAAAGGAATTCTGTAGTTCTTCGACTCAGGTATTCATCCTAGTGGTATTAATTCCACACCAGTTTCCCTATTACCTAAGGTCACTAATGCTGATTCACTTAGGAATTTTAGGCCTATTTCTTGTATAAACCTACTTTACAAGATAATAGCTAAGATCCTAGCGAACAGAATTAGAGGTATAATGCCTTTAATTATAAGCAATTCCCAATCTGCATTCATTCAAGGGAGAAGTATCATGGATAACATTCTGTTAGCACAAGAGTTAGTCAGTGGGTATAACAGGAGGCATCTTTCATCTCGTTGTGCGATCAAAGTTGACATAATGAAGGCATTCGATTCAGTCAACTGGAGGTACTTGTTCATCATGATGAAAACTATGGGATTCCCTGAGAAATTTCTATTGTGGATCAGAAGCTGCCTGCAAACTGCACACTATAGTTTCAATATAAATGGCAGTCTATGTGGGTTCTTTCGTGCAAAGAAGGGGGTTAGGCAAGGTGACCCTTTGTCACCTTACCTATTTACAATTGCTATGGAGGGCTTATCCACACTGCTGAGAGAAGCTAGCCTATCAGGGAGGGTGCCTTTTCATCCTCAATGTAGAAGGGTGGCCCTGAATCATCTCTGCTTCGCTGATGATCTTCTCATCTTTACCAAGGGTTCTGCACAGGCAATTGTACAAGTTAAAGCTGTTTTACAACACTTCTATAGGGTTTCTGGACTCAATTGCAACCCAACAAAATGTGAAATCTATTTTGGTGGTGAATCAGTGCTATATAAAAGTAATGCTCTAGCACTTTCGGGTTTTCAAGAAGGAAAGTTGCCAGTTAGATACCTGGGGCTGCCTCTTCTGGCAGGAAAACTCTCTTCCTCTGAAATTGATATCCTAGTTGACAAAATTACAAAACGCATCAGATCATGGAGGGCTAAAAAGCTCACTTATGCAGGGAGACTCCAGCTACTGAATTTTGTGATACTAGGCATTGTTCAATATTGGATGCAATTATTTGTTTTGCCTAAACAAGCATTAAAGAGGATTCAAAAAATTTGCTCACAGTTTTTATGGCATGGTACTGATGAGGGTAGGGCAAAGGTTGCCTGGGAGTATATTTCACTACCTAAGCAGGAAGGGGGACTGGGAGTGAAGGACCTGGGAGCATGGAATCAGGCATGTTCTATTCGTTTGCTTTGGCTGTTTCTCATGAACTCTGGAACACTTTGGGTGGCGTGGATGAATGAATACAAATGCAGGCAACATGATCTATGGTCTTTTCGGGTGCAATACAATAGTTCTTGGGCCTGGAGGAAGCTCCTGAAGCTGAGAGATGTGATCTCACTCTGGATGAAGAAGCAGAATGGCAAGGTCTATTGGGATTCGAAGGAAATGATGGTTTACTCCATTCGCAGGGTCTGGGAAACCTTGAGAAACAAGGCTCCCAAGGTCTCTTGGTACAAGCTAGTCTGGGGCAGGAATTGCCCACCTCGCTTCAGTTTGATTGTTTGGTTGATTTTAAAGAAGGCTATCATTACAAAAGATAAGTTGCAGAAGTGGGGCAAAATCAGAGATGCTTCTTGCCCACTCTGCGATTTATCAATTGAAAGCAGAGAGCATCTCTTTGTTCATTGCTCATATTCGCGGTGTCTTGCTGAGGATTTGAGGTGCAACCTCCTGCTACACCCAGATTGGGAGACGATGGTAAGTGCAATGACACAGGTAGGGAGTACTAGAACAAGAGAAAGGCATGCCCTGCTTTGGTGTTTGCTTTTGACTTTTATATGGAAGGAACGTTGTGGATTGATCCATGGAGTTCAGCGTCGTCCCCCTGCTCAGGTTGCAGACTTGGTTCGAGCTGATCTACAGTTTATTGCTTCTGGAAATAGAGGAGTTAGAGATACATTAGTTGAGCTAGGGTACCTATAGAAAGGCTTTTCAGTGTTGGTAGTTAGCTAGTTTACATAGTTACTGTTAGAAGTTGGAGTTGTTCTTCTGCGCGAGATTCTTTTCTCGACTCGTTGTATCGGTTCTTCTTGGAATAAAAGCAACTGATTCAACGAAAAAAAACTTAACATACTAAAAAAGATGGATAAACACTTCAACTAATGAGGTTTACAATATAGCATTGTTTAGAACTTGGTACTCTCCTCCCTCACTCCCCACTGCTCACTTTGCAATCACTGATTTTCATTCCTATATCTTGTAAACCACATACAAAATGTATGTTATAAATAACTATTCTCATGTTGTTTGTCTCACACAAATATCGAGAACCTTAGTTGATCAACATTAGTATATCTAAATCCCTAAGAATCAAAATTAAAAAACCCCACTTGAATGAAGCACAAAGACAAATTATTATGGTGCATGAGTGGTGAGCCAATAATTTTCTGCACGTATGTAATGGAAAACAAAAATGAATCACTTACCATATGCACGCAATCGGCAACCTACAATCGTGCTTACCAATTCAGCGAGGAGGTCCAATATAGAACTCTATTATCATCCTTAGGAAAGACGCTATGCACAACCAATGGGCTGTCATAGTGCCTGAGCTTTCAAAAATTGAGGTTAGCTAAATAAGAAGTTATGGAGTTACTTGACTCTTTGAAGGACAATGAGCAGCTAATTGAAAAGTTCATTGCTTATGACGAGGAGACCAAGTTTTCTTGACTCAAGATAAAAATGAGTTACTGTGAAGGTTTTTAGAAGATGTATTTTCAAATTCTTTACTAATTTCTTACGAACTTTGTTCTTCGGTTGGTTGTTTACTATTTTCTTACAAACCTTTTTCTTTGGTTGGTGTATTGGACTTCACTTGACTACTCGAGATAGAAGTTGTAGTTTGGCAAGGAAATTTTTAAGCAACCTGTCTTTACTCAATGGATACAAAACACCCATGTTTTAGCACCTAGCGCAACAGCTCCTACTCCTAGTGCAACAGGAAACACCTATTTTACTTGTTAATCTCTTCCACACAACATTTGAATTGTGTGGATCTAGGACTAGGTTCTGCTAAAATGCGTTAGTTAAATTAAACATTGTGAACGTAGACTCCTAAAACCAACTTGTGTTGTCTAATGTGAGTCCGAATCTAGGACTATGAGCTGCTATAATGTAGAGTCAGGGTGGTAAGATGCAGCTTCAATGCAAGGCCTCCAGGGACCATGTATGGGTGTGTTAGAAACCTAACTTACCTTGTAAATTTTGGGTTTTCATCACAACTTGCTCTTTGCGTTGCTACTAACAATAGTGGTTGGTTTAGCACGACGATGATTGTAACCAACACGAGTCGAGGAACTTCCCTCTCAGCCGATGCAACATTGGTGGTGTCATCAAAGGCTATGAAAGGATCAGTGCAGTAGTGTTGATTGAAATGCAATGTATCTTGCTCCACGGTTCATTTTCCAAGCTCCTGGTCTTCCTCTCAATTGAGATCCCCATTTTTTGTAGTCCAGTGATGTACTTCACGAGATGTAGTCCTCGGTCTTTGAGTGATCCTTATGAACATTTCTCGCTAAAATGCTTACTAGAAACCAACCACTATAGTTGACCACCTGCTTACTCCAAAAAAATCCGGCTTCTTCTCACAAATTTCTCATTGAAATGTTTTTCTCAGATGAGGCGTGAGATTATAGTTTTGATTTTGGGCAAGGAACTTCCTTTTTTAGAGAACACCTTGGAAATATTTGAAAAAGATCGAGTAGATAGAGATGACCCAATAAGTGATGATAAAAAAAAATTTGATGAGTACCACAATGTTGAATATGAGTTGGGAATTGATGATATCGTTAGGATGCATATACCAACCTAGATTTTACTAAAATAACCAACAGAAAACAATCTATCTCGATGCTCGAATACTAGTGTCATTGCTAAGAATCTATCATTTTCATTGCTTGTTATGAAGAGATCAAACGCTCTTGGCTCTAGTTACGAATTTTGCAATAATATTTACTCAAATGTGCTTTAAGAAGTTGTCCTATTTTTTATATGTGATTTGCAATAATAATATTTTCACCAGCTCTTAGTGTAATTTCATCAAAGGATTATGGACAATGAGCCGCTAATTGAATTCATTGGTTGATTAAGAGATCAAGCGCTCTTGGCAATAATTAATAACTAGCTCATTGCCCGGCCCTTGGCCGGATGTAGTCTCGGAAATTGACTTTTTGATTGTAACTGATGTTACTCGTTAACATGTATGTGGCGATGACAGGAGGTAGGTCAACAATACCATAATAATATGATGGAAAGTCATTATTCCATTGCATTACAAAAGAACCAGTAAAACATAAACACTATAATAGACAATCCAAACCAAGCCATTAGCCTTCAATATAGCCACTATTGCCATGCACCATGATGCCCCTAGAGTGAACATGAAAAAACTAAAGGAATGTTTACCTGACTCCAACTATCGATGGTAAAAATGGAAGTCACCAAGAGATTTCATAAGAAAAATCCAATATAGATTGCCCTTAGACCAAAAACCACAGTGATACAAAATGCGATGAATCTCTGGCTGAGAAAACAAAAACCAGCAATGTCTAAATCAACTCGATGGAATGCGTCGGTCAATTTTTTCTGATAAATAGTTTTGTTAATTAAAATGACAAAAAAAAAAGAAATACAAAGCATGCAATCTGCTTTAGAAATGTCATATACAAAACAAAAGAAACAGGCAAGCAATATCTGTCTGGAAGCACCAAGAGATAATAACTTCTGTCAATATACCTCCCCATTATTACGATTCTTATCCTTCTCTACAGCAAACACACTGATTGGTCCACTCTTACTCCTTTTTCGTGGAAGCTACATGACATTTTGCATCATTGCATATTAATTCAAACTACCATTCCTTGCTGCAATTTATGGCTTGGGATAATATCATTTCAGTCGTAATACAAATTTACATGAAATGAAAGAAATGATCATTATAATAGTCTTGTAAAATTTAGAGTACCAATGGCGATTCCTCTCTTCTCCTCGGTGGCTTCTGCAATAAAATGAGATTGATGACTATCTCTACCAACGTATTTTATACGATCATTGTATGACCTTTTGTATAAACCATTTTTATCTCACCCATTTTCGCATCACAACTCCAAGAGCTAACTTGTTGGGGTTCTCTTCTAGGTAAGCAACTTGTATCAATATCATGCATGAAAACAAAAATTGCTTTGGTTGAGATACTATAAGGATCTTGTGATGCGCTGAAGAAGGCTAAACCGTTTCCCATACATTGTCAACCCCCAATCAATTTGATGTAAGTCATTGCTCTCTTACCATCTAAATTAAATAGGAAGCTCAAGTTGACCTCTTTTATAGCTTCACTTGACAATTTCTTAGAGGAGATAAAATCACGATTCACAATTCTAGAACAACCACCTCCGATAATACAATCTTATGGAAACAACACTAATGAAGCACCCAAATTACAATTCCGTACATGTTTCCTATGAGGGTGTGCATGTGCAAATCAAGAAAAATATAATGATTAAGGAGAGAGCTTACTTGGCACCCGGCTTTGAGGAGCAAAAATCCCTTCAATAAATTCCAGGTGGAGATGTCCAATCGATCGGGTCTAGACATACGTATATATCAACATGCTATACTAAAAACACAAAGAGTTCGGTTTGTCCTTCCCATGACAACATATTCTCACAATGTATTTATTCCTTGCAGAGAGAATGATATCAAACCATCTTCTATCTGCTCCAATTATGGTTATCACTCGTATTTTTATATTGTAGTAATTAGAACACCACTTTTAAATCTGGAAGCAAGTGACACTGTCACAAAACATCATATTGTAAATACTTATATGCAATCATGAGGTTATTCCACTAAAAAGAAACCATGTTTTATATATTGAAGATTAGCATTATAACTTGAATAGTTTAATTTGGAAATGATCTCAACTCTTACATATAAATTTTGTGTAAAAGTGTTATGATTGAAGCTATTCTCTATGTTAACACTAATCAGAATAGTCATTGTTTACTAAAACTAACCACAAAAACATTTCAAATCGGAAAAATGATGGTACTAAACAGGGGTATCATAACAAAAGCAACAAAAATTATAGCTATTTATCTTTAATCATCTCAAAAGTCAACGTAGAAGATCAGCCATATGAACTGATATTAAGAGATCACACTTTGCTCTCAAAGAAACTAAATAACCCATCATTCAGCTCTCCAAGCAAGAAGACTCAACCTTTCGATATTTACCCCTCCGAAAATTGCTTTGCATAACAGTATAGGTGGAGAAGGTTAGGCGGTTGTCGAGTCCGATTTAAAGGTTTGGAGAGACGACAATGGTTGAGCGTTTAGTAGGCCGAGAGCCCGGGACACTGTATATCTTTAATCAACTCAAAAGTCAACCTAGAAGATCAACCTAGAAGATCAACCAAATGAACTGATGTTAAGAGATCACTCATTACTGTCAAAGAAGCTAAACAATCCACCAGACAGCTCTCCAAGAACACTCAAACTTTCCATATTTACCCCTCCGAAAATTGCGTTGCGTAACAATATAGGTTGAGGAGGTCAGGCAGTTGTCGAGTCCGGTGGGAAGGTTTGGAGAGACGGCGATGGTTGAACGTTTAGTAGGCCGGGACACCATTTAGACCCATTTACATTAGTTGCGTCTTTTCAATCCGCATTCGACAAACCAGCATCACTCAACCTTTCCATATTTAACCATCTTGTAAAGACACATGTGCCCCCTATTCAATCAAAACTTTTATGTTCAAAAATATTGTTGCTTTATGGTAGTTATATTATTTAAGTCTATGTCAAGATTTTTGCATCGCTTCTACACATTCAATACTGCAATCCGATGTGCAATATTTGCACCAATGACATTAGGCTTGCGATTTAAAATTATTCTCCATTTATAAGATAAATAGAAATAGAAATAATTATTAAATTTGAATTAAAATAATCAAAGTATGAGAATAGAAGTATCAAATACCAAAAATATATTTAGGGTAGAGTTAGTGGCTTAGCTAACTATGACAAAAAATTCCTATGATTTTCCAGATTTATACTTTCTGTATGTTTTTAATTTAAAAATTTTAAACAAATTTTTTTAGTGTAACTGATTATGTTTCTTGTCTTTTCTCAAAGAGATCACGATTCAAATCTCATCACCAATGTATTTTTCCTGTAAATAATAAAATATAAATGAGTGTGAAGACGAATCTACCCTTCTTAATTTTGCTATGGATGCAAGGATTTTCTAATGGGGGAAACACCTTTCCCATTTCACTATTATATTAGGTTTAGCGAAAGTAACCCGAGTGGTTGAGCTTTTAGTGGGTCGGATACTATTTGGGCTCGTTTACATCAGTAACGCCTTTTCCATCCGCGTTGGGCAAACCAACAACACTCAATCTTTCCATATTTACCCATCTAAATTGCTCTAGCGTAACAATAGAGGCAGAGGAGGTTAGCCGGCTGTTGAGTCTAATGGAAAGTTTGGAGAGACGACGATGGTTGAGCATTTAGTGGGTCGGGGCACTAATTGGGCTCGTTTACATTAGAAGTGTCTTTTCCATCCGCGTTCGGCAAACCAACATCACTTAACCTTTCCATATTTACCCCTCTTAAAGACACATGTGCCCCATATTCACTCAAAAGGTTTGTGTTTAAAAATATTGTTACTTTATGGAAGTTATAACAATTAAGTTTATGTTAAGAATTCTACATCGCTTCTAGACATTCAAGAGTGCAATTCGGTATGCAATATTTGAATCAATGACATTTCGGTTGCTAACCATGGTGGAAAAGTCCTATGATTTTTTTGATTTAAGCTTCTTGTATGTTTTTTATTGGAAAAGGTCCCACAAATGTGTTTATTGTAACTGGTTATGTTTCTTATCTTTGTTTGAAGAGACCACGGTTCAAATCTCATTAATGATCTACTTTTTCTGTAAATAAGAAGTTAATAAATAACTGTGAAGACGAATCTACCCTTCCTACTTTCACTCTGGATGAAGGAAATTTGAAATGGGGCTTCAAGTTTTCTCATTTGGCTTTTATTTATTGTGTAGATTTTGCAATAATATTATTCAAATTTGCTTTAACGTTGTTATATTTTTTTAAATGTGATTTGCAATGAATATTTTCACAAAAAAATGAACTGGGGCGGAAGAAGTGATGGTCAAGTTTGAACAGCCCAACAGGCTAATATGGGCCTGAGAATCACCGGCCAGTTGTCGGTTAGACATCCGGTTTGGTAAATCCGGAACAAACCAAATCGAAACCAAAATAAACTAAACCGAACCCAAACTATTTTTATTCGGTTCGGAATTCGGAAGGGAAAATATGAGTAATTTGGAAACCAAGGTCCTCTCAACCGAACCGATTTACGAATTCCGACCGAAAAATCGAAAATATACCCCAACAGGCAACAATCCACATGATCCCCCTAAGCCGACAACACAAGCCCACAACCTAATTGAAACCCGGGAACGGATCAGGTCAGTAATCTTATGGTGAGTAACCATGAGTAACCAGCCCACATTACCATGACATCAGCATCCTCTCTCTCCTGGAAAGCCTTTAATTTTTCCCTCTTTAATCTTTGACGGACGATTTCTCACTCATTTTAAGTCGAAATTTAATTTTTTTTGCACAGTTAGATCAGATTAATTGTGCTCTTCAAAATGATATCCACTTTAATATATTTTTCGAACAAAAAAAATTGAGCCATTTTTTACCAGTCTATACCATATGGTATTGACTGGTATTGAAATAAAAGCATAGCTATGGTTTGAAAAACGTACCATGGTGGTATGAACAAACCAAGACATTTACGACTTTTAACATTGTATACCATACAATACCACCCCGTACCATGGTGGTATTGTATGGTATTGTGTGGTATTTTTTGGTACTGTAATTTGTTCACTCAGAAATTTGTTGATCCAATAGAACATGATGAACTCGTCCTTTCTGTGCAAACGTTTTCAAAAACGAATTAAAAACGAAGAAGATACCATACAATACCATCCCGTACCAGGGTGGTATTGTATGGTATTGTGTGGTATTTTTTGGTCCTGTAATTTGTTCACCCAGAAATTTGTAGATCCAATAGATCATGATGAACTCGTCCCTTCTGTGCAAACTTTTTCAAAAACGAATTAAAAACGAAGAAGATACCATATGGTATGCAGTTGGTACCGAGAGGCCAGAATTTTTTTTTCTAAAAAAATATTGAAAATTATTCTCATTTGGTAGAGCACGATGAACTCGTTCCATCTCTGCAAAAAAAATTAAAATCCGAGTTAAAACGAAAAAGATATGAGCCGATTAAGAAAACTAGAAAACATAAAAATGGTCCTTAATTTTCCATCTTTAGATATGAATTTTCTAAATGAAGGGTTCAGATTTGGTTATTAATGGATGCATAACCATGGGTTATGCATCCTATCTTGAGCCTTGAAACCCTAGCCCAGTCCCAATCCCCCCAGTCACTCACCCCGTCACACCACATAGCCACACGCACGCCTGCCGCAAACCCATTCCCTCACCACACAGCGCCGCCGGATGCCATCAGCCATTCCCCTCCTTCCTCTGCGGCTCTGCCTCCCGACCCTCTGACCGTTGAGACCTTCAAATCCGCCATCGCCTTTAAATCCGCCACGACCTCCACCTGCTTCACCATCGGGATCGAGCTTTCTTCCTTTCTTCACCGCTTTGTCTACCCCGCCGCCGCCGCAGCTGGTTTCGTCTCCACCTGAATCGAAAAGATGCTACTGAAGTTCGAAGGACAAAAACAAACCCAAAAAAATATCATGCATGCTTGGATCCGAACCATACGAACCTTCATTGTCGAAGTCGTCACCATCGTTGTCGTCAATCGCTTTCCGTCGTCCGTCGATTTCCTTTCGCCGTCTGCCGACTGCCGTTGTCGGCTATGCTTTGTGCTCTACTTCGAGCTCTGCTTTGTGCTCGTCGTAACTGCCTCGTTTGGTGGTTGGAGCTTGAACGGAGAGGGAAAGGTAGAGGGAGATGGAGTCAGGCGAGAGGGGGTCAGGGAGAAGGAGTATCTGCGTGGATGCGAAATGAGAGGATAGGGTTAGGGGTAAAAAAAAAAATGAGTGGCCATTTTTCAAGCATGTGCCAAAACGCAAGAGGCCAAAGTGCACCAACATAGCATTTTTGGTTTTGGGGAAAAACCAAACTGAACCGAGTTATAGTTCAGTTCGGTTCGATTTTAGTTTGGCCTGTGACGGGAATCAGAACACCAGTAGTAGTCTGTTCAGTTAGCATTTTCGGTTTTGGGGAAAAAACCAAACCGAACCGAGTTATAATTCAGTTCGGTTCGATTTCAGTTTGGCCTGTGACTGGAATCAGAACACCAGTAGTAGGGCTGCAAATGAACCAAGCTACTCGCGAGCAACTCGAGGCTCGAATCGGGAAAAACTCGTTCGAAACTCGATTCGTTTACTGACGAACCAAGCTTGAGCCTGGCTATGTTCAGCTTGTGAAGCTCACGAGCTAGCTCGACTCTCGAATCAGGAAAAACTCGGTCGAAACTCGATTCGTTTACTGACGAGCCAAGCTTGAGCCTAGCTATGTTTAGCTTGTGAAGCTCACGAGCTAGCTCGACTCGGTGGCTTGTTGAGCTCAACTCGTGAGTTAGCTCATTTAGAGCTCATGAGATGTCTCAACATTGTGGTTTGAGGGCCAACTTGATCACTGACTTATGGACTAATCGATCTAATTTGGACTTTCATAATTCATAGGATTGTTAAATTATATACCTCACATCATGTGAAGTTTAACATGTTGAACATGTAAGAAAATATGCCTTATTTTTAATTCTATAAAGAAATTATGTACAAAATTGTTTCAATACTATGAAATAACATGATTTGAACTAGTTAAAAATTATTAACTAAACAATATGACATCATGTGAAGTTTAACATGTTGAACATGTAAGAAAATATGCCTTATTTTTAATTCTATAAAGAAATTATGTACAAAATTGTTTCGATACTATGAAATAACATGATTTGAACTAGTTAAAATTTATTAACTAAACAATATGACACCTAAAAAATATGCATGTGACTGGAATCAGAACACCAGTAGTAGGGCTGCAAATGAACCAAGCTACTCGCGAGCTACTCGAGGCTCGAATCGGGAAAAACTCGTTCGAAACTCGATTCGTTTACTGACGAACCAAGCTTGAGCCTAGCTATGTTCAGCTTGTGAAGCTCACGAGCTAGCTCGACTCTCGAATCGGGAAAAACTCGTTCGAAACTCGATTCGTTTACTGATGAGCCAAGCTTGAGCCTAGCTATGTTCAGCTTGTGAAGCTCACGAGCTAGCTCGACTCGGTGGCTTGTTGAGCTCAACTCGTGAGTTGGCTCATTTAGAGCTCATGAAATGTCTCAACATTGTGGTTTGAGGGCCAACTTGATCACTGACTTATGGACTAATCGATCTTATTTGGACTTTCATAATTCATAGGATTGTTAAATTATATCTCACATCATGTGAAGTTTAACATGTTGAACATGTAAGAAAATATGCCTTATTTTTAATTCTATATAGAAATTATGTACAAAATTGTTTCGATACTATGAAATAACATGATTTGAACTAGTTAAAATTTATTAACTAAACAATATGACATCATGTGAAGTTTAACATGTAAGAAAATATGCCTTATTTTTAATTCTATAAAGAAATTATGTACAAAATTGTTTCGATACTATGAAATAACATGATTTGAACTAGTTAAAATTTATTAACTAAACAATATGACACCTAAAAATTATAATATAAGATTAATTAATTTTGAACATTTGATTATTATAATATAAGATTAATTAATTTTGAACATTTGATTATTTTTTTATCGCTACATCAATCACATATACCATACTCGACATACAAAATGAGCCGAGTTTTACTCGGCTTGAGTAGGGATGGCAATGGGTCGGGTCGGGGACGGATAGTACATATCCGTTACCCTACCCAAAGTAGTTCGGGTTTTACCCATACCCATACCTACATATAAAACGGGTAGAAAATTAAAACCATGCCCATACCCATTCGGGTTTCGGGTATCCACGGTTATCCATGGGTAATGATTTCTCTTCATAACTCCAACTAATATGTTAACATTCACACGTATTCTCACATTACACAAGAGGAAAAGTATGACAATAATTCACTAGAATGAAGAAAATTAACTAAAACAACACAATTTCATGAAAATATTATATTTATATGCTAAATATAAAATATGTTAGAGAAAAATAATGACTATTTCTAGACAAAATACATATGTATAATCGGGCGGGTTCGGGTTTTACCCGTACACACTAAATGTCATTCGGATTCGGATTTTAACCTACCCGATTAGGCCGGTTCGGGTGGATATCAACGGTTACCAATATTTTTGCCATCCCTAGGCTTGAATTGTTGCTCTATAGGAACCAATATTCCTGGCCCAACTCCAGGCTTGGAGCGGGCAAGCCAGAAACATAACACACCAGACTCGGCCCTTGTAACCGGGCCAACATCCCACCACATTATTACCTCCACCCCGATCACAAGCTCACGTTACCAAGCTAGACAGGCAAATTAGTTTCCCGCAAATTATTATACTGAACCACCAGCTTCATTTTCAGCAATGTGGTAGCTACAAGCATTCTGAGTTGCTGCGTCTTTATTTCTTCTGTACAACGAATACTCTTTTGCCTTAATATAGAAGCTCAAAAATGGTGCACCACAAGCTCGAACTCAGAACCATTAGCTCCATCGTTTTACTTCTGTGTGTTTCGTGGTTTGTCTTCGTCAACGGAAGCTGTCATTTCCATGGTATCATCAGCTTGCTGTTTTGGACCAGCTTGGAATGGAACAAAGGCCTCTTCTGTACAGATTTGCAGACCAAGCTTCATGTGAATGAACAGATGAATACGAAGTCAACTAAGATGGTGTAGTGAAAAGGAAGACTTGATTGACAATGCTAACGATTGACAACTCCGTGTTCTAACCCCCGGAAAGATAGAAGATTAGCCGTCTTTCTTAGATGCGTTGATTCTATCGAAATATTATTCTCGTCCATGTACTTTTCCATGAAAATAACTCTGATACAACAAATTTTCTTGATCATGAAAGGCACAAGGTTTCTTTAATTTGACATGTCGACATTTAACACTTCAATATACCATGTTAAATTATAGGGTTAATACCTTATTCTGGCCCGAACTATAATCATATAATCAACTTTTGCAGTGATTTGAGAAATTAACATATTGGCCCGAACTTTGCAGCATATAAACTTAATTGGCCGAAAACATGATTTAACCGTTTGTTTGGACGGCCAACACCATTGACCGTTAGTCAACTGTACAGGTCACCGCCATGTCAGCACCAAAGAAAAAAATTAGAATTTCAATTTTCTTTTATTATTTCCTTTACCTAATTAAAAAAACAAAAAAATCGGCCACCCCTCGCCTCTTTCCTTCTTCGACCAAAACCAAAAAAATCCCTAATACTAATCATTCTTCTTCTCGCTTCATCCCCGACGAGCAGCATTCTCCCTAATTCAAATGAGCCATTGGAAGCACCCACCATATTTCCCAGGAAGGTCTTCCCTTTGAAGATCGCTTCCACCTTCAAGGTCAGCCGACAAAGCTCCACCAGCGCCTCCCTCACCGCGATGCTGTCGTAGAACACCCGTTGCAGCCCGTCGAGAAACCTGAACATCGTCGCGAACTCGCCATCCCACCGAATGGAGTCGGGAACGGGACCGTGATAGAAACTTGCATTTTAGTACTTTGATTATTTGTCGGTTTATTATTATTCAGATTATTGGGACTATTCGGGAATAATTGATAGATCGGGTAGTATTAGGGAATTAGTCATTTTTATATAAACTACTTGTAAGTGAGATTTAGGGTTAAGCAAAGATTAACCTAAAGCCTAAAGTCCCTAATATCTCTCTCTCTCACTCTCCCTCTGCCGACCCCACTCTTCCCCTCTCTCTCCCCTTGGCTGCGTACAACAGCCCTCCCCACCTCTTCTTCTTCTTCTTGCTGGCGACCGGCAGCCTTTCCCCCTCTTTTTGCTCTTCCGCAAACCCCAAATCAATTCCCCTTTCCCTTTCCTAAATCCCCGGATCAATCCCTAGTTGATCCTAATCCCTAATTCGCAGGTAGGGCTCATCTTGAGTTCTATCAATTGGTATCAGAGCCCGGTTCTTGTGTTCGTGAGCAAACGAAGAACGAAGATCGAGATGGTGTTAACGAAGTCTATACAAGCAGCTAAGAAGGCAGCCAAGGCGGCGCAGGAGCTGGCCGGGATCGCGACCACAACGGGGCTGCCGGTGACCAACCAGGAGGCGCCGACGGGGGCTCAACCCGTGGCCAAGGCTCCGCAAGGGCGGCCACCTATCCCTGCTCCGCGAGGTCCGGTGGATGGCGAGCTGGAGGACCTGACTGAACAGGAGGCGGCGCAACACCGCCTCGACGCCCTCGTGGATCTGGTAGCGAGTGAACGACAGGAGAGGCTGGAGGAGTCACGGTGGGTGTGGAACCGACTCGATGCTCTCCACGACATGATGGTGGAGATGCGGGGTGGGTTGGCGGCGCGCGTGGAGGCCGCGGCTCTCTTCGGCGGCGGCGAAATCGGCGCGGGCAGCAGCGCCGGGACGGTCGACGGGGAGCGACGGCGCGGCGGCGATGGCCGCGGTGGGCGCGGCGATGGCGGTGGCCGCGCCAATGGTGGTGATGGGGGTAGCGCCGGTGGTGAGTGGCGCGGGAGACCAGGCGGCAGGCCGGGGGCGTTCAGGCCACGGCACGCTAGGTCAGGGTGGCGGGCCTGGTCTGCTGCCTACACCGTCGGCCCAGGAGCTGGCAGGCCGGAGAGGGAAGGGCAAGATGCCCGGCTATAACACGGAAGGCCCACCGGAGATTGTTGGGCCTACGATGCTGGATCAGATCGCAAGAAGCAACAATGGGCCGGGATGGGTGGACTCGGGGGACGAGCCCGAGGAGGGCGAGTTCAGTCTGATGGGCCGTTCGGCGCAGTGGGCCGACTCCGGGGTGGCGGACCGAGCCGAGTAGCTGAACCGGTCGGGCGATCCGGGACCGGGTGGACCATGACTGGTCGGGCCAGCAGTGGTCAGCCCAAATGAGGTCGGACCGGGTCCAGTTGGGCCAGTAGTGGTCGGCCAGAGGTGGGTCGGACCGGGCATCGACCAAACCCAACCAGCCAGCCGACCAGGGGAGCGGACAGCTTCGGCCTGTTGGAGAGCCCCGTATGGGCCGCACGAGACGCCGGGAGGATATCCGGACCAGCAAGGAGGCTACCCGGGGCACTATGGCTCGGGTAATCCGAGCAGAGGGTGGCCGCACCTACAGGGAGGCTACCAGGGGTACTATGGCCTAGGAATTCCGAGCAGGGGGCATGGATTCTCACAGGGGAAGCCTTGGAGGGTCCTGGGCAATGACAGGTATGGATCGTGCTATCCTAGTTATGAGGGTGTTGATGGGATAGTCTTTCGTGCTAAGCTTCCTACCATTGAGTTTCCAAAATTCAATGGGCAAGAGGATGCAGGTCTCTGGTTATATGCAGCTGAGAGGTGGTTTCAGAACCACCCAATTCCGGAGGAACGGAAGGCCTACATGGCATCCTTCTATTTAGAAGGAGATGCGCTCCAGTGGTGGGAGTGGATGGAGCGATCGTATACGGCTGCTGAGACTGTGATCACCTAAGCCATGTTCCAAGAGGAGCTCCGTTACATGTTCGGGAAATCTGAAGGATGGGCTCCGGAGCAGCTTGCAAAGACTATGCTGAGGACGTCGGAAATGGCGAGGAGGAGACCCAGTAAGCTAGAGGAACAACCTTGGGGACAAGGTTGTTTTTCGAAGGAAGCGAGGATGATAGAAACTTGAATTTTAGTACTTTGATTATTTGTCGGTTTATTATTATTCGGATTATTGGGACTATTCGGGAATAATTGATAGATCGGGTAGTAGTAGGGAATTAGCCATTTTTATATAAACTGCTTGTAAGTGAGATTTAGGGTTAAGCAAAGATTAACCTAAAGCCTAAAGTCCCTAATCTCTCCTCTCTCTCTCTCTCACTCTCCCTCTGCCGACCCCACTCTTCCCCTCTCTCTCCCCTTGGCTGCGTACAACAGCTCTCCCCACCTCTTCTTCTTCTTGCTGGCGACCAGCAGCCTTCCCCCCCCTCCCCCCCCCCCCCCCTCTTTTGCTTCCCTTTCCTAAATCCCCGGATCAATCCCTAGTTGATCCTAATCCCTAATTCGCAGGTAGGGCTCATCTTGAGTTCTATCAGACCGGCCAATTGGTTCCTGCCAAGCAGTGCGAGGCTTAGCATTTTCAAATTCCCGAAATCGGTGGGGATCCGTCCGTAGATCTGGTTGTTGTTTAGTTCTAGATGATTCAAGCACTCCAATTTGGAAACCGAGGCCGGGATTTCCCCCGAGGTTTTGTTGTCGGCGAGATTGAGTACCACGAGGCGGCCGAGGTTGCCGATTTGGGAGGGGATCTGGCCGGAGTGGCTGTTGCTGACGAGATCCAGGACGCGGAGGTTCGAGAGCGAAGAGACGCAGTCGGGGATCTCGCCAGAGAGGCTCTTCCAGTCAACGACGATGAGCGTGGTGAACTGATCGAGCTTGCAGATGGCGGGGAAATGGTCATGGTCATGTAGCCGTAGGTCCGCCCGACTTTTGTGAGGATTGGATCCTCTAACTCGCCGCGGAGGTTGATTTCGGTGACTCGGCAGGTGGCGGGGTCGCAGCTGACGCCGAAGTAGTTGGTGAATTAGAAACAAAGAAGAGGGAGCTGGGGTATTGCATACCGAGAGTGTGGGCTGAGGGTTGGGAAAGGGATCGTCGGGAAGAAGGGTTGGGTAACAATAAGGCTGTGTGGGCTGAGTGAGGAGAGAGAGAGAATGTGGATTTTATTTTATTAAATTATTATTTTCCACATGGAATCCACGTCAGCGTAGCATGGTGATTCACTAACGGTCAATGATGTTGACCGTCTAATTTGACGGAAATTCACGAGTCGAGCCAATTAAATCTATATGGTGCATAGTTGAGGTCAGAATGTTAATTTTTGAAACCACGTGCCAAAGTTGATTATATGGTCATAGTTCAGGCCAAAATAAGGTATTAACCCTAACTTTTATATATATATATATATATATATATATATATATATATATATATATATATATATGATACTTTTGAAACCTCTAAGGTCTATATTCAAACCAAAATCTTGATCCATCAAACGTACCAAATGAGCTCACGGGCGCACACTCAAGCCAAAAGTTTGATATTTGAGAACGCAACCATATATACTTGATTAAGAAGAGTTTCACCGTTCTAGTAACTTTAACCTACTCGAATCGAATTACATTGTTTTCAAGGTTTGGTGGACACACAATTGGGAACCAACCAAAAGTCCTATTAAGAGTAGTAGTAGTAGTAATAAGAAGAATACAAACACACACATTATAAAATTATACTTACTACACAACCAACCTAAAAGAGGGATTTATGTCCCTCAAGTGGGTTTCATGTCCTGAAAAAGGGCAGTCCATAGTGATTGCTCATCAAACTCCACGTCACCACCACCGTAGTAATTCCTCCCACCTCTAGGAGTCCCATTCCCACTCCGAACCATTGGGCTGGACCGCCTCGCCTCCATGGGCCTCGCCACGCCCATCCTCGGGCTCACCTGGCCCAACAGAACCCCATCCGCCGGCGGAGTCGCGCAAATCTTCGGGCTCCGGTAAGCAAACACCAGCCTTTCGTGGGCCTTCCCGTCCAGCGGCCCAGACAGCTTCAGGCTGCTCTTCGACTTGGAGTACACCAGCCCTTCCTGCTGAACCCTCTTGAAATCCAATGGCCCGGATTTCGCCTGCCTCCTCTTCAGCACCGGCAGCTGCGGCGGCGGAGTCAACGCCGCCGCCGCCGCCCTCCACTCCAGCTCCGGCACGGCGGGTGGTGCCCTTTCTTCCCGTTCGCCGGAGGGGGAGACCAATTTGGAAATGCGCTTCCTGATGCTCTTCCTCGTCCGGGCAATTGCGGATACCAATTTGGAGAACCCATTAGTGCTGGCCGAGCCTCTGGTCGGACCGGTTTCTTTGCTGGCCAGCTTGAGAATCTCCAGGCGGTGCTTGGCCACTGAAATCCCCATGCTCTGGAGGAATTCGTGGTTGAAGTAGGGCAAATCGTCTGCTTCGAGCTGGTTCTGCTCGAAGGTGAGGCCGTATTCGCAGACCAGAGATGGGTCGAGGGTGGTTTTGGACAGCCATGAGAGCCAATCCATTTTGCTTCTGCTTTTGTGGTTTTTGGGTTTCTGAGGGGAGTGGTCCTTTTGGGAAGTACAAGTAATGTGTAGGTATATAAAGGAAGGAGGAGGGGATAAGAATGGAGGAAAGGGGAGGAAGAAGAAGGGAGCGAGGGGAGGGGGAAGATTTAATATTGTGGTTGGACAAAAGTAGTGGGGGTAGTGTTTGAGAGGTATATGGGGAAATTTGGATGGTGGTTGGAGTATGAGAGTGACAATAGTCCATGTGAGGGAAGTTGAATATTAGGTTGTGGGAAATTTTGAAAGTTTGTATTGCTCTTTTGTGGAACTTTTTCTGTTCATCTATCCCCCCTCTCTACCTCATTTGTGGTCCTTTGAAGTGAGGTAAGGTTTTGAAGTTAGTTGGTTGTGCATTTCCTTCAGTCTAGAAGTGAATTTTTCAGTTCTTATTAATTGAGGAACTCTTGAACAGTCAAATAATTAAAATACTAAGTACAACTGTGATTAGTGAATGTAATGATCGTGAACGCGTCATGTACCTTTCATGAGAACGTTGTGAAGGGTTGATAACTCACATGTTACGAATGGATGTGTTAAGACATAGTTTAAGAGTTTTTTATATGAATTTCGCATGTGTGTGTATAATCATTGTTTGGATCAATTGTATTTGAGTAAAAATTTTCTTCCGAGTAGCATTTAGAAGATGAATTACGAGATGCCTATAATATATTTGTTGCTGTTACTCAGCCCAACAACGAGGAGATGAATTCTCCTTTTTATATATAAGCGTGAGATGTATTTATTTTTTAAAATTGATGGTATGACCTCCAAGTTAAAGATCAATGATAATACCATTCGATCAACCCTTATTTATGCAATGACATGAATTCTCAATCGACGCTCCAATCAAAATGGTTTGATCTCTCCACCAATGTGCCTTCACATTGAATGTAGCAATGTAGCAAGGGTTTTAACTGTAGTGCACATAGCAATGTTAGCATATGGTGGGAAGAATAATGGGGGTAAGTGAATTTTGCAGCGTAATTGTTGGGTTTGGTTGGATTGGTTTGGTAGTTGTCTAACTTTGGGATTCCCACTTGACTTGTTCATCACAAACCCACAACGTGGTGTAGACTGAAGACGACTTGAGAGGGGGGAAATTGATGGGTCTTTCTAAGTAACATGGCTAGTTTTGCATGTACCAATCAACTTATTAATACTAAGCTAGGGTATGGGAGATAGTTGTACGGTGGGTGTTGGGGTCTTGTCCATCGGTTAATCTTTTTTAGGTGTTGTCTAAGTGTATTTAGTCGCTAGAAAAAAAAATAATTTGAAAAACATGATGTATGACGTAGTCAGTTTACAACATTTCAACACTCTAATACACAAGCGATTTATAATTCATGTGACACTTAACAACAGGAAAAATAGCTCACAAGTTCGTAAAATCACAATTCGAACTCTCAAAGTTCTTGAACTATTGAAAAGACTGGGAGAGAATATTGAGTTTGTAGATGAAATTAATTTTTCTCGTTGATATTAATTGTCTAGCTCCATCTGATTATGCTTAAACGTCGCTTAATCAGTCCATGTGTTCTCGAGCCCTAACCAGCTGCAGAACCTCCAAACGAGGTGTTTTAGCGTTACCTATCGCCTAGGCGAGAGTCTATACGTTAAATTACTGAATCGCTAAATGTCGCCCTTAAAATTGATAACGGTCACCCTAACTCTAATGATAAATGACTTATATACATCCAATAATATTTCAAAATTTAAACAAACCAAACAATCCCTAACCCCTCAAACTGAACCCCTCATCTGCCTTCTTCGCGAATCCCTCTCGACGCACCAGTTCGTCAGCGTCTTTCCCGCCGTCGTTGTCGCCCGTTCTCTAACAAAATTTCCAAAAAAACGCTCAACCTAAGGCAAGTTGCGGTTGGTCCATGGTGTAACCGCAAGTGAGCTGCGGTTGGCCCATGGTGGAACCGCAAGTGAGCTGCGGTTGCATCATGGACCAACCGCAATTGCGGTTGGCCCATGGTGCAACCGCAAATGAGCTACGGTTCACTTTTTTTGTTTTTTTTTTTTTCAATTTTTTGAGTGAACTTTACCGATTCAGAGTCGCTAGTCATGATCCAGACATCATATCGACGATTCCAACTCCAGAATGACGATGATGGATTCTCTCTTTTGAATAATGTTTTATTTTCTTTACTAAGTGGTGTTTGTTTGCTAAAGGAAGAGTAAAGAAGCTAAAAGGTTAAATTTGTAACTTTGATGTTTTTTAGGGCGACATTTAGCAATTTTAAGGGCGACCTTTAGCAACTCCCTTAAATTAAGCCTACTTTTTTAAATCATAATACTAGATATACTAAAAAGTGCGAATCAGTTGGCATAGGTCTAAAAATATGTTTAATACAATTCGTGTTTGCATTTTTCTTTTGAACTTAAGAAAGTCTATGGGGTCAAAACAAAAACAAAAAGAGAAGGTTTTAAATTCAAAAGAGTTGAAATTGGAATAAGTCATATTCCACTCCTGGATTTGCTCTCTGTTGTTCAATTTTCTTTTCCCTGAAAATGAGGTTTCCAAATTTGATTGATTAAGAACATTTTTTTATGGGGAATTGAGGACAAAAGACAAATAAATTATTTGGAATTGGTCGCGGACTCGCGGATGGATGATTTTTTTATATATGCTGACCGACCGATTCCTATATTAAAAGTGAAAGTAATAGGGGAAAAGACTCTTTGGAAGTTGGCTCTAATTAGGCGCCTTTATCCTATTCATACAACTTTGGAAAATGAAATCGACTTATTAGGCTTTTAGGTTTAGGGTTATTAACCCTAATATAACCTACGTACAAATTTCACTAGGCAATGGGTAAACCTTTACTAGCTTTGAAAGGTAGGGACGTTGTAAGCTCCAAAGTAATAACTCCTTTGAGGTAATTTTGAACATACCCAGAGAGTTCTGTTGAAGGCAAGGATTGAGATATCGTATAGGAGGTTGTACCGGAAAAGTGAGCGTTAGCGTATTTTATGCTAAAATCGTGGTTTAATTGTGGTTCAACCGTAAGGATGTCAATGGGTCGGGTCGGGCGCGGATAGTGCATATCCGTTACCCTACTCATAGTAGTTCGGGTTTTACCCATACCCGTATACCCACATGTGAAACGGGTAGAAAATCAAAACCATGCCCTTACCCGTTCGGGTTTCGGGTATCCACGGTTATCCATGGGAAATAATTTCTCTTCATAACTCCAACCAATACGTTAACATTCACACGTATTCTCACATTACGTAAGAGGAAAAGTACGACAATAATTCACTAGAATGAAGAAAATTAATTAAAACTACACAATTTCATGAAAATATTATATTATATGGTAAATATAAAATATGTTAGAGAAAAATAATGATTATTTCTAGACAAAATACATATGCATGTGTATAATCGGGCGGGTTCGGGTTGGATAGTGAGAAACTCATGCCCACCCATTACCCGCAATATTCTGGTTTGGATTTTACCCGTACCCACTAAATGTCCTTCGGGTTCGGGTTTTACCCTACCCGATTAGGCAGGATTCGGGCGGATATCCGCGGTTACGGATATTTTTGCCATCCCTATTCAACCGCTTCATACCGCTAAATACTGTCTACCGGTTTAACTTCCGATAAAAGGTTTTTCTAGTCGAACCGCCGATACGGTACGATATTTCAATCCTTAATTACAAGCTTGCTTTGATAATGGAGTTGTTTTCTGGAATTCATTCATAAAATACATGCTTGTTTAGTGAAAAAGGTTTGGGAGGATATTAGGCCAAGATGGTCGAAGGTTCCTGGACTAAACTAGTAGGGAAGGGTGTATCTATTTTCCAAATAGGTTTCTTGTTTGGATGATCATTAGAGGGTATATCGATAAAAAAGACAAAATTGTCAAGTACACGCCGATCTCAATAGCTCGAGTAGTTGGAAGAGATTTAATAATTGATCTTATACCACATATTTTCATGTTCGATCAAACAAAAGTCACACATATGGCCTCGAAGTTTGCACAGGTCGGGAATATCATGTGCTTAACAAATGGAGTCTCCGTAATTCGAGCAATTGAAGAACTCTCAATCACAGAAGGCTCTGAGACCATGTCAAAGAAACACTCGATCCCAAGAACTTGAGTTGTTGGGATCAACGGGTTCTTTGACATGTCAGCATAGTCATTGATGACATAAAGAGATCTCGCGTTTGGATCTCGACGAACCCCAATTGTTAAGCACACAGTATTCATACCTGTGCAAACTCAAGCTCGTATGAGTTGGTTTCGGCTGAGTGAATTTATTGGTAGATTGTATAAGATTCATAATTAAATCTCTTCCGACAACTCAAGTTATTCTACTCGCGTTGGATTTATGACAAAATGAGCAGGTTCTCTGAGGTTTGCCGATTGCCACCATCGAAATGAATGGTTTAAATCACTTATGCTTCTCATCATGGTAACTCGTAAGACTTATGGAGATGCAAGGCTCAAACTTCAACGCGAAACCGGAATTGCATGCTAGAAAATCAGATTGATATAATGACATCGAAAGTTGAAACAACTTCTTCTTGTTCTTCCTTTTTCTCGTCCGCCGAGCGTCCACATTTGTGGTTAGGCCGGCGGCGAGCGCTAAAGAAGGCGCTGATTGCTCCTCGTTTAAACTTCAACCAACAAATGGGCCCAGGCAGAGGCAGGTATTGAATATTGGGCTTTTTGCTCTTTCCGTCTTCTGCGTGCACTAAATCCCACGCGTGGTTCCAACTTCTAACTACTACTCTCTTCTTTCTTTTTGGACAGTGTTGTCTTGTGGGGGAACTCTTTTACGCGGGAGATCTTCTAGACTTATATAAAGGTGGCGGGAGCACATCATGTGCTATTCCCTACCACCAATCTTCCAAAAATCTAAATGCAAAACATAAAAGCATTGAAACGGTACAAGATGATTGAACTTAAAAATTAGCGTAACAAATCCATTGACCAGTACAAGATAACAAGAATCACATCGTTTTAACGAGTTAATATTGAGTGATACAAAGTACTAATTAAATTTGCGCAAGTGTGTGACGAAAAGTTACACTATCGGTAGATGTGAGTAGGTTGTGGTTGATTCAGTTTAGATTCCTTGTTTAGGTTTCTCGTATGTATAATTTTTATCAACCATGACAAAATAGAATAACAATTACTTGTGAACTGATCTTCTTCTTTTCTTCTCTTTACAAATCTATTTAAATTTTGCGTAATTTCTTTTAATTTCTTTAGTGGTGCAAAGAATCAAAATCCAAAATAGTGGTTTCAGAAGATAAATTCCACTCAGAAATTAAAGTGATTGATTGCTCCCCATTATAAAATTAGGTGACCTATAGTGACTGCCACTACACTTTTCCCCTCCACTTCCTTAACAAATTTGTTTTTATCAAAATAGCAAAAATGTTAACATATTCATCAGATTTGTGAATTGGGCTTCATGCTATTCCAGAGGCCCAATACTTGCGACCAATGTTCTACGGGCCCGATTTAACCCATGCCCAAACTCGACTATGGCCCAAAACCATCCTGGAGTTGGCGGGAGATACAAACCAGCCCATTTCGAACGACATTTTGAAAAGACCGTTACTATCGCCGATTCTTCTCAAGACTCTGAAACGGAATTCCGTTCTTCCCTTCCCCCAACTTTCCCGGTCAGCCAAACACCGTCTGATTTTCCGGGATAAGCGTAAAAAACGAATCTGCTTAAACCGCTTATTTCAATCCCCACCCAGCAACATTTCTCGAGTGCTATACCTTTTTCCCCAACACCACCATTCCTCCCCTGAATTTCCCAAAAACAATTTTCTCACATCTCTGCGAGAATCGCCGTTGATCAGAAAAGCAATCAATCCCCCACAAAGAGAAGTTTCCCTCTGTACTATGTTTTCTCGCGCAACCCTGATCAAATCCTCAAAATTGATCCGTCGTGACTTACCCAGCCCCAGATTCTTCACCCGTCGCATCTTCGATCAATCGCCATTGGAAAGCTCTGTTTCTGTACCGTCATTGGCAGCCGCTTCTTCTTCGTCTTCTGCTAACGGCAATAAGAATGGGGAAAGGGAGTCTGTGAAATCATTTGTCAGATCCATTTCTTCTGGGGTTGCGATTTTGGGCTCCAGCCTTGGACTGGGCTACTGGTATTCGTCGGAGGTTGATCGGAACGGGTTCGTGTCTTATGCGGAAGGGGCAACCGCCGATGCCCTCGAGTGGACAACGAGCGCCAATCTCAGCCTTCCTTCGCCGGACTCCTCCGAGCCTAAGCGCCGATTCATCTTTGGAGGTTAGAGAATTTGATTTGGTTTGATTACAGCCAATGTTTACATCAATATATACTTTTTTTTTTGTTTTGATTTATGTAACATTTTACATTACAGAAGGGTTCAGGAGAAGGGTGTTCTTCAATTACGAGAAGCGCATAAGATTACAGAGTCCCCCAGAAAAGGTGAGCCCTTTTGAAATTCCATCTGGTTGGATTCTGAATATTTTACCCCCATGAAATTCTCCATCTGATCCCTGTATTTTTCAGGTGTTTGAGTATTTTGCTTCGTCCAGAAGCCCCGGTGGGGATGTTCTGATGACCCCTGCCGACTTGATGCGAGCAATCGTACCGGTTTTCCCTCCGTCGGAATCCGATCGAGTCCGGCAGGGATCCTTGAGAGGGGAGAGGTTCCACGGCGAGCTTCAATGTGCGCCATCCAAGTTCTTCATGCTGTTTGATACTAACAACGATGGCCTCATCTCGTTTCCAGAGTAAAGACTCTGTTTTTTCCACACTTCCTCCCCTGTTCTGCAAGGGAAAAGAAGGAACACTGATCAAATTTTCAATTTCTTTGATTTGATCAACCAGGTACATTTTCTTCGTTACTCTGCTCAGCATTCCTGAATCCAGCTTCCATGTCGCGTTCAAAATGTTCGATCACAACAACAATGGGTAAAACTAACAACACTGTTATCCGAATTTTCGCACTCTTGGAGCACTCTGTTTTACATAATGGTTTCTTTGTCTGTGGAATACCAGAGAGATCGACATCGAGGAGTTCAAAAGGGTAATGGGACTAATGCGATCGCAGAGCAGGCAAGGCGCCCGCCATCGAAACGGGAAGAGACAGGGTCTCAAGGTCACGGATCCCGTCGAAAATGGTGGATTGCTTGAATACTTCTTCGGCAAAGACGGCAACTCCTGCCTCGAACATGGAAAATTCGTCGAGTTCCTCAGGGAATTGCACGACGAAGTAAGTTAAAAAAGTATCCTCCTCTCAACACACTTTAGTTCCACTTAAATGAATGAAACCCAATTTGAAGAAAATCAATTCATTTCAATAACTCGACTTGTATCTTTTTATTAGATCCTAAGGCTAGAGTTTGCTCACTACGACCACAAGTCGACGGGTACCATATCAGCAAGAGACTTCGCTCTATCGCTAGTCGCATCGGCCGATGTCACTCACATAAGCAAGTTACTCGACCGAGTCGACGAGCTCACCCATAACCCGAACCTCAGGGACATCCGAATTTCGTTCGACGAGTTTCGAGAATTTGCCGACCTACGCAAGCAGCTCGAGCAACTGACCCTAGCCATCTTCAGCTACGGGCGTGTCAATGGCGTGTTGACCAAGAAAGATTTCCAGAGAGCCTCATCCCAGGTATGTGGCGTCTCGATCACCGACAATTTGGTGGACATAATCTTCCACGTGTTCGATGCAAATCGAAACGGGACTTTGAGCTCCGACGAGTTCATCAGGGTGTTGCAGAGGAGACAGAACGATAGCTTGGTGAGTAGGCAAGCCGGGTTGAGAGGATTGATAGCTTGTTGCATGAATTGTGCAACTAGTTGTTCTTCTTCAGCTAAGGCCGTGCTGTAAGATACAAATGGCAATCTCAAGCTGTTGGATGCTAGTGGTGGTGGCGTTTTTTCTTCCATCGGCACACTAGCAATTGCTCTAAGGGATAGTATATGTTATATAGGGTTTTGAATTGACTACAAGACTGAAGAAGGGTAGGGGGGTTCAATGTGTTTTTTGGTTGTTTTTTCCTTGTGCATTTCTTCAGTTAGTGTTTTATATGACGTACTACCGTGTAATGTTGATGTTGAAGTTGATGATGATGAAAATCTATATATATATAAGAATTGTTTGAGGGTTTTGAGGATATTTCTGGTTAACTAAATATTGGTATTTATGTATTTGGATCATGTGTATACAATGCATCGATGAGCTTGTAAAATTTATTGTATGTGCTTTTTAGTTAATTTGTGCATAAATAAGGAAGATGTATGAAAAACCAAACTAATTATGAATTATGATACTATTGTTGAGTATGATGATTATTTTCCATTTTGTCTATGGTTTTGCCATTAATCTTTGTAGTTACAAGCATTGACTATGGTTCTTGGAGCTGCTAATGAGGCGATGGAACAGAGTAAGCTCGTGAACATCCTAATGATTCCTCCCGGAAGTTTGAGACATATATCACATAAGTCGCTTGAGTTTGACCAACACTTTTGATGATAATCTCTTCCCTACTTCAGAGAAGATAAAAACTTCCAGTTTGTCAACTTGATCCTGTTAACAACAACTTTTGACCTTGTAATCATAGTCGGGATTTTGAGATACTTAGCATGCTTGTAATCTTCTTAGATGTTCATTAGCTCCATGCGAATTCAATCTCGTCCTCCTCTTAGAACATTGGTGCTCAAGGAAACTTCAGACTTTGAAAGGTTCGCCATCAAATTTGATTCCTCTTCGTATAACTTTAGAATTTCCATGAGTTTTCGAATATGTTCTATATTGGCCTTTGCAAATCGAATATAATCATCAACAAATAATAGGTGAGAGAAAGAAGGAGCTCTAATACATATTTTACAACCATGAATCTTCTTCTCCTTTCCATACTTGTTGATAGTCGGCAACCCATTCGAGCAAAGGAGGAAAAGATAAGAAGATAGCAAATCTCTTTGTCCAATTCCTCACATCGGTGTGAAAAAATCATACTTGTGTCCACTAACTGTCACTGCATAATGAATAGTAAACACATAATTCACTATTAGTCCATATTCCATCGGTCATCAGCCCTCATTTGTTGTATGATTTTTGAAGAGAAACCCACTCCACACGATTATATACCGGTACTATCAATGTTAAGCTCTAGAGAGCCTATTTTACTGTTGGTTTCCTCCTTAATTGCAAAAAAAAAAAACATTCAAACAGAGCAATCACATTATCAATAATTGACCTTCTATGAACCATGGCATTATGGTTTCCACAAATAAGATAATCCAAAGTCACCTTCAAGTGGTTTTCTTCTTCTTCACAAACAAACATTCAAAGGGAAAATCACATTATCAATAATTGACCTTCCAAAACGAAAGCACCTAATTTTCAGTTTTTCACAACTAAGATCATCCAAAGTCCCCTTCATGTTATTAACAATGGACTCTAAAGTATTTTGTATAGAATTGTGCATATGCTTATTGCCCTCAACACTGCAAGGGATTAGGATCTTTTTACCTTTTGAATGAGTAATGATAATGGTTCTGATAAAATCAATAAGAAGAGGCCAATTGGACTTATTCGAGTTAAATTTTGAACATGCCAATAAGAAACAGATTTTAGTGTGGGCCGGTTAGTTCTATACGAATCCTAATCAAGCTCTAAGAAGACAGACCTCAAAACGTTCTAATCGTTACATCTCCTCGCTACTCACTTTCCTCTTGATTCACTTCGTCCTCCAAATTTATTTACTTATCTAAAAAACCTAGAATTCGATCAACTCGCCTTCAACCTATGTTCTAAAGAAATAACAACTCTAATCAATAACATATCAAACAAAATTCATAGCAAAACACGTCATAGATGAAAAAGAAAGTCATTGCATATTTGTGTTTGAAATACTACTTTTTTTACAACCTTACTTAATCTTCAATATTCATATTGTTCAGATTCGATCCATTCGTTTTATAAAAATGTACAAACTCTTATATAGGAGCTATACAATATTAGTCATTGGCCACCTATATTATGAGTTTGCCCCTTTTTCTCCACAAAAATAGGCAAGCATTATAAGAGAACATATTTTAATGAAAAAAATCGTATTTTAATAAAGATTTCTATTACAAAGTGGCATACTATGATTAAAGACTCATCGACTCCCCAGCCCACAAGTTCCTAGGACATATAAAAAGGAAGAACTCAGAACTTGATTTTTGTTTTACCGCTTACAGAAAAAAAAAGGTGAAGTAACTGGACAAACAAACACAACACCGTTTTGCCTCTTCATCGTCGTGCATTGTCATTGCCCAAAGACAAAGAGAGAGAGAGAGAGAAGGAGCTTAGAGAGAGAGGCCGCTGCCAGAGTTGTCAGCTTCAAAGAACGGAGACGACAACAAGAACCCAGCCCCACGACGAGAGACGCCTGAACCGCTAATCCCTCCTTTTCTGCTTGCTTGCTTCCTCATCGATCCTCTCTCTTCCGCTGCTTCTACCTTACCCGTAAGTATCCTCCAATTCGATTCAATCATCTTCCCTAACTCTCTTGATCCCCTGCCATTAAGTAGTACCTTGTAATTTCGTCATGTCTGGTTTGTTTGATCACTGAATTGCGCCTTCCCGACGGTAAATTTCGAATCTTTTCCCCTTGTCTGTTCATGGGGCACGTTTCTTCTTCTGTTTCCGTGATTGGGGCATGTTGTAGTAGGGCTTCAAATGCCGCAGCTTTTTTGGGCTGCTTAGTCGTGAACCCTAAATCTCTGCATAGCGATGTTTTCCGCTCAAAGTTGTGTTTTGATAAACCCTATGGCTGCAGAAGCTCTCAAAGTTGCGTGCTTTTTACTTTCTTTCGAATTTGATTGTTCACTTTTTTTTTTTTGCTGTGAATATTGGGTCTGGAGATCAGGATTGCCTCTGTAGGAACTGTTGTTATGAGATGTTCGGGAATATAGTAGTTGTTTTGAAAGAATAACAATATGTTTTGTACTCTTCTTCTGTGCTTGCTAGTTATCGTGTTTGGCCTTGTGGAGGAGAATGGGAAGTGCTGCTGCTGTTGAAGCAATTCCGTCCCAAGCTTCTGAACCAACCATTGAGATAAAGATTAAAACACTTGACTCTCAAACTTATACTTTGAAAGTAGACAAGCAGGTGATTGTCTCGAGCTCCTTTGTTTTTTCGTCACGTGGCATGTCTCGATTTGGGATGTAAATCTTTGCTTTATTTGTTAATGATCTTGTTGTCTTTGTGGAACTGTACCCGCAATATGTTAATGTTGGAAGTTACGTAACAAGTATCTGGTTTGCTTGCGAGTTAAAATCTGTCACGTGGCATTACAAATAAGTGTTTTGTCTGTATAAATGGAGGGCACACTTCAATGATATGCGCTTTAAAGATGTAGTTACCACAATGTATGCAAGACCGATATTTAAAACCATGATCAAGGTGCGATCTTAGCTATTCACGTGACAAATCCCCGTGGAAACTTCTAAAGCTCTGGAGCCAGAATCAACTCGTGGAAATAACTAGAGATATTCACCTCTATAAGTGTGTCAGTGCATTATGAGATTCTGCATGACTGTTGACCTGAAAAAGATTGCAATTATGGCCTATAAAAGAAAAGTTTCACATTATTTTATTTTGCTCCTTTGTTGAATATATTGCAGATGCCAGTTCCTGCTTTGAAAGAACAAATTGCTTCTGTTACTGGTGTTTTGTCCGAACAACAACGTCTTATATGCCGTGGAAGAGTGCTGAAGGATGATCAGCTTCTCTCTGCTTATCGTATCCTCCCCACAAACTATATGTCAAACGCCATTATTTCTCATCCTTACATATTTCTCTTCCATTAAAGTTTTCTTAAATATCGTTTTACTTTACTGCTGTTTCCATTGTTTGATATTCTGGATCAAGTTTGTCTTGGTTCTTTAACTCTGAATAGATGTGGAAGATGGTCACACCTTGCATATGGTGGTCAGGCAACCAGTAGCACCATCATCTGAGGGGATGCATGATCAGCAAGGTGTGCATTTGATCAAATTTCATTTATCAATTGCTTCAGGTTATGCGTCTGCTAGACTTCGATAAGACATGTGTCAAAAGCTGAAACTCATTGCCATACAGCCAAGAGAACTTCGTATGGTGTAGCTCCTTTTCTGGAATCACTTACACGAGTGCCATTCTATGCTTGTTGTTGAGCCGCGCCAAACAATAATCACCTCTTTACCGCATTTTGTTTGCCGTTATCATAGTTGTAGTTGAATATCCCTTGAATTTAGAAATCCTCTACTATTGCTTCGTAGTGTCTTTATCATTTTTGAGACCCAAAGAAAACCATTTCCCTCTAGAGATAGCTTGATTTACGTTGCTTCAGTAATCTAGTATGACTTAACTGCAAGGGCTTTAACTTTCCTGCAGCTGATCCTGCTTCATTTTCAAGTTGGAGTCGCAGCTTTGCTGCAGCTGATCCTTCTGCTTCAATAACAAGCTGGGGCCCCAGTGTTGTCATAGAAAGTCTCAGTATGCCTGATCAAGGGGATGGAGGAGTTCCTCCTGAAATAAGTAGGGTGAGGCTGCCACTTGATGGTGAATGGAGCTTGCTGTTGTTAGTTTGAGTGGGTTAATCATGTGGGGTTATATTGATGTTTTTCATACTTTTCCCTTATCTAATACACAGATTGTTTCTGCCGTCCTTGGGTCCTTCGGAATGTCCAGTCTTGGAAGTGCCATTGATGGGGCTGATGTAACAAGGGTAACTTCACCCCCTCTCTTTGTATATATACATAATATATGCTGTCCAAACACCCTGCTATTGAGAAACTGAAATCTATATATGCACAGATATATGCAATGAATCAAAATGCGTTTTTTTCATGAAATAACGACACTCCTTTGTCCTTTATGTTCTTTTAGGACCTCGGTTTGGGAAGAACATCATCTGCTAGTGCCACATTCGAGATAAACCAGCAAGCTGGTGCTAGAGTTCAGTCTGACGGATCACATAGCGCTTTTGGAATCCCTGCAGTAGGTTCCTTGGGATCTTCTTTACACCCTCCTGTGAGTCTGAAATCCCTCTCTCTTTCTCTCTCTCCCTACTTTGTTGATGCAATATCGTGTTTTCTAATCTAATGGTCACTAGAATTTTCAATTTTCCTCTCCCTGTGCTATTGGCAATTTTAGGTTATCCCTGATGCACTGACAACTTTGTCCCAGTACCTAAGTCATATTAGGCGTGAATTCAATCGCATTGGTGAGTCATGTGATATCAATAAAAGCAATATATAATTTGCTCTTCAGACCATGTTTTTTATATTTACAGCGTGGTTGAAATGATCATTAAAATGACAGGTACAAGTGGTGAGAACAATTCTCAAACTGACAACATCAGTAGATCGGAGCAAGGAGATCTTAATTCCTCTTCATCAGAATCTGGAAGTGTAGAGGGAAGACTTCCGACACCGGCATCCTTGGCGGAGGTGATCTTGTCCAGTAGAGAGTTGCTCACTGAACAAGTTTCCGAAAGCTTACTAGTATGTTTGTTCTACCACGTTCACTCTAATCAGTTCAGCCCAAGGTGGGAACTTTTGCCTTCTTACTGGTCAATCATTTTTCCAATCTCTTGTTTTGTATTGTAATCAGCAACTTGGAAGGCAATTAAGCACTCAAGAAAGTATGACTGATTCTTCAGCACGGTCGAGAACTCAAACTGCTGCATGGAGAACAGGAGTTCAACTTCATAACCTGGGTGCATTTCTACTTGAACTGGGACGAACAACCATGACTCTACGACTAGGTCAAGCACCGGTAGGGTTCTTTCTCCCTCTGACCATCCATAACATCCCTTCATCTCAAGTCTCTCCTTTCATTAACAACTGTTATTTGTTGAATCAGTCGGAGGCCGTGGTCAATACTGGCCCTGCAGTCTTCATAAACTCCACCAGTCCAAACCCTCTAATGGTTCAGGTCATAATTAATGGCACCTCGTGTCAAATACATTCTGCTTTCCTTAGTTTCATTCATTTTGATCGTTACTGGTTTACAAACAGCCTCTTCCTTTCCAACCTGGAGGAGCAACCCTCGGTGCTGGCTTTCCTATGGGCTCTGTGCAGCCTGGTTCTGGGTTTGTTCCCCGCCGCATCGACATCCAGATACGCAGAGGAGGTAAACCCTAGACTGTGTTCATAATTTCCCAATCATTTATTAACTTCATGAAAACTTCATTTTGACTTGTGAATTCCAATAATTAAGGTTCGTCAACCACCTCGTCTACTGTTACAAATGAGGAACGTGGTGAGTCTGGCCAGAGAAATCCTGCAGCAGGTGGCAGTGCCGATAACACGGCTAATCAGACCACGACTAGAGAAGAATCTCTAGCTGGGGAATCCGGAGTTCGTGTAGTGCCCATTAGAACCATGGTTGCCACAGCAGCAGCAACAGTCCCTGGTTCATTCGGTCATCCTTTTGTCGGAAGGTTTCAGCAGGTGGGTTCTGAACAAAGATCTCATGCACAAACACAGCAACAGGCAGTTCCTCAAACTGCACAAAATGATGAAAATGCTGAGGTTCGGGTAAGAGAGCCCTCGACTACCACCCGTAGCATTAACATCAACATTCTATCGGCAGCCGGTGGGGCCCGAACTGGCCAGGAATCTGATAGACAGGTCCCTGGAAGTGTTATGCAGTTCCTGAGGTCTTTGTTTCCCACTGGAGAAATCCATGTGGAGGCTGCCGGCAGCGACTCAGGAACTACAACGACGACCCCTCCTCCTCCTGCCCCTCAGAATGTGGGATCAGCTACAGCTGCCGCTGAAGAAGGATCAGAATCGAGACCAAGCGAGGAAGGATTATTTCTCTCCAATTTACTCCGCCAGATTTTGCCCGTGGTATCTGAACATAGTGGGTCAGAGCCAGGTGACACATCTCAAGGAGAAGCACAGAGGTCTCAGGATTCTTATAGCCAGGTACTTGAAGAATAAAAACACCACTAGCCATCAAAATCTGCGAGTCAATCCAAACAAAGTCCTAAATTTATATCATTTTGGTGCTTTTTGCAGGTTGAGAACAATAGTGTAGGGACTTCCCGTCGTAGCAATGATTCACATCCAAGCAGTCCAAACTCAAAACGCCAAAGGGTACATACACTCAAGCTCTCTCTCCTTGACAATATGTATACTTAAATCCTGATGGCAGAATACTGATCTGTCTTTTTCCATGGTGATGCAACAGAGGGAGTGAGGAAGCTTTGGTGGATTGTGGAGGCAGTAGTTTGTGGGGTAGAGAAAGCTGTTGTTGAGTATCAATAATGGATGGTTTTGGATTTTCTTTAGTACAGGTGAATAGCCTATTTCTATTTGTTTTTGTGATCTTTCTGAATGTAGGTTTTAGTTCGCTTCTCTCTTTTGTCCAAAGAATTTGGGGATATATTCTGGCATTTGAAGAACAGAAGAATTCATTTTGGTTTAAGATTCACCTTTTGAGTTGTATTCTCCCTCTCAAATTATAGCAACATACAGATTACAGAAGTTGTTCCATATGATAGAAGTAGAGATACCATTCAGATACAGTTGCTCTTGGCAATTGTTGCGCGACATTGAGAATCTAGTTGATAGATACTGCGTGCAGGCTAAGTGTTCATACTGGCTGCATCAATTGCAAATTTACCAGCGTGACAATGGATGTCGAACTCCACTGTTGATTTTCTCACAGGTGATGAGCTCAGTGGCATGAATGTTAAGGTACAGTCTCATAGCTGGCTGAAAGGGCGGGTTGGAAGTTCGGAGTCACTAACCCCCACTTTCGTGATCACCGTATGATAGCTATCAAAGAAGTAGCCAAGCGGTAGTGGATGGCGCTGCATTGTTGATTTTCGCCACAAGTGTTGAACTCGCTGTGGTAAGAACGATAATTTACAACCTAATAGTTGGCTGAAAGGGCTGCTTGGAAGTTTGGAGTTGTTCATTCCACTTTCGTAATCACTGTTAAAGACATAAACTCACAATGTGATCACATTTAGGATGATCTGATTCGATCTCATATCAAGATCAAAATGAGTGGTTCATAGAGGATGAATTATATATGTATGTACATCTCAAAACATTATGTCCAGAATTTGATATTACAGTTCCTCGACACTGAATGAGGGCAAGGGGAAATCTATTGTTCCCCAATATGAATGTATATACAAAAAAGAAAAGAAAAAGATGTATGCACCATTATTGATTAGCTTCTTACCCTCCTAAAAGCATGGGCGAAGAAAACCGAAAAAGAAGACAATTATTATCGGCATTATCCTTGTAGCAGACATCTCAGGTTCTGCAGTCCCTCAGCAGAGATGCTCCTCCTCACTCTCCCCCTCGGAACTACAGTCGATGGAGGCGGCTCTGAGTGAAAGCTCACAATGACAACCGTCAAGTTGTCGGTCGCTCCTCGTTTGATAGCTTCCTCCACCATTTCTTTGCAGCACTGCTTCACATCATTGTGCTGCTGAAGCCTCCTCCTGGCAAAGTGCACCGCATTCTGGCTGGAAAACACATCCCAGATTCCATCACAACCTATGATCAGAAACTCGTCCTCGCGTGTCAGTGTGATTAGCTTGAGCTCTGGTTCAGCAATCAGTGGGCCACCACCACCTTCCTTTTCACCTGTGTCCTTCATTCCTTCGAGGTGCCAGTCTCCCAGTGCACGTGTAACACCCAAAAGACCGTTGAGATAACCATCATCGACATATCCTCCCAATGACTCGACTCGGAGTCTCTCGATAATGCTGCATGGCCTATGATCCATGGACAGCTCGATCGCCATTCCACTTCTTGATAAGACTGCCCTGCAGTCACCTGCATTTGCTATGAGCATTGACCTGGAGAAGCCAGAAGCAAGTTATCAATCAAGTATTTCCCTATGCCATGAACTAAAATCAATGGATTTTTTTTTCCAACCATATGACTTGAGAAAGTAAACTCAAAGAGTTCTGCAAATGAAATGCGCTAGTTGATTTACCAGTAGAGAAAAGGAAGGAGCTTATACCTCCCAAATATCATTGCAGTTAGTGCAGTTGTACCGGAAGAGATTGTGGAACCAGAAGAGCATGATTCTGCAAAAGCAGCATCTGCCTCCACAAACGATCGCGTAATCACTTTCTCGAGCTCGAGAGGAAAGTCGGCATCTTCAACAATGATCCTCGGCAAGTGGTCTCGGACAAATTGTGCTGCGCTTTTTCCCCCATGGCCATCGAATACCTGTATCAAGCGTTACAACATTCAAGTCAAGACCAAGCTTTTCAAGGATCTTCATCCAGGTGTTAGAACGAAAGGAGAACTTACACCGTAGAGAGAAATGGCCTCCTGAGTCAGCAGATCATCACAGCCAAACTTCTTAGCCAAGTCACTAATGCAAACATAAGTGTCCTCCATTTCAGGGCGGCCACCAATATCAGACCACTCCCCTGACCTAAGGGCAGGGACAAAATTGGTCATCTTCCTTTCTGCTGAGACTCTATCCTCGTTAATGCTCTCCAGCTGAAATCAAAATCCCCCAAAACAGGAAACAAGAATCAGACAATGGAAAACAAACACACCAAGTCTATCAACTTGCTGTCAAGAGCAAATGATGAACTTTTAATCCATAACAAGACAAAACCAATTTCTTGGCTGGAATCTGATTGGCCACATTATTGCACCCCCAAAAGAGGAAAGCTACCCAAAGAAAGAAAATAAAAGTCATGCATTTGAAAGCCAATTCCTGTTGCTATGATTAACACCCCCCAAAGTCACCTAAAAACCCTCCAATCACCCCACAAGTCTGAATCCCTGCAAATTGGCCTTTCACCCTCACCTACCAAATTCCCACAACCAAAAACCAACCCTTGATTGTATCACAAGAACAGTAACAAACTGATTCTAAGTTTTTAGCTAACTAATCAAAGCAAAAGCACTACAGAACCCAGAAATGAATTGGAACTGTTTCATTGCGACCATAATTAGCAACTCTCTTCAATATCACTTACAGGGCAGGAGTTACCACCGACGCCGGAGGCCATAAAGGAGCAGTCTTTCTCCCAATTATCCATCTGGGTATGGTTGCACGGCCGAGCCTGCTTCTTGTTAGTACTGCCGCCGCTGCTTCCTCCTCCTCCGCCGCCGCCGTCGTTCTTCAGCATCCTCTTCTCTTCCTCCTCCACTTCCGCTTCCTGGGCAACGCTCTCTGCGTCCTGAACACACATGATTTCGGCCCCTCCCTTTTATGCAGTTTATCTTTCTGTGTTTTACTTGCCTATGGACCTGTGGCCAAGTGGAAGAAGAAGTTGAGGATAGAAAAAAAGTGATCTTTGTTTATTTATTCAGAGTCCAAAAGACTGCTGTAGAAGAAGCAAGTTGGATGCTTTGTTTGTGGTGTGGGTGTCCAAGGAAGGAAGCAACTGAGTACAGGGATGGGGAAATTTAAGAGGGGAAATGGGAGGAGAGCAATTGGAGGTGTGGGGGAAAGGACTAAGGAGAAGGGTGAAGAAGATTCTACGGAATATGTGTTGGGAGCAAAATCTAAGGTGCTTCCTGTTTTGTTTTCTTCTTTATAGTTTGAAAGGAAAAACAAAGGGAAAAGTAAAGAGCAGTAGTTGGGACTTGGGAGGATGTTTGGCTGGCTAGCTGGCTGGATGGGAGCCGTTAAAAATTTCCAGATTTTTCTCTGTTCTTCTATTTGTGAAATAGTGGCTGAATATAGTTTTGGGTCATATGTTAAAATGAAGTTCGCGGAGACATGGATTGATATTCGAGTTTCTCTAGTAAGAGTGTGGTATAAGATCTTGCAGAACTTTCTTCCAATAATTCGAGTTATTGAGATCAATTGGTTCATAACATGGTATCAGAGCTTGTTTTGTCAAGTGATCGTGTGCTCGAATCTCCACGACCCCCAATACTAACCTTTGATTAAAAGCACAAGGTATGGTGGGTCTGTGCAAACTTCAAGCCCGTGGGTTGCCTTTCGTTTGAGGGGGCGTGTAATAGTGTGATGCTAGTCGTGCTAATTGTTGTCATACGATAAATACATTGTGAGCAATCAAGGTGATTAACGGACAAATTCATCGAAAGATTCATAAACCAACTGGTCACAATAGCAAGAATTATTATGATCATTTAATTATGCACTTATCCATAAACCACTGTAGTTTGTCATTGCAATTTGCAAATCCACTTTTACAAGTGAATGATCCAAATCCAAAATGAAAATCCAATTGGCTCCTCAAGTGGTAAGAAGGATAACAATTCAAGGTCTGGAATTTTATTGCTATTTGATCTAGTCAATGACATGTACAAGTGCCATTGTCTTCTGTGTAATAATATCATTAACAACATCTTGTCCCCTTCTCAAAACAAAGGGGGAAATAAAGAATAATTAACTTCTTCAATAATAAATACAACACAAAATTTTGAAGGATAATAACATTTTAGTGGTCCAATTATGGGTTATAGAAAAGTTAACCTAAATTAAGCAAATAAATTAACAATTGAAGGGTTACACAATGATCAAATTCCGGTTCAACTAAGCAACCAATTGGGTATTTCTTTATGCTTTCTCGGGTAATTTCCAATGAATTGTCTTTTACACTTTGTAATAGATATGCCTTTAAATTAAATATTTTGGGGAGAAAAAAGCTACACCAAAAAGGGACAAAGGCAATTTTACAATGACATCAAAAGTTTGTTGGTTGATTGCAACCAATAAGTTTCAATCTTTCCTCCATCACCGTCCATATTTTTTTGTCAAAGGAGCCATTGAATGGCAACGTGTACCCTATTTCCTCTTTTCATTACTAATGGAAGGTTACATCACAATTTGGAAGCTTAAAAGAGTGAGAGATAAATTTAAAATCGGATTTGTTTGAGCGACAAAAAATATATTTTCGACATAACGTAGTTGAAGAGTAATCAAGCACTGTGTTTAGGGTATAGAAGAAATTGGGTATAAAAATGAAAATCATGAAGCACCTCGCAAACATATGAGGCTTTTGATATGACGATCTAGTATTATTCAGGTTAGAGATATGGATAAAGCCTCCGACCTTGTAATTGAGTTAGCTTGCTAGACATGAGTTAACTCATTTGGTAACGAATGAGACATCGACTTTGTGCATTAAACTATTGTGTGTGAGTACTTAATGGGCTAGATCAAGGATGTTTAGCATGTTATAGTAGGTTGAGGGTTAAAAGTCCAATAGATTTAGCTCAGATATATGAGAAAGATCATTATATTGTTCCTACATTTATAAATTATATCAAACCTCGTCTGACATATGGACAATAACATATAACATTACACTAACAGAGCAGTTCGTACTTAGATCTAACATATAATGTAAATTCAAACATGCTAATATAACATCAATATTCAAATGTTCAGTTTTCAACGGTAAGGTTAGGCGAAGGGAACCTTGATACTAGTCGACTAGTGAGGTCTGACACTCGTTTTCCTCACCATATTCGGATTAATCTGGATCGACCCAGGTGTTGACAATCTTGGGCTACATCGATTTAAAAGAACATTTATGTGGATAGGGGGGATTCATGCTTACATAGTAATAGCAACAATATCATCACCTCCATTGATTGCTCCATGGACAATATGCAAACAACGTGGATTGCAAGTTTCCCTTAGCTAAACTAATAAATCTATTAAAAAAAACCAAAAGATATGAAAATGATGTTTTTGGCTGGCAATTGTTATGATAATGAAAGATTGCATATCGAGTTGAAGGCTTCAATATGCTAGAAAATGACAAATAGGGTTGCTCTCTTTTTCCTCCTTTTGCTTTCCAAGAAAGGTTAACGAAGAACAAAGTGATTCGAGCAACATACATAGCCCCATTTCTTCCACAAAATATCTCTTCCTTCGTGAGCACTATAATGTAGGTGGTAGAATTTTGTTTTGTTTTGTTATATAGATAGGTCTCACTTTGACGAGGATGGGGATCTATATTATTAGGATTTGCTACGGTGACATGCATGTCACGGTGACATGCACTTTTCGGTCGACCTCATATATGATTAGGTCGACCTAATATGTTGTTTTAGTGTAAAAACAGTTTCATGGTGCATACTTTGGAGATTCATATCTTACAATTGGCTAGATGGAAATTGGAGATTAAAGGCTTGTTTTGAAGCTGAAGTGTCCCTCTACACATTAAAGTACTTGGGAGTAGGGATGGCAATTTCGACTTGACCCGATTTCCCCGACCTGTTTGACCTGTTTTGGGGCGGGTCAAACCCGCCCCGTAGGCGGGGCGGGGCGGGCATGGGTACCTCTCATCGACCCGACCTGCCCTGACCCGCCCCATTCTCGACCCGTTCTTGCCTAAATTACATATAATATTAGTTAAATTACTTAAATTTTCCTCTTATTACATTATATTTTAGCTATAATAAAGTTGTAAATAAGTGAAAACCTCAATTTCTTCAATAATTTAACTACATTTTATCATATTATGGTTTCTTTCTTGGTCTTTCAATGAAAAGAACGAATATTTCTAATATTTTTCACATAAATTACATACCCAATGGGTCGACATGCCCCGACCCACGCGCCGTGATAAATTATCCGACCTGGACCCGACCTGCCATGGGGCGGGTATGGGTATCGAGATACCCGCCCCGGACCTGCCCCATTGCCATTCCTACTTGGGAGCTCAATAGAAAGTCCAGAATACCATTTTTGAACCTGACCAAAAGGCAATGCCAAAACTGGGAAACTGCCTGAAAATGGCAAGTCTGGCAACGTGTTTGTCAAGCCTACTTTGGAGCTCCATTTGAGAAGCATGGATGCGAGTCAAGTCCAGGGGCCTCTACCACGTTAAATTACATATTTTATAATACAAAGGCAAGGCATTGGATGAAAGATTGAATATCTTTAAGGCTTCAAACAAAAGGCTCGAAGTTGCTACAAAGGTTGTTTTTCTGGCAGCTTGCTTGTGCTCGAAGTCTGCCAGAAAACCAGCCTTCGTAGCAACTTCGACCCTTTTGTTTGAAGTCTTACAGATATCCAATCTTTCATCCAATGCCTTGAATTTGTATAAAAACATACCTAATTTAACGTGGTAGAGGCTCCTGGACTCGACTCGCATTCATGCTTCTCGAATTGAGCTCCAAAATAGGCTTCACAAACATGTTTCCGGACTTAGCCATTTCCAGGCAGTTTCCCAGTTTTGGCATAGCCTTTTGATGAGGTTAAAAGATGCTCTTCTGGACTTCCTATCGAGCTCTCTTCCACTTCAATATGTAGAGGGACACTCCAGTTTCAAAACAAGTCATTAGTCTTCAATTTCCATCTAGCCAATTGTATGATATGAATATCCACAGTAGGCACCATGAACTGCTTTTACACTGAAACAACAGATTAGGTTGCCCTGATCCTATATGAGGTCGACCGAATTCTAAATGAGGTCGACCTAATCCTAATTGAGGTCGACCGGAAAGTGCAAGTCACCATAACATGCATGTCACCGTAGGCACACCTATTATTATGGCTCACACTTTTTCAAACAATGTATGAACGAGAACTTTGAGATCGAGAATCAAAGTAATTTATGTTATTTTAATCTATATATAAATTCATGAGATATTCAGCGACTACAATCACAATGTTCGCTGCTCTACAAAATTGGATTAAAACAACTGCTTTGCAAAGCCACGCCAAAATGAGGAATTTAGTTATCACAATATCTTTTTAATTTAGTGACCCAAAATTTAACCTTTATATACAATACTTGGTGGGAAAATATTTTTTTCTCTCACGACAGATACAACATTCCAACATTTTTCTTACCAAGATCATATTTGTTTTGGCCTAATACCACACCGTTCTGCTTTTTGGAACATTTCAGGAATGCTCCACCTTAAGAACTTTTAACGACATAATTCTTATAAATACTCCTTTAATTTCACCGAAAACTCTGTCTTCTCATGATTCATTAGGATCCATTGAGAAACTCGTCCTCTCAAGGTCGAATGGTTGATGGTTCCTTAGAATTCCTTAATCTCTCACGTATTTGTCAATAATTTGACTACGTGTTTGCAAGCTTTGTTTTAAGTAATCACACATAAAGGTGCCAATGGTCACTAAAAAGCTCCTCCGTCTTGATGCACACTAGTTAATCTTTTTTGTCTCATCCAACCACGATGAATTCCCAACAACAAAATATTAGTGCACCGGTTGCCTATTTGGTATATGATCATTATCTTTAGGTTAATATCTTATTATGACCTGAACTATGACCATGTAATTAATTTTGGTTCTTGGTTTGAGAAATTAACATCCTGGCCTAAACTATGCAGCATATAGACAGAATTGGCCTGGAACGTGGTTTGACCGTTTGTTTGGACGGTCAAACCCGTTGACCGTTAGTCAACTGTCCAAGTCTCTGCCATGTCGGCAAAAAAAAAATTATAATTTGAATTTTCTTTTTATTTCTTTTATAAAATTGAATAATAAAGAAAAAATTATAATTTCATTTTTCTTTTTATTTCCTTTATAAAATTGAATAATAATAAAAAATTAAAAAAAATAGGCCACCCTTACCCACCTTATCCCCTCCCCTTCTTTCCTTTTCGATCAAAGCCCAAAAAAACTCTAACCAGTTTTTTTCTTCCAAACATTGCCCCTCGTATCCAATGCATCTCCACCAACGTTATCTTCCTCATCCGACCAGAATCTAGGGCCGGAGTCATCCTTCCCAAAGACAACCTCGTCGACCTAATGGAGTCGACCTCACCAAACCATCTTTCGATGTCGGTGAATATGGAAAGAGATGAATGTTTCGTGGCGAAGGCCCGGATCTGGAAATCAATGATCGAGGGGAAGGGAGACAAATCGTCGATTTAGAATCGGAATTCGCGTCGGCGGCCCCTTGAAGCGCTTCGCATGGGTCGAAGAGGACCGCGACGATGAATGGAAGCGGCCGGTAGGAGACGATTGGTGGGTTCTAAATCGCCGATGGGAGACGAGCGGGGGAAGAGGGAGATGAGGAAGGCGAGAATCGAAAGGGCCGAAAATCCTCCAGATTCAGCCCAGATTCTTCTGGGTTCCAAGTATTCAACTCAAATCGGAGGTTCCCGTGGTGGCGACGGTGGTGTCTTCTGTGTTTTCCGATCATTTTTTTTTTAAGTGAGCCTCCATTTTTTATTTATTTATGGGTTTCTGACTTTTTGGGGAAGATAAATGTGGATCTGGGGAGAAGACAAAAGGGGAGGGGCACGGGCAGAAAGATGAAGAAAAATTAAAAGAAAAATAAAATTATAATTTATTATTACTATTCAATTTTATAAAGGAAATAAAATGAAAATGAAATTATATTTTTTTTCCTGACATTGCAATGACCTGGACAGTTGACTAACGGTCAACGGTGTTGACCGTCCATACAAACAGTCATACAACGCTCCAAGCCAATTCTGTCTATATACTCCATAGTTCAGGCCAGAATGTTAATTTCTCAAACCACAGTCAAAGTTGATTACATGGTCATAGTTCAGACTATAATAAGGTATTAACCCTTGCCTTTATTACCTTTCCTTTCGCCAACCTAGTACCAAAATTATTGTGCATCTACACTTGTGTGAAAGTCAACAAACAGCTAATTGCTTGGTCACATACTCCCATTACTCTTCCTCTAAAATATGAACAGAAGTCGCCCTTCCACACTGATGAATTTCCCTACCTACAATCTTCACCACGCTAATCACATGTATTTAAACAACAGTAACACAGCTCCATTGGAGCAGTACATTATCAAATGGACCATCAATCAATCACTGATGCAAAACAAAGCTTTGAACCATGTGATTAACCATTGCAATCAGACTAGAAAGTCGACCACACAACCTACAGAACACCTAGTGTTGAGAAAGAGACTTGATCGGTGCAGAGATGAACCGACATTAAAGGGCATTCAGATTCCAGAAACAACATAGCTACTATGTTTGCAACATGTCACATAAGATCAAACAAATGTTGAGACAAGGGAAAGATCTAATTGTTCCAAGTAATTGCCAAAACTAGACTGTTCAATTTCCAGAATAGCTTACATGACCAACTAACGGCGGTTCATTGATCAGCCTAACCCACACACAAAAAGCTGGATGTTGTACCCCTTACATTCCAGTGAAGGCCTTCTTTCCACCGCCAGAAGATCCAGCAGGAATAACCTTCAACACATTAAATCTCACGGTCTTCGACAGAGGCCTACAACCATGAAGAAGAAGGTTTCAGTAAACATACAAAAGGAAAGCAAACTTAAGCACACTTAGTGTTAACAATAGTCTTAATCAAAAGAGGTAGTTACCTGCACTGCCCAATGGTAACGTGATCTCCTTCCTTGACACGGAAGCATGGTGAGACGTGAGCGGGGATATTAGAGTGTCTTTTCTCATACCTATGGATGAATGGCAAATCATTTTTCCTTGTTAGTAGTTCAGACTGAAAATGGTAATAAAACAATATATATACCAAAAATGCCAGCATCAGTACCTCTGGTATTTCTTCACATAGTGAAGATAGTTACGACGAACAACAATTGTTCTCATCATCTTGGCACTGTGGCATGTTCCAGCAATGATACGACCCCTGATGGAAACAGTGCCGGTGAAGGGGCATTTCTTGTCAATGTATGTTCCTGAAAGATGATATCAAAATCAGCAAAAAGACACAATCAAACATAACTAGTGAGTCACAGAATCGTCTTATATTAAAACATCACACAAGATTGTGAATAAATTGAACATCAATTTCCATATGCAGAAAGGAATAGAAACAATTGCTGCCAGAAAAATATCGATTCGGTGACGGCTGGCCCGATTCTCACACTATACAAATTTTGCCAGATACCACAGAGGAAACCAAGATATTCTGATTTCTCAAAGCCAGACAACGAGAAGCTCAGCTCAAGGTAGAGCAGAGTAAGGAGGAAGTCTACTTAATTCCTCAGACCACGAGCAGACTAAAAAGGAGGCGGACAACTTAACTCCTTTGCTTGGATTTAGCTCAAAATCTAGTTGAAGTTCTTAAGACTACTATTCTTACTATGTCCCAACTTCAATGTACGGAGCCACTACAGCAGGGTAAGTAGGAGCATTTAACTCCTCCGAGCTCGAGCAGAGTAAAAAGGAGCGGAAAATACATAACTACTTCAAGAGGATTAAACTTAAACGTTTGTCTACTCTCAAACTAATATCCTTACTACGTCACAGCTTCAATGTACTAATAATCTCTTCCGGAATCAACACTAGGAATCTACTCAAAAATATCTAATTTTATGCATACCTAATCAATACAAGATAGCCTCTTCAATAACTTCTAAATCCTACTATTCACAATATCGAAACAAAATAATCGCATCTAATCTAACACAACATACATAGACATTAACAATCATCAGCTCGCTCAAGTTCATCTAACGCATAAGAAAAGAAACGTACAAACTGAATAGCCATAAAAAGGTATGAAAAACCAAAATACCTTCGATGGCTTCTCTGGGAGTCTTGAAGCCCAACCCAATGCTCTTCCAGAAGCGGTTTCCTCCCTTTCCAGGCCTCTTTCCCTTGCCAGTTTTTTTCGAGCTAAGAGACAACAACGATTCAGATAGTGAGCACGAAAGACATTTGCTTGAAGAAAAAACTAATCAACAGGGCAGGGAAGTTCCTAGCTCACTGAGAAACCTCACCTAAGGAAAACCTTGGGTTGCTTCAGAAATGCCTTCTCAGTCTGCAACGGAACAGGAAAAACAGAACAAAACCCTTCTCAGTAAGAGATCGATTTCGTGGCTGATTTTACCAAACGGGGAAAGCAATAGAAACGATAACATACCTGCTCCGCCATGATTGATCGTGGGCTTGTTTCTCCGAAGAGGTGAGAAGGAAGCGGCAAAACGAAGAAGGCGAGAGGCGAAGAACGACGAGTTTGAGGCTGCCTATCTTAAACCCTAGCTTGCGTTTATATACCTGGACCCGATTGTGCTTTTCTAAGGAAGACCTACTTCTCTAGCCACGTATTATTGGGCTTGAAAACTGGTATGGACTGGGCTTGGTATGCACTGTAAGACTAATATATCTGATAAAGCCAATTTGGGTGAAGAACAAATCCCATTGAATTATGCACATATCCTAATCCTACCACATTATTTAACGATTATATTTTTTTATATAATGATGATAAACTTAACGATTATAAAATTAGGGTAGGGAGTCCTACCTCTAATACTTTTTTTTATAACTCATCCTGGAATTTATTAATGCATCAAAGGCAAGGATTGATTACAGTCAGAAATGAGTTGGTTAACTAACATAACCAGTGGCCGGTCGAACTAGACTTCATTCTCTTCCCAATTACATCTCACTCGGGCCATTTGGTGGGCTGGTTCATTCCCCTTTCTCCCCCAAAACCGAACCCTAACCCCTCATTTACTCCATCATCATCTTCCTTATCTCCCCACAAATGGTATCAACCTCCAATTCAGAGTGCTCTTCCTCCTGAATTCTGTTTATTACTGAAAAGCAATCCGATTCAACTATCAGCGGCCGGTACTGGTGCATTAATGACAGCTTCATCGCCTAGGAAATCGCTTTCGCTTCAGCAAGTTCTGACGTCCAGGGAGTTCTCGTTCGATGAGCTGTTGCCATCTTAAAGATCCCTGCTTCATCACGAATTACCATCCCGGAGCCAGTGCCCCCTTCATTTAGAATCGCAGCATCAACATTCACTTTGAAGGTTCACGCACTTGGTCTCTACCTCTGTAATCCTGCTTCTCCGATGTCGCTGGGTGAGTTCTCTTTTCTTGCACTGCCTTGAACTCCTCTGGATACTGTACAGAACGGGCAATAATCTCCTCATCCGTCGATGTTTCCATTACCTCACAAAGTCATTCTTCGCTAGTTTTGTTGTCTCCCATGCTAAAGATCTTGCTGAGCGAACTAGGGCGCCAGACTCTACCAGTCCAATCACAATCACGGGTAATGTGTTCCTGCGTCTCGAGTAATCCACAGAATGGACATCCCTCATAGGCCTCCTCAACCCTGTGCACTAGATTCGAACCTGTGGAAAGTATGTTACTTCCCCATCTCCATATGAAAACTCTTATCTTCGGGGGGGATTCTCAGATGCCATAGACGTCTCCACTCAATTGGGACGTATTTTTCCCCCACTTCAGTCTCCTTCTTTCTTCCCCATAGGTAGTAGGCAGATTTGACTGAGTATCTCCCCCGTTTCTCAGGTCCCCAGACCTTAGTATCTTCAAATGGATGTTGTGGTAAGGGAATCTGAGTGATTCTCTTTCGATCTTCTGGTTGGAAATGCCTTTGTAACAGGTTGCTCTTCCAAGTTATAGTTTCTTCATCAATCACACTCGCCACCCTAGCATCCCAGTGTAGTCCATTCATTTGTGTCTCCACTCTGTAGTCTCGTCCTTCGGGTACCCATTTGTCCCACCATATTCTGGCTTGCTTTCCATCCCCAATTCTCCACCTTGTTCCTTCTCTAACCACCCCTTGAGCTGCCATAAGAGATCTCTAAATGTAGCTAGGGGTGTTACCAATCTCAGCCTCTAGGATTGAGCAGTGAGGGTAGTATTTGGCTTTAAAGACATGTACTACTAGGGAGGTAGGATTTTGAAGCATATTCCATACCTGTCTTCCTAGAAGCGCCAAGTTAAAGTCATGAAGATCCCTGAATGCCATTCCTCCTTCTTGCTTTGATCGACACAACTTCTCCCAACTCATCCAGTGTATTCTCTTTTCCTCCTACTTCCTTCCCCACCAGAATCCTGCTATTAAACTCTGTATCTCCTGGATTACTCCTTGCGGTATGAGGAACACAGACATTGCATAATTTGCTTGTGCCTGGGCTATTGATTTGATCAGCTTTTTCTTGCCAGCTGTTGACATAGCTTACTCTTCCACATTTTTACTTTTTTCCGGACTCTGTCTATTAGCTTACTAAACACAGCTTTCTTGGATCTGCCTATAACAGTTGGGAGGCCAAGGTATTTATCATGGTACTCCACTTGTTTCATGCTCAAAACTGTCGCCACTTGATCTCTCTGAACTCCTTTGGTGTTACTACTGAACGATAGTTCTAATTTTTCTAAGCTTACTTGCTGGCCTGACTCCATCTCGTATTGCTTGAGAATCCTCTTTAGCACTGCTGCTTTCTTTGTAGTATTCTCTAGGAAGAAAAATATTATCATCTACAAAAAATAATGGGTTAATTCCGGGCCATTTTTGCTTACTCGGATTCCATGCAATTCTTCTCTTTCCACTGCCTTTTTTGTTAGGGCAGAGAGACCTTCTGCACATAGAAGGAAGAGGTATGGGGAGATTGGGTCTCCCTGCCTCAGACCTCTTGTAGGTACTATGACTGGCGATTTGTGGCCAATGGCCATTGACCAGGACTGAATAACTGATTGTAGTTACACACTTCATTATTATGTCCACCCAACGTTTATCAAAACCCAATTTAAGCATAATCGCCTCCAGGAATGACCATTCTACTAGGTCATAAGCTTTTGCGATGTCCAATTTTGCGATGTCCAGGAAGGATCAGTCTACTCAGTTGAATTAGATAAAATCAGATCATCTTCAATCATGGGATGAGATATTATACGACTTGTGACTTGTCCTAATCCGCGTTTGATGAATACATTATGCTCTCACATGTTACGTGACGGATATGAATATCGAGATTTTCGTGCTATTATATCCGACTGTCCCATTGCCATTCATACCTGCATAACTTTGTTTGCTTACTTACAACAACTGGTCATAAAATATATTGGTAAATAAATATAAATAATACCAATTCTAAGAGATCAATCTGACAATAGTAACTAAAATTTAACATCGAATTATTCTAACTTTGAAACCAACGTCACCGTAAAAACAAGTTTATGACCTCATTTTGTCTCGGAACAAACTGTTTTTGTCTTCCAAAACAAAATTTGCAGACCATATATTCCCTTCCCTCCCCCATTTCCCTATTTTCTCCCAAAGATTACAATCTACACTACGCACCAAGAAACAAAACAAATAAAGAAATGGCGAGAAAGGAAAATGGAATGGATTGCGAAAGAGAGAAGATTAGCGCGACAGCATGTGGCACCGAATATTTGCCCCCTTCGCGGCTTCGCCCCTTCCCTTGGCCTTTAACCCCATTCCTAACAAACCCTTCTCTCTCTCTCTCCATTTCCTTCTCTCTTAATAATTGAAGAGGGGAATTTATCCCATTTCTGAAGTGGAATTTGAAACCAAGGACGTAGCAGCAGCGACTTCCTCACACTTATTTTTAGAGCTCTCTGTAGGCCACGGTGGTCCGGCGACCGGAATGGGTTCCGGCAGCAGTCGCCCGCGGTCGCGCCCATCTGAGTCCCGACCCAGCGCCAGCAGCACCCCCGTCAACCGCTCCCCTTCAAGGATTCTGTCATCCATCATCTGCGGTGGCTCCTCATCTTCTTCTTCCCGCGCTGCAGCTGAGGTGAGAGCGACAGGCCGGTTGATGTTGTTGTTGTTGTTGTGAATTGCTTCTTATTGAATAAAGTTGGTGTTTTTGATCGTGGGGTGATTGTCATTTCTGATCGCGAGCAGACATTGTTGACTTCTGGGTGGTTCCTGGAGACCAATATTTAGTGGGTTTGTTTGGCTGGTTGGGGTTTTTTGATTAGGTGGGCGATTCTCGGATTGTTAATGGGTGGCTGTTTGTGTGCTCAACCTTGAACATCTAAGATTGCAGCTTGCTTCAATCCTTGTTTTGGGGAGTGGTAAGGGGAATGACCTTTCTTGTTGGTATGCAAATAGATATCTATGATTTGGTCTAATGAATAATGATAGCTCTATAGCATGTTTGAGTCTGTCCTTTATTGCGAGGTCTTTAGCTCTTGTTGAATCATTTAGAGGGGATAGTCTGTGCTACCAAAAACAGAACAAGTGGGAGAATGATCCACATATGCATAATTCTGTAGTATCTTGGAAGAGCATGGATGATTGTTTATGTCATTCGGCAGGCAACACACAGTTTGCTTTATAGCATTTTTCACTCATCTAATGTCTCCCGTTTGTGGAGGAGACTGATCTTGAGCTATCAATGACTCTGCATCATTAGATGTGGATGGTTGTAAAATTGTTTGAAATGTATACATGTGGTGTTAACTTGAGTGCTTCTTATGTATATGTCGCATTTGTTTATATTTTATGAGCATGTTTGATCATTTGAGGATTGATTTTATTGATGAATCTTCTGACTAGCCTCCCTCTTGATTTTGCATAGATGAAAGGTCGTCCTTACGAAATGTTAAAGAGCACTGTGGAAAATGGTGAGGCGGGGGCCAACAAAATACAAAGCCTTGTACTGGAATCGTCTGCCATAATTGGCTCAGAAACAGTTTCTGCCAATTCTGATAGTGCCATTGGCCATTCATCAACAGGGAGTAGTATTACAGCCAGCAAGAGAATCGTTGGTGAAGGTGGTTTGAGAAACCCTGGAACAAGTAATCAAGAGAGACGTTTCTCCGAAAGTTTGGGGTTAGTTTCTTCCCAGGTATGTGATGAATATGGCTACAACGACTCTTTTAGGAATAGGTATAGTGGTGAAGAAGCTAGTACTTCATTTAGAGAACAACAACAATCTTCAGATCCTCCCTCTGTAAATACTTTGGCTAACAAGGATGCAGTCGATGGTATTTACAATCCAGAGAATAGTAGAGATATGCATGCAGAGAGTTCATCTCAAGGGCTACTGCACACATCGAGTTTTGGCAGGGCTTCTGTTGAGAATCACATGGATGAAATGACAACTTGGCCTCTGCACAATTCTGATTCTGTTTCTGGACGAGAAGCAATTCCTGAGGGTTCAGGACTTCCGGTGACGGAACAGGCCCAGGATGATGGAGATGTTCTTCATGTAGATGTTGTGAGCATCTCTTCCAGCATCTTCTCTAGGGGAACGGCTGATACGGCTAGTCCATATGAGACCAGAAGAAACAGTAGAAGACTATTCTGGGATGCATTTTCAAGACGCAGTTCTTGGAGGCCTATGGATTCTCCAACCATTGTGTTATCTAATGATGATAGTCCTGATGATTTACAATCTCACGATAGATGGCTCCTCGATTTTAGTGGCGACTTTTTCAATGATGGTGTAACTAGTAGCGATGCTGGATACCCGGGCAGCAGGATTCGTAGCTGGACTGATCGGAGACGCCAATCAAGATCAGAGGTGATGCTTGTACTAATTTGAATTGGCTTTTAGTTGTATTGCAGACTTAACTCAGTTTGTGGTTAGAATGATTTAACAGTTTGTCATGTAACCTTATGCCTAACTTTTTTTGCATTCACCTTTCATCATAAGATTTGGGAGAGGCTTGTTGGCAACCTTGACGATGATGATCGACGATCACCAACAGTCTGTCCTTCTGGACTTCACCGTGATGGTACTTGTTCATGTGAATCACTCTTGTCAGGAGGGGAGTCGAGTACTCGTGCAAGTATATCGCGGATAGTCATGCTTGCTGAAGCTCTATTTGAGGTGCGGCTTGTGGCTTGTCTTTGATTATAATGGTTGGATTCTACTGTTGCTATATTCTAATGACACTTCAATTTTTCAGGTGTTGGATGAAATCCATCGCCAGCCTTCTTCACTTCCTCAGTCCATGGTCTCACTCCCAGCTCCAGAATCTGTTGTTGACTCTTTCCCTCTTAAGAATCACAAAAAAGTGGACAAGGTTGAGGATGATGAAGAAGCTGAGCAGTAATTTCCTTCCCTAATTCATTTCAAGTTTTCACAGAACCTTGCTAGTGCTAATGTGATTGTGGTAATAAACTTATGGTGGATGAATGAACAGGTGCTACATATGTCTGTCTGAGTACGAAGAAGGGGATAAAATACGAGTGCTTCCCTGCCATCATGAGTATCACATGTCATGTGTTGATAAATGGCTCAAAGAGATCCACGGGTATTTTGCTAAAATGCTAGCTTTCCCGGCTGTTTACTGTGTTTTTCAATGATCTCTGCCTCAACGTCTTCCTTACTTTTTCCAGGGTCTGCCCACTCTGCCGTGGAGATGTTCGCCAGACTGACCCCGAGCTTTCAGAGATTCCTTCACTCTGATCATAGAAATTGTATATGCTGCAGAATGTAAATAGCAATCTCATTACAGTTAAGGAAGAGAGTTCCATTTGTAAAATATCGAAGCACCTTTCGTACCAGATGTATCTGTATACATTTGAAACCCCTCTACTATGATACCAAAAAGAACTGAAATCGACATGGATAAACAAAGTACAGAAGAACATGGTTCTTCTTTTTGGCAGTTTTATACACTGCAAATAGCATAAACGAACATCTCTGGTCACTAATGGAATGAAGATTAGCTGTTCCAGAAAGGATTCTGGAAGGAGGTTGATACCGATTCTGGCTTCTCAATCCTATGGTGGCTCTTCCCTGTGTTGCTAGAATCTTGAAGGAAAGGGTTGGAACTCTTGTTGATGTTGTTGTTAGAGTTGTGACTACTGAAAAGATTTGGGTGGCTATTCTCATCATCGTAATCCTCGAATGTCGTCCATCGCTTCGAGTTGTTCAGATTCTTCTCCCTGGTAGCATTCCTCATGTTCTCCATCTCACCCACATGATCTTTGAACTCTTTCTTCACCACATCCAGCACCACATCGCCATATCTATCGCACCAAGACCTTCATTGAATTCCAAAATCAGTGTGTGCTACTGGAAATAGTTTCATTCAGAAGAGTTCATTTTTTCACTTACTTGGGAAAGAAGTTCTTGAGGTCAGCTTTGTCAACAGGAAGCTTAGTGGAGATTGCTTCCATTTGGTCATCCCTGAAAAAATATGGTCACAAGCACCTTTCATATATGCTCTCTATATTCAGCAAAAAGCCATATATAAAAACAAAAGGCTTACGAGAATTTCAGATTTGGATTGGTGGTGGATAGCTCAGTTTGAATCCTTGATAGCTCCTTCTTAATGTTATTCCCCAACACCTTGTCTATGAAGAAATCCGAAGGAGTTCCATTCGAGTGAAGCTTCCTTTTGATCTGTTTCGTATTAGGGCCTTCTCCAATGGGACTTGTAACAAGGTTTCCATACTCATCTTCACCATCTCCTGATCTTCCGATGTTCAGTGGCAGCGGAGCTGTTTCGTCCTCCGAATCATTCCTTTTCCACCATTGCTTCTTCTTTGCCGATTTATCGCTACTCTGTTCTTTGCTATTGTGAAACAGAGTCCTGAAGGGCTTCCTCTTCGCCTTCTCACCGCTCCCATTCTCCTTCCCTTGAGATCCAGCAATCTTTCCACTTGCTTCCATCAGAATCGACTTCGATTCGCTTTCCTTCACCGAGTGACCAGCATTCACAATTGGGCTCTCATCCATTCCTCCGCCATTATAATGCCCGCAGGACTGCCGTTTAGCCTCGATCTCGAATATGCTCTGCCTCCGGTTGCTCTGCTTGTGAAACCCGAACAGAGTAGAACCTGCCCCTTTGATCTGCTTCATCCCGGGTGAGCTTGATTGCTTCGATTTGCTATTGGATTGCGGTGTCGGCTCACGTTTCTCGTCTTTCAAGTCAATCACTGACCATTCTTCTTCTCTGTTTTCATCCACATCACTCTGTTTCCCACCGACGATCACATCGCTTGCCTCGATTTCTGCACCTTGGATTGCCAATCTCTGCAGCAACGGCCGCTTTGAAGAGTGATACTCGTCATCCGTTATACATTTTGCATACAGCAATTCCTAAGAAACGAACAAGGTGAATTGAATTAAATTGAATTGAATTTGGCCAATTTAGGGTTGGTTCCCCTTGTTAATTTTTTTTTACCAATTTCGTAGTAAAGGCTCAAACTTTCTCGTTACCTGGAGGAAGATCAATTTGTCCCTCAAGACGACGGAGTGCTCGTGCTCCGGAGGAGAAGCGATGAGCGTTTCGAGCAAGTGGGATCGAAACGCCGAGACCTCGTGCTGCTCCAAGATCCCTTCTTTCTGGAGGCCCATCAGGTTGAGGATCTGGTGGAACGAGTCCTGCTGCCATTTGAGGTTGTCGGACTGGATCTTGTTGAGGCGGTGCTCGGCCGCAGCTAGCCGGCCGCGCTTCTTGAATGAGAAAGGCAGGATGGTCTTGCAGAGGGAAGTGATGGAGTCGTGGAGCGTGGAGTAGTAAGCTGGCGTGTAGCTGTACACCATTTTCGACGACGATGAAGAAGAAGAGGATCTGTTTGGGGTTGCCAGAGCTGCTTGCTTGCTGGTTCGTGTGCTGCTGATCTTGACGAAAGGGATTTTTGAGGTGTTTGGGTTGCCGAGAATTTTGAATGGGAAACGGTGTTTTGAGAGCTTGGTGGAAGAAAAATGGTGGATCGTTTGTTGGAGTTGGTTGAGGCGCACTTCAATATGTTTGAATTTGGGAGGGGAACGGTCACTTTGAGAGGAACTAGCCGTTGTGGCGGTGAATGATTTGATCATGTGGGATGTTTGGGACGCCGTCGTTTTCGACGGTAACGGTCGTTGATATGGGCCAAAACGTTTTTTATCAGTGGGCCTGTATATGGGATGGAAGTTCTTATCAGCCCATCACCCTTCTCATTATTTTGGGTAATTGACTATTTATTAGGGGAAAAAATTTTGAATTGTCAAATCTATCGAAATACTAAGAATTAGCCAAATGTTAATTTTCAGTTAGCAATTTTGTTAGTAATATTGACATGGCATCATGATAAGGACTTGGAAGAGACACATGAAGGTCAACATTCCATAATTTATTATTTTAACTAAGAAAAGAGTTACAAAATTATTAACGATAACGTGACTAATATTTTGATGCATTACGAAAGATTTGGCTAATTAATATCATTTTAATAGGTGTTGATAATATAAAAGAATCTGAAAAATGTTTGGATAAAAATAGACATTAACAAATATACCACTCTACTAATTTTTTGTACGAAAATACCCTTTTAGTATTAAAACGTAACAAACATATCATGTCGTCTAATTTTCTATTAAATGACCATTTAATGAGATGTTAAAAGATCCAATTACCCCTCATTAATTCCTATTTTTTATTTAATTATTTTTGTCACTGACCAAATTAATAAAAAATTAGAACCTACATACTCCTAAATTTCTCAGATTCCAAAAGAAAACATAATTAAGACTCGATTATTGCATATTCGAACTTTAGACGATCATACAAGATCAAAGAACAAACCAAATTCAAGACGTTTTTACCCTACCACGATTACAACCAAACATCAACAAATTTTTGTAAGAAAATGGTTTCAGTTGAATATTCCGAAATTCAATTTTGTCAAAAAGAAATAAAGTGGCATAATAATAATTGTTTTAAAGTGAGTGGGAAAAGGATGGTATGGAAGGCAACTCATGAGTGAGTGAATTGGCCAACTCACATGGTAGGCAAAGGCAAGACTGTCGCGCACTAAATATTTACAATTTATCCTTACAATTCTGGAATGAGAGTGTTGAAAAAAGTGGAAATATGGGGGAAAAGATACTTTGGATAATTTGATGGTGGTGTTTGTTAAGTGATCTTTTTTGACTAATCTACACATAATTATTGAATCCAAAATGCTCTTAATCATGAAGCACTCAAACCAATCCCCTGCTTCTTATTAGGCAAGTACTATTTGATGTTCATCAGACAAATTAGCACTCCCATAATACTCTTTTGATATTTACCATTTGATTCAATCATTCACAGTTCGCAAACTTCGAGGCTCCGATTAACAAACTTTCTTGATGATTCTTGTAATTGGAATGAACGAATTATTTCGGGTACTGGCTTGCTACAACAACTGCATTGATCAGAATTGAATGGAAATCACATTAACCTTCAAACAAGAATCCATTTTTAACCAAGGACTAGGTACTCTAAATCATGACATGAGAGAATCACCATACCACAAACCCTAGTGGGATGAAGAACAAAGCAATAACAGGTATGAGATACTGACTGATCTCTAGTTTGGTCCACATAGTAGACAGAGGTTGTACTGGTGCATAATTATTGAGTAAAATCATATCAAAACAAGGCCAGGTTGTGGGATGGGCAAAGAGACTTTGACAGATGGTGATTTATGGGGCCATATGCTTCACTTGTTTGGTTGTGTTGCTAGATGGTTCTTGGGAGATCAATATGCAACCACCCACTCCCTCTGAGCTCATTGTGTCTTGGCCACATAATTCAAAACCCTAACAATACACTAGGACAGTTAGAGAAAGGAAGGGAAATTGAAAGAGAATGCACAAGATCGGTTCACATTATTCACCGAGAAAATATATAGTTTGACGAATATTTTACACAAGGGCGAACTCTTCAATAATATAGACTCTAAGAAGATTGAGGAAAGCTTGAGCACATAGAAGGGGGTTGTTGTTAAGTTGCCTATTCATTGCTTCATTTCACTAGTATTGATCGATCATTATATTTTCTTATCCCGTGAAAGTCACTCCTGATTGTGTGATTTATGAAATCTCATATCAAGTTGCCTCTCTTAAGCACAAGCACTTCTTCTTTTTTTCAATTTTATCACAAATCTCGCCACTTGTAAAGAAAACTAACTATCATGCCCAATTATGGTGGTTACTTATCACTTCATACTTAATATAATTATATGAAAATAAAAATAAGTTTATTTTTCGTTCGATTGATCATAACCTAATTCGACTACATCTTGTTACGTAAGTTGTTGGTCAGATGATCTACCAACCGCAACTTTCTAATCAACAATTATCATAGATTTAGATACTTTTGTCATGTTGTAAGATTATAGCTAGTGTTTGATATTGGAGATCTTCCTTTAATTAGGTAGAGGTTTAAGTTTATTTGGAGGAGGAGGACCATGCCAAACATTATCGCCACCTTTGCCAAACATTTTAGGGTACCATTTACTCTTAAGTCACAATAAGTATGAGCTTTAAATACTTGGGGCGGTTTTATATATAGGACAATTTAGTTTTGAACGTGCGATCTTGGGTGGGTGCCCTAACTTTTTGCAAATTGCTTCCCCCACTTGGTAATATCACGAGTACCAAATACACACACATGCACAATTGCACATGTTGAAAGCAAACTATCCCAAACTTGTGCCATACAAAACCAATGTCCCAAGCTTTTCACTAAAACTTAAAAAAAATCGAGAAAGAAGGCGTTTAATTGACTTTTGATTCGAACATATGAAGGAGTTCATTTACAATTGTCATCAGAGGACCTTAATTGAACTCGGGCGACTACTCATCTAGATGGATTATTGCCTTGCAACATTTGTTTGCCCATTGCTCAACTTACCTTCCTTGACCACTCCTATAACCTTTTTGTTCTTGTTATACACAGAACAATTTTGAACGCTAGATGTTTTCACTGTAAGTGGACCTAGTATAACATCAACTGTCTATCAACTAGCTAAATGTGAATTGCGTATCAATCTTAAATGATACTGTTAAACACTATCAACAAAAGAAGTCACCTTTTTCTGACCAAATCGAACCAAAACCAATCAATCTCCGTTTCAAATCAAAGTCCTATCAAGTAACATCCATATGAATTCCCCATCACCACTCATTATCATTCAAACAAGGGTTCCATCCAATCCTTGCTTCCTCCAGCTAGTTTCCATTGCTGAATTAATGAGCTCGCCACTTCTTTGGCCATCACAAGTTACATATCTTACACAAAAGTCCAAGAGGCGAGGGGGACAAGAAACAAACCAAAACGTGTACCACTACATTCAATGAAACCGGGCCATCATCCTATCACCTTCTAAACAGCCTACAACTAAGATGGAATCTCGACGTGAATTTCCATCCGACAACAGGGGCAGTGAGCATTGGTCACGAGCCACGGCAGGAGGCACTTCGAGTGGAACCTATGGGCGCATGGAAGGTGCACCAAATGGTCCCCTGCCCTGAACCCATCCAGGCAAATGCTGCACTCTTCTTGCTCCTCTGTCGCCGCCTTCCATTTCATCATCTTCAGTCTCTCCCACCTCGATGATCTCGCTCCCCACACTTCCGTCTGTAATTCGCCTAGTGGCGACATCGTTCTTGCATCCACGATTCTCAGAGTTCCCGAATTCGCGGTTCGTCTGCAAAATCACAAAAAGAGCAAGTTAGAACCTTTATATCTTAAAACGTGGAGATTTTTTTTAAAAAAAACTCTAATAGAAGATGAGAATGTCTACATATTTTCGTGGGTGACATTTTCTCTAACGTGCATCAATATGGCAATGTATTTACAAAATCCATCTCACTATAGATTTCGACATAGACTAGTAACCATATCTAAAAGAGTATCAAGAGCAAAAGCAACAATAAAGTTGCGAGAACTCAAATACACAATTGTTAGACTACAATTCGTTAGTTTCTGATGATAAATTTTGAGGCAAACTCTATTGAACCATACCCATAATAACTCTACCTAAGTCGATGCTTCAATGAGTTGAGGTATTAATTCAAGGGACTTTTGGTACCATATAATGAATTTTTGCCGCAATCTGTCCCAAGAGTTGATTCTGGCGCAAAAATTTATAACCGGAAAGTGCCCCATAAGGGAAATTTCAATGAGTTCAGATTTGGTTTAGGGACCTTTTGGAATCTGACCATTTCCTCTGAGTTCTAAGCCTCTCCTCCAGTCTTTCTTTGGCCTCCCTGGCTGCTCCTCCCAGCTTCTTGTCCTCCAACGCCTGACTCTGTACATTTCTCTGCCGAGAAACATAAAAATAATAATTTTTAAGTCTAGAAATGGGAATCAACTGAAGACTCTGTTTTCCTTCCCCTGAAGAGAATAGAATCCTCTGTTTCAGTGAAAAAAACAGGGGAATAGTTAGTGATCGCCAATTCAGACGGTTTGCCACTTACCAAAGATGGAATTGAAGTATGGGAGTTCCCTTCGTGTTTGCTGGTGTATAAACAGAACGACGGCCTCCGTGTCCCGCCGGTGACGTTAGGAGCATCGCCGCCGCTCTGATGGAACCGTCTTCTTCGGGCACATTCCACGCCGGGCAACATCCCCGCCATCGATTAATCACTACCCAAAAGAGAGGACAGGGGGAAAACACAGTCCTACAAAAGAAATCATTGTTTCGTCATCAAAGTTGCCGACTTTAAGCAGAATTTGACTGACCAAGAAGATAGAATTTACCAGGAAAGCAGATTGAATCTGACAACAAACGGTTGAAACATCAACTACCCGTTATAGGCAGGGGAGAAAATCAAAGTGGGTTCAATGAGAAATTGATTAAAATAGGATCTTTATTCTTTGCTGTGGTGGAAATCATCTGGAAGTTTCATGGACAGCTTACCACCAGAGAGTGAAAAACGAGGCAGAGAGAGAATAAAAGTATCGCTTTCAGAGTTTTCAGTTACCTTCTTCTTGCTGTGCTTCCGCCCTCGACGAGGAAGGCGAAGATGAAGAAGAAGTGGCGAACCACGTGAGGAACCGACTCTCCAAGACCACCTGTTCAGCAAGTGAATGAAATCTGGAGCAGTTTTGTTGTGTTCTTGTTTTTCTGAGGTTCTGGTGGTCGTTTTATGTTGGCTGGGGCTAGGAGGTGGGTGGTTGAGTTGTGGCAAGATTTGGGCAAGAGATTTCTCATAAAGAGGAGTCAAATCGGTTCGTCACAGCGAAGCGTGACACGGTTCAAATAGACCAACTTAATAGTACGTATTTGGTTATTATCGGGTCATTGATCATTTTGCGTTGTGAACCATTTTATTATGATCAAGTGGATAGATCAACCCAATATTATTCAAGTCGTCGCAATTACGTTGACATAATATCCAAATTTGTGTTAGTGGAAATTGTTTTGTGTTCTATACACAGCCGATGTGCTTCTTATGCTAATGAATTTGTCATTCATTTCTTGCCATCTCATTTGAGCTTTAATTTCAACCATGAGTATAAATGTATTATGTGGTTCAAGCAAGGTGACCCAAAAAGCATAATTAAGCAGATTGTAGGGGGAAAAGTAGGGATGGCAATTTTGACCTGACCCGTTTTATCCGACCTGTTTGACCTGTTTTGGGGCGGGGCGGGCATGGGTACTCTCATCGACCCGACCTGTCCTGACCCGCCCCATTCTCGACCCGTTCTTGTCTAAATTACACGTAATTTTAGTCAAATTACTTAGGATTTCTCTTTTATTACATCAAATCTTAGCTATAATAAAGACGTAAATTAGTGAAAACCTCAATTTCTCCAATAATTTAACTATATTTCTCATAATATTGTTTGTTTCCTTGGTCTTATAATAAAAACAACGAATATTTCTAATATTTTTCATATAAATTGCATACCCATTGGGTCGACCTGTCCCGACCCGTAACCCGTGATAAATTACCCGACCTGGACCCGACCTGCCACGGGGCGGGTCTGGGTACCAAGAAACCCGCCCCGAACCTGCCCATTGCCATTCCTAGGGAAAAGGAAGAAGAAAAACAATCCCGGCTAAGTTGTGGGATTTGGCATTCGGAGAAAAAAGAAAAAAAAAAGACACAGAGTGGGCTTTCAGATTTCGTGCTCAACGAGCTATTGGCAGGCTCTCAAAATTGGGTTTTTGAGTGAATTTGTCGGTCCAGTTCACTTACCTTAAGCCTCACGTCCAGAAGCTGACTGCGGTGTTTTTGGGCCGAAGAGCAGATGTGGCTCATTGAAAACACAATTTCGTTATATATATTGTTTGTTAGGACTTAGGGCTATAAAATTCCAAAGGATTGCATTTGTATATAATAGACTATTCAATGAGGTTATATGAGTACTACAATGGAGATATGCATGAACGATCGACGCATGATGCGCGCGTACACGTAGTTGGTCCAACTAACGTTGCTTCAGAGATATCTAATAAAATTGTTTGGTTCAATTATGATCAATATGTGTGTTATCTTTTTTTTTTTTTTATCACGAAGGGACTAACGGTACTCAAAATCTAGAAGAGACTCGAATACATGACCTCTCCAACTGCACCCTCGTGACCCATATGTTTGGTTTCACAACAATTTGCACCGCCTGACGATCGATCTTAGTAACCATGTCATTTCATGGCCCATCACTGCAGCAAATGGGCCTTCTTCTGGGCTTGTGAGCCACAGCTAGCCCACATCTTGGGGCTCAACGAGAGTCCAAAAGAGAGGGAGGCAACAACGATTCGAAAAGGCTTCCTGTTCCTTTCTTTCGTTTCCCAGGAACAACAACCTTTCGATCGTTGTTAACGAATTGCAGCACGTAATTTCCATAAATCAACTTACCTTGGGCTGTCATCCTACTGCAAGAAAAAGACAATGTATCAAAACGTGTAATAAGTAATAACTAATAACGATCGTCCATTAATGTCGTTGATGGTAAAGCTTAATTTGGGCTCGAAAGGCCCAGAATAAGAGGTCTCTGTCGCATGGCCCAAAGGTGGTCGCTGCATGGCAGCGTAACGAACCGCACAACTGTAATCTCAGTATCTAACTAACTTAACTAACCCGTCCAACGAATCAAAGTGTCGCTATTCCCGCATTCAACGGTCGAAAAGTGGGGAAGAGACCACGACAACGGTCGACGAAATACGGATTAGGTTTGCTTTTGCTGGTTTCTTTTTCTTCTTGTGGCAAGACATGAAACTTCCCAACGATGTATGGAAAGGGAGCACTCGGTTTTTGGACTAAGCTAGGTGGCAAGATTTCTTCCTTTCATCATCATTATGCACTTAAGGTCAAAGAAAGATAGAAAACGATGGAGTCTTCATGATAAAATTGTTACTAATCTCTTCCAATAATTCAAACTATTGGAATCAACTGGTTCTTGACATGATATCAAGACTTTCTGTAATCTAGAGGTCTTCTGTTTGCATTCCGATGACCTCATATGTTATGTTAAGCACATGGTGTCCGGACCTATGCAAACTTCAAGCCCATATACGGTGGCTTTCATTTGATTTGAAGGGGTGTGTTAGTAAACGACATATGATTTATGATTGAACCTCTTCCAACAACTCGAGTTATTGAGATCATCAATTGATTCTTGACACAAACATAAATGGTATACTTTGTAAATTGAAGCTCGATGGATTCAAATGGTAAGATATGAGGGTCGACACATTGTATGTTTATATTCATTAATATGATATTAGAATGAGAGGGGAAAGATAGTTTATGATGATCGACAAAGGTAAGTGTCCACAATAAAATCCATTTGATCCGCTCCTGATCATGAGATCACAAAATCATCCCGCCACCCCAAATTTGAACTCTAATACAACGTTGGTGAAACCAGATGCTCCACTAAACTTATTACAGCTATAAACCTGAAAATCTAAAGAAACTCTTAACCGCGTTGAGTATGGAATTAGTACCAACAAATATAGAAGGACCCCCTCTCGTTACCAACTCCAAAAAGAGTGTATTGGCAAATCAATCAAATAATTTAACCTGTAACGACAAACATATTGGAGCACTAGCCATGTCTTGGCAAATCAATCCAATTTTTGACATAAGAACGACACCTTATTAATTGCCCTTTCACCATCTACTATAAAATAGTGACAAAACCGACACCCAAACCGCGTAAAAGAAGAGAAGTTCCCCACGTACGTACGTCCAGGTTTTGCTTTCTCCCTTCTTTTTCTCCACACTTCTTGTTATAAAACCATCTCTCGAGCTATAGTCTTCATTGCTTTTTGGACTATCTCTCGACCAAATTAAGATTAAACAATGGAAAAACCCAACTGCCGCAGGGACAAGTAGTAGTGGATAAAATAGACTACTTCACTGTTGTCCAATTATTTTCGCCGCCCATGCATTTTGACTCAGATCGAAGAAAGAGGTAGCTTTGATCATGATCAGTCTGCCCATTTCCCCTGATTATGGGGCAGATATATATGAGAAGAGAAACCTTCCCATAGAAGTAGTTGGTGTCGGTTTTTATCAGTTACATGCATACACCCTTTTGACCACTTCCCTTGGGGAAAGTTTCGTCCACAGTCGTCGTGTTGTCTGCATGCGCGCGATTGAGTAAGCTGGCCGGCCGGATTTGACTGCAAATTAAAGGTAGCTAGATGGAGGGTATACTACATCACAATTTCTACCACCAGAATGAATGTAGAATGGATTAATATCACAATTTTTTTTGTATTCGTTCGCAATAATGTGTGATACTTAATTGATGGGTAACCATCCAGGTCAATTTTGCGTCACATGTGCCAACATGCTCAAAGACCTTTTGTATGTCGGGTTGCATCCCGGTATTTAGGTTAGGTATTGAAAGTTGTCAAATATTTAGCACGGAACATTTCGACAAGTATAAAAAAGTGTGAGATGCCGCGGTATGCATAAAATACATTTCAATTCTCGATGTTCTGTTATAGTTTGGTGATAATGAAACGGTGAAATCATTCAAATTGATCGGCGTGAATCTTGCATATGAAAATGGAGCTTGCTGTTTACACCAAAATAATTTTCATTAATTATTGCTTGTGTGAACAGCTTGGCCAATCTAAGTAATTGGTCAATGTGTACATGAATGGTCCAATTTATCGAGTCAGGCCATAGGTATAATGGATGGTAGTGTCCAAATACATGGATACCATCCAAAACCCATAATGGATGGTAGTGTCCAAATACATGGATACCATCCAAAACCCATAATGGATGGTAGTGTCCAAATACATGGATACCATCCAAAACTCATAATGGATGGTAGTGTCCAAATACATGGATACCATCCAAAATCCATAATGTAATGGATACCGTCCAAACCCTAATGGATGATGCTAGGGTATGGTGACCATTTAATATGCGTACCATCCATGGACTGTTGGCTTAGTCAACATGGATGCCATCCAACTTGTTTTGTGTACTGTGACCGTCCAATGGTCAAGTGACATGATGACGTGTCGAGGTGGTTACCAAAAGCAACACTTGACTTGCTAAGAACGCTCGGAGAAGTTACTGGATGCTACGTGGAGCTGATTTTTGGGAAGAGAGAGAGAAGGCGGTTAGAGGGTGAGGCACAACAAAACTGGCAGCAAGACTCAGGACGAAGGACAGACAAATCATACCACAACAAGTCTCGTCGAAATTTATCTTTTCTCTCTAGAACAGTAACCGTAGCAGTAGCACCAGGGACCCTCCAACGAGGCTTCTCTGTTAGTTGTAGTCAGTAGTTGCGGAGCTCTCAAGGAATCTCCATAGGAGTAGAGGTAAAAGTAGCCAGTTCCTTTGATGTACGCATCGAACACCCTCGTTCGAACAGTGTTTGAAGAGGTGTGAACCGAGTAACATCGTTTTCCGTTTTCTTGAAGTCAGGGTGCATTGATCACGCGAAATTCCACCTGAAACAAATTGGCACACCTGGTGGGACAACGTGTGTTCGATATGGCTCCGCGACGAAGGATTCAGGATGGTGATCCTCCACAAGGTGCTGTGGAGGAGGGGCAGTTGGTTAACGTTGAAGTTGACCAAGCAGGAGGAAACAATGCTGGAGCAGAGGTGCCAAACATGGCACCAAATGCAGATCTAGGCGAGGCAGTGGTGTCTCTTCATTAGATGATGGAGGAGAACCGCAAAGCAACGGAGGAAAACCGCCAAATGATGGCGGAGAGCCGCCGGTTGATAGAGGAAGCCAGAGCTATGGCTCATCAGGTAAACTCTCAAGTTGATTGTCTCAATTCCCGCGTAGATAGACGATTGGCTCAATTGTTTGAGTTGGTAAACAAAAATACGAATGATTTGGGCGAGTTTAGGCAATTGTTGAATAGACCAGTTTTACAAACTAGGGCTTTGTCTTCAGATGGTCGAGACTTTTCAAATCTTGAAAGTGAAAACATTAACCTGCCATCCAACGGTGGTGGTCGAGGTGAGCAGCCCCGCCCGGTGAACCCTACACCACCGGTGGTAGCCACCGTAGCGACACCTCAAAGGTTGAATGTCGGCGTGAGTCACGCCACTTCATCTCAGATTCATGTTGAGCAACCGCCACCTGTGCAAGGTGTTGCTCGACAAAACATTTCAGAAGCCATACCATACATGGCTCCTGTTAATGTTGGGTTTGGTTTGGGTCCGAACAATGTTGACCTAGTACCACCACGTGGGTACCCGCAGCCAATCCCACCCCCTATGAACATGCAAGGCGTGGATCCCGGCGGTTTCATACCGCTAGGGGGGCACCAAGGGGGGCATGATGTGAATACACTCCGTGATCAGATGGCACAGTTGTTGGCTGAGCAGTTTGGTTTTGGTATGAGACCAACGATGCCACCTGTCTATCGAAAGCCGTATCCGGAGTGGGTGGATAGAATGTATCCGTTCCCAAGAGGATTTAGGGTACCGGAGTTTGTACCTTTTACTGGAACGGGTGATCAATCCACAGTGGAGCATGTAGGGCAATTTACTGTCCAATGTGGTGATGTAGGTGATTTTGTCAAGTTACGTTTATTTGGCAACTCTTTGACAGGACCTGCTTTCGCATGGTACGTTAATTTGCCATCTAATTCAGTGCAAACTTGGCAACAAATGGAACAAATGTTCCATGCACAATTTTATCGTTCTGAACCAGAAGTGACCATGGCTGACTTGGCACGTATGCGCCAGCAACCAGGGGAGACTGTGGAACACTTCTTGACAAGTTTTAAAAATGCGCGTAATCGCTGTTTTGTGAACTTGACAGAACGTGAATTTGTCAAGTTAGCACAAGGTGGTTTAAACTTTGAACTTCGTAAAAAATTTCAAGATAGGGAGTTCTCTGATTTATTCCAGTTGATGTCATGTGCGGTTAGGTACGAGACTCTTCTACGAGAAGAAGAGAATAGAAGTAGTGCATCGAGGGGAGTGTACCACCCCAACTTCGATTATGCCATTAACCATGTTGCTCAGGATGTGGATGGTGTCGAGGTAGATCTGGCTGAAATTGTGCAAGGAAAGCCATATGTTTGTGCTTCCTTAGCCAAAGTAGATAATGAACAGCTAGTTGGGAAACCTAATCGTGCTCCAGTCCAACATAGAAAATTTTCTTTTGATGTTAGCAAGTTGGACTTAATTTTTGACCAATTGTACAAGGATGGTCAGATTAAGCTGTCTGGGGGGCATAGTATACCACCCCCTGAGAAGTTAAAAGGAAAACGTTATTGCAAGTGGCATAATAGTATGTCACACGCCACTAACAGTTGTGTGGTTTTTCGTAATGTTTTGCAGGATGCGATTCACAAGGGACGCATCAGGTTCCCAGACCCTAAGAAGGATGCCATGACAGTGGATACTGATCCATTCCCAAATGTCGTGAGCATCAATATGGTCAATCCTGACTTTTCAAAGATTGACTTGCCACGCTTCAAGCTGGTACTGGATACAACACCACAGCCAAGTGGCAACTCCAATGTCATTGTGCAGGGTGGTTCGTCATCAACTGGCATGCAAGATGGGCCACGTATTGATCTGGCCGATGAAGAAAAGTTGTGTGCACAGTGCAAAGGGAAGCTGAATCTTGGTGAAGGTAGACCAACCCAACCAGTCCGTCAGAGACTTGGTCCTCAAAGACCATTCAAGCCAAGGTATCCACCATATGAACGTCATGTGGAAGGAGTGCGTGCACCTGCATGGGGAAGAGGCCAACGTAGACAATGGGTTGCTCAAAATGCCCCACCCTTCACAAGTGCGCCTTTCAAAAGTGCACCTTTTGGACTCTCCCTACCTGCCAGGAGTTCACCACCTGTCAGAAGAACCTTCAAGATGCCTAATGTGCCATCAAGTGGATGGCATACGTATGATGTTCGTCGTCAACAGCCAATTGCACTGGATGGGATGACAAGGACACAATATAGAAGGTTCCTTCGCAAGAATGCCCAACAAAAGAGGACTTACAACATGCATACCAATGTTCGTGTGAACAACTCTGCTACCACTAGTCTCAGGGTCACAGTGTCTGATAGCGGCAAGAATGCGGAGAAGAAAGAGGAAGCCCCAACGGATGATGGATACGATGCAGAGATGGATGAATCCTTCATAAAGGAAGAGATGATGGAGTTAGAACATCCAAGATCAAAGTTTGACCGGAATAGCAAGGATGATGAGGACGATGATCATAACACATCCACAACCATCCAATTTGGGAGTTTGCCACCTGTCGTGGTAAATAATTACATTTTGCCCATGATCTTCCACTTTGAAGTGGATGGTGAGAGAGGAGATGTTGGAATTGAAGCGGAGGATGAGGAAGTGGATGAAGCAAGCCATGAGCAAGCCATCGCAGAGTTGAACGGTGGGTTTGCTGAGCTGGATTTGGATGAGGAGGATGAAGAGCCCCAGTTGCTGAACTGGTGACCGAGTTCGCAAGTTTGGCACTAGAGGATGAGCCATGGAGTGTCATGATGGCCCGTACTGGAACAAGAGTCAACTTGTCTGCTGAGACAGCTAGGCAACACAAGAGTTCCCAACAAATCCTAAGGGAATTGTACGAATCTGGACACAAATATGTGGGAGTACTTGGCGAGGATGATGGTCGGTATCCTTACTATGTATTGTACCAAGGACCAGAAGTATCCACAAGTCTTCCTGTTGAGAACTCTACATGGGGTTCAGAATTTGAGGAAGAAGATAACTCTGTGGTTGTCGAAGAGAAGCTAGATGAAAATAGTGCTATGCATGTGGCAACAAGGAAGGGGAAAGAGGTTGTCGTTGAAGGATCAACAGTAGAAGAACCAAGTCGAGTTATGGTTTTCAATGAGCCAGATGTAAAGATGCTTCGACATCTCAGACCATTGTAAATAAAAGCTCAAATTGAAAATGTACTAGTGTCAAGAGTGTTAGTTGACAATGGTGCTGCTGTGAACGTGATGCCCACACGTATGCTCAGGAAGTTGGGGAAAAATGAAAATGATCTTATCCCAACAGAGGTGTTTGTTACCAGCTTCAATGGTGGTTCCACAACTGCAAGAGGGATACTACCAGTAGTTGTAAGAGTGGGTAGCCAAGAGAGAATGGCTGCTTTCTTTGTCGTTGATGGAGCAATCAGCTACAACGCTTTGCTTGGTAGAGACTGGATACATGCTAATAAGTGTGTGCCGTCATCATTGCACCAGTGCTTAATGTTCTGGAACAAGAAGGGTGTAGTTGAAGTGGTACGAGCTGACACCAAACCATTTGCTGTTGGAGCCAATATAGCGGAAGCTCCCCTTTACCATGGGGATTTTGGCCCTCTGGAGATCAAGACAGTGGATGATGGATCGTGTACCATGGTGATGTCCAGTGCGAAAGTGTTGAGCAAACAATGTGTTAACCCTCTGTCTGAAATAGTGAGACCATCGATGTTTGTTGTGGATGGTCCACCCCAAGCTGAGACACCGTCCATAAATGAGTAAACCACTCCATACAAGAGTGGCAGAGGAGGCCGAAATTACGGCCTTGCAAGAAAAGTTGGCCATATACCAATGTGAACAAAGGCTTATGTATATAGAGCCTGTGTTGATGGCTGACTGTGTACCCGATGATGAAGTATTATTGGAAGAAAAGAGTTCAAGCAAGGTAGGAGAAGACGGCAAGCATATTGCAGCATGTGACGTGTTGGAGAAGATCAATCTTGGCACTGAGGACGATCCACGTCCAACTTTCATAAGTGCCAACTTGCTGGAGTCTGACAGGTATGAGTTAATTGAGTTCTTAAAGGAGTTTAAAGATTGTTTTGCATGGGATTACCATGAAATGCCTGGTTTAGATAGAAAATTAGTAGAGCATAGGTTGCCAATTAAAAGTGGTTTTAAACCTTACAAACAACCACCTAGACGTTTTGCTTATGAAGTCTTGCCAGAGATTAAGAAAGAAATTGAACGTCTATTGAAAGCAAAGTTCATTAGAACTACTAGGTATGTTGAGTGGTTGTCATGCATTGTGCCAGTAAGAAAGAAAAATGGCAGCTTGCGTGTATGTGTGGAATTTAGGAATTTGAATTTGGCCACCCCAAAAGATGAGTACCCTATGCTAATGGCTGACATGTTGCTTGATGCTGTTACCAGGCATGAGATTTTCTCTTTTATGGATTGCTATTCTGGCTATAACCAAATCTATATAGCCGAGGAGGACGTGCACAAGACGGCGTTTCGTTGTCCAGGGGCTATTGGCTGCTATGAGTGGATAGTCATGCCTTTTGGTTTGAAAAATGCCGGTGCAACTTACCAATGGGCCATGAATGCGATTTTTCATGAGCTGATTGGTGACTTGGTGGAAGTATACATTGACGACATTGTCGTCAAGTCGAAGGTGACAAGTCATCACCTTTCTCATTTACGTAGAGCCTTCCTGCGTATGAGAGCTCACAGGTTAAAGTTGAATCCACTAAAATGTGCTTTTGGTGTGAGTGCAGGTAACTTTTTAGGATTTTTAGTGAGTCAACGTGGCATTGAGGTCGACCAGAACAAGACCAAGGCCATCATTGAGGCCATGCCACCATGCAATAAAAAGGAGTTACAGCGGTTCCTAGGCCAAGTCAATTACATTCGAAGGTTCATCTCAAATTGTGCAGGCCGGACCCAGGTTTTCTCTTCGCTGCTCAAGTTGAAGAAGGAAGATGGGTGTGGCGGGAGGAGCACCAAAAGGCCTTTGAAGATATCAAAAGGTATTTGGTGAACCCGCCAGTGCTCAACTCACCAATTCGGAATCGTCCTTTAAAATTATATCTTTCAGCCACAGACACGTCTGTAGCATGTCTGTTGGCTCAAGAGAATGATTATGGCAATGAGCAAGCAGTGTACTACTTAAGTAGGTTGTTGAATGAGGCCGAGCAAAAATACTCATCCATAGAAAAGTTATGTTTGGCCTTGTACTTTGCTTGTACGAAGTTAAGATACTACTTGGCGCCCGTTGAGGTGCAGCTCATTTGCCAAACTGATCTTATTAAATACATGTTGTCTCGGCCGATCATCCATGGTAGGATTGGCAAGTGGACACTTGCATTGTCCGAATTCAATTTAAAGTATGTGCCACAACGGGCAGTTAAGGGTCAAGCCCTAGCAGATTTTTTGGCAGACCATCCATGTTTGGATATGCCAACAGAGCAAATAGAAGTTGGGGTGGTCGAGAAGATGCCCGGGACGTTGTTTTTTGACGGCTCAAAGACACGCTCAGGAGCAGGAGCTGGCGTGGTGTTGACCTCGCCATCAGCCCATGCCATGCACTTTGCATTTTCCCTTGATGTGCCATGTACTAACAACCAAGCGGAGTATGAAGCTTTGGTTGTTGGTTTGGAGATGCTTGTAGACCTAAAGGCAAAGAGTGTCGACATTAGGGGAGATTCTCAACTGGTAGTATACCAAGTGCTTGGTGAATACCGTTGTGTTAGATATGTATTGGAGTTGTATCTTGATCGTGTCAAAATGCTGATTTCTCATTTTGACAATGTATCCATCAAGTTCATTCCTCGTATGGATAATGGCAAGGCCAACTATCTGGCTCAGCTTGCATCCGGCTTTAGAGAGTTTGTCAGTGGAGGAAGAGACCAAATATTCGTGCAAACTCTTAGCCCTTTGAGAGATAGAATGAAACAAGTTGTTGAGGTTTGTGTGATTGAAGAGGATGTCGAGGACTGGCGTGCTCCTATAGTGAAGTACTTGCAAAATCCAAGTGGGGATGCAGACCATACTACCAAGTTTAGGGCTAGGAACTATGTCTTACTGGATGGGACACTGTTCAAGAGAAGGCCAGATGGTTTGTTGCTCAAGTGCTTGGGGGGCAAGGAGACTTTACAAGCTATGGCGGAAGTCCACGAGGGGATATGTGGAGCACATCAAGCTGGTCCATCCATGAGGTGGATACTTCACCGATATGGATATTACTGGCCAACTATTGGGCCTGATTGTGCATCGTTTGCTAAGGGATGTGAAGCTTGCCAATGTTATGGACCAGTGCAAAGAGCACCTGCCGTCGATCTGAGATCTATCATTAAGCCTCGACCATTCTTTGGTTGGGCAATGGATCTGATTGGACAAGTCTATCCCCCGTCATCTAAGCAACACACCTTTATCATTGTGGCTACTGATTATTTTACAAAGTGGGTAGAGGCAAAGCCAATAAAGACGGTGAACTAGGGGGAAGTGATTTCTTTTATCAAGGAACACATTATTCATCGTTTTGGTTTGCCAGCCACTATAACAGCCGATCACAGGACAGTCTTCACTGGAGCACAGGTAATGGAGTTTGCCAAAGATCATGGCATTAAGATCATCCACTCCACACCTTATTATGCTCAAGCCAATGGTCAAGCAGAAGCATCCAATAAGGTGGTAAAAGGAATCTTGTCCAAAATGATTGAGGACAATCCAAGGAATTGGCATGAGGTGCTATCAGAGGCACTATGGTCTTATATGATGTCACCACGCAGTAGTACAAGAGTGACTCCTTTCTCTTTGACATATGGTCATGAGGCCTTTTTGCCAGTGGAGATAACGGTAAAGTCTCTGCGATACATGAAACAACATGAATTGACTCCCTCGGAGTATTATGAATCAATGATGTTGGATTTGTCCGAACTGGATGAGATGCAACTTCAAGCTCTTGATAACATCCAGGTACAAAAGGCCAGAGTGGCTCGGGCATACAATAAAAAAGTAAAGCATAAGTCGTTCGAGGAAGGAGAGCTAGTATGGAAGCTGCATTTGCCAATTGGTGAGAAGGATCCAAAATTTGGAAAGTGGTCTCCTAATTGGCGGGGTCCCCTCATTGTTAATGCTGTGCGTCCCAATGGTGCTTACTTATTGAAAGATTTGGATGGTGTACAACATGAGCGCTTAATTAATGGCAAGTACCTTAAGCCATACTTACCGTCCCTTTGGGACGTTAAGGGGTGTCAATGATTTAGAAGTTGGCCTAGTGCACATGGAGACCTAGTCAAAGTTGACATGGTTTCTAAGATGTGCAACATGGCCGAGGAGTTAGATGGCCAGGGTAAATCTTTTCTGGATTGGCCATTAAAAGGGATTTGTTTTTCTCAGAAGCAAAATGGTTGTCGTCCAAATAGATAGTTTGGATGGTTGAGTCAAAACATGGTTACCTTGCCACCTTCTAGATAGATTGTATCATCCATGTTTGGTTAAGTGGTTGCATGGATAGTGTTGTCCAAGCAAAAGGACATCGTCCATGTTGTATATGGATTGTGATTGAGTTTGGCCGAGTAACCATCCAGGATTGAGAGGAGGAGTACCTGAGCTTGGTGACTTGAGGCCGAGCAGTAGCAAGAGTCTTGCCATGGGGAAGCATCGCACATCTTTGAAGGTACGGTGATATTTTTTGAGTTGTGAATTATGGTGAATGGGAGCATCAATTTATGGAGAAAATTTTAATTCTGCCTTAATAGGAATGAGTTTCCTCTTGCTAGTAGGATATGGATTATGAGGTGTGTCCTACATGAAAAAGAATTTGTGTTCCTTATCACAAAAGGAAAAGGCATGCTACATTAATTGGCTAAAAATTGTAGTATTAGCCAAATTGGAGAGGGACACCCTCTTGGTGTGTGTTGTTCACATGGCCAGGAAGGAATTACATTCCTTATGTGACTTGGACATGGCTACATAAAGCCAACATCTGCTTCAAGTGGTTTCTAGTATAGTTGGTGTCAACAACTTAGTTCATAAGAATTAGTTCTTATAAACTAAGTTGTGGGGGGCATTTGTTTACACCAAAATAATTTTCATTAATTATTGCTTGTGTGAACAGCTTGGCCAATCTAAGTAATTGGTCAATGTGTACATGAATGGTCCAATTTATCGAGTCAGGCCATAGGTATAATGGATGGTAGTGTCCAAATACATGGATACCATCCAAAATCCATAATGGATGGTAGTGTCCAAATACATGGATACCATCCAAAACCCATAATGGATGGTAGTGTCCAAATACATGGATACCATCCAAAACCCATAATGGATGGTAGTGTCCAAATACATGGATACCATCCAAAACCCATAATGGATGGTAGTGTCCAAATACATGGATACCATCCAAAATCCATAATGTAATGGATACCGTCCAAACCCTAATGGATGATGCTAGGGTATGGTGACCATTTAATATGCGTACCATCCATGGACTGTTGGCTTAGTCAACATGGATGCCATCCAACTTGTTTTGTGTACTGTGACCGTCCAATGGTCAAGTGACATGATGACGTGTCGAGGTGGTTACCAAAAGCAACACTTGACTTGCTAAGAACGCTCGGAGAAGTTACTGGATGCTACGTGGAGCTGATTTTTGGGAAGAGAGAGAGAAGGCGGTTAGAGGGTGAGGCACAACAAAACTGGCAGCAAGACTCTGGACGAAGGACAGACAAATCATACCACAACAAGTCTCGTCGAAATTTATCTTTTCTCTCTAGAACAGTAACCGTAGCAGTAGCACCAGGGACCCTCCAACGAGGCTTCTCTGTTAGTTGTAGTCAGTAGTTGCGGAGCTCTCAAGGAATCTCCATAGGAGTAGAGGTAAAAGTAGCCAGTTCCATCGAACACCCTCGTTCGAACAGTGTTTGAAGAGGTGTGAACCGAGTAACATCGTATTCCGTTTTCTTGAAGTCAGGGTGCATTGATCACGCGAAATTCCACTTGAAACACTTGCCAATGGAGAAAAATGAAGGGGGAAAAAAAATCCATTTATAGAATATTATTCTAAGAAATTATTCTACACAAATTACACTTGAAGAGAAGAGTGGGACATGGATATTTTCTCCTCCTCAACTTGCATGGTGGAATACATTTGTAATCGTCAATCAAGCATTGATCCAACGGTCAATACATCTTGAAGTCAAACACAAATTAAATTTCAGGCAATTTGCCGACATCTATGCATTAAAGATTGGGAATCCCCCGACGTGCAAGTAAAAAAAACACATAATAATAATAGAATAACTTGAGCGGACACATAATATTCTGATTTTCTTCATCAAGTGAAGGGAGTAAACTATATAGGAATAGGTGACTAGATACTCAATCAAATTACTTAATATATAGTTGTTCATAGAAAAGTTAGTTTCCCTAGGTATAATATAAGGTGGCTGGCTCTATACTTGATAAGATTAGCGATTATAGAGAAGTATGAAAAGTATATACAGTACTTCTCCATACGGCTTAATCATAATCCAATATGATAAGGAATAAGGTTACAAACCAGACATAAAATAGAAACCCAAACATGTCCATAACCTCTTGACTTTCACTAGACAAGACGACATATAATCTAATTCAAATCATATCAACAATATCTGTCGAGCTACTTGAGTAAAAATATGGGTTTCCATGTACAATTGTTTAACACCGGTTAGATTAGCAATTGATTCAGTAGGTTGACCAAATTTACCTCCCCTCTTTTGCACTTCTGGTTGATGTTTGACTTTGATTAATGCTACAATAATATAAGAGCCTGGGCCACGTTGCTTCAAAAAATAATGAATTTTCTATTGCTTACCTGCTAGTCAACAACTAGTAAGCGTTCTTTAGTTAGTTGAGAATTACGTATTAACAGGATGTTAATTACACAAACTACTTCATTAGTACTGAAAAAGGAAAGAAACTTTCTAGCACATACTAAGACTAATCGAGTTCTTTATCTATATAACGAAGCTGATCCAAAATACTTAGCCAAGCTTAAGTATATACTAATTATCACTAATTGGGTGACATTTACTTGTTTCGTGGCGTGAAGCAAGCTCTATATGATATGGTTTGGTTGCATCCACAATTACGTTGAGAAACGATTAGTTATGGTTATAATATAAATGCTTATTTCATCATGCATATGTGTTTCCATATTGTTCCATGGAGATTGTGATGTGGGGTTGGGCCTACTTGGGCGGGTAGGACGAGCTGGTCGGGTTTCGGTTCCATACCTTGTCGGTTCGATTGATCTATTTTATGTTGGGATAATCAAACTAGAAATTATTATTGGTCAAGAACGTAGAGGAGGTAGGATGAGCAGTTGGTCAGATCTAGTATGGATCGTACATGGACAGAACTGGTTGGTGATTGGTTCACAGTTTACCAGGGTTCAAGAAGGCGCGCCTAGGCGCACGCCTAGGCTCAATTAGGCGCTAGGCGGTGGAGGATCGCCTTGACTTGGCCATAGGCGTTATAAAAGGCGCTGGTAGCGCTTAGTAGGTAGGAATAGCGCTTAGTTTGCGCCTAGTGGAGAGAAGGCGTGCCTGGGCGTTCCTGGGCAAGCTTAGGCGGTAAAATCCAATACTCTTCGTTTTGTCCTAGAAAATCAGAAACTTGCCTCTTGCCCTAGAAAATCAGAAACACGAGAAGTAACATCTGTTGCCGCCCTAGCTCTCACCCCATTTGCTGCTCTCTAGCGCCGCAGGAGAAAGTCATCGATCACTCTTCTCGCCTTCACACCGCTCCGCTGCTATAGTGGGAAATAAAGTCAAAACTCGCCAATTGTTGCTCCTTCCTTCTCCTCGGTACGTAGCACAAGCTTCTTGTCTCTATAAGCACCTCTTAGCAGATGATTGGTCACTATTTGCTTGTTATTTGTTATGTTAAGTGTTTACTGTTAAGAACTAGGCATTGCTAATTTTATATGCACTTGGATTATATGAATTATTCCAGAAAACAGGAAATATTTGAGAATTTTTGCATTTATGCTCTGAACGACTAGGCGCGCCTAGACTACGCCTAATCGGGCAAGGCGCAAGTCAGGAGCCGAACGCCTGCCTTACGCCTAGCGCCTTTTAGAACCTTGCAGTTTACACGTTTTTATCTTATGCTTAAATGAACCGTTGATATTGAAATTCAAAGAGATTGGAATAGAGAACCTATCGGCCAAGCTACTGCTTTTTATTACCATGTCAAGAACCGGTTGGTTGTAGTAACTTGATTTGTTAGACCAATTTTGATACTAAGTTGAAATTTACAATGCTCATAAACATGAGTGCTTCCAGGTACGAATTGAATTTGTACCTCAATAGGTACAAGCTGAATTTGTACTATAACGTTAAAGGTACAAATATAGTGTGTATCATAAAAAATTTGTATGACAATATAAATGTATAATATGAAATTGTACCATAATGTTAAAGGTACATGTTCAATTTGTACCATAATTTTTTTTTTCTAAATGAAAGCACTAGTGCTTATGAGTTATGAGCATAGTTGCGAAGTTTAGTGCTGCAAATAAGCTGCGTCGAGCCGAGTTTTGACATAACTTGAGCTCAACTCGTTAATAAATGAGCTCGAACTCAGCTTCTTTATTGAAACCTGACCGTGTTTGACTAGAACTCAACCCGAGCTCAGCTCATTATTGAGCTCACGAGCTCTACTTCAACTTGGCTCATTAGTTCGCTCGAAAAATCAAATCAAAATAAGGTATCAATTATTTAGTTCATAAATTTTAAGTTCTCATATAATGTTATTCATTAGTAATTAGTATGTAAGCAATCTACGATATTTCTCTTTTAGATTATGAATGAGACAAATTTGTTGATGAAATCAAAGTCTTACACAAAAATTGTGGTGAGATATATACTATAACATACTTGTAAATTATTAACAAGCCAACCATAAGCTATAAATCGGTTCGCTCATAAGTCGCTGGTCAAGGTGGCTTCCCAACGTCGAGCTAACTCATAACTCAAAATTAGCTAGTTCGCGAGTTGAGCTCAACAAACCACCAATTCAAGCTAGCTTGCTAGCATTGCGAGCTAAACAAGGCTTCATTCATTCTCAACTCATTTGTTTAACAAGCCAAGTATTGTGCGATTTTTCCCCAAATCAAATTGAACGACGAGCCGCTCAAAAGCAAGTTGGCTCATTTACGATCATAGTAAAACTCAACAAAGAAATTTTTATATAATTCTCTCATCATTATAATATAACTAGCACCCTAAACAATCTTGATTCAATATCATCCTTGTTTTGGCTTTTGTAAAGGCTCAATAGCTAAATAGCTATAAACAAATATGTAAACCCCATCTCATCTAAATACTCTCCACTCTCATGTCACCCTCAAACCAATCTTTGTCATTTTCTAATTAGCCCCCTCCAATCCAACACAAAAACATAATCAAACTTTTTTTTGAGTCAGATTTTATTTAATTAAAATATTCCCTCCACAAAAAAATTAAAATAAAATCACCAACAAAATTACAATATATTTGCATGAAACCGTCCACGTGCCTTCACCCATCCTCTGGCCTTTCTTAAAACCTAAGAATTTCAAGCACAAGCCACCACACCCACCACTTCCCCCTTCCCTTCCTCTGGCAATTTCCCCCAAATTCCTTGATTCCCAGCAGAACCCATAAATCCAAATCCCTCAATTGGTGTTTTAGAATCCAAAAGATTAATCCTTTTAAAAAAGGGTACGAGGAAGGAAGAAGGAAACTGAATAATAATAAGATTCAGAGGCAGAGCAAGGCGAGAGAGAAGAAGAAGGCAAAATAGAAGAGAGATTCGGCGACTTTCCTGAATCAGAAGCTCTCTCGTTTGTGGGGAAGAAAAGAAAAAGGCGAAGCTGCACCGACTCGGCGCTCTTCAACTCAGCTGGACCCAACTCACTCTCTTATCTTCCTTCCAACTTGGGGTAACTTATCCTTTTTTCCATCTCCTTGGTTTTCTAAACTCGCTATATTGAGCTCGAAGTCCTCGCATTTCCAGTACCTCGTCGAGAATTCTTTAATGGGGTTTCGATGGTGTTTGTCCAACTGTTTATGAATGTATCGGGCGGCGCACAACCTCCCTCGATTAGCAAAACCCTAGGTTTCTGATTCGTTCCCCTCATTGGGCCTTTTCCCCCATTTGTTTGACTGGGTTGTGTGCATAAGAGCCTTTCTCCATGGCATTTGATCACAACTTGGTTTCAAAAGATCTGAGGCCGGTGAACGTTGCTCGGCCATTGATCGACGATACCCGCATTGGGGTGGTCGGGGGAATGACGAACACCGCGCCTAATTCAGCTACGGCGGGGGTGACGGTTATGAGCCCTGAATTTTTCACCGCCGCACCGGAGGGGACTATTCCGATTTACTACCAGGCATCAGGGGTGCCGGATTCTGGAGGGTTTGTTGGCGTAGGGTATAGGAATGTGGCACCGGCGGCCGTTGCACAGTGGGTCCCGGTGGCAGCAGCTGGTAATGTAAATATTGGTGTGACTGCTCCAGCTGCTGTAGGGTACGGTTATAATCCTAATAATTTGGGGAATAGGGTAGTGGGTAATGCTGTTGATCAAGCTAGTACTGAAATGTTGGTAGGTGGATTCGGTTATAATCCTCGTACCAGCCCCAATTCGAACAACGATATGTTGAACTCGGGTTATGGTTACAGCCCGAGCGCATCCAATCGGGGGAGTGGTGGTGGTGGTGGGGTTGATCACACGAGTGAAGATGGTGGCGATGATTCGGTGTCTGGGAAGAAAGTCAAGCTCTTGTGTAGTTTTGGAGGGAAGATTCTGCCTAGACCGAGCGATGGTGCATTGAGATATGTTGGAGGGCAGACGAGGATCATCAGTATGAGAAGAGAAATGACATTTGGTGAGCTGATGCAGAAGATGGTGGCCACATACGGGCAACCGGTTGTTATGAAGTACCAGCTTCCAGAGGAGGATTTAGATGCATTGGTTTCAGTCTCATGCCCTGAAGATCTCGATAACATGTTGGATGAGTATGAGAAGTTGTTGGAAAGATCCTCAGATGGCTCTGGTAAATTGAGGGTGTTCTTGTTTTCAGCTACCGAGCTCGATGCTTCTGGTATGGTGCAGTTAGGAGATATGCAGGATAATGGACAAAGATATGTTGATGCAGTTAATGGGATTGTTGCTGACAATGGTGGTGGTGGGATGATCTCAAGGAAGGAGAGTATGGCTAGTGCTACCTCGACTCAGAATTCAGATGTTAGCGGAGCTGAAGCAGTTGACATATCAGGATTTGGACAAGGGGAACTGAGTGGGACTCCATCAGTCAGCGGGCTTTCTCCTATGGGGAATTCAGTTACCTCCCAAGATACTACCCCGAGATTGTTGTCTGTGGATCCTAGTCCTAACCCACCACTTTATGCTGACACATCATCAGTTTCTTTGGGGATTCCACTGATGAAGTCTGGTTCTCCTCCTGCTTTAATTTCCCAGCACGAGGTTGATTTTGAAAGGTCAGCTGCTCCGGTAAACATGTCACAGCAGCAGATGGGATACGAGCTACCTCAAACAGGAATGCCATTTCAATCAAATGCACCTCATCTTCCAGCATATAGGGACTATGTACATGCAGCTCCTCAAATGGGATACCCGAATGCGCAAATGTTTGCCACTGCTGGCGGGTCCCTGTTCACTCAACAACCGAATCATGATGTTAATGCTTCTCTGAGTTCTCATCAGTATATGCCTGGAGTGCACATGACAATGGCACCCTCATCGTCTCTTGCTCCCATGAGGCCTACAATGGTTCAAACCGTGATGCAGGCTCAACCAACTCGATTGGACCATTATCCGGATGAAAAGATGTATGGAACAAGGATAATGCAGATGCCGGTCGATCCGAGCTACAACATGTATCAGGCACAGGCTCCACAGGCTCCACAGCCGGCAATTCTTGGGGGAGGGTATGGCTGGAGACAGGTTCCTCAACCGGAACATGTCGTCTTTTCTGATGGCATGATTCATCATCAACAAGTACAATATCCTGAAAAAACTTCAAGACCGGATGATTGTCTGATGTGCCAGAAAGCATTGCCTCATGCACACTCTGATCCTGTTGTACAGGAACAAAGTCCTCTATCTATAGACTCTGTCTATCATAGTCTTCGTTTGGAAGAAAGTTCGAAGATTCGGCCTTTGAACAGGGTAATGGTGACTGGGGCGTCAGGGGAAGGTACTGTTGGAGCTCAATCAGAAGCAATGGATTTACCTCAGTGTGCTGAGGCATTTCATGAAGCCGAGAAAATTTCCCCTAGGAAAAAGGAAGCTCCTCCAGAGCAACCTAAGATGTCGGCTCCTCTTGGTATGATGGGTATACAAGGTGATGCTCAGTCTACTTATGAGTTGTTAATGAGTACTATCCCTCCATCTCGGGTAGATGATTCTCTTCAACAGCAGCATGCAGTGGCAGTACCTCATGTAGCTGTTGGTGGACCACCTCCTCAAGCTTCCGAAGGCATGATATATGAGTCTCCTAGAGCACCACATGTTGGTAACCTTCCTCATGTTGGTTCAAAAGAGAATATGGTTGACTCTTTTGTTCCACATGACCAGCTGAAACCAATTGATGGCAACAAGTCAGCTACCGATCAGAAAGCCCAGCAAGTAGTACCTTCAAGGGAGTTGCTTCCAGACTCGAATTATCTCAAATCGGAAGTTCTGCCTGCTGCTGAATTCTCATATCTACACAGCTCTCAGCCTATTGAGCCATATGATGTTGCTCAGCCGCTATATTCGGGTGATCCGGGAGCACATCTGCACTCCATGGTTGGTGCTCTCTTGGATTCTGGTGATGTCAGTTGTGTCAATCCACAATATGTTGTTGAGCCCGTGTATCATGCTGATAAAGTCCTTCCTGTTGGCGAGAGCAATTCTGATATATCCAGGCTACTACCTAGTACTCTTGCCAGTGATGTGGAATCTTTAGCACTGAGTGGGAATCCACCATCTTCAGTATCGCCGTCTAGTAGACTTGGAGATGTGCAGGAATCCTCAGACTCTCTTTTCAGCATCCAGGATCCTTGGAACATGAGGCATGATACTCATTTCCCTCCTCCTAAACCTCTCAAGATTGCAACTAGGAAGGATGCTTTCAGTGCTGGAGATCCATTCAATGAAAACAACATTGGTAACGCCGGGGAATTGGGTCCAGATGTGCTGTTGGATGATGGAATTTCTCAGACACTATGTGGTTCGGAGCATACTCTATCTTCCAAAGGTTAGAATTTTCTTTAGCTTGCATGTTTGTGAGTTAAGAAAACCTCCTCTTTTTGTTCTGATCTTTTTTTATAACCATTATACACAGGCTCGGAGGATAGGCTTATCAAACAAGAACTTCAGGCTGTTGCTGAAGGAGTAGCTGCCTCTGTTTTTAAGTCAAGTACACCAAGTACCGACTTGACAGATGAAAGAAATCCATCTCCTTTCGAAGCAAGTGAACAACCGAAGGAGGCTGCCCCGATTAAAGACGTGGAAGCACAGCATAAAGCTAAAGCTGAGGTGGAGCTTTGTTAATTCAGATCTGTTTTGTTACCTTGTTTCTGGTATGGTGCATTTATATTCGCATTATTGCTGAAAACTCTTATACCTCATTCATCAGGATCTGAAGAACAGACAGGCGGAAAAGGTGAACGTGGGATTTCCAATGTCAGAAGGTGCAGGTCGCCTACAGGTTGGACTTTTGTTACGCAACATTCTTTTTCCCATTTATCTTTGACTTTTCTTACAAATATTCGGTTCAAACTGTCATTTTCGGGAACAGATTATAAAGAGTGGTGACCTTGAAGAACTATTTGAATTGGGCTCTGGCACCTTTGGCACGGTTTACCATGGAAAGTGGCGGGGTACGGATGTTGCAATTAAGCGGATCAATGACAGGTGTTTTGCAGGGAAACCTTCGGAACAAGAACGCATGGTTAGTCATTTATCTTGCTATAAGATAATCAGATGTTTTTCCATGTTATTCGACCTATTAATTCCTCAAAACTGCTATTCATTTTTTCGTGCATGCATAAAATCAGATTGACGATTTTTGGAATGAAGCTATCAAGCTTGCTGATCTGCACCACCCAAATGTGGTAGCTTTTTATGGGGTTGTACTAGATGGCCCTGGAGGTTCAGTTGCAACTGTGACTGAGTATATGGTTAATGGCTCTTTGCGGACTGCTTTGCAGAAAAACGAGAGGTATTTTTCTTAAACCTCGACATTGACCATGTAATGCTTTCATTCTTTTGATCTCTGTTTCATGGAAATTTGATTTTGGAGCGCTTGTTTATTAGGAGCCTTGACAAACGTAAGCGCCTGTTGATCGCCATGGATGTGGCTTTTGGTATGGAATATCTGCATGGGAAAAATATAGTGCATTTTGACCTAAAGAGTGACAATCTGCTAGTTAATCTTAGAGATCCGCATCGTCCGATATGCAAGGTTAGTGGTCTTATTTTTTTAATGTTCGGCCTGTGTATACTAGTTTTGCCTTATCCCCGTTATCCGTGTACCTACCTTTGTAATTTATTGTGATCAATATATACTTGTATGGTTAAAACTTAAAAGGTTGTTTGGTTACTGTATTACAAGAATACATGTAGTTTCACACCGCATGAATTCCGAATGCATGATTTATGAAATGCATGTATTGTCATAATTAGTGTTTGGTTTGAGATAATTGTAAAAGAAATTGCTTGTGTAGCCCATCGAACGTATGTATTCTCGAAAGCTCTGGGTTACCAAAGAACACTTGGGTCCTGAAATGCATGGATTTTGTACCAAACCCAGACAATGAAAACTACGTATTGTTAGAAACCATGCATTCTCAAAATGAGTGGAACAATACATGGGTACCTAAAAGGCAATTAGTTGTATTGCTTCTCATTTTAGACTTACTTTATGTTGCGTCTCCAGGTTGGCGATCTGGGCTTGTCGAAAGTAAAATGTCAAACGCTAATCTCTGGTGGTGTAAGGGGAACACTTCCATGGATGGCACCCGAGCTTTTGAATGGCAGCAGCAGCCTTGTCTCCGAGAAGGTTTCTCTTTTTCTCTTATGAACATCTCATATTAGAAGAACGATGATCCAGTTTGTCAGATTGTTAAAACTGTCCACTTGTTCTTTCATATAGGTTGATGTGTTCTCATTCGGCATCGTGTTGTGGGAGCTTCTGACTGGGGAAGAGCCATATGCAGATTTACACTATGGCGCCATCATAGGTAACATCTAGTCGACCGACTGACTGACGCCATCATGGCATTTGTTGGTGGTAACAAATGATATGACATATGAGATTGAACACTTTGTGACAGGTGGCATTGTCAGCAACACCCTGAGGCCGCCAGTACCGGACTCTTGTGATCCGGAATGGAAAGCATTGATGGAGAGATGCTGGTCCTCAGAACCAGTCGAGAGGCCGAGCTTTACCGAGATAGCAAATGAGTTGAGAGCAATGGCAGCCAAGATACCTTCCAGGGGGCAGGCTCCAGCGCAGCAAGGTTCTTGAGCACAACCTCAAAAGTGAGTTTCCTGGCGAGTCGATTCTTCCGTCGTGGCTCAATAGAGGTAATTTGCTGCAGTCAATATGGGTTATTTGTAGGAAGGTTCATTTGGCCTTTGTTTTTTACTTCCTCAGGTTTTTTACTTTAGTAGAGATGATTATAGTTGCTAGACTCCTATTGAGAGTGTCTAGGGTTTTGGGTTTGAGTTTCAATGTGTTTGTTCTTGTGTGCAAAAAGGGTCAAAGAAAAAGAAGAAGAAAATTTGTTTTTTGTACGTAGGAACTTTTTGTCTCTTTGACAATCTTGTTATATAGATTATATTTGGTGTAAGATTGGAAGAAAATGAGCTTTACTACCCATGTTTCTTTTCCTGGTTCATAGTTCCTATCCTTTCCCAGGAAAGAGTAAGCTTAGAAATGCAAATTCTCGGATCCAAAATGACTTTGCAGATCTAACTTACCTGTAGTTCTGCCTCTACCCATGAGTTGGATTCTGTTCTTGATACAAAGAGGATCACTGCACGTGCTTCCTTACACCTGAATTCATCTGATGAACATACTTCCAGAAGTTAGGTCAGAACCCACAACCCATTTGCAGAAAATGGAGTCAAATCCAGGAAAGGAAGCAACTTTGTTCACACACAAACCACCCAAAGAATCTTTTGAACTTCAGTTCTTCAGTTACTGACTCTGTTTGGCCGTCGCCTGCCGCCGCTGCCGCTTTATACGTTAGTCATTTCATAGCCCTTGTTTCTTCCCTATCTAAGATCTAACCGGCGGCCGCTTTCGTTGATCACGTGAACTGATGAAAGCTGCAATGAAGATTATGTCGGCAGGATCTTTTTTTCCTGCGCATAAGACTTAATGGATAGATTTGGACTGTAGAAAGAAGAAGTCTTTTTGGGTCGTATTTGCTTTGATATCAAGCACAAGAAGAAGAGTTGGAATAGTCGTCAGTCGCGCGTATGACAAAACTGACTCGTTTTACAAAGCCCGCGTAAACAAAGCGCACAAGGCACACACAACAACTTCGCAGCAAGGAGCCGGCAAGGTGGAAGAACCCGTGTTTTGATTGCAACGCCAACTGATTACATTAACTCGAGTCTTCTTCATTTCATTTTAATAATCGAACTTATCAGTTTTTTTTTACAGATATTTAGCGTCATGGTCACTCATTGTGAAAGAAGATATTTAGTTTCGTAACACTAAGAAAAAAAATCGAGAAGAAGCTAAACATGCATATACGAAATGTATATCTTAATATTTATACTTGTAGAACGTCGTTCGCATACCAAATTGGGTGATATTCGTTTGAAGTATGATTTGAGCTAGATAGGTTCATAATTTGTGATTCGAAGAAAACAAGCGGCAAATGCTGCCCTGTTCACTTCCCATTTCATTTTCTGTTTTTTGGTTAAAAAATGAAAATCAGGAAACAAATTGACATAAAACGTGTTCACTTGACCATTCCATTTTCCTTGGAAAAACCCAATTATTACAATTGGGAAAACCATTAATACTCGTTTTCTCAGAAGAATGGGGCGGGTTATCCCCCATTTCCCAGCGGAAAACGACCTAATCCCTCAAACCGACCCGCGTTCGATTCACCACGGACGCATTCCCCCCCCCCCCCCCCCCCCCCCCCCCCCCCCCCCCCTCTTTTTTGCCCTCCTAAGCGCTGCCCTCCTAAACCTTAGAAGAGAACTGTCGTCTTCCTCTCCTCCCTCCACGTTCGACTCGCCGCCATCGTCTTCCTCTCCTCCCTCCACAGTTCAACATTTTTAGCAAATTGGAACTGTTATGGTTTGGATGCCGATGTATTTTATTGTATTATATTATTTACAGGGAAAATTGATTGTGGGGAGGTCACAGATGTTCGTTTTGCTATGGATGCTGAGGGAAATTTGAGGGGGTATGGACATATTGATTTTTCTACATCTGAGGAAGCAAAGAAGGTGCATATCGATACTCCCAGTGTTTCTTCATTCTAGGCAATATAAAAGAAATTGAGCAACTAGTGTACAAGACAATTTTTTATTTGATGCTGAGTTATCTGATCTCAATTCCTTCTGGCCTTGTGGGTATATCAAGTCCCATTTTCTATCTGATTATACCAATTTGTATAGCTGTTAATTTCAGTTATTTATCTGCCTTGTCCAGGCTCTTAAGATGAAGAATGGGGAGTCTTTGAATGGTAGAGGCGTCTCGTCCAAGGGGCGAAAGGCAAACTCCATATAGCGGGTACTTCTTTCTTAACTGTATGTCCTTTAACCAGAGTCGTGTAGTCTTGATTTTTTTGCCCTCCTAAGCGCTGCCCTCCTAAACCCTAGAAGAGAACTGTCGTCTTCCTCTCCTCCCTCCACGTTCGACTCGCCGCCATCGTCTTCCTCTCCTCCCTCCACAGTTCAACATTTTTAGCAAATTGGAACTGTTATGGTTTGGATGCCGATGTATTTTATTGTATTATATTATTTACAGGGAAAATTGATTGTGGGGAGGTCACAGATGTTCGTTTTGCTATGGATGCTGAGGGAAATTTGAGGGGGTATGGACATATTGATTTTTCTACATCTGAGGAAGCAAAGAAGGTGCATATCGATACTCCCAGTGTTTCTTCATTCTAGGCAATATAAAAGAAATTGAGCAACTAGTGTACAAGACAATTTTTTATCTGATGCTGAGTTATCTGATCTCAATTCCTTCTGGCCTTGTGGGTATATCAAGTCCCATTTTCTATCTGATTATACCAATTTGTATAGCTGTTAATTTCAGTTATTTATCTGCCTTGTCCAGGCTCTTAAGATGAAGAATGGGGAGTCTTTGAATGGTAGAGGCGTCTCGTCCAAGGGGCGAAAGGCAAACTCCATATAGCGGGTACTTCTTTCTTAACTGTATGTCCTTTAACCAGAGTCGTGTAGTCTTGATTTTTTTACTAACTGGGAGCATCTATATACCTCTGCAGCAAAGATAACAACAGCTCATTCCAGAAGGTATTTGTTCGGGGGTTCAACACATCACGTGAGGAGGATGAGGTAATTCTCTTTCTGGATGCATTTGTTGTTTGATCTCTTTTTGTGGTGTGATCATTCTCTGTGCTTAATTTTCTTTTGCAGATTTAAGAATTCTCTATCTGAGCATTTCAGCTCTTGTGGTGAAGTGACGTTTATCAAGCTTCCAAAAGATTATGAAACTGGAGCCTTCAAAGGGTGAGTATTAGTTCTCTTGTGCAAACAGGGTCATTGTTCCCCCAAATCTGGAAGTTGTTCCCGAAAGAATAATTGATTCAAAAGAAGCACGTCACTTTCAAGATATCGATCGTGGAGGTGGACCAAAGACTCGTAAACAACTTTTTAACTATTATCATTCATCTCTACGCAATGTTATCGAGCGTTGTTTTGGAGTTTTGAAGGCTAGATTCCCCATTTTGAAGCATATGCCTCCTTTCGCTCTCAAGAAACAAGGACACATTGTTCTTGCATGTTGTGTTATACATAACTTTATTAGGATCCACTCTGGTGACGACACTCTGTTTGAAGGTGCTCAAAATTATTGCACGGGGGAGAATGCCAATGGAGTGCAAGGAGGACAAGAACGAGAAGCATATAATCATAGTTCAAGCCAAACTCGAGCGATGGATGCACGACGAGATGTAATAGCAAACAAGTTGTGGGATGACTTTCAAGCTGGACTTATTTGAATTTTTATGTTGTACTGATACTTAATTAATATAAGATGTTGTACTTGTATTGTGTTTATTTGTAGTTTAAAAACTATTTAATTCGAATTAAAAATTATAATCATGGCTAGGGTTGTATGATAATCAAGAATCAGAAAACAGAATGAAGCAACTAAACATGATTTCTTTTTAGAACTCAGTTTCAGAACTCACCAAAATTCTCAGCTAAACAAGGTTTTTTCAGGTTTTGTTTTCCAGGAAATGATCAGCTTCGTTTTCATTTTAATTTTGTTTTCTGTTGTGGCAGCTAACAGAAATGGAAAGGCAAGTAAACAGCCCAGTAAGCTCATTCTATGTTTGATGATCAATCAAAGACGGAATGAGAATGTGATTCAAGCTCGAATTGGTACAATGCTACGGAACAAGTCGAGGCATATCGAAGCGATAGTATCAAGTACCTACCATGCACATCGCCACGTCGATAAAATTCGATATCCAATGTGGCAGACCGCGATGATGTGACACTTGGCTCGGACCCATTAAACCCCTTTCATATACAACTAACCTCACCAAACGAAACAGGAAACCACAGTTGGGAAGCAAAATTAGTCAGACTTCTCTGAAGCTTCCTTCCTTCCTAGTACCTTCCCACCACCCATTTGACTGTCAAAATTTCCTTTCCGCAACGCTGAATTTCAACGTTTATATATAACCAAAGCTCTCTCTTCCCTTCTCCATCGGTCATCCCTATCCAATTTCAAGCTCTCGCATTTCAATCTCCCGCCGGCAAATGGAAACAGAGCGTCTCCGCCCAGCGGCCGCCGCCGCCGGCAGCTACCAAGACCAAGAAGAAGAAAACTCCTCAGCCTTCTCAGGATGCAACTGCTTCGGCTCCTTGTTCTCGAGATGGGGAACCAAATCCGCCAGCAGCGAAAGCAACAGCTACCTTCTGATGCAAAACAGGGGAGGAGGAGGGAAAACAGGGGAAGACGAAAACCAGCAGCAGAAAGCAGAGCCCTCGTCGTGGGTCATGAACCAGGTGAAGAAATTGAAGGAGGTTTCGGAGATGGTCGCCGGGCCCAAGTGGAAGAACTTCATTAGGCAAAAACAGAGGAGGAATCAGAAGTTCACTTACAACGCCGAGAGCTACGCCCTAAACTTCGACTGCGGGTTGGAGGAGGAAGAGTACGACTACGTCCCTGGGTTTTCGCAGAGGTTCGCCGCCGTTCCGGTGGATAACAAGAATCGTGAAGCTTTTGGGTTGTGACAGGGAATTGGGAGGAGATTTTTTTTTTTATACCTTTAGTGGGTTGTTAATCAATTGATTCAATTTTTTAGATTCTGGTTCTCTGGTTAAATTCATTGTTCAGTATCAAGCAATAAACTTTCCATCTAGAACTCCAACAAAAGATCTCCCTCTCCATCTTTGTGAAATCGTACCATACCAATGGTCTAATTGAAAAATAATTTTTAACGATACAAAACGGTTGAACATTTGTTTTAGTATCAGACGGTCAATATTCTTTTATACAACCTTCAATTCGATTTTACAATTCTTGCTCTCGACGAAAAAGGTTTACCCGACGAACCAAATACCAATCCATCAGGAAGATGATTGGTATTTGGCTTATGCGTCTATTGTTTGAATTCGGAGGCCACAAGGTCTAGTTTCTACCGTCACTTGTGGCGCTAATGGAGTGATCAGTTTGAATGATGAAATGAAAGGGGAAAAAACAGAGCAAACGATGACGAGGGGATGAGGTGTTTGCTTAGGTCAGTGGCCGGCGATGGACGACAAAAAACAATGAGTCAGCAATGAGCTCCATAGAGGAACCAGCTGGTCCCATAAGCAAAGCAAGAACAACGTTATTATTAGTTTTATCCACTTCTTTTTATCTCTAAGCGAACATTACCCTGTTTTGATTATGATTAAAGAAAAAAGTTGGCGATAATGACGATTAACACGATGGATATAGGTCATTTTGTTGCGTGGACCCGTTCTAAGATAGTGGTAATTATCTCACCCTAATCGTTTACGCCAAGGTAATGATTTCAGCTCGACTTTCCTTTATCCTAAGCCGTTGGTGTTACTTGATAATAGATTATCCGACATCGACGAGAAATCATGTGGTCTTGCTGGAGAAGGATTACACCGGCTGTAACATTTTTCATTTCAGGTTGGATTAGGAATAGGTTGTCTAGAGAAGGTGTTATATCTACATTCTCAATCTATGTAACATGTATCTCCTCAACTATAGTGAAACTGCTATCTCATGCTCGTGGATTAGCTAACGCACATCGTGTTAGTGAACCGCATAACTCTAAGTGTTCTTTACTTTATTGCATTGTCGATTTTTCCATTACGTTCTAACATAAACAGTACATTTGAGATTTATTTCAACCTTATGAACACCCGTTAAACTCGTAAAAGAGAATAATTTGGGCATATAGAGTTAATCGTCTAAACGATCATCACCAAAGAATTTTCCTTTGGGACCTCTTAACGGGTGTTCATGTGGTCCTTGCAGGATTGTGTGGTCGCCGTGTCCAAGAGCTGGCTTCTCTGTGCGCTCAATGTACCAAGGCCTGTGTCGCGAGAAGTTTCCGGGAGTGGCGAATTTCCCGTTCAAGTCAGTTTGGAGATTGAAGGCTCCTTCGAAAGTTAATGGTTTTGCTTGGCTGCTCTTTCACAATCGCACCCTTACCCATGATAATTTAAAGAGGCGAGGATGGAATATTGTGAGCAGGTGCGTGTTGTGCGAGGCGAACACCGAGACGGCGTCCCACTTGTTTAGAAGCTGTGAGTATAGCACTAGAATTTGGGACAGGTATATGACAGTTCTGTCAGTTGGAGGCCCCTTTCCGATTGATCTTCAACAGTTGTTTGGATGCTGGTGCCGGGAGGATCCTGATGATTGGCTGGACTGGTTCCGGTATCTATTCCTCCATGGCTTCGTTTGGGAGGTGTGGAAGGAACGAAATGAGAGATCCTTTAAAGATACAAGTAAGGCGTGGCAAGTCATCTTCCATAAAATTGGACGAACGCTACTTCATTGGATCGCTGCTGCGGGACAGATCAATGATCAAAATGCCAAGGATTGGCGGAGATTGCTAGCACTGGCGTGCCCCCCTACACGAAACAATAGCATCTAGCTGCCTCTGGGTTTTGGTTTTGCTTGGGTTTCCTCTGTTGTCTTTGCTTTGTATTGCTCCTGCAGGAGTCTTGTTTTTTCTCACGGTCTTCCTTTCCTCCCTTCTATTTCCGCTGTTCCTGTTGTTCTTACTTTCTTTGGGATCCAAATTGTGTGTCCTCCCCTCTCTATTCTTGTTTCTTGAACTTGTATACACCCCTGGTGTATTTCCTTGGTAATGCATTTTCACCGTTATCCAAAAAAAAAATGTTCTTACTTTGATCTAACAATAGCAACCTTACTGTCGAGTTCAATTCACACGACCTATCATTTCGAGAAAAATTCTCCATATAGCCACCAACAGAACTGTAAGTCTGAATCGTCATTCTCGTTAGTTTAACAAGAAAGTTAATAAAACCAGAGTCAGCCTCACACATATGCGTCAAGGTCCCGCGTCAAAGCAATTGCATTAAAAATTCATGAACCACCGACGTTTGTTTAACTACCATACATGTACCTCATTACAAGACACTAAAGGAGAAGAAAACAATCTGGTTCCACTAAATGGGTTGGTATAAAAATGGAGGTGAAAGGGAGCAAAAGGCAATCTTTTCCTATTAGCATTTAGCAATGGCCCCTGTTTTAGACCAGACAGTGAGTAATGAGGAAAAGGGTTCGTGTTTCTTCTTTCTTCTTCTCCTGCTACTTACCCTTCTTTTAATCCTCTGTCGGGAAGGAAGGATTGTTAATGCCAAAACAAAAACACAGCAAAAATGAAATACCGTACGACTTGTTTTTTTCGAAAGGAGCCACAGGATTATGCTGTCATCCACAAAGCTCGTTTGTCCTAACAAGAAAAAAGTTCCTTCAGCCTTCAAAGATGGTGTTCATTGTGAACTTAATTAGCATATACTGATGCTCTTTCCAGAGGTTATGACAGAATCTTGGAGGGTATTACTAGGGAATAGGATTTGGGAAGAGATGGATTTTGGAAACTCTTTTTATAAGAAAACAGTCATGTATAAGACATGGTATTCAATACGCATCGTATACGATTCATCAACTGTGCTTACGATTAGGGATTACTCCGTTCTTGTTTGTTATGGCTAATGATTATTGCACTACGGAAGCAATTAACAAAATGGGCTAGGGGTAGTGGCGGACCCAGGAATTTTACATAGGGGTGTCATCTTTCAAAAAACAAAGTAAAATAAAAATTAGTAATTATTAATTAATAAAAATAAAATAATTTTTAAATAAGAAAATACCCAACTCGTACAAGATTAAAAAAGTCCATGATGTATTTTCATATTATGAAAAGAATGGTAAAATACACTTGGTGTCTACACTGCTCAACAAATGTGTCTCGGTATATCCTACTAGACAATCATTCACGAATTGACGCACAATCAACTTCTAAATTTGTTCTTGATGTAACTATAAGCTGAAAAAACACTTTCAACACTTGTCATACAACCATAAAATCAACAATTAAAGAATAGGGAATAGGAAAATAATTAAAGATAGAGAACAGAGTTTTGCTATTACACAATGTTTAGAATAGAACAACAAATAAGTTGTAGCCTAATGGAAATTATATTTACCGATGATAGTATTGTCCCCGTTTTGAATCACCCAAACTACCACTTATATTCCTATACACAAACTATAAATGAGAGTAGGATAATCGTATTTTCAAATTTCACGGTGTTCCGGACTATTATTTATAATTTTTTTTTTGTCCATTTATAGATTTAGGAGTTTCCTTGTGCCCAACTTCGAACATCTTTTGTTTTCTCTCACTTTAATTCATTATCAACCTTATAAAAAAAATTTAGGGGTGTCTCCGGTCTCCCCCTGAGTCCGCCGGTGGCTAGGGGTAGTTTTTCTTTGGGACAAGCTACGGTGCTAATCCTATAGGGGGTTAGCACCGTCCTAATAGTCGTGGTAGTGTTTTTGCATGGAAGTTTTTGGTAGTCTTTTTTTATTGATCCCCTGTGTTGTTAATATGTAGGGTCTGTAGTAATTTGATGTGCAGTCATGGTAGTGTTTTTGGTCATAGTTGTCTTGGGACTATGTAGTTTCGTCAATATTGAGGTGCAATATATTGGTAGTAGTGGTTTTTAATAATACGTGTGTAATATTTGTATGAATACATGTGTAACTTTTTGGGGTTAGCAGGTGCTAACTGCGGGGTATGAGGTTAGCATCCCATCCCACCCCTTTTTCTTTGTTGCAAATTTATGACCAGAATTTGGAATATTCTACGCACATAATTATGCTATCCGGGTATTTTTGCAAACATAGATGCATCATTTTAACTAATGCAAAATGAAACTACACTTGTTATCCAATTCAATTCCAATCCGTATGATGTGAAAGTGAAATCACTCTATTCCCTTTCTAACTTTACTCGATAGCTAAGTAGAGAGGGTCTCCATGAACTTGTTCAAAAATTAATTTGGATGAGTATGGCAGATTAATCATGAAGATTTTAAGAAATAACCACTACGATAGTTATCATAAACTAGTAAACTTCATTACCAAATCTATCAAGAATTAAAGTAGAAATGATCAATTATTAGTACCCTATGTAAACTTTTCTTTTGATCTATCAACCACTCGTGAATTGACAAGAGAGAAGATAAGTCAAGCCTCTAGCAAGCTCCTAGGGCATAAGACTTTATATACTTTTGATCACTATTTCTCACTTTATCGACTATTAACACTATTTCCTCTAATTGAAAGAAAGAAACCCGCCGCATGCCCGTGTACTGCACACACAGACACTTTTTACTGTACAACGTGACTGAGATTTACTGTTTGAAACTGGCGTGTCCTTCGGTGTGGGCTGTTGTTGGGTGAGGCCTCATTGGGATCTGGCGGGGTTTGGGGGCTCGGTCGGGGTGGGACTGGTCGTTGGCTTCTGGTTGGCCTTAGTTGCGGTCGTTTGGTGGCCCGGACGCGCGTTGGTCATCAGAGATCGGTATGTGACTTTGCCCCTCCCCGGCCACGTGGGATGGGGCCTTCAGATGTGCTTAGTAAGTCTTGCGTGATATCATTGTGTCTGTTAGGGATTCCGGCTGTTGTTCGCAGGACTGTGTTGCAGAAACTTGGCGACTGATTGGCTGCGGTTGGAGGTGCTTTGGGAATGGTGGACAACTGATTGATACCGGTTATTCACCTGAGGGACGGGGCCTTCAGATGTCCTCAGTGAGTCTTGCATGATATGATTGTGTCTGTTAGGGATTGCTAGAGGGTCGTGTTGGGTTGTTGTTCGCAGGACTATGTTGGAGAAACTTGGCGGCTGATTGGCTAGGATTGGAGGTGCTTTGGGAATGGTGGGCGGCTGATTGATACCGGTTATTCACCTGATGGCGGGAGGGTGTCAAGAAGTTCACTGTTTCAAGCACTGTGGACGTCATTCAGTGCCTCGATGCGTGCGCTCAGGTGGAGAAGGCCATTTCTCATTCTTTTTGCATGCCTCGATGCGTGCGCTCAGGTGGAGAAGCCCATTTCTCATTCTTTTTGCACAAGAGGACTCATTCTCGGAACGCATTTCCCTCTTTTTTTCTCCCCTCTTTGTTCTCTGTGGTTCAGTCGTTGTTTTCTCGCCTTTTTCCTTGCCATGGATGCTACTCTGCTCTGCAATCTCAAAGGAGGTACCAGAGAGGTGACTCTGAGGCTTCGTCTGCTCCATATGTGGTATGCCAAGAATCCTTCTGGGACAAGGGTGTTTAATCACTGTTGCCTCTGGGTAGATCAGACGGTAGATTCTCTTACGCTGATTCTTTGTGATTACAGTGCTTTCTGTTTTTTTGCTTTTTTTTCCTTCTGTGCTCTTTCTTTACTGTCTTTTTTTGTTTTTGATTCAGGGTATGCTCATTCAGAGCCTTGCTGATGTCTCTATTGGGTCTGAATTTGAGCGTGTGCTGCGCGTGGGAGTTATCTACGTTCTAAGGTCTTTTGGTCTCAGTGCCGCAAGGAATCTCTATCGTGCTTGCTCATTTGATCTGATAATAGAGTTGTCAGCAACAACTATTTTCCAGGCCTGTTCTCTACCTGCAGCTGAATTTCCAACTGATTCCTTTGAGGTTGTTCCTTATAGTGAGCTGTCTAACCGTTCAGGGGACAATCGTATCCTTGCAGGTGATTGTTGCGTTTTCTTGACTGAAATGAATTGGGTTTTATGTCTTCTTACTGCTCTTTTTTTTTCGGTCAGATGTTGTCGGCCGTCTTCATTCTATTAGCGGGATTGATCATCAGGTTACTAATCACGGCTCGACTCCAAAACAAGTTCTGGTCCTTGAGAATGCACAGTAGGTCTTTTGTGTTATTTTATTTTTCCACTGGGGAATACTGTTTCATCACCGTCACGTAAGATATGATCCTTTGTTTTGCTGTCAGGGGCCAGAGAGTGTCGATCACGCTTTGGAATGAACTGACGGCAGTCCTTGATCGACCTGCTTTGATTCAGGCGGACTCCATTGAGCCAGTGATCGTTGGAGTTGGGGGGCTCATGGTTGGCCGTTTGAGAGGTGTGTATTTTGACTCTTTTCCATTCTGCTTGATCATAAATTGTGAACTGATTTTGTTTTTGTTGTGTAGCTGGTGAATATTCCTGTTCGAGCTCCTCAGGAACCCGTATAGTTGTTAGCCCGAGGATACCAGAAGCATACAGTCTCGCTGCTTTGTGGGTTCTTTGTTGTTAAACTGTGATTTTGTTGTTCCAGATTTGCTTTGTGGTGTTTGGTTTGCTTTACTTTTTTGTGTCCATCTATACAGTTTTGGTGGATCCAGAGTTCCTGTTGCTGATTTGCCGGTCAAGTTTGCGACCCCAGGGGACGCTGTTGCTGATGCTGAGCGGAGAACCAGGACCATAGCTGAGCTTCTTGATTTGCACCATGGCGGTGCTTCTGTCGTGAGTTGCATTTTGATGTAGTTCTTGAATTTAGAATGGTCTTCGGGTTGTCCATTTATTTATGTTTGTTTATTGCTTTCTGGGATTATCAATGTTTATATTCAGGATGAAAAGCATCGTTGCGGTGGTATAGTCCAATCAGTTGAGTCCCGGAGCCCGTGGTATTACATGTCATGCAGCATGTGCAGAAAAAAGTGTTCTACGTGGCGAAATGGTAACTACTGGTGTCCTGACCATTGGGAGATCACTGAGCAGCAAGTGACAGTTGGGTGTGTGTTTTGTCTGATCATTAGTTGTTGTTTTTGTTTATTTCAATGTGTGCCTGTCAGGTCTTAGAGAATTTGCCTACTTTTTTTAGTTTGCACTCCCACGCCTATCCTGATGGAATTGTCTCTGTATTTTACTGTGTCTTCTCTAGCTACAAGATCCAATTGACCCTGCGTGAGGCCACTGACGAGGCCCCTTTCATTATTTTCGGCCCGTGTGGGAACAATTTGGTGCTCACATCTGCCCAACTGCTAGCCCAGAGATATCCTCACAGGTCTGGCCAGTTGCCGCCTGAACTTGAGGCTTTGCTCGGCCAGTTTGTCAGATTTGAGGTCAAGCTTCCGATGGTTGGGTCAAATGGAGTATCTACGGGTGAATTCCGTGTTTTCCGAGTTATGCCCCGTGATGTTCAGGGCCCAGTGCTTGGTCTTACAGGAGTTCCAGATGTCACAGGCAGTGTTTCTTCGTCCCAAACCCTAAGTCAGTCCTATTCTGGTCAGGAAGGAATGTTGATGCTGCCTGCTCCAGGTGTACCTTTCGCAGCTTCAGCTTCTGCTGCCATACCATCTAGGTGAGCGTTGTTTGCTCTATTGTTATGTTTGTGTTAGTTAATTACGGGGATTTAGGTATGGATTTGGGTTATTCTAATTATTAATATTTGCTGTTACAAATCTAGCTCATCCAAAGGAAAGGAAAAGGTTGTTGACTCAGTGTCACCTGGAGGGACGAATCCAACATTCCAGATTGGCCAGGTAGCAGGGTTGCCTCTCAGGTAACACATTTGGACTGGTTTACTTGATTTGGTATTGATGCATTAACCTATGCTTTGTTTCTGTTGTTGCATGGTAAATACTTATGTGCTCATTTGGCTCTTGCAGTTCATCTCAAGTTCCTTTGGCAATCAAGGAGAATGCTGTTGTGTCCGACGTGATTTCGCCAAATTTACTGCCTCCTGTTTCATCTATTGCACCTTTGCTTTCTGTTGCTGATGTGAAAGGAAAAGGAACAGGTCCAGTGGCGACTGTTGTGGCAGCTCCTTTTACCATTGCAGATCCTTTGAAGGTCTCTAATATCCAGTCAGTTGGTGCTGTGAAAGGTGCAGTGGGGACTCCTGGAACTCTGAGTGATGGTATGGATGTGATGAGTTCTACTAGCCAGGGAGTACATGGATTGTCATCCATTGCTGGGCTGGGTTCTGAAACTCCTCAGAGTAAAATCAGCAAGTCATCTTCGGCAGTTTCGCCTTTGTCTTCAAGGAGTCTGTGAGTTTTTTACTTTTAAACTTATCGTGTCATGGTTATAGTGCAGTCGGAATTTATTGTTTTGGTCTTTGACAATGCAGCTTGATATCACCTCTGGCTAAGGTGAAGATTGAGAAGCTGGAATCTTCTGGAACTGGATCTCCTAATGTGAGAGGATGATGAGCAAACAGAAAGTTTGTCCCCTTTTTCGCTTGCTGACCAAGATTCACACCGGGCGCCTGGGAAGCCTTCCGCTGCTAAGCGTCGCCTGTATGAATCTTAGGGTATAAATTCAAGTCTGATCCCTTTGTGTGTTATTTATTAGTTTTTAATGTTGATTGGTTATGTTATTTACTGGATCTAAGTTATGCTAGGTGCAGGAAAGGTGGTTGCCTTTTGTGGATGCTGGATTTGCTGCAAGGAAGAAGTCCTTTTGATGGTGGGCAGGATGACTATGTTGTTGGTCGTTTGAAGTTGTGCTGGTTGGAGGGTTTGCAGCTCTTTTGTAAACTTCTGGGGAACCTGTTTGTCAACTTTGTTGTTGCCTTTCTTGGCTAGTTTTGGCAACTTTGTGGAAATTATGTTGTCGGTTTCTAGACAAAACTAATGGTACTTCGGGTATCTGTTTATGAGGTGTAAGTTTTAAGTGCATGTAATTTTCTGTGTAAAATCAGGGTGGTCAGTTTGGACACCTGAAATGTTGTGACCCCAGTGTGGGCAAAATTCTGGCCTTTTGGTCCCTCTTTTGTAGAATGTGAATACTCAGCAGTTTTTATGTATTATCAAGGAATATAGTTTTTATCTAAGGTGCCTATGTTTTACATTTATGTCTTAACTGTATGTATATGCAAATATCACAAAAATGTTCTTTACATCATGTGATGGGAAAGAGTAAGCATTGTCCACAAGAAAAATATGATAAGAACAGGCGAGATTAGTAATGGTTAGCAGACATGTGGTAATATTAAAAGGAATCTTTTGGGTTGCAAGATTTAATAATTTGGGTTAATTATGTGCCCAAAATCTAAAGCATTAAATGCAAAAGTCATCATTGTTTACCCTTGGTTACAGAACCAGCAGTCACAATGACTACTTGGATAGAGATTAGACACCTGATATAAAATTATATATTGATTGTATAATATCTTATCAAGGAACACATCAGATATCAAAGAGATTTCGTCAATGGACCTTCAACTTTCTCTTTGCCCTCTGGTTTTTGCTCCTGTGTTCAGCAAGTAATTCTGTTTGTGTCGACTTTTTCCCTTCAGTGGAGTATCAGCTAGCTGGAGTATGCAGCAAGGTAAGACCTTATGATCAGCTGTTTGGAGCTACAAGTCAGAGACACTCATCATTGGTGATATAGACCACGTCATCAGATACAGTTAAGCATGTCTGTATTCGTTATTCTTCAGTTACACATTAATGGAACCTCTTTAAATGATTTGGATCCTCTTCTTTGTCTGTCTGACCAAGACAGAACACTGAAGTTTGCAGTTATTGAACTTTTGTTTTTGGCTCATTTAAGTCTGACTGGATATCAAACATTTACTTCATGTAATCAGAATGACACCTAGAAAGAAGAGAGCGACTTCCAACCTGTTGAGGCGAAAGAGAGGTGACACTTCTTTCACAATCGAATCCTCCAGGAATCCAACACAAAGCTTTACAGATATGAACGTGGATAACACCAGAGTAAACAAGAGATCGAGAAGCCTGCCGTTCATTCTCTCAGGGTAAATTTCAAAGTCGACAAATGGTCACAACAGTGAGTTCGTTCCTCCAGATCCTTATACAGAAATGGTTGGTGATGAGGCATCTTGCAGTTTAGCTACAAATGATCGTCAATATCAAAAAGCAAAGAAAGCATCAGCTGATGTCCCAACTGCAAGGAAGCCATTGCACAATGATAGGCTGAGCGTTGGAAAACCTGACTGTGTATGTCAGTTCTGTGGTGCTTTTTTTTGGTATGCTGAACGATTGGATCGACACAGGAAATCCTTAAATCCTGTGTATAGTCTTTGTTGTCAGAAAGGAAGAGTTTGCATTCCCCTGTTAAAGCCACCCCCTACATTACTTGCTCAGCTGTTGGATTTTAATGGAGGTGCAATGTCAAAGCATTTTAGAGACAACATTAGACCCTACAATGGTTCTTTGTGTTTCACATCTTTTGGAGCCAAACTGGATCCACGCTCTTTGACAACAAGAGGACCTTATTCAATGGTTATTTGTGGTGAGAATTACCATAGGATTGGATCCTTACTTCCAGTTGATGGAAATAGGCCCAAGTTTGCTCAGCTATATATATTTGAACCTGAAAATGAGGTTAACAATAGACTTGCAAACTTTGCATCTCGAGAGGAAGTCTTGCTGCCTGAGTTACTTGCAAGTTTGCTTCGAATGCTTGATGAAAACAACGAGTTGGTCAGAACATTTAGGCGCATTCGACAAGATCTCCAGCTTTCTTCCACACCAAATCTCCGACTCAGAATCTTTGGGATCAAAAGTAGGAATCGACAATATGACTTGCCAACTAGCTCTGATATTGCAGCCTTAATACCTGGTGATTTTGTTGCAGATAGGGAGGATAGAGATATCATTGTTGACCATCGAGGAGAAGGGCTGAAACGTATAACAAGCCTCAACCCAAAATTCGAGGCTCTTCACTTCCCATTGCTATTCCCGTACGGAGAAGATGGGTTTCATCCTCAAATATCTTATAATGCCTCCTTTTGCCCAGCATCAATGCGCAGAAAATTTGTTACTTAAAAAGAGTATTATGCTTTTAGACTTCAGTATCGATTGAATGAGGGGCATACACTGGTTCAAAGTGGCAAGGCATTGCAACATTACTGTGTTGATGCATTTTCAACAATTGAACTCAATCGCCTGGCATTTCTTAGAACTCATCAAAAAGATTTAAGAGCAGAAGTTTATCAGGGGTTGCAGGATGCATTTGCAAAGGGAGACATGGATGGAGAAAAACTTGGAAGAATTATAATGCCATCATCTTATACAGGAGGACCAAGATATATGCAGCAACTATATCATGATGCCATGGCAACCTGTCAACATTATGGTAACCCAGATTTATTTGTTACATTTACCTGCAATGCTCTTTGGGAAGAAATTGTTGATGCTTTTGCAGATATGGTTGGACCAAACAGCGAGTTGAAGCCTATGGTGGTCTGCCGTGTGTTTCACATGAAGCTTGCCATATTAATTGACGAGTTTAAAAGAGAATCATATTTCGGGAAAACGATAGCCAGTGAGTTACCCGTAGATGACCTTTCATTGTATAAAATTTCTTTTATTATTTGAATGAGCTATCAAGTTCAAATGATGGTCTATTTTTTCGCAGTAATCTACACAGTTGAGTTTCAGAAGAGGGGCCTCCCACATGTCCATATGCTTATATGGTTAGCCAAAGAGGATAAGCTAAAGTCAACATCTGACATTGATGAGATGATTTCTGCAGAGATACCAGACCCCAATCTAGATCCAGAAGGGTATGCTGCAGTGGTTAAGTTCATGATTCATGGACCTTGTGGTGTTAACAATCCCACTTCACCATGTATGAAAGATGGTAAATGTTCGAAGTATTTTCCAAAAGAATTCTGTTCAGAAACTTCGTTCGACAAGTTTGGCAATGTCGTGTACAGAAGAAGAAATTCCGGCATTCAGGTTCAAAAAGGAAAGGCAATGCTGGATAATAGATATGTCGTTCCATACAATCGAAACTTATTGGTTAGAGCTCAAGCCCATATTAATGTGGAGATATGTCACAAGGGAGGCTTAGTGAAGTACTTATTTAAGTACATTACTAAAGGACCAGATAGATCTCTTATTGTTGCAGAAGACTCGACAAGCTCAGTTCAGGTGCCATCAAATATAACAAAAAAAACCAAAGACGAGATACAAGAGTTCATTGATTGCAGGTCGCTGTCCTCATACGAAGCTATATGGAGAATCAACGAGTATTCTATACACCACAGAGAGCCTAATGTGGTTCGACTTGGTGTACACATGGATGGACGACAGAATGTTTCATACAAGAGAAGGTCAAATATTCATAATGTTTTGCAAAATCCAAGGGCAGGCAAAACTCATCTTACTTCATGGTTTGAACTTAACAGACATGATTGCAATGCAAGAAAGCTTACATATGCTCAGATACCAAATTCCTTTACATGGAATGAAGAATACAGTGAATGGACTCCAAGGAAAAGAGGTTTCGCAATAGGAAGGATAGCATATGTTCCTCCAGGAAGTGATGATATATTCTTTCTTAGGCTGCTATTGACCAAAGTAAGAGGAGCAACAAGTTTCCTCAATTTAAGAACAATACAAGGGGAGGTTTGTAGTACTTACGAAAGAGCATGTCAAAAGTTGGGGCTTCTGTCGGACTCTTCAGAATGGATTCAGGTATTACAAGAAATTGCAGCATCAAGTATGCCACACATAATACGGACTACATTTGTTTCAATGCTGATGTTCTGCGAGATACCTGATCCTAATGCTCTATTTGAATCTTCATGGAGGTTAATGAGTGAAGGTCATGTTTATTCTCTTCGTAAACAGCTACACTCAAAAACTTTCCAGCCTTCAGATGAGAGACTTAAGAATTGGGTGTTACATCAGCTGGAAATTTTACTGAGAACTTATGGTTCTTCACTTCAGCAATTACATCTCCCAAGACCGACAGATTCAGAACCTGACGATGGATCAAATCCCCTGATTAATGAGCATCTTAACTTTGATGATGATCAACAAAGGTTACTGGCAAATACTATGGTTAGCAAACTGAACACAAAACAGCTAGAGGCTTTCACACTCATTATTCTCTCCATCAACAACAACCTTGGCACTTCATTTTTCCTATATGGCCATGGAGGAACAGACAAGATTTTTCTCTACAATGCAATCATTGCAAAATTAAAAAGTCTTTCCAGAATTGGTATAGTTGTTGCCTCATCAGGAATAGCAGCCACACTACTACCAAACGGCACAACTGCTCATTCAAGGTTCAAGATTCCCCTTCATATAGACCATGCATCTACATGTTCCATAAAGAAAGGTACTCATTTAGCTGAGCTAATACGTGCAGCTTCATTGATTATTTGGGACGAAGTACCGATGACACATCGAAATGCATTTGAGGCTATAAGCAGGACGTTTTGTGATTTGATGGACATACCACTATCAGGTCCAAAACACAAGTTGTTTGGAGGGAAAACAGTAGTCTTTGGTGGTGATTTTAGACAGACCCTACCAGTAATTTCAGATTCAGGAAGGGAAAAAACAGTGGATTGATCCATCACAAGGTCATCATTGTGGCCCTTTTTTAAAGTGCTCAAACTGTCAAGGAACATGAGGCTTAATGATTCACAGGATAATAGAAACCTGGTCGGCTGTGGAATGAACTTTGGTGAGTGGATTCTGGCGCTAGGAGATGGAAGGCTTCCAACAAGATCCTTTATGGCTAACACACCTTCAGATTGGATTGAGATACCACAAATACTCTTGATATATGCTGGAAAAAATCCAATCGAGTCAATCACAAATGACATATATGACACATTTGAGGAACAACACATGAGCACAGATTACCTAAGTGGAAGGGCAATCGTTACACCTACTAATGCAGTTGTGACTGAAGTGAATGACTTCATGTTGCAAAAAATTCCTGGACATTGCCGTTGCTACTACAGTTCAGACTCTATGCAACTTGATACAAAGGTACCTCAGCTATTTGCTGAAACTTACCCAACAGAATTTTTGAATGCTCTTCAGTTCAATGGTGTTCCAGATCATGAAATAAGACTTAAGGTTCACACTCCGATCATGTTGCTGAGAAATTTGAGCCCACCAAACGGCCTGTGCAACGGTACGAGGATATTGATTACGAAATTGGGGGGAAATATCATTGTTGGAAACATCATGGGAGGATCTTTTGACACAAAAGAGGTTGTTATACCACGAATAGTACTCAACGTAGAAGACAAACGCTGGCCCTTTATACTGAAGAGGAGGCAATTTCCAGTAAGGTTATGTTATGGGATGACTATAAATAAGAGCCAAGATCAAACGCTGGACAAGGTTGGAGTCTATTTGCCCAAACCAGTATTCAGTCATGGACAGCTTTATGTGGCAGCATCAAGAGTAAGATCTGCAGGTGGTTTGAGATTCTTGATTGAAAATGAAGAGGACATTCCAGCCAGTTACATGAGAAACATTGTATATTCAGAAGCCTTCACAGATATTGCACCTGGTTAATTTTGGAAGCATCGAAGAAGCTCGAAGTGATTATTATGAATTCTCCCAACTTTTTGAATTTTACGCCTGGAAAAATTTGTTCTTCCAGTTCCTGCGTTGTTCTTAACAAGAGACACGTTTTGTGTTTATTATTTCGAAACTCAAAGCCAGAAAGCAGTCATGAGTTATGATCAGTTAGCATCGGTTCGGACTATCTAGAGAGAACTTAGAAAGAAAATCGATGAGCCCAACTGATACAACTTGACAGACATTCATCGCAGGGGCGTATTGTAGCCTTTTCTGTAAAAAGGCCTGATTCAATAGTTAGAACCCATTGCATACCATACAGAGCCCAAACACGATGTCAAGGCCCAAACAATCGATCCAAAAAGGACTTACCCTAAGTTAACCCTAGCTTACATAAACTACCGATTGTTTTTATGCCTTCTAAAATCAACCGCGCAGTCAAGATAAAAACAAAAAAGGGAAACCAGGATCTCAAAGAACTGGAAGCATTCTTCTACCCAACAGATTTACAGTTGTATAGTACAACTGATACGTGAGATTCCGTGGACCCACACAAAATGGACCCGAACGAACTGAAAGGTAAATACATTGAATCTGGAAAGAAATCCGACAAGCGCATCTCGATTCCTATGCAAGTTTTTCCCATTTATTATTTATCGATTCGTCTTTAATCGGATTGCAGAGTCTATTGAATCAAGCATGTGCTTTCGGGGACTGCGTTTGGGAACAAACAATCGAACGATTATAGCAAGAAATGTCGTTACATGGACTGAGTTCCGAGAAGTGCCTTTATCCACATGGAAGAAAAGGACACATCACATGCTCTGGCTTGACAAAAAGGTTTGACTCCAGATACCCCAACCATATTCATAAATATTCGTCAGAGCATTTGATTCAGTGTTAGGACAAAAGAACTTCCCAATATACAAACACTGGACATCAATTAACCTACTGGCAAATGCTAAAAGAACAAAAACTATTGACAACATATCTATCTACCATTGACTTTACAGAACAAATTGATCGAAGCACAAGTTGAAGAAGAAGATGCATCTGAGGTTTTTCAGAAAATAAAGGTTGGTTGCCTGCATGAACTACAAGATATTGTAGCAGGTCCAGCAAGGTCAGTGCAACGCGTTGTCCATCGAGAGTTACGCCTGCTCCTCACTTCAGATCAAATTAGGAGACACATTGAAGAAGGAAATGGACCCCAGCAATTCCCAGTGGGATCATACACAGCAGCCGATTTTTCCATTGTGCCTCAACTATCAGAAGACTTTGTCTGCCATTCAGGTAAATATATGTCTCTCTATCCATGATTAAGAGCACCATTAAACAAAGCATAACAAACATTAAATCTATAGATGTTACAGGATGTGTTAGAAGGCTAACTCATCCAGAAACAATTAAAGGAAGGATTCAGAAATTCGATCTGCTCATACAAGATGTCTGGTATGCACTTAAGATTGTACACTTTTTTTTTACTTTGTCAAAATGTATAGTTAACGCATTGGTTTGCAATCAGTGGGGCAAAGGCTTATGTTGAATACAGTGGCCATGACATTGATGATTTTCTAAAGAATGCTCCAGCAATTGAGTCAAAGTTACCACTGATTGTGACAATCAGATAAGTTAGTAGAGTAACTCCTAGACATAACAGTAAGTATCAGCATGAATTTCAATCGACAATTGCAAGCAAGCTCATCATCCATTCTTATCAGGACTGCTGCAAGGATGTCATGAACATGTGAGTTGCTGTATATTGGTTTACCCAACTGATTGGTTCAACTACTATCGAGTTAGTGATACTTACACATTTATTTTCAACGTGTAGCTTTCTTGCATGTCGCAAACCAGTATACTTCATCGATGATGCTACTTGCAAAAAAACTGGACACCTGCTGAGCAATCAACTGCAAAAGAAATCGCTGAGAGAGATAAAAGAAAGGATGGAGGACCTGTCAGATTTCACAGAGGTAAACGAACAAACACCAGCATTGACAACAGCTGTTTATTTCCATTTGTTTACCTGTATAATACATCTGACAGTTTTTGCAACAGGTTACTTACATGACATTGATTAACATTTCAAGGTTTATATACAGAAAAAGCATCTGCAAAGTTCGTGGAGAGAACACAGGGTAAGCTATTGACCATTCTCCCATGTTTACACAAGGCATAATAATACTCTTTGTATAACCTAACAAAAAAACTGTATTGCAAGACTGACATACAAACTGGAAGGGAAATGTCGCCAAGGAGGATCTGAAATAGATGTGGTGTTTAAGCATGAAGCAGCTTTGTCACTTATTCGTAAGTCACCATCTGATTATCAGTTTCTGAAGAAGGACGAAATCATCGAATTGATCGCAAAGAACTGTAACAAAAAATATGCTGCGGAGTTGAATGTCGCATGGAAAAAAGTGGGGGACAGTGATTCTGACATGCAGCCAAAAGTGACAGTGCTCACCCTCTGGGACCGATCAGCATTCGAGAAATGATGTTGTCCTTCGAAGCTTGCCATTTTGATATCGTGCAAACAACAAAGGCACGAAACTTCTGAAAACATTTTGTCGTACTGTTTTCCAAATCTTCAGTCTCCGCCATGGAACTTTTATTAGTTTAGTAGATACATCGTGGAGACTTGGCAACACTCCTAACTACATTCATGTTTATTCTGCAAAAACAGTCACTCTTTAGCATAATGGTCATAGATTATATGTTTATGACAATGACAACATTTATGTCTATGTTTGGGACATAACAATTATGGTAATAGATTATATTAAATCACATTTAAATTATGACAGAAATAGTATCCCGCAACAGAGCGCGGGCTGAATCCTAGTTCACATTCATACAAAGTGCAGCATATGCAACAGTAACCAAGAACTATCAATATTTCTGCCAAAAGGAAAATATTACATAAACCTGTGGATCTCACTACAAAGAAAGACAGACATGCTATTTTAACCTCCTTCCCTCTCACAGATCTCATTACCTTACAAGTATAAACAGACAGCATCATAAATCTCTGCAGGCACTCTCTCTTCAGCTGTTTTCATCTGTCAACTAGAAGTTCCAACCATAATGTGAGGTTCTGAAGCCAACCTAAAGAGAGGTTCACTACTAAATACTAACACAACAATAAGACCAGCCTCTCCATACTTAAAATAGAGCTTTCTTCTATCAGAAAAAAAGGGAAAAGAAGAAGAAAATGTACTATAAGGCTGTCTTCCTAACCCACACAGCCATGCAACTCTTTCCTGTGATCATCATTCTGCCGTGGAACGAACCCCTTTCCAATATATGCACAAGAAGCTCTCTTTCTCTTCCGATATCTACTTGGTTTATGAATCGACCAAGTGTAACTAGAAGAGGGTGGGAAAAAGGTTTGAGCTTTTACTTCTTTCTTTTGCTCTTGACAGTAGACCCAGATGGGTTGCTGTGCCAGTTCCTCTTCCTTTGGTTGATGAACCAGTTGTTTATCTGTTTCAACTGCAGCCCCGTTTCTTGAACCAGCCTCGCTTTGTCTTCCTCCTGTGAACAAGCATACATGTGTTAGAATCCACATTTTGCGATTGATAGCTTGCATAGGAAGCCACATTATGATCCATTCACGACTTAGCAATTGACGAAGAACATAGGATGCGATCGATTCACGGCTCAACAAAAGGAGATTGAATGAAGGGCACACTTACAGTTGGATATGGCCACTTGGAATGCGACTGCCACCAAGATTTCAACACTGATGTGGTGTCTCCAGGCAGTTTCCCTGCCCTTCTCTTACGAAGAATCTCCTCTCTTATGTCCACTAGCTTCTCCTTGTAACCCTGGGAAAAGTAAAATAGGGAGATGTCAAACTTCTACTAGGCATAAGGGAAGTTCTGAATTGTGTCAGGTACCAAAACCATTGATTAATTTACCTGTTTGAGCTCATGCTTCAGTTCCAGCCTCACTCGCTCCATCAACGATCTCTCGGTTTCAGTAGGGACGAGTGGACCGAATCCCATGGTGTCCATAGCATCCAAGCTTCCTTCGTACATGTTGGCTTCGCTGTCTACTTGATCATCGTCGTCGTCTGACATCGTAGCGCCTGTGCCTTCTCCTGGAGATACACCTGTTGTCCATCGATTGTTTGTTTAGTTTCGAAAGATATGCTACTTGTGTGAAATTTACAATCTTGTTGAGGGAGTGAAAGTTACTATCTTTAACGGTATTGTTACCTGTGAGGCTCTGGAGGGCTTGCTCGAGCTCCCAGCAAGCCATGACAGCCTCCATGGCGTGGACTCGGACATGTTGTTGGAGTTGGTCTTTGAATGAACAAAGCAACAGAACATAATGCGTCTGCATCAGAAGGAAGAAGGAGAGGGAGAAAATGAACAAAGAAAGAGTTAGAAAGGACAGAATTGATGAATATCATAAAGGCATGGAAGTCGTTATAAGAAAATTCATTAGTACAAAGGCAATTAAAGTTTCTGAAGAAGAATTATATTCCTATTCAGGCTGCTATAAGTCAATCCATATAACACCTGTGTGTAAAGCATGCAAAGGTGACTGCTCCAGAACCAGACATGAGAGGTCCTAATCTTAATCATTCCATAACTGAAAATGTTTATCCTACACAACTGGGCTAAACCCCTGGCTTACATCTTCTAAATGTGATTAGTTCTGCTAGTTCAAATTGATCTACCCCAAGTTTATCTCACACTCTTCACATATCACAAAGTTGAAGAAGCAATCAAAAAGTTATCCGAGAACTGATTAAGAACATGTTGAATCATAAGACTTTGGTAAATCCTATTTCAGCTAATCCTGAGAAGGTTACACTGTCAAACACACACACACACAAGATAAATACTCAGTCTTTCATCAGAAAGATTACAAGCTTTTTCGTTCTTCCTTGAAGCCAAAGGGTCTTCATTCTAAAGGGTACTGCCCCAAGTTTTGGTTAGCACATTTTAGGGAGGAAATAGGGCTGGAAAAAACTGCAGCAGCAAGAAGCTTCCTGCTTATAAGCTAATCCATCGGTTACTAATGACGTATGCCCTTAGGGAAAGGGGGAAAAAGCCACCTTGAGCTTCTCGTCCAGAAAACATGGAGGAAAGGCCCAATCAATACACTTGAATTCAGTTATCAGTTACCCCAAAATCAACGAGATTAATCAGCTGATTAGCAAGCAATCCTCTGACCAACTATCTCAAATCTTCCCCAAAACCATAAACTAAGCAGAAATCCTATTTCCCACAACCTTTAATCAAACCATTAACTAGCAAAATTGAGCTGAATAGACGTTAATCCCTAGGGCTCTGAAACTCAAGGAATTATCGACAAAGACTACGACTTTCAAAATCAGGCGAAGAAACCCATTTAGAAGACAAACGCCGGCGAAATTCAATACCATGAACTGATCAAGCTCCTTCTCGTCGACGACGGGGCCGTTACCGACGACGGAGTACTTCGCCACCACTTCCTGCGACTGAGCCAGCTGAGCGTCGATCCTGGGCAGCTGGTCGACCGGCGTGGCGATTCTCAGGCACGCCACGTGTGCAGCCAGCAGCTGCTCGTACAGCGGGTGGGAGAGTATCTCCGCCTTGCATTTCGCCCTCTCCCAATCCCCCACTCCCCCGCCGCCGTCCAGAAGCTCATCTTCCCCACCTCCGCCGCCGTGGTGGTGGTGGTTGTTGTTGTTGTTGCTGTCGTTCTCGCTCCTGTCGCTGCCGTCGCCGCGGCGGAGGACGGCGCTGTTCAGCCACGAAGGCCCGGCGGAGGCCGCGGAGAGCGGCGGCGGCGGCTGGAAGCCCATTTCTTGCGACATGTGGTCTTGGAAAGCCATTTTTATCTCTTTTCTCACAAGAATTTCAGAGCAGCAGTAGCAACATTAATTTGTTGGGTCTCCGCAGAGAAAGAGAGAAAGATGGAAGCTTTTTTGAAGAGGTGAAGAGGAAGAAGTAGGAGATGGAATCTATGGCGGGAGAGGAGAAGTGGGTAAGGCCGCGTTTGGCGGAATTTTCTGTGTGGGGTGAGGGAGCGGAGTTTTTCAGAGGAAGCTCCTCTGCTTTTGGATTGTCTTGCAGAGAAGGAGAAGGGAGGAAGGAAGGGGAAGAAGGCCAATTTCGTATTTATTTAATGAAAATTTTGGGGATTTCTTTATTTTTGAATTGTTATTTTTTTTTTTTTTTTGGGTGGTGGTTCGTTTTGGGTGGACTTTTGGTGGGAGATCGGACGGCTGGATGCGAAGACACGTGGAGGTTTGGTGATGTTTTATTTGTAAAATAATGGGTGCCAAGAGAAAATTCCAATGATTTGAGAGGGAAAAAAATAGGAAAAGAAAAGGGAAAAGATATATTTTTGTCCACGGCCTAAACAACAGTGAACTACCTCCGGTCGCGCAATTTTTTGTGGGGGGTTTTGATTAAACAATTAATTTAATTAATGACATCAAACATCAATGTTATCCAATGATTTGGTGACTCTTGTTTTCTTAATCCTCTTTTTAATACGTTTGTCCGATTCTGGCCTTGTTGCCACTTTGAAGCTCGGTTCTCGAGGTTGGATTAAGGAGTTTCGAAGTTTTAGATAAAAGGAAAAATTTATTGGTCTCAATAATTTAGTGAGTTGATAAATCGTTGATTGGTATGTTCGGAAGATTATATGTGTAGAGTTCATGTATAAGTTTCTTTTCTATAAAAGATGTTGATGGGGGTAACTTTTATTTTAAGTTAATTGAATGAATTTGGATATTTGGCCACCTTTCGTTCTTTGAAAACGGTCAGCCTAAATATCGACGCTATCGACCTTCCCACTCATAATGTCATGAACCTACTAATGATCCGGCCGATTTTTATTGACATATAAAAATGCAACAACGAATTTTTATCGATACGTACATCTTCAATTTAGTCGACCGAGCTCAACCGCTACGAACCACACAAAGGACGTTGCATATTATTATTTAGAATTCGATTGATTGAGTTTGTGAAGCGGTCGACTAAAATTGTCTGCCAACCTTGAAGTATATTTTACATAGAGTTTTAACCCAGGTCGCCTCAGGCATCACTGGTTCTTATTTTGTTTCAAGAACTGGGTAGTTCTAATAACTAGATTAGCTGATAGCGGTCCAAAATAAAGTATCATACTAGATTCATTTACAACTACTATTAGGGTAGTATCTACAAATAGTTTTAGGGCTAAATTGAAACTCAAAGGTACATAGAAGATATAAATTATTAATCAATGTCAGGGGGGCAACATATAGTGTATTTTTCGTACGATTTCAAGAATATTCATGTCCATACTTGAATATATTTGTCCATTAATCAGCACATCTTTCTACGTACTCTTAGTCCGACAGTGAACAATTTTTGCAATACTAGTGATATCATCATACATTTCGTAGGACTTTCTTCGAAACGATATCCATAAGCACTCGCATACGAATCGAATTAGATAGTAGCTACATGCATCAAGCATCCACAACTGGATTCTGTAACATAATGATTACTCTTTAGTTTAATTATGCATGATTATCATGCCTAATGTGCATAGTTTACTTATCTTTTATGTTTTCATTGTTTAGTATTAAGAAAAATGCTTTACTCTCTCACCTACATCTTACACAAGATATCTCTAGAACAATGCATGATTAAGCTCTAATCCCATCCATATTTGAAAAAAAAAACTATAATTTATATCTTAAACAATAATAATAATAATAATGTCGTGTAGCATAATTTATTAGATTGAGTGTCGAATATTATAAACTTCCCGGCCGGCTGCTCTGTTTCCACCTCCCAACCCCTTCATAAATTATTGTTTTTATTTTTATTATTTTTTGTAAATAATATCGGAACAAGCATGGTGGAAAAAGTCGTTTGATTTGAGGTTGGACGACGGACTTCCCTGCCAAGTATTTTACATTATTTGGCCTAGAGATCAATTTATTTATTTATTATTTGTCAATACGTGTGCACTGCTTATAATTAATAAATAAATAGTAATACCAATGGAAGGAAAAAAAGAGAAGAAAAGATGGGCAGAAAGGGGTTGTGTTGTGTAGTAGTAGTATCACGTTGGGTTAATCCTGGCCGTCGTCTCGCTATCAGACAAAAAGAAACAAAGCAAAAAGGGAACACCCAGCAAAGAGAGTGGAATTCAGAAGCCACATATTTTGTCTCAACTCGAGATGTGAAATATTTCTTTCATAAACCAAACATATTTCTATACCATGTTATAAATCAATAAGTTTCATTAATTCGAGTTGTTGGAAGAGGTCTATGTATGAGTAGGTAGGTATTTGCAACAGGTCGCGATCTAGGCCAAACTCATGAGAACCGCAGTCCAATAACAAAAGACATCTTACGACGAAAGAAAGGGACCAATAATGCATTCGGTCTAGTCCAATTGTCACTTAGGTCCATTTTTTCTCCGGTATTTTATAAGATTTATGGGGCCAGAAACCCAGATCGAACAATATTATATTCGGTTAAGGTATGCTCCTATCCAAGGGCAGTTTGGTCCAATACAATCCGACACGGGCCAAACCGTTGCGCACAAGCCCCTATGTATAAATTTGAACCACTTCCTGATTAAAAAAAGAGTTAGAAAATTGTATGATTTTGATGCTGGTATGTATATAGTAGAGAGATCGTATCGTAAGTATGATGTTCGTCAAGCGTAAAACCATTCCCAGTAGTCAGTCACTATGCAAACTTGTAACACCACAACAACATCAAGGCAACAATTCTGTTATGGTGTTCACAACCACGGGCAGATCTAGGGGGTGGTCACCTAGGGCCACGGCCCAGCCTTCCTCTGGATCCGGAGTTAGTATAACCCTTACGAGTTTACCGATTTTAGCTAGTCGGCCAAGTGTTATTTTATAATAATATTGTGTGTAATCGAGAAAATGAGTTAGATCGATGAATATATTCAAATCACAACTTTATATATTGAGCCTAGAGAGAAATTCTAGCTCTAATGATTCTCTTCTAAAGAAAAACAAACGATGTGACCTAAATTACTAGAGCAGCCGGTGGAAATAGGGATGAACACACAATGCAAATTGATTAGTAGATTGATTTGTCTACTGTTGACATTGCCCGTATCAACGACTGCTATGGAGAAAACCTTTTCCGCAATAGAACAGGTGAAATATGATTTGCGCAACAAAATGAGCGATGAATTTCTCGCTGATTGGTTAACTATTTTATTTGAAGGAGAGTAGAATGCTATCGTTATGGATGTAGACTCCATTATTGACGAATTCACTATATTAAAAAAAACAATGATTTTTTTTTTACGATATCAATTTTTTCTAATAAAATGCTGCCCATTGCTCTACTATGTCCTGGATCCGCCGCTGTTCACAACCCATATGTGAGAACGATCTCACATGTATGTACGAGCGCTTCGCTTCAATCGATCGCCAGATGACAATTTTTTATTTGCAAAAAATTGTCATCTAAAACTAGTCAAACTCTGCTCATATGTGCATCACGATCGACAATGAAGGTTGTGGTTTGGTTGAACAATGTTGGGGACGGGAGTACTATGATGCGAGCTAGCTAGGGCATAGTGTGCGTTTGGATCCATTGATCCATAAACACAAAGAGAAAGAGCTCGGGAATCCGAGGCAGCAGCTAGCAGAAGAAGGAGAAATGGAGTCGCTGTCTGCTGCCTGCCCCTTCTGTGCTCTCTGTTTCTTCTGCCAAAGTCATAAAAACTGAAGAACGGACAGAAACAGAAGAAGTCCTAGCTACTTCTGCACTACAAAAGAAGCAGCAGCTGCTTCTGGGAGCTAAGGCTAAGCGCTAGATCGGAATCAGAATATAGGGAGAGGGATTGGAACCAATAGCTAGCTAGTGAGCCAGAGCCCAAAGAGGGGACCATTTTATGGTACATACATTAAATTAGAGAGGGTTGGTTGGGTGGGTGGTGGTGCAGAAGTCGGTATGCTGTGTATTTATGTGTATCGGATGAGGCGCTGGCTGGCTGGCTGGCTACATCCTTTTTCAGCTGCTGCTGCTGCTGCTGCTGCATAATAGCCTGTGGCCATGGCTGCGGCGCTCTGTTCTCTGCGTTGCTGGCCGGCCGCCTGGGCGCTCGAAAGCTACTCGCCCCCACTTGCAGGCGCCAGCAGGAAAAAAATACGTCGACAACCCAACGATTCCTCACCACACAACATCAAATGGTTGTTGTTTCGACATATACAAGCGAAGACTATAAATCTTTGTTTGCTATAATTTGAAGTCCAGATTATATATATATATATATGTTCCTGACGGAAAGTTTACTAGGGTTTTGTTGTTCTAGGCTTGTAGCTTGTATATCTGGTCTAAGTATAGTAAAAATCGGTCTCTAGCTCATACATGCGGATTGTCTGACACACATCGTGTTAGTGAACTACGTAAAATCCGTGTGTTCTTCACTTTCTTGCATTGTCGATTTTATATTCCGTTCCAACAAATCTTGGATGAAATATGAAATATGTCAATGAGTTGGAGAGTCGCATAAACCCTTCCAGAATCGGAACTCCGTGAATGTATGAACCAACCGGGGGTCGGTGGCAATGTGAATGTTAAATTATATCGTGCTCATTTTCATCAAGATACCCTTCGGAGTAATCTCTTCATCCAACATATTCGCCCGTAACAAAGTCTTAATTAGCATTACTCAACCAACCGTTTGATACCAATTTCTAAATGAAAATAAAAATGGGATTATCTTCCCATTATCTGAAATTCTGCCATATTATTAATTAATACTAAGTGGGTATATTTGGGGCAATGGGTACCTAAGCAAGCGCCATAAAAAGGTTCCGTTGGGCCGGTTCAT